ATTGTTTAAAATTAAATAAAGTAATTTTAAAATAAATATAAATTAAAATTATTTAATTAAAGCTTTATATATATAAAATCTAAATATTATTTATAATATAAATTAAATTTAAAAATAAAGTATTAATAATATAAAATAAAACTAATATAATATAATAAAATATAATAAAATAATAATTTATAATTATTTAAATATATATTAAATAATAAAAGTTAATATATATATATTACTTTTATTTATTAATATAATTTATATTAAAGAATATATAAATATATTATAAATTAAATATAAAACTTTATAAAATATATTATAAATATTATATATTATTAATATAATATATTTATAATTTATATTATAATTAATATTCTTTTATTATATTAATATATATATATATTAAAATATTTAAAATACTTATTTATAAATTAATATATTTATTAAAGTTTTATATTATTATTTTATTTATTTATTTATATTATAAAATATATATTTTTTTTTAATATAATTAACTTAAAGTTAATAAATATAAAGTTTTTAATAGTTTTTAAAATAATAATTAATAAATATAAAGAAATTAATATAAATAATTATTATAATAAGAACTTTTATATATAAAATAAAAGTATTTAAAGGTTTTAATATTAAATATATTAAAAGTTAAAGTTAAAAATAAAAATATTAAAATTAAAATTATATTTAAATTATATAATAAAGGATTATTATATAGTTATATTAAATAAAAATAGTTATTCTTTTTAATAGTTAAACTTTTTATTATAAAATAACTAATAAAGTTTAATTTAATTAATATAAGGAATTAAAAAGATTATTTAAGTAAATTAGAAGCTTTAAATTAAAAAGTTTTATTTTAAATTTAAAATATTAATTTTATATATTTATAAAGAGGATAAAATAATTAAAAACTTTAATTTATATTTTTAATTTTAATTAATATAAGATAATAAAAATAAAAAATATTATTAAATTTATAGAAATATATATTATATTTTAATATTATTGTTTTAATAAATTAAATATTTAATATTTTTAATATAACTTTTAAGTTTTTATTACTTTTTAATTTTTAAGATATTATAGAATTTAAACTATTTTTAAAAGAATAGTATAATTATTATTTTTAATTTTTAATATTTAAAATATAAATTTTTTTATAATTTTTATTTTTATTTTTAATAACCTTTTAATATATTTTAATAATATTTTAAAATATTTTAAATATATATATTTAAATATTAATTAAATATTAAAAATTAAAATTGAAAATATTAAAATTTAAATAAAATTAAAAATTTAAAAATATAATTTTTATTTTTATTTTTAATTTTAAATATTTAATATTTAATTAATATTTAAATATTTATTTAATATTTAAATATATATAATTTAAAAAGTTTAAAATAAAATTAAAAGTTTTAAAAAATATTAAAAATTAAAAAATTTATATTTAAAATATTAAAATTTAAAATTTTTAATTAAATATATAATTTTATATAAATTTTATATTTAAAATTAAATATTAAAATATTAAAAGAAAATATTAAATATATAAATTAATTTATTAAATATATAAATTAATTTATTAAATATATAAATATTAATTTTTAATAATAATAGAATTTTAATAAATAATTTTTAAATTTATAAAAATATAATAAAATTTATTTATTAAAATTTAATTTATTTAATTATATATATTTAAATATTTATAATTATTAATAATTATTAATATTTTTATTATTATTATTTATTTATATTTAATAATTTATTAAAATAAATTAATAAAATATTTTATATATTTATTAAAATTTTTAAATTTATTAAATTTATTAAATTTATTAAATTTATTAAATTTATTAAATTTATTAAATTTATTAAATTTATTAAATTTATTAATTAAATAATTATTAATTAAATAATTTATATAATAAATAAATTTAAATTTAAGTTTTATATTAATTAAATAATAAATATATTAATTATATAGTTTTATAATTTTTTTAATATAAAATTAAAAATTTATAATTATAATTTTTAATTAATTTTTATTTAATTAATTTTTCTATTATAATTTAATTTAATTTAATTTAAATTGTTTTTAAATTATATTAATATTTTTAATTTTATAAATATAAATATTAAATTAAAATTTTAAATTTAAATTTAAAATTTTTATAAATTTTAATTTTTTTAAATTAAATTTATAATTTTTACTTTTTTAAAATATATTAATTATTTTAAATATTAAAATTTTCTTTAAAATAAAATTTATTTTTATATAATTATAAATTTAATTATTAATAATTATAAATTTAATTATTAATAATTATTTTTTTATAAAGTTATTAAAATTATAAATTTAAATAATAAAATATAATTATTTTATTTAAAATTTATTTTTAATTTAATAATATAATAAATTAAATAATTATTTTTAAATAATTTTATTTATAAAATTAATAAATAAATATTTATTTAAATAAAATTAAAATTTTAATAAAAATAATTTTATTTTTATTTATTTTAATTAATTTATATTTATAAAATTTAAATTATATAAAAATTTAATATTTATATATAATACTTATTAAAATTAAATTAATTTATAATTTATAATAGTTTTAATTTTTAATAAATTAATAATATTAATTTATATTAATATAATTTAATATATTAATATAAAAATATTTTTAATAATAAATAATATTATAAATATAATAAATTATAAAATTATTATAAAAGCTTTATATAATAAATTTAATTAAATTAATTTTTAAAATATATTATATTTTATTTATTTTTAATTTAATAATAAAATTAAAAATATAAATAATTTATATAACTTTATAATAAATTTTAAAATATATTATTTATATATTTAAAAGAAAAGAACTATATAAAATTAAAGTATATAAGTAATTAAAGTAAGACTAACTATTAGAGTAACTATTAGAGTAATTATTAGAGTAACTATTAGAGTAATTATTAAAGCGACTACTAAAGTAATTGTTAAAGCGACTAATTAGACCGTTAATTAAACTATTAGTCAGCCTATTAGAGTAATTATTAAACTAACTCTTATTAAACTAACTATTAAAATAATTATTAAACTAATTAATTAAATAATTAATTAAGTAAATAAAGTAGTAATTTTTATAACTTTAATTATTTAAAAATAATAATTTATATATATTTATAAATAATTAATAATTATTTATTAATTAATAATAAAAGTTATATAATAAATAATTAATAAATTAAAATTTAATTTTATTTATAAAAATTAAAATTTAAATTAATATTTATTTATTTAATAATTATATTTATTTACTTAATTTTTTAACTATTTATTTAATATAAAAATTTATATATAAAGTTTATATAAAACTATATATTTAATTAAAATTTTAAATTTTTAATTCTTTTATATAAACTTTTTTAAACCCTTTAAACCTTTTAATTTATATATATTTAAGTATTAATTAAATATTTAAATATTAACTTAATATTAAAAACTAAAAGTTAAAAAGGTAAAAATAAAGATTATATACTTTTAACTTTCTAACTCTCCTTTTAACCTTTAACTTTTAAACTTCTAACCTTTTAATATTTAATTAATATTTAAATATTTAATTAATACTTAAATATATATAAATTAAAAGATATATTAAAAGGAGTATTAGAATATATATTAGAAAGAGTATTAAAAGAATATTAAAAAGCTTATATTTAAAGTATTAAAATTAAAAGGAAATTATATTATAAAGTCTTTTAATATTACTTTAAAAGGTATTTATAAATATAAAATAATTATTTAAAAATTAATATTAAATAAATAATTAATAAAATTAAATAAATAAATATAATTATTAAATAAATAAATATTAACTTTTAAAATTTAAATAAATTAAATAATTTATAAATATTAATTTAAAATATTTTTAAAGTATTTAAATTAATTAAATTATAATTATATATTTAATAATAAATTTAAATAAATTAATAATTTAATTAAAAATAACTTTATTAATAAATAAAACTTTTAATTAATTAAAAGTAATAAAATATCATACTTTCTTTTATTATTTAATATTTATAATAAATATAAAAAGTATAATTAAATTTTTAATTTAATTATTAAATTAATTAATAAGTTTTTAATTAAAGTTTAAATGTTTATTTTAACTTACTTATAACTTAATTTAATAATTAATTAACTTAAAAAATAAAAAAGTATATACTTTAAATATTAAAATTTTAAATTTTTAATTAAATATATAATTTTTATAAATTTTATATATAAAAATTAATATTAATTATATAATTTTTAAAATATATAAATTAATTTATTAAATATATAAATATTAATTTTTATATATTATATTATTTTTAAATATATTATAAAAATATTATTATATATATTAAAATTAAAATAAAATTTTATTTAATTTTAATAAAAATATTTAAAAATACAATAATATTATTTTTATAATATATTTTAATTTTTTTATATTATATTTTTATATAAAATAATAAAATTATTTTAAAATTATTTTTATATTAAAAATATAATAATAAAATTTTTTAAAATAAAACTTTTTTAAATATAATTATAAATAAATATTAAAGTTATTTAAAAATGAAAAATTTTTAATGTAAATTATATTTAAAAAATAAAAAAATATTTAAGAATATATTATTATACTCTATTAGCTGTTTTTTTTTATATAAATATTTATTTTCTTTATATAGTATTACTATTATATTAGTGCCTTCTGAACTTAGACTAATATATTGTCATACTTCACCATTGCTCCCAGATGACATCCGGCAGCACAGTCCGCATGACCTCCCAATGTCCTAGAGCACTCTTCTCGTGCCACTTGGCCAGGGCCGCAGTGTCGTTATTCCTCAGAACACTGGGCTCCTCGAGAGCCATGAAGTCCTTGTCAGACACCTCGTGCTTGGGGACAAGGAAATGCTCCCGGGTGCGGCTCTGGAGCAGATCTGCAGCAGTGGCCCTGCGGAAGGTAACGGGGCGCTCGGTCTTGACGCAGAATATGACCATGTTTGTAAAGTCGCGTTTCTCCTTCTCTATGACATCCTCATCGCGCTGATTTTCGCGGAAGATGCGGCAGGAAGGGAAGACCTGCTTAATAGTATGGACAATGATTTTGGGCGGTGGAAGTGTAAAATCCCCAGCGTAGTTCTGGGACCACAAGTCAGCCTTGAGAGCCCAGAGCAGTTAGGGCCGGAGAAGCCTGGGGGCTCGACTCACTATGGCGATGACGCCGTCGGGCTTCAAGAGCGCCTCAAGGTTCTGCAGGAACTCGAGCGTGAAGAGCGCTATGGGCTCAGCACCCCCAGTGAAGACGTCGTGAACTATGTAATCGAACTGGTCGGTGGTCGTGTTGACCAGGTCTGCCGTGTAGGTAACCGCATCGGCAATGACGGGCGTGTGATTGGACGGGAGTTGGAAGTATTTGGAGGCGAACTCGTGCACGACTGGGTCGATTTCAACCACCGTTGTATCTACCCCATGCGCGACGAGGGCTGCTGGCGTGGTGCCGATGCCGAGCCCACTAGAATTGGATCAGTTAACGACAGGGGGGCACGACGAGGCAGGGCAGGTTGCAGGTTGGGCACGCTCACATCACGAGGGCTCTGGCCTCACTGTCGGGGACAGGCTCCGCAACCTCAACAAGTCTCACGCCTTCGAGCATGGTAAAGACGCCGTAGATGGGCTCGGCGACTCTGGCGCCCTTGTATCGGATCCACTCCCCGCCGAGAAGGCTGTGGTCGCACCTCATGACGCGGTATCCGGTCTTGAGGTTGTCAGCGACGGATATGTAGCCAGTCAGGGACTCCTTCCGGTCATGCAGCAGCCAGTCGTTGGCCTGCAGAGTACTGTTCAAAGACCTCGTCGCCATTGGGGTCATGACATGGGTGTTGAGGAAGGCGGTGTGCAGCAGGGCGGGAAGGGTGAAGGCCAGCAACCGGGACGGGGCGACCAGGGCATAGGATGCACCCAGGACGGCCTCCATGACCACGCGAGTCTGGAAGATGGCGCTTCCGACGTACCGTGCCAGGAGGCCAGCAGACAGTTTCTCGACAAGGCGGTAGTAGAAATAGGAGGCGATGCCGGGCGAGGCATCGCGCATGAAGCCGGGGAGGGCAGACAGGTCGGCGCCGTCGAGGTAGGTAGCGGTGCAGGCAACAGACAAGACGATGAGCGGGGCCAGGGTGAGGGCCTCTGTGATGAGAGGGCCGTGGTAGGCAGTGAGGGTGCCGCTGAGCCCGAAGAGGTAGAACTGGGCGACGGGGATGTACAGGGCGATGAGCGGGAGCAGGTAGGCCATCCTGACGGGGAGCACACGGCCCAGGTGCAGGTTGCAGGCCCAGCCCACGAAGCAGGCGGCCATGACAAGCCTGTCGTGCCATATGGAGACGGGGATGGAGCCGTAGACGGGCGACAAGGTCAGCTCCGAGACATTGGCGTAGACGGCAACCAGGCCGAGGAGGAGGGAGGACCTCAGGTAGACGGAGCCCTGCTCGAGGAGCCACCTGGCCCAGGTCTCGTCCTTTGCCCTTGCAGCAAGGTTCTTGAGCTCCTTCTCGAAGGACTCGGGGGTGAAGGACGAGCCCGGGTCTATGTTTGGGGGCTGTTTTGGGGGCTGTTTTGGGGGCTGTTGCTGTTTTGACCTCGCAGATGATTTCTTGGGAGGCATGTTGGCGGCGGCAGAGGGGCGGCGGGCTTTGGTGTTGAGACTGCGGACGAGTGAGTGGTGAGCAGGACAGATATTGGTGTTGATTTGGTTGACGTGATGGGGGCGATGGTGGGCCCTGGGCGAGAACAGAACAGATGGCCTCCTGTCACGCCCTTGTCGTCGACAGGAGCAGCCTCGGATTGCAAGGTGGTCTGGTCTGGTCAGTCGAATGTTCAGTCTACACAAGGGGCAAAAATATGGACTGCAGCGTGCTGCTGTCTGCTGTGTATGTGCGTGGCCCTGCTGTCTGAAACGCCCGGCGGGCACCTCAGCTCTGCCATGTAAAACAAACGAACCACACACGTTGCGCACGCTCCCGTGGAGCTATGACCACCCTGCCGGGTCCCTTGCCCCTGCAATCTGTTGGTTACATAACTGTCCGGGTACCTGGGTACCTACCTACCTAGGTAGGTACTTAAGTAGTCTGCAAGTGCCCATGACGTATGAGCCAGACCACCCTTGGCTCATCCCCCCCAAAACCTTAATACAGCGGCTAAACCCGGGGAGGAGCAGGCGGGGGACGAGGTGGGAGGCCGGTCAAGTCGAGCATGGCAACAAGCTTCCCTCCCTTTAACCCCTTCAACCCTTTACCTTCGCTGTTACTCACTGCTCGGCGCTTCCTGTCAGTAACTCAAGATGGCCCCAATTGCTCAACAACACCAGCTGGTTGACCTCGGCCAGAAGAGCTTGTTTGGTTCGTTCATCCCTCCCTCCACCCCCCCTCCTCCTCCCTGCCCAACCGGGATCCCTCGTGGCTGACGACTCGGGCGTGGCCCCATCATCAGTCTCTGCCGCGGCAATTGCCTTCAACCCGACATTCTGGAAGTGAGTCGATGCTCCCTCCCCTCTGCACTCTGCCCCATACCTGGCTGCCTGGCCGACCAGCTGACGTCGCCCGTCCGCGTGCACAGCATTGTGGCCCGTCGCGAGTATCGCACCCGGTTCATGACCAAAGCATTCGGCGGCAATGCACAGGCAGCATGTTACTGCCTCGCCGCCACCATCTTTGGCCTCGGCCTGTGCCGTGACTTCCTCTACGAGCGTGCCCTCCGCCACCAGCCCACGCACCCCCTTCTCGACACCGACGTCGCCAACTACCTCGGCTACGCCCTGATCGCCGGTGGCAACATCCTGGTCCTCACCTCGACGTGGGCACTGGGCATCACGGGCACCTTCCTGGGTGACTACTTCGGCATCTTGATGGACCACATGGTCACGGGCTTCCCCTTCAGCGTCTGCGACGCCCCCATGTATTACGGCTCTACCATGAGCTTCCTCGGCACAGCCCTCCTGTACGGCCGACCCGCCGGCATCCTCCTGACTGCCTGGGTGCTCACCGTCTACCTCGTTGCCCTGCAGTTCGAGAACCCCTTCACTGCCGGGATATACGCCAAGAGAGAGCGGGAGACGGCCTCCAAGACCAAGACCGAGGGCAAGAAGCAGAAATAAGAGGCCGCGTCGGAGTGACAACGGGCGGGTCATGGCGGCAACTGCTCGGTGTGGTGCAGCGCATGGCGTAGGGTCCAGGGGGATCAAAGCAGAGCATGAGCGATGAGTGGCACGGCATGGCGGCGAGCAAGGGAGGGTGGATAATGGACCCAGGACACGTCGGACGGACGTGGTGGACGTGGTGGACGTGGTGGACGTGGTGGACGACTTGATGGCTCCCAAGGCACGACAGACCTGCTAGTAAGTACTTTAATGTACATGGGGATTCAGATTTAGATGCCACTATATGCCCTTTTTTAGAGCACAAAGAAACATGTGATGATGGGAGACGAAAGCCGGGGGGCAGACTGGGGGGCTTGGGTTTGTGCATGTGACTTGTGCGCCATTGGTTGAGTTTGTGGCAGTGGCAATGAACGGGCATGAACCGAGCTCGGACATGTCCTGATGCCGAGTCCGGGCCGTCGGTATATATGGTCTGGTCGGTGGAGAATGGCCGGCCTGGCCCGTCAATCCATCCGTCCCATCCTGTCAAAGCTCGGGATCAACCTAATCTGGGAGTGTCGTTCCTGCCATGACGCCAGGGACTTGGGTCCTCAGATCGCAGAGCCCGCTTGGGGCAAAGCGGTGCTCGGGACAATGCACACGCCGCCTAGTCTAAGACACTACCCAGGTACTAATAAATGCAACCCTCACACGGTGCAATACGCGGGGTTTCGGATTGCGCCTACATTTTCTCTTTCTCTTTCTCTGTCTCTCCCTCTCCCTCTCTTAACGCGCCAGGTCATGATAATACAAGAAGTGGTTGGTGCCAAGGACTTATTCTCTTCTTGAGAGTAATATCTGCACGTGGGACAGGACAAGTTCTTGCCCATGGACCCGCCCCGGCGCCCCGGCGCGCAGGTCGGAGATGAGGAAGAGACGTCCGCCGACCCGGCCGTCCTGTCCACGCCGCCGTCGACAGACTACAAGGCCGAGGCTGGGCCTCAGCAGCAACGTGAACCCGGGGCTGTCTACCCCAAGCGCCTGACACAGGTCTTGATACTGACCTCGTTATGCCTCTCCATCCGTAAGCATCACCGATGATCGGCTGCCCCTTGCTCCGCCGATGGCTGATGCCGGCTGCCGGCTGCCACAGTCCTCGTGGCGCTGGACCAGACCATCATAGCCCCTGCTCTTGGTGCCATCACGGCCGAGTTCGAGTCGGTCAAGGATATCGGCTGGTACGGCAGCTCCTATCTCCTGACCACCACCGCCCTGCAGCCCCTGTACGGCAAGCTGTACAACAGCTTCAGCGTCAAGGCCACCTACCTCGTCGCCGTCTTTGTCTTTGAGGTCGGCAGCCTCGTGTGTGCCGTTGCCCCCAGCTCCACCGCCTTCATTGTCGGCCGCGCAGTCGCCGGCATGGGGACAGCCGGCTTGTTCTCGGGCTCCATCGTCATCCTGGCATATACCCTCCCGCTTCGCCAGAGGCCTCTGGCCTTTGGGCTGATCGGGGGCATGTGGGGCATCGCGTCCGTTGCTGGCCCCCTGCTCGGCGGCGCCTTTACCGACCATGTGACCTGGAGGTGGTGTTTCTACGTCAGTGAGTCAGTCACAGCTGGTCCCAGCTGGTCCCCCGGGTCCCCGTCTGCCCACCGGTGAGTTGGCTGACATCGTGACGAGACCTCCCCATCGGCGGTGCGACCATGGTGGCCATCTTTTGCCTCCTGCACATTAAGGGTCAGAACAAAGGCGACCTGGGCTTCTGGGGCAAGATCAAGCACCTCGACCTCCTCGGCACCGCAGTCCTCATCCCGGCAGTCATCTGCCTGCTGCTGGCTCTCCAGTGGGGTGGCACCGAGTACCCATGGGGCAGCTCGCGCATCATCGGCCTGTTTGTCGGCTTCGGAGCCATGATCCTGCTCTTTGTCGGCATCCAGATTTGGAAGGGCGACCAAGGCACCCTCCCGCCGCGCCTGTTCAAGAACCGCAACGTGTTGTGCGCAATGTCGTTTTCGGCCTTTTTCGGCTCGGCCTTCTTCCCCCTCATATACTATCTTTCGCTGTATTTTCAAGCCATAAAGGGTGATGACGCCGTCGAGGCAGGCGTCAAGATCCTGCCGCTTCTCATCTCCACAGTCGTGACCAGTGTCCTTACCGGGGCACTCATCAGCGCGGTGGGCAGGTACAATCCGTTTGCCCTGCCAAGCATGCTCTTGTTCACAGTCGGCGCCGGGTAAGACTGTCCTGCATGCCCTTGTTGCCCCTTCCAGTCACCCATCGGGGCAAACGCACGAAACTGATGCGGCCAACAGGATGATTACCACGTTCTCACTCGACTCCCCACTCCGGGTGTGGTTCGGCTACCAGGTCCTGACAGGACTGGGCATTGGCGTCGGGTTTCAGCTTGGCATCCTCGTCGTGCAGGCGGTCCTTCCACACGGGGACATTGCGGTAGCCACCGCGTGCGTGCAGTTCTTCCAGTCCCTGGGTGGGGCCATCTTCATTGCCGTGGCGCAGACTGTCTTCCAGAATGGTCTGATCGAGGGGGTCAGGCGTGACGTCCCCGGATTGGACCCCCGGGTCTTCATAAACTCGGGCGCATCGCAGGTCAGGCAGGTGCTCGTGTCCATGGGCATGGAGCAGTACACCACGGCCGTCCTGAGTGCCTATCTGACTGGCTTGAGACACGCGTACTTTATCACCGTGGCATGTGCCGCAGCCGCTTTCTGTGCGGTCTCGGGTATGAGCTGGATCAACATCAAGAAGGTCGAGGCCCAGAAAGCCCCGCCTGCAAGCCAACCAGGCACCGTCGACACGGCGGAGAAGGATCCACAGGGGATCACATCGATGGCCTGAGCTACGGGTGATATGTGCCCAGTGCCTGGGAACTTCGGCCGCAACAAAGAATTACCGTCCTAGCCATAATGACCACTACAGCCTCTTCTAGTTGACACTGCACGCCGTGCTCGGGTGGGCGGGTAGGGGGGTTGGGTTGGGGGGGCAGACTTCTCCCACCGGATGTATGATACGTGTAAAGATAGAAAATGACTGTAGGTGTACTAGGTGTACAATATTGACTCGACTGGAGCACAGCAACCCAGGCAGGGGTTGGCCCCGATGATCCGTAAGGCAGCTTCCAAGCCCACATCCGGATCAAATGCTCCTGACCTGGCACTCGGCAGCGCACAAAGCTCAGATGGCATCGCAGTGTCGTCACTTTGACCACCGTGATGCTATGCTGTTGCTTGGGCCGAGGGCCGGCATCGAAGACGGATCTCGATGTATGAGCCGGAGCTCCCGGCCTTTTTTTGGGGGGTCCCAAGTGAGCCCCGGAGACGATTGACGGTTAAAGATGGGGTCAACCGCGTGGAACGTGTATGTGACAAATTGCATGGACTGTCGTGTCAGGACCAGAGTCTTGTGTGTGCCATGGTAGAGGATCCGATGGGGTACGGCTTATCTGTCACAAGACTGTAATTCCCCAGTTGCTGGCTTTGAGGCGACGGAGTGCCTATGCGGCGCCAGTAGGTGATGGGCCGGCCATGAACACCTTCCGGTGGCCGGACCCGATCCGATCATGCCGCCTCGCCCGATTTCCTCCACTAGACGTCCATTGGGTGTGTCGCCTCGGTTGGGCGCTGGCGCTGCCGGGAATACACGTGTAGTAAGTAAGTAGTTCCTGTGTGGTGCGTCTTCAGGGGTTCTAGGCAGTGACAGGTCACAGCCCTGGGATTTCCGCTCCCCATTGGAAAACTGTGCCCCCACTGGATCCGAGAACTCGCAAGGTACAAAGGGGCGTTGATCGAGATCCGCCCGCCCAGACGTGTTTGATGGCAGCTCTGGTCCCACAATGGTCCAATGCGGGGGGCTGCTGAGGGCTTGTAGACCAGCATAGGATCCATCTCGGGCAAGGTTTTTCGTGATTCATGAGGTGTTGGCTCGGAGTAAATGCTCCGGCAGGTCTGCTCCGAGGCCACCGCGGTGACAAGGTGATCAAGGTGATCAAGCACATGGTCCGGAGACAGTGTCCGATGTTGTCGATTTCCTCGCTCTTTTCGATCCTACTGCCCTTTTCCTGCTGCTGGCGACTCTGCCATCGTACCATTGCGGTGTCATCGGCCACAAGGCTGCGATTTGCCAATGTCTCGTCGTGAGAGCCGCAGGAGGCTGGACACGCGCTGGATACCCTCATCTCACCGACTTATAAATATGGCAGAATATACCATTGCCTTTAGAAGTTGGCCAGCGTGCGTAGGCAAAGCATAAGTGCCGCCGTTTCTGCCCCGGCTCAGAACCTCCTTTCAGCGACCGACACGCTCCCCGGGTCCCACCTGGTTCCGCTAATCGCAGGCAGACGGCCTGCAATCTGGCGCCGGTGTCTGATATTTCTGCAAGGCCTAGTGGTGTAAGTATGGTCCATCCGCAGCCGTCACTGGTACAGAACACCCTCTACTGACCCGGGTGGAAGCCCTAGCGAGCCCATGCCATAGGCTATCCCCGAGGGCTGATGATATACACATCCGGGGACCTGGCCCCGAGGCAAGAGACGAAAGAGAGAGAGAGAGAGAGAGAGAGAGAGTAAAATATTACAGACGACCTTTGAGCTGCCGTACAACCCTTACAAACCTGCGCCTGGAATAGTCATCCCCGTCAGCGTCCATGGCCCGATACCAAAAACCCACCGTGGAAGAAGAAAAGGACGAGAACAAGGACGGGGCCGTGGACAGAGGGACCCTGGACCAGGCAGGGCTGGCCAACCTTCTGCTACTGGCCAACCCGATGGAAGTGAGGCGGCCGAGAAAGAGGAAGCACCAACGGGACGGACTGCAGCCACTAGGCAAGAGAAGTTGTATTTCTACCACTTGCAGATGAGAACTGAGCAATAATCTAAAGACCTCGGGGCTGCCCAGGCCTCACCTGGTATGACCCGAGGCGGACGTTCACCAACTCATCAAGCCCCTGGCGCGGTCGAAGCCGCCCCTGAGTTGTTGCTCTGGCTTGACGACCTTGCCCTGAAGGACAGTGTACTTGACAATGCCCTCGCAGTCCTCGGGCTTCACCCTGGCCAGCCAGATGCACTGCCCGGCACCTGCATCTGGGCCGTCATCCTTGGTCGGGTCCCTCTTGCGGGGGGTTAGGCTCTCGCCGTCCTTGAGATTTACCCTCTCCAGCGCATCCAGCCCAAAGGGGTCCGGACGACGGTAGATGATGACATTTGCGCTGTACTTGTGCCCACCGACGTGGGAGATAAAGTAGATGCCAACGCCGCCGGGCCGCTCGTCGTCCAGATCACGGTACAGGCCGAGGGGGCGCAGATGCTGACCACTGGATTAGCAAAGGAGCGAGCGTGGGCGGAACAGGTCGCAGGTCGCGGGAACAGGGCACACGGATGCTTACCCGCTGCAGCTCCTTCTTGATGAGGGGTGCCGACTGGCCGCAGCGCGCGTCACGGGTCTTCTGAGAGCACAGCAGTATGAGGACAGAGTGCGGGCTTGGGTGGCTGGTCAGGCCGTGGAGCTTGGGTGCAGGGTCGTGCAGGCCTGGCGGCGGGAGGGAGGCTGGGATGGCGGCGGCGGAGACAGGCTCGAGGGCCGAGGTGTTGGTAGGCGAGCGGTTGATGTACTCGGAGACGAGTGCGGGGACGGAGGCGGGCGTGACGTTGTGGACGACGGCAAAGGCAGGCAGCAGGAGGAGCGTGGTTGGCTCCGAGTAGTCGCTGCTGTGGGTTGGGGTCGGCATGTTGGAGGCGGACAGCATGAGCCGCCCATTGCTCGGCTTGTCGGCCCTGTCGATGGCCTGCATGACGCTGCCCTTCTCGTCGGCGACATTATGCGACCAGTCCGACTTGCCCGTGGCGACCAGGACGTGGGTGCTCCACGCCTTGACACCGCCGTAGATGTCGTCCGTCTCCTCGATCTTGAAGCCCTTGGGGTAGTGTGTCGGGCAGTTGTCACAGTCCCTCAGGCAGTCCTCGCCGTCGACCTCGGGGTCGACCTTGGGGAAGAGCTCGCTGGCCGGTGCTCCGCCGCTCTCGCCGATGGCCAGCTTCTTGGCGCCCTTGACGAGCGACCTGAACATCTTCCACCTGGGCGAGGGCACCCTGTCTGCGTGCGTGGCTGGGACCGCGGATAAGGGCAGGCAGAGTAGAGTCCTGGGAGGAAAGCGAGCCGGGCCGCGTCCAAAAAGTCGAGGGGATCGGGGGGGTTTATTTCTTTGCAGATGCACGGTAGGCAGAGACTGTCTCTGTCTGCGTATGGTCGGCCCACGCACTCGCTGGACGGGCTCCGGCCCTTGCTTCGCTTACCCCGAGCCGACCATCCAGTCGGGTCTCCGACCCGTTGTAATTCACCGAAGTCGGCCGGGGTTGCTGTTCATGGTTTAAATAAGTTATGACCCGACCACCTGGGCGGCCCCCACGCCGCTTGACTCGCTCGTAAGTCCGAGTTCCCAACCGAGCTCCGGGCTGGCCACCAGCGTCTTGCCCGGAGATACGACATTCATCGCTTGTGTCATCACGGCCAAGAAGGAACACATCAATTAAAATGTCCAATTACATACATACCCATCGATCACGCTTACTACCTGCCCACGCTTACTGTTGCCTGCCCTCCGCTCCAGCCTCGCCGTCGCCGTCGCCGTCGCCGTTGTTGTTGTCGTCGTCGTCGTCGTCGCTCTCGCCGTCGTTGCTCTGGAGCTCGAACGCCTTCTTGCCCTCGCTCTTCCGTCTCCTCAGCTGCCCCCTCTCCTGCATCTCCTGCCGGATCTTCCTGCTGACCTCCGCCAGCCCCGCCTTCGAGTCCAGCGTGGTGAAGCCACTGACGGGGAACCCCGCCGACCCGATCGCGCCGCCCGAGCTGCTGCTCCTGCTCCCCTCCCGGGACGGGGGGCGCGTCGAGAAGATGCCCACCTGCCCGATGTTGCTGTACGACTCGTTCTTGGGTAGCCCCCGGCTGGACGATGTCGTGTCCCGCCTGGCGAGCGGCCGCGTCGGGCTCTCCGGCTCGAGCCCCGTGCTCGACATGTCACTGTCGCGCCGGGTGGTCGGCGGCTTGCCCGGCGTCCGAGGCCGCCCGTCGTCCCTGGTCGGGTCAGCCACGATCCGCGTCCTGTCAAAGTCTGGAAACATCTCGGGCCCAAGCTCGTTGATCACCTCGGTCACGCGCTCGCTCAGCTCTGCCCGCCGCTCCCTCAGCTGGTAGATGTTGTAGCTGGACGCCGGGTTGAGGCACATGACGAGGGGGCGCAGCGACTTGAAGATGTCCATCCCCACCTCCCCCAGCCGCAGCGCCGCAAAGGTGATGAGCGGGAAGACCACCCAGCCGATCGGGAACGCCGTCCACAGCGGGATCCATCTCGGCACGTAGTCCCAGTAGCCCCAGAGGCGGTCCGCGTAGACCCTCCAGACAAAGATGCAGATGTACGTGTTGTACAGGATTGGTGCAAACCCCAGGGCGGTCATGATCTTCCATGTCGCCATCACGTCGCGGCCCTGGATCTTGACAGAAGAGCCCGCCAGGGCCTCCCTGGCCTTCCGCACGCTGATGAACTTGGTCAGCACAAAGACGGGCGTGAAGAGGAGGAGGCCGGGCAGGGTGCCGATCAGGAGCACCAGGAGCTTGACCACCCTGTAGAGCGTGGTCAGCACCACGGTGTGTATTGGCATCCTGGCGTACTGGACCTGGTGGTCGCGCATGTTGAGGTACCGGAGCTGCTTGTTGTAGTCCTTGACCGCCTCCGAGAGCTGGACGATACGCTCGTCGTCCTTGTACTTCTCGTAGCCCATCGCCAGCCTCCGGTTCAGCTCGACGACATAAGGGAGGGGGAGCTTCTTGCCGGTGGGCTTGTAGAGCCGCCTGGCCGCCTGGATGAGCATGAGGGTATCGTAGTCGGGTGTCTGCACCGTCACTGCCGTCAGGCCCTGGTATACCGTGTCCAAGAGCTGACCGATTGCGTCCCGCCTCTGCCCGTTCTTGTACATCTGGACGAGCTCGCGGGGGATCTCCATGGGCTGGCCGAACTCCACCACCGCCCTCGACCGGAACTTGTGGGCGTGGAAGTAGTTCATGCCGACGGGCACTATCCTGAGGTTGATCTCGGGCGACTCGGCGAGAGCCCCGAGCGCCATGATGGCAACACCGGCCTTCAGGGGGAGGAGCCCTGTCCGGTCGTGGCTGCCACCCTCGGGGAATATGCCCACGCAACCCCCGGACCGCAGCCGGTCAAACACTGCCTCGTACACCTTGGTCTGGTCAATGTGAGGGGCCAGCTTGTACGGGGTGCCATTGTAGCCGTCCTTGATGCCCCTGAAGTCCCTGTTGGTGAAGTTGCCGGATTCGTCGATGTCGTCGCGCGCCGTCAGCTGGAAGGCGGCCAGCTTGGTCTTGAAGGGCCTCTTGACGCGGATCTCCTCGGGCCCGTGGATCTCTGCAATGTCGACGCTGGTGCTTGCCTGGCCCTTGGCAGAGGGCAGGAATATCATGCCCCCGACCTCGGCGTCCTTTTCGAAGTTGGTGCCGATACCCCGGACCAGGGTCGGGTCTCCCACGGGGTCAGGGAGGTACACGGTGCCGCTCTTGGGGACGGCAGCGTCTTGGGCGCGGCCGACGGGGACGGCGCCGGTCTGGCGAGAGGCCCAGCCAATGAAGCCGTGGACGGATTTCTGGGCGACGAGGAGAGAGACACGGCGCTTGGCCTCCTTTTTCAGGGTTCGCTGGAGGATCAGGGCGTCGACGAACTAGAAACATTGCAGATGGGGGGTCAGCCATCAGCCATCAGCCACGGGGCGAGGGGTGGCCTGCTCACCTGGTTGGCGTGGGGCGCGGCGACAAACAAGACAGGCCCTTGCCTTGGGACCTTCCAGGAGCCTCTCGGGTGGACCTCGCGGAAGAAGAGATCGACAAAGATGGACATGAACCACAGGAAGGTGTCATATTTCCTGTTGCTCATGGGGTAGAGCTCGGTGGCGAGCTTCGGGGAGGCTGCGCTCTGGGGCGGCGCAGGCAGGCTGGAACCTGCAGCCGGGGCAGGGGCCGAGGCCGAGGCCGAGGCTTTGTCGGAAGGCATGGCTGCAGCTGTTCTCTATGGGGCACGCAGGATGGCGGTGCTGTTGTGCGTGCGATTGGGAGAGTCGGCGGCGTGGGGGGGGGAGGCGCGACCCGGGGCGGCGGGAGCAGGACTTTTGTTTTGCAGTGTTGTGTGGGGTGCTGCTGATCCAGCTGGGCAGTGGACTGATGGCAGCCGCTGCCGAGGCCGACGATGGGGTGGGCTGTCGCGAGCAGCCGGCAGGGTACGGCACGATACGAGCTCGGAGATTTGGTCTCTTCCTAGCCAGACCTGACGGCCATGTTCCAGTTGCAAGCAGTAGGCAGTACCGAGTGGTCGGCGGCGCGAAGGCGAAGATGGGCCAGGCGTCGAGAGGGCAACATGTGCTCCGTACGAGCGGAGCAGCACATGCGGTATCAACAAGTACCTAGGTACCTGTCATAGAGAGAGGTCAGGTCCACCGTCGTGGCGCTTGGGCTCTGGGTGGATCGGGCGGTTGTGTTTTTTTCTACGAAGTACCGTATTTCATTTCTATTTGAAAAGAGATCTATAATCAACCAAGTGACGTGACAGGACAACAGGCCACGCACTCCCCAGGTGGGGTTCCCTCGCTCTCGGCCACCCTCGCCGTCTGGCCGTCTGGCCGTCTACTAGTATGTGCACTTCACTCAGTCACTCACCTTGCCAGCTCGCCCGGCCAAAGCTCAATCCTGGCAGCTCCCTACCCAATAAGTACCTACTGCATGGATGGGCCACCCTGTCCGTGCCGATCCCCAACAAAAGCTCCAGCACCTGGGATGCATCTAGAATCTGCACTGCATCCTTCCTATCACTGCTGTGCAGCCTCATCCTTGCCGCGACTCAGATTGCCTGGTTACCTCCTGCCCTTGAGTCGCCCATGTGGGTGGGCTTGGTGCTGGGTTTGGTCGGCGGAATTCCAGACCTGGGGAACCGTCCATGACTTGCTTGCTTTCCAACAGCAGACCCGCGTCCTGTGCGTTGACCTGCCCTAGGCACATCTTGGAGAGCGTTGGGCCATCGGCCGAAGCCCAGGCGAGCGCCATTTGTGTGTGTGTGTGTGTGTGGGAGAGAAACCCCATTGCGTACGCTGGACAGTTGCGCCATTTGTTTATTATTTGCCTTTCCCCTTTCCCCTGTTCTTGCCCTTGCCCCGGCCCTTCTTCTCAGGCACGCTGGCATCGCCCCCCTCGAGCTCCTCCTGCGTTACCTGGCCCTGCTGCTCCATCTCCTTGAGCTTCTCCTGTCCCGAGATAAACAGCGTGAGGTCGTGGTTCATGTCCTTCTGCTCTGCAACCTCCCTGCTCAGCTCCTCATTCTGTGCCCTGCATGCCTCCAGCGCCCGGTTCACGTGCTGCACCTTCTCCAACAGGCCCTCATTGATCTTCTTCTCCTCCTGAAGGGACTGGCCTAGCTTTCTTGCCAGTTCCGTCGACCTGTCACCGCGCTTGCGCTCACGCTCAAGGTCCCGCTCTAGCTGCGGGATGACCTCGCCCTTGAGCGTGCTGTGCTCCTCCTCCATGACCTGGAGCCTGCTCAGCGCCTCCGCCGCCTGGGAGGAAGCAGCCTCCGCCGCAGCAGACGCCTTTGCCGCCTTGTCCGCCGCCTTGCTGATCATCTCCTCAAAGTAGGCCCGCTGGCTCTCTAGCTGGCTGGACAGGAGATTGGTGTACTCCATGCCGATGTTGTCCAGCTTCGCGCGCGGCACCACGTCCAGGTCGGGCCCCGCCTGCCTGTCCCCTTCGCGCGCCGCCATGTCGGTGCTGGGGAACTCCACCACCTTGCCCTCGCCCTTCTCACGGATCAGACGGTGAACCCACATGTCGCCTGCGTAGTCCCACACGTGCTGTGTCTCGAGCTCGAGGCTGAAGCAATGTGCCGTCTCCTTCCAGTGTTCCTTGGCATGCCCCCCCTTGTACCGGCCGCAGCCCACGTTGCCGCAGATCAGACATATCCACAGGTCATCCGTCGTGTCGCACGTGACGCAGATGTTGGAGATGCCGTGGCCAAAAGGGTGCGAGTACGGGTCGCTGGGGTCGGCCGACTGTTGAGCCGGGTTCGTGGCCCTGCAGACGGGGCAGCCCGACCCCATCCATGACTGTAGGCAGGTGCAGTGGAAGATGTGCTGACACGGGATGGTAATGAGCCCCGAGGTGTCGTCCATGCGCTCGAGGCATACCGTGCATGTGGGTAGCTCGACGAGGTCAGGGGTCGGGGGCGGGAACGGCTTGAGCGAGCTGAGATGGTGGGTGACTGCTGAGCTCTTGGACGAGCCCGCCTCGGGCTGGGACGGCGTCTCGATCGTGATGGATTTGATGAAGGTGACGTGGCAGATGCCCTCCTCCTGGGCCGGAGTCAGTCAGTAATTGTTGCCGCCCGAGGGAAGGGGGGCAGGCCCCGACCGAGCCAACCCCAACCAAAACTTACACGCACGGGGCCGAACGTCTTGCCGTCGAATTCCTTCCTCCAGGCTTCGGCCGAGTGGTGATCCCGGCACTTGATCAGAACCATGTAGGTGCCGAGGGCGCTGGTCATGAGCATGCGGTAGTGTGCCACCTGCGGCATCCACTTGCGCCCCACGAAATTAAGAAACCCGATGGGCGATAGGTAGCCCGGGACAGCGGGGATGCAGAGAATGGTGCCGTCGCCGCCGCCGAGGCTTTCGGTCGATGTGCTCGCGAGGCCCGGCTCGTGGGGCTCGTGGGGCTCGCGGTAGAGATGCACTATCCCCCAACCAGCCTCTGTCTTCTTGCCAGTCAGGGGCACAAACTCGCCCTTGGTATCGGTCCCCGGGCCCCCAAGATTTGGCCCCAGTGACGCGGCCGGGGAAGGGTGAGCACTGCTTGCCATGGTGGGACAGGACTGCCCAGGGCCTTGGCCGTGAAAGCCGTCGGGCACGTCGAAGCTTTCTATGCTGATAGATCCAAAACGCCAGTCTCTGGCCGCTGAATGAGGTCCAATACCGCTCAGGTGGCCCGGGGCTGGAAAGCTCCTTGACCTCTCCCGGCGCCTTGCCGTGCTCGGTAACCCGGTATCACCGTCCTCCTCGCCGGCCGCGGGGGGAAGCGGCCTACAAGTCCCGCAGTCGATCACTCTGGCAGGGGCACGGTGAAGAAAGTGGCGGTCCTCTGAGGGCAGGTATTGTTCGAGCTGGTCGATACTCCTTTGTTTCTCGCGCTTCTTCGAGGAGCCGGAGGTGGCAGGGTCGCTGCGGCGGTCGGGGTGAGGTGGTAGGATGTCGAAGATGCTGGACCCCACGTCCGGATGCCAGATGACAGGCCCGCTTGAGCTGCCAGCGTGTGCGTCACGGATCGTTTGGTTGGCCGACAGGGGGTCGGGGCTTGGGTAGAGCTCGATTTTGAGATGGTAGGAATAGGAATGCATGCTCCGTCCGGGCCCACGAGAGCTCTTGGTGCCCAGGACAAAGTGCCGCGACGGCGTGCCGGTCGTCAAAAGTACGTCGTGCGTTCTCAGGGCGGCAGGGACTGCCTCGTTCGAGAGTGACAGGTCAAAGCTATACGGGGTTGAGTCATCCTGCGAGACGGCTTTGCATGCGAGGAGGGGAGATGGTCATGGTCGGTTTTACTATGGAGCACACGACTGCGAGTTCCCAACTGGGCCGTGACTTCTAGAATTCGGAGGCGACACGACACGTCAGGGGGCCGGACTCCGGCGGTTGATGTGGGTGGGTATGACAAATGATGGCGGGGGAGCAAACAGATAAACAAACTCTATACGTTGTAAAGTGTATCTGCCGGCTCGAACATGCAAGTTGTCGCGTCACGGAAGCCGACGCTCTCATCACACATAGGCAGGCATCGCTGGTATTCATAGAAGGTTGCAGGCACGGGGCTTTTTTTTTACAGGTGGAGACATGTAGTATGGGTTGTGGTATTTCGTTGTCTCAATGCGGAGGTGGGGCAAACGCCAACCCCGCTAAACCGTGAACAGCATTATGAGATGCGCTAGCCGCCCCTCTCAGTAATCCGACCATTATGGCAGTCCAATCCGACCACGGCCTACCATGGCCTGCCTGGCTGCCTCGGCCGCTCCATATCCTTCCTTCCTTCCCAACTGAGGGCCAACCGATTACTCGCCACCACGGAGACGAAGCACCAAGTGCAGCGTTGACTCCTTCTGGATGTTGTAGTCAGACAGTGTCCGGCCATCTTCCAACTGCTTGCCAGCGAAAATGAGACGCTGCTGGTCTGGTGGAATGCCCTCCTTGTCTTGAATCTTGGACTTAACGTTGTCAATCGTGTCTGATGACTCGACCTCAAGCGTGATTGTCTTTCCCGTCAGGGTCTTGACGAAAATCTGCATTCCACCACGGAGGCGGAGGACCAGGTGAAGCGTGGATTCCTTCTGGATGTTGTAGTCGGAGAGGGTTCGCCCGTCCTCAAGTTGCTTTCCAGCAAAGATCAAACGCTGCTGGTCAGGGGGGATACCCTCCTTGTCCTGGATCTTGGACTTGACGTTGTCGATAGTGTCGGAGGACTCAACCTCGAGGGTGATGGTTTTGCCGGTGAGGGTCTTGACGAAGATCTGCATACCGCCACGAAGACGGAGGACGAGGTGGAGGGTAGACTCCTTCTGGATGTTGTAGTCGGAGAGGGTGCGGCCGTCCTCGAGTTGCTTGCCGGCAAAGATAAGGCGCTGCTGGTCAGGGGGGATGCCCTCCTTGTCCTGGATCTTGGACTTCACATTGTCGATGGTGTCCGAGGACTCGACCTCGAGGGTAATGGTCTTGCCGGTGAGGGTCTTGACGAAGATCTGCATGGTGACTGACTGTGTTGATGCGGTGGAGATGACGTGATGTGGGGGATGTTGATGTTGATGGTCTGGGTTGACAGAGGCGATGGTTGAATGGGTGCCTGTTGATGCAAGATGGTGTGTTTGTAGGAAGATGGATGGGAGACGCGACAGGTTAGGTCTTGGGGGATGGATGGTTTAAGTAGGATGGGGAGGGAGACGGCCGTGCTTTGCAGACGGATGTTGGTGGAAAGCGGAGGAACGAGGCCCCTTGTCACTCGTTCCTGCCTTAAAGTGGTGGGGGCAAGGCAGAAGGCAGGCCAGACAGGCCAGACTGAGCAGATTAGTGGGTCTGGCAGGCAGATAAAGGGGGAACGGGCCAATCAGAAGGCAGGCACAACAGCGGTGGTTTCGCCCGCGTGATTCATCAGCGGGAGCTTGGCCCCGGCGAGTGTGGGCGAGGTGGCTGGAGGCAAAGCAGGTGAAGCTTATTAGTAAGGCGGCCACGGAGCATCTAGAACGAGGGAACTGCTTCCTGTGCAGTGTCTGTCTGTCTTGTCTGTCTTGTTGGCCTTGGCTTGAATGCTCAGGAGAATGCGAGTGCGGTCCCGAGGGGGCGGCGGGCTGGACGGACCACGCATTGCGTCACTGCCCGTTTGTCACATGGAAGAGTCGATACGGAGCAACTCACTGGGCTTCACAAGTCATCGGGCAGCCTGCATTCAGCATCAGAGGATGCCGCCGGATAAAGGTGCTATCGTCTAAAGTGATTTTGTCTCGAGCAAGACACGCTGGCGGTGCGTGCGGCGGCGCCGTCGTCGTCGTCGTCGGGACCGTCAGCATGCCCCAGCCCCCGGCAGACCCGACCGACGTCACGCCCCTAGGCCGGGGTTGAGGCGCCCCGCCAGCCCTCGCAACAACCCCTGGCCTGGGCCCCGCTCGTCGTCAACTGCAGAGACCACGTCCCTTTTTGTGCCCATCAAGCACATACTACAGTATCGGCAACCGCCGCCCTCCAACAAATGCATCTTGGTGGACAAGCTTACTGACCGCAGCAAAGTAAGCTTATCCCTATGCACAAGGATGACGATGCATAAATCAAGACTGGTTCCCCCTCCGCTTCCCCCCTCCTTCCCGTTGTCTACCTACCTAGGCATACATCGTACGGAAAGGGGGCTTCATCATCCTCACACACACACACACACACGCACACACACGAGGCCCCCATGAGTCGCTTCTCCACGCTCACACAACCTTCTAACTATCCTGCCCTTTATGTGACCCACCCGTCCGGCGAGTTGAGAGCCCGGCTGCCCTGCAGCTGCCCTGCAGCTCGCCCAGAACGGCTGACTGCCACGTCCGGGCCCAGTAGCGGTGAGACTGCATCCCCCCTCCTCTCCCCGTCCCACAACAGCCGGGGCAGCCTCTCGGGGGCGCGGACCAAAGGGACAGAGCGCCGTGGTCTCACGGTGGCCCCTCATCACACTACTATTGCTGCCACCACAACTTCAGCTCTACTCGGAGGAATGCGCTTCTGCGTGCGATTTGAAGTGTTCGGTAATGAAAAGGACTCTTATTGTTCTCTAGTAGATAGCTACACATCGTTTGAATTCGACACGGCAGGTTGGGCGAGGGCTGTCCCGCGAGGAACCAGGTTGCAGACAAGCCTTGGGCCCAAAGACTTGTCCCCTGCCGCCACTGCCGCCCACTGTAGCGTCGAGGAAGCCGCGAGGGCAAGAAGTGTACTGTACTGTAAATAATGTTGCCATCATGTCGTTCGAGGCATGAGCCTGTCATAACGAACGCCGTTTTCCCCCGATGCCGCTGTGCACGTATCTATGCCGTTTGAGGTCACGCCAACGAGCCCTCCCTCTTCATCATAAAAGTTTTGGTCCGAACCCCGACGGCGGGGAACAGAGGTTCAGTCGTACAAAGTCGTTTGTGTCGTCAATTGGTCGTAAGCGTATGCTTCCGGCGCGTGAGCTGAGCGTCATGTCGTCGCAATTGTGGCGGTGACCGGCCGAGTGAAGAAATTGCAGCAAATCAAGTAAATCAGTAGTAAATCGCAGAAACGCCCTCGCTTGTAATGCCCGACAGATAATAGAACCACACAACCACCCAAGGAAAATACTGCCTCGCCCTCAAATGCCACTGGTGACTGCCCAACCCCTCCGACATATTGGCAGGGTTGCTGTGGCGTCACTGCAGTATAGAGAACACCAAGACCACCAAGACCACCTAGTTGGAGCGAATGACCAGCTTGGATAGGAATTTGTTCGACAAAGAGTCGAAATCATCCCTATCAAATTTGGTATCTGGCCGAGTCCTCAGATATGCCTCTGCAAATGACGTTAGTGACCGCAAAGAGACACACGAGACAGAAAGTGTTGGGGAGGGGGGTTAGGGCTTACCATGCTTCATAACATGCTGTCGGACTTCAGTCATGGCCTCGCAGACCGCTTGGTTGTTGTTGAGCAGCTGGCCGTGTCTCCGTGTGTCCCACTCGGTGAAGGCAGGCAGCTTCTGTGATATGGCGTGGAAAAGGCCGACGATGACGCCGACGGGGATCGTCTCCATGTCGCTGCAGAACTTGTTGACGGCAACGGGGTCCGGGACGCGGTAGTGACAGTCAAACTGCATCTCCTCCCAGACTGCCAACAGTATGGACGCCAGCATGAATATCGTGGGCCAGTTCTTCAGGCGGTCTCCGCTGTAGACACTGGAGTAGAGCGCCGAGAGCTCCTCCAGGATGTCCTTCTGCAGCTCCCGCCACATGTCGGCCATGGCACACTTGATCTGGAAGTTGATCATGACGGGTGCGACGACCTTGCCAAAGTACTTGGAGTCCTCGTCGTCGATGGTGCCGTCCAGCTGCTCCTCGGAGCCCTGCTGCTCTACCATGGTGATGTGCAATGTCAGGTTGTAGGCCAGCACGAGCTTCAGCGCCTTGCGGATAACCGGCATCCTCTCCTTCATGTAGAAGCGGTGAGCAGTCTTGAGGATTTCCGTGATAAAGGGCGTGCCCTCGAAATGATCGTCGATGAATGTCTCAAACGACTGGTCGATATGTTTGTCAAGGTACTCGGAAAGCGCCTCCATGGACACGCCATCACGGCCGACATCCAGCTTCTCGGTCCTTATCTCGAAGTCGATGGGCTCTTGGTCCTCGAGATGAGACTCGACCCAGTCGACCTGGAAGCAACTCTCGTCCGCGACGAAGACCTCGCGGACCATGACGGGTAGGCAGAAGCCATAGCCGTGTGTGATCCACATCAGCGTCTCCTTCTGCGCAAAGCCCTTGACGTTGTAGACAGACACCCCGCGGTCAAGGTGCCTCTCGTAGTCGGCCTTCCAGTCCTTCATGAAGAAGCCTATGTCCTTGATGTCGATACGGGTGCAAGGCACCTGCCAGAGACGGGCATGGGAGGGCTGGCACCCAGCACAAGGCTCTCCCTTGTCACACGTCTTCTTGAGGAACTTGCATCGCAGGCAGGCCCGCAGCTTCCTGATCTCGCTCGCCTGCTTGCGCTGTTCGGGCAACAGGGGGCCCCTCCGCCTGCCCACCTTCTTCTCACCAGTTCCGTCCTTCTTGCCGTTCGACGTCCTCCGAATGACGGCCTTGGCCTGGCTGGGCTTGGCGATGGGGCTCTTCCTGGGGGCCGTGGTCCTCCTCGCCGGCGGCGAGACAGAGGGCTGAGCGCTGGTGGAGCCGACGCCGGAGCCGCTGGAAGGGCTCGACCGACTGCTGGGCGTGGTCTTGATGGGGACTGGGGTGACAGCAGCAGCAGGGCTGATCAGCTCATGGGTGTGGTGGTGGTGGTGGTGGGCGTCTCCGTGGAAGCAGTTGCGGTGGTTGCTGTTGCTGTTGTTGTTCTCGGCGTACGAGTCGGACCCGGGCGAGAAGGGTGAGTAGGGGAAAGGCACCTCCTCGTAACTGCCAAACTCCAGCGAAGTGCCGTCTGACTGGGACGAGTCAGAGTTGGTGCGCAAGTGCAGTGTCTGTCCCGGGTTGAAGACGTTCTGGGCTTGTTGGGTCTGGGAAAACGAGTCAAAGTTGGGGTGGTACATGTCGACCATGGCCCAGCCGTTGTCGCTGCCGGAACCAAGGGACAAGACCTCGAGATAAGTGCCGGTAGGAGAGTTGCTGCCCATGCTGCCCACACGAGGTAGGCCGTCAGCAGGCATGTGCATGGCGGCCTCGAAATCCTGCCAGTTGGCCATGCCCGTGCTCATATTGGCAGTGCTCAAGTCCCACGGCATCGGCTGTTGCCCCTCCTCCACGGGGGAGATCTGGTACGTGGACGGATCCGCCTGCTGCATGCCGGTGCCCAGCGCACCTTGTGCGTTCGCGGGGAGATAGCCTATGGGCGAAGGCTGCAGGTTCGCCAGAAATGGGTTGAAGGTGATCATGGCGGAAGAGTCCTGGATGAAGTGGGACAGATCCTGTGGCTGAGGCTGGGCCTGCATGTGCTGCTGCTGCTGCTGAAAGGTCCAGTCTGCGATCATGGAGGGCGCGTGGGGGAGAGCAGCGGTGGTGTAGGGGGCCTGGGGCGAAAGCTGCTGCTGGTGAGGACTTGAGGCGGTCGAGCTGTGGTGGCCTATCGGGGACTGGCCATGCGGGGACTGTGCCTGTTGCTCTTCCGGAGACGAGGCGGCGATGGTGTGGGTGTTGGGAGAATGCATTGAGACGGGCGAGACGCCTGCGGCGGCGGCGGCGGCCATGTCTAGGGGTATCTGCCAGTTCCCCGAGGGGCTCTGGCGGCTGTGCTGCTGGACCATGGCGGTGGACGTGGTGGCCGGTATCGAGTTCTGCGAGACGCCGGTGGTGGTGAAAGCCGCGTATCGTTCCCGTGGGTCGTAGCCGAGCTGTTCCAACAAGGCAGCCTCTCCTGCCTGGCCGGCGCTGAAGTCGAATGTCATGGCTGGCGGGGTGTTTTGGGGGTCGGGAGGGCGGAGGAGGAGGGCAGACGGACTGGGGGAAGAAGGGATTGGCGATGCTCGATAATATTGTACTGTTTGTGTGCGGCGAGGGCGGGAGTCAGGACACCGCTCTTTCCGACAAGGCCTCGAGCAGAGACCGGAGGGATGTCAGAGAAGGGTCATGAGCTGCGCGAGCAACCGTTGACCTGGACCTTGGGGCCTTGGGACCTGGGACCTGGAACCTGGGCGGGAGGAGGATTAAAGCAGGGCTGCTAAGATGGGAGAAACTCGGTTGACCCCGGGTGGATTGTGAGAGGGAGAGGGAGTAGCCGAGGTGGGTGGGAAGGGTGGGCGTGTGCGAGCGATGTCTCTCTCTCAAGTTCAAGTTCAAGTCAAGGTTGGGCTGTTCTTGTCCGTCGACGTCAAGACATAGAAACACACACACCACACGCAGACACACGCAGACACACGCAGAAGGGCAGACAGACGGGCAGAATGACGGACACGCACGCACACACACGCACAATGTCTTCGGTCGTCTGGTATACTCGGTAGGGGGGGTTTGTTGGAAAAAGAGCAAGACAAGAGGGGGGAGAAAAATGAGAGAGGGAGAGAGGAGGAGATGGAGCCGAAGAGGGCCAGAACAAGACGACGAGGGACGAGTGAGTGAATCTCTTTTCTCGCGTCCCCTCCCTGGTGCAGCGCTGCAGTGCTGCCGTGTCTGCGTCTTGGGTCTGCGGCTGCGTCTGCTGTGGTTCGTTCTGGCGCTGGTCTCTGTTGCAATGGGGATGCTCAAGTCCCGCACATCACTCTCGTCTCTGGTCGTTGAAGAAGCGGTGAGCGTGCAGCACTAGTAGCACGGCCAATCCCAGCCTCGACATGAATCAGACCAGGGTGCCGGCTCCACAAGCTTCGAGAAAGTCTCTTCGCGCCTTCTCTGGGGCGAGAGGGACTTTGGGCCCCCTCTGCCGGGGTCTGCTGGCCCCAGCCGCCAACTGATTGGTGCCCGTTGCAGAGCCCAGAGTCCGGCCTGCTCCTCGCTGCAGTAGAGACTGGACGGCTCCACCCAAAATCGGAGGCCGGGACGCCCACACTGCACCAAGCCACCTACGGATCCGTGGAGCACGGAGGGGGGGGACTTTGCACCTGCCCTGTTCGCACTGTCCTCGAGACCCTCCTTGCCCCCGTCTCTTCTCTCTCTTGCTCCTCTGCTAAGGTGGCGCCCCTCCCCGCTGTGCTACCATAGCCCATCACCTACCATGTACGGAGTAGTAGTCTATCACAGACATTCTACTATCAGACTGTTTGACTGTGTATGCAGCATCCCTCCTGCCCTCCTGCCCTCCTGCCCTCCAAGCCGGGCGCACGAGTTGGGGATGCTTAGCTGGCAGCGCTGGCTGGCTTCTGGCACAACTTGAAGTTGTAACCAATTGTCTTGCCTGCCGCCGAAACAGGATTTGGACAGCATGAACACTGCCAACATACCACCCACCACCCACCATCCACCAGTCAGTCATCTGAGCCAGCGGGTCACGTCGTTCTGAAACCCCCGACGACGACCCTTTGCTGGGGGACTAGGACCCGACCTTGCAGGAGAGCAGGAGAGCTGGAGAGGATGAGTTGGCCCGGCCCAGCGGCACAGTATGTTGTCCACAACAGTGCTACGGTTCAGCGTCAACGTCAACGTCAACGTCTCAGCTGGCCACACTGCCCACAACGGCCCTGCCTTGGGATGTTCAGGATGTTTGGCGATGGGTTGGTTTTGTGGGCTGTGGGCTGTGGGCTGTCTGTGGTCTGTGGTCTATGGTCTCTGATCTTAGTAATGCCGCCATCACACCCGCGTTGATAGTGCTGATCCTGTGAGACACCGTCGGCACAACCCTACCTACATCCAGGCCAGAAGCTACCCGTCCAGCCCGTCCAGCCCGTCCAGCCGTCTCGCAATCTGTTGCCACCCTGTGACACCTTACCGGCGAGCATTAGGAGTACACAGTAGTGATTGCACAAGACACACCCACACACCCACACACCCACACACCCACAAGAACCTACTCGGGCCCATCGAGAGGCAATGGTCATTGTTGATTGAGGTATGACATTGAGAGTTCAGATTGCGGCGCCAGCCGGTGCCGGCAGATCAGTTGACGACGTTGGGGTTGCCCAAGGTCGATCATTGTTTCCAACATTGAATACCACAAGCGGCCGGACGGCCCACGGAGCTAGCTGTCAGCTGTGTAGCTACGCAGTACTCACCCGCCAACAACCAACCCGACTGCCCATCTCGGGTGCCCTGGTTGCCTGGTTGCTCCAATTGCCCTGCCAGCCCTGCCAGCCCCGCCCACGCTCCTCTCCAAGGACCCGTGCTCAGCGTGTCGCGGCATCATTGCGTCAGATGTCCTGCCGACTGTGTATGTAGTAATGTTACAGTAATAAAGGGCGAGTTTCGCACCCCCAGTGTCGCTCCCATTCTCGTTGATGGCCGAGAGCTCCATAGGATGGAGAGAATAGAAACAGGCCATGCGGGTTCTTGCCTTGCGCAGGTCTCCGTCCGAGGGTGGAGCTGTGGGGTGAAGCATCGTGTTGTCATGCCCCTCGCCAAACCGCACGGCACAATGGTCATTGTGATACTACGCAGTAACAGGACAAGCACGGCCAGTGAGTGGGCTTGAGAATCTGGTCGACGCCGGGGCCATTATCTCTTTGCCAAATCTGGTCTCCTATGGGCCCGAGGCTGGGCCCGAGGCTGGGTCCGTCCGCAAACGGGGGTAGAGTGTGCCAGGCAGAAGTTAGAACGACTCTGCTAGCAGTCCCCACCAGAGAGGAAGAGACTAGGAGATGATGCAGAAGTAACCACACAGTGAGAGAGCCGGCCAGCCCAGGTAGACACGGCAAGTGTCGGGTCTGCAGGACCCGTGTATATTCGCATCGTATCATTGCTCAGTCCAGATCGGCCTGCCGGCCATGACGGTTCATCTTGCTCCTTGAGTGGCCAGAGCCCTGGACTCGCATGCTGCGTGGCAGCTATTCGTTGGACGGCGACGGACAAGCCCTGATGCCCCTGCACCCGTCAGCCATCCTATTCTTCCCCACGCCAGCACCCGCGCCATTCTGTGCCAGGCCATAACGGGTAAAAACCGTGCGCATCACCGTGCGTGCGCTGTCACCCAGACGGCTCTCGAAAGACCTGCCGCCTGCCTACAGAGTGTTCACCTAATATCGAACAACCCTGACCCACGTCCATCTATTAAGTTCAGCGAAGACCCTGCTCCGAAGTCCCCTCCTTCTTCCCTGGCGTTGCTCCTCATCCGAGAGCTTGAGCGGGGCAGCCTGGCGCTACGATGGCATATGCTAGACCATGCTCGGCGACACTGGGAACACTGAGAACGCTTCCTCAGTGTCCTGAGTGTCCTGAGTATTGTGCTCTATCTGCCCCATATATGCTGCAGGCAACGTACGTACAACGGCGATCTCTGTCAGACTCAAGTTCCCATATAGGCCGACGAGGCTGCCAGGTCGGCACGGCTGTCCTGGTTCGCCAGTCTGTCTAGGCGGGCTCCCGGCGGCCACAGAGCGGTTGAATCGGGATAGTGAGGCTCAGGGTCTTGGGATGCATCCTACTCCATAGAACGGTGGGGTTGTGGTGCTGGCAACGCATGAGGGGCATCTTCGCGTCGTGTTGCCCCGTTCGCAATCGACTGCGGCTGCTGGGCCTCAATCCTTGGGCCGGAGATCGATCCATTCTTGATCGTCTGCAGGCGACGAAACGCCGTGATGGTCCGGGCTCTCGATTCGCGCCGCGCACTAGAGGCCATCGTTGTAACTGACCGCCGTTTACCCGTTGTCTACCGGTAGCTCTAGCAACTACTACCATGTACTAGGTGGACAATGGGATTGTCGACGGGGGCCAGGACGCCCCACCGTCACGGGAAACCAAGACAGGGCCGGTAGCTTGTTTGCCAGGCAGGCCTGTCGAGAGGCTCGCCCACGCGCATGCAGTAATCAAGCACGCAAAAAGGGGCTGCGTAGCCAGCCGGGCTGCCGGTTTGACTCTGCTGGGGAGCAGTGTACGGGGTTAGAGGCACTGCTAGTCAGAGGGAATACCGCAGTTGGCAGCGTACATCACAGGCGTACATACACATTCGGGATGTTCCCAGGGAAGCCCCTGACGGACGGGATATGGTGTTGCTGAGCCGCACTGCACAGGCTCAAGGACAGTGCTGCAGTTGCCATTGAGTTTGGGAGGTTACGACCCTAAAAAGATCACAAAGGACCATGTCCCGTCCTCGGTTGCCGCGCACGTCTCATCAGTTGGTCTGGCGCAAGGATCAGGACGAGGGTCTCGAGGTCTGAGCACCTGTGGGCCTTCCTCTCCCCATCCATGAGCGATCTACTAGTCGCATGCATGGTGACTACACCATACGTGCCGAAGCGGGACAAGCTGGACCAGACGACTCGCTGGACAGGTTGGTCCCTGTTGGCGAGACTCTCCCCGTGCCGAACTGATGCTGCTTCGTGCCTTGACGATGTCGTCGGTCGCTGGCAGGCTGCGATAGCGTGCCTCTTTCTGTTATCGTGCAGCCAAGGCATTGAACTCTGGACCCTCTCTGCTGCATCTCTCTCTGCAGGCCATGATGGGAACCTGCAGGTGCAGTCTCAGGGGCAGGGGAGGATTTTTTTTTTGCCTCCCCCGTCCTAGTCTACGTCTGCGCGGGTCCGGCGTGACGCCCATGCTGGCCATGGCCGCCACGGGCATGGCTCATGGCATGGTCGCAGCCTCTTTGCGTGATCTTGATTGATCTGGTGATCCAGATCGTCTCATGGTTCCTGTGCCTTGCCTCGCCTGGTCTGGGTCCCGGCTTTGGCCCAGCACTCGACGAACGGTGAGTTTCGGCTATGGTGGGTGGTCGGGTGGGTACGGTACGCCTGCACATTCCGCAAAAATTAGGGCAGACTCTGGGATTCTCGCCGTCGAGGTCACACGAGATCATGCTGTAGGCGCATTCATGGCGCACGTCAGAACATTGTTGTTGATGGCCCCGTCACATTGGTCCGGTGGCTTGTAAAAGCCAAAATCTACCCGACCGACTTCAGGCTGAACGGCGGTCAGCCAGTGCTTGCTCGTGCTCACCCATCCATCGCACTGGGCGTCAACCTCGCCAACGGCTACGAGATGCGTGCATAGATCTGGGCCATGAATGTCGTACTTGTGGCATGCTGCAGCTAGGAGCGCAAGGGCCTTCGCTGCCCCATCGGCGAACATGCCTGCCTGCCTGCCTGCCTGCCTCGAGGTCTGATGGAGTCCCAGAGCCGAACTTATTGCGGCACCGACTGGCGCTTTATCAGAATCGCGCGCGACTGACCTTGGACATGAAGCAGGGCTGAAGTTGATCCGGCGTTTGCCCCCGATCCTGACTTCCAGTTCTACTAGTAACAATACTTCGGTGCTCTCCGAGGAACTCCAACGGTTGAATCTAGGTTGCCCCTTTGCCTCGGAAACCGGTCGGGGCTCGATCTCAGAACAACGGTAGGTGCTGATGGTGCCCACTATACGCCGATCCGTTTCGGGCTTTCTCCGGGTCCATTGGGGAGCCCGTTCGGCGTCTGCGGACTACCAGGCCACCTGGGTTGTAGTGTAGGTTCTGGCTGCGGCCCAGCTGAACGTTTCCTCAGAGGCTTGGATGGGCCGCAAATGCCCTCGTCCGTTGATGTTGCAGCCACCACGGCATGCGGCCTCTTGTGCAGAACGTCGACAGTGCTTTGTGAGCGTACCCCGGGTTTCTGTAGTTGTGTTGGGGGTTTCTGCGGTGCCGGGCCGCCTTGCGATCGTGCTTGTTTTCGGGGACCCCGGGTCCTTAGGGGTTGCCGGACCCTCCTCCAGGTCCATACCCGGTCCAAAGTCTAGGGCGGGCGATGAGGATCACTGCCATGGTCACCAGGCTGTGCTGCCCCCCAATGACGATGTCATATTTGGATGTCAGGGCGGAGTGCTGAATTGGCCGTGCTTGAGGAGCCAAAGGCCGTTTGAGAGCAGCGGCGGCGGCGGGGGGGGTCCAGGACACGACGGGGCAGGTAGACAAGATGTGCAGCTGAGAAACCGTGCTTGGCTTTGAGGTCGCGTGGGCTTGGGGTGCAATCTGGGTTGTGTCGAAGTAGGGCGTGTTTAAGAGCGTGGATCGCAAGCTGTTTCTGCCTTGTGGTCGGTTGGGTTAGCAGGACTCGGCCTGTCGGCTCGCCTCAATGAAGCTCTGCTACAGCTTGACTCATCTGTCTGCCGTCTCATCGAGCCAACGTCAACCGCTGGCCGTGGACCGAATGACCTAGACAATCGAGCCATCGTCGGCGACGGAAACAGCGACAGCAGCAAGCAGTAGTTAGTATTGTGCGCACGCGACAATACCACGGCAGCGGGAAAGCGGGAACAGCAAGAGTTGTGTGAGCGGCTGCGATCCAGTCTCGGCCCAGCACTGGAACGTCGTCCCCTCGTTGGGCTCTGCCCGTGGCCCCTCCGCCCAACCAGCTCGCACCTCACCTCCGGCTCTCTCTCTCTCTCTTCCTCTGCCCCTGGGTCAAGTGATGAGGGCCAGGACAAAGAACCAAGGCGCTCGCAACCGTGTCATCTTCCCTGGTAGAGCTGTTGTTGCGTCCATCTTGCAGGCCAAGAAAAGCCAGCACCGGGCGCCCACAAGCACTGCACCGGCCCCATTTGCCGATACACCAACAGGCGGCCGCGTGTCCGCCATGATCCCCGATCTCTTCACGTCGCTGCCCCCCGTGAGGGATGATCTGCAGTCCGAAACCACCGTGGCCCAGGACGACACGGTGAGCCTCTGCCTGCCCTTCCTGTCGGGCGAGAAAAACGGCAGCTGCAATGACCATGGCCTGCCGCGACTCGACCGAGAGAGACATGTCAGGTTTCTACACAAGCAGCTGGGGAAACACCCAGCCCCCTTCGTCGCCGCAGATGCCAGCCGGCCTTGGTTCCTCTGCTGGTCTCTGAATGGGCTGAGTCTGCTGGGCGAGGACGTCTCCTCCTACCGCGCTGCCGTGATCGACACCGCCCGGTCCATGCAGAACGACACAGGCGGCTTTGGTGGCGGCAACGGCCAGATGTCACACCTGGCCACCACCTACGCCATGGTTCTGGCACTGGCCCTCGCGGGCGGGGACAGCGTGTATGAGGTCGTTGACAGGCGCGCCATGTGGAAGTGGCTTTGCGCCCTGAAACAGCCCGACGGTGGCTTCCAGATGGCTGTTGGCGGAGAGGTGGACGTCAGGTGAGGGCTCGCCTTCCCAACCCCTGGGCCCTGGGCCCAGACCATCAGCGTGCGCTCCAATCTAAGATCTGGACGTAGGGGCGCGTATTGCGCAGCTGTCGTTATCTCCCTGTTAAACCTCCCGACGGATTTGACCCCCGAGTCCCCGGCATGGACTCCCGATCATCCCACGCTATTCACCAACCTGCCAGAGTATGTTCAAAGATGTATGTACACTCAAGTCTCTCCTCCGCGCTCTGGTCCGCCTTAGCCCCGTGAGCAAGCTTCGCTAACCCCCCTCCGCCCAAGGCCAAACATTCGAGGGAGGCATATCGGCCCACCCGGGTGCTGAAGCACATGGTGCATATGCCTTCTGTGCGCTAGGCTGTCTCGCCATTCTCGACTCTCCCGATCGCATCATTCCGAGGTAAGCACCCTCCAAACAGGCAGGCAGGAGCCTTGGGATGGTGGTCACGCAGGTCCCCCGTCCTCTGCCCGGCCAGTCAAACGGTGACAAGAATCTGCGCATGCTGACTGGCAGCTGCTCAGATACCTCGACGTTCCACGACTCATCTCTTGGCTGTCCTCGCGGCAGTATGCCCCCGAGGGTGGGTTCTCTGGTCGCACTAACAAGCTTGTGGATGGATGCTACAGCCACTGGGTCGGCGGGTGCTGGCCGCTGATCGAGGCCGCCCTCGCAGGAGGGGCGCCAGCAGCAGCAGCAGCAGCAGCAGCAGCAGGAGGAGAAGTAGGAAGGGGAGGCAGCAGCGGGTACGCACCTCCGCTGCGGGATGATCAGCCCGGCCAGGGACACAAGCTCTACCCCCCCAGCCGGTGCTTATACAGCCGCGAGGGACTGATTCGCTACATCATGTGTTGCTGTCAGGACCAGAGCAAACGCGGTGGCCTGCGAGATAAGCCTGGACGGTACGTGGTAGATGGGCCTTGCCCTCAAAATTGCCGTCGTGACGTTTTGAAGACCTTCTAAGTCGATTCTATAGCACCTCGGACGGTTACCACTCATGCTACGTCCTGTCCGGACTGAGTTCTGCACAGCACAAGTCGGAACTGGACGACGCGGTTGCTTCTGGTGATGATGCCAGCCAGTCTGATGCAGTGAATCCGGGCAGTACGTTGCTCAGCGGTAGCGGGCAGCCTTGCCACGCTACCTCGTGGTCGGTCACGCCGTACCTCGACGAAGCCCAAATATTTGACGAGCAAGATCGCCTTGTGCCGCTGCACCCGCTTTACACAATTCCGGTCGGTCGCGTGGCGGACATAAAACGGTACTTCTATGCGAAGCCAGGATTCTAGAATCCCTCGCCCACCATGGGCCAAGGCAGGCGCACGCCACGGGTATGTTTTGGTCATGCAACACCAACTGGCGTCTTGCACGCACACAGGATCCCCGTGCAGCACGAATCAGAGGGGGCATCTGAGGCCCGCCCCAGCTGGAACAGTTCAACGGCCACGATTAACCATGGCACAGCATTCAGGTCCGGATGTCACGTGTCGACGTTTAGCGACGACATCAGGCACAGGGCAACTGAGAGAGTGCGCGTCTTGTCCGACTTATTTCTACCGGGAGTAACAAATGATCGGGATGTGGCACGGATTGCCCCCTTTTCAAACGGACTCTAAACGAGGCAGAGCGGCCAGGAGCTTGGGGGACACGATGTTCAGGGATACCGGAAGAGTGTGATTGACGGGACGACAGGATTGGCCGGCACGGCCTACTTGTAAGCGGTCTCTAGGCTATGTAATCAAGTCGATTTCCCCAGAACCCCAGTTCAGTTCGGCTCGACCGAGGTGAGCGAGGAGAGACTAGCAAGTGTCAATCCCGTGAACCCTGCCTCTGAGGACGACCCCCTCGTTAACAGTACAGCACACGCGCATGAACCACGTCCGGGACGCCGGGGCCGGGGGCCAGGACCTTAGAAGGTCGCGGTGGGCAAAGTTTAGAACGCCACCACGTAGATGTACGCCTGAGGACGCCCCGAACCGCCGCGTGCGGGAGATCCAGATGCCATGAGAATGCACGATGAGAGAGGTCTGCGGAGGTTTTCACCAATCAAGGCCGCTCCAGAAGCAGGCCAAGCAGGCGGCGAAGCGCTGCTGCTGTCCTTTTGGGCGTCTTGCAGGAATTCTGACGATGCATTGCAGATTGCATTTCACCTGAACGATGACTTGGCTGGGACGAGTGAGAATCAGCAAAGCGGAGAGCGGTACGCAGGGACCGGGCCCAGAGGGAGTGCTTGGGATCATCGTGGGACGCTTGGATGCCGAAGTCATGATGGAAATGACGCCTCCGGCAATACACGACACACCACCCTGGGCCTCGAAAACGGGCCCCTCGAGTTGACGTGTCCGCCTGGTGTTGTTCATGTACGTACTATGCAGTCAGATATCAGATGATCACGCAAATGGCTGTTCCCGATGGTGGGTGCGGATGCTGGGTGGTCTACAGCCACGCTATGAGAAGTATGCATGGATAGGAGAAGGACATGCCTAGGTGGGAACATGTCTACGTGGAAAGCAACCAAGGAGGAGAGGGGTCCTTTTCTTTGGGGTTCTTGTTGTTGATGCGGCGCCCGGTGTGAAAGGGTAGAGCAGGCCAGGCCAGGCTGGATGAAGCTTGAGAGGGCTGCATGCCGCAAGTGGTTGTTGACTCAGATGCATCTGAGACGGAGTGCAAGAGGAGCCCTTCACTGGGGGATTCAGAAGGGAGCACAGAATGCGGTGCAAGGGATGTTTCGATCTTTGTGGGACACCTCGTGGCAGCTTTGGGGGTCAAGGTGTGACTGACACGGAGGCGCGCAGGCGCACGTACACAGACATACACATACACATACACATACACATACACCTACACATTCACTTACAATTACACTTGCACACACACACACACGTGCGAGAACACAGGTACGGCCCTAACAGGGCCGACTCGAACCTGCTGCAATGCAGTATGACGTTGGCAGGGTGGTCGAGATTGACGTGGAGGACTGGACTCGGACTGCAGGCTGCACGAGGAGGGAGGAGGAGAGAGCGCATCGGGACCGGGAGGTATGATGCTGCTGTGGCTAGTGGTGGATCGTGGGCGTGTCTTCCTGGCCTGGCCTGGCCACATTCTCGAGTCCGACGAGGTCGAGTCCGGCACATGGTTTGTTGGTTACGGGCTGCAGGGCGAGGGACGGCTGGTGGCAGCATTCGTCACATTGTACGGGACCTCACCGGCCCTGGCAGACCTTGGACCGGCCACGGGCGGTCACGGGCGATCCAACGGGCTGAAACACACAGACGGTAGACCTTGCTGTCGACTTGTTTCCACTGTGGTGTGGTAGGTGCCCAGGTGGTTGGTAGGGAGACTGGGAGAGTAGGCAAAGTAGGGTCCAGATTACACACATGTGCACCAAGAGGGAAGGCTGGCGCTTGGGCCACATGGGAGGCAAGGTTCTCAGTACGCAGTAGTCTTCTGGCTGCCTTTGTCCTCGTCCCCGTCCCCGTCCCCATCCCCATCCTCATCTTTCCAACGTCCCTATACTGTGTAGCTCACCAACCAGGCAGCGCAGTTCCAATTGGCCAATCACAACCAAGGCCGGCCACTCGCGGCCGCTGATCCTTCGACCCGGTCCGTGCCTTCCTGCTGACTGGACTGGGCTTCTGGAGCATCATCCTGAGAATCCATATCAGAGCATCCGTACAGCATATATACAACAAACCGCGGGTCATTGTCAGTGTCAAGAACCTCACACCACAATACTAGACCAGAGTCTGGGGCTTGTTGGGCCCCCGGCACTTGAAGAGACCTGACGTCCCCAGGCTCCCAACGCCGAACTTGAAGGCAGCCCACCGAGCATTTTGAAAACAGGGCATCTGCGAACAGCCCCACACCACCCACCAGAACCACACCGGCGGAGACCATCGGCTGCTTCTGCCGTTTTTCTGGTGCTTTTTTCTTTGTCGTTGCTGGGCTGCTGCCGTTGCTGCTGCTGCTGCTGCTGCTGCTGCTGTCGCCGCCGCCGCCGTGGGCTGGGGCTGGGGCTGGGGTTGGGTACATGGTGATCTTCAAAGTACACTTTCCCCTCCCGCCCCATGTACCGCCAAGGTACTCGGCTGGCTGGTGCAGGCACAGATGGTACAGCTCGGCTACGGCGACCCCTCGCTCCGTGGATTTCGGGGGTACTTGGGGCCGTTGCGCGCTACATTCTGATATCTCGATTAATTTCAAAGCCGCATTGCCAACTCATCACTGCATGAGTGGCATTGCGCAGGCCTGTTCTGCTCTGCACTGCTGCGACATCCAGGGTACATTGTACACCGCGGTACACACATGCACGAGGCCCCGCCACCACCAAGACGAGTGCAGCGCCGTTGCCTTATTGCCTTGCTGCCCTCGGACGCCCCGTCTCTCGACTCTACCTCCCGAGCCCACCGGGCCAGCGGCCAGCACCACAGACAGGCACAGTAGAGAGATACCAATGGCATGCCTCAATGGGAAGGCCGGCGTCAGGTGGGCCACGGGCGGTCGCCAATGGTTGCCACCTATCTATCGCTCGTGGTCCGCCAGCAGAGGAACTCGAGGAGCGATATGTCCAGATGTCTTGGTCCTCCCTTCGTCCCCTCTCACGCCACACTGCTTACAATTAATCGGACCCGGACTGCTGGACCGCTCGATTGTGTTATACCGCGCGGTAGCCGTGTGCCCGCGCTCAACCACCGCGGTCCCAGTAGCTGCAGGTCTATGCAAGGGTCTGGCCAGCTCGCGCCTCTGTCTCTATTTTCTTTTCGCCTCACCGACTTCCTCCACGGCAGTCTGCCCATGGCCTCTCTGCCGCCGCCCTCCCTCCGCCTGCCTCGTCCTCTCCCTGTTTCCCCTCCCACCCTCTCTGCCTCTCCTCTACCGAACGGCGTCCACGGCCTGCAGCACCGACAAGGCACGACACTTCTCTTGCAAGCAGGGCCCTTCCTCGTTTCTAGCGACCCTGTACTGCCCCATGCACACCCGACCCCTGAGATTGGCTGCTCTGACCCGGGCCTATCATCAAACAAGCGCTGATTCTCCTCCCGCCACCAAGTCTTTCAATTTGCCAGCCGCCGTCTTGCCCACCCAACGACCTTATTTCCTCACCTCTGGCCTCTGATCCTACTCGCTCGACGGCTCTCTGCCTCAGGAGCCATCCGGAGGGGAGGAGGAGGAGGAAGAGGAGGAAGAGGGGTGGGCAACGCTTCACAAAACAGCTGTTGTTGCTACGTTTCACTTGTGAGAGCGTCTTAGATATACCACTCTCGGTCAGTCTTCTGGTCACATCACACTATTTAAAGACAAGGTATCTGCCAATGTCAACGGGTCCTCCATGTAGTAAGCGTCAAGCACAACCCCCCTTTCAGCCCCTCCCCAGGGACATACAGGACAAAAGAAGAAAAAAACACCAGAGGATGGCGGTCGCAGGACCCGAGGCCCGAGGGGTTCGCAGCCAAGCGCCTGTGCCAGTTGCGATAGATCGGACATGGGCTCTCAGCTCTGGGGTGCCTGCTCCATCGAAAGGGCTGGGAGACCCCCAGGTGATAGCTCCCGCCCCCCGGCCGGAGCTTAATCTTGGGCCGTTTCCGGATTACGCAGACAAGCAGACACGCAGACACGCAAGGCGCAGCGTCTCGCCGCATGGCAAGCTGGTGGGCATGGCACAACGAATCCTTCCAGAACGCGAGCGTGTCGCGCAGGCGGGAAGCGCCTGGTCTTGGGGTGTTATTCCTGGGGCTGGAGGGGTCCATGTACAGCATGTACATACAGCATGTACATACAGCATGTACAGATCCGTACCACGTCCCGTGCCCGAGCCACGGCTTGCCCCAGGAACCAGGCATATCCCTTCCCTGCTCTTGGTTCGGATTCTCCATGGCGGCCAATCTAAGTGGGCAGGGCCGGAAGATGGGCCATGTCGAGTCCTTTCCTCTGTTGCAAATTTCTCTCACGTCGTCTGCCCCTCGGTTTGCGTCTCTCGTGCAGTCGATTGCGGTGCAGAGATTGGTCGGTTCCAGGGACGGTGCCATTTGCCACATCACTCGGCCAGTCTCTTTGTGCATCGCACCGGCCTTCTACCCAGCAGCGACATTCGCCCGCGAGCCCCCGCCGCCCTTCCCGGGGCTCGCAAGGCCCGTGGGCCCCTCGACACATCCGTACCGCGCTTGTGACTCTGCTGGTCCAGATACCTCCGGCGCTACACGCCTCTGGGGAGGTGCTGTCAGACCACGGTCAAGGTTACGGTCGTGGGGGAGAGTTGCGGTCACCTCCAAAGGCCCGGCTCTCCCTGTCATCGGGCGATACGTACCTCGAGAGGATTAACCGAGTGCGTGGGCTCCCACTGGGGGAGATGCCCCCATCGCCAAGCTCGTGGCCGTTGTCTGTTCTCGACCTCAGTCCCCTTCGTCACCACCCTGGGCTGCCCATCCCACATGCTCGCCCGTGGTGGACGTGCTGTGCACTCACTCTGCTGGCCCGGTGTTTCCTGCTCTTGTACCCACCGTGTCCCTCTCTTCTGTGTCTAGTCCTTGTCTGCATCCGATGGCCACCCCCTTGTGTCTTGGTGGAGCTCTCTAGTTCCCAGCGCTTCCTATCAACTGGCAACCGCGCACGCCAACACATCAAGATGGGTCACACTTTGAGAGCCGCATCTCTGGACTTGCATCTCTCGAGCCCTTCCCCTTCCTTGCCCTCAAACCCCATGCTATTTCCTAGCCTCTCTCCCGCCGTCATTCCTTTTCCAGGTGGGAGTTGGGCCGGTTCTCAAGGTAGCCCCGCACCACAATCAGATTTTCTGCAATAAAGCACACATGTCTCGCCGTTGCTGGCTCACCCTCTCCTGCACCCTGAGGCTGGAATACGTAGCAGCATAGCAGCCCTACCATCGCCGCCGCCGCCGCCACCACCACCACCTTCACCACCACCACCTTCACCACCCGTCAACCACCACCAGCACTGCATTCTCCCGCCCTTGATCGAGCTCGCCTTCCCGCCCAGGAGTTCAGAGCGTCTCCAGTACAGCTGAAGGCAGTCAGCCCAGCGTGTGCATCACCCCCGGCCCGGCAATCAGCATTGCTGCCCCACGCCCTCATCGCCTCGGCACTTCTTGGTCGCCCAGCTTCACTCAGCCCCTAGTTCGGGCTTGACTGCATCGCCAGGAATACAGTCTTCGCCCCTTGGGCTCACCTACCGCCGTCCAAACAACAATAACAACCACGCATAAAGAAAAAAAGAAGAAGGGGACTCGCCTTGGACTGTTGGGCACCGCCACCGGCACTGCCTTTGGAACACCTCGCCGGGGCACCGGACGACGTTTTTGTCACCCTCACCTCTAGCCTGCCGGCTCGGAGATCCGTCCACAATCATCGCTCTACCTCACGAGCCATTGAGGCCGCACCACACAAAATGCGCGGATTCTATATGCAATACCTTGATAGTAAGTGGCAAACACATTCAATTGGCACCTTGAAGATACCCATTGGCAATTCTTGAGCCCGATCGCATAGTTCCTGTCCGGCCTGTCGTGGCAGGGGTGGGGATAAGTGATCCCAGGAAGCAGGATGCATCTGTCTTATCTCAGATCCCCTGCGACACCAGGCTGAGAAAGTCTGTGTGCAACATCCCCCTCTGGTTACTCTCGTACGCTTCTGTTGCTCCACCTATGGGATCGGACATGCCTGCCCAACCCGGAGCTTGGGATCGGAGCTGCTAAATTCGTTCGCCTATCGATCCTGGGCCTGCGGGCTGCGGGAAGTCGTGCACCATCTCATCTACACTCTCCGTCATAGGGCGGGTCTATCTGGTGGGTGTTTCGCATGGTTAGGTCGGCATGCAGACAGCCTCCCGCCGTGCGCCCACGCCGGATCCCGCTCTGGCCAGCTATATGCATGCAATAATGTCGTACCCGTGCGCCTGGGGTCGGTGGCAGATGGGATAGCTGGCATGGCGGCAACTTTTTTTTTTTTATATAAAAAAAGAGAAAACTTGGGGGGGGGGGGGGTAAAAGACAGCAGCATACCGACGCTCTTCCACAGCGGCGGAGATGTCATTCAATGGTGATCTTAAGCTGACAAAGTACGTCTACAGGCCTATGCCAGCGGCGTGGCTGGGAGCAGCCCACATACGAGTGCTACCGGGAACCGGGTGGCTTTACTTGCCTGGTCCTCGTCAACGGGCGCGAGTACCAGACCGACCTGGCGTACGAATCGGATGAGCTGGCGCGCGAGAACGCGGCCATGCGGGCCTTCATGGTGTGCAGAAACTTCAGCGTCAACGGTGGCATGCTAGCACGCAATGGAATTGTCCAAGGGCTTCCCGCAGATGAGTCCAACCGCAAGCACAGGAAGAGCAGCAGCCGCCACACCTCCTCGGCGTCCTCGCATTCCCACTCGTCACGGTCGCATGGCCACCACAGTCGCAGCCGCCGCTCTGGTCAGCACTCGAGTGGCAGCTCCACCGCGTCCTACGAGTGAGCAGCGCTGGCGGCCCGACGGGTACGAACCACGAGCGACCAGTCTCGCCCTCAAGTAGCCGGCGACCGCCGCATTGGGGCCACTGGCCGCGAAATGCTGTTCTGCTGCGGACCGCATGTCTCGGCGGGTTGCTCACGTCTGGACTGTTGCTTTCCGCGATGACTAAAATGATAATGGACCACGACATTCGTACCGGGAGTTGGCGGGGGTTTGACCAGGCACAATGCGAGACAACCAACGAGTGAAAGGCGAGGATGAACCACCACCCTGTCTATATAAACCATGACAAAGGCTTCACAGCAATTTCGCCACCCCATGACACATCGGGACTCACTCGAGGAAATCATGGACTGCCTTTTCATCCCTCTCATTTCTTATTCTCTCATTGTCCTTTTCCCTTTTCCCTTTTACCGCATCTACTTCATGACGAGTAAGATATCTTGGTGGAGAGAGACATGGCAAATTTCTGCATCAGCCAATGGCTATTAACGACATTATGACTTTACGAGCTAAAGAGACGAAAAACTCGAACATTCGAACCCAGCTATCGCGGCATTTCTGATTCCACCATGACGAAGGAGATTTGGTTATTTGGGCGAAATCCCGGTGGTGGTTGATCACAGAAGGCTGTGAAAGGAATTAGCCGAACCACCGCGGGGGAGTGAGGGGCGGGACAGAGATGGTAGCCGCCCGGAAGGCATTCGGAAAATGGAAAGGGGAGAGCAGACCACTACGGTCTTAGAAAGAAAGAGATGGCGAAACCAAGAAGAAAAAAAAAGGAGAGAAAAAAAAGACGGGATCAGCAGGATGACTAGTGAGCGATGCCAGCCGAGTCTCGGTTGCAGAGCAGGCAAAGCAAGAGAAAGGCACAGAGCAAGATGAGCCTCAGCTGTGACCTAGGCCGCGGCGAGTGAGGGCCGAGGAGAGAGCGTTGATGATTGATGATTGGCCGGATGTCGTGGCGGCTGTGTTGAAGCCGGTAGCAGGACAAGTATGAGCACTGAGAAGACAAAAGCGACGTGACGACCTTATGACCATTCCAGAAACACAGACTTCTAGAGCTGATGATAATGACAAGCACAGGGGGTTTGGGCGGGAGGTATCTCGGTGACAAGATCTTAATGCATAGCAAAATTCCGATTTGGACGCTGGAATGACCGACTTCAATGTTTCTACTACGTGGACTATGTTGGGCATGTTTTGCTCCTGGCCCTGCCAAGGCCTGATAACTTGGAACGTCAGGAACGTGCACTATTGGGTGGGGACGCTCCAGCCCAAGTCAGAGCACAGACGAGCGGGATCAATCGGCAAACATCAGGTGACGGACGACGTCTGGCCGGTGTCCCTCGTATTGTCTTTTTCCTGGCCGGCCCTGGCTGCAGTAATCAGCCTGTCAGCCAGGCGAAGGACCTGGTGTGCATGCAAGACACGAGGCACGCTCGGGACACGAGACACAGCCATGCCTAGACAGTACTGTGGTAGAGGACACATGTCCTCGGTGCGACAGTAGGCGGTTGTCTCAGCCAGGGCTCAACGCCTGTCAGCGCCGTATGATGGGCAGCTGCTGCTTCTTGTAATTCTGGGGGCCAGCCCTGTAACGCCCCACCGGCGGAGGATGAGTAGATACAGTGTAGGGGAGGGGATGTGGGAACCAATGCGTGTACAGCCAGCCGCCGCATAGGCCTTTGCTGTATGTACTGCGGCGCTGTAGATGATGACCTATATATACTCAAGTACCTTGGGATTTGTAGGCATTGAGTCGACCATTCCGCCATTGTCTGCTACACACGTCGTATCTCTCACCCGATGCCCCCATGCTGACAGCCCCATTAATTGGATGGGAAACGCGTGGCATTTACATGTAAACACCCCTATACATACCTAAAAGTAAACGAATATATGATACATAGCTGTGGACATAGCAGTTAGAGCAAGCGACAGCATCAGCCCACATGTACCAACCTAGGAGCGCAACCAACAAGTCCAGAATAATAATAATAAACGAACCTAGGTACCCAGGTAGGCACGTAGGCGCAGTCGGTCTCAGGCTCACGGTTTTCTCCTGCCCTCTGAGCCAGATCGATTGGGCCCTGGCCCATGCCTGTGCCCAGCCCAGGCCCGTCAATTGATCCTCATTACCCCACCTCCACCCCCTGTCCCTCCCTCCTCTGCCCCCTTTTCTGCGCTAAACCTGAGATCCTAGCCCGTCCTGGACCCTCTGGACTGCCTAGACAGGTACCGGCCCGCAGCGTGTTGGCGCAGGTGGTACATGCAACAATCTACACCATGCTTGCTGGTCGAGGCGAATCCCATGCTGGCGCGCTGCCAATTCACCTCGCACCTCTAAGAGGCCCATCTGTCACCATCCACGGTCCAGTTCCCTCCACCAGCCGGTGCAACCACCCTTCCACATATCTCAACGTCAACCCAACAACAGCCTTCCTTCTTTTCCTCCACCCCTAAAGGTGATCTGATCTGCCTCGCCCTGTGACACCCACCAGTGCCCCGTCACTCACTTACCAGCATACCGGCACCAGACCAGCAAGCTTGCTTTGCGCGCACCATCGCCCAAATCTCCTGATCCAGGCCCTCGCCCTCGCCCTCGCCCTCGCCCTCGGACCCTGTCGTCGCATAGCAGAAGTCGCCTCTCGTCACTCATTTCTGCCTTCGCAACGCTCCTTCAGCCCGGCCCAGTGTATCCCACCTCCAACCCACAATCATGAAGGGTGAGCATCTCCATGGCTGGTCCCAAGTCGCGCATGCCGCATGATTGCGACGGTGGTCCAGGAAGCTGACATGTTCTGTTGCCACAGCTCTTATTCTCGTCGGTGGTTTTGGCACCCGCCTCCGACCTCTTGTACGATCAACCCTCTGCTCGGCCCCTCCCCCTTCCGTAATGACTTCTCTCGGTCACATCGGATATCGCTCATCCACCAGCGTGACTGGACATTGCAACCGCTGACCCAGCATCACGTTGCCAGACCTTGACAATGCCCAAGCCCCTGGTCGAGTTTGCCAACAAGCCCATGATTGAGCACCAGATCGAGGCCCTTGCCGAGGCTGGTGTCACCGACGTCGTCCTTGCCGTCAACTATCGCCCAGAGATCATGGAAAACGCCCTGTCAGAGGTACGTCCCCAAACAATTGTTCTGTGCCGCCGCATCATGCCCATCCACGTCCCGTTCCTGCTTGGGGTGGTGCGATACTCCGGACCTCCCACCCCCCTCCCCCCTTTCCGGCAGGTGTTCTAACCAGCCTCTCCACCAGTACTCCAAGCGTTTCGGGATCAACATCACCTTCTCAGTCGAGACGGAACCCCTGGGCACTGCCGGCCCCCTCAAGCTGGCCGCCGACACCCTCCTCAAGGATGACACCCCCTTCTTTGTCCTCAACTCGGACGTCACTTGCGAATACCCATTCAAGGAGCTCATCGCGTTCCACAAGAAGCACGGCAACGAGGGCACCATCTGCGTCACAAAGGTCGAGGAGCCCTCCAAGTACGGTGTCATTGTACACCAGCCTGGCCACCCGTCCCGCATCGAGCGCTTCGTCGAGAAGCCCGTCGAGTTCGTCGGGAACCGCATCAACGCCGGCATCTACATCCTCAACACGTCGGTGCTCGACCGCATTGACCTGCGCCCAACGTCCATCGAGCAGGAGACCTTCCCCGCCATGGTCAGGGACGGTGAGCTGCACTCGTTCGACCTCGAGGGCTTCTGGATGGACGTCGGCCAGCCAAAGGACTTCATCGCCGGCACCGAGCTCTACCTGAGGTCCCTGGAGAAGAGGAAGTCCAAGCTCCTGGCATCGCACACCGAGCCGTACGTCCACGGCAACGTCATGATCGACCCCTCGGCCAAGATTGGCAACAACTGCAAGATAGGGCCGCATGTTACTATCGGCCCCAACGTGGTGATCGGAGACGGTGTCCGCCTGCAGCAGTGCGTGCTCCTGAAGGGATCCAAGGTCAAAGACCATGCTTGGGTTAAGAAGACCATCGTGGGATGGAACAGCACCGTCGGCAAGTGGGCGCGCCTTGAGAACGTGACGGTCCTCGGCGACGACGTCACGGTCGGCGACGAGATCTACGTTAATGGCGGAAGCGTCCTGCCTCACAAGTCCATCAAGGCCAACGTGGACGTCCCTGCCATCATCATGTAGTGCCCTTGCATGAAATCGGATGCCGGGGTTTTGGTGAATGGTGGTGGCTGCTCCCCCCACACCGCGGCAGTGATTCATGAACAACAGCAAGCAAGCGGTGCAGCTTCAGGGTTAAGGCGGGCCAGCAGCACGCGGGACCCCCCTGTTTCACTTTTATACCCCCCCTTTTTTTCTTCCCCTACCCTTCCCACGCAAAGGAAGCCCTTTCTTTTTTTGTACGGATACCATGTAATCGGAGAATTCCCAACAGGCCCACTCCCCTCTATCTCTTCCTTTCGGCACCGGCCCGCGCTGCTGGACTTTCATGAGACCTTGCCCCCCGCCGACAGACATGTGCATTTGATTTGTGGCCCGGCGTCGCATTATGCGCGACATTGCTTGCTTGCCATGACGCAGGTTTTCCCTCTTGTTCCTTTCTACCGAGCTATTTGATTTGATGGGATTGATGGTGATGAAAGGGGAGAGAGCAGCAGTCTCTGATGGCGGAGGGCATGATGAGCATAAAACTGGGAGATGGATGAATTTGACGACACGGTACCCCGGGGGCCTAAAAGGGAAATTCTGAGCATTGCAAAGCCATAATAGAGGTCAAGAAAAAGAAGGTCTCGGGTTGCTCTTCTGGAGTTTGAGGACTAGACAGGGCCACCAGCGGCCTCGTGAGCACAGTTCTAATGCGACGTCTTGTCTACTTGAGGACTAAACAATGCACGTGATGTCGGGGTCGATGTCGGGGTCGATGTCGGGGTCGGGGACGGACTCGGTGGCCCGTGTGGGGCCAGGGATGGTGTCGATTGTCTAGCTGGACGGACCGGTCAAAGCCAAATGTCGGGCGGCGCGCGGGATGGGCTGGGCTGGCTGGGTGGTCAGATGGTTTGGTTTGCACCATCAAAGGCCGAAAGGGGACTCGTGCGTCACCATCCAAACTGCCAGCAAGCGGAAGCGACACGGGAGGGCAGGGCAACCTTGGCTGCAGGCTGCTGCCAGCTGCCAGCCTACCGGAATCCTGTTTCTGCAAACCTGCAAGGCTGTCTGTCAGTGCCTGGCAATCATGGATGCCCCTGACTGTCCCAGCAGACCCAACGTCATCTGAATACTGGCAGTCCTTATTAGCTGACAGTCTACATACACACATACACACATACATACATACATACAGCATCGGATGTGAAACTATCTTGTTCTTCTCTTGTCCCCTGTTCTCCCCCCCAAAGAATCACGCACACGCAGGCTGACTGACCAGAGATCCCAAATGTCGCCCGCACCTGACGCGCCGCCAGCCAGCAGCAGGCCGAGGCCGAGGAACAGGCTCCGAAAGCTCACCAAGCTCCGCCCCGGCAACAGCAACAGCAACAGCAACAGCAACAGCAATGCCTCACCGCGGGCCTCGTCCGACTCGGGCAGGGCCCACGGCCCCGCTCAGGGCCACAGCCCTCGGTCTCCCGCGCACGGGTCCGTCCCGCCGTCGCCGGATCTGAGCAGCCAGAAGTGGCTCGAGTACATACGGAAGAGCGGCTACTTGTGCCCCATGGAGTCGTCGCCTCACCTGCAACACACACACACAAGGTCCCGCTCGCTCTCACACCACCCCACCCGCAACGTCTTGCCCGAGCTCGCCCACCTGGCCATCGACGTCCCCGAGAAGAGCCCCCGCCGCTCGCTGGACACGCACCGGGCCACAGCTTCGCCCAGGTCTGCGTCATCAAGCCTGAGGCGCTATGCGAAGACGCCCGTGCGTCGCGTGGGGCAGCTCGAGGCCGCCGGCGCCACCCCGCCAGGCGCAGAGTCGATTGCGGAGCAGTACCGCGCCTTGCTCAAGTCTCGCAGCCACGACAGCCTGCGCTACGGCGACGCGCCAGGGGGGCCGGATAGCAGTGGCTCTCCCACCTCGGACGGCACCCTGGTGGCCTTCGAGGAGGACACCATATTCTTCAAGCCCGTGTCGTTCTGGCCGGAGCCGCTGTCCTCGATCCGCAAGGGCGGCGGGGCCGGCGGGGCCGGCGAGGACGACAGCCGTGCCAGCCTTGCCAGCCGTGCCAGCCGGCCTCTGCCTCGACCGGGGGTGCTCAGCCTGCAGATCGCCACAAACCTGCTCGCGAGGGAGCTCTCGTGCGCGGTGAGCAACGAGGCGCTGAGGGCACCGACCGACGTGAGACAACTGCAGACGTGGGTCATGATAGAGGCGTACGAGGCCCTGAGGGACCAGGTGCTGCAGATGGCGCTGCCTGCAGACGAGTCCGAGGCCCTGGGCGCGACCTTTGACCTGTGGTTAAGAGCTCTGTACCGCGTCCACGACGGCTTTGCCAGGGAGGCGAGCGGGCCCAGCGACAGCGATGTCGAGGCCATGCAGGCTGAGGACCTGGACTGACCCGCTGCCGGCTGGCTGGCTGTCTTTTCTCCATCTCTCGTCTTAATCGTAATGGACTTTTCTGGGTGTATTTAGTATCTTCCTGCCTACCTGTTTATTAGTACTTGCACATGTATATATCAACCAAAGTGGGTCCTCTTGGAACATGCTCGATAATTAAAATACCTAGGTACCTGCACCCCCACGGTCCGTGTGCCGTTGTGAGCGCCATTGGCTCCGTCATCGGTACCTAGGTACCTGGTTCATTCATTCACTCACGTCTCCAATCCTCTTGAGTCCTCGACCTTGATCATTCTTTGCCCCTCCTCTGTTGATCCCGCACACCCGCCATGCTCCTCGCTGCTCCCCGAGATTGAACCCTCGTCTCTTCCCGACCATGGACGATGACTTTGGTGCCGACCAAGACTTCCTCAATGCCCTCGCCGCGTCCGACGCCACGGGCAGTGGAGGCTCCGGTCGCGTGGGCCCTCAGCAGCCCGTCCCACAGAGGATTCAACAGCCCACGCCCCAGAGGCTCGACAGACCTCGTCCCAGCAATGCCGCCTCCGCCTCCGCCTCCGCCTCGGGCCCGTCAGCTGCCGCTCCTGGCGTCAAGCAGCCCACCCCGCAGGCACTCCCTCAGCGCGCCGCCGGCTCTTCCATCCTGGTCTCGCCACGCCAGAAGGGCAATCCCGTCCTCGCCTGCCTCAAGTCCCTCCCTTGGGAATACAGCGACATCCCCGCTGATTACGGCCTGGGCCTGACAACCTGTGCCCTATTCTTGAGGTGCGTTGCTTGTTGCCCCCCGCGGCGGGTTCGATTCTGAGGCCTAACGCGACCGTGCCCTTTGCAACACTTGTAGTCTGAAATACCACCGCCTCCATCCCGAGTACATATACACGCGCATCCGGAACCTGCAGGGCCGCTACAATCTGCGCATTCTGCTCACTATTGTCGACATCCCCAACCATGAGGACTCCCTCCGTGAGCTCTCCAAGACTAGCCTTGTCAACAATGTCACCCTGGTCCTCTGCTGGTCTGCCGCCGAGGCCGCCCGCTACCTCGAGCTGTACAAGTCCTACGAGCACGCGAGCTTCGCCGCCATCAAGGGCGCCCAGGCAACCTCGTATGCCGATAAGCTCGTCGAGTTCGTCACCGTCCCAAGGTCCGTCAACAAGACCGACGCCGTCGCCCTGGTCAGCACCTTTGGTAGCCTCAAGGCGGCTATCAATGCCGACCCAGAGACGATCGGTGTTATCGGTGGCTGGGGGGAGAAGAAGGTCAAGGCCTGGACCAACGCTGTCGAGGAGCCCTTCAGGGTGAAGAGGTCCGGGAAGAGGACGCTGGGGACGGAGGAAAGCACAGATGCCGAGGTCCAGAGGAGAAGGAACCTGGATGCGGCCAGGCCCATTGGCCGTGTGCCTCAAAGGGAGTTGGAAGAGTTGGCGGCGTCGAGAAGCCACGGCGGAGCAAGCGACGATGGCGGGGCCCAACAGCGCCCGGCAAGAGCAAGGCAAGTCCAGATTCCCGGTCGAGATGACCAGGACGAGGATCAGGATGCAGAGCTTGCTGCGGCAATCGCCGAGTCGAGGCACACAGCCGAACAGGAAGCGAGAGCACGGGCTGCGGCCGGAGCTGGGTCATCATCGAATCGGCCCCCATCGGGGAGCAGAGGTGATGATGAGCTCTTCGGAGGCATAGCTGCGGCTTTGGCGAAGCTGAGAAAAGGTTGAATCTTGCGTGAGAGCGTTCTGCCGACGACGTCAGGCAAGAGGAATGCTTGTCAGATACATTGTACCCGCCGGCCAACATGCCCACCGAAAGATGCCCCATTCGGCCTCAACTATGCGCGATGCATCAGCAAAGCCCGGGATTCGTTCACACACGGTAAGTCTACATCCATGAACTGCACAAGCACATGGCTGCACAGGCTCACATCGTTCATGACCAATCGAGACTGACCGTCCTCCTTTAGTAGCACCATGTTTGATCACATACAGCATGACGCCTCCGATATGGTGGTCCCGGTCCCGGGTCTCGAGATAGCACTTCTCCCCACCCCCTCATTGGGACTCTGGTCCAACAGCAGCAGCTGCACGACGGCCGGCCACAACTGTTGTTGACATAGCATGCTGCCGCTCCCTTTGATGGGACTGGGAATGAACGGGTCTAGATTCTCCAGTTCAGAAACCTGGTATCGTGATATTTATTACCTGAACCACATTTTGTGCAGACTTAATCGTACGAAATCGGTGTCTGCAAGCAGGGAGAAGAGGAAAGGCACGTGTCACTGCCACGGGGCCTGACCAGACCTTTGCGGGAAGGGCTGCAAATGTGACGGGCTACAACGCAGGATTAGGTGTTGCTATCGCCCAGGAGCTCTCGTGTCGAGGCGCGAGCGTGGTAGCCAATCACCCATCCCCGGCCCTTGCCGACGACGCTCAGAGGGTGGTCTCGGGCCTGCTGACGGTACCGACCTCGATAGCTGTTGAGGCAGACCTCTCGACCGAGGGCGGCCCTCGGAGGCTCATAGACGCCGCTGTGGCGAGGTACAAGACGGTTCATGTACTCGTCAATAACTCCGGCCTGGCTGTCAACAAGCCCGTGGCCTAGCAGACCCTCCGAAACTGGAAGAAGCTGGTCGGTCTGAACGCGAGGACCGTCTTCAGCCTCGTCCAGGCCGTCCTATCGCACCTGCCGGACCCGTCACACTCGACCCAGGAGCACCCGCAGAGCGATGGCGGACACATTCTCAGCATCGTGTCCATCTCGTCCCGCGCCATCTACGCAGGCCCAAATGGCATGGTCGACAACCTGACCAAGGTGTGGCAAGGAAGGAGCTTCCACCCCGCTACGACTGCACCGTGAACGCCATGTGCCTCGGTTCGACCATGACGGCCGGGTTCGCGGCGGCTGGGCAAGAGTTCATGAAGGACACGGCCCCCGTCAAGGCCCAGACCCCCATGGGTCACCGCCTGGCTCGGCTCGAGGAGACTGCTTCCGGGGTGGGACTCATATGCGAGCCGAGGGCGGGCTCGATCAACGGGCTCATCTGAACGCGAGCGGTGGGCTGCATATCGAATGAAGAAGGTAGGACCGGATTTCAGCTGGAAGACGCGCGTACTGCTTATGGCGTTTACTATCTGCGCTCGTCCGAGGCAATCTCAGGTTAAATATAACAGCAAATGTCATCTAGGTCTCAATCTGCCCGTTATTTGTCCCATGCTATATAACCCAGTCCCAGAAATCCAACACGCTAGTTCATGTCAACGGGAGGGCGCCGGTTGCCATTCTGCAAACCCGAAATTCCAAGCCGCAATATATACCGGTGCAGTCTAACAAGGAGGCGCCATGTCGGTGTGGTATAAACGCAGGAAAATAGACGCCTTGCCGGCCAGCGATAAAAAGCCCAGATCGCAGTTGAACAAGCCGAGGTACAAAGAAAGATGAAAGAAGCTCATGTGCTGCCCACTCGACTACCACTGAAGTCCTGCGCCGCCGGCCCTGACGACAAGCACGCTGGCCTTGACGCCGCCGTTGACCAGCTGCTCGGCAACGCTCCCGACAGTCTTCCTCAGGTCGAGTGAGCCGAACTCGACCTGTGCATCACCTAGTTCAGGGTGCGAGCGACCAACAACGACGATATCGCCGGCGTTCTTGGGTAGGTTGCCGACGGTAGACCTGGCCATGGAGACGGCCTCGGCCAACGCGGTCCCCTTGGTGACGTTGATCTCGGCGAGGGTGACACGGCCGGCGAGTTCCTTTGGCAGCATGGACCGCAGTGAGGACAACAGGGCGAGGTCTTTGCCCGACGTCTCCTCGACGACCTTGACGGCATCCTTGGCATCGCCGGCGGTCTTGGACGGCGCAGCCTCGTCGCCCGAGTCGTAGGCTGCCCAGCTGAAATGGGCGATGGTCAGGGTCACGTGCGGGCTCTTTGCGAGCTGCAGCGCGAGGCGCAGGGCGACACGGTCGTCCACCCCGCCGAGGAAGGGGAAGAAGACCTGGTGGCTCTTGTCCTTGACGGGCAGGGTTGCAGCATCGCGCTGGCTGTGGACGGACATGGCGCTCTTTGACCGCTTGAGGTTGGGCCGCTCGGCGGGCCCCAGGCCGCCAAAGTTTTGGTTGATGAAGATGCCGGTGTTGCACACGGACTTCTCGAGGGTCTTGTTGATGAAGTCCAGATGCCCGCGGCCGTTGTAGCGATCCTGGGCGGATGTGACAAAGGGCACGGACGTGTCCTCGGTGATGCTGCCGTACTCGCTCCATGGCACGAGCACAAAGTCCGACGAGATATCCGAGGCCTGCTTGGTCAGGGTCTCTGAGTAGGATGCCTCGGGCACGATGGCAACCTTTCCAGACACGGCCACGTCGTTGAGCCTCGAGAACGTGCGGAACGCGTTGACGACCGGGTCGATCTCTGAGAAGTACTCCTCGCCCTCGGTGACCTGCATCACAGACGAGGTACGCTCCGTGAGCTCCAGGATCCGCAAGCCATGGACCTCCAACGGCCGTCTTGCGGCGGGCTGAGACGTGACCTGGACCTCACCCTTGCCCGCGGGCTCCTCGTCTGCCGCGACAGGCTTGTTCGCCGCCTTGTCGCCTCCCAGGAGGGCGATGAAGGTGAACAAACTGGGAAGACTGTCCAGCCGCAGGTAGACGAGCAGGCGGCGGATCTGGGCGGAGCTGAGCTGCTGCTGCTGCTGGTGGTGGTCGTGGTCCGCAGGCTCGTCCCCGCTGGTGGCAGAGGAGATGGGGTTGCCGTCCTTGTCGGTCTCCCCCCGTCGCCATTTCTCCATCCTGTCTTGGTACCATGGTGGGTAGAGCCACTTGACAAGAGGCGTGGTGGCCACGGTGGTCACCACAGCCATGACGACGAAGATGGTGAAAGTGCGGCGAGAAAGGATCCTGGCTTGCAGCCCGATGTTCTGTGGATGAGCGAGTCAGCAGAGGAGGGGGAGTCAGTCCTTGACACGGCTGCCAAGGGGCGGGGCGGGGGCCTGGGGACGGACTCACGAGCACGATGAGCTCGACGAGGCCCTTGCAGCTCATGAGGACACCGATTGTGAAGCTCTCGCGCCATTCGAGCTTGCTCAGCTTGGCCGCCAGCGTGCCCCCGATGATCTTGCCCGAGAAGGCAATGGCGATGACACCGAAGACGTATGCCCATGTCATGCCATCGTCAAGCAGGCCAAGGTCGGTGCTCAGGCCGGACAGGGCAAAGTACAGGGGCAGGAAGAGCACGGAGATGAGATCCTCGATCTTTTCGGTGAGCTTGATGGCGAAGCCTCCCTCGTGGGGACAGATCAGGCCGGCGAGAAAGGCGCCAAAGATGGGGTGCACGCCGATGATGCCGGTGAACCACGAGGAGAAGAGAACGATCAGGAGGGTCAGGGAGACCATGCCCTGGGTCGGGCCGTTCTGGAGACTGCCGGTCCTCCTGAGACACCACATGAAGCCCGGGCGGACGGCGAAGCACAGGAAGAGGGCCCAGCCGATGGTGCAGAGGAGGGCATAGAGGGCGGCCAGGCCGTTTGCGTTGTTGACAAGGGCGACGCACAGGGCCAGCAGGATCCAGCCGGTGACATCGTTGCCGATGCCGGCGGCGAGGACGGTGACGCCGACGGAGGAGCGCAGCAGCTTGAGCTCGGTCAGGATGCGGCAGAGGACGGGGAAGGCGGTGATGGCCAGGGCGGTGCCGATGAAGAGGGCGTAGACGCCAAAGTTGATGGGGACGGTGTCGGAGTCGGAGTCGAGGCGGAACTGATGGTAGAGGCCCCAGGCGATGGCGCAGCCCAGGCCGAAGGGCACGATCATGCCGGCGAGGCCGACGGACAGGGCGACGCGCCAGTTGTTTGTGAAGAGGCGGACGTCGACCTCGAGGGCGACGAGGAAGAGGAAGATGATCAGGCCGAGGTTTGCGACGTTGTTGAGGACGGGCATGGACTCTGTGGGGAAGATGTTTGCCTGGAAGCCGGGGATGCGCATCATGACGGAGGGCCCGAGCAGGATGCCGCCGATGACCTCGGCGATGACGCGGGGCTGGCCAAAGTAGGACAGCGGGTAGTGCAGGAGGCGGCAGAAGATGATGATGATCATGGCCTGGATGATGAAGAGGGTGATTGGATTTGAGGCGCTGTATTTGATGGGGTTTGCGCCCTCGAGCACGCCGGCCTGGGGGGCGACGGTGCCATTGCTGCTGGGCTCGGCGCCGGCGGCATCAACGCCGGCGAGGGCAGAGGCCAGGACGAGGAGGGAGGCGAGGGAGTCGGGCATTTTTGAGAGGGTGCGGTGCACTGCTACCGTGTGGGCGGGTGGACACGGGTACTGGACGGGTAGGGTAGACGGGTGGACGGCAGTACGGGGTAGGGCTGCGACGTTGCGACGCTGCGACGGGGGGTGACCCGCGGGGGCGGAGAGGCCGCAGATTGGCTGGGAGGGTGGTGGTGGGTGTTTGAGAGAGGGCGCCTGGGACGGCGTCGTAGGCCGTGAGCCTCGAGGGGATTTCAGCCCCCAGGACGAGGCAGGGCGAGGAGGGCGAGGACGAGGTGAGATGATGGATGCTGACGGTGTTTTGGTGGCCTCGCCAGAGCGAATACCAAATACCAGGGGGTTGGCATCGAGACTGCACGCGGGGACGGCTGTTGATAAGGGCAAAGATGATAATGCGCAACAGACAATCAGTCAGTCATGTGGTTGGCCTGTCTGCCCTACCACCACTGCCACTGGAATGAGGAAGGAACGGACAGACATTCGGGGGCGTTGGCATTGGCATTGGCATTGGCATTGGCACTGGCAGGAGCGGTCAACTGACTGGGTCAGCAGAGGGGAAGCTACAACGGAGAGCCCTGCAGCCAAGTGAGGTCAGGTCGCTCATTCACACAAAGAAGGCAAGAAGGGTCCTGGGTCCTGTACTCTGCAAGCAGAGACGCAGCCGGAGACGGGGCTACTGTTGCGCGCTAGGGCCTCAGCCGCATAGCGTCCGCTTGGCCCACGAGCTCGTGCTGAAGCCCCACAGCTCCGTCCGAACAGGTGCCATCAGGGCCAGAGGGCCTAGACCCCCCCTTCCCTCTGCCTGGGACACCGGACCCAGTCAGATGATCTGCCAAGCCTGCATGGGTACTTGGGTACTTATTACCCCGTACCTGGGTCGTTGCTAACCAACCCGGCCCGGCCTGGTCGACCTCACAGGCTCACACCTGCCCCGTTTCGTCCCGGGCCCCGGCCACCGCACACGGAGCCCACGCCGCCCGCGCCCGTACTGCTATATCGGCAGTCGGCATCTGCCCGGCCTCACCCCGTGGCCCGTGGCCCGGCCATGGCCACAAATATTCGAGCGACGGCCGCCAATGAAACAGGAACAGTCTCTTTGGCGCCGCCGCTTCTCACCCTTGACGTCCAGACTCGACGTCTAGACTCGACTCTTGCCTCCTGCTGTGCCGCATCTCGTCCGTGTCGCCATGTCTTAAGACTTGACCTGACCCGCTTCAGCCTCGTCGTTGCACCCTGCTACAAGCGTCAGAACTGCTGTCCATCTTTCTTTTCCTTTTCCTGTTCCTTTTCCTTTTACTCTTCCAGCTCTCTTTCTCTTCGTTCTTCTATTGCCTCAGTCTATCATATATACATCTATATAAATTGTATTTATATGACACTCGCTAAACACTCTGCAACACCAACAACATGACGAGATCCTTCACGACCAGGCGGCATGCCGCCATCACAGCCGTCGCCTGCCTGCTCACCCGTGGCACTGCTACAAACCATGCCGGCGAGGGCGCTGCGCCGGCCGCCAGCCCTCCTTTCCCAGTCCTCCCCGTAGCTCAGTCATCAGCACAAGGTGTGTCTTGCCACCCTCCTCCCATCAGCACCCGAACTGACACCCTCCTCCCTCCACAGTCATGTCCAGCCCGCCCGCCCTGAGCTACCCCGGCGCCGCCAGCAACCAGTCCTACCTGGCCCTGGGCATGGAGATGCCCATCCTGGCCACCGCCGGCGCCGGCTCCTCCGACAGCGCCGAGCTCATCTTCGTCTCGCCAGAGTCCTACCTGCTCTTTGTCCAGCAGGGCATGATCCTGGACGGCTCCACCCAGCTCAACATGAGCGGCGGCCTCCTGAGCTCATCCGCCGACCCCTTTGTCTCGTTCGAGGAGCCCACGGGGCTCTTCTCCGCCGTCTCTGCCGCCAACTCGGGCTCGTCCCCCGGCTCGTCCCCTCCAGACATGCGCCTCCTCGCCGTGTTGCTCTACAGCCCGCCCACCCCTCAGCCCGGAGCTGCCGCCTTCAACTGGACCGCCTGGGCCGCCGACATGAGCGCCAACCCCTCGCTGCGCATGAACTTTGACGTCCAGGACTTTGCCACCCGCTCCGGCCTCGGCGAGCCCGTTGCCGCCGAGGTCCTGATCGTCGAGGACCAGGTCACAACCTCCTCCGACAACCCCGACGCCAACTCCCAGAGTCTCGTGCCTGTCAGCACCGTCATCCCGGCCGCCGGCCAGGCCGAGTCTGGCAGCAGCAACAGCAACAGCAACAGCAACAGCAACAGCAACAGTGCCAGCTCTGTTTCCGCCACTGGGGCTGGGGCCGGGGCCGGTGGCCAGGCTGGGGCAGAAGCAGCGGCCGCGACTGGCGCGCTGCTCCCGGGCGGAATGGCAACAGGCGGTGCTGGCGGGCTCAGCCAGAGCAGTTCGGCCGCAGCCGCAGGCGCGACAGGCGCAGCCTCTGCTGGTTCGGCCGCTCAGTCTGGCTCCGGGCCGAGCGGAAGCAGCGGTGATGGTGCTAGCCCGGGTGGCTCTGGCGCAGGAGGAAAAGAACAAGGCGGTGCCGAGAATGGTGATGGCAAAGGCGCTGGCGGTGCCGGGTCGGGAGGACAGGGTGACGCTGAGGAGGGGGCTGGAGGGGCTGGCGCAGCGGGCGCAGCTGGAAGCAATAAAGACGAAGGCAAGAAGGGAGAAGCAGGCAGTGAGTCTGCCGCCGATGACGAGAGCGGATGTGACGCGGAGGAGGAACAAGCCGCCGGTGGCAACGGCACCATGGCGTCTGCGACGGGCGGCGGGAACAAGAAAGGACTTGGGCTCATGGGCACGGGCGCAGCTGACCCAGCGGGCATGACCTCGGCAGGCGGCCAGGTGGATCCCGCAGCCCCCAAGATCACGGCCGCGGCGGGCATGGGCGACGGAGACGGAGACGACGGTAACGACTTCGTCATTGGGTTCGACATCGACGGCAAGTTCGGGACCACCATCACGGCAGACCTGCCGTTCCGGGCTGCCCGCCGCAGCGCCGGCCCACAGGATGGCGGCTGGACCATGACGCTCAACACCGACGCGAGGCGTGCTCTCGGCGGCTTGATGCAGGCCACTGCCACGTCGACGAGCGACTTGGCCATTGCGACGGGCTCGTCCACCATGGCGACCACCACAACCACCTCCGGACTGGCCACACAAGCCACTGCCACCACGCCAGCCTCAAGTGCCACCTCGGCCTCTACCAGTTCGTCCTCGACCGTCTGGCCATCCTCGGCCTTCCGCGTCATGGGCCTGGTCTCTGTCGCCCTGGCTGTCTTGACCTTTGTATAATTAATGACTCTTTCTGTTGACAGAAGTTGGTGGCCCATAGACGGCCATCTCACAGCAGGGCCGGCCACTCGAGGATATCCTCCGAGAGGTCATTGTAAAGGGGGCTTAAGCATGTCACTTGAGGTTGCCACCTAGATGGTTGCTCCGTCCCACCTTAACCAGCAAGGGACACGGCGTTCGGGTTGATCTTTAGTTGCTTCAGCTTGTTGCATCTTGGGCTACAGATATCACAGGAGTTGACGGCAGGCAGGCAGTCTGGGAATTTGGGGCCATCGCGCTGGTATTGATATCGCTGGTTTTTTTTCGTACACGCCTTGTAAAGTTACATTTAGAATAGAGTCACCCAGAGTTTCTTCAGCCCCCCATCGAATTGCGCCCAACCCTGATGCAGTGTGATTTCCGACTTCTTCCACTTAAAAGACACAATGCCCGACACCCCGAGACACCGAAACGCAGAATCAAACGCCGCGGGTATTCCCATCTATTGGTCCTCTCCCCGGGAACGCCATGGAAGCGCAACAAGACCGATGGCCTTCACCTTATCGAAGGCCCTTGCCATAAAGGAAAAATGCGTACTAGTGCGCTGCCTCGTGAGCATCTCTTGGTTTACCTAGCCGCCTATGCGAACAAGGCCAACGAGATGCACCGAACCAAAGGGGGTGAGGGGCCACCACTCTTCGGGAGCCAAATCCAATCGTCATTCCACGACTGGCTGACAAGAAACGCTCCTCTCATGTCCGTCAAGAAAAGCGGAATGGGATGTCCCGGAACTGGGTGGGATTTTAGAGGGTATCATCGCTAGAAGAAAGTCCAAAACATTTTGCCGCTCTTCCTTAAGACACTTCCTTAAGACATCCACCAGGTACACAAGAAAAAAATAATGTTATCTTTTTTTTTTTTTTTTGGGAAGGGTGGGGGAGGGGGCAGCAGAACCATAAAACTAGCGCTCCCTTCTGTTGTCCACTTCTCGTCCCGCCACAGCTTTATTGCACCACTTTTCGAGGCTCGGACACCGCACAAATCTGGGACGCCCACGGTGCCTTGAAGGACTCGGTTGTGGCTCACTGCAGAGCTCGTGTTCACAATGGCTGCTAAAGTCCCGAGGCGCACCGGTTATGGTTGCCTCGTGGGTGCCATTGCCGGAAGACGCATCATGCTCGCCAGGAACGAGGTCCCTGCCGGTCTCGGAGATGTCTTGCACCAGTGTGCCGCTGTCATCAGCTTCCTCGCACCCTTTACCAGGCGTCTCTTGGCGAGTGCCCTCAAAGGTTCCATCGCCTTCCATGGCGACAGGCTGGCCACACGTACCGTCGTGTGATTTGTTATCGCGGTTGCCGTTTCCATTCTCATCATGCGTGTCCCCGAGGAACTGATTGTCGGGACTGCTCGCAACAGGGTCCTCCCATGTGCCATCGAGTGGTTGATGATTGGAATTGTGACTGCCAGCTTCCTCTCGCGTGTTATGCATGGCTTGCTCATGACCGTCTCTATCGGCGCGCATTGTAGTAGAAGGATCGCCCAAGGCAGGCCTCTTGCTCGGAGTCGTTGGCATAGGTAATCGCTCATCACTGTTGCGGCGGACGGGGTTCTCTTGCGTGCCACCCACGACATCCTCAGGGGGAGCATTGACATGCTGCTCGAGCTCCTCTGGCTCCTCTGGTTCTTTCTGTTCTTCCTGTTCCGCCATGTGTGTGGTCTCCCGCGTGCGACAGGCAACGTTTCCTGGATCATCGCCGAGGGGTCTGTTGTCCCCGTCATCCGCCGCATCGACACTGTTGGAAGGGGTGGGCTCCACTCCAGCCCCAGGCACCGCTTCCACCTCCTTGTCCAAGGCCTGTTCTCCTTTCTGCAGGTAACTACCCCAGTCCGCCATCGTCCAACTTTTTCTTTCACCTTGGGAATTTTTCTTCTCATTTTGGTCAAAATCAGGCGCATTTGTTGATTTATGCCGTGGTCTTGCCTTCTTGGAGGGCTCAGAGGACTGCTCATCATCATCGCCTCCAAGACCGGGTTCCTAGTCGGATGGTGGAAGGGAGCCTGATGCTTTGTATGAGATGAACTTGTTGGCCACGGTTGGAAAGTCCCGCTAGGAAAACCCAGGGTTTGCATTATCTGGCATCGCGTTGTCGGAGAGAGCGACCAGGAGTTGGGTAAGACATCTCTTAGTGGCTGCGTCGTCCCGGAGCACAGAAGAGAAAGTTGCATCGCGAAGAGGCTCCGGCAAACACTGGCGGAGTGCCTCGCGCGCCCTTGCATTGTCACTGAGCCTGCGTCTGGATTAGCCGTGTGAACACAAAGGGTGCAGTGGCAGTGGCAGGGGCAGGGGCTTTGTCACCAAGCCGAAGGTGTACAGCCCGGTGTGCTACATACCGTAGGAAGCACCTCACGACGTGCTTAAGCAGTCGCGCAGTCTGTTGCTCGACCAGCTGGCCCACCATGTTACTGAGAACGGTGCCGACGGCATAGAACCTTTCATAAGTGGCGCAGATGTAGTTCAGGCCATTATCGTCAAGGAGGATCTTTTGCACTATGAAGATGGCGACAGTCTTGCTGAGCTCGGATCCGGTCTCCATGATGCGCAGACAGAGAGGAATGATTTCGGTAGTCAGCAAGAAGTTGATGACCTCGGACGAGTCGTTCTTGACGAGAGCGCCAATGACACCGAGGCTTGTGAGGCGAAGATACTCGAAAGGGCGTGATTTGGACGTGGTGTTGAGGAAAGGATAAAGGTAGAGGGGGATGTGGGCTGAGGGGGAAAGCGGTCAGTGACAATGGCCCAGACGTTGGCGGCGGACAAGGTGTGGCAGCGTACCGTTGAGGAAGAGAGTGCGAGTCTCGTTGTGGGAGGCCACACACTGGAGAAGAGCCAGGGCATTGCACACCCTATTGGAGGCGGCAGCGGTGAGCTGGGAGGGGTTGAGGAGGGTGTAGACAGATATGATCTCCTGGACGAGGGAGGTCATGACGCCAAAGGAATGCCACAGGATCAGGGCAAGCTCGGGGACCTGCTCCCTCTTCTTACTCAGCTCGAGGAGGGCCTGCTCGCGAGTGTTCTCGTTGAGCAGGTCGGCAATGTACTGCATAGTGCGACGGTTGTCCTCGGTCATGTTGGGGTTGTCTGCAGAAGCGTCCTGGTGGACGGGGTTCAGGGCGTTTGCATGGTTCGAGGAAGAGTTGATGCGGCTGTAGTGGGCCTGCTGGGCGGCGGCGGCAGCAGCAGCAGCCTGCTGTTGGGCTTGGGCATGCTGGTGGTGGCTCTGGGCCGGGTGAATCCAGGGACCGTCCTGTGGGAAGTGCTGGTGGCCGTACATGGGGTGGTTGGGCATCATCTTGACTGGAGGTGGTCTTGCGTCGTCGCGCCCCGCGACGCCGTGCTGCTGTAACGAGGGCGATTAAGAAAATATGGTTGTGTTGATACCGGGTAGAAGGGATTCTGCGCGTGGTGAAAAGAGCGGGAGGAGGGGTGTTGTATCGCAGACAGGATGGTGTGCGCGTGATAGGTGTATGTTGGCGGACGGCTAGAGATTAACAGGACGGAGAATAAGCTGCTCAAGGTCGAGGTTCTGGGTGGAGATGGCGGGGTGTGGTGAGGGCTGTAGATTGTGGGATTGGATGTTGATCTGGCAGGTCGAGGTTGCTGCTTGCTGTCGATGTCTAGAGCCCTCCTCGGAGGAGCAGCAGCAGGGTGGGCAAGGGCAAAGCTCCAGATGTCCTGCCCGGGGCTGATGCTGGCCCGTGCGCGCAGGCCGCTCTGCTACTACATAGTACTATGTAGTCTAGATAGTACGGATGACTACATAGGTACCTAGGTACCTGGGCACTTGCCTAGTCCTTGACGTACTCATATCAATCAACCTTTGCCTAGCTTTGGCAGCCTGAGCGCTTCTGTGTGTGTTCAGATACTAATAAGTATCCATGGCCAAACCACATAGATGGATGGCTTGATCACAGCGTCACATGTGGCTCAACTCACAACTATGCCTTCCTCGGTCGCACTTTCGAGTATCTAGCTGTCCCATCAATAGCCCCCATGTGTCTTGGTGCTGGATGATCATTAACCCTCGACATGGCAGCAAGCACGTTTCTACACAGTACTGTGTTTCCTGGTGCCTTCTCGCCCGGATTCTCACGTACCCACCTCGCCTGCCCGCCCGCCCGCAAGCTTCCCTTCCTCAGCAAGAGCAAGGCCACGTAGGTGATGCCTCTGGCCCCACCCTCGAGACCGCCCCAGGCGAGTCCATGACTCCACCCTTTCTCACAACCACGGCACATCTACACGTGTGGTTTGCCCTGCTCGGGACTTTTCGCGCCAGTGCGGACCCGGCCTCTACCTCCACCGTGTCTCGGCGCGGCGGTTCCCGGGACCGTTGCGGGAGACACCAGGCCAGTGAGGCCACACCCGGGTGACAATCGCCCAACAGTGCTTGTCATGTCCCGGGGGTCCTTCTCTTTTCGACACGGCGCCTGGTGGCTGCCGTGGCCATCTTTCCTGTCATGGCTGCCTTCCGGCTGTGCGAGGAGTCGTCTCATTACACGGTAGCTTTCTGGCTCTCGCAGCTGGTCAGGGTCGGCTCCTGCATCGGCTGTACCTGCATGTGTAGGCACAGACTTGAGGCATTTTCACCACCTGCATGGATACTGCGCAGCCTCACTCGGCACCCGTGGTATGTCACCGTTGCTTTGCTGACCATTGCTGTGCCTCCTCTTTGCTGTCCATTTCCATCCCGCAGCTTGGCCTTGCTCCACATAACGAGCTGCAGGCCTAGGTAACAAGACTGTATGATTCGCTGCCTGCCTCATGAGGCACGAGTCCCTTCGGGTTGACCATGCAACGGATGGGAAAAGGTCCCGAGATCGGGAATCCTGCACTCCCCTGCGTGCAGGGCTCCTCGTATTACCTTTTCAGGACGACTGGACAGTGTCCTCCAGAAGCACTCACTCACCAGAGGTCATCTCCCCAGGGAAACTGTTTCATAGGTCACAGCCTGAGGATGTCACGCCATACCATAGGACCACAGGGGGCTACCCCATAGTAGTCTATCCTAGGCGAGATTGTCCCATGGGAAGTTGTTCTCCTGGAGGTTGTCTTCCAAGAGGTTACATAGCAGTCTGTGCTTGAGGATGCTCTCCCTTGCGAGGTTATCTCAGAGGAATGTTGTCCCAATAGCGCCGGAGGAGGCTTTTCTGAGGCTTTTCTAAGGCAGGGTGTCTTACTACGTAGTATAGCTCTAGCTATACGGGTGGTCTTGAGATACTGCTGCTGAGAAAGGTGGGTCGCCGGTTCTGAAAAGGTGATACGACTGATTCACCATGCAGGGGAGCGCGAGATCCCCGGTCTTGAACGGGTCCAGTTCGGTGGCCACTCGGCCCAGACGGATACGCACATTATGACATGTAGGCCTCGGGGTCCGCCTGCATCAGAGTACTCCGGTTCGTGATTTCAGATACAAAACTCCGGCAAGGGGTTTAGCTTGGTGGATGTGGATTAGAGCTCCAGAAAATATTCTTGTTCAAGGGGCCCGCCTGCAAAACCTCTCTGTTCAGCGAGAGCTTCCAAAATCTTAACTGACTACTATTACACCACCACCCGCTCAAAACGGTCAATGATGCCTTTTCTGGCAGGCTTTTGGGTTTGAACGAGGACGGTCCCAACCACCCAGCCAGCCGAATGGATAACTTGAAAGCTTGCGGGTTTAATGGCTTCGCGTCTCCAGCATTACACCGCTGATCGACAATCTTCCTGAACACCATCAATCAGCCTTCAACGATTCCGCATCCACTAGTCGACAAGCCTCCGTTTCTAGGTTTTGTGACATCCAAAGGCCAGCATCGAACACGTACAGGCACCCCCTTTCACCTCATCAATCAACCGTCCCTTGGGTTCATGAGCACAGACTATTCAAGGGTATTTTCATGACCCTGGCATGAAGCCGGTACCGCACCAAAGAGGCCGATGAAGTCATTATGGATACTTCGCAGTCCAAAGGGAGGCTCAGGGCCTTCCTCAAGCACGCCAGCGTCCGCATATCATCAGCCAAGGGTCATGACTTTGAAAATGACTCCGCCTCAGCATACAGCATTGACGACGACGGCAGGTCTCAAAAGTCTTCTAGCACTACCAAGAAAGACAGCAAGCTTAGGAGGCTAGGCCGCGGGATCCGAGAATGGAGGGCAAAACGGAGGAGATTGCAAGGCGACGCACAGCTCGCAAGTTCACATGCCTTGGACGGGAAAAGCTTTTCGTCATCTGAGGGGAGTTTTGCGCATGATCGATACGAGACCGACGAGGATTTGACGGACGAGGACGAACCAGTCAGTGGGGAATTCGATCGACCAGAGGATCATCATGCTCTCGAGGCAGGCGAGGATGTACGGGGAGGATTTCCAGAGAAGAAGTTGCAAGGCGAGACGATTCATACGGAGGTTGCCATGCGAGAAAGCACAAGGGGCCATCACGCCAAGGGGGGGCCTGAGAGCCAGGCCCGGCCAGCGAAGGCGACGCTCGTACCGGCGCCGGCGACCCTCCTACCTCCACCAGCCTACAGCTCATTGGCGTGGCCGGACCTGATCCCCCATGAGAGGGTCCCAAACAGCGGACAGAACGGCATCGTGTCCACACGAAATATGAAGCGCGCCCTTCAGCTCGCCCAGAGCCCACTAAGCGACAGACTTGCACTGTGGGCCGATGCTTCTCGCAACTCCCAACACTGCGGAGCGATCGCAGTGGCCCATAAGCTTGACCGTTGCTACACAGTTGGGGTTGCAAACATCGCACAACTCGAGTCGCTTGCAATACTCATAACCCTCCAGTGGGCGGTCCAGGCAATGAAAACAAGCACATCGAAGGACACAGTCTACATGTGTAGTGACAGTGCCGAATCCTTGAGATGGGCTGAGAAGGTTCTCGCCATCGCCACCGCGATCAGAGAGGCAGGGCAGGCGTGTGCGTTGGAAGCCGATATGGACGGCCTTAAATGCCTGATTCGGCTCAGTGACCGACTCAATCGATGCAAATTCATCAGCCTCAGCGAGAACAACTATCCAGAGAAGAGCCTGACAGCCTCAATCGGTTGGAGGATCCTGGAGCAATACTACGAGCTGCGTAGGCTTGGGGCCAGGGTCGAGTTCCCCTGGGCTCCCGACCACTCAGGGCTTACTGGAAATCACATTGCTGACGGGATCGCTAAGATGTCCTGCTGGTGGCTCCCAGATGCATCTCCCAACTCGGAACTGGCACAGGGTGATGCCATGGTGGTACCGTTGAAGATGCTCACCTTGGATGAGCCTTGGACCAGACTTTGCCCGCGCAGAGGGGAGCCACAGTATACAAAAGAATTGACACATCGGATCTTGGAGGACACCAAAAGTCTGCACCTGGTCCTTTCGACGTGGCAGCAGCCCACGGCTCAGGGACATTGCCAGCGTATTCTTGCTCCATCTCAAAAACGCCGCCACTGTGTTCGCTTTGTTCCGGAAGCTAGCAACGCTATCGTGGACACATCAGCTTCAGCCATCAAGGGGGGATTTCGACCACATCAAAATTTAAACTCTGGACCACAACAATATGTAGTACTCACGCCCGTACCGCAGCTACCACCAGCACTGTCTCAGCCTGAGTCAGAGGATCGAACAAGCAAGAAACGAAGGAAGAAGCCAGCGACAACAAGATCGCGCTGTACTCACTGCGGGAATCGCGGTCACCTGACCCACCAATGTTTTGAAGAGTTTCCAGAGCTAAAATTGGCATTGCCGCAGAGGTATGCTAACTATAAGGGAAGAGAGAGGCTGGAGAAGGTCTTTCCAGGAGCATTTCAAGCACTGGCACGGCTTCACCCGCAGCTAATGCCCCGGCCGATCCATGGCTATGATTCTAGGTACATGTTCGGTCGTATTGGGATCTTGCCACACCTCACACCTAAGCAGTGCGCCGTTTGGGCAGTCCGATACCAAGATGCACAGGCGACATTGGTCATGAGAGGGAAGGACCGTTGGAATGAAGCACAAGGTGACCAGTTGGACTGATGTATTCTTTTCTTTTTCTTACACACAATTCCAAAGATACCACTCCCAAAAATCAATTAAAAATATGAACTTTGCTCGGATGTCCACTACTCGGCCGCTGCATCTATTGGAAACCACCTGGGCAGAATTTCTCCTTTAACTTCTACAGTGCAAACATCTTACAAGACATACATACCCCTTAGGATAACTCCTTTCAGGTGATCCTTCTACGAACAGCCATAGAGAATAACCTCCTACGAAATGGAGTCATGCAGGAAATCTTATCCTTTGAAGTAACCTAGTACGGGCAATCATACGGATATCCCCCCACAGTACACGCTCTTGAAGACACCTTCCTACAGGACCTCTTACCAATTCTCCTATAGATTATCGTCCTACAGTAATCTTACCCCTACAATATTCCATACTCAAAGAAGCCTTTCGTATAGGAGATCTCCCACAAGATATCGTTCTATTGAACAGTCCTATCTAGTCGATGTCATATGGGGGAACCTGTCGTGGAACAACCTATCGGCAAGGGTAAGCGGGCCACTGGTGCTTGGCTCTAACATGTTCTCCTGCTACAATACTATACTGTCTGAAACATTAGAAGAAAAAGAAGGAAAAAGGGCAAGTCAGACTCCCAAATCTCATACTAGTCATACCCTTTTGGGACTGCCTGCAGAGCTGTTCGTGCCAGTGGCCAAGGATGAATTGTCGTCCCCGGCAGACCGAGCAGACGGTTAAGGCAAGGACAATGGATTCAAAATTGTGTACATGAACCGCCACTCTGAATTGCATTAGTGATCCTTCTACTGTCTTCTCGGGAGATGCCTATTAAAAGTACTACATGCCCATGTGCAAGCAAAGCAAAAACAAAGCATAGTCTGTCTGTGCTTCGCTGCGCTATGCAATGCCTATGCAGTGCCGATCCTGCTCTGGGTTCCACGACCCTCCCACCTGACACCTTGGAGGTGCCCAAGACGCAGGACATCCTCTGATTGCACCTGATGTTGGAATCTAACGGGCCATTTATCGGGACTGGTGGAAAGAAAGTGAAAAGAAACAAGACCCCGAGAGCGAGTGCTGCCAGATGCATGAATCGTTGCCGTTCGTACCGCTTCCCCTCGTTCTTCTCTAACACACATTGCGTTTGCTGGTTCGTCATAAAGCACACCCTCCTGCCACTGAGCCCCGCTACCGAGTTCCCATCTCTTCACAGCACCCACGGCGCGTTGCCAGATCGCCACGGCCCATGGACCCATGGGGCGTTTTTATTATAGCCGAAGTTCCCTTAATATTTGATCTGCCATGTTCTTGAACTGCCACGTGTTGCCAGTCATGCGCTTGAACTGGATGCCATGTAAGCTGATCATGGGTACCTTGACGATGAAAATCTCAAACTCGAGGACCATGTTCCCACCCAGGTCGTCCTGTACCCGGGTCGTCGTTTCTCCCGGAGGAGCCCTCGACGGGCCCCCTGTGTCACGCGAATTGTCAATGTCTGAGACATCCGAGCTGCTGCTGCTTCGGTCATCCCGGGCCCTGCCAGGAGTTCTCGGCGTGTTGGGCTGGTTCCCTTCCAGTACGTCGCGCACGTCGTCTGCACGCTCGCCCCGGAGACCAAAACTAAAACGTCTCCTGTGGCCAGGGGTCTGGTTCGGGCTATTGGGCGGGTCAACCTTCTTCAGGTCTATACTGGGTGAATGAACACAACGGAACCCGCCGCGAATCTCGCTGTAGTCCACGCCGAGTTGTTTCAGCACCCGCTTGATATCTGCACGTATCTCGGGTACAGGTCTTGTCGAGGTCGTGCTCACACTGAAGAGCCCCTTCAAGAAAACCGGCTTTGCTAGGCTTGGGTTGTCCTGGCGTTCGTCGTTGGACAGGCCGCTCTGGTCGCCGGGCTCCGCGTCCGTTTCTTCTGGCACGTTCAGCTCTCGCTGCTCCTCGCGGCGTGCTCGCCGGGCTTGGATGCTCTCACGCCTCGCGTGCCCCAGAGACTTAGCCCTCATAGAGACAGACCGCGAGGCCGCGGCGCCCCTGTTCTCAGCTTGAGCTTTCGGCCTTTCCATTGACTGATCCGAGCCACTCGTGGGGGGTGGCTCCTTGCCCTCCGTGTCTGTCGTCGATCCATGCGATGCCATGGCCCGTCTCCTGCGGAATTCTGCAGAGTTGACACTGGTAGACCGCCCGAGGACCTTTTTCTGACCGTGCATATTGGCACCGGCGGAGAGAGGCGGGCTCAGCAATTCGCTGTGCTGAGGCTGGCTGCTGCCCGAGCGCAGCCGGGAGGTTGATCCATCTTCCTTGTCGCGCCTTGAGCGCCTGATGCTGAAGGATTTTCGGGGTGGTATCCCCGGTACCGGCGGCTGCTCGGATGGGGAATGGACATGGACTTGTGGAGGGTGCGACCGGTCCTTCTCCGGCCTCTCGCCATCTCTCGGGCGTCTCCTAGTGGAGAACCTCCGGAGGATACCAGCTGCCGCGCTCTCCTTCTTCTCGGGCCTTTCCGCCGGTGATTGTGCATCTGGTCCGAGAGCAGCCTTTGGCGACAACAGCGCCTTGTCAGGTGCATCGTCCTCCCCATGAGTCCGTGCTCGTGGCCTCGTCCTCCCGCCAGTCGCCTTCTCACCTGGCATCTCGTATGCCGAAGAATTGGTATGGGCCTCCTGTGGTGGCGCTATCTCGGGCACCGGGTCTTTCTCCTTCTGAAAAGGGGGTTGTTGCGTTGCCATGGTCGGGACAACATCGACCCTCTCGCGGTCTTGCTTCTCTTTGACCAAGTAGTAGATAGAGAGAAGCGGGCTGAAGGCATTGAGGGGGTCGTTTCCGAGTGCGAGGGCCTCGCTGCTCGGCGCGGTTAACGTGTCCCTGCTGGTCATGGAATTGCGACGCTTGTAGAAGTCAAACATTCCTCTCTTCTTGTCGCCGTCTTTGGACGGTTGGGGCAGATCTTTCTCCTGCTGGTAGAGGCGGACACCGCGTTGGTATTCCTCCGACTCGACCAGGCGTGTCAACTGCGCCTTGATGACCTCAGGCGGTCCAAAGTTGAATCCAGTCATGGCGTTGATGACCTCCGGGTCTAGTGGCAGGGTGAGCGGCTCCCGGCGGGGCAGAAAGTTGTCGGGCGGGCTGCTGTAGCCCTTGTTTATCCAGGGGTGAGCCATGACCTCGGCCATGGTAGCTCGCTGCTTGGGATCCGTGACCAGCATCCGGGAGAGCAGGTTCTTACATTCTGTACGCACGAGGGTAATTAGCCGCACGCTTTGGCTTGGCTGGTGTTGATGCTCTGGGGGGCCGCGAGGGGGGTAGGGGGTGAAGGAGGGCTGGTTCTTACCGCTCGACAGCCAGTTGGGATAATCGACGAGACCCTTCTTGATCTTGGCGTGAAGCGCGGGCATGCTCTGGTCGTCGAAGGGGACCTTGCCGCAGACAAGAACATATAGAACGATGCCAAAGCTCCACACATCGACCTCGGGCCCGGTGTATGCCCTGGCCTGGAGGAGCTCCGGCGCGGCGAAGTACAGGCTACCACAGAAGGTCTTGAGGTGGCCACGGGGGGAGAACAGATTGCTCAGGCCGAAGTCGATGATCTTGATGTCGCCTATCTTGCTAATGAGGATGTTCTCGATCTTGAGGTCGCGGTGAACGATGCTGTTCCGGTGGCAATAGTCGAGAGCACTAGCGATCTGACGGCTGAACTTGCGGGCCTGTTTCTCCTTGAGCTTCCCGTGGGAGATGATGTAGTCCAGCATCTGGCCGCCGTTGACATATTCAAACAGCATGTACCAGTGGTAGTTGGTCCTGACGACATCTCGTAAGCCGCACACGTAGGGGTGATTGAGCAGGGTGACTATGGCAGCCTCTCGTGCGGTGCGGATTTCCTTGCCCTGCTCATTACGCTCCTTGTCTGCCCGGCTGTGGTGCCCATCGTCGGCAACACCCCTAGGGATGATCTTGCATGCGACCTGGAGGGTTGGCAAGGCATGTTAGCATGGCCTTGGACGTGGTTATAAGAGGATGTGACTGGCCCACTTGCCTGTTCGTTACTGTCCTCCTTCTTTGCCAGCTTGACCTTGCCCATGCTGCCAGCGCCGATTGTCTTGCCCAGGATCCATTTCCCCGATTGTGTCGGTATCGTGGTCCGAGACCTGGCCTTTGGCTGGCCAGAAGACCGCGGGTCGGCGGATGAAGGGACGGCAGCAGGGCCGGTGTTGTGTGCAACGGTGGTAGCCATGGCTGCTGCAGGGCGACGGTGTGCAAGGGAAGGGGGGGGGGCGGAGAGGACGAGTGCTGGCTGGCGCGAGGATGCCGCGAAGGAGAGGATGACGGTGACGACGGGTCGGCCCTGGTGGCGGAGAGGGCTCAGTCCCTCTCTCTGCTGGTGCTTCTCGGGTGTTGGTGGGCTAGGCTAGTCGGCTCATGCTCATGCTCGTGTTGTGGGATTGGACAGGACACGAGTTCCTCTGTGCCGGCTGGCGTTGCTGCTTGGGGTGGGAATGGGGGTGGGAGGTCGAGGAGGCGCGATTGGGGGTGGTAGAGGAGTCGTGGTTCTGGGCCTGGGCCGCCTGGGGGCAGGGGGCGACAGCAGCAGCAACAGCAGCAGTAGCAGCAGTAACGACAACAACAGCAGCAAGTAGCGGCGGCAGCAACAGGGCCAGGGCCAGGGACAGGCACGGAGGTACCGCGGGCGGGAGCAGCTGGGCTGTTGGGTGGTGGAGGGAGATGGAGATGGAAGGGTGTCTCTGATGGGCGTGGGCGTGGCGGTTGGGGTCGAGTTGAGGCCGTTGTGGATCAGGGAGAGGAGCGTTGGAGCCCGGGCGAAATTGCTGCTATCATTTGGGGGGCGGTTAAGGGGATGCGCACACGAACGGGCTGGGCTGCCGGCGATGGGGAAACTTGGCGACTGACAGGAGAGAGCAGAGCAGCTGTACAGGGACCTATCCTGGAATAGCGTGGTGTTGAGTTGTACTCGGTACTGTGACGAGCAGGCCAGCAGGGAAGCCTGGGAGGTCGGGACAGGAACCAAGGAACAAGAAGCCGGAGCCTTGGGTCCCTTTGTGTGTCTTGCAGGCCCCGTCTCCGTCAAACTTGGGCTTGCTTGTTTCTTGCCAACGCCCACGGTGCTCGCCTACTCATGCCACACATGCGGTGGTGCGTGTAGCCCAGCCTGGCCAGGCAGTCAGGCTTGTCAGGGTCCAGCAGGGAGCAATTGACTGACTGAACCGTGTGAGTGTTCCCATCTAGACTGGCCAGGGAAGAGGAATGGGACAAAAGGAGTGGGCAGGTAAGTACGGATACACAGTAGTACGTGGGTACCTAGGTACCTACCTACCTACCTACCTAGGTAAGTAGGTAAGTAGGTAGACACAAACTATTATACAGTCTGCACACGGCAGCTCTGTATCTACCCAAGGGGACACCTGGTAGCTGACACCCATGTGGAATCAATCACCTTGGTGCTCTCTCTGTGCATACACAGTACCTAGTATTTGATGTATTCTGAAATGCAGGGGAAGCATCTGAGTCGGTACGCAGTGAGAGCAGGGCTCAGCAGGCCGGGTAGGTGGGGACACCTTGGGGAAAATGGGGAGAGAGACGAGGTAGCTTGTTGCAGCTGGGGGGACTGGTCTCGGTCCTTTGGCTCTGTCTGTCAGGCCGGTTGATCGGCTCCCCATCGCAATTTGACTGCATCATGCTGTGGGCGGCCGGCTGGGGTCAGACCTGTCAACCAGGAACCCATCACAGCAGACTTTCTCAAATAAGTGATTCTTCTCCATACATGTGTCTTGCAATTCTACTACGTGTACTGTGCATATGATATGATGCTGTGGTTTTGACGTGTGCCCACCAGACAACAACACCAGGTCCCTCCCTCATGCGTCTGCTGACGTTGCAACATCTCCTCCCACGATCCTCCCACGATCCTCCCACCATTCAGCCGGTGCAAGTACGCCATGCCGCAGCACTAGCCCATGGTGCATGCCTGATCCTGTAGCCCGAGATGTCCAGCACTACGGAGTAGTAGGGTACAATGCACAATGCATGTATGTATCCAGTTGGCAGTCGTCCTCTCACGGCCTCACGGTAGACATCCGTCAGTAAAGGGGCACGTCGAGATTTGAGTATTCTACCGTATCTCGTGGGGTTAATAAGCGTATCCTCCGTTTTTTCGGATGAACCCGCTGCGGTGAGCTTGGCCTAGTTCGGCTTGGCTGCTGTGACGTTTTTCTGAGGGCTGGCTGGCTGCTTGCTGGCTGCCTGACAGGGCCGATCGAACGCTGACTGCACGGCTGATCAGCCTTGTGCCTACAGGGAGGGTGGAGTATCGATAAGTGCCCAGAACACACAGACAAGCTCTGTGGTCCAGGTCCAGACCCCTGCTACCTGCCCAGGTGCTTAAGTACCTACCTAGGTACCTACTTACCCTAAGGAACGGGCAGGTAGGCATGTACTTGGCGCAGACCCGGTCGGCGTCGCAGTGCATGCGTTCAAGTCCGCCTCGCCTGTTGAGCTTCATTAGAACTCAACTTTTCGAAGTACCTACTGTTCCCAACCCCAAGGCCCCGCCTGCTCACTTTTTACCGCGACCTGTCTTCTGTTTTCTTTTCTATGCTCTCACCAACAGGGTACCCCGGCCGCAGACATCGCCTCCGCGAGCTCCCACAAGGCTCTCCACATGTCCTACAAGCGGACGCGGGCGCAATACGAGGCCGATCTCCAAAAATCACAGTCCCCTTATGTCACATATGGAACGCCCCTGCCGCCATTGGACCCTGACGTCCGTGACGATGGCTCCTATGTCCCCGTCTGGAAGCAGGAGGTGAGGGACGAGAGGGGCAGGAAGCGCCTGCACGGGGCTTTTACTGGAGGCTGGAGCGCTGGGTAAGCCGTCACCAAAGCCACGCCCACCACCGAGGCACCGAGTCGCGTTGCTGATCCTCCTTTGCGCCTCAGCTATTTCAATACCGTGGGATCCAAGGAGGGATGGACGCCTTCGACCTTTGTCTCGTCGCGGTCCAACCGCCGCAAGGACGACAAGTCTGCCACCGGCCAGCGACCTGAGGACTTTATGGATGAAGAGGACCTCGCCGACGCACAGGAATCCGAGAGGCTACAAACTTCACACGCGTTTGCTGGACTGGGCTCAACGGATGCCGATCTCGATCGCCCAGGGGGACTGGCTGGCCTCTTGCACATGCAAGGCGAGACCATGGGCACGAAACTGCTCAAGAGGATGGGCTGGAAAGAAGGCCAAGGTGTTGGACCCAAGGTCCGGAGGAGGGCGGAACTCGGCATGGCGCCCAACCCGGGGACGGAGGGCACAAGCGATACTTACCTGTTCGCACCCGAGAATGCTCCTATGATACAGCTTGTCCGCAAGACCGACCGCAAGGGGCTCGGGTATGAAGGAGAATCCAGGCTCACGCCGCTTGCATCATCAAACACCAGCCAACATGCACAGTCTGACGACGAGGATGCGGACGATCAAGCCTTCAGCCTCGGCCGACCCCGGCTGTTGGGGCACAAGAACAAGAACAAGAACACCAGAGCCCGTGGGGGCATTGGCATAGGGGTCCTGAACGATACCGGCTCTGACGACGAAGACGCGTACGACATGGGGCCGCGGTTATCGTACAACAAGGTGATTGGCGCCAGCAAGACTTTGAAGAAGAAGAAGGACTCAAACTCGACCCCCGCAAATCCAGCTCTTGGATCCAAGCCAAGTTTCGTGCCGAGGCGGAAGGCCGTGGTGAAAGCGACCCTCAGCAGTGTGCGGAAATGTCACGATGGCCGGCCACCCCTGGACGGATTCGTCCTCAGCCAAGAGCCGGATCCTCTTATATCTATGATCAATGCCGACGGCAAGTTTTCACCGCCAGAGGTTCCGGTGGACTGGAAGTCGAGTAAAGATCCCGAAGCCAGTCGGGACGCTTCGGGCTACAGGTCGACGGCCGACGCAGCAAAGTCCTCTCAGCTGAACCCATTGAGCCGAGCTGCTATACTGGGGGAGAAGCAGCTGCCCGGGAAGTCGGTCTTTGATTTCCTGTCTGTCTCTGCAAGGGACCGGCTCGCGGCGGCGACTGGGAAGGCGGACCTGCCGGAAGCCAAAGGCGAGATACCTGAGGGCTACGCGCTGTCGGAGGAGGAGAAACGGCGCAGTCTGTTGGAGAAAATACCACAGTTAGACAAGCAGAGTGCCCTGGGCGCCATGACTAGGGGTGCTGCGGGCGGTGGGCCGTATGGTGACGACGACGACAAGCGATCTCGCTACAGAGGTTATCTCGAGCTGCAAGCTGGCTTGAGCAGCGAACCACCCCGTAAGCCGGCTAAGATGACCAATGACGAATGGATGCACGAGTTCCATGAGTTCTACAGTGTTGCCAGGATATTCCGGCCAATGACGGGTTCGATGGCCTCCAGGTTCACGACATCGTCATCATCCTCCACCCTTGCAAGCGGCTCCGACGGCAAGGCTGGAGACGCCGGCCTGCTCTCCAAACCACCGTCCAAACCAGAAGACCCAGCCGAGGCGGCGGCGAAGATGGGCATGTACGGACACATGACGCGATCCATCCGTGATTGGCATCCAACACGGTTGCTGTGCAAACGGTTCAATGTCAAGCCGCCAGCGCATGTCCAGGCTGAGGCAGATGTTGAGGGTACGGAAGCACAGAGACCAGCCGGACCCACGCCTACACCGGGTATGAGCCAAGACACCTCGTCCAAGCCCCCTAATACAGCGAATGAACTCTTGCAGTCCACCAACCTGTCGAGGCAGGAGGTCAAGGTGGACAGCAGCCGGAACGATGCGCTGGAGGCCAACCGGGCTGGCGAAGAGGTGTTTAAGGCTATCTTTGGCGACAGCAGCGATGAGGAAAGCTAGAAAAGCATAGATATCAACACATCCGCTGATGCTGTGGTTCTTGCCATCTGGTGATCTTGGCTATGAGCCACTGATCTCAGGCCGGGTCCTTGTGGAACGGTCGAGCAGTGTTGTTGATCGGCAGCATATTGCACTATATATCTGAGCACTGGCTATAATCACAACCTACCTACCTACCTGGGTACCTAAACATTAAATAAAATTGTTAAGAGCATGCACAGGTAGCCGTGTACTTACGCACCTACAAAGTACCTAGGTAGGTTGATAGGTAATTCAGATAACGTGCATGAGCCTGGGAGGCCCTCTCGGGTGCCACCAGGGCGGCCCAGGGGCAGCTGGGGGTCCTCCCTCCAGGGCCACGGGCATGTGTGGGTGCAGAGCTGGAGCGTCTTGCCCGATTTGGCACTCGCTTACTGCAATTTGGACCTTCATCTCTTGCTCATTTCGATCCGACTTAAGCGCAATTCAACTACACCAGTCTTCAATCTGCCCTCGCCAGCCTTCTGTCCAATGCGTGCCGTCGTTTTCCCGTGAGAATTCCCAAAGGCCCTCATTGCCGTCTGCTAGTGATTCCTGTTGTCTCGACGTGGTCGCCGTCTCGTCCTCATCTTGCCAGTCTTCTCTGTCCCTGCACACCTCGCCCAAGCAACCCCCGCCGACTGGCCAGCCCGTCAATCATCGCCTCCTGATGCTCTAGCCGCCCACCCTGCTGCCCAGCACTGCCCGCCGACCGACGACGAAGCCGCCAATATCCCCAGACTCGCAGCAAAAGACGGAGCCCAGTACCGTCTCCACAGCAGCCAAATTGTCAGCACCACAGGAGCCCAGTCGGGGACGTTCCGTGTCCTCTGGGTCAAGCCATTCGAGACGAGTCGTCAACGAAGCCCTGCAAGCACCCGACCATCCCACCGCCAGGCACAGCCAGGAGAGCCTCCGCGACCAGGCGCCAGCTGCATTTGCTACATCACCATCATCAGCTGCTGCTGCCACCGGCGACGACACCACTGTCTGCTCCACCCACGGCCCAGGGGCAACACCGCACCACCCTCCGCCGCCTCAGTACCCTGCCTCTGAGGGATCCCGCCCGCCTGCTACGTCGCTCGTTTCCAACCGGTCCGCTCCTCCGCCTTTCTCCTCTCTCTACGCCAGCCTTCCGCCGCCGGAACAACACAGCCCTGCTTCCGTGCTTGAGACCGACGGCCCCTCTGCCTCTGCCGTAGCTCCTACCAGCCCATACGACCCAGAGCCCGCACAGCGCGACAAGTCACCTGCCCCTGCCTACGAGCCACCGGCTGCATCGAGCTCCTCGGAACCGCCCAACACCTACCAAGAGACCCTCGCCGAGACCAAACGCGTCCTCCCCCAGGATACCAAGGGAGAGAATAGCTCGCGCACCAAGGACGACGACGCCGAACCACCACCAGCCTACTCGGAGGGTTACAGTCCCCTCCAGTCTTTCACATACCTGATGGCTGCCGCAGGAGGAGCCTCGAGTATTATTACTCAGGTGCAACAGGGCGGACCGCCCATCAACACCATTGGAGGTGAGACCTACTTGGCTGGCTTGCCGGAGGATACTTGCTGACGTGACGTGATAACTCAAGATGTCGGCGCCGACGAGACCATCACCATGGACCTGAGGTATGTTTAGCCCCGGGACGCCGAGATGGTCGGCTATGGATGTGAAAGGACGCCAAAGCTAACGCGCAATGCCAGGGGCACACGCTTCGTCCTCTCCCGCGACGAGCTTCTGACGCTTCCCGAGTTCGTTCTGCTGTCCCTCTTCCCCAATGGTCTCTTTCCCGAGGGACACATGGGTGGCTCGACCGATGGCGACGCCATCCAAGTCGATGTAAGTACCTGTTGCTGCCAGGCCCATTTCGTCATAATTCTTAGAGTTTCGTGTAATTGACATCCCGGCAGTACGACCCAGAATCCCTCCAGTACATGCTTGAGTTCTTCCGCAAGGTTGCCTCGTCCATTCCAGCTGAGTCGTCGCCGCCAGCATCGCAGGACGGCGATGCGCTGCCCATCGAGCCTCTAGGCGGTGCAGGGCGCGATGACTCTTCAAAAAGGGCAGGCATCATAGTATTGCGCGAGGACCTCGACTTTTACGTCATCCCGCCAAAAGCAGACATCCAGCAGCCGGAGATGATTGAGGTGAAGAGGGCCGCAGCTAGGGCGCTCTTGAAGCAGGACGGCATCTTCTCTGGGTTGAAGCGAAGTGACGAGCCGGGGACTACAGAGGCTCATCTGATCGAGATGTTGACAGCCGGGTATGTCCCACCTAGAATCACCAGAGGCCATCCTCGCCCAGCCCGCACCCCCGTTTCATTGGGCGGGAACAATCAACTGACAGCGTGACATAGTGGCTTCAATCATGATGACCAATGGGGACATCGTGCCGGCGAGCCTAACAAGGCCGTCGTATGCAGTCTCGCCCTTGCAAGGCTTCGCAGTGACATCCGTGGTAACGAAATGGGCAACAATGCTGTGGGTATGGCACAGAAACTATTACTGTTCTGGCGCAAGCCGGCCAGGAGATGCTGGTGGGAAGGTGTAGAGCTCGACAACGTCGATGGCGTGGAGGGGAAGCTCAAGGTGTGGATCCGACGGGTCTGGACGCTGGAGATGAGTGTTATCGGCCTGCGGTGATTCCAGGCTGAGGGCGTGAGCGCTTAGGAGAAGAGCATGCAGCGTCTGGTCCTTTGGGGAATAGCACATGAGGAGGAGGGGCATGCAGGGGCCTGGCGAGCCCCTGCCTTTCAGATACCAACGTATATAATTGGGCTCGACGGCCTGTGTGGGAGTGGCGGACAGTTCTTTTCCTTTCTTCTGTTGTCATCGGTCAAGAGCATAACACGGATACCATATTCTGTTCTTCGTATATTGTGTTGCTTCTGCCTTTGTGCCACCAAGCGTCAAAACCATCTGGTCATGGCCAAGCCGTCGGCGGAGGCTGAACAGCCAAATCGCGATGCGAGTGAGACCTTGACCACTGAGCTCGCAGCTAGAGTGCACGTATCCAAGCCTGCCAAGATGGAGTGGATCCGCCTGCGGCCACCAAAAAGGCCATCTTGGGGCGGGTAATGACATAGATACCAAGCCTCACTACCAGCGCTCGAGACAGCCGACTGGCTGACGAGTTGGTTTTCTGGGAGCTAGCCCACAGATACTGGACGATGCATCCAAGGAGAGCACAGCCGTTCCAATCCTGGCACGGCACACCCAAAGTGGTTGTTTCGAAGCAAGCGAACATGAGGTGGCGTGAAACAATGAGCTCTTGAGGGGGAGACTACCATCGGCAGGCGACCTCACATGGCACAGGTTTCAAGACCTGCGTGGACTAACTACAGCATGTGGGATCCTACGCGTCCTGGCGTCCGGGACCCCGAGCATGACGCCACTGAGAAGAGCTAGGTCTTTTCTGGCTGCTCGTTGCTGGGCGGTTTTACAACCTCGCCCGTCCCTGCACAACGAGAGGGGCGGCTGGGCAATACATATATATGCATATATATATGTATACCACGGACAAATAAGTGTGAGGGACTCGATTGGATGATTGACAAAGTCGCTCCCGGATGCCGCATGGTGCACACCAGGCATCAAGTTCTCGCTTCTTAGTCAAAACAGGCACTACAAGCAACCAAAGCAGTCGATTCAGATACACAAGGTTCCTGCCGTTCAAGGACGGACCTGTAGAAGGTACGGAACCTCAGACATCTCAATCAACCCCGGCCACGTTTCTGCCCGAGCAACTGTCCAGCAGTCGGTTGCTGCTCTTTGGGCGGTCGTTGACGACAAGTTCATTCTGGCCACTACGGACTCCAGCGCCAGCCAGGTTCATCGAGCCATCTGGGGGCACAAATTGGAGAGAGAGACCAGACCAACTTCATCGAGGGGAAACAACTGCCCTGCGAATACCGTCTCGGAGCACACCGTCATCCATTTTGTATTTCGCAGGTCCTAGCCAACTCTAGACATCAACATGAAGCCCTTCAGTCTCCTCGCTATCCTTACAGCACTGTTAGGCCATGCCACCTTCGGTACCGCTCAGTCCACCACCTCTGCTGCAGGTGCTTGCCCGACAGTTCTCACTCCTTCGTATGATGCCCCTGTTGTTGGCTCCGGGTGGACTGCCCAGCTTATCGCCACCGGTCTGAAGGATCCACGGAGCATCATCTTTGACCAGAATGGCGCATTGCTCGTTGTCCAGAAGGGGTCTGGCATCGTCCGCATGACACTGACTGACAACGGAGGGACCTGTCTCGCCGTCAGCAAGACCTCGACGGTCGTCGAGAACTCAGATGTGCGTAGCTGCGATTTGAAAGTCGTGAGAGGCCGGAACAGAACACCTTACTGACTAACTTGCCTGCTAAGCTGAACCATGCTGTTCAACTGTCGGCCGACGGACGCACCTTGTATGCTTCCACCTCCAATGAGGTGTATCGTTGGCCATATGACGCCGCTGCTGGTACTGTGGGCGACAGCGAGACACTTGTGACCAACATGAGCAATTCAGGAGTAATTCCGTTCCTGATCTCGGGGTACCCCTATTCGTTTGCTAACCAAGCCTTAGCATGTATCGCGGACACTATTGCTGTCCCGGAAGGCCAATAACACCTTGTTGGTGTCCCGTGGGAGTGCCGAGAACATGGACTTTGGTGCCGCTCAGCTCAACTCCGGTATCTCACAGATACGGGCCTTCGACATTAACAACTTGCCAAGCGGCCGACCCTATGACTACCCGTCCGAGGGTAGACTTATGGGCTGGGGCCTGAGGAATAGTGTTGGGGTCGCTGAGCACCCAGTCACGGGCGGTATATACAGCGGTAGGGCTTGTCTTATTATCCTGTTCTTCCATTTGATCAGGACCTTCTGACGGAGACCAAGTCGAGAACTCTGCGGATCAGGTCGAAAGAACCGGGACTGATGTCCATCAAGACAACCCCGGTGAGGAGATGAACTACCACGGGTTCCTCAACGACTCTACTGAGGATCAGGGCGGCAACTATGGTTACCCGGACTGTTTTGCCCTCTGGGGCACTGATAACTTCCCGGACAAGGGCAACATGACCGTGGGTAGCCAATTCGCGCTCAACCCTAGCAACACGCTCAACGACACGACTTGCGCACAGGAGCACGTCCCGCCACGGCTGACATTCCAAGTATGTGTGCACCGGGGGTTGACAGATAAATCAGCAGGAGTAAAGGATGCTGACGGGCGGGAACCAGGCTCACACGGCACCTCTGGACATGGTCTTTGACAGCAACGGCACGGCAGCATACATCACCTTCCACGGCTCGTGGGATCGCACGGAGCCCGCGGGCTATGTGCTTTCGAGCGTGCAGTTCGACGGCAACACGGGTGCGCCCGTCGCACAGCCCGACAGCAACAGCGCCACGGCCGACGTGCTCAGCAACGCCGACCTGTCCAAGTGCCCAGACTCGTGCTTCCGCCCCGTCGGGCTCGCCTGGGACGCCCGGGGCCGGCTCTTCATGAGCTCGGACTCAACGGGCGAGATCTACGTGCTGCAGCGGTCCGAGATGTCTGCGACCGGTGGCGGGGAGACCGGGACTGGTACGGGCTCCGGGACTGGCACGCTTGTCACCCCGACTTCGAGCCCAAACCTTGCAACGCGGTCGGGTAGGAATCGGCCGGGCGAGGAAGCCATCTTCCTGGCCGGACTAGCTGTTGCGCTGTCGATGGTCTGCGGGGTGTTCTTCACCGTGGCTTAGGCGTACAAGCTACGGCTCTCATTATTATCCTGCCCGGGTCGCACGACACCCTGGGAAACATTTAACGTAGTCCGATCACGGGATCAATACGCGGAAATCAGCCGCAGTTTCAGGGCAGTGTTCAGTAGGATGAATTTATGACAGATTTATCCCTCTTCCTTGTTTTTGGTCTGTGAATGGCCGACCCTTTCAGAATCCCGAACGCCTTGCAACCCCTAGGCTCACTCCTCTAGTGTCTTTACAATGTCCCACTCGCCCCGCAGGTTCTCCTTCCACAGCGTGACCTTGTTGTCGCTTCCACTAACGGCGAGAACGTTGCCGCTGAGGGACCAGCTGACCCGCCAGACGGGGGCGTCGAAGTTGAGCACCTTGGAGTTCCACTGGCCGGGGCTCGCGGGGTCCGACGTCCAGATGCGCACCGTCTTATCCTGGGATGCGCTCGCGATGTAGCTCTTCTGCAGCACCGTAGGGCTCCAGGCCACGTCCCTGACCCAGTCCGTGTGGCCCGAGAGTGGATCCCGCTCGGGCTTGTAGCTGTTGGTGGCGGGGTCAAAGACCCAGATCTTGAGCAGGTTGTCGCAGCCCCCCGAGACGAAGCGGCGGTTGCCCGTGGCGCCGGGACCGGGGGCGCTCGACACGATGGATCCCGGTGTGGTTGCCGGCGCCCACGACACAGAATTGACACCCAGGCCGTGGGCGGGGAAGGTGGTGTGGTCGAAGTTGTTGTCCTTGAACTCGAGAACGGACACGTTGCCGTCAGAGGAGGCACAGGCCAGGAGGCAACCAGACTCGTGGGGCGACCAGGAAACGATGTTGACCGAGGCCTTGTGCAGGGCAAAGTCGAAGATCTTCTGCCATGCGCCCTGCTGTTCCCGCCAGATAAAGACCTTGCCGTCGTAGCCCGAGGAGGCGAGGATGTTTCCGTATTTGGGATGGGCCCAGGACACACACCACACTGCGCCCTCGTGTCTGTTGTGCAAGTGCGTCAGTCGTCTGTGCCGTGCCGTGCCTTGCCTTGCCTTGCCTGCATCGCACGGCTGGACGCCGAAATGTGCCAAACTCACCCCTTGAGTGTCTCTGTCAAACGCTGGGACTCGCCCTCAATTTCGAAGATCTTGATCGTGCGGTCCGATGAGCATGTCGCGAGTCGTCGTCCGTAGTAGTCGAGGACGGCATCGTGCTAGGAGGCGAGAAGAGTCAGGTTGAGCTCGGCAGGGCTGTCCCCTTTGGTTCCCTTTGGGCTGCGAGATGGGACGTACTATCATGTCATCGTGGCCGGGATTTGAAATGACTTGAGTGGCCTGTGGTGGCCATGGTCAGGATCGCAATTCAAAACCCAGAACAGAGGCACCGTGGGCAAGGCAGTACGCACCATTTTCAGCTTGGCGGCGGCAGACAGCACTCGCGAGGACAGGGAAGTCGGATGGCCTTGAATGAAAAATGCAAAGAAAAGTATGGGTATCACAATGGGGGTTCCAAATTGGCAAAAGGGCTGGGGCAAGTGACAACGAGTTGGTGATGGCGGTGGCCGGTTTGGGGTGGTGGACAGTTTCGCGACGTGCTGTCCTGTCCATTAAACCAAGCAATCAACCGTCCATCCACGGTAAGCTTCTACTAGGTACCTTACCCTGCAGTACCCGAGCCAGGGACGACGTCAAAGGGAGGGTCCACCTGGCATTTTTGTGTATGTAAGCATGCACGACCTGGGCAGGTACGGAGTGCTCCGTACCTGGGGAGGTACCTCGGGCGCGGTACCTCGAGGGCCGGCCGGCGGAACCTGCTGAGCGGCTTTGCCTCGGCTCCTGGCTTTCGGTATTTGCCCCCATCAACTAACTGCCCAGGTGTCTACTACATGACGGGAAACATCAACACGATCTCCCTTTTTCTAACACGTAGACCACCATGATCATATTCCGGCCTTGAACCAGAACCCTCCTTTTCCACGTCGATAGCCAGACTCCTCTGAAGGTGGGCTTCGGGGCATAGGGCACCCATGGGCTCTCTGCTCTCAGAGTTCCTAGTTCAGTTGTGTCAGCTGCCTGGTCGAAAGCCGTCTTGTCCGCGTACGTTGGCCCTCACTCGCATGGATGAACGAGAGCCTTTCCCACAAATCAGACACGGTTCCACTTGAAAGCCACTGCTCTCTGTGAGGCTGCAAATCTGGTCATCTCGTCCGATATTCCTGGGTGGTAGACTTTGTGCGCGAGCAATAAACATTAAACAAAAGTCTGCTCAGGACTGCCGTCGCCCTCCTTCATCCCAGGACTTGGATGAGTCGCCTTGAGCAACTCGCCTTGCGTCTCCAACCACCTGCTGTTGTGATTACATCCCGTTCCACTGCATGTGATCGGGACTCGCTATCGCATTCTCAGCACCTCCAGCACATCGCAACCACCGACCAAAACAGCTAGACTCGATTGGCGATCTACAACTACCATCGACGAGACCACATATCAACACCTGTCGTCTCCAAACCGCAGTCACCGTTGCCAGCATGTCAGACAACCTTTGTGGGCCCTCCGTCCCGACCAAGGGCCTGCTTGGCCATCTCGACCGTGATCGCTCCCTTCAGCAGGACCGCGTCGCGGGCTCTCCTGCCTCCGCCGCCGGCGTAAGTTGCACCTCAAGACTCCTCTTGTGTGGCGGACGAACCTAACTTGCGTAGTCTTTTCGAACAAGTACCCAGGGCATTTCCAACACAGCCGCTGGGGATGCCTCTTTTGCCAAGTTCACCGGCGCCTCGCCTCAGCTTCGTCCTCAGGCCAGTGCAGACTCCCCTGCTCTGGTCAAACCACAAGGCAACCCCAATCATAACCCTTTTCTTTGGATGCAGTACCAACATCGCTATCGCGGCCGCGTAGACATCCCCTTGGAAGGCAGGGACCAGATCGATCTTGAGAACCATGTCAACCCCCCTATTCCTGCACGTCGTGGCGGAATCGAGCACCAGCGCCCAAGTGCAGCTCTGCAGGCCGCCAATACTTCCTGGGTCGATGACTTCAGGCGTGCGCAAGAGGAGACGTCCCTGAGCCAAGGGATGGGCGCGTTGCGCTTGAACTCCATGCAGGCAATGCCCATCGCCGCTCCTTACGGCCAACCCGCATTTGCAGCACCTGGTAGCTACCACTACCCAGTCGGTCAGCCAATGATGCAAGGAAATGTCGCTTCTCCGTATGCCCCTCCTCATATGATGCCCGCCCATGCTCCTCCAGGCTTCTTGCCGGCTTTCGCGCAAGGGGGCCAACAGCTTCCTGAGGATCAGCCAGCTCAAGAAGCCCAGGTTGCTCCACATGGTTATTCTGCCACAGGCACAGCCCAGGCCGGCGGGAATGGTCTGCCATTCAGCCACTACCCCCAGAACCTAGCCTTGGCCGCCAACACAGAGGAAGCCCTCGGCGCGGCATTCGCGGCCTACGACCGGGAATTCGAGCAGGAAATGGATCAGTGGGTGGCCACTCATGGGCCCGAGGATCGCGAGGATCACGAGGCAGTCATGACCGAACACGCCGAGAAACTGGATGCTAAGCGCAGGGAGAATGACCCAGCCGTCATGTCGCAGCTGGATCCCAAGAACCGTTTCAACCAAAAGAGGCGGGAGGATATGGAACTTCAGTCGTATGCGGCACGCATCTTGAACACCATGGTATCAAGCGACAATGAGAAGTTCCGCGGCTCTTCCTTCACCGACCTGATGCGCCGCATCGTCAATCGCGAGGTCGTGGTTGAGGGTGACGATCTCATCGATGTTGCCACAGGCAACCCTACCGACCTGACCCCTCGAGACCTAAAGCCTGTCATCCAGGTGCCCGACGTGCCCCCGACATTCATACCCCCCTCGGACGCAGAACTCAGGTCGAGGCAGGAGGCAGATCCCAAGGGGAAGGGGCCAGCCGTGGCGGAGAACCCGGGAACTGCCTGAAGGGGGCCAGACGTCCAGACGGAAGTGGTGAGGGCTGACGTTTGGAACCTGTCGCCCGTTTGGAAACCATCCAAGTTGTCCATGTCTCCTACAGGGGCAGGAGACCAAGCAGAAGACGAACCGGACCACTGGGGCTCTCGTACCACCTTTCTCGCGTCCCCATGCACCGGATACCATGGAATCCAAGTCCCCGCCGCCAGCAGCGAGTCACAGGGCATTACTGATCCAGAGCCGCACGTTGTCGACGGAAGGGCTGAGGAAATGCGAGACCTTGCAGAACTCGCAATTGGCGAGCTGAAGCAATTTACACCTTTGACGTCACCTTTGCCGCCATCGTCACCGATGCGGGTGGCGTCGCCACATGAGGCCGGCGGCAAGATCCCGCGATGATTGTTGATTTTGAACTGCTTCTTGTTTTGTCCAGTTCTCCCATCTGTCTGTGCACCCCCTCCGTACATCTTCAAAACTGTTCCGAGCTCCTCCGTCAATTGATTGCATGAGCACCACCAGGCCGAGTTGCCGGCCCCGAACCCCAGGAGGCATTGCCACTTGTTCATATTCTTGTTTCTTTGTTTTGCATCTTGCGATTTCCTTGGACTGATAGCACCATCACCGGCGGCGTTGGAAAACAGGATGGTTCACATATGTTGGCTGCGTCATGGGGCCGAGCACAAGAGCTACGATGTTGGATATCGAGGCTCTTCCTGCCGTGAATGTAGATTACAAGATGTCTGTGAGTTTCTTCAGGGTGGCTGGAGCAGGTGGCTCACGAAATCAAGTTACGGAGCCCTTTGGTAGCGTAGGGGTTGACGATTGTCTTCCTCATCGCATATTAGTGGCCACTGCGCGCAACTGTACAGTACTGCAGACAAGCAATTGACTGCCCAGCCTTCGCATGACGTATCTCTTTAGTCCATCAGTCGTTGGATCATCGATCCATCGGTAATTACGCAGATTACAATACTAATAAGTCAGCCATGTTTATTTGAGATGAGCAAAACTTTCCCGGGTCGAGCCAGAGTTCTTGCAACAGAGGTCACTCACTGTATGTAAGGCGTGAGGTTGTCCGATTGCAGGGTTACTACATAGGTTGCTCTATAGGTCACCAAGTTACAGGTGGTTGTACGATGATAAGTAAGTACCCAGGCAAATTACTAATGACTATACCCAGTGGCCGTGCAGAGGTCATCACAGTCGAGGGAGAGCTAGAAGTGGCAGGAATCTCGAGAAGTTCATGCTGGTGAATTGTAGGTACTTCAGAATGCAATTGGGTATTGGTATCATAGTTCGCTTGACTCTGCCTCGGTCTGAGCAGGCTGCACACACAAACACACCTAGTGTTTAAGCTTCTTGAGCCAGCTCACCCTCCGCGTCTGCTTTTGTACAGGTGCACATCCTCCTGTGCCAGAATCTGTCTCCGTCTCCCGTACGCCGGCCTGCTTATCCGGCGCCATCGCCATGTTGCCGCCCACTTCTGTTGACTGTGAGTGAGACTGCTTCATCATCCGCCGCTGCATAAAGGCCGCGCCAGTGCTGACTGCCCTCCTGAGACCAGACTGCACCGGTGGCACGGTGCTGCTGATATTGCCAGTAGTCGACCGCCTGGGGATTTTGAGCGTTTGAGGTGTGCATGACGACATGCTAATGGTCCGTTCCCGCGGAAGAGCGGCGCTCGCCTCACCCACGTCGGCGGGATCGGGGCCCGCTCCGGTGATGCGCAGTGCCAGCCAGAGACCGGTGACCCTGATCAGCTGCTTGGTCTTCTCATCCACTGGTTGGGTCTGGCGCTCGGCGGAGGGCTCATCAACAGAGAAGGGAGATGGTGGTGGGGACTTGGCGCCCGCTGGATCGAAGTTGTAGCTCATGGGGCGAGAGGGTGGGAAGCGGCCCTGTGATGTCGACACTGTCGTGAAGTCCTCGAATAGCTCGAGCGATCTTGGCGTCAGGTTCGCCAGGATCGGGTGTCGCCTAGACTGTGGGTTGATGATGCTAAATGTGTACTTGTAATCGCTCGGCTCCGTGATAGATGCGACGTCGCTGGCCACGGTAGCGGCTGATGTCGAGAGCCTGTTTGCGTTCTTCTGGTTCTGCAGGGATGTGTTGCGCTTGGCCCATCGGAGAGTCTGCGATATCCCGTGACTGTCGGTGTGAACAAAATTGTAGCTGCCCTTGGGACCAGGAGTGGCCCTCCACACAGTACCGTCCTCCATGACAATCTCGTCACAGCCCTGACCCCTCACTGGGCTAAAGATGGCAAGAGGCTCCCGTCTTGCCCCAATATGCTCATCCTCTTCCTCCGAGTCACTCAGGCCAGTGTCATAGTCCTCGGACTTGAGCAGGATCAGGTCATGGGGGCCCAGCTCGCCCTTGGCTCCGAATATGCGGGGACAGCGGTTGATATAGCGGGCGGTAACCAGGGGCCCGGCTATGAGAGACGCAGGAAACACGTCGATGGCAGGGCGTGGCCGCTGGTTGGTAGGTAGCTCTTGGAGCTGGAAGAGCAGCCTGGGGCGGATGTTCTTGAAGAGGTGCTTCTTGGAACCATGCTTGGGTGCGGGCAGGGCGAAGTGATAGTGGCAACTCGGGCGTGGGGTGGCTCTCCTCCGTCTTGGGCGGGGGGCCGAGGACGTGTGCGAAGCGTCCGAGTCGTAGAAGGATGGCTCATCTTCTGTCATGGAGGGTTTTGGGGACTCCAGGGCTTGGGCTTCGGGCTCCTTGAAGCGCACGACGGGAGCAGCGGGGACGGACCTGCGGGCGGCAGCACGGTCGCCCAGAAGATGGGTGACTGGTTTCACATAGAGCTCAGAGACGGGCCTGGTCGCCTTGGGAGTCTGTGGGAGAGGCCATGGGCTTGCGTGAGGCGGTGCCGTGGTGGAGCGGAGGATGGGAGCTGGAAATGCGGATCGCAGGTATGGTCTTTTCCGCTGCAGGGGCGCGTGTGTGGGCGACTGAGGAGGGTGGCCGTTTCCCGAGAACTCATGGCCGTGCAGGGAGGCGCCGGCATGGAGGAACATGTTGCTGGTGGCAGTCGACGGTGGCAGTCGACGTAGGGTACACTGAGTTGTAGGGGGTGGGCAGGAGCGACGGGCGGTTGCCAGTCAGGACCTACTCCCTAAAAGTAGGAGTGACTGCCAGTGAGGCTCGTCCCACTCCGCACTCCGTGACACCCGAAGTCCAGCCTCGAGGTGCAAATTTCAGTAGCAGCAACTTAGAAACCCGGGCGCGGGCGCGAGGCAAGGCTGCCGAGCTGGTCCGCCCCGGTCGGTGTGGTGGTGGTCCCAGAGATTCCGTCAGTGGTTCCCAGGGCCGGGCGGGAGCCAACCGCGATCATGGGGCCGCTGGTGGACGAGGTGTAGAGTGGATCCGGATGCGAAAAAGCGTGCCAGGTGTGGCGTCACCGTCGGGCATTTATGGGAGGCCGGAGCGCATGGGCTTGGATAAGATGGGACGACAGAAAGTGAGATCAGCAACGAGGGCCCGAGGCTGTAGTTTGAGTTAAGCTTCCCAGGTGTCGGCGGCAGTGTCAGTATCGGTCCAATACCCCGTCCGGTTTCGTCCAGTTTCGTCACGAGTATGTCTTGTCTGTCTGGTGGGCAGATAATATATTGACGGGGAAGCCCTGCAAAGAAGGTGGGCTCTCTCTCTCTCTCTCTCAGAATGAGCCAAGACAGAAGAGAAGAGTCGAAGAGACAGACAAGAGAAGAGAAGAGGAGCAGAGGGGACGAGGAAATGAAGCGGAAACGAGGACGAATAGAAGACACCAATCAATCCAGCCGGCGGATGAGATGGCGTTGGAGACACTTGGGGAGTGCAGCAGCAGTGCAACAACGCGGTCGGTGAGCTGGGGAGCGGACGCAAGATGCTGTGCATGTGGGCGTACTATGTACTGACTGCCTGCCAGCCTGCCAGCCTGCCATGTCCCACTCGGCTGTGCTGCGCCCGTTCCAATGAGAAGGGGGGCAGGGGGGCAAAGGGGGGCCCAGCAGGCCAGTCGAGCTAAATTGGGCGTTGCCCACGGTGGAGATGCAAGGGCATTTCCCCAACTGTCCCAACTGTCACTTCCTGGCTGCCTGCGCTGACATGAACTCGTGCTGTGTGGTACTACCGTACTCCGTACCTACACTAGGTATAGATTGCAATGTCATTATTGGGCCAGCTGTCGTTGGCTCTTTTGCCGTTGGCTGACGATATGATGCGTCCGTTGATCCATCCGTTGATCTACCCGCCCGCCCATCCAGTCAGCCAGTCCTCTACAACAGCACACAGACAGGACAGTGCTACCTACTAGGTACTCAAGTAGGTAAACGTGCAGCACGTGCAGCACGTAGCACCAGGCGGTCAATTGGTCTAGTGGTGGTCTACGGTAGTAGCGCAGTCTTGCAATCTGGGGATATTTGCTAGGTACCTAGGTACCTACCTACACTAGTCAGTCTGTGTGTGGCAGGTGGCACGGCAGTTCCTGGGCTCACAGAGTGCACCTTTGATCGGGGTGGGGAGGCTGCGGATATAGCCGTGGGCCTGAGGTCGCCTTGGTCGCCTCTGCAAGAGTGCATGCACCTTGGGCCTGTTTCAGCTGCCGATCCTGCCTCTATCCTATTCTGTCCGTCTTCTACACTATCATGGGTCTCTTTCTTCCTTCATCAGACCGGGGCCTGCCAACCCGCATGCTACATAGTACTTGATGCAGCCTCGTGGCGCCCGACTGGTATTTTTGGCGTCAGGTGTTGGTGCTCCTTCCGTCGACCTTTTTTTTGATTGCCCAAATCTCGGTACATGCCGAGGCCTGCACCACATGTGCGTGCCAAGACCCACAATTTAGCAAGTGGGTCCCGATCTTCTCCAAGGGCGTGGGTGCCCCCCGTGCCCCCCCTAAGGGCCCATGCTGCTCTCTATTTGTGGCTGTTTCTACACGTGTAGTTTGTTTCTGCGTCTGTCAGCCTCGGGTGGCTGTTTCTCTTCGGCCGTGTCCTCGACTGTGTAGGTATTGCATGCAATCCACCTGGGCATACAGCATGTACTACTGTACAGCACTCGGAGACTGCGTGCATCCACCACGTTCGCCGCCATGCCTGCCACAAGCACCGACAGCGGCTCCCCCTTCACCACATTGACGGCCGCCTTTCTGTCGTGGAAGGCCGTTCTCCTCGCCATCGCTGCCGCCGCCAGCCGCGTGGGCCCGGCCTACGACACCTCGGCCAGCCTTCTCGTCCCCCACGGCCAGCCAACCATCCTGACGCGCCTGTCCTCCTGGGACGCCATCTACTTCCTCAGGGCCGCCGAAAGAGGCTACTTGTTCGAGCAGGAGTGGGCCTTCTCGTCCGCCTTGCCAAACTGCATCGCCCTCATCATCCGAGGTAAACGCTCGCTCCTCCTTCCCGCCGCCGCGCCGCACAAACCTCTTTTCTAATCACAAGCTTTCAGCCTTACGGATCCCTCGGCTCGGCCTGCTCACCACCCCGGACCCCGGCACCCACCTCGAGGCTCTGGTCGCTGTCATCTTCTCAAACACCTGCCATCTGCTGTCTGTTATCGTCCTCTACCGCTTGGGCCTGCACGTCTGGAGGGATTCCAGGTGGGCACTGGCTGCTGCCCTGCTGCACGTCTTGTCCCCCGCCGGCCTCTTCCTGTCGGCACCCTATGCCGAGAGCGCCTGCTCCTTGCTCTCCTTCACCGGCTGGCTGCTGCTGGTCAAGAGCTGCCTCAGCACTGGTCCTTCCGTTTCATCCCTCCCCAGAGATGCCCTGACCCTGCTCGCCGGCCTCGTCTTTGGCCTCGCCACCTATTTTCGTACCAATGCCTTGCTCAACGGCGCCCCGCTGGCCTTTGATTTCCTCTCGACCTTCTACCAACTGACGGAGGATCTTGATCACCGCAAGACTCCCGATTACCTCCGGAGGCTGCTGGTGCTCGGAATCGCCGGCCTGCTTGTCGCTGGAGGCACCATCATCCCTCAGTATCTTGCTTACCAGGCCTACTGCTCCACCGCTTCCGCGCCTTCCGAGGCCAGGCCATGGTGTACCCACCTCGTGCCCAGTATCTACAACTATGTCCAGAGGCAATATTGGTAAGACTCCTGAATAAACCCACAGGCAGAGCGCCACTTGGCGGTAGCCTCGGACTTCGTCAGCGTCCGCTCGCTCACACCGCGGCATAGGAATACCGGTTTTCTCCGCTACTGGACGCTGTCCAACGCCCCACTCTTTGCCCTTGCTGCCCCCATGCTCTTCGTCATGGGCAAGGGCGGGAAGGATCTTTTCTTCCAGGGCGCCATGATCTCCAGGGCTCACGCGGACGCGCCGGGCCTGGACAGCTCCCGCCTCGTCCTGGTCGTGAGGTCCATGATCTTTGCCCAGGTCCTGCTCGTCGTCATGGCCTTCACGAGCTACCATGTTCAGATCATCACCCGCCTGTCCTCCGGCTATCCTGCCTGGTACTGGTGGCTGGCGGCCTGCCTCAGGAGCCCCAAGACGAGGGGCATGGGTAGCGGCCTTGTCGTCTTCATGATCATGTATGCCTCCATACAGGCCGTACTGTTTGCTTCCTTCCTGCCTCCAGCTTGAGGCGTCCTGCATCTCCGCAGTGTTACCCTTTGTCTGGAGCCATACTAGGCGGCCAAAAGCAAGCGCTTTCTGGTCTGTAGGATTGTACTCGAGCCGCCATTGGATTCCTTGGCTACTTGTCTCGGTTCTGAGATTCTCACTGCTACGCTGGGACCGTGCTGGTCTCATCCTGACGCTTTAAACCCAGATACAAGCTCCTCACCTCAATAGATCAACCGAGTGAAGAGCGCGCGAGAATGTTCGCCCCAAGGCTCAATAACTGGAATGAAATACTTCTATCTCTATAACACTACTTTCTCAATAATGTGCATGTAAGACGTTCCATGTCAATGCTTCGAAAGTGGCGAATGCTATAAGGAAACGCTCCGAGTAACGTGTATCGTACACTCCAGAATGTAGGCATCTCATCATTGGACGATCTGGGAACCTTTCCCCCTTCACCCGGGACCTGCATCATTGCCCTTCGCTGGATCTTGTCCGCGCTGGATAGTGACTGGTCATTATCATAGTGGGTAGCACTCGTGGTCTCTGGCTTTCGTCGTTCTGTGCTAAGCTCACGGGAAATAGCTGCCTAGGTACTAACGAGGGGCGGGGTGAACATGAGCGAGAGGCCCATCGGCGACAGTCTGTCGGGTGTCATGTACCTGTCGGTTGCGTGCTCGGCCTCGCCGCCGTCGCGGGCCAGCGTGTAGCCCGCTGGGCTCAGGAAGCTGCAGTAACCGCGCGGTTTGCGCTGAGACCAAGATCGCGAGGGCGAGTGTTTAAGGGAACCGTCCGGGAGGGGCGACGGCGAGATTGTGACCTCGTTGGTATTCTGAGTTTGGCAAATCAGCAATGGGACATGATGGAGGGACAACATTGAGGGCTTTCTGTATGATTATGTGGCGCTATTGTCAGGCCCTTGACAGAGGTTGGAGAGCTCAAACACGAACATTGATATGGCGGATATCAAGACAGCCGCGAGAAGTGATAGTAGGTGACACTAAGGTAGGGAGAGGACATTAGGGGGAAGAAAAATCAGACTTTCTTGGATCCTGCCAGTACTTACTCCTCACCGCCACGCTTGTGGGAATAACGAACATTTGAAAACCATGAACACCAGCACGAGATCCACGGTGACTATCATTGGTAAGGTAGGACTTGGGTGACATGTCGCCATCTCTATCGTTGTCGCTCTCTTCGCTACGCTTCCGCTTGAGACTATCTGTCATCGAGTCAAGGCTGAGGTTCCCATACATGAGATACTTGTTGCCACCAAGCTGGCGAGCGGGCGCACGAGCCGACGGCATTGGACTCCATTCGGCATTTTATTGGGTACATAACCTTGCTCTCTGGCTCGCCGGAATTCTTCAATGGGGTCCCGTTGCTGTCGGATTCTGTTTGCAACTGGGATGTCTCGCGTTCAACCTCCGCCATGTGATTACTGGATGCGGTGCACGTGGCGCGGGCGGAAATAGGGGTTGTTCCAGCCAGTCCTGTAGGTTAGGGTGGTAGCGAAAGGCGAGCCACTCTATCTCTCTGTGCCAATCATCAACTAGCATTCGTTTCTCTAAGGGTGCCGAGCAGTGACGCGGCTCCCGGTTGTCCCTTGGGTGGATTAACTGGTTGCACTTCCGTTCCGCATACATCCGGGGATATGCATGGCGCCTTCATACGGTGGTAAAAGCTTAAGACTTGGACGGGTTAAGTGATCAAGTTGAGGGGCATGGTAGAAGTCCCAGATTGTCTAGTCATCACCGTCCGCCCTGTGCGTATTTACTGGCAAGGAGGCGTGGCGGTGTCGGTTCTCCGTCCTTGGACCGAGATGCACAACAGGAGCAAGAGCGGTTTTAGTCAGCTTGGGCCCTTCTACGTTCCGAGAGGTAATGCCAGAATGCGAAGGATCTCTTGGAAAGGGAAATCAAAGAAATGTCCAGCTGCCACTGGGGCAGGAAGGAACAGAGCTGCGGATATAGCGTGAAAACTCAATGGCCGGGCCAGCAGCAAGCATATTAGAATGGCCCAAATGTAATGATTATGAATTTCTTGGTCATTTCCGGGGAGCACATGAAATTTTGATCATGGAAGTGCTTCGGCCACATTATATTTTCCCTTTATATTTATCGAGCAGTGGGACCCACCCATTGTAACATTCCATTCAATGTTGTCTATAAATACGGGCTTCCCCCGCTCACTATTCATAGTTAAGAAACCAGTCAATTTGCTCTATTCGATATGCCCTGCTCGGAATAATGATAATACTACCTAGCTATCTTTCTACTTAGCTGTTTATGTGGTTTCGCTTCTATTCCGTATACGTCCGAGGAACTACATGGCGCCTTCATACGGTGTTAGCTGGTTATGTCCTATAATATTAAAGTGTAGTGTGGTTGAAGCTCGATAAGAAGCTTATATTGCTTAAAATATAATGATTCTCCACGTCCAACAGTTAGGTGTTAAGGCCAGCCACTAATACAGCTGCTTCACAAGGCTGTGTAAAGGCCCGCCCTTTTTAAGCCGCGTCCCGGTGTTTGATGATGGTACCCTGTGAACCGAAGCAGCCAGCAGGCAACTGAGGTAGTACTTTCAGATGCATTCTTATAGAAACATAGTGGATACGCTCACCATTTCATCTGGATGCCATCGTGCAGACCATGTGACCTAGCTGTTGTCATGGTACACACTGGCCATCACGATCCACTCTATGTAAACGCCCCAGCTCTGCCAGCGGCTCGCAGGTCCCAGTCCTTTTCCTCCTCGTTCAACAAGAAACTCACAATCTTGAGCAACCTACCAATTCATTGATAGCTGTCTCCTGCATGGTCATTCTTTTGAAAGTTATCTCACGGAGGGTGTCTATTTTAGATGTCTTCATTGGGTCAGGCTATTTCATACGCAGTTGTCACATAGGACATCTGGACGTTGACCCATTAGGAGCTTCTCAAAAGACGGTAGGTAGCCTACGGGACACAAGAGCTGGGGTTGGATATTGTAGACGCCTAGCGGCCACCCTAGCAATGTTTCACAAGAATGTCAGAGTCTAAAAGAGGTCCCAATGGTACTCAAAATACGTGATGCTGACCCGGATTGGTTTCCCGGAAATCACACACACGCTTGGTTTGGCAGGGATCCAAGACGTTGCCAGTCGAGGGAACCTTGGGATCCCAGGCGACGGAATAGTAGAAGCAGGCTTTCGAGCTGCTCGTTAGCCTGACAGGGCACAAAGTCTCGAGCAACTTGGCTGGGGAAGTCGCCGTTTTTATGAAGATTGTTCTCTAACACATGCACAGCAAGTCCAGGCTGCGAAATCATAACTCGTGGTAGCATCGACTCAAGATTCGTGGTAGATGAAACATGACAGCTTGATGTCTGTGAGTAGATGGAACGATGCCGTGTGGTAACCGACAAAGTGCAAGTGCAAGTGCAAGATAACGATTGGGCTGGGCCCTGGTTGCTTTGGCAAAGTGGGTGCCCACTGCCGATGAGTGCGGCCAAGTGTATGATGGCCTCAGGGGCAGTGTGCTGGGTCATGGGTTTAGCCGAGGCAGGCAGGCAGGCATTCGCCCTCGAGGTTGTGAAGTCGAGATCGACAGGATTGGATCAAGGAATGTGCCAGGGAAGAGAGCCTGCTGCAATGGGTAGTAGACGTGTAATATGTGCTGGAGGTTAGGAGGAAGAATTCCAGCAAAAGCTTCTTCAAAGCGTGGCGACGGAGGCTAATTGCATGCAGGGAACTAGTGGTGAACTGAAACGGAGCTGTGCACGGGGCCACTAGCGGCCCGGCCGTAGGTTTCAGTTCGTTGTCATCGCTCCCGCACCTGCATTGGTGGCGTGGAATGAGCGTGGAAGTCTCCCAAGAACTCACTTCTGGCAGATGCAATGTGACCCGCGAGCCCGGATCTTGTGTGCACTTTGTTCTGGCCCAAAGCCCAGGTGAAACCCAATCGCCGGACAGCCATGTCAGCAGAATTCAGATGCCTCCTCTGATCTTGCTGGGCCAGAACCATATCTACAGTTGCAGCGACTGACACGCCCGTGGCCCACTCCAAACAACGTGAACGAACCGACAATGAGATACTTTATCAGCATCGCGGACGTGATGCACAGACGTAAAGTCTCGAGGTTTCCATCACCACCACTAAACCACGCGAGGCCAAGTGTCGTCGTCCGGTCTCATAGCCTCGCTGTGACCGCCTCTATCTGGGTTGTTTTGTCAACAGCAGCCTCTCTCTAGTTGTATCCAGATCCTGTTGTTTTGTCTTTGCAGCTGACCACCAAGACATGGTACACCAGTCCTGTCAGTCTCGGCTACCGGCTGCCCATTGGACCCCTGGCTCTCTCCACCTCACCCACTCTGTGGTTCCCTGATGTGTACACACAAAAAGGTGGCTTCACCAGAACACATTCGGCCTCAAGATCGCCCGGATACAATGCCATCCATCCACCCTCCCACTGTCCAGGGACCTGGCCACCAGAGTCAATCTGGTCTGAAGAGTGCTGATGCAAAGGCGATCGTGCCAAATCCGGCTGATTGTTAGTAAACCTCGTCCCTGACCGGACGACGAGCTCTGCGCCGGCTGGCTTCTGACGTCTAGGGTTTCAGGTGAAACACAGAGCACATGGGTTCACGATGCCACCCCGGTGCCACCGTCCAGCCGTCCACCTTCCATTCTGAGAGACTTGGCGCCGCCGCATCGCTGCCGTCTGCCCACAGCGCGCCTGCCCCTTTTATTCACGAGCACAGAGAGATGCATCCCATCTTTTTGGCGCCCAGATCCACCCACTAGAGCCTGCCCCCTGCTGCACGGGTTTGAGCCTCACCCTGGCCTCAAGTCCTCGCTACCGCAATTGGACGGCCAGTCTATTCCAGGTGCCGGCCTGACGAGCGAGACGGGGCCTCCCTAACACATCCACACCATCGTCGGAGCCACTCCTCGATAGCACCCTCTCATGCCTCTCAATGTTGAGGTCCGGCTGTCACTGTTCCCTGCTGCCGCCGTCTGCAGCACCTACTCCGCACCTAGTTTCGCATGCTTCAGACCCAGCCGTCCCCACTTTGTCGTGACTGCTACTCGACACGCCCGTCTGGTCTTGTGTGATCCCAGTCTCTCAGTCTCTCAGTCTCGCAGTCTCTTCTCCCTCCCTTCACTTCTCTACTGCGTCAATCACAACGGGAAGCCATGAGGATGACAGGCCCGAGCATGTGAGAGTGTCGTCGGTATGTTGACTGCGCGGAGGACCACCACGAAATGATGAAGTGTTGATGCTTTTCTTGATACCCTTTCCCTTCGCTTCCAAACCCCCATTGATTGGGCTGGCCTTTCTTCATACTCCCTTTCGCCAGCTGGCGTCGCCACCATGGCGATATCTGGAACCACCTCGGCCCTTGTTGCTGCCTTCGCGTTGTGAGTCGCTGCCCCCCTTCTCCCAACGGAATGAGATGGCGGTTCTGGTCTCGGGTCGACGCTGACGAGCACTCTCAGCGGTATCGTTGTGAACGCGGCATCGGCGGCCTTATTTCTCAATGTCAGGGGCCATGGCTCGTCGATCTTTCGAGACGGCAAGAGGCTGGTCCTCGCTATTTTCCTATTCAGCGCCGCCACATGGGCCCAAGTTGGCTTCATTACTACATTAATAGACCCGGCCGCCGAGAACTCGTGCCAGATCGCCATAGTCTTCACCACCATGTTCGACCAGCTTGCACGATACGCCATTGAGCAGCATTCTCTCTGGGTCATCAACGACGGAACCCCGGCGTCGACCGGCCAGATTATTCCCCAGGTCTTTCTGGCTATTCGCTTTGTTCTCGGGGCCGTTTTTGTCGGCCTATCAAGACCGCAATTCAACGCCGTTTGCGTGCCGGTCTCGTCTGTTCTGGCCCTAGCTATCACTTTGGTCGTGGTGGATGCGGTGGTTGTCACAGTCTTGGCCGGGCGGGCCATTTCTGTCGGGCTGATCAAGAAGATGCAAGATGGTGGCCAAGACTCGGCCCGGAGCAAGGCTGTTGTAGCAACGCTCATTGGTCTGATCATATGGATGGCGGTCAGTCTGATCACGGTCCATGCGACCTTTCTCTAACCTTGGTGCATTCTGACAAGCATACAGACAAGCGTGGCGATGCTACTAGGCATCTTCACCACAGACTACATATTTAGAAGCACTATCCCAGCAGGTGGTCTCACCATCTTGCTCAGTGAGTTTGGACCGATTTATACATGCCTTGGGTATCGCCCTCTGACAGTAACAGTTATTACGACTGCGAGCACAAGCGCCTTCGCAGACCAAAAGCCGAGGGCTAGAGACCGGAACGTGCCAGAGGCACCCTCACCGAGGCAGATCGTGACCGCAAGGTCCATCTCTACATCAGACTCCAACGAATACCCGCCGAGCCGATACGAAGACGTTAAAAACGAACAGATCACTTCTAGCACCGCATTCATCCAGCCAAGAGAAGTGCCTTTCCCAAACCAGGGCTTGCCTAGCATCACAAATCCCGGCATCTCAGGCCAGGGCGTGGGTGGGGTTCCAGTCCAAGGCCAGCTATTCCCCCCGATGCGGGCGGGCACGGCACCCATAAACCCTCGTGAGGCACGGCAGCCAGAGCAGTTGCAAAACAAGCCTAGGACGCTGTTCTCGAGCGCTGGGGCAGGAGGACCAGCAAAGACGGTCACGGTTGGGAAACTAGCCATATCAGCTCCAGTTCTCCAGCAAGGCGGTTCAAACCCATTGGACAAGGTAGCCACAACGGATCTTGACACGGCAGCAAGGAAAGAGAGAGAGAGGAGGGCGCTTCTCGTGAGCCAAAGTCAAGAGCCGGCTCTTCGGAACCAGGTCGCTGCTGCAGCCATCGAGCCGGCGCAGGGGGTTATGCGGGCAACTAGTACCCTACGCAAGGAAATTGTGAGGCAGCCGTCTTTACCTGCTCTGCCCGATGGCGCCACATCGGCGACAGGCTTTACGACCAGCTCCCAACTTTCACCCGGTGGTGAGGAACTTCGGAGGAGGTCGCCAAGACATGCGCCGTCGGCCTCGCAGACGTCAGCACAGTCAGTCGCCGTCTCCTCAGCATCCAGCCGACCACCTTCTCCCCCAAAGAAGTCCGCAGCCCGGGCTGCGCCCAAGGGCCAAGATGTTGTCATCCGCACAGATATTCCACCATCCCGACAGCTGCCTCCGTCCCCCGAACCTGCGGGCCCCGAGCCAACGAAGACGCCACTTCAGAAACGACCGACAATCGGACTTCCTGGAAACCCGAGAGCAATGTCTGTGAGAAGACCACCAGGGGAATCTGGGCCACAACGACAGCAGACAGTCATGTTCGTGAACAACATTATTTACGACGACCCGAACTACGTCGAAAGCGTCATGGGGGGTGCCAAGGAGCGAGGTCCCAAGGCGGCTGTTCCGCCGCCCATCAACACGGCACCTGCGGACCCAACAGCAACGCCTGCGATACCGGAAACACCTGGAACTTCAAATTCTATTGTTCACCGCCCGAGGCCAGTACCAAGAAGAAGCAATACATCAGGCATGGATACGTACTTCCCGCCAATCGCGCCAGCAAAGGGTCACAGAAAATCAAAGTCTGCAGGGTCTATCCGAACAGTCAAGTCTATGTTGCAGGCTGTGCCAGGCAGCCCCACAAACCTTCCTCCTCTACCTCTGCCTCCTTCGCAGCAGGTTCCTAGCTACGCCGCTCGGCCGAAGCCTAACGACACGAAGAGTATGACGTATGATGAGAAAATGACACTGCTCTTCCCACAGCCACCGAATGCCGAGGGGAGTGCGCGCAGAAGATCGTCTGTGCCATCACTGCCCGGCATGCCCGTGTCGTTCATCAGCAGCTCACCGACACTGACGGACAATCTGGGCTACAACAACCAGTACCGGGACTCCAAGAGGACAACCACATCCGTGCAGACAAGGAGCCTCTTTGACGAGCCCGAGGAGACTTCTCAACGAGAAGTGTCCACAGAGGCCCCCCGTGACCCACCTGGTGCCATTATGTACCAGGATCTTCTTTCAGAGGCTGGCCAAGAGGTCATGGCCGAGGAGGAGAACCTCACAGATGAGAAGAAGCAGTCTCTAGCAACGGCAAGAAATGGCAAGCGAGCATCCTCGCCAGTATTGCCTGCCCGATTCAGTATCATGTCAGCGTCGACAACGGATAATACCACGGCGGACGACGCAACTACGGAATGGGGCACGGTCCATTCCCCAGCTCCAGTTCAGCAGATTGGCTTGACAGTTCACCAGGCCCGAGCCATCGAGGTTGGGAAGCCAGAGAAAGCCTCTGGCCAAGATCAGAGGGCCGTTTCGGCGATTACAAATAGCGAGGAAATGATTTTCATGCTCGACGCCTCTGTGGCGCGGGACTTGCAACCTAAGGGCAAGGCGCCTGCAACGCTTGAAGAGGAAAGCCCAGTAGTATCTAGGGCCTCATCTGGCCAGTTCTACCGGCGGGTTGGAGACGAGACTCTGAGTTTTTCTTCGCGTCCCGACAAGGCGCGTTCGAGGAGAGGCCCACCACCAGTTCCTCTGGTGCTGAGCGACCGACCCACAACAGCCAAGCAAGCTGTTCTCGTCAAAGCTGCCGAACCATCGCCTCTTCCATCCCCAGAGGAGGCCCTCATGATGATTCAAGCACAGCTGAAGAAATATGAGCAGCCTGCCCCGGGTGCTGCTGATAGCCCCGGGCTGGGTCGACTAGCACTCTTGAACGACCTGGAGGCGGAAATGGGACAACAAGAGACGAGGTGGCATGGAATGCAGCACGACCTTTCGCGAGACTCGTTCTCCACCGTCTCCCCCACTGCGCAGTCCCGCCGCAATTCTGAAGCCGCCCCCACGTCACCGGCTGAGGCTCTGTCCAGGAACTCTTCGACGAAATCCAAGGAGAGCGTCGCTGCAGATCGGAGAGCATCACGCCGGGCACGCATGGGTAGCATCTCGTCTACGCGGTCCTCGTCACGCGAGAGCGATGATGGTAGGAACCGTGCAAGTCTCTGGCAAAGGAGGCTCGCAGAGGCACAGATGGAGTACATGGAAAACGCCAATGAGCTCATTCGCAAGCGCAGCTTAAACTTCCTCTCCGTGGCCAAGGCTGGCATGGGCAGCCCAACGCCCCCCGACTCTGATGAGTCGGAGGCAGAAATCGAATCAAGGCGCAATTTGGCAGCACTCCTCGAGGCTCGCGCCAGGCATCACGCTGAAGAGACAGAGCGGCCCGCAGGGTCCTCACAACTGCTCTGGACCCCTCGTCGAGAGCCTCAGCCTGAGAACGGATTGATGTGGGTGCGGCCACAGCGACCGTATGAGCAACATTTACCGCGGCAGGAGCCTCCCCTGCCAGGGCTGTCTGTACGACCAGCTCAACGTAAGGAGAGTTCCATGCTGCCCATTGAGTCGGCACAGCTTTGGCAGAAGTCGACTTCGCTAGGCGAGACAAGCCGAGCCGGCTTATGGGTGTCTCCGGCTGGAGTACAAACTCTAAAGGAACTTTCTCAATCGCCCACCGCCGGTAGGCGTCAAGCCCCCAGCTACTACAATCCCGGAATTCAGCGCTCACGGTCCGCTTCCGGATCTCGCCCGCTGACGCAGCGGCCACCGCGACGAAGCAAGAGGATCACAGCGTTGCCAGACATTGTTGAAGATCCGCAACCACTCCCAGACAAGCGAGGAACTCTTGGGATTTTCCAGTTTCCATGGGGTGAGAAGTCTGACATCGCTTCCGTGCAAACCCGTCCATCCGTTTATATGGCGATGCCGGGCACCATGTCTGCCGGTGGCAGGAGTCTCAACATGGCTCTGGATGCCAGGGCTAGACAGATCGAGTCGGATGAGTACTCGTCATCGTTCTTCGATGACTACGACGAAGATGCCGAAGATGGAAGCGACTCATCAAGTGACATGGGGTCGGACAGTGACGATGGGTTTGACGAATCCACTTTGTGGGAGATTGCAAGCTTGCTTAAGACTGACCAAATCCCATCCACCAACAGCATGTTCCCACCGCCGGACGATACTACCAGCCATGTGATTGATGACTATGCGGATGAGGAGGAGGCTGCTCGAGTGGTTCGCCAGACGATTCTTGTCGGTATTGAAGAACCAGATGGGCTCCAAGAGATGCCGTCCCCGCTCACTCGTCTGGGATCACCCAAGAGAACGCAATCTGCCCTTTGGCAGGCCACACGGGGTACGGAACGGGCGCTATCCGCCAAAGGTCTCCCGCAGCCCGAAGACTGGCAGAACTACGACGCACCCACAGAGACCTCCCGTGCTAAGCCTCGGATGCCTGTGCAACCAGCGCCGATCGAGAGCGACAACCTGTGGCTTCCATCGCAGGTCGAAGCTATTGATTCAAAGTCTCCAATGTGGTCCCTACCCAGCAGTGTGGAGTCATCTCAACCAGTTTCGCCCAAGGATTTCTCAGAAGTGCTATCATCGCAGGAGCTGTCGACTGAGCTGTCAAGGTCTCTTGCGATAACAGAACCGCTCTGGAAGGCGGAACAGCAACCCCAGAAAGGCGACCACGGTGTTGGCCTGCCACACCCGGATAACTGGGAGGCACTTGACAACACCAGGTCTACCGTCCGCACAAAGCCTCGTCATTCTGAGCCTGGCGTCATTGAGAGCGACAACCTATGGCAGACTGCGTCCGGGAGCCGCCTTTCAAAAAATTGGCTAGAAGCACCGGCACCAATTGCGCCAACCAGACCTTTGTGGGAAGCGGTTGAGAAGCCGACGCGTGGCGAGCATAACATCGGGTTACCTCATCCTGATAACTGGGATGAGTATGATGGTGCTAAGCAAACTCTGCGTTCCAAGCCACGACAGTCCGGCCCCGCGGTTGTCGAGAGTGTCAACCTGTGGCAGGCTCCTTCATCTGAACAGCCTGGGCCGAGGAATTGGCTGAAGCTTCCGAGAGCCATTACGACCAGCCACAGCCTATGGCGAGTAAATGTTCGCCCAAGAAGAGGGGAGCACTCTGTGGGCCTCCCTCAGCCTCAAAGCTGGGACAGCTACAATACCATTGCGTCAACCATCCGGGCAAAGCCTCGACAGTCAAGCCCCGCGACCATCGAGAGCGTTGATCTATGGAAAGTCTCTTCAACCAGCGAGTCTGCATCGAGGAATTGGTTAAAGCCTGCAAGTCGGCCACTCTGGCAGGCCGCTGCGCTAGCTAAAAAGGGTGACCATACCGTTGGTCTGCCCCAGCCTCGGAGTTGGACTAGTTACGATAGCATCAAGACGACTGCTCGGGCAAAGCCTCGCCAGTCTGAGCCAGCTGCTATTGAGAGCGCCGACCTTTGGCAAGCGCCATCAGCCCAGGAAGCTACTCCGACTTCCAAGCTGTGGGCACCCAGGATGCTGTCGGCTCCTGTGACGCGTACTGCATCTCCTGTCTCGGACACATTCAACCAGTTCGACGCAACGAAGCTTCTCTGGTCAGCACCAGTATCGCCGAAATTGCTTGCCGACTCCGGCCTTTTCAATCCCAGCATCAGTCGCCTGGACTTCCGGCGCTCTTCTCAAATCCCTGCCGCTGCTGACATGAGCCGCAAGCCCCGCCCCGCAGACCGGCGGCCGGTGGACAAATTGAACTCAACAACGCTTTGGGTCGCTGACGCTGCGCCCCAGAACGAACGCAACTGGATCTCGCCGATGCCCAGCCCTAAGGGCAAAACCCAAAGGGCTCCCGCCCCCGTGTCTGGGTCCCACACCCCAGCTAAGAGTCAGCCTCGGCCAGTTGCTGCTTCGTCGATGGATTGGGACGCTGCTCTTCGACAAGCCCTAGCAGCCAGCTACCCGATGCCTTCGCGGAGGGCGGTGACTACTCAACAGTGGGACTCAGAACTTGACAAGGCTGTAGCTGCCAGTTACCCTGCTTCTGTCACCTCGAGCCGCAGGACAGTTTTCCGGGCGAGTGCAGCGGACTGGGACAATGCTTTGGCTGAAGCTGTATCTCAGAGCTATGGCAACCCCTTTGATGTGACGAAGCGCCACCCAGTGTTCGCTGCGGCATCACTGACCTCCAGTGCAATGATTGCACACCCTGCTGCTACTGGCTACACTCACAGTGTTGCTTCTGTGCATCCTGTATTCTTCGGCTCGGGCGTTTTCGCATGTCCGGCGGACAACACTCACCCGGCTATTAACCGGCCATGGCCTTCGAATGACAGTGAACCGTCTCGCGGAATCGAAACCCAGAGCACTGACCTGGCCCCTACCTATGCTGGTCGTGTGCTGGACGAGGACGAGCATGAGAGGGAGAGTGAGATGATGATGGACTCAGCACTGCTTGCACGGATTGAGGCACTCGAGCAAGAGCGTCTATTTGCCGAGCGGTGGGCAAGGGGCTCATTTGCGCCCGTCGATGTCACCCCAAAACCGCCACAGGCTACATTGGACCCTCCCGCGGAGGAAACGCAGGGGGTTCCTGAGCAAACCTTCGACTTCGACTTCGAACCTGTCGATGTCACCCCGGCCGTACCACTGGCCACTTTGACATTGTCACCCATCACCCAGACACAAGCTGAGGCACCCACTGGGTCCGTACTGGACACCCCAGTCAGCCAGCGTCTCCGACGCGCAGAAACCTTCCAGTCTGTGTCCGAGATGAGCGAGGTTGAATCGTCGGTAGTCAGACTGAGGGACAGCCTTGTGAGTGTGGGTACTCCCAAGGAAATGAAGCCTGCGGGATCTAGCATCAAGTTCATCTACTAGGAGTGTGTAGAGTGAGGCAGGACGGGAATGTAAGAGGAGCGGAGTCGGGAAACATTTAGCATGCCACGTCTGTTTTGTAATTTGTCCTGTGTGACTCGACTGAACGATCCACAGAAATGATACCTCCCTCGGGCCTGTAAATTAGCATGAAGTCACCTTCTTTTGCTTCCAACTACACACTTGCTTAATCAAAATTTGTCCTATAAAAGTCGTATCTAAACGCCACGTAAAACCTGTGAGCAAAGAAACAAAAAAGTATTGAACTCCTAGTGATGCTTTCTTGTCCATTCCCCCGCCCTCTTTTGACTTGAGACTCTTGTCTACAATGGCATGCTTGCGGTTCCATTCTATGGATATGTGACGCACCCGCAGGCACCGGCTGATTGCTTTCTTTGATACACACCAGAGTTACAGTATCGCATCTTCACAAATCACAAAAAGATGCCTGACCATGCAGACCAATAAATACAACGAACCTTTTTAACTAACCCCCATCGTCAGGCGCCGTTCTCACCATGCACGAACATCAGAGCGCGAACTCGGGCTCTGGGGAGGAAGGAATGGGAGAGCTTTCAATAGGCGAGTAGACGGGCGAGAAGGGGTCGCTCTTGTGGAAGACGCGGCTGCCAAACTTCCACACCTCGTCGGCGACCAGCTGGACGGCGCCGTCGGCGTCCAATTCCTCGGAGAAGATGACGAGGTCGGCGTCAGCACCAGGCTCCAGGGAGCCCTTGACACCCTCCAGGCCCAGCATCTCGGCCGGAGTGGACGTCGCCGCTCTCAGAGCATTGGGGATACTGGTGCCGGACCACTTGAGGAAGTTGTTCACGCATTCGATGAGGGTGATGGAGCTGTTTGAAGGGTGAAGGTGAGGGAAAAGTCAGCGTGGCCGACCAAGTCATACTTTTTCGTCTCTTTTGCTGTTCTGGAACTGACTCACCTCCCTGCTATACTGTCCGTCCCCTCGAGTGTGAGGACGTAGCCCTTCTTGATGATGTGATGCTCACCCTCGCCATTGGTCCACCTGTACCTCCCATCCGGTAGTCCCACCATGTGCATGGCATCAGTGACGAGGATGAAGCCGTCCGGGTGGGCGTTGTGGGCGATCTTGATGGTGGTGGGGTGCAGGTGGATGCCGTCGGCGATGATGCCGAAGTAGGGGCGCGGCAGGCTCTCGGCGATGCCCAGGACGCCAAAGATGCCGGGGTTCCGGTGGTGCAGCGGCCGCATGGCGTTGAAGAGGTGGGTGATCATGGTGGCACCGCTGGCGACGGCAGCAGAGGCTTCCTCGTAGGTGGCCTCGGAGTGGCCGATGGAGAAGATGACGCCGCGGGACTGCAGCTCCGTTATGAGCTGGGTCATGCCGCCCAGCTCTGGCGCCGCCGTGATCATCCTTATGGGCAGGGCCCCCTGTGCCACGTCCGGGTTGATGTTCTCGGGGCCGTACATGTCCTCGAGGTCCTGGAAGGTGTGTGCCTGTCGCATCACCTCGACATTGTGAATGCCGTTCTTGCCCGGGTTCAGGAAGGGGCCCTCGCAGTGTGCGCCGAGCGACTCGGCCCCGTCGTCAGCGATGCGCTTGGCGCCCGAAGGAGCCAGATGGGGCAGGACCTTGCGGTACAGGTCGCTCGTCTGGGTGGTGACGGTGGGCACATAGGAGGTGACTCCGGTCTGGACCAGCCTCCGGTTCAGATCGCGCACCGCCTTGCCGTACAGCGACATGTCGGGCACGACGGTTGAGAAGTTGAGACCGAAGGCGCCGTTGAGCTGCACGTCGATCAGGCCCGGAGAGAGGATACGGCCGGCCAGGTCGATGGTCTGATCGGGGAGGACAAAGTCGTCGTAGAAGGCCTGCTGGGTCTCGACGATCTTGCCCGTCACCGAGCTGACCCAAAGGTCCTCATTGACCAGCCGGTCGCCCTTGAGGAGGCGGCAGTTCGTAAATTTGGTGATGCCATGCTGGCGGTGTTCTGTGACGAGGGCGGGCATTCTCAGGGTCGAAGATGTACGGCCCGAGGTGATTGTTCCAATCTATGGAGGCAAGGGAGGGTATCTAGGTATATTGCGTGCTTGGCGGTATATCCTGAGCCTGCAGGCCTGTCTGGGGTGGTGAAGGGACTCCATGAACAAGGAGGGAGAAGTGACGAGCGGGCGCATGGAAGCCTATACATAACCAGCTGCTTGCTCAACCACCATGGCGGCAAGAGTCTACGGCCACCCAAGGTAACACTCCGGTAGCACTCGGGGCATGACGATAGAGGCCGGGAATCCCAGAGAGGCAAGTGGGCAGGTATCACGTTGCCGGCACAAGCAGAGGCTACAAACCCTCGTGCAAACCCACTTAGTCACTGGGGGCAAGCTGGTTGGATGCATGGTGATGAAACTGGTCATGGTAATAAGACGAACCTGAATCGAGGCGGCGGCACATCGATCAGCATTGGGCACAGCACAGTGCAGCACAGTAAGCCAGTTGCCGCCGGGCGATAGTCCACATGGTCCGGGTCACTGGCTCCCGTCTACCGTCTACCGTCCAACGGTCGAGATAGGCTCTGAAATCCTGACTGTCACTGTCAGACCGGAGAGGCCGCCTCGATGACAGCGTACCGCTCGATGCTGGAATTTGGCATCCTGTGAGGGCTGGAGGGCTGGAGGGCTGAGAGATAGGCCCAGACCCAGGTCTTGCCTCGCTGCCTCGCCTGCAATAAGGAACCGACGGTGTTGATATGGCGTCAGGGCGTATGGCCGGCCTCCGGTCGTCTCGCCGACGTGCCAGGATCCTGTTTGCCCTACCGTCTCGGCAATGAGGGTGGGACTGGGGCCAGGATTGTACCGCACCACACAGGCTGACAGGGTACCTCCTGTGCTGCCGTCACTGATATGGCAAAAAGGAGGGGCAAGGCGACGTTGAAGCTGTCTCAGAGATACGTGTGGTCGTTGGTGGTGGGATGTCTCGAACCCCGCCGTCACATGGGACATTTGCTATGTGGAGGCGGGTGGGCAGGCAGGGCAGGCTGGACGATGAAGTTGACGGCCGTGACGTTACATCTGTGAGGTTGAGAGATTCAGAGTGGTCCTGATAGTGTGGATTGGGTACCTGGGTACATGCACCGCACGTCTCCCATCAAGGCCTAGCGCCATCTGTGCGCTTCCCGGCCCAGATACCCAGATACCCAGATACCCTAGCCCTGGAGCCATGTGCAGGTGCCAAGTGGAAAACGGCGGGGGGTGGAAAGGGGGGGGGGGGGGGAGGCAACGGTCTCCAAGGCCTTCAGCCTCACGGTGCTCAAAGCCGGGAGGAGGCAGGCGCTAGGGTCCTAGTGCAGACCGCTCTCAACGCCATCGTCGCGGATGAACGGCTTGCGCAGGTAATCGCTTCTACTCGCAGCCGTACGACCCACCCCGACAGGCTGCTATTGCTCATCACCCTCCCTCATCCGGCTCAATCTCTATTGCGCCGCCCTGAGCCGGTCCCGAGCCTCTGGTGTGGTACGGAGCCCGACTCCAATGCTACCCACGCTCCCGCTCCACGTGACAGTCGCATAGCTGTTATGTCCCATGTTCCGCAGAGAGCCAAAGAGAAAGAGACAGAGAGAGAGACTCAGAGTATTCCTCAAATAGCCAACAGCAATGGCTAAGCCAGACGGCGACTTGGACCCACTATGGCAAGACCTTGATTGGTACGTGAACGGTCATTACGTTACGACATCACTTTCTCCCGTCTGAAGTCCTGAGCCGTGGACATGTGGAAACTCGACATGGCATGCCTCAGCCTTGGGCCGCCCGCGGTACCTGGATTGCATCATGAGCTGACGCTATGAGGTTGCTGCAGGGCCATTGGCCAGATGCTCTTGATGGGCTGGGACGGGACCGAAGTTGTGAGTTTTATACTTTCTAGAGTTTTGCCCGTGCTCCCCAACTCTCATCTTCCGAGGAAACATGCCTGACCTCCGCAGACACCTCAAATCCGCAGCTTGATCGAGGATCACCACTTGGGGTCCATTATACTCACGGCCAAGAACCTGAAGTGTAACAAGAATCCCTTCACATCTTGAAAGTCTTGCCCGCTCTGCCATGATTGCTGATCAGACTCTCTGCTCAAAGCGGCTCAACAGGCGGCCAAGCTCGTCCAGGAACTGCAGACAATTGCTCGCAACGCAGGCCACCCTCACCCGCTGTTGATCGCTCTGGACCAGGAAAATGGCGGTGTCAATAGCCTTTTCGATGAGGACTATATCTGTCAGTTTCCCAGCTCTATGGGTGTCGCTGCAACAGGCAGCCTCGAGATGGCATACAATGTAGCCAAGGCCACTGCGAAGGAGCTCACCGCCGTCGGTGTAAATCTTATTCTGGGTCCAGTATTGGACGTTCTCACCAATGCCCGCTACCAACCAATCGGCGTCAGGGCCAGTGGCGACGATCCCCAGGAGGTCTCCCAGTACATTATCGCCGCGCTCAATGGCTACAAGGACGCCGGCCTGGCCACGTGTGGCAAGCACTTCCCAACCTATGGGAACTTGGATTTCAGGGGCTCTAGCTTGGATGTGCCCATCATCACACAGACACTCGAGGAGCTCGGCCTCAGCGCACTTGTGCCCTATAGGAACGCTATTGCGACAGGCAACTTGGATGGGGTCTTCATCGGCGGCTGCGGCATCGCATCAGCCAGTATGAACGTGTCTCACGCCTGCCTCTCCGACCAGGTGGTTGACGACTTGCTGCGGCAGGAGCTGGGCTTCAAGGGGGTAGCCATCTCCGAGTGCCTGGAGATGGAGGCCCTGTACCAGGAGATTGGCGTCAAGGGAGGCACTGTGATGGCAGTAGAGGCGGGGTGCGACCTGATCCTTTTGTGTAAGGACTACAATATCCAGCTCGAGGGGATCGCGGGGCTGAAGCTAGGCATAGAGAACGGCATCATCACCAGGGAAAGGGTCATGACCTCTCTCCGGAGGATTCTTCGTCTCAAGTCCGGCTGCACTTCTTGGTCGCAGGCACTTAGCCCGCCCGGTACCTCCCTGCTCTCCCAGATGCACCCATCACACCTCACCCTGTCCAGACAGGCATACGAGAACTCCATTGCGGTCATGCGGGACAAGGACAGGCTGCTGCCTCTGTCACAGTCCCTGGATCAGGGAGAGGAACTGTTGCTACTAACGCCGCTCGTCAAACCCCTACCGGCGTCGGCTGCGACAAAGGCGATCGAAGCAAAGAAAGGGGCCAGCGCTTCTACCGTGCACGACAAGTGGACTCACCGAGAAAGGGGCGCCATAATGAGCGGCGAGGGTGTCTTCCGGGAAATGGGGAGGTCGATCGCCCGCGCAAGAAACGGCAAGCTCCTACACACGTCGTACACCGCCAATGGTGTCCGTCCGGTGCATGAGAACCTCATCAACAGGGCTTCCGGGATCATCATTGTCACAGCAGACGCCAACCGCAACCTCTACCAATCAGGCTTTACGAAGCATGTGGCCATGATGTGTTCGATGCTCCGGGCGAGCGGACAAAAGAAGTCGCTGATAGTTGTTGCTGTGAGCTCACCGTGAGTCCGTCCCGTCGACGTTGGCTCCTCGAAGATGCCTTTCCTGCCTGTATTCTGGTGTCAAGAACACAGCATGGGCCAATGATGACTAACGCACGAGGTGGCAGATATGATTTCGCCATGGACAAGACCGTCGGCACATATATCTGCACTTTTGATTTTACCGAAACAGCCATGCAAGCACTTGTGCGAGCCTTGTTTGGCGAGTTCACCCCCCAGGGGTCACTACCTGGGACGCTCAGAAAGAGCAAAAAGGTACTCAAGTCGAGACAGCAATGGCTTGTCGAGAACTACGAAAAGGCAAGAGATGCACGGCCCCTGGATGACCTGATCAAGGCCCTCGCGAGGGCCAGCGCACCGAAGCTCGACTTCCTCAGGGCGACCTCTGCCGCATCGTTCGACCTGTACAATGCCAAGATTGAGGAGTCGCACTTTGTCGTTCGGAACAGCAGCACCAAAGCGCTGTACGGATTCTGCGCGACGTACTACACCCAAGGTACTGGCATAATCGGTGCTCTGTTCGTGGATCCGACGAAGCGCAATGTCTCGATCGGACGCTCCCTGCACCGCCGCGCACTCAGGCACCTCATCCAGAAGCGAGGGATCAAGAAGGTGCGGCTTGGCATCTCCTTCCCGGGGGTGTTCCTCGGGATCCCCGTGGACGACAACACGGGCGTGAGGAGCTGGTTCACCAACAGCGGCTGGGACACGCAGTTCCCGCGGCGGCTCACCAACATGGTGATCCCGGAGCTGGGGAGCTGGGCGGTGCCCGAGGGCCTGCTCCAGAGCATCTCGCGGGCGGGCATCAGCTTCGACCTGATCCACGGGCTGGACAACGCGGACAACGTGGTGGAGCACGTGCGGGGGCAGGCCAACGGCGAGACGCTGGAGCTGTACAAGTCGGCGCTGCAGGAGGTGAAGACGTGTGGGGTGGTGCGGGCCAAGAACGGCGGGGGCAAGATCCTGGGGACGGTGATCATCTGCAGCCCGGGCAGCTCGCTGTCGCACCTGATGCCGTGCCTGCAGCCGGGGACCGGGGCGGAGGCGGTGGGCGGTATCGTGGCGCCGCTGGTGGAGCCAACGGCGCAGGCGACGCTGGTGCTCCAGGGCCTGGTGGTGATGGGGGTGCGGCAGAACAAGGCGCACAAGACGGCGAGGAGCGTGCTCAGCTGGGTGACGGACGAGCTCTACGAGCCGCTGCTGGCGATGGGGTTCCAGGTGCTACAGGTCTTTGAGGAAGTGACCAATTCCCCCGAAAACGTAAGTGCTGATGTCCCCCCTGGCCTGACTAAGTGGCCGGGCCTAGCCTCCCGGGTGGTGGATGCTAATACTCTGCAGTGGTCTGATATATGTTGATCCCGTCTTTTCTCGCCCGATGGGCTGGAAGGTGGCTGGCTCATAGTGGCTGACATGACATACAATTTTTACCGTAACACAGCCAACTTCAAAGAAGCGGAGAGTGTCCTTATTGAGCCGCTGTGGCTTTTTACTCGGCACAAGAGCTTACTGTATTTTATGTAGAGGTCTTTGGACTGGGGCTTGTCAACAGGAGGTCGGGGTATATAGGCGCTGTGCTGTGGTGCTGTAGCGGACTCCAAAGCAGCGCTACGGCTACATATTCCAAGCTGGATTTCTTTTGGGTTTTCGACATGTGTATTGGGAACGGCCGGGGTGTCCCCTCGCCGTGCTGCGAGAGAGGAAGGGCATGTCTCAGCCACACCATGTGATGTGCTTATTGATTCGGGCGAGGGGCGGTTGGGGTGGGGAGGCGGCAAGAACAGGGTCATCTGGTTTGCATGAGTTTCAGTCGTCCAGGCGCAAACAGGATGAAGATCTGTTGAGACCGAGGTAGTGAGGTCTTGAGAGCGATTGTGCAGATTCGAGAGAATACATGGTAATCTGTATAGTATAATATAGCAGAAGTGTCTATGCAGGGGACCGTAGCCTGCTCGAGTAAGTACGTGCACTAGATACCCAAGTACCTGGATCTTGGGCGACTTGGGGTACCGGGGTACCTAGGTACATGCGCGCACTTCCTTCTATGTAGTAGTCGAGTGTGTGTGGTCGACCAATGGGCCTCCGCAGGAGCAGCGGTGCAGGGCCCAAGAAGGCCCCACAGATTAGAGGGAGATTGAAGCTTTTGGGAGGAGCGGCGCAGGACAGGCGCTTGAGTGCATCGGGGCGGGCGGGTCCCGAATCTCAGTCGCGCCGCATCTCGCTCAACCCCAAGCCCACCACCTGCACCTGCATCGTCTCGTCCTAGGCCTCGCACCGCTCCACCCTCCTCACCCACGGCCACCGTTAGCCCCAGCAGGCCACAGTAGGAAACGGCCAGTGGGAAAACGGCGGACGGGCAAGCGACACAACCCAACCGGGACCGACATCATCTCCACTCTCGCCCCTGCGCAACGGCCGACCGAGCCTGGGAATGCGCCCGCTGCCTCGGCCCTGGCTCGCATGGCCCATGAGACAGCCTACCATCACCCTCTGATCTCTGATAGCAATGCCATGTTCACCTCCAACAACTCGGGCCATGCCGCTGGACCTGCTGCTCACGGAGCCGGTCCAGGCCAGAATCCCACTCCGCCGACCGCGCACGCCCACGCACACGCCCACGCCCACGCCCACGCCCAAGTCCACCCTCACACCCTACCCATGTCCGCCAACATGAACCCGGCCGGCGTGGACATCACCGTCTTTGACCAGGACCTCAACTTTGACGAGTCGCTACTGTATGTCGTGCCCTCCCCCAGTCTTTCGCCCCGTGTCTGCCCACATCACATTCCTCACATTCCTCACATTCCACCCCCCAACTCCGTTGCACATCGCAAGCCCCACGTGCCAGACACATGGCAGCAGCATGCCATGACTACCACGACATGGCCCGGCGAGTCCCACCGCTGACCGCCCCCTCCACCCAAACAGCGACGGCGTCAATGGCCTTGCGCCTCTCCCCTTTACGCCTTCGTACGAGTTTGAGAGCTTCAACACCTTCGAAGACCCCTTCTCCTCCTACTCGGCCCGCCCAGCCTATGATGTCCCCGCCGACAGCACTGAGCCCTTTAACGAGGAGTCGCCCTCCCAGGAGCTCGACAACAAGCTCCTCAGCTTCTCCGCCCCGATCCCCAGGGCCCAGATCATCGACGGCGCCGGCATACTGGCCGACCCCAACATGACCGCCGAGCTCTACGGCATGTTCTTCGTCGCCGAGGACGTCTTTGGCGGCGACACTTCCGGCCGCCCTCTTGAGTTGACTTGCTACCGGAGGAACCTGTGGCAGTGCTCTGGCCAGATCACCCTCCCCCGGAATATCAGTCACATCCTGGACGACCAGTCGCAACACGTCCAGGTTTTCGACCTGGCTGCCTCCATCACCGCCATAGAATCCATCGAAGGCAAGGCCACCGAGATCATATCCATACCATGGAAGTCTGCCGGCGACGAGGGGTCCAAGTCCCCCGCCGCCCCTCCCAACATAGCCCTCGACCTGTCCACCGGCCAGGAGCTGGACCACAACCGCGTTTCCCTGCCTGTTTCGTGGAAACGATTGCAGTTCAAACACGCCACCGCCAACAATGGTCGGCGCAAGGGCTTGCAGCAGCACTATGTCGTCCAGATCAGCCTCCTGGGCAAGACCAAGAGCGGCGAATATCTAAAGCTCGCCGATATCCAGTCGGGGCCCGTCATTGTCAGGGGCCGCAGCCCCAGGAACTTTGACAGTCGCAAGGACGTGCCCCTGTCAGGTGACAAGAAGCCCGAGAGGAGGGCCACCATGACCCCATCAGATACAACACCCGTTCCCAAGGTTGAGCGGTCGGCGGATCTGGCGCAAAATATCCAAAAATATCATTCCCTGGGGAACGTGCAGGTACGAGAGTAAACCACCATCCCGCTGGCAGGATCCAGGGGTCTTCGAGGCCAGACGCTAACTCTACTTGTAGCAGTCCGGAGACTGGTCATCCCCCCATCCATATGTCCAACCGGGGCAGTCATCTTCCAAGAAAATGGCACTATCCCCGACACTCAACCGGCCACCCGTGCCGCCATGGTCCTCGGAGCCGTCGGTACCCAAATTGGGACAGCCGACCACGCCGCGCAGCAACTCGTTCCAGCGCGGCGTGCCTTCGAGCGTGCCCATAAACCTGTCCCTCTCCGAGGACGAACGCAGTCCCAACCGCTCCACCTCGGACTGCACCTCACCGCGGCATTCCAAGTCGGTGGCAGCCGGCCAGAACCTGCAGAAGAGCCCTGAGGATGACGAGGAGCAGCTTTACGAGTATTTCCCCCTAAGCCTCGACGACTGGTAGGTCCTGACCCTCCCCCGCGCCTCATTGGCCCCGGTTCATCTCTCCGCGGTCAATCTGACGGTCACCCATCTGACTCCCCTTGAGCCAACATTAACATGGTCCGCAGGCAGCAACCCGTTGACGCCATTTATCGCCCTCATGTCGTCCACCATGTTTTTGTTCCCCCGGAGCTGAAGGCGCAGCAGGTTCGGAACAGAACTAAACGGTACTTCTCCTCTGACTGATTGCGGCATTGACATGATCGATATAACCTCTTGTATCTGGGTCCTCTTTTGTTGTAATATACTGTGTTTGCGGCATGGAACGAGACCATGACAAGGCGGCGTTGGGATTTTTTTTTCTGCTTCTTTCAAACTTGCCGTTTGCGGCGAGTAAAGGCTCTGGCATTCTTAATGCATTTGTCACGAGTCTGTGGGCATCAAATAATTGGCAATGACCTAGCGGTGGTGGCAGCCATGAAGCATCTGATTGTTGTTGAGGATTATACCCCTGCTTCTTGGTCCGGATATACACACAACTTGGGGCGGGGTGGGTCTCGTTATCATTTACTCTGATTTCACATGACTTTTCTTTTTTATCTGACTGTGCGAGAACCTCGCGGTGGCTTGAGATTGGAGAGAGGCACTGAATCTATGAGCATTGTTTGGTCCCCGTCTTGTAGGCTGCACGGGCCTCATCCGAGAGGATTTGCACCTTGAGCGTCCTGAGATTGTCATGAGATTATTATGTTTGTGTGTGTGTGTGTGTGTTTGTGTGCGCGCTTGTGCTCGTGTTGTACGCCCTATCCCCGCGCGCCTTCCATGCTACCGTGGCATATCTCAAATAAGAAAAATGTGAACCGCAGAACCCCGTTGTCCGATGCTATAGATGTATGCAAGCCGTCAACAGCCCCGAATAAAAGTTGGCTGTTTTTTTTCTTTGGCGTTTCGCTTTGTCTTGGATCTTCAAATGCTTTGCGTCTCCGACTCCGTCTGGAACCCCGCGCGCTATTTCTTGCCCCCTCCACACAAGTAACACCCTCAATTCGCCTTGCCCTCCTCCAGACAAGCCAGCGCGACCGCCGCCCCGAGCAGAGAGCTCTCCTTGGCGCCCGCAAGGCTGATGGCGCCGGGCCTGGCGCCGACGGACGAGAGGAGCCCGTCGATGTAGCCCTGGCAGTTCTGGAGGTAGCACGGGTAGTGCTCGATGACGGACCCGTTGAAGGCGACCACGTGGTCGTCGAGGGCCAGCTCGCCCCGCGCGGCGGCGGCGGCGAAGTGCGGCCGGCCCGGGTACGAGGAGGTCAGGAGGTCGGCCTCGGCCTCGTTCTTGAACTGCCAGAGGGCAAAGAGCGAGGACGCTACGATGGCGGCGGAGCGCCGTGATATGTACGATGCGAGGGAGCGGATGAATGCGACGTCTGCTGTGGTTGGCGCGACGGGTGAGGGGTGGCGGGATTGGAACATGGTTATTGATGGTTTCAGCGACGCTGATGTATCTCTGCAGGTCATGTCAGTCAACATTGCCGGGCTTGTTTTTCTAGGGGGGGTCTGAGACTGCTCAGCCTGATGGTATAACACGCACGCTTCTATCAGAGATATTGTTTCCGAGTCGAGAGAATAAGGCAGCTGCAACGATGGGGGCACGACGCCGCCCAGCACGCCGGTTGAGCCGATGGCCTCGATGAGGGCGAGCCTGCACATCTCGCCCAGGTAAAAGCCGCTGACCATGTGTTCCAAGGGCTGGAAGTCGGGTTTTGGGTGGGCGGCGTTGAGGGCCCTGTCCCACCGCGTCACCGGCAGGATGCCCTTACCAAACATGCCGAGCTCCGTATTAACGATAACGTGGCTTGCCTTTTCGAACCAGAAGTCCGGCCGGCTGCCGAACTTTTCCCTGCCAATGGTGGGAATGGGAAGATGAACGGCAATATTAACACCGGTGCCCAGTATCAGGCCGAAGCGCGTGGATGAGTTGAGGTAGGCCTCGGACAAGAGACAGGCGGACGAGTCGTTCACGATGGCGGCCAGCTCGACGTGAAGGCCCTTTGTCCTGCAGGCGGTCCTGATAATGTCCCCGAGGTCGTGGCCGAGGAGGCCCTCGGCCGCCAGGAAGCCCTTGCCCATGCCCTGCAGCTTGCCGCCCTTGTGGGAGGTCTGCTCGATTGGGAAACTCCATGCCAGGCCCATGAGCAGGGGCTCCTCGGGGCTGTTGTCGTGCTCCAGGGCCTGGGACACCGTGTCCACTATCCTCTGGGCCATCCAGTCGAAAAAGGCAGTGCCCCTCAGCTTCTTGATGGCCGGGTCTATCCTGAAGGAATCCAGGCGGGCGATGCGGCTCTCACTGCCGCGGGCCTCGCGGCCTCGCAGCTCGACCAGGGCCACGCGTAGCGTTGAGCCGCCGACGTCGAGGGCGAGATAGTGGCCATGTTCTGAGCGGCTTGGGAGCTGGTGGTTGTAAGAGGGCAGCATGCAGGCCGGGTTGTTTAGCAGGCCATCCCTGAACTGTGCCTTCAGTGCCCGCGAGAAGTCCCTCAGGCCGTCGGGGCGGACGGGGTGCAACAGCAGCTCCTGGGCCTCGGCGAGGAAGTCCTCGGGGCTCCTGTGCGGTTTGGAGGCCAGGTCGGCTCCTTTGGGTATAGCGGACGCGGGTGCGGCGTCCTTGATTGCCGCAGGGCTCATCCAGAAGGCGAGCAGGGCCTGGAGGAAGGTCTTGCCTCGCAGCAAAGACTTGAGGGCGGCGATAAAGACGTCCCGCAGCGTTGGCATTGCAGCGGAGAGATCAAAGATTGGGCCAAACGAGCGGCTAACCCTGAAGGTGCAGAAGGGGAGGGAGGGAGGCAGGGAGGGTAGAGATGGGTCCACAAGACGTGTAAACCAAGTTCATTAGAACCAAACGGGACGAGAAGGGTGTCGAGGGGATTCAAGACTGGTCTTGCCAGGCGGCCTTATCAGGCACATTGGCTATTATATGCAGGAGCAAGAGACACACTGGCAGACAGGCAGGCCGTCGGTGTCACCGCTACCGCTACCACACTACAGACGGCACATAGACACCTGCACATGCACATGCGCGGGAACGAGACCCGGTAGGAGTGGAAAAGGCTGACGGCGGAGACGGTTGCAGTTGCGGTTCACTTCGTATTGACCCAGAACGTAGTAATAAACAGCAAGGGGGCATGGGTGGGTGGGTGCGGGCTGCCGGGGCCATACGTAAGTGGTCTGGGAAAAAGGCAAAATATAGCTATAGCCCACCAAGCCCACATGGACTCTCCAGAACCGGGCCTGGTGAAACGAAACAACTCATAGGAGAGCAGGATGCGAGAGGGACACACAGAGAGAGAGAGAGGTGAGAATCAGGCCCAATCAGGAGAGGGAGGGGTTCCTCGCGGCGCAGCGTGGCGTGGCGTGGGAGTGCGGGATGACTAAAGGCGATTGCGATTGATTGCGAATTGCAAACATGCAGGGACCAAGGGATGGGGGGGCAGGCTGGCTGATGAAACGATGAAACGATGGATGGACGGATGGCTGGATGGCTGCCGGATGGATGGACGGGTGGACGGGTGGACAGAGCGAGTGACAGAGAGTGGTGGTGGTAGTAGTATTTGCGAGTGGGTTGGTTGTGGGATGGGACATCAGGAATCAGAAATGCCTGTCTGTCCGCGGGCAGATGCCCATCAAGCAAGCCATCCAAGATGACCAAGGAAGAAGGCAGTGCCTCGGAGCCCCATCCCGCTCGGCTGATTCGCTCGCAGAATGCTGATTCAGGAGATTGTTAGGTCCATGCCAGAAAACGGTCAGGAATACCCCGAGGGCATGATGTGTGTGTGTGTGTGTGTGTGTGTGTTGTAGAGGCAGCTGGCACGTAACGTAACGTTGCCCGTCGGTCGAGGGTTGAGGTCGAGGTCGAGGGTCTTGATGGCCGTCTCGGCATCGGAGAACGGCTGCTCGAGCACTACCGGCAAGGCGTCCAAGGGTGCCATGGCCATCGAGCTAGCCAGCTGTCTTGGTCTTGATTTCACAAAATGCCAGTGACCGTTGCCGTGCATTATCAATCTACAAGCATTTTCACGTTGCAGCAGCACAAAAACAACCCCTGCTTCTGCAGCCCTGCCTGCCTGCCTGCCCTAACCCTCTCAACGTCATCGTCCTTCCCCTCTGCCCCTTTGGTATTTCGATATGGCTTCCTGTCCGGGTTTGGCCATGGTCAACTACAGTACTCCGTAGGTGGATCTGTTCGACTCCTGCGCCACATGGGTTGCATGTAACCATACCCCCAGGCTCTCCACGCCCACCTGCTGTTATCACACACACACTGCCACAACCCTCGGCCGCTTGCTCGTCGCAGATTGCGGCATCAAACATTCGGCCCGTCAATCGGAGCCTCTCGATAACATGGCTCCTGTCGCTGTTATCTAGACGCAACCGGCATCGCTAGCCTCCTCCGAGGGCATTTGGGCATCTCCGTCCCCAAGCCCTGATCGGGCCAGAGCTCCCTACCTCCCTGGCCCCCAGGCCCCCCAGACAAAAAAATCAAGGCTAACCTAACCGTCTGACAGCGGCCGGCGCAACGCCGAGGACGTCACTTGACGGGTCCAGGGCCAAACCCAGCCCGAGACGACGGTGGCACATGCTCCCATCCCAACTGGGAGGCTACAACGTGAGGCTAGGCCCGGCAAGGCATTTGGCACCACTGCGCACCACTGCGCACCACACCGTTCCCGTCTGATAGACTTCACACGGTGGACGCTTTTGCCCCATCCTCACGGTGAACGTTCCATCATGCCGCTTCACATCGTGCTCCTCTTTGCCGGCAGTCGGCCTGCTGTGGTGGGCATTGAACACCACTCCGGTCATGTGCCGGCCGGGGACCCGTCAGCCTACTGGAGTACTGTGTAGAGCATTGAGGTCATTGCATTGCTGGTCCAGGGACCACAGAGACTTATCAAGTCTGGTCCCGTGGGTGGCAGATAATCTTTTTTTTCTCTCATGCTTCCTTTCTGTCATCACCCCAAGTCCTACCCGAGCCCAAGTGAAGCATCTTCTATGGTCAAATTCTCACACAAGCCAGCCAGGACACTGATAACACTGGCTCTTTCTCGTTGATTTGACCGTCGCCCCACAGTCACCTTCCTTTGCCCTCGAGATGAGATTCATCATTCGTGACGACGCCGAGCAGGCCAGCGTCTACGTCGCCACCTACGTTGTTGATCGCATCAAGCACTTTAACCCAACCCCATCTCATCCTTTCGTCCTTGGTCTCCCCACCGGATCAAGCCCCCTCGGTATTTACAAGGTCCTGGTCGAAAAGTACAAGGCCGGCGAGGTAAGAACGCCCAGTCTTCACTTTGGTCCGTGCAGCAAATATAGACCCGAATCGAGCCTGATGAGATGAATATAGATATCCTTTGAAAATGTCGTGACCTTCAACATGGACGAGTACATCGGCATCCCCCGTGACCACCCAGAAAGCTACCACTCCTTCATGTGGAAGAACTTCTTCCAGCATGTAAACATCAAGCCTGAGAATGTCAACATCCTCAACGGGAATGCTCCCAACCTCGAGGCCGAGTGTGTCCAGTACGAGGCCAAGATCAAGAGCGTGGGCGGCATCGACCTCTTCCTCGCTGGCATAGGCGAGGATGGCCACATCGCCTTCAATGAGCCCGGCTCCAGTTTGGCGTCCCGCACCCGCGTCAAGACATTGGCCTACGACACAATCTTGGCCAACTCTCGCTTCTTCGATAACGACCTCGACAAGGTGCCCAAGATGGCACTAACTGTCGGCGTGCAGACGGTCCTCGAGGCGCGGGAAGTTGTTGCCATCATCCTCGGCTCAAGGAAGGCCCTGGCCCTGCAGAAATGCATCGAGCAAGGCGTGAACCACATGTGGACGCTGTCGAGCCTGCAGCTTCACCCTCACCCAATGATTGTGTGCGACGAGGATGCTACGCTGGAGCTACAAGTCAAGACCGTCAAGGTACGTCTCATGCCAAAACCAGGTCCCCAGCCCTTCTGCCCAAATTTCACAGTAATAGAGTAAACCCCACTCGAAATTGGCCCGTCACTGATTTTCGCTGCCTCGTTCAGTACTTCAAATCCATAGAGCAGGTGGCCAGCAGCCAAGGCTTTGAGCAGATCCTCCCTTCCTCGATCCGCACCGGCCCCAATGTCAAGAACTTCAGGCCCATCTCCGCCCAGCCAGTCCCCACTACCGTTATTGACGAGGTCTCACCCCCTCTGTCGCCCAAAGAATCGTCCCCGACAATCCTCAGCCCTCAACCCACGACATCGAGACTGCTGCGTGCTTCTTCGCCGGCGAACGAGTACCCTGTACGATCTGTGTCTCCTGATTTCGACCTGGTCCCAGACAGGATGGCAGACCGCCTTCCGGATCCCGGCTTCGCAAACAGGCGGTTGACTCCCAACCCAGAAGTGCAGAACGCCAGGCAGGTTGTTTGCTAGGTTTGGCGGTGCGGTGCTGTAGGATATCCGGCTGCATGGTTTGATTTATGGGAGTGTGTTCTGTTAAAACACCCGAGGCGTTGGCACAGGCAGAATAGCCGAGATTGATATGCCATTTATGGAGTTACTTGTTGAGTTTAGCTGCGCAGTCTATCGTTACGAGAATCACTCGCTGCAAAAACAATTGTTTAGAGACATAGGATGACATCTGCAAAGATTTGTGAGGCATGGGTGTGTACGAGGGGTGCCAACAGTACTGTTAGAATACCCAAAAGCTAAGATGGCTATGCTATGTATGCTATGTCAATTTGGATTCAAATCCCACGCAGTTGCATTTTTTTGGTCTGTGTGTAGATGCCTCCTATGTGAGCAACTTGATGGCCCCGTTCGCAGACTCGTCGATTTGCCTGCCGTCCTTGCTCACGATGGGCTTTCCTTTGAGGATCTCCTCGCCCTTCAACTTCCCATCGGCTGTCACTCCTATCGTGCCGAGCTCCTTGCCCTCGCTGTCCCACAACGTGGCCGTGGTGCCTTCGCCGGCGCCGTACAGGCAGACTTCCAGATCTTGGGCGTAGTCATAGACTGCACCCCTCACACCCTGCTTCCCCAGGAGCAGGATGGAATTCTCCCGGACATACAACGGCAGTGTCCCGAAGCCATGCTTCTCCCTGAACCAGCCGGGCCCAGACCGCACCTCGTTGGTGAAGAAGGACGTCCACTTGCCCCTGGGCAGGTAGAACTCGACCTCGCCGCTCTCGTCAAAGATGGGCGCGGCCAGCAGGCTCTCGCCGACCATGAACTGCCTGTCCAGGTACCAGGAGGTCGGGTCGTCGGGGAACTCGAGGCACATGGCGCGCAGGCTCAGGGGCAGGCCGCCGTCGATGGCGGCAGCGGCCTGGGCGTAGAGGTACGGCATCAGCCTGTTCTTGAGGGCGGTCCACCTGGCGAGGGTCTTGGTGCAGCCCTCCTCGCCCCTGTCGTCGTCGTCGATGGTCCAGGGCACGCGGTAGGAGCTGCTCCCGTGCAGGCGCGAGTGGCTGCACAGCAGGCCGAAGGCGACCCAGCGCTTGTACACCCAGGCCGGGGGGTAGCCCTCGAAGCCGCCAATGTCGACGCTCCAGAAGGAGAAGCCGCCCAGGCCCAGGCCCAGGCCGCCGCGGACCGACTCGGCCATGGCCTCGGGCGTCGACTCGCAGTCGCCGCCCCACTGCAGCGGGAAGCGCTGGGTGCCGGCGCAGGCGGAGCGGGCGAACAGGACGGCCTGGTCGGTGCCGTAGCGGGCCTGCAGGGCCTCGTAGACGACCTTGTTGTAGAGGAAGGCGTAGAAGTTGTGCATCTTCTCCGGGTCCGCCGAGGCGTCGTGCCACGCGACGTCGCGCGAGGGGATGCGCTCGCCAAAGTCGGTCTTGATGGCGTCGACGCCCTGGTCGAAGAGCTTGTTCAGGCAGGCGACGTACCACCTGCAGGCCTCGGGGTTGGTGAAGTCGACGAGGGCCATGCCGGCCTGCCACAGGTCCCACTGCCAGATGTCGCCGTTCTTGCGCCTGAGGAAGTAGCCCTTGTCGGCGCCCTCGCGGAAGGCCTCGCCGTGCTGGGCGATGTAGGGGTTGATCCAGACGCACACCTTCTTGACCAGGCCCGAGGCCTTGAGCCGGCCGATCTGGGCCTTTGGGTCTGGGAAGCGCTCCGAGTCGAAGACAAAGTCGGTCCACTTGAAGGCGGGCATCCAGAAGCAGTCGTAGTGGAAGACGTCGACGGTGATGTCGCGCTCCTTCATGCCCTCGAGGAACGAGTTGACGGTGGCCTCGTCGTAGCTGGTCGTGAAGCTCGTGCTCAGCCACAGGCCGAAGCTCCACGAGGGCACCCTGCCCGGCCGGCCAGTCAGGGTCGAGTATCGCCGGAGCACCTCCTTGGGCGTGGTGCCGTGGATGATGTACCACTTGAGCCTCTGGCCCTGGATGCTCGCCTGCACGCGGGCGCAGCGCTCGCTCCCGACCTCGAGCTCGACCTTGCCGGCGTGGTCGATGAAGACGCCGTAGCCGCGGTTGCTCAGCCAGAAGGAGATGTTCTTGTAGGCCTGGTCGCTGGACGTGCCGCCGTCCGAGTTCCACAGCGTGATGGACTGGCCCAGCTTGTTGAAGGGCCCGAACCTCTCGCCGAGCCCATGGACAGACTCACCCACCGAGAGGGAGGTCTGGGTGAATATGTAGTGCTTGAAGTCCCGCATGTCGCCCGTCTGCAAGGGGTTGGTGGGGCCCGGGCTGTATGCAAGACCAACGCTCCTGTTCAGGAGGGAGGTGAGGTGCTTGGAGCCGTCTGCGGCATCGAAGCTGATGTCGAAAGTCCCCGGCTTGATGGTGGCAGCCAGGGAGCCCGAGGTCAAGGTTGTGCCCTCGCTGCCCTCGACAACCTGAGGCTTGACCTCGGGCTTGCCACCAGGATACAGATCGAAGTGCGGTCCCCTGTTGATGGCCCCATCCCAGTGGGTGGTCTCGACGGATATGATACCATCGCTCTGGGCGTCAACGTCCTGTGCGAGTTTCAGCTGCTTTGTTCCTGCCGTGTTCACCGAGACATACAATGGTCAGAGTGCTCAGGTTGAGGACGTCCCCGCGAGACTTTATCTTCTTGGTGGGACACAGCAGACTTAGGCCCCGGCCTGTCTTTTTGATGTTGTACACCTCCTCTGCGTACTCGACCCGCACCCCCTCAGCCGTCAACCACATGCCATCGCGGAACTTCATGATGAGTCTGTGTCGTGTGTGCTTGCTCAGGTACGCCCGGCTGTGCAGGCAGATCTGTTACAAGAACAAAGACAAGAGGAGCCCCTCATCTCTGAAGGGTCCCACAGTATTTGTGAGAGCACACGAGGGGCAGGGAGACGGCATGCTTGAACTCAACAAACGACTTCGGAGTACAGCATGTGAAATGGGACGGCAAGACGGGCCGGCCCAGGCGAGGGCCAGCCAAGGACGACTTACAGTGGGTTTGGCAATGGCAGATCTTCGGTAGTAAATCAACTTGAGTGCCTCAGCTCATTAGGTGCTAGTAGTAGGTTGGCAGCTGCACCATGTTGACGCTCTATTCCCGACGGGTATGCCCTGCCGCTCCCGCAGCCCCATAAACCCCAGGTTTCCAGGCCGCAGCTCGGTCGCCGGGACAGTGTTGGACCGCCATAGCTCCAACTCGCTGGGACTAAGCTTCTTGGGCTTCTCCAACGGCCACCAGCGCCGCCACGATCCCCTCATCTTGAGCCTCCTTTTTCCACGAGTCAAATTCGATGTCGACTCCAAGGGGGAAAGGCTCACTCCCCACCCGACAAACTCGACATCCGGATGATGAACAGACTCGTGTCGGCTGCTGAGGGGTTCGGGCCATGCCGTGCTGGAGCTTTCTCCTCCCTCGGTCCCACTGCTGCTTATGTTGCCCTTTCCCCCGGTGGCGTGGCCGTAGGATCCCTTGCAACAAACCTTAAAAGACGTTGGACTACGGGGCCAGGCATGGCTGTCATCTCCGAAATCATATGTATGAGGACGCTACGACTCAGGCGCGCTACCCTCTCATGAGCCCGTCAAGAAACCTTGGAATAAATCTTGGGGCCGGTCAGCCCGGGCCGTCGAGGCTTGACTATTGTGCGGTAGACTGGGGAAACAAATGCAATCCCCATGTCCTGATCTACCCAGAGACATGGTTTCCCCAAATACTACCCTGCATCTAAGATTGTACGGTGTACGGAGGCTCGACGAGTCACAATCACCGCCCGGGGCCCCTTTGGCCACGCGAGAGAGACTAATAAGTTCGCCGAGAGAGCATCCACCTATGTCCATAGATGTGGGTGTGCCAGGAGAGCACATCTCGCCTGGCTTCCCGTGATGCCGGCGCCAAGGGCAGGCAGGCAGACTACATGTATATATCACCAGCCTCGTCCGGCCCTCAGTGACAGGCCCTCGGCTTGACCTCCATCAGGCCTTCCCTCCTTCGTAACCTGCTCACACCCCAAGATGAGGAATCTCGCCCCCGGCCTCGCCGCCCTGGCCCTCGCCAGCACCGCCTGTGCACAAGGCTCCTTGTCTAACGGGACATCACCAGTCTACAAGAACCCCAATGCCACCGTCGACGACCGGGTGGCTGATTTGCTGAGCCGCATGACAAAGGAGGACAAGGCCTCCCAGCTGCTCCAGGGTGATTTCACCAACTGGATCAATGTCACAGATGGCAGCTTCAATGCCAGCGGCCTGGAGTGGAACATGCAGTACCGGTCCGCCGCCTTCTACGTTGGTTACTACACCAACTGGACAACTCTCTCCGAAGGTATCAAGGTCGCCCAGGACTACCTGACCAAGAACACTACCCTCGGCATTCCCGCCTGGGTCCAGTCCGAGGGCATCCACGGCTTTCTGGCCGCCAATGCCACCGTCTTCAACTCGCCAATCGCTTTTGCCTGTGCCTGGAACCCAGATCTGGTCGAGAAGATGGGACAGGCCGTTGCGCAGGAAGCCCTAGCCCTGGGTGTAAACAACATATTTGCCCCCGTGGTCGACCTTGCTCGTGAGCTGAGGTTTGGCCGGGTCGAGGAGACGTACGGAGAGGACCCGTACCTCGCAGGAGAGCTCGGACACAGCTACGTCAAGGGCTTGCAGTCTCGCAACGTCGCGGCCATGGTCAAACACTTTGCTGCCTTTGCCACGCCCGAGCAGGGGATCAACACGGCCCCCGTGCACGGAGGAGAGCGAGAGCTCCGGACAACCTACCTGCCTCCTTTCAAGCGCGCCATCATCGATGCCGATGCCATGAGCATCATGTCGGCATACCACTGCTATGATGGCGTGCCAGCCGTAGCTGACCACCACACGCTGACTGAGATTCTTCGGGATGAATGGTACGTGTTTCCCCAAGGCTTTCCCTCCTGTCGACCATGACTGTAAGACCTTCTCCGTATGCATGCGTGGGGTAGCTCAAACAGCAGCAACAATTGGTGCTCTGGCGATGATACTTGATTATCCGAGAACTGACTGAATATCACTAGGGGCTACGAACACTTTGTGATGAGTGATGCGGGAGGCACCGATCGTGTCTGCACCGCTTTTGGTCTTTGCCAAGCCTCTCCCATCGACTCCGAGGCTGTTGTGTCCCTGGTTCTCCCGGCCGGGAACGACATGGAGATGGGCGGTGGATCCTACAATTTCCAAAAGATCCCCGACATGATCGAAGCTGGCAAGATTGATGAGGCAGTTGTCGACCTCGCCGTCTCCCGAGTTCTCCGGGCCAAGTTCAAGATGGGTTTGTTTGAAAACCCATTCCCGGGCGTCGCAGAGGACGAGTTTGAGAACTATATCAACACCAACGAAACGCAGCAACTCGCACGTCAGCTCGACACCGAGTCCATTGTCCTGCTCGAGAACCACAACAATGTTCTTCCGCTGAGCAAGAGTGCCAACGTGGCTGTGATCGGTCCCATGGCCCACGGTCTGATGAACTGTGAGTGAATTAATTTCTGCTGCAGATCAAGGTTTTTCGTCGACCATGCTCCAGTAGAGACTTATTTTCCCCGCGAATTGGCAACCAAGGCCTTTTGTTCTAGCAGTAGCTAACTCAATGTCGCAACAGATGGCGACTATGTCGTGTATAAAGCTAGCTACCGCGGTGTTACGCCACTTGACGGTATCAATGCGGTCAGCGAGGGCACCGTTACCTACGCCCAGGGGTGCGAGCGCTGGTCGACTGACGAGTCTGGGTTCGCCGAGGCCATTGCCGCCGCCGAGGCCGCCGACGTTGCCGTTGTCGTCGTCGGGACTTGGTCCCGCGACCAAGGCGAACTGTGGACCGGTCTCAACGCCACCACGGGGGAGCACATTGACATTTCGGATTTCAAGCTCGTGGGCGCCATGCCGAAGCTTGTACAAGCAATCATCAACACGGGCAAGCCGACTGTGGTGGTTTTCAGCTCAGGGAAGCCAATCACCGAGCCGTGGATCAGCACCAACGCCTCAGCCCTCGTGCAGCAGTTCTATCCTTCGGAGCAGGGAGGCAACGCCCTCGCCGACGTGCTGTATGGAAACTACAACCCGAGTGGGCGCCTAAGTGTTTCCTTCCCGTACGACGTGGGAACAACCCCAATCTACTATGACCACCTCAACTCGGCCCGCGCTTTTCCCAACCCTGGACAAGTCTTCCCCAACGGCACATTGGTATATGGCAACAACTATGTGCTGCAGTCGCCGGTGGCGCTATACGACGTGAGTTGAACCCTTTTCCTCTTCGCCTATGACATTTTACGGTCGCTGACTCTGATCCCCCACCCACAGTTCGGCTACGGTCTTTCGTACTCCAGCTTCTCGTACTCGCCGGTCACCCTGTCTTCCACCACTGCGTCCGCGACCGACAAGATCACAGTCTCGGTCGACGTGACAAATAACAGCACGGTCGACGGGACAGAAGTCGTGCAAGTCTACGTAAAGGACGACGTCAGCTCAGTCGTTGTCCCCAACAAGCAGCTCAAGGGCTTCGCCAAGGTCCCAATCGCTGCTGGTGCAACGGAGACGGTCAGCGTCGACTTGAATGTGGCAGATCTGGGACTTTGGGACTTGAAGATGAACTATGTCGTTGAGCCTGGCAACTTCACTATTTTTGTTGGCAGCTCAAGCAAAAACTTGCCTGTGAATGCCACTCTGACAGTTGCTTGAACGAGGAGGGCCCTTCCAGTATAGACTGGTAAGCAGGGATAGTGTAACCATAATTGGGCCTTTCGAGGCTTTAGAATAAAATAAAATCTTCTATTCAACCTAGTTGGGCTTGTATGAGATGTAACATCGGGATTACAACATACTTGACTGAATAAAAGCGGACCTTACAAATCGCGGGTGCTACCACTCCAAGCGCTCTGTGCGATGTTTCTCGGTCAGCAAAACAGCTACAAGTGCAGGATACAGTTTGTAATCTAAGGGGTAATTATCAAACCGTCTTCATTTATAATTGGATTGTCGAGGAAATGCTTATTGGGTGTCATGCTTTATGCGATATGAAGAAAAGACACTTTTTTTGTACATATGTACTCTATCATTGAGCCAGTCACATGACGATACGAAAATGGAAGTATGAAAAGCAAGTGCAAAAAATTCCAGACAGAAAACAGCATTCATAACGAACGTACAAGTATATCGTGCCCGTCCGCCCACAGCGCATTTGAATCTAGACCCAAAAGTCTTCCTGCAGACTCCAAATGCTCCGCCACTGCCCCAGTAACCAATGTCTAGAAACACTTGCGATGCACAATAGATGGTCCACTTTCATCATACTCTTGCTTTGAAATCCACATCTGTTGGAACGTGGATAGGGATGCCAGGATCGAGCCGCCGATCCACACCGAGTACTTGCGCTCAGGAGGCGCAACCACCTTTACCCGCATAGAAGAGGGGGCCATATTTGTAATCTCCTGTTGCAAGCGATCGGTTATGCCGGGGAACATTGTCGTACCACCAGACTACAGTAGGGGCATTTGTATCAGTACGCCATTGATGATCCCAAGAGATCGATCGACAAGGTTGAGAGAAACTTACAATGACCACGTTTCCATACAGATCTTTTCGAACGTCAATGTCGCACTTGGCGATAGAGTTGTACAACGTCTGATGAATCCCGCCGCTCTCAAGGCCGAGGACACTTGGGTTAAACAAGGCCTCTGGCGCACGGAAGCGCTCGTTTCCAATTGTGAGAACCTTGTACAACAAGCAAAGGTCAGCGTGTCTCCTGGTCAATATTTCCCCCCAGTGCACCTTACCTGGCTGTCGGGAAGCTCATACGACTTTTCGACACTGGAGCTCTGCGAGGCAGTCTGCAGCTCCTTGTCATAGTCGAGGGCAACATAGCACAGTTTCTCTTTGATGTCCCGCACGATCTCACGCTCGGCCGAGGTTGAGAAGGGGTACCCACGCTCCGATAGGAGCTTCATTATGTAGTCCGTCAGGTCCTGCCCCGCCATATCGATACGGGAGATTGCATGTGGCATGGAGAAGCCTTCGTAGATTGGCACGACGTGTGTGACGCCGTCGCCCGAGTCGAGGACGACGCCTGTCGTCCTTCCAGAGCTGTAGAGAGAGAGAACAGCCTGATAATGTTTCGAAGATCAACATTAATGAGCATCACCTGTGGTCCGCAGTAAAAGAACTGCTCACCTGAATAGAGACGTAGAAAGCTGGCGCATTGAATGTCTCGAACATGATCTGTGTCATCTTCTCCCTGTTCCCCTTTGGATTCACTGGGGCTTCCGTCAGGAGAACCGGGTGCTCTTCTGGGGCGACTCTGAGTTCATTGAAGAATGTGTGATGCCAGATCTTCTCCATTTCATCCCAGTTGGTGACGATGCCGTGCTCTATAGGGTATTGTAGCTGGAGAATGCCTCGTTTAGACTGGGCTTCGTCCCCAATGTACGAGTCTTTTGTCCCCATACCGATCATGATCCTAAAAGAGAAAGAGGCAGGTATCAGTCAGCCTGCTTCTGTCTTTCGCAGACAAACCTTTCGCAGATTACGAATAGTTGATTCAGTTGGGCGCGGGCGCAGGGAGGGCTAGAAGAGGCATTGTACGCACCCTTGATGGCGAGGTCGTCCGACGATGGAGGCTAATCACAAACAGTGTCAGCAAGCAAGTCTTCAACTATCAGGTATTTAGGTACAGAGATCAACTCACGGAACACGGCCCGTGGAGCGTCATCACCAGCAAAGCCGGCCTTGCACATTCCGGAGCTGGTCTTGTTAGCATCATGAACTGTATTATACACCTAGGTACCTAAGTATCCGTTTCGTGATGGTACATACCCATTGTCAATGACGACCGCAGCTACTTCGTCTGTTGTTTTTGGGTAAATCACTGTCAGTTCCAGTAACGAGTTGGTATGAGCACACCGACGCCCGGCAACCAGCACTGAGTGAGGTGGAATATCTGGCCCCGTTTGGACAGCGCCATTTGTTCTAATGTAAGGTGCCAACGAACCTTCCATTGTGAATTCCTCGCGCTCGTGATTTGAAGGCAGAATAATCCTCAAATTTTGCATCCAGTGTTGAGCAGGGAAATTAACAGTGCATGTGGTTTCTGAAAGCTGAATCCAACACGCAACTCGCCAAAGGATATGAAATAAATAGATGAGGCATACATACCTGAATTAATCAAAAAAAGGAAAGAATCCAGGCAGAACTTTGGTGTGAAGCAGACATTCCACGGGACCCATCAATCTATTCCCGAATCTTGTTGCCTGCGGCCTGGTGTACCCACCAAATAAATGGTGGCAGTCATTTATCAGATTCCCCATAGTACAGTACATGCTGACACCGGCCGCGCGGCACCACAGGATCACGGAGCCTCGCCAAGACCGCATTTTCTACTTTGAGCGCGACAAGAAATACTGCCTAATCCAGGCTTCGAGATATCTGAATATTCCGTTCTACAGCCAAGATGTAGTCGTAAGGCTTACTGCCAGCCTCTTTTGTTTTCTTTAGGTCAGCCTTGCCAACGAATCAAACGCCGCCTCGTACAACCAACACCATAAGCAACTCCACCGCTCCACCCCAGGGCTCTTTTCGAGGCCAAGGCATATCGACAACAATGGAGCAACGCTTCCGCCCATAATTTCCGACTCTTCTGAAACCGCGGTGAATTAAGACAAATTCCCACTCTGGTTATCGGAAATGAGTCGTGGTTGACTTGTCCGGCTTTAGTGGTAGTCTGATGCTCACTGCTATTTAATAGGCACCTCGATCGACGAGGCATTGGGAGTGTTCAAATATGTATTCCCAAAGAACATACATCAACCTGCTTGCATCTCTAGGATACTGGTGACAGTTGATGATAAGCATCAGACTGGGTCCTCGCTATGTATATACACCAAATGAATACTAAGTCAAAGTAAACTTATTGCTGGCCCCATCAAACGCAGTGATCGTGCCACCAATTTCCTTCGAGTCACCATAATACCTCACGCGGTACGTCCCCGGCTGGGCATAGTCCTCCGTCTCCCAACTGATAGTAACCTCCGAGTATCCCAGCAGGCCATTGGTCCTTTCCCACGTGTATACAAGGAACCAGTCATAGTCGCTGCGGACCTGTGTCCACGTGGAGCCGTCCGAACCTAGCTTCTCGACCGCTGCGAAGGTACCCTCGAGCCGCAGGTTGTTGCGTGGGTTGGCGCCGACAAAGGTGGTGTTGACGACCGCGCCCCTGGCATACGAGGCCGCCGGCTGCGTGACAACGTCGCCGAACTTCTTCCCGGTCGGTGCCCCGTCGTAGACGACGCCCGAGATGAAGTCAAAAGACTTTGCACGGTTGTCTGGGGGTGACGGCCCCGCGGCGGGTGAGCCTGCGGACGTGGGCGCGAGGTAGTGCAGGTTGCTGAGGGTGAGGTTGATGTAGGCGTTCAGCTCATTGGGCCCATACAGCGTGCTGGCGCCCTCGTAACGTTGAATGGCATACTCTTCCTCGGTAGTGACATAGTGAGCGTACGTGTTGGCCGGGCCTCCGATCACAACCACTGGCTCGGTGTTGGACGAGTATGTCGCGGCGGCCTCGGTCTTGACGGCGTTGCGCCAGCGGCGTCCGGCCATGGTTGTTGCCTCGGAGGGCGATACAATGATGTGGAGTTGGCCTGCACGGAAAGACTGCACGTCCACAATGTTTGGGGACCAGGCATAGGGGTCGTTCTGCTCGCCAACGTCCAGGAGGACAGGCTTTGGCGCCTGGCACTTCACTTGCTCGGGACCGGGTGCTTTGAGCAGGCCGGCGACGGCACTCCATACCGGGTTGTTGGGTGCACCTGAGTCACCCTGGACGAAGTCGAATGCGCCAGGCCAGTCCGTCGTCCCGGCCGCGAACGAGTAACCGAGCGCGGCAGGACAGGTCTTGGCAGCGGTACCGTTGGGGAGTTGGAAGCTGAATGTGCTCATATCCTGGTAGAAATGGAACGACTTGACGGTCGTGCCGACCACAGGGGTAGACCGAGAATCAAACGAATCATACAGGTCTTTTGCTCCCTGGAATTGACGCCGGCCAATCTCGTAGCAGGAGGACACGCCGAGATCGAGCGCTTCGAACCTGGGTCCACGTCCATGGCACGACTGGGACTTGCCATCTGCGCAGGTGCTGCTCTCATAGCTGCACATCTGGCCTGAGCCGTCGTCGCAGAAAGCCCCCAACACATTTGGCGTAGTATCTCCGACATTGGCCTGGGAGAAGCCAGCGACGAACCCGTCAGCTGCGGTGCCACCAGATTGCACGGCCTGCTCGAGCAGGTAGGCTGCCACGCCCTTGTTATCCCCAGCAACGTGGGTGTTATTGCCATACATGGAGGTTCCGTGGACAGGATACCAGGTGAGAACACCCATGTTGAGGCCGTCTGAGGCACGCTGGAAGCGGAGCATGGTCAGCGTAGTGTCGGTGGGGCTGTTGTAGAGGGCCCGTTCTGCGGCCGGGTTGTTGTTGTAGGCAGATGGACTTCGTGAAGCATTTCCGTCTGTGATATTGACATTCCCGACGTCCAGGTAGCCCAAGGTGAGGCTCTCATGGGCTCTCTTGATTGAGAGGACGGCGCCATCAGCAATGGCATTCAGAGACTGGGCATCGAAGCCGGCACTGGTGATCTGAGGAAGCAGGTAATTCCACCAAGCTCCCGGCCCATTGTGCGAATGAGTTCCAGTCACGGCAATGTTGGTCCGGCCGTAGACGGAGTACTCGCTGCCGAGAGCAGCGAGGCGCTCGAGGATTGCAAATCGCTGAGCTGTGTCACCGGCCGCCACGTCCAAGACGAGGTAGACGAAACGGTCGCTGGGCTTGCTGGCGTCGCCGACAATAAAGGCACGAGAATACAGGCGCTGGCGAAGGCCGGTGCCGATCTGGGCCAAGTCGGCATATCCAGCAAACTCCACCTCAACGACAGGTCCAGTGATATCAGCCTTTCCCACGCCGATGCTATTTGGCAGAGTGGTCAGCAATTGGCCTGAGGAAGACAGACAGGAGCACTTTTCCTACAGGTACTGGTCGCCTACAGCCGAGGCCCTGACCTTGGAAGTGAGTAATTTCTTGACCTCGTCGGCGTCATCAAGGTCGACATGGCCAAGGTCCTCAAAGCTGGAGGCAGGACGGCGTGGCTGCTGGTTGCTGCTCAGCACAGAGATGGAGAGTAGAAGCAGAGCAAGGACCGAGAGTATGGCGAAGATGCTGAAGACACCCCTACGCTGCCCATTGCGGTCCCTGAAGATGGGTTGGGCCATGGTGTCTCGAGAGGCCGAGACAGCAGAGAGAGGCTGTGCGGCGATGCAGAGCAACGAACAAGTGAAATTTGGCCAAACTGCCCAGTTCGCCCAGTCGGATATGGCTCAGGTGGCACCCTGTGTGACCAAGGAGGCCAAGCTTTTGAGGTGACAGAGCTAGAAGAGCGTCGCTGGGGTGGGGTCGGAGAAGGAGGTAACCACGACGCGGGATGGCAGGCTGTTCTTATGATAATCAAGAGACGGACAGGCAGGGCAGATATCCCGTACAACCTGTTGCCATGTACACGGCCTGCGGTCCGTGGTCACTCGTCCCCACCGCGCCTAGCAGCTTGTGGATAGACAGTAGCCCAGTAGGTAGGTAGGTGGACTATCTTGGTAGACGTGCCTTACGGGTGGGCCACGGTGAGGTTGAGATTGGAGGAACTGGAGAGATTGGAGAGATTGGAGAAGAGTGTGGCCCTCCTGACGGGTTGGTGTACCGAGCGTCACACGTCTCGAGGGCTCGCTCGCGCACCATGGCATGGGACCCGGGCGAGTTCGAGATGAAAGGTCAGTCCCCCACCGCCCTCGCTGCCTCGGTGTCACCTTGTTTGTGATTCCGTCTCCGCACGCGGATAGGCAGGCCCCTCAGCCCCTGAAGGCTGGAGGGGAGATGGGACTCCCATGATCCGCGGTTGGGGTGGCAGGGTAGCTGCGAGCCGGGAGCGTTGCATTGGTGCTGGGGGGCGGTGGTGGTTGTGGTGGTGGTGTTCTCTGGTCGATAAGAGGGCGGAAGCGGTTGCTTAGCTCGAGCTAGTTGATATTTCTCCCTGGCGGCAGCCACCAATGAGACAGCGGTGCCTGTCAAAAAGCAGAAGGTGGTGTCCTGGCCGCCTGGAGGGCTGGGCCAGGGCGAGCCAGTAGCAGAGAGCTTGTTCAAGGCCGACCAAGAAAGTCTGAGAGTGTGCAATAGCAGTGCCGGGCAGGGCATGCGGGGGAGTCCCTGTGACTGGCGGGCGTATCCTCGAGTCTATGCTCTATCCTCGAGTCCTTGACCCTGCCCGGCGCGTTTCCCCAGATTCTTGTACCGCCAGACTGCCAGTCCACCGACTGCCACAGCATCATGTTGCTTTCCCCTGGCAAGCCTGGGAAAGGGGATACTGAAGATCTAATGCCGGCCAACTAATCAGCAGGTGACACACAGGCGACGGGCGTGTGCATGCAGCAGTTGAGCCAATGCACAATGATGATGATGAGGGACTGATGTGGAGGCTTACTGCGGGCGGGACGGGTGCCGCGGGCGCGTGGATGGCAGAAGATGCACTCCCGAACTGTCAAGTTGCTGGTGTGGAGGGGGAGACAAAGTTGGAGGGCAGGAGGGGTGTGGCGGCTGCATGGTTCAGCTGACCTCTGTCGCCGTTATAGAATCCGGCTCAGTGTGCGCCACGCGACTAGCTGCATATCTACTATCTACCTTCCTAGCTGCCCAGCTGCCCAGCTGCCTAGCTGCCCAGGTACCAACCAGGGTTAGGTATGCTGTGATGATGACCGTGGGGGGGATATTTGCTACATGGCAGCATGGCAGATACGGACGTCGATATCTCTATCTTTCCGACTTCCACACCAGGTCGCAGCGCTGGACCAGGATAACTTGATCGAGTATCTGAGAGAATGCAACGGGAGATGAATTCTAGATTGCTTATCTGATACAAGCAGGCACACGCCGCACACCGCAGATCCGTATCTGCGTCTCGGACCGACAGCCTGCCATCTTGACATCTTGACATCTTTGACTTGGCCGCCTCTTCCGAGAATGGTGGGCTCAAGTATCGGCCATGAGACTCTAGGTCGAGGCCAAGCCGTGACGCGGCAGCAAGATATCACATGTCTACCGCAGGCCAAGTGTAGGAACGGGACCTCCCTCTGTATCGGGCTTCGCCCTGCTTTCAATGGTTGCCCGCCGTTGTGGTGGCCAGCTTGGGAACTGCGTTGATCCTGCGAGTGCTCCCGAGCCTCCCAAGTACATACGTGGTAAGCCGAGGACAGCGTCTTCTTGAGACGTTCGACTTGGAATCCTCCCTCGTCAGCACATCTCACTTCTCCAGCTCTGAGCCTCACCATGTGGCCAGCTATGCAGCTTCTGCCGTTCAATACCGTTTAGGGGCGTGGCCACAACCTGCTACAACTGACAGACACCATGGTCCTCTCTTTCCTCCCGGTCCAAGGCGCCCTCCCGGCCTACCAGTGTCTTGGCACGGGGCCCGTCCTGCTCACGATCCCAGGTGCCAACGGCGATGCCTCCATCTTCAACGCGGTAACAGCGGTGCCATCGTCGCCCTGGAGCTCCTGCGGCGACACCCCGGCCTGGAGACCCAGGCGGCATATCATGCCCTAGCGGACCCTGAGAGAAGGGCCAACGCAGAGCTATTCTTTGGGCATGAGATTGCTGCATACACTGCCGTAAACGTAAGCATACCGGAGCTCTTGGGCTTGAATGAAAATTTTGTCATGGATGTGGGCGAGAAGTGCAACATCCCAAGCTGCAATATCAGCACCATCCTAGCTTCTCAGGTTGAAACTGATTTGTACGTTACACCTGGTGGGCACTTGGGATATGTCTCGGGGCCTAAGGGGTTTGCAAGCAAGATTTTAGGTATATTTTCTGCGCATGGCAAAGCCTGAAGTGTGAAGTCAAGTTTTCATAGAGCAAGAAGCCTACTTAATGCATTAGCCAGGTGCCAGAGGGTAGGCGAAAACATCAGATGAGCCTCTATCTACATGGATTAATTACTACTGCCGATTGTCTGGTTTCGCTTCTGTTCCGTATACATCCGAGGACATACATGGTGCCTTCATACGGTGGTAAGCGCTCAAGACCGGGCATAACTAAATCATCAAGTAAGCGACTGCTCGTTCAACCCGCTCCCCAGCAGCAGGTCTTTTACCGACGTACAGAAGTGCCTGCGACAAAGTTGTACTCTATCCTCCATGCGATTATTTGGCTGTCTTACCAGACAAAGGCTGGGCCCGTTTCCGAAATTGTAACATTTGTGATATTATACGACTCACTTGCTAGTTACGCTTATTGATTTCACAACCCACTCGACAGAATACATCCACAAATCAACATGCACCATAATCAAAAGCTTTGCCAGTGCAGCCCAGTGAGTTTCAGGCCGTGAGACAGCACGTACGGTCGGAATGTTCCGGATGCCATACCCTGACCTTATATCACAGTGTGTGCTAGTTATGGTTGGCCAAATGCAAGGTGTTCAATCGCCGTCCGCTGATTTGAGGACCGAGAGAACTGGAAGACCTTGGACTTTACTGACATCGTGCTGAAGCAACTCTAGTGAGCTTGGGGTAGTCTGAGTGCTGCCCCAATCCACCCTCATCCCGACAGCAGATGAGCGTAATTTTGTACAGCCAACCCGTTGCGAAGTTGCAGAGTATAGACCCACCCCTGGGCCGCGTCAATTTGTGAGTGGCACCTATAGAGTAGACTCGTATGGCAGCATCGGGCTTTTATTTTGGGCGACTCATCGTGAGGGGCTTGAAAGGCTTGCGCAATTTTTGCAACGCCGCAGCTTCGTTACGAGGTACTGCCAATCCAGGGGGTCTGCGCACACCACTTGCAAACTTCCGCATTGTTGTACTGTGGACGCTGACGGCAGGAGGCTTTGCAGGAGGCGATGCCTCCTCAGGAATGTTCTCGCTGTTGTCCTCTGCATTGCCGGATGCGACGCATGCGTCTGGCGTTGGAGGCCGAGGTGGAGAACTGGAAAATTGAGGGTACTGCTTCCCGGACTTGGGCTGCTGCTTCTTGGGTAGTTTGTGGCCCGCTGTCTTCAAGCTGCTTACCTTGTGATGAAGCAGACTAGGGTCTATCAGTGGCCGTCTGGTAGCATCTTGGGAGGTACGGGCCACTGTCTTGCTCCCTTCATCTCGCTGTACACGTGCCATATTGGATCGCGGCAGAGCTGGTGCAACCATGTCGGCTTTACCCAAGGCTGGGCTAGAGTCCCTCTTGACAAATCCCAGAAGAGTGCCTTGGCCGGCTGGATGCGCTGTTGTCCCCCGCTTCAAGAAAGTAACAGCAGCTGTGTTATCCCCTACTGCATCGAACGGCCTGTTTGCCTCGCAGGGTACTGCTGTCACTGAGCCGAGCTGCGACACCATCGTGAAGGTCGTTGGCTGGTTCATCGCGGTGGCGTGCACCCTTGCCCATTGCGGCTCTTTGTCGCCATCATAACTGCCATTCTGGCCAGCGAGTCGAGGACGTTTCCGACCAAAGTCCTGATAGACAAGGCCATCCCACGACCCTGAGTTGTCGTCTGCGGTGACTTGTTGGCTGGGGTCTGCTGGGAAAAGGTCGTCATTGGGGCTAAAGCCCTCTGGAAGGTTGCCATAGATTACTTCTTGCGAGGGGACGTCGCGTCCCAGAATCCTCCCGATCGCTTCCAGCTTGTTGGCATCGAGGTCTGGCCCAATCTTGGCGAATGTGGTCGCGACTGGCTCGATAAATGGCGACAGCTCTACATTGCCGCTGGATGAGCTAGACAATGGACAGCTAATGTAAAGCAACGCCTTTGCACGAGTCATGGCAACGTAGAGTAGTCGGCGCTCCTCGTTGCTGTCTTCAGAACGCACATGTGGAATCATACCGTCATAAGCTCCCGGAATAAAGACAATGGGCCATTCAAGCCCTTTTGCGGCATGTATAGTGGAAACCGTGACCATGGAAGTCGCATCTTGTTCTTGGCCTTTCTTCTGGGAGTCTGACACCAGTGCCACATTGGCTAGGAATTTGGCTAGCACATCAGAATCTTCCGACTTTTCTAGCCCATCGACCTCGGGAAGCACTTCCTCTTGGTCTCCGTTAAGACCTTGGTTGAAATCTATCCCAAGAGCTCGGAATTCCTGTATGTTGGCCCACCTTTGTTCGAACTTGTCAGTGTCGTTGTCGATCTCTTTGAGGTGCCGTTGGAGGTTGACTCTCGTTACAACCTCGTCGATAATGTCTACCAGTCCGTAAGGCTGTTCGTCTGTTGAACTGTCCATCTTTTTCTGTATGTCCAAGATGAGACGAATGACCTCGCCGCTTATCTTGTGTTCCGTTGGCTTCCTAATGTTGGTCTTGGCTAGACGATCTCCGCGGCAGTGCTTGACCAGCAAAGCCCATAGACTTAGGGTTGACTGCTCGGCCTCTTCAACCAGCGCCTTGATGGTAGGCTCTCCCACACCGCGCTTGGGAACGTTGAGAATCCTTGCAAGAGCGTCGTTGTTTGCAGGCTGATGGACCACTCTCAAGTAATCAAGGAGGATTTTGATTTCGAGGCGATCGTAGAACTTGACGCCGCCGACCATCTTATAAGCAATCCCAGCCTGAACCAGAGCAGACTCAATGATCCTGGAAAGAGATGCCGAGCGGAGGAGTATGGAGACATCGCCGTGTCCCAGCATACCACCAGACAACAACTGCAGCCGGCCGATTTCCTTGACAATCCACTGTGCCTCCTTCGTTTGACTCTTGAGCCGCCTCAACGTGGGCCGTGTCCCCTTGTCGTGAAAGGGCTTAAGAACCTTCTCGTACCGATTCGAATCCTGCTGAATGACGCTCAGAGCCGTGGCCAGAATGGCCTGCGATGAACGATAGTTCTGTTCAAGGGATATCTGGTCTGTGTTGGGAAAGTCGTCAAAGAGGCGTTGGAGATTCTTGATCTCTGCCGATCGCCACCCGTAAATGCTCTGATCAGGGTCACCGACAATAGTGATCCTGTTTCGTTTTTGAGCCAGAAGGCGCATGAGCTCATACTGGATGCCGTTGGTGTCTTGGTACTCGTCGATGAGCACGGCATCTACATTGGAGACACAGGCCGGGTGCATCTGGAGAAGCTCGACGCACCGGGTAAGGAGGTCGTCGTAATCGAGGAGGTTGGACCTCTGGAGGTGGTCCTGGTACTCCTTGTAGCACAACTCAAAGGACTTGGCCCCTTCTGCTGCCTCAGCGCTGCGCTTTCTCTGAAACGGAGTGGGCTTCCACTCTTTTCCTCTGGCTTTTTTCTTGCTGATCCATGCACGTGCCTGGACAGGGTCTATGCCCAGCTGCAGCCGTTTGCAAATGCGGTTGATGATGGCTCTTGAGTCACCATCATCGGCAATGGCGAACTTCTGATCCAGACCAATGTGTCTGCCGTATGCCGCCAAGTAGCGACGGGCAATGCTGTGGAAGGTGCCGAGGACCATCCTCTTCTCGCGGCCGTTCCCCAGTGCTTTACCGATGCGCTCCTGCATCTCGCGAGCGGCTTTGACAGTGAAGGTGGCGACAATAACATCCTGCGGCTGGTAGCCCATGGCATCAACAAGCCAGACGACACGTGAGGTTAGAGTATGCGTCTTTCCGCTGCCTGGGCCAGCCATGATGGCAACGGTGGCGGCCTCTGAGCACACTGCCCTGCATTGCGCATGATTGAGGTTCAGCCGGGGTAGGATGGAGGAAGCCCTTGGTGATGCAGGCGACATGGCGAGGACAGGAGACACAACCTCACGCGCGTCCGACTGCAAGGAACCCTGGGAACGCGGTTGACAGGTTTGTAAGACGTTGGCGAGGAATGAGAATGAGAACGAGACCCGGCATTTTCCCAGGCAGAAAGGAGAGCCGAGATGTGTCGAGTTCGCGTCAAGTCGAATGCACTGCCCAAACAACAGAGCGGGAGACGCGTCGCGGAAGGCGGCCCGGCTTGGGAAAGGGTCTCTCGGCCGCACGCCGCTTCCGCGAGATCACCTGCCTTGCCTACCAAGCCTGCTCCGTACCTCTGTCTCCCGGAAATGGGATCACGTAAGCTCTGTGCACGGACCATCATTTTCTGGACTGGACGAAAACCGTAGCTTCACGATGCAACAATAAGCGCTAAACAAACTCGGTCACATCGCATTGGCTCCATGAGGGCACAATCAATGAGCGGAGACAACAGTATCTCTGTTTCCATGCAGCCATGCAGCCATTCTGATATTCTGGTTCGCTTTCGGAAGACACCAATCCAGTCGACCATCACGCCTCTCCGCATCCACAGCCAGCGGGTCACAGATGACGAGAGGACGATCTGTTCATTTGATGGTGCCATCATGGGCACCTGGGCATTGGAAATTGACTTCAATGCAATGCCTCAGGGTCCTTTTAGACGAGCCGAGCAATGCAGCATGGGCCAAAGCATCCGTGAATGCCGGGGCATCTGGGCATGTCGATGCAACCGTGGAAGAAACTAAATAAAGCTGTTTGCTTGCTTGTCACTTGCCAGCCAGCCAGCCAGCGCTGCAAGCCCAGTTGCCCGGCATGGCATAGAGGAGCAGGGGCGGCACTCGTGCTCTATCTGATCGCCTGCAGATCGCCATCCAAATCCTTCACCTCCTCAGCTCCTGACCTCCCACCCAGCACTGCCAGACTGCCAGCGAGACCCAGAACCTCGCTGCCTCGCCAGCCAGGCCAGCCCGCCAGCTCGCATGGTACAGGCGGGAGAGGCAGGGCAGGCATGGCAGGACGGGACCCAATATCAAGATGGGCGGGGAACACCACGGCCGCCCAATCACACCGCGGCTCGCCGGTACCATCGCATGTCGGGCGCTTAGAGACCCCTGGCCCCCTGCGACCCCACGGGCCGTCCAGCCAACCACATTACACGACAGGGCTCTGACCTGCCCTCCGTGCTGCAAGCCCACCGCGACATCACGACCTTGTGTGGCGGCTTTCGACGAGTCCCAGCCCAGAAGAGGCCTGCCTCTGCAGCTGCCGCCCTGCCCTGCCCTGCCACATGTGCCTGTGTGCCTGTGTGCCTGCGTGCCCTGAGCCCGAGATGGGGGCCTCCTCCACGCGCGAGCCCGCCCCATTGGCACATCTCGCAACGAGAAAAGTCGGCATTGCTCTCTTGAGTGGCTGCATGGTCCCCACGCCCGCCCCGTTCCTCGCCTCTGCATCACTCCGGTATCAACAGCCGCTATATACTCTTCTGCCTCTCCTCTGGACCGCTCCGGAGGCTGATCATTCCTGCGTCCCCATGCTACCTCTCTATCACAATGCGTTTCGGCCCATCATACCTTGACTAACAACTAAACAATCCAAACCCCATCACGCCCTAGTTTTGGTGGAGAATGGTAGATGGCTGCCGTCTGGCCTACTAGAAATAAGCCTTGGCCCCGGCTCTCTCCTCTCGTCTGATCCTCACAATGCCCCTTGGTTTTCGCAAACCTCTCGCTTCTCTTATAATAGCTCTTTCATTCAGCACAAGTTTCGTCCCGGTTTTGGTAGCCGCCGCCGCCGCAGCAGCACCACGCACCTCACGCCCCCACCAGGTGGAAGAGAGGGATAACAACAACCCCCTCAACATCAACTGGAGTCCTGCCCCCCCGCCAGACGAAGGCCCCCCCGGAGCAAGATACGCCCTCCGTGATCCAGCATACCTACCTGCCCAGATCGGTGGAATCGTCGGCTCTTACGCTCTCTCCCTGGTGCTGGTCGCCATCATCCTACTGAGCTTATCCAAAAAGCGGCGCGAGCACCTTCGAGCAGGAGAGGACTTCGGTGCCTGGGAGGAGTCTCATCTCACATTTGACAACGCCGAGCCATTCTCTGCTTTCAAATCACAGGACGATTTCCAGTTCCGAGCACAGGACTGTCCTCCACAGCAGAGCTTCCAGGAATTGCCGAGAATCCACACACAGGACCACGTCCAGGGACACGTCCGCAACTTCTCTCTTCCTTCGCCCACCTCGGCAAGGTTTTCGACCGGCACACGGGAGCAGACGCCTTATATCCTTCCATCGCCAGACGGCAGTCTCCGCGGACGACCAGGAGTGGACCCAAACGTTGACCAGTCCATTGTCATACACGACAGAGCCATGGCGCAGGCACAGCTGGAAGATATGTACAAGTATGTGATGGAGCAGGAGGCCGCCAAGGAGGCGGGGGTCGTGTTCAGAGGGCCCACGTTTCCCAACGCAGGGCAGCAGCAGCAGCAGCTGGAGCAAAATGCCTCATCACAGGGCATACTTCAGAAGAAGGGAAGAAACAAACCCGCAAACCTCAACCTGAGTGCCGACGCCAAGTCGGAAAAGACGCAGTCCCGGACATCCTCAATCCTGTCCGCGCTCAAGTCCCCACTGGGCAAGAAGAAGGAGAAAGTGCATGCGATTAGCATTTCCTCGCCAATTATGACACCAATGACCGGCACATTCCCACCTCAGTACGTCGGCGAGGAGATGAACGCCATCCCGCCGCGACACTACGCGCCTGCTGCGCCGCCACCCGTCCCTACGGGTAATCCTACCTTCAGCCAGCGGCGAAATGTGCAGATGGCCCCCCTTACGCCGCCGGACGACATGTCGCCCGAGAGCACGCAGAGCATCGACGAGCGGCTCCGCGCCATGGCAGGCAAAGGCAAGGACAGGGACGTCCCCGGGGAATCCAACGAGGACGAGGAAGAGGAAGAGCGACAGAGACAGGACCACTATTACCACTCGCGTCAACAGTCGTCCGCGACGATGGAGATGGACCCCATCTCTGCCACGTCGGAGACGTCGACAACGCCTCTGGTCAGGGGCGAGCGACTCCGCGACAGTCGGGCGTCGGGCCTACCCTCGAGCCCCAAGCCGGGGGTCAACCGCTTCCCCAGCCTGAACTCGCTGCCGTCGTCCCCAAAGCCCGGCGCGACCTTCTCGCGGCCCAACGCGCCGTCAGCGGTGCGCACGGGCGGTGCGCTGCCCCTGCGAGCTTATGAGCCTGCGCTCATGTCGCCCAACACGTACGACCGCACGGTCAAGCAGACCGTGTTCGAGAGGGCCGGCCCGCTGTCGCCGGGGCTGGGCACCGCACGGACGCCCCATACCGGCGCGCCGGTCCCGTACTCGCCGTACCAGCCCTTCTCGCCCGTGGTGCCCATCACGCCCAGCCTCGTGACCAAGGCCGACAGGAAGAGGATGAGGAGGATGGAGCCCAAGACGCCAACGATGGAGATGGTCCAGAGCAGCGACGACATCTGGTGAGCAGCTGGCTCAGGCCAACCCGGCTGCCGGGTTAGCAAGATCGTCAGCAGCTAGGTTGGCGGGTTCTGCTTGGCTAGTCATGCCGCAGATCCTGTCAAGGGTCGGGTGTACAAGCCCCAAGCTCCGCGGACATCATTTGTGGATGGCTAGGAACCTGTGTGTGTGAGACCTAGGCTTTAGGCTTGGGGAATACACAGCATGGGGTGTGGACATACATCGGGGGAAAGGCCGAGCCCACCCAAGTCCCCGCGGCACAACTGCTTAGTTGAAGGTTGTATGCTACTTGGCAGGTTATGAACAGGAAACTTTTTTCTTTTTATTTAATATTCAGTAGAGTCGCATCTGTTATCCTGGGCGCTGGGCTCGTTTGGAATATAATACATTGATGACCATAGTAGTTGTACCGGCCCGCATCTGCGCAGCAGAATGTCGGAATCAGACAAAAGAAGCTTCTCTCCGACCCCAATCCACAGGGTCGTCCCATCGTGACCCGAACGGCTTGGATGATGTGCAGGATGCTTGGCTGATTAAAAGCTGGCGCTGATGTTTGTGTTGTACATCTGAAACGTGAGACAAGCAAAGGCAAAACCGCCGCCAAGTGAGGGTGCTGGGCTGCTCACTGCCTCAAGGCCAAGACCACCACGGCTGCCACGGCTGCCACGGCTGCCACGGCTGCCACGTTGGAAACCCGAGCTCGCCACTGTGTCGCTTACCCATCGTTGGTATGGCATACCGCCGACACAGAATACTACCGGGAAGCAGTGCGGTTCCTCCCGTGATTCGTTCAGCTCGGAGGGATCAGACGACCTATTAGTGTCGTATGTCAGGACTAGGCCGTCGGGATAGCTCGAGATCATTCCTTCTAGAAGCGAGCTGTGCAGTCAGTCACATGAAATTGGTATCTGATTGCTTGTCCCGAGGAGTAGAAAAGTGCCAAATCCGCTTTCTGTTCGCGTGCGGAAGGACTGCCGGGGGGCGAATACGCATGCGACTGACACATGCAGTTGCATGATCGCAGAGGGGGCGCAGAACCAAACCTTATCGTGATGCGGAATGACGACAGTCAGGCCGTCTTAGTGGTCTGGCAACGGTTTAAGGCTGAGTCCCTGCCACATATCACACTGGGTTTTTGAAATTTTCGAAAAGACCCCAGGGTAGTCTGCCGATCATCGTCCGTTGTTATCTAGGAAGTGTGCAACATGCGAAGCCGTAGTAACGTCGACAAGGGGCGAATGGTCCTGTGAACGGCAGCTGCCAGTGCTGTGAGGGTTAGGTAGATGTTTGTCAGCCGGATCCGCGACACCTCGACCCCAAGATGTGTGCCGACGGGCGCGGGTGAACTGCCACCACAAAACATCAGCATTCAAAGGGTCCAAGAAAAGCCCAACCTCTTGGAGCCCTGTGGGGTCGTACCGGCGAGAAGCCCAGAGCTGAAGGCTAAAGGCCATGTGCGGAGAAAACACTGCCAATGATAGATGATAGTCAGGACGCCTCTCGTCCGATTCTGACACAGTCTCGGCCGGACAGCGAATAGCTTCGGCAGAAGGCCTGAGAACGTGCGCGCAGGGTCCTTTTGTGGATATTTGTCGATGTTCTAGAATGCGATTTCCATAGCCATGTCTCGCCACGAGTGAGCAGGAGCCCGTGACGATGGGCAGGATGCGACAGCCAAAGGGTGTGATGGCAGTGACGGCGTGGGTGGGCGATGCGCAGAGAAAGTTCACGAGACTGGGAATCGGGTCGTCTGATAAACTCGAGGTCCTGCACCCACTCTTGTGGTCACACCGAGTCAATGCCAGAAGTATGAGGCTCGAGATCAGAGGATGTGATGGATGACAGCATCTCAGGATCCTGTCCAGTCAATTGCATGCCGTCGACTGACGGCGACGGCAACAGCAGCTGCACCAGCAACCGCGATGAGCGTGCTGACGTGCCGATGGCCGTGGGCATGGGCGTGGGCGTGGGCGTGGCTGTCGATGGCGATGTGGCCGTGTGAGGACAGGCGAACAGGACCTGTTCCTACTGTCTCGCCAACTGCAAGGACTGGCGCTCGAACCCCACCTTCCGCTTGACAGCAATGGCTTTTCTGGCTGGTCTCTGGCTCAGCCTGGCTGGGGCTCTGGCTGTCTGGGCGGCCGTGATTGGCAACTGCGGGTCCGCTCGTGCCTAGGCCGCGACTCCCATAGGCTGGGGGAACCCCCATCGCTCGCCCCTGCCAGCGAGGCAAGTCTCTTGCTCAGTCCCGCTGTCCCGTTGGCCTGTCTGGCCCAGCCCTGGGCAGGAGCCAGGAGGGGGCCCCCCTACTAGCAACACAGTATGTACTACACGCCCAGGGAACGCCCAGGGACGCCCAAGGAGGTTTCTGCCCGGTCAGAGACCAGAGATGGCAGGCTGGGCTGGGCTGGCAGGCCACACGGATACGGAGAGACGGAGTACTCTGGCCAGGAAAGGAGGATGGATACGCCGGCGCCCCCCGGGGCAGGGCTCTTGTGTTCCATGCCATCCTACAAGAAAATCGACTGATGCACTGCTCTGAAACCTGGGCTTCTCTGCTTTCCGACCTTAACATCTTACGATCCCGCACTCATTCCTCACCACCACTAATCCCATTTTTCCCCCTGGCCCGTCCATCCTCGCCAGGCCAACTCGTGCTACAGCAACCGTCTTGCGGCCCAGAGAGGTCCAGCCACCTTACGATCATCCCTATCCCGTTGGATACGGAGCCCACCGTCCGTCCCGCGTGCACACCGTTGACGCTTACGCTGACGTTGACGCTGACGTTGAGCCCGACCTTGCACCTCGCACCTCGCACCGACCGACCGTGTCAGGAACGGCCCGGCCAGGCCCAGAGGTCGCCGGTTAGAGGCCTGCCCGCCCGCCCACGACCTCGCCCCGTTGAGTCGAGTCGAGTCGAGTTGAGTCGAGTCGAGCCGAGTCAAGAGGATTGACGGCTCTATTGCTCGGTTGAGCACAGCTCTGACACGACCTCAGACCTGCTCTGCGCCGAGCCCCCCCCCCCCCCCCAAAAAAAGTGCCAGCCAGGCACGGGCGCAGGCAAAGCCGCAGGCAGAGAAAGCCACAGGCATCAGCACCACCACCCACCAGCATCATCACCACCGAGGTCCTCGGGCCCGAGCAGGATCGTACTGGGCGCCCCCCGTAACCCACAAGATAGTCAATTGGGTTGGGTCGACCTTTGAATGGAACTGGGGCGGTGATTGAGAGGCCCACCGCAGAAGACCCTTTCTCCGAGCTGAGCTGAGGGGACAGACAGCAAAGCTCTGCCCCCTCCTTGCGCGAACGGACTCCCTCCTGCGACGCTGCGGCATCGAAGCGAGGCGCCGAGCCACCCATTCCCTATTCCCAGTCTCCCGTGCGGCCCCTCCCTCCATCCCACCGGGCCCCATCTTACCCTGCCTGCCTGCCCTGCCCGTCTGCCCACCTATCCTTTGGGTCTTGCCTGTCCTGTCACGCGTTCATGTCGAACCACCTTTGCATAGCTGGAACGGTCTAAGCATAACCATCCGTTCGGCCTGGCCCCGACGCCCTCCGTTTCGCCCAAAATGGCAGATCAACACCAAGATCCCCAGCAGGTCTGGAATGCTGGTCTCGACAACTTCGACTACCGGTCCAGCCATCCCCACCCGGCCTCCTCAGCCTCCTCAGCCCCAACATCTGCTGCACCCGCGTCCGCGCCCGCTCCCGCCCCCGGCACAGCTTCAGGAACCGCCCGGTCTGTTCCTCGATCAACCTCAGCGTCGCCCTCCCAGTACTCCCTCACAAACAGTGCTGCCGCCGGCGGTCCCGTCCCCGACCCTGTCACCACCACAACTGCCCCCGACCCGGGCTACTCCGAGTTCGCCGCCTCAGCCGCCTGGGCTGACCCTAATCAGTTCACACCTCCACTTGGTCCCAGCGACAGCGAACCCTTTGACGGTCTGAACCTGTTCCCGGACAACTGGAACGTCCCGACTGCCAGTTTCCCAGCACAATCCCTCCAGTACCGCCCCAGGATCGACGGCCTGCCCAGCTTCACGAACCCTCCGACCTTGCAGTTGCAGAACGGTGAACTCTTTGCCGCCTTCATGAATAGCGCAGCCGCCAACTCGGGCGATTCCTCGTCCGCGCCGGGCCCCGTCGCGACCGGCATGTCTACCCTGACGCCAGCCCAGGAGGAACAGCTCAGGAACATCGCCATGCCGCCCCATCTGCAATACCAGTCCCCAAAGAGCGAGCCCAGCCAATTGAGCCCCCAGTCGAGCAACGGTGACGGCCACAAGGGCGGTTCCCCCGACCCGTCAAAGCCAGGCAGTCGAAAGCGCAAATCCTCAGCCGACTTCGACGACTTGGAAGACGATGACGACGACGAGAGCCAGCAGCCGGTCAAGAAGACCGCACACAACATGATTGAGAAGCGGTATAGAACGAACTTGAACGACAAGATTGCGGCATTGCGAGACAGCGTCCCCAGTTTGCGAGTGCTGTCTAAGAGCGCGAGAGGGGAAGACACCACGGAGGATAGGGAGGAGCTCCACGGCCTGACACCTGCGCACAAGCTAAACAAGGCTACGGTAGGTTTGCGACACGCGCGCTCTCCCACGGTTCGTAGGCTAATAAACTCTTCAACAGGTGTTGAGCAAGGCGACGGAGTACATACGTCACCTTGAAAAGAGGAACAATCGGCTGAACGACGAGAACAGTGCCATGCAGCAAAGAATCTCGGCGTTCGAAAAGTTGTTCATGGCAAGCGCCATGAACGGCACAATGAGCCCGGTTCAGAACCAGAACTCGCCCATGCAGTTTGGGCAGGACGCTTCTCAGTTCATGAACACGCCCGTGGGAACCCCGAGAGGGCTGGATCCACAAGGAATGATTCCGGTACCCGACGACATGAAGCGCATCATCAGCCAGCAACTGGCAAATGGACGTCCATACCCCGTACCACAGCAACAGTTCCAGCAGAACCCTGCCATCATGCGACAGCAACAGATCCAGCAGCAACAGCAAATGCAGGCCAACCGTTGGCAGGGCGCCAGCCCCTACATTGGAAAGTTCATGGTCGGCTCACTCGCAGGACTCATGATACTCGAGGCCGCACGAGAGAACGAGCAGAGCAACGAGTCGCCCGAGGGCCGCGGGCTCTTTGCCATCCCGCTGCAGCTTTTGGGCCCGCTGGTGGGAAGCTCGCACGTCAGCGTTGCCGGGTACTCGTTCTCCTTGCACCAGATCATCTCCACCATCAAGTCCCTCTTACTACTTGGCGCCTTGCTCTGGGTCTTTGTTCCTTCCCTTTTCGCTCCCAGGCCACCGAAGACGGGCAAGTCGGCCCAGCTCAGCAACGCGAATCTCAAGAAGGTACCATCTCTCGCATCGCCCATCCACGTCCGGAGGCAGGCTTGGCTCACGGCTGTCCAAACTGTCTGGGTGCCTCGGCACAATTTCTTCCTCGAGGCCGCTGCTCTGATCTTGAAGACAATGAAGCTCAGCTTGCGCAACATGATGGGCATACAGGGCTACCAGATGCTGACCGGGCTGACCGAGGAGCAAGAGACAGCCAGGGTCAAGGCCTGGACCATCGCCCTGGACGCGCAGCTGGCCGGAGGAGACGTCGAGATCAACAAGAGCCGCCTGACCTTGACACTACTCGCCGCCAAGACTCTGCCGGACACGCCTCTGCGACTGATGCTAAATGCTCTCCACATCCGCGTTCTGCTCTGGCAGCTGGGCAAGCAGGGCCTGCATAACGTCTTGGCTGCCAAACTGGCCCGGTCTAAGTGGAATGATGCGAGACAGCTGCACAGGCTCAACAACTCGCTCCGCCGGAACGAACCCGCTTCGTCAGACGACGAGCTCCCAGAGCATCTGGCCGTACTTCTCGAGCAAGACTGCGACGATGTTCTCAACGACGATATTGTGCAGCGCGCGAACAACCTCGCATGGAACCGGCCGACAATGCACAACGTCGACTTCGATGTTGACGGGATGAACGCCGTCGTGGAGGACCCGGCCGTCCGGTCCCCCATGGACGCCGTTGCGGCCTGGTGGTCGAGCCTGATGTTGCAACGAGTCTTGTCAGCCAGTCTCGCAGAGGTTGATGGCGAGACCGCACAGGCCCAGGCCGCGGATGACGATCTCAACCTGGCAGTCAAGGTGGCACCCATCGGCTCAAACGCCCAGGTGCGCGCTCTTGTCGCTAAAGCCGTGCTGGTCGAGGAGAAACGAGGGGCGCACATCGCCACATCCTTGAAGGCGATGGGTCCGAGCCTGAATCCAGATAAGCACCCTCGATACAGCCAGGGGGTACCGCCCTTGATCGACTCACCCATGTCGTTCATCGTTCCCGACCCCGATGTGCAGATGGCACTGCGCTGCAGTATGGCCATTGCACACCTCGAGCGTTTTGCGACTCCTCCACACAGCGCACTTTCGATCATCGATGGCATCCTCCCGGGGTCGACCGAAGGCCTGTCGCTCCTGGGCTGCACGGCGGCTTTCCACCTGGTGGAGCGTCTGCACAACCACGCAGTGGCTGCAGAGGCATGCGCCACATCTCTTGAGCGCCTGGCGGGAACCCTGAGGATATGGATCGGCAGCGAAGAAGGCGATCGACCAGGGCTGGACCGTGAGCTCCGGCAGAAGCTGGTGGAGAGGTGTCTCAACGTTACCAAGAGCATCGTCGGCATGGCTGAAGATCAAGGCTACGCAACGATGAGCGAATGCGACAGCGACGATAGCATGTGCGATCCTGTCGATTTGTGATGTTCGATTTTGCAAAACTGACACTCAGATTTCTTTTGTTCAGCTTCGATGTGTCCACGCGTGATGGGTGGGTATTCACTGTACATATACTGCATTTAAGATGGGGATATCACTCACTGGGGAAAGCATGGACTAAACGGCTCACGTTGGGAGGCAAAACTGTTTGGCGAGCTTGGGTCTGCTCTCTGACGCCGGCCATTGGCAGGCGGGTGTGATACGGGGCTGGCTACCTGGGAGCTCTTATCTGTGTTTCTTCTTCCGACAAATACGTGCGTACGGTGTTCGAAAGCGGGGGCAATGCCCAGACACGAGCGCTCGGTGTGCAAAACTTCATTATATTATATGAATAGTACCTGCTACATAATCTCCTACTTTGTTCTTCCCATCACGTGATGGCAGTCTGCTTTGGATGTTTTTGATAAATATTTGCCGACTCTCATCAAAATAGAGGGAGACTTGGCCCGGTACAATAAACTCGGTTACGAACACGTCGCGAAGCACTTATTTAGAATGTGACATTGCAAAAGTTGATATAGTGCTTGCATTGCCTGTCAACAGGTATGTATGCATATGCGCAATTTAATGAAAGATCGACATGAACTGGACTATTCAGTGCTTGCTGCTATATGGCCGAACACTAGCCTACTGCGTGTATGCATATATAATGGTACCGGTAGTCAAGACCCGAGCTTGTCACTATATAACTACAACGCATCGGCCGGATTGTGAAAAAGCAGCGAAGCGAAACTGTCCCGGGGGAACAAATCGCGCGTGCGGACGAAGAGTGAGGGCCCCTCCCATCTGCGCACGCCGCTCGGTTCAATCGTCGTCCTCCGGGGTGATCTCAAAGTCGTCCTCGGGGAAGCCCTCGTCGCGAGCCTTCTTGTCCTTGAACCTCAGATGAGCGGGGACGCCGATCTCGAAGTCATCCTATGTCGTGCGAAAAAGGACAGGATCGTTAGCCAACCAGCGGCCAAGTGGGAGAGGGGGGGGAGATATCTGGACGAAGAAGACGCATGGAACATCATTGATGGGTGTGTAGGCATAATATTGCGTCGCGGTTGTTGTTCATCACGGAGGTACAGTGCTCACCTCGGGCCAGCCGGCAGACCGCTTCGCAGGGCCGTCGGACTCGGCCGGGATCTCAAAGTCGTCCTCGACAAAGTCCTCGCGCGTTGTCAGGGCGTGCTTGCCCGCGGGCTGCAGGAGTGAGGGCAGGGCGGAGGTGGCTGCCACCAGGGCAGCGAGGGCCAGGGTGAAGCGCATTTTTTTTTTCTTTTTTTATCTTTGTGGAAGACACTCGCGCCTTTGAGGCGGTGATGTTAAGAACAGGTCGATGAATGCTTGGGGGTGGTTGGAAGATAATAACAGTGCTGAATAACACGGTTTGGACTTGGTGATCTCGAGGCTGGAGATGCCCCTCTATATACTCTCGCCGTCACCAACTTAGAGGCCACCTTGAGAGCTCCCACAAATGTCCTGCAAGGCCATTGTCATAGTTATCATCGAGGTAAAGGACTTGGAGGTCAAGCTTTGATTATTCGAAAAGTTCAAGCTTAGGCGGCTGGTCGCGACAAAACTTTCCTCGAATGCGGTTCAGGAAGCGGAGTCTTGGCCAATGACCACTGCCATCTCAAATTTAACTCGGTCACGGCCTCAGCCACAGAGTTGAGATGACTTCGTGGTGGAGGAGAAGCAGCCGCCGGTGCGCCCTACTCACGGATGCCTCATCCAGAAAGGCTGTGGGATACAAATCGTATGTTCGAGAACAGTTTGTGTCGATCTAGCGCACGGTGTGCTCGCAGAGACGATCAGCAAGAACTTTGTTCACGATGAAGCTGGCTTCTCCTCGAATCACAACCTTGCTCAATCCCGAAACAGCCTCGGAAACATTGAAGTCATGACCCACACTAGACAATGCTTCTAATTCCAGGAACTCGTTCGTTTTGGTCTGTGCTCTTGCACCTGAGACATCATATAACATCCCAGCGGAGGCTACTCTAGAGTTCATTTACTCCAGGACCAATCCGTATGTGATGACCTGTATTGGGACACACTTTTTGGCAGATTACTCCCTATAGCAGCTAGCCAGATGGTCTACCATATGTGCACGGATGATAGGTCATACCATGGACATTTCAATGGAGCCTGGCTTGTATGAGTGATGAGGAACTGGGATACTTGGCAGTTATTCAATTTGGATCCCACCCGAGTTACCCAACACATGCCATTACATCTACTTGTATTCGTCTCCGATAGTACACTCGCCGTGGCACATGGCAAGAGGGGGGTTGTGCTCGGAGACTAGGGTGTTGCAGTTCGGGCGACAAGAGTGTGTGGCCCATGATGCGTAGACCTAGAGGCACCATTCATGTGTAAATGTTTCTATATTTTGTCTTTCACGCTCTAAATTTATTTCAGTATGCAGGTGCTCAGTTACCAGTCCATCCCAGCACCACCACAGCCACCGGCCATCAACTCGACCGGCTTCTTCATGGGAAGCTCAACGTGGGGCTTCACGCCGGGCCTCTTGGCCCTCGTGCCCACAAAGTTGATCTTCTTGTCCAGCTCGACGAACTGGCTCTCGCCCTCGCCCTTCTTGACCCTCCACTTGGACGTGCCCAGCGCGGCGTCGAGCTCCTCCACGGGCGGCAGCTTCAGGTAGATGAGCCCGTCGTCGCGCTCCTCGACCTCGAACGTCGCGATGGACAGCTCGCTGTCGTTCTTGCACGCACCCCCGGCGAGGTCGAAGTTGCGCTTGTGGTTCGGGCACGAGACCCACGGGGCGGCCGCCTTGGTCCCGTCTGCCTTCTCCTCGCCGACCAGACCGTCCGACAGCACGAACGACCGCTTGTGCGGGCACATCTGCTGCGTCGCATAGTACTTGCCGCGGATGCGCCACACGGCCAGCTGCGTGTCGCCGCGCTTGATGTTGGCCGAGATGCCGTTGGGCAGGCTGTCGGCGCCGTCAAAGTGGGCCGCGCCCAACACTGGCTGCCACGTCGTCGACGACCATCTGTCCTTGAGACCCTTGAAGTCTTCTCTGGCCGGCTCCTTGGCCCAGTACACGGGCCGAGGCTGGTCCCGGTCGTTCTCGATCTCCATGTTCTCCACTGTCTCCTCGGTGTTGTTGAATTGCTTGAACTTGGCGGCGATCGCCGGGTTCTTGATGGCTTCTGCCCACTCGTCAAAGAACGAGTCCACTAGCTCGGCCATTTGTGCCTCGAGGGACTCGTTGATGCCCAGCTTGTCCTCGAGGATCACCTCGCGGAGGTATTGGATGCCGCCAGGGAGGCCCTCGAGCCACCTGGCTGTGCGTTGTAATTTGTCTGCGGTGCGAATATAGAACATGAGATAACGGTCTAGTATGGGGATGACCTCTGACGGCGGGACATCCTTGGCGAGGAGGTCGCAATGTCGTGGTTTTGCGCCGCCGTTGCCTGCAACAAAGATGTTGAAGCCTTTCTCTGTTGCTATGAGTCCGAAGCTGTCTCATGTGTTAGCCTGTGCTGCATGATATAATCGTGGAAACAGAGATACTTACTCCTTGCTCTGCGCCTCTGCACACTCACGCACACAACCGCTGACACCACCCTTGATCTTGTGCGGTGCCCTGATACTCTTGTAGCGCTCCTCGAGCCGCACCGCCATGCCGACACTGTCGCCGATACCGAACCGGCACCACGTCGTACCAACGCAGCTCTTGACCGTCCGCAGGGACTTGGCGTAGGCGTGACCACTCTCCATTCCCGCGTCAACGAGCGTCTTCCAGATGTCGAGCAAGTCTTGCTTCTTGGCGCCAAACATGTCTATCCGCTGGCCGCCAGTGATCTTGGTGTAGAGACCATACTTCTTCGCAACCTCACCCATGACGATCATCTTGTCCGGCGTGATCTCTCCGGCCGACACCCGAGGGACAACACTGTATGTGCCATTGCGCTGGATGTTGCCGAGGAAGCGGTCGTTGGTCTCCTGCAGGCCGTGGTGAGGCTTGTCCATGACGTGCTTGTTCCACAGACTGGCAAAGATGCTAGCCACCGTGGGCTTGCACACCTCGCACCCGACGCTGTCGGCGTCGATGCCCGAGTCCTTCATCACCTGCGGGAACGTTTTGAGGCGCTTGACCATGATGATGTTGTAAAGGTCCGCACGGCTGTAGTTGAAGTGCGGGCAGACGTTGTTCTTGACCTCGTTGCCCATGCCTATCATCGTCTTGTTGAAGATGGACTGTACCAGCGGCATGCAGCCTCCGCAGCCTGTTCCGGCCTTTGTGCATGACTTGACATCCCCGATTGACTTGCACGTGCCGTCTTTTACTTTTTCGACGATGTCGCCTTTTGTCACGTTGTGACATGAGCAGATCTGAGTGTCGTCGGCCAGGTCGTCTGTTCCGTCGTCGTCGCCTTTCTTGGCCCCGAGGATGAGCTCTGAGGGTGCAATATCGAGCTCCTTCTGGGCTTTGACCATTGGTAGGAGCTTGATGTAGTCCTTGGTGTCGCCGATCATGATACCACCCAGGAGATATTTTCCGTCCATGGTAAAGATATATTTCTTGTACACGTGCTGGAAGGGATCCTTGTATGTAAGGGCCTTCACTTGTGGTGGCGGACGGCCACTTGTGAGGAGCTTAACGTCTTCTTTTGTCTTGCCATTTGCCTCGCCGTTGGCCTGTTTCTTAAGCTTCGCAGCCGCTTTTGGAGGCAGGGACTGGGGCCCATCAACGTCTGCGAAATAGTCGCCAAAGCTGGCGACCTCCACGCCCAGCAGTTTCAGCTTGGTGCTCAGGTCAGGCCTCTTAAACGCCCTTGGCGTGTGCTGTTTTGCCTGGGTCAGGTTGAAGCTCAGCACATCGGCCATCTCGACCCCGGGGGCGATCAAGCCATACGCCTGCCCCTGCCACGAGGCGCACTCCCCGATGGCGTATATGTCCTCCTCGCTGGTCCTCATCTCGTTGTCCACGACGATTCCGCCTCCGCGGTCGGCGCACTTAATCCCTGCCTTGCGGGCCAGCTCGTCGCGTGGGCGGACGCCGATGGCAAAGCAGACGATGCTGCAGGGCATGAGCACGTCATCCTCAAACCGGATGCCGGTGACAAAGTTGTTGTCATCGACCTCGATCTTGTCCACGCGCTTGCTGAGCATGACATTGACGCCGAGGTCGCGGACCTGCTCCGAAACCATGGCGCCGGCCTCCTCGTCGACCTGGCGGGACAGGACCCAGCGGCTGCGCTCGACGACGCTGACCTGCTTCAGCTTTTCCAGATCGAGCATTGCCTTTGCGGCCTCGAGGCCAAGCAGGCCTCCACCGATGACCGCGCCGTCGGTGCCCTCTTTTGTTGCGGAGAAGGCGATGAGCTTCTCCAGGTCTTCAATGGTCCGATAGACGAAGACGCCATTTGCGTCGTGGCCGGGTATAAACTGGGGCAGCAGCGCATTGGACCCCGTGGCTAATACCAGGATGTCGTAGGGGACTTCTGTGCCATCGGCGCAAGTGACGGTCTTGCGGTCCTTGTTGATGTCTGTTACGGCCTTGTTGAGATGCCATCCCAGGGCGTTGTCCGAGCCGACGTTGCCTTCGTACCAGGACAGGGGGTTCAGGTACAGCTGCTCGACCTTGCGGTGTTCGAAAAAGGACGTCAGGCCCACGCGGTTGTAGGCCAGATGTGGCTCCTCTCCGATGACGGTTATGTCGTACTCGCGGGCGCGAGCGTCAAGTTTCAGGAGCTTTTCTCTTTGGTGCTGGTCAGAGGTAGGCTCGCCGGTTGAAGAAGTGTTATATGCTCGGCAGCGAGTGAGTGAGGCTTACATGAAGGCAATACCGACCATCCCCAGTCCCACCACAACAATCTTTTTCCTGGAGCCAACAGCCATGATGGCTCTGGTTTTTGGGTCTTGAAGTGCCCGACGAGAATTGTGTCAATGCCCGTCAGAAGTCAGCTTGAACATGTCACGATAATAGTAAGAAAAAACAGAACAGGCTCGTGAGGTATGGGAGAGGAGCAGGATGGGCGCGGCTGGGCAGAGAGGTGCGATGTTTTAGACGGCAGTGGGCATTGAATTTGGGCATGGACTGTCTACTCTATCAACCTGGCCAGCAGCAGGATCCAGCATCTCCGAAACCAGCAATGCTTGGCCTGGTGGTACATATGGGATGACTTTGGCCTGTGCGGATATCCGCGACACATAGTAACGCGAGGGCAGCGGGTGGACGAAGACAGCATTTCCACGGGATGGCATCTCCGAAGTGAACCGAGCTCGCAGCATCTCCGTCATTACCAAGGGCCATCACGCCGTGGGTGGAGTGATAAGGCGGCTGCCGCCAATGGCGTGTAAGGCATTGGCTAGCCTTATCCACCGCACTTGAGCCTCCCGCGGAGATAGATAACAGGCCCACGCCCTACTGAAAACTGAGAGGCCAGGCCCCCAACCTTTGTCAGGCCTGCCTGTGCTGTGTCTTATCTGTTATCGCCCACCATGCGCCTTCCCAGCTTCCTCCTGCCTGCTAGCTAGCTCTTGCCCTCACCAATCTGACCTTGACCCGAGCAGATAACGAGTACTTAGGCAGGGAGTCCCAATCCTGGCCACGTCCAGAAACGACAGCATCATGGTCTCTTGCAGACACAGACGAGACGGCATACCAGTCGGCAATTGTCCTCCTGCCCGCCCTCCTCGACTCCAAGGGACGAACACGACCATGACCGTCTTTCTTGCGCGAGGCCAAGCTGTGTGGAGCTGCACGCTGGCACGCAGGCACGCAGGCAGAGTCAGGACAGCCCTCTGTTGCTTACCAAATCCCGCCTCTTGATTGACTGGCCAGAGACTCACGCAGGCTAGGTCATGCACGCCTCAGGAGATCATCAATACTCCATACTTGGCCTCGTCAACCCCAGATTTGCAAGACAGGCACCGGCAGTGGGCCTCCAAGGCGTGTGACCCCAGCATATCATCCGAGCACCTCCATCTTGACAAACCCTCCCACAACCATGGCCTGAGGCCTGCGTGGGCTGAGGTCTGTATCACCGGAGGCAGGTGACGTGTTTGGGAATGCACTTCATTTCGAGAGACAGACATGGTGGTACCCGGTGGGGTTGCTTTTGCCGTCCCCTGACCTGCAACGCGACGCTGTCGCCCACGGGACTAGGGGACTACGGGACAGCTCCTCTGCCTCGCCTGCCTCGTTCGTCCCATGTACTGGGCATACCGAGACCCAGACCTTCCGTCGCATCCATCTCACCCATCTCATCTATCTCATCGCTGCCTACCTGGAACCGACGGCACGCATGTCTCTCCCACAGCATACCACTCCCGCTTGAACTCTCCGCGAGCAGTCTCGGCCGTCATCAGAGGCCACTTCTTCCAACCCAAAAGACGCGTCAAAGACGTTTTGACCCATCACCCCCCTCCAACCATCTGCTACGCTGCCCGGAGGAACGTCCAAACCCCTGCTCACTTTTGCTCTAGTTCAGCGAATTGCCAACCAACCTGCCGTGTATCCTTGCTCCCAGGAACCGCCTTGGCTCTGCACGGCTCGATTCCCCACAGAAGCTGCTCGAGAACCAAGATGGGTTGGATGGGCGCACTCGGACATCTCTAGGACCCGGCCAGGGGCTCACTCGTTCATTTCAAGACCATGCCACGCCCAAAGTTTCCACATCGGCCTGGGTTGGACAGATGCCGTCGTTATTATGGAAACCTCCTGGCCCCTGTTGTCTGCGCGTTACCGCGACTCTTGACTCTCAAAACCCCTCACTACTCATCATCATGCAGCATCTCGCACGTACGTTTGCCCAAAGCAACATGCCAATTTAAGCCAGCAGTGCCTAGTCTCGGCAACGGGCGCCTCCACACTCCCCAACCGGTGCCGATCTCCCATGATCACACTGGACGGTTGCATTGGAGCCGGGGCTTGTTCTACTAGTTAAACATCACGACAAATGCCTTGCAGCACCCACATCCGCTGCATATGCTTGGCCGACTCGCCCGCACAATCTCCAAGTCTTTCTGGGTCTATCTGACAACCACCGTGCTAGTGCTCATCACCTGGCGAGCCCACGGTACCATTCAACGCTCGTGACGAGGTGGGAGTGTGCCATCCCGCAAGGCTCGCCAGGGCACAGTCAATGTTGCGGCTGTCCCAGCGTCAAAGCTCCTTCGACTTCTCTCTGATCCTTGGAAGGCTTGATGCCCAAGGCTCATTGGCCGGTCCTGAGCGTGTACTTATTTCAACCATCCTCTGTACATGTCGTTAGGATGCCCCCTGACCGCCTACAGGCAACCTGGTAACGCGTGCCCTCCTTGGTCCTGCAAGTGCACAGGGCTAGAGCCGAGCCCGGGGACATTAGAGAACAAGGTTCATGGTGCCTGTTCGCCCATACGGCATCCGTACATGCAGTCTAATTAAGTTTCTCGTGCTTGGGATCTGCATACTCCCTGAACAAAGATTCCGGATTTAAAAGTCGTTAACAATCCCATGAATACGGCCAGCGTTGCGGTGCTTCGCTCTTCTCTTCTCAGCGCTGCCTCTCATTGACTTGGTAGTCTCCCCTCGTTGCTGGTCTCTACTAGTCAGTCATTGTGTCTGTCTGTTTCGCCATGCATTCCCTAGACTGTATTCTCGCCGTGTTGGCGACGGCGTCCCAGGTAGCTGCGGTCCCTCGCGTCTCCCAAGTTCGTGCTAGCCCGGTTCAGAGGTACCTTGGCCCGCCAACGTCATATGTTTACAATCAAACGCGCGCCGATGCTGTGAAGCAGACATTCCAGATCTCCTGGGACGGGTATTACAAATATGCCTTCCCTGGTGACTCTTTGCTGCCTGTCTCGAACTCGTTCGCGAACGATCGGTTAGTCCAGCCACCTCGAGAACATTATTCAGATTTCAGCCCGCTGACTGGCAAGCAGCAATGGATGGGGTGCAAGCGCCATTGATGCGCTCAGTACTGCACTGATTCAGGGCAATACAGAGGTCGTCAACCAGATCCTGGATTTTGTTCCGACCATCGACTTCAGCGTCAGCTTCAACGACACTGAGGTGTCTCTGTTTGAGACGACTATTCGGTATCTTGGTGGTCTTCTATCTGGTAAGGCCGCCAAAAGAACCCGCTCTCATACCACTTGAGTAAGAATCGGGAGCGTGATCAAAACATTGGCTGACTGTGATCTCAAGGCTATGACCTCCTCAAGGGGCCATACTCAACCTTCGTCAACGACTCGAGCAAAGTTGAGCCTCTGTTGGAGCAGGCCAAGAAGCTGGCTGATAACCTCAAGTTCACCTTTGACACGCCTACCGGCATCCCGGACAACAGCGTCTTCCTTGACCCTCCCAGAATTGGCAATTCGACCTCCAACGGTGTTGCTACCACCGGCACCCTTATTCTGGAATGGCAGCGACTTTCAGACCTGACGGGTGACCCCTCGTATGGCGAGCTCGTCAAGAAGGCAGAGTCGTACCTGATCAACCCGCTGAACCCGGAGCTGGGTGAGCCGTTCCCTGGGCTCATTGGCACCGATATTTCGATCAGCAACGGCTCGTTTCTGGACTCGAGGGGAGGCTGGACCGGAGGTACCGACAGCTACTACGAGTACCTGATCAAGATGTACTTGTACGACCCGGAAACATTTGAGGAGTACAAGGACAAATGGGTCGAGGCCGTGGACAGCAGCATCGAGTACCTGGCGAGCCACCCGACCAGTAGGCCCGACCTCACCTTTTTGAGCTACTACCGTAACAACACCGAGACAGGCATTGTCTACCTTTCGCAGCATCGTAAGTCAACCTCCCCTGTCTTTGATCTGGTCCTCGCTTTTAGAGGCACAAGAGTTACCACGCATCCACCACCTCGGTGGTTCGCCGCATGTGCGACCACGGCCAAGCCACGGTCACACGTGCACACAAGGCCAAAACATACGGGTGTCGTGTTGCATGACCCAACCGCCCGTATATGCGGACCCATGCTTCGGGGGCACCATTTTCAGTAGCACAGCGTGCACATACCCAAGTGCAGTGAAGCAACTTCTCTCCGTGCCTGCAGGCTAACAAAAACCCTCACCGCAAAAACAGTCGCTTGCTTCGACGGCGGCAACTTCATCCTCGGCGGGCTGACGCTCGACGAGCCGTCATACATCGACTTTGGCCTGGAGCTCGTGGCGGGCTGCCGCGACACGTACACGCAGACGGCAACCAAGATCGGTCCCGAGGTGTTCCGGTGGCTGGGTGAGAACTCACCGCCCAATGCGACCGTGCCGGCGGGCGACGAGGCCTTTTACGAGCGTGCGGGCTACTGGATCGACAGTGCCAACTACGTCCTGCGGCCCGAGGTCATAGAGAGCTACTACTACGCGTACCGCGCCACCGGCGACACCAAGTACCAGGACTGGGCGTGGGAGGCGTACCTCGCCATCAACGAGACGTGCCGCGCCGGCAGTGGGTACAGCGCCATCAACGACGTCAACGCTCCCGGCGGTGGTGGCTTCTCCGACTTCCAGGAGAGCTTCTGGTTCGCCGAGGTGCTCAAGTATAGCTACTTGATTCATGCTGAGGTAAGGATATCCAAGCCGTCTCCTTTCCGGGCCCCGCTTGGGCTTGATGGGCAAAAGAGACATGCTTACATTTGCCCGGTATAGGATGCTCCGTTCCAGGTCAAGGCGGACCACACGAATGAGTATGTTTTCAACACGGAGGCTCATCCTGTGCGGATCCCTGGCGGGGAGCAGACGGCGCGCTAGACTTTTCCAGCGGCGGGGATATATGTCTTGCACCACCATTTCTAATTCATATGCATGCATACATACACATGTGAGAGGGTATACATATTTGCATAGATGGATGTATGTGTAGATGCTACTGTCTAATTTACTGATTCACAAGTCTTGGTGTGGCTACTGTATGTAAGCCGGTGCTTTTGTCATCTCATCTTCACTTACAAAGGGTTGATGATGCTCCGGCTGGGACTACCTTCTACTCGTCAAGGCAGAAACAAGACTTTAAGAAGAGAAAATCACATCTTCTAGTGGAATTGCCAACAAGCATTACCCCACAGCAACTTTGCTACCAGGGAGTTGATAAGAATTGTCAGTGTCAGCCGTAAAGTAGCTGCTGTCGTGAACTGCACTATTACCAGAATCTCGCGAGAGGTTGCCGTTCGATATGGGTGGGATGGAAGCGCCGCCAGTGCTGCCTGCAATGTGCAGCCTCATTTTCCCCTTGTGGTGGTTTCCCATGATACATACAGCATGCCTGTCCGCTTTTGACGAATAATCAACGCTTCAAAAATTACATTTGTATTCTTAACCCTACAACGGACGCATTGTGAAGCACCGGCGATAGAGCTGGCTGGGCTCTGAACCGGCGGCTAACGCTGACCACTTGCCCATGGGCGGTACAGCTAGCAACACGTTTACGTAAACTCACGTCAGGTGGAATAGCCATAGTCTCAAATGTTGTTGTTTGATGTGATTGATGGCTTCCATCTGATCTAGAAGCTGAGTGTTAGTTCCCAGAGAGAGAGGTAGAGGGAGCCGTATGCCCCCGACAAGCCGGTGTCTCTGACTCCTGATTCTATCATTCATGTTGAGCAGCCGCTCCCTGTCAAGAGCCTTTCTCTCCCTTGACTTATGCCACCACCGCGCCTCTCATGCAGTAAGATGCTAAATGTACAAAAGGACCCACACCCGGCCTCAAACGCCTTGCTAAATGCCGGTCGTAGTAAACACGCACACACGAGAGAGGCCATCCCCCTCCCGATCATGCCACAACCCCTCCTCCCACTCACTTCCAACTTGTCTCTTTCCACCTGACCCTGGCCCTGGCCCTGGCCCGCACCTCAGAACACGCGCGTCTCGCCGATGTCACAGATATCAAAGACGCCCTCCTCGGGGAGGCCCCTGCGCCTGAGCGCCTCCCTCAGCCTGACGGGGGGCTCCATGACGGGCTCCGAGGTCAGCGCCCAGGTGCCCCAGTGGATGGCGAGGGCGGCCCCGCACCTGGTGTCGCGGAAGATCTCGACGGCGTCGGAGGGGCTCGCGTGCACGGGCGAGAAGAGGGCGCGCGGGCGGTACGCGCCGATGGGGATGAGGCCGACGTCAAAGGGCCCGCGCAGGGCGCCGATGGCCTTGAAGTCCGGGTTCGTCGGCAGGTCGGCCAGCTGCCCGCCGCCGTAGTCGTGCGTCGCCTCCTCGTCCCTGATGGCGGCCGGGATGGAGCGGTAGCCCGTGTCGCCTGCGAAGTAGACCGACTTGGCTGCCGACCGCACCGCCCACGAGCACCACAGGGTCTTGTCGTGGTCAAAGGGCGAGCGGGCGGAGCCGTGCTGCGCGGGGAGGCACGAGACCATCGCCGTGATGATCCCCTGGCCGGCGGCCTTGTCGTCCTTGTCGTCCTTCTCGTCGGCGTCCGGCTTGATCGTGACCTCGGCGTCCTCCCACCAATCCATCTCGGTCACGTTCTCGACGCCCGAGTCGCGGAACCAGCCGGCCAGGCCGAGGCCGACAAAGAAGTGGGCGTGCGGGAAGCGGGACCTCACCTCGTGCACGGTGGGCAGGGACAGGTGGTCGTAGTGGCTGTGCGAGATGAAGACGGCGTCCAGGAAGGGCAGGTCGGCGACGGCACAGGCGCGGCGCGTGTAGCGCTGGGGGCCGGCAAAGGTCAAGGGCGAGCAGCGGTCCTCCATGACGGGGTCGAAGAGGGCCCTCAGGCCGGAGGGGAACTCGACGTAGTGGCAGGCGTGGCCGAGCCAGGTGGTGCGCAGGTCCTGGGAGCCGTGGCGCGAGGCCAGGAACTCGGGCGTCTGGACGGGCACCGTCTCACCCTTTGGGGCTGGCATCCTCATGGTGCCGTCGAACTGGCCCCTGATTGTGAGTTGTCAGCGTTTAATATGGCAGCAGGAAAAGTAAGATGACACCAGGCTGAAGAAGTCTGAGGGTGGGGGCAGTTTGACTCACATGATGGACTTGATGGGGAACTCCCAGGGCTGGAAGGCAGCCTTGTATGAGGGGTGAGGGTTTTGGAACTTGGTGGTGGTGCCATGGCTGTTTTTGACGTGGTGAGGCTTGGACTCTGCACCGTCGGGAGCAGCACCCAGCAAGGGCTGGTTGACGGATACTGAGTAAGGCATGGTGGTGTTGGCCGTGAGGAAGGACGAGACAACAACAAGAGGCTTGAGCCGGGCCCGGGAGGGCAGACTGAGGGTTCCAAGCATGGGGGGCTGACTTCTCTTATGTGTAATTCTGGAGAGAAGAGGGATGATTGGTTGAGTAGTATCGTGTGCCGGATAAAAGCAGTGCGGGTGGTGAGGTCAGGTCAGCCTCGCAGCCAGCCACAAGTCGTCGTCAACAACAGCCTCGTGGAGGGCCTGGGCTGCCTGGGCTACCTGGGCAACTGGGGTGCCGAGATCTTGACCACAAAAAAAAGTTGTGAGAGGTCTTCTCGCATCCGGATAGATTCATGCACCGGTGTGGGTGTGGTTCGGCCTGCAGCAACCATGACAAACTCCACTAATAATAATAAAACCGGCTGGTCGGGACAACCCACATTCCCTTGTGGCTGACGACGTTCTACACTAGGCGGATACTCCCCCAATGTGGTGGGTGGGTAGGTGGGTACCGGGCTTCCTTCTCACTGCGGGATCCGAGCCAGTGTGCAGCTCGCTCCTGAATTGACTTTTTAGTGTTCACTTGCATGACGTTGTTGACTGTTGTGGATCCACAGGGCTGTCGCTCCCGTGTACCATAGTATTGCTAGCCCATACTGTAACGATCCGATTGGGTGCTGGCAAGGGTGCATGTCTAAGAAAGGCAGTAGCAGCCCCTAACAATAGCCAACAGACAGGTACTTCAATATAGTATGTGATTACCTTGGGTACCTAGGTACTACTAAGTATGCATTCACAGGCCCCCCCTTTGTCTCTCCCCTAAGGCGAAGCATACTTGTAGCCATATTGTGCCTTGGCATCATCAATCAGCTTCTTGACCTCCTCTGCCTTCTGCCTGGCCTCGGGGTCATCCTTGATGTTCTGCAGGGCCGCCTTGTTGGCGAACGAGGCCTCCTGGGGGATGGCAAAGCCCCTCTTGACGCCCGGGCGCTCCAGACAGCGATTGAGCCAGGCGTTGACGTTGGGGAACTGGCCCTCGAGGTCGGCAATGCCGGCGAGGACGGTGGCGTTGGCCCAGCCCAGGAGCGAGATGTCGGCGATGGAGAACCTGCCGCGGGCCGGGCCGGCGACATAGTCGCGGTCGCTGAGGCGGGCGTCGAGGATGCCGTACAGGCGCTCCGTCTCGCCGACGTAGCGCTGGATGGGGTAGGGGATCTTCTCCCTGGCGAAGCGCACAAAGTGGTTGGCCTGGCCCTGCATGGGGCCGACGCCGCCGTGCTGCCAGGCCATCCACTGCTCGGCGACCGAGTAGTCGTCCGAGTCGTAGGCGAAGCTGAGCTTGTTGTCCGGGTCGTAGTGCTTGGTCAGGTAGGTGAGGATGGGCAGGCCCTCGAAGACGGCAAAGCCGCCGCGGTCGTGGTCGACGATGGCGGGGATGCGGCCGTTGGGGCAGATCTTGGTGTACCACTCCTCCTTCTGGGTGTTCTTCATGATGTTGATGGCCTGCCACACGTACTTGGGCGCCCTGTCGCCATAGGCCTCCTTGATCTCCTCCAGCACGATGCTGGCCTTGTAGCCGTTGGGGGTCCCCTGGGTGAACAGCTCAATGCCGTCCGTGGCGATGAGGCCGGTGGGCTCAGGCTTGTCTGCCATGTTGCTGCTGCTGCTATATGTCCGGGGGTGTGGTGTTTTTTTGTTGGTTATGGCAGTGGCAGTGGCAGTGGCTGTGGATGATAGTTGGGCGTGTCTTGGGATTATCTGAACCCGAGAAGGGGGCACCTGGCAGTGAGAGGCAAGGGAGGTGAATGACGCTGTTGAGATGTGGATATGGACTCGTCGGGCTGGCGGGGCGTATAATGAGAGCAAGAGAGCCCGCCTTCTTATGCTTGTCGAGGCCATTCTGACACCTCAGGACTTTGCGCAAGTACCGTGTGGGCCAGTCAGTTACGCAACTGCTGCTAGCTGTGTCCTTGTCATTGCTCCATCTGGGGTATCTGCCTCAAGTACTACGGCCAATGCGCCATGCTTTCAAATCAAAGCTGCCGGGCCTGGAAGCTGCCAGGCGACCCCACCATACATAGCTCCCGCTGCACCTCGAGGCTTGTTTGTGCAGGTCCAATTACTCAGCACCGTCTGTCATCAACCGCCCGACCACAACCCTTTCTTTCGCCTTTCACTTCACCACCACCTTAATAACCGCTTCGACAATCCCCCCCGCGCCTTCCGACGGCTCGTCTCGTCAGCTGTGTGACCACCTGCAGCTTCGAGCCCGGCCCCAGTGGGCTCCATTGGCCAGGTCGTCTGCTCCAGCTGCACGGGCTCGCTGATATCGCGCCTGTTGATCCTGGTCTTGCGGGCGCTCTCCCTCCTGCCAATCACAAAAACAGGCACAGGCAATGGCAGAGGCATAGGCACAGGCAGACGGGGCGCCGGCCTCGGATTTGTAAACATGCCCTGCCCGACCGGCTCGGCCAGCCCGCCGGGACCAGCACTCTCCATCTCCATCGCCCACGAGCTGCAGCCCTCGCCCACCGGGTCTGCCTCCATCGCCGTCTTCCTGTGGTCCCTCATCCTCTTGACGAACCCTTCGTAGCTGAGCCCTGGCCCATCCTCAGCCTTATCCATCGCGCTCGGGTCGAACCGCACGCTTCCCCCCCGCCGTCGCTGACACCCGGCACAAGCACACCTCGCCGCCCACTTGCCCTTTTCGGCAGCCGTTGGGCGTCGACGTCTGTCCTGGCGTCGTGTCCCGTGTGAGAGACGCAAAAGGCCAAGCAAGCTCGACTGAAGCTTCTTCAGGCATGACTCTGGGGGCTCTGCCTCGTCGCCTTCATATCCATCGGACAGTCCTAGCTTCGTTTCTTCCAATCTTGACCTTGTCTCTTCTAGTCTTGCTGGCTCACTTCCGGGTTGCTTCAGATCAGCGAGAGAATCTTGTGAATATCTTGACAACTCGTCTTCTTCCTCTTCATCATCATCCTCCTCCTCCTCCTCTTCTTGTTGTTTCTCTTCCTGCAAAGGGTCAACATACTCGCCTTCAGAATCCCTATGGCCCGCGTCGATTTCACTTGTCAGAGTTGACACGTCAGAGTGCCAATCTTCAGACCCGTCTTCCCTCGGGCTCTCCGGGCTGTCGAGGTCCATCTCGTCATAAGTCATTGGCTCTGCTGCTGGCCCCGGCTGCTTCTCCGGCTGGCCCCATACCGCGGCCTGCTGATATTTACCCCGGAGCGGCGCAGCCCAGTTGCGCACGAGATAGAGCTCGTCAACATGCCCTTCTCCCGACTGCCCACCGTCTCTGATACCGCGACTAAGGGTTTCTATCCGTTCCTTCTGAGCTTCCTGGACGCGGGAAGCACAGATGTCCGCGCCGGGGTTCATTGCCTTCATGTAGTAACCCTTTCCGATGGCGGTCGTGTTGTACATATCTCGGGGTCCACGCGAGTCTTGGGCGCACCCATGGTAGGCTTCTCCCATTTTCATGCCGTTCGAGATACTCCTCTGGTCCTGCAGCACCTGGGAACTGTACGCCAGGTCTCGGCTCTTCTCCTCGAACGCTGGCCGCCAGTCAGTGCCGATATAGCGACTATTCCCGGCGCTCTGGGTGGGTGGCTCTCTGTGCTTAACCAGGACAGGGCCTGTTCCTGCAATCATGACTGGGCCATCGCCCCGTCGTCGAGTAATAAATCGGAGCATCCTTGTGAGCTTTGGTCGTTCCGACGAAACATTTGAAGATGGCATGGTACAAGAGATTATACTAGGTAGGCGTTGGCACGAGCAGGAATTAATTAATGGGGGCGAGTTGGCAAAGAAGCCTTGAATTTTTGTGTCCTTGCAATTACTTGCAATTTCATATTGGGCATTTCTTCTCTAAACATTGCTAGTTCAGTGGCCTCGTCCTGGTGCATCACTTGAGATGGCGCCGGCTCTGGCTATACACATAGGCCTTTACTAGTCACCATATCCGCGTATCTTGGGTGAGTTTGGGAACTGGGCTACATGCCCATCCACGTCTTTACTAAAACCACAGGGACTAAACTATGCAATGTCATTTGGTCCGGTGTATCTCAGACATGCGACTACTGAGATACACCGGACCAAATGACATTGCATAGTCTTCTTCTGCCTGGCACTGCTCTTGGCCGGCTTCTTTTGGTGCCTAGGTAACCTGAGAAATACTCAAGGCTCTAGTAATGCATAGGGGCTTTTGCTCTCAAAAGAGTCGCCTGGCTTCTACTAAGCTACTTCGGTAGGGAGATGATGGCCGCAAGTAGCTGCCTCTGCTACTGTTGCCATTTCGTCCAAGTGGTTTGGGTGGTTTCGTTTTTAATCCCCATACATACAAAATGTATGTGGCGCCTTCATACAGTGGTAAACGCTCAAGACCCAGCATTTTTTTTTAAAAAAAAAAATACAGTGCCAATAACAGTGGAAAGAGAATACAGTACGTTTCGTCCAAGGAACTTCACATGTAGCCTAGCGTTTTCTTGGATGCTTCCTCTGAGCGGCAGCATCGTCATCCAAAGACCTGGCTGGCGTTTGATCCAACCATGACTGCGAAAGCAATCAGATATGAAATGTCACACAGCCTTACCCATAGACGAGAAAGACCAGCACGCAACCACATGGGAATGAGAACGACCCGGCCCCTTGCAATCTTTCAAAGGGAATTCATCAATTTAAGTTAAGCCACGTAGGCAGGAAGAAAATATCGTGACACCCTAACGTACAACCTTGAGAGACTTCAATACTGACCTCGTCTCGCATGAGCATTCCAAGAGTCGAGGACATAAATAAATGGAAACGCCTCTCCTCTGAATGTTCGGCCCGCCCTCGAATTGCCTCAGTCACGCACCCGTGCTTTTTTTTCTGTGGTTCCCCACACACCAAAATGAAACGGGAGCAAGCAAACCCCGAGGGGCGGGAGATGGCAAACATTCCCAACCTCGCCAGGCTAGGTTGCCCCAGGGCGCCCAAAATCAGCAGGTCTTATACATGCGCCCCAGCTCCTAGAGCCAATCTCCATATCGCCCAGACTCATGCCCCGTGCCAGGCCTCCCTGGTGACTCCGATTCGCAGAGATGATTAGAAACATGCGATATGAACCCAACCAGGTTACTCAAAACTTCTTGATCCTCGACCAAAGAAAAATCCTTTCCCATCATCACCCTGCCTTTCCCTTGTTCGTTAAGAGTACGTAAAAATCGTGCGCATCTATTAATCAGGTCAAGGCCCGCGCGGGTTCAAGGATTGGAATGGTAAGTTACCAGTAACGGCGGTCGTAATCGCGCGGAGGGTAGTATCCGCCTTCCCTGGGGTACCCGGCTTCTCTGGGGGGGAAGTCTCTCGGAGGAGGGGGGTAGTCATCAACAGGGCCGCGACGGGGAGGCGGATAATCATCCATGCGACCGCGCCGAGGAGGTGGGTAATCATCCATGGGTCCACGGCGAGGTGGGGGGTAGTCATCCATGCGGTATCTCGGACGCTCGTCGTAGTAGTCACGACGGGGAGGGCTTCTGTCGCGGTAGTCGCGGCGTGGGCTCCAGCCGCCCGGGGGGCCACGGCGGTCCATGAAGTCGTCCCGTGGAGGGTAAGGACGGCGGGCACCTGGTGAGCGGGATCGGCCGCGGCCACCGTCTCGTGGTGGGAAGTCGGGCTGAGTCTGCTCAACGTCAGCAACAGGGAGAAGGAATACTATGCGGGGCAGGGGTACCCACGTTCGCGACACAGGTCACGCGCTGGTCCTTAAACTCGCGTCCATCGAGTGCCTCGACAGCTTTCTTAAGGTCTGCGGCGGTCTCGAATTCCACAAACCTATTGCAACCAGACAAGTCAGAGTTTGAAGGCAATATCGCTGGCAATCACAAGGGGTGCTCACCCTTCGCCATTGGAGTTGCGACCCGTCTCCGAGTAGACGACATCACAGCCGGATTGACGGGCGAAATCTTTCAGGTCCTGCGTCCAGAGAATCCACGTAAGTTGAAGTCCAGGTTCGAGCACGGGGGCGGTTTGAAGCGGCCGATCCCCAGGCACGGGCTTAGGCAAGCAAAGTAAAAGTTCCATGGCCATCCAAGAGCGTCTGAGGTTGAGTCCAGCAGGGAGGGGAATTCCTCGCAATCACGTCACTCCAAACAGTCCAGATAGCAAACACGCCAGGAACTCCAAGTCCACCGGAGGAAGACGCACTGCAGTCGTCCTGAGGGGGAGCAAGTCGTCATGGAAGGGAGAGCGCAGTACAATCGAAATCCACAAAAGCTGGCTACCTATCCAGAGATAAAGATGGCTGTTGCGACGGGCATCCGTGAATCCGGCAGCAAGGAATAGGAGGAAGAACAGACCTGCCAACTGGTATCGGTGGGGAGACCACTAATTTGCATCCTGTGAGGAGTGCGACGGGGGCGAGGGGGCGCGCGCTCGTTACTCGCAAAGCCGCCAGGGCCGCCGGGGCCGCCATTTTCACGGTGACGCGAGCCTCGGGCGAATTGGACTGTCAGTCGCTCGCCCATGAAGGTGGATCCATCTTGTTGCAGACAGTATTAGCCAGGGTTCAAGCGGGATGGGTCACGGTGGTTGCTGCCGGGGTCCATGGAGGAGGTCGCGACGTACGGAAAGCTGTCAAGGACGTGTTGGTTAGCAAGCTGCCAGGTCGAGAGCGAAGGTGCATTTGAAGAGTATGGGGTGGGGAGGGACGGGGGTATGGCGACATGAGAGGGTGGCTTTGTGCCGAGATGGCAGGAGGAGTGTGGGCTGGCAACTTACCAGGGACGACATCACGGGCGTCCATGGCATCTTTGTACTCGATGAAGCCGAAGCCATTCATGAGCTTGATTTCAGTGATGTCGCCGGTGCCATGGGACGCGAAGTGAGCCTCAACATCGGCCTTGGTCGCTAGAGAAGAAGTTAGAGGGCGGGAGACAAGCGGGAGGGCGCGGCGTGGGAGCATCCAGGGCGAGGCGCAAAGGGCGAGGCGGTCGTGATGGGGCGCTTACCATTGCGCGGCAGGTTGCCCAGGTACAGGCGGGTGGATGACACTTCGGTCATGTTTGCGGCGATCTGTTTTCCAGGCGATCAGGTCATGCAACGGCAGGGGCTGGGCTGGACTGTTTTTCTCTGGGCTGGGTCGAGGCGAAGGTGAGGCGACAGGAGAGGAGCGGCACGGGGAGTGGCAGCCTTATCGTGGGAGTGGTCGTTGGGAGGTGGTCTGGTTTGGGATGCTGACGGTCTGCGACTGGCCGTGGGGAAAAGTGTGGAAGAGGGACCAGTAGCTGGGGCTGAGCTTTTGGGTTCCAAGTTTGACTGGCTGGGTGGGTAGGTGGTCAAGGCAGCTGGGTGGGCTCGGGTTGGGGGTTTGGGTTTGGGTTTGGGTTGGGAGAGTTGGGGCGGGCGAGGGGCGGGCCCAGCAGGCAAGCAAGCATCAAGCAACCTTGGAACCTTGGAAGCAAGCAACAAGTGCTGTCTCGGAAAAACGAGAGTTGGCCCCCCCCCTGCAAAATGCCCCCTATTTCTCGGCTAAACCAAAACTTTGCTAATAGGGCGGAAAACCTAATATTTTCAATAAAATACTATATTTAATACCACTTATACCTTAAAAAAGAAAAAAAAGAGGCTAATAATAGCAAGCCATTATTTATTAAGTTATAAACTTTAATAATTAAAATTTTATTTATATTTTAATTTATTTTTATTAAATAAATAATTATAAACTAAGTTTTAAATTAGCTATATTATAATTTAAAAATATTATTAAAAGGTTGCTACTACTTATATAGTTGCTTTAAGTATATTATTATTATTATTATTAAATATAATTAAATTAAAGTAATAAGCTTTAAAAGTTTATTAGCCTGCTTTTTTATAATAAATTTATAAAGCTTAATTAATATATAAGTTATATAAATTAAAAGCTAAAAGATTTTTATTTAATAAATTAAATTTATATTTTAATAAAATATAATACTTTTTATTAAATAATTTTAAATTAATATTATTATAAAAATAATAGGTAATATTTTAAAGTTTATATATAAAATAATAAATAAATATATATATTAGCCTGCTAATATAATAAAAGTTTTATAATTATTACTTTTAATAAATATATTAGTTGGGCTATATAATAAAAATATTTATTTTATTAATAAATTTAATTTTAATAAGTAAAATAATATAAAAAAATAAATTAAATATTTATTAGATATATTTTATAAGTTAAAAGTTTTTTAAATAAAGGGCTTATTTTTATATTTTTTATAATTATATTTAATAACTTATTTATTATTATAATATATAAGGGTTATATAATAAAAAGTACTTTTATAATAGTTAATAAAAATATTTTATTAAAAATAAATTTATATTTAAGCCTAAAATTAATTTTATAATAAATAATACTTTATAATATTATAATATAAAATAATTAAAGTAATAAATATAAAAATATAAAATATAAATATTTATTTTTATATTTTTAATTTTAATTTTATTAAAATATATTTTAGTAACTTAAAGTATTATTTATATTATTAATATTAATATAAATTATTAAATTATAATTTAAATAGGAATTTTATTTAATTTTTATTTTTATATTTAAAAGGTTAGATTTAAGGTTAAAGTATTTAAAAATATTTTTATTATATATAAATATTAAAAAATATAAAATAAAGTAAATATAATAATATTAATTAAAAATTATAAAAACTAAAATTAATAAAGTTTTAATTAAATATAATTATATAGGTAAAAAGTATTATTTATAAATTAAATAGTTAAGTTAATAATTAAAATTAAGGCAAATAAATTAGCTATAAATAAATTTATTTAATTAATTAGTTATTTAATACTAAATACCTAATTTATTTTATTTATTTAAAATAATTAATTTTTTTAATTATTTTTATTACTAATTATATTTTTATATATTTAATTATTATTTTTTTATTTAAAAGTTTTTAAAACTTATTATATAATTTTTATTTTATTAAATATAAAAACTATTTTAATAGGCTTTTAACCCTTTTATTAAATAGCTAATTTAATTATAAGGCTAATATTAAATAAAACTAATTAATTAGTTAGGCAACTTTTATAAATTTTATAAAATATATACTTTTAATATTTACTTGGCAATTTATTAGATGGCTATTTAATAGCCTTTATTATAATAATAAGTTTTTTATTATTATTATTATTAAAAAATTAGTAAAGTTTTTTTAAATATAATTTAATTAATATTTTAACTAATAAAATAGCCTTTAAGTTATACTTATTAAATTAAATATTTTTTTATAAAGCTTATAAAGGTTAAGCTTTTATATTTTATAATTTTATAAATTATTTAAATTAAGCCCTTTTAATAAATTTTTAAAATATTTTTAAAATACTTTTATAATAAACTTTTAATATAAAATTATTTTATTTTTTTATTTATAATAATAATAATAAAAATAACTAATAACTTTTACCTTTATAATAGGCTTTTAAATACTATTATTATTACTATTAATAATAACAAGGCCTATTAAATTTATAAAAAAGTTGGTAATAATAATAATAATAATAGCCTATTAAAGTTATTTAGCTATATTTAATTTTAAATAAATTAATATTAAATAATAAATTAATAATTATATTAATACTACTTTCCTTTTACTTTTATTTTTATTATTTTTTTAAAAAAATAAAACTAATTTTATTATTATTAGGCTTTTTTATTAGGCTTTATTTAAGCTATTTAATAATTAAAAGAATTTTTAATAAGCATTTAATTATAATATTATTTATTATAATTATATTAAATTAGTCCTTTAAATTTTTATTAAATAAGTTAATATATATATTATTTTATTTAATAAAATATTATTATTATAAAAATTTCCTTATTTTAATAATAATAATTAGCCTTATAATAATTACCTAAAAATATAATTATATTTTTATTAATTATTTATACTTTTTTTATATAAGGTTTACTTTTATTTTTATTTTAACCTTTTATTTAATAGTTATTAATATAGGTTAAAAAGTTTTAAAATTTAAGTTTTTATTAAGTATATTTAAGTTTGCTATTTGCCTAATTATTAGCAAACCATTTTTTAAGGCAGCTATTTATTAAATAGTTAATAATAGCTAAAAAACTTTAATTAATAGGCATTTAGCTAAGTAATTATTTTATAATATAAATATTTATAACTTTTATACTAATAATATAATTTTATAATTATATAAAAATTAAAAAAGGGTTTTAAAATTTAAAAATATATTTATAATATTATTATAATTAAATATTTTAATCTTTTATTAATATTTTTTATAATTTTTAATTATAAAGTTAAAAACTTTTAGCTTATAAATTAATTAGCCTTAATAAAAATATTTTTAATTTAATAATTATATTTAAATAATTTTTATATTTTTTAATTAAATTTTTAAATAAATTAATATAATTTAATAAAAACCTTAAATTTTTAACTTTTATTTTTTTTTAATATAATAATTTATTTTTAAATTATATAATAAGAGTAATATTAGCTTTTAAGCTATAAATTTTAATAAATAAAGTTAGGGCTAATTTATTTAGGCATACTTATATTAAAAGTTAATTAAGTAATTTTTAAAGTGCTTAATATTATTATTATTATTATTTATTAAAATTTTATTTTATTAGTAAAAGGTTTTTATTATTAGTACCTTTTAAAGCCTTTTTTATTATTAAATATATTTTTTATTATTAACTTTAATAATATTTTTATATCTTTTAAATTATTTAATTTATTATAATAGTTTTATTTTAAGCAATTTTAAAGGTATTTATAAATACTTTTAAGTAATTTACTAAACCTTAATTATTTTAGTAGTTAGCTTTTAAGTATATAATTATTTAAATAATATAATATTTTTATTAATAAATTATATAATTTAACTTTTAAATAAATTTTATATAGCAAATATTAGGTAATTTAAACTTAATAAATTAATTAAAATATATTATTTATAATATTAGCTAGGCTAATATTATTTTATATTAAAATAAATAAATTATATATATCTTTATAGGCCAGGCTTAAATTAATTATATAAAATTAATATAGCATTATTTTTACCTAATTAAATAATAAAAACAACTTATTACTAGCATTAATAAGGTTAATATAAGTGTTTTAATAAAAATATTGGGTTTTCCACCCTGCTAGTAAAGTTTTGGTTTAGCCGAGGAATAGGGGGTATTTTGTAGGGGGGGGGCCAATTCTCGTTTTTTTAAGACAGTGGGTCCAGGCCGCTGATGGGGCGCTGACGGGGTAAACAAACCGTTGCTCGTGTCGCACAAGATGCTGCTGTAGATACGGGGTCAGAATCAAGCTGATTTGGACGGGACAGGTGAGGCGGTCGCCGGAGACCCTTGGCTGCTCGACTGACGCGCTCGAATATCGCGCGTATTAATGCAGGTTGGTGAGGCAGGTGAGATGGATGATGAGGGAGAGGGGAGCGGGACGAAGAGGGAGAGGGGTTTTAGGACAGAAATCCCAGGCCGAACGAACCAAGGAAAGATCCCTCTCAAGGCTGGCTGGCTGGCTCTGGCTCTGGCTTCGGCTCTGGAACTGGCATTGGCACCGTTGGCTCCTGCTCCTGCTAGCTGCCCGTCCGATCCAAGACGGGGCAATCAATCGAGAGCTGCACTGAGAGCTGCAGGCGCACGGGCCCCACGCAAACATTCGCAAGCCGGTGCGGCCCCAGTCCCCTCAAGTCTCCCAATGGCCTGTCGGTCCAGTCCACCGTAACCCAGCGCCGGCTGGATCTTCCCCTCCCTTCTGCCACTGCAGGTACCCAGGTACAGTACATGGGTACCTGGGCGACAGACCCGTTGTTATCTTCCTCGGGACTACCACACTACAGTACCATTTCTGCCAGCCTACTACCACAGTACCACTTCGACACACACACACACACACAGAGAGAGAGGAACCCATGGGGAAAGGGACGATGCAGCCGCTCTCTCCCTGCCCGCCTTGGCACGCATGAGCACCCAGGGCCCAGGATCGCGAACCGCTGCATTTCGGATTCCGCCGGCCGGCTACTTTTGTTGGATGGGCCGGATTGGCAAGACTGTCCCTGGCGACAGTACTAGGATATCCCCATCTCGTCACCCCTATGTTAAAAGTGCGGCCGCACTTTCTGACTTTTTGGGGGCGATATCTCGTCCAACACCAGCTGCCCATGCCAGGCTACGTCTCACCATCCTCTAGAAGATAAAGACGGCACCGCGGCTCGTGACAACGGGCCATGGTGCGGGCCATTAGGCTGAAATCATCCGAAGTCCGGGCAAGACAAGCTTCCTGATCGACCATGGGGGTGTTGTGGCTCCCGTCAAGAGGCCAGGAGCGGCCAGCAAGATCTCGCTACGGGATCGACAGCAACCCGCTCCAGAAAGGAACAACTCCCCGAAGCGACAACGCCTTGGCGACCAAAAGAAGCAAATACTTGTATCCCAGACAAGATGGATCAATACAGTTGCGTTGACTTGGCGCTTTTGCCGTGCGTTGAAAATGTTTTGGAGCGGCGTGGGCGGAGCTGTCTCAAAAACTCGACACGGCTTTATTACCATGGACGGCTCCTCGGTTCCCTGTCCTGTTTCACTGCCCGGCCTGCTCCTCCCAGAACTGGAAGATTGATTCTGCACCCATCTGATCCATGCAATTCGTCCACGGACAAGAGGTCGCACACCCGGGCGGCATGTCCGGGTTATCGACAGACTTTTACATTTTGTAGATAATATAATAGGCCCAGCGCATAGCAGGCCACCGGGCCTTTGTCGCTCGGCCAGGCCGACTAAAGGGATGGAACCGCATAAATACATATCATTTTGGTCGAGATGCGGTCATGCGCGCCATCTCAACGCTGAGAGACAGGACGACATAGTTCAAGGGTCCAACCTGTAGACACAGCACACAAGGCCACGCAAGAGTCGGTGAGCGTCAAGACACACGGTTGAATATTTTGTGCCACACTGCCCACCTGGGCAAAGAAAAAGTTACCGCATCATACCTACCATACGTACCGTTTGTTCCGTGCTGGGGTGTTCTCGTCATGCTCTAATCCGACCATTCTACTTCTCATTAAAGAGTATATCGATAATTTCGTCCATAATCGTAAACGCAAGGTGCGCACTAAGACGGGCAAGTCAGCGAGATATCGGGTAAAAGCCATGATCTGGGCGGGTGCAGAAGAAGAACGTCTGGGAGGGGAGAATCGAGGAACCGCGGTGTGCTTGATGCTAGGCAACGGGGCAGTATGCAAACTTACTTCAGCCTCTCGTTGTTCAGGGTCGCAAAGATCCTCCTGCTCGCCGCCTGCGCATTTACCCGCCCCACGACGCTCCCCACCATGTCGGGCACCAGCGTCGCCAGCATGAGACTGGCCTCGGTCCGCGTCCTGGTTTTCTCGCCCCTGGTGCGCGTCTTCCTGCCAGCCCCAAACGGCCCCCCATCAGGCCACAGGCTGTCCCGTAGTAGCGCCACATACCGCGCCACCGCATCCTCGTTGACGAGAACGCGCACGTTGTCGCGCAGCTTCCGCTCGATCGTCCCACCTAGTAGCTGGTGCAGCACCACCACGACCGCCCGCCCCCGCAGCCAGTTGTTGCCGCGGTTGAGCTCGAATACCTCGAGAAAGATGTCGCAGATCGGCTTGACGAACGGCTCTACGTCCGCCTGCTCCTTGCCCTCCATTTCTGCCTCAAACGCGTTCAGCTCCGCCTCCGCCTCCGCGGCCGTGGCCGCATCCGAGCTGTTGGCCGCTGGGTCGATGATGCCGTTCACGCCCTGTAGTCCGGGCCCCATCGTGTTCATCTGGCTCGTGGCCGCCGCGATGAGGTTTTGCCCCGCGACAGACAGCTGGTCCAACACCGGTATGCTGCCCAGTATGTCCTCCATGCCGTCCGTCACGGAATCGTACAGCCGTGTGATCATGTCCCTTCTGTTGTGCTCGTGGCTCTCGGCGAGATCCTGCATGATGACGCTCTGCGAGAGGAACGCCCGTAGCTCCCGACTCCGGCATACGTCTGGGAGGAGCAGAAGCTCCCGCAGGTATTTCTCCAGCGCCTGCCGTCGCTTTTGGAGGAAGTCCGACTGGAGCTTCATAACGACGCGCCTCCTGGGGAAGTCGAGGCTACGGACGGACGGGTATTTTGACCGTAGTCTCTGGTGGAGCTCATGAAACTCGCTGTACCGGCGCGATATCATCCAGGACGCCGCGGGCATCTTTTCCCCCGCATTACGAGAGACCTCGATAACGTAGATTGCAAATTCCTTGCCATCGTCTTCGTGCCCAACCTGTATCCCTTTGATCCTTATCATGGACCGGCCATACAAGCTGTTATCGCTTTCCTGGACGACGTATTGCTGTCTTTGCAGCTCTTTCCGCCGTATCTCTCTTTCCAGACTGGCCTTGGACTTGCGCAAGATCCTCAATTCCGCCATGTTGTTGGTCAGTTCCGCCTTCTTCAGTAGCGAGTCGATGACAGCGTTTTGCGCCTCGAGCCGATCGATATCAGTGGTGAGTACGGTGACTGCTTCAGCCAAGCCAAGGTCTCCTGGTGCAGCTTCATGGATGTCACCCACGTCGTCATCTTTCTCGAGTTCTTCCTCGTCGTCACGCTCGTCCGATAGGTATTTGTTCTCGTCGCCAAAAAGGTCGTCGTCTACGAAAACGCCAATGCGAGAATGAGCACTGACGAGCCCAAGGGACGAGAGACTGGGCTTCTCCGGCTCTTTGCCGGGACGACCAGAGTCGACAGAACCACGTTTAGAGTTGGCGTCCTGGTCGGAAAATAGGAGTGAGTCTGTATCGCCCTCTCCAAACAGAGACTTCCTTAAGTCTTCCGAGGTAGCCGGTGGGGTATCTTCCAAGATGTTGCTCAAAGCCGCCTCCATGGCCGCGACCACCTTCTTGTCAGGTGGCTGTGGGCCGGTGTGCTGGTCTAGACTTGTGATGCTTTCTCCAAGCCCGTCATGCTCGAAATCTTCGTCGTCAAAGAGGGGGTTCGGAGAGTTGTTGTCATAAGATCGCCTGGCATCCAGAGATCTGCGAGCTTCTGTCGATCTTCGCGGTTCCACCGCAACATCCAAGGGAGCGAGACTACCATTGGATGACCTCAGGTCCGAAGAAGATTCAGCTCGCCGGCCCTGTAGCTTTGTACCTAGCTTCGGACCAAGCCGAGATAATGGATTTGGCTTGCCGGCAAAGGCGCTGACAGTCCTGTTCATAGGAGGCGACTTGAGCTCTCCAGAGAGCCTACCAACCGGCTGAGTCTTGTTTTGAGAAGCCTCCTCCGCCGCGAGGCACTTGTACCATAGGTCCGATTTCTTGAAGCTTGGGAAATACCTCGATTGCATTTCCTCCAATACGGCATTCTGGGCACGCAGTATCGCTCGCCGCGCCCTGTAGAATTGTTCCGGGGTAGCCTTCTTTCTGGCTTCGAGGAATTCTCGCACCGTGCGCTTGGACGGGTCCGGAACCTTCAGCTCTGGTTTGGACAGGTACGCCTGCTCTATCTGGGCGAGGTCCAGCCTGTCTGATTCGGTCCAGGGTGGCAAAGTGAGGGGAAGAGTGTCGTCGTCGTGGAATTCCTCAAGAGGATTGCGAAAGCCGTCAACGACGAGCCAAAATTGCACCAGGCTCATCAGCCGCTGCCTGTCCATGTACTCCATGAAATAAGAAAGCCCTGAAGCATCGCGTAAGAGCTCAGCAAGCGAGGCATTCTCCAGTCTTGACTCTGTCGGCGTGTTGGAACCCAGATCCGCGGAGAAAGTCATCCCCCTCTTGTCTCCGCCAGCAGCTAGATACTGCACCCTCTGGTCCAATAGTCTCTTTCCCATATCCAGACGGCGAAGATAGACGGGGTCCTGCCCTTCCTCTTGTGAGTCTCTTTTGAGCTGGCTTGTTACCTCGCTTCTGAAGCGTCTGGCGTCCGATAAGTTGTTTACCTTCCGGACGGTCCTGATGAATCTTTCGAATCTCCTCTCGCTGTCGCCGGGCGCCAAGCGCGGGAACTGCGGCGGCCTCCCGGGCTTGGGGGAGGGTGCGTGTTGGTCCAGAGCTGCGCGAAGTTTCCTGACCGTGGAGCGGTCTTGCAGCATGCCTCGCCCGTAGTTCTCCATCAGCTGGTTCCAGGTATCAGGGTCGGACAAAAGTTGCAGGACAGGGAATAGGACAGCGCAGGCGACAATCTCTCGGATGAGACTTGAAACAGCTCGACTGCTGATGATACTGTCCGGCAGCACATGAGGGAGGACCTTGGTAGCGGTCTGCCGGAGATAGTCTTGCTGTGTAAGCTTGAGATCAGAGTACGACAGGCTGGCGGCCGGGTGGATCTTCCCATCTCTGTATCTCGATGCAATGGCCAGATCGAGCTCTTCTGATTCAGTCACAGACCGATTGAGCTTATGGCCACGGATGGCCCTCTCAGCTTCGTTGAAGTCATGGAAATGCGCCGTCATGATAGGGACAATCCTGGTGGTGAGGACCTCCGGCAGGTCCAGCGTGCACAGCCGTTCCCTCAACTCGTCGATCGCGCATCGTATGGCATTGTCCACCTCGTTCCTAAATACAATGTTCTCGCTTATCTTTGAGAACCAGGACCACACAAAGTCGCGCGTGATCAGGTCGAGGACGTCGTCGAGGGCTTGGGAGATCTTGGTGGAGGCGCAGACGGGCTTCTTCTCGTACGACTGTCGCTTTCGCAGCGCCGAGAGCTCGCTGCTCCATTGTTGTCGGCCGAGGAACTTGGGGCCATGTGGGCGGGGGGTCGGTCTTCGGTTCTTGTGGACGAGGCCCTTGGACAGCAGCAAGGTGACGGCGAGCAGGAGGAGTAGGGAGGTCAGGAAGCCGGTGATAAAGGCATGGCCAGCCCAGCGGATGGCGGGGAGCCAGTGGGTGGCATAGCCCCAGGCGATGAAACTTGCAATACCAGCAAGAATCACATCTCTCCCCTTCAGGGCCATAGTCCATTCACCGAAGAGCCAGTCTGTGAGAGCCGCCGCATGATCCGACGCGTCGTGGGGGAACTAGGAGCTTATGATGTAGGCACTCCCGGCTCAGCGGCTTATCGATAGATGCTTGCACACAGCGGGCCTCGGGGGCGTTCCCCTGGCCGGAGGAGGTGCGGGAGGGACCGTGTGCACGTGCCGAACACACTGTACATCAATCAGCATTTGAGATGGCTGCTAGTACGCGCCAGAGCAATGATACAGTGCAAGTCACAGAATCTGGACTGTTGATTACGTCTTAACAGGAAGGAGATGCTCAATTCCAGGTGTTGTGGTCTTGGAATTTGGGTATCCTGTCAGTCCTTTGTCCTGCCGTCTCCGTCACGTCCAATTCCGTAACCCCACAAAGCGAATGACTATCGCTACCATGGAGGATCCTCCAGCCGCCGGTACAGAGCAACAAACTTGAGTCCCTGGTTCCTCTCAACCTTCTTCCCCTCTTCTGTCTCGGTCCTCATGACAGCAACACACTTGTCATTCTCCTGATCTTCCTCCGAGACTCTCTCGAAGGCAGGATGTGCCTCAAAGTGCGACACCATCCACTCGTGCAGGTCCTTGACGTCGGTGATCGTGTACACGATGCCGCCGGGTCTTAATACGTATGCGTACTCCGAGTTCAGCTGTGTAGAAACAATCCGCGCCTTGTGTTTCTTGGCCTTGAAGTGCGGGTCTGGGAAACAGATGAAGATCTTGGACAGCTGCGACTTCTTGAAGAAATTTGGGAGGAACTTCATGGTGTTGGCGCGAAGGCAGGCAATGTTCTGGTAGACATTGCTGCCCTTCTGTCTGCTCTGGTTGCGCAGGGCTCTGATCTTGTCCTCGACGTAGTCGGTGACCTGAGCCCTGATCTCGAGGCCTGCTCCTGCTCAGCTGATTGTCATATGGGCGCGCTATCACGACGCGAGGACCAGAACAAACCTAGGCACAGAGTGTCCGGCATGACGGGTGCAAGGGCTACTAGCAGCCCTCCAAAACCGCACCCTATATCCGCGACCTCGACGTCCTTGGTCAAGCTTCTCGGCTTGATGACTGCCCTCACATTCTGTCCGCCCTGCTGCGTCACAACCTCGGTGGCCTCGTTGTCCTGGCCTTCAGCAACATACGCCGGGTACATCGCCGACCAGTCCATGAGGGCTGGGCTCGCAGGGCTGCTCAATGGTTAGCTCCCTTGTTCCGTTTTGGTCCATGCTGCTGGAGAGACTCACTAGACGAGCCTGTGATCTGAGAAAGGGTTCGCATGAGCCCTCTGGCGGTAGAACTTTTTCCTAGGCAAGTCCGTTGAGTCTTCATCTGCTCGATGCTGCGAGCGGTATGCCTCGCGCTTTTGGCGCTTGGCTGCTGTGCCCGCCATTTTGTAGTATTGTAATGTGAATTACGGGATTACTCGATAGTATGCTGGTTTGAGTACCGTGGAGGAGCTGAGGCTACGATGAGAGGCCTGTCTTCACAAGCCGAATCGAGCGTCGAAAATTGGCTAGTCGAACAAAGTACGTCCTTTTTTTGTGGGGCTCGCTCTTCAAGGGTCCGCCCAGCTCTCATTAAGGCCCCTGCCAGAGCTTCCCTCCTAAACTGTGGTAGAGCCCCGCAATCGGCTCGCCTGCAGCATGACATTTTTCAGTGTCAACCTCGAACCCCTCCATCCTCTCCACAGATTCGAAGCACATCACCATTTCTGCTGCCACGCGCTGTTCACAACTTAAATACCTTGTCTGAATCCTTCCCTCCACCTTCAATCAGGGCTCCAAAAGCAATTGACCTCCAAACATGGCTTCAGCAAAGCAAGTTTACATTGGCATCATCGGTACGTGAACACCTTGCTGCAACTCTTCAGCTCCCGTTCTATTGTGATACTTACTAACCAGCTCCACGATAGGCGCCGGCGGCGTGGGCAAGGCCTTCCTGTCACAGCTCGAGTTCCTCGCCAAGCGCCCATCGGGCCCCAAGCTCGTCCTCTGCTACATCTCCACCTCCTCCAAGTCCCTCTACCACAGCAACTACACCGCCCTCGACATCCCCAGCGCCATCTCACAGCTCCAGGCCAACAGCGTCGGCGCGCCTCCCGCCCTGCCCAAGGTAGTCGAGTACCTCGCCTCCGTGCCGGGCGGTTCCAAGGCCGTGCTTATCGACAACACCAGCAGCCAGGACGTCGCCGACTCGTACCCGGCGTTCCTCAGCCGCGGCGTCAGCGTCGTCACACCCAACAAGAAGGCCTTCTCGGGCAGCTACAAGCTCTGGCAGGACATCTTCGGCGCTGCGGCGGCCAGCGGGGCCAAGGTGTACCACGAGTCGAGCTGCGGCGCGGGCCTGCCCGTCATCTCCACGCTCAACGACCTGGTGGCCACGGGCGACGAGGTCACACGCGTCGAGGGCGTCTTCAGCGGCACCATGTCGTTCCTGTTCAACTCCTTTGCGCCCACTGAGGGCGCGGGCGGCAAGTGGTCGGCCGAGGTCAAGAAGGCCAAGGAGCTGGGCTACACGGAGCCCGACCCCCGGGACGACCTCAACGGCCTCGACGTGGCGCGCAAGCTGACCATCCTCGCACGACTGGCGGGCCTGCCCATCGAGTCGCCCACGTCCTTCCCCGTGCAGAGCCTGATCCCCAAGGAGCTGGAGTCCGTGGCCAGCGGCGACGAATTCCTGCAAAAGCTGCCCGAGTTCGACTCCCAGATGGAAGAGGTCAAGGCGTCTGCCGAGAAGGAGGGCAAGGTGGTCCGGTTCGTGGGCAGCATCGACGTGGCCAGCAAGCAGGTCAAGGTGGGACTGGAGAAGTTCGACCGGTCGCACCCCATCGCGGCGCTGAAGGGCTCCGATAACATTATCAGCTTCTACACTAAGCGGTACGGAAGCAACCCTCTGATCATCCAGGGCGCCGGCGCCGGCGGTGAAGTCACCGCCATGGGTGTGACAAGCGATCTCCTCAAGGTGCTGTCCCAGATTTAGAAGCGCTTTTGCAGCATCACCGACGTAGTTGAATTGGCGAGCAACCGCCTCCCACCGCGGTCAGATGTCCAATATGTCCGGAAATAAACAACGCTCCATGGCCTCCATGGCAACCAAACTCCTCGCTCCAGCATTGTATATATTCGAATAGTGCGCCAACTGCATGGCCCCCTTCTGTATTCTTACGGGGCCAGCTAAAACAAAGGGACATCGCTCGTTATCTCGTGCGCATTATGTTGTGCTGACTGGATGTTTGAGTGACTCGCGCCGTCGTCTCCGTGAGGTGACGGTGTTGGCGGGCGGGCGGATTAGGCGGCAGATCCAGAGGACGAAATCGAAGCAGATCAAGGCCATGAGAGGGAGGAAGAACGACAATGCCAGTGCCAGCTGCAAGATGGAACCAGAAGTCAGCATCTCAGCCCAAAGCAAAGCCCTCGCTCCATAGTGAACAAACAGCGCCAGGCGAGGATGGGAAAGGAGTCAGGGTCCCGGGAAAGACTCACGAAGCACCAGGAAATGAAGTGCATCCAGGATGTCGAGTTAGACACCACACTCCACTCCATGACTTTCGACCGCGCAAGTGACGCGAGTTCGGGTAGAGACGCCATGCTCAGTGGCACGTAGACACGCATCTGGGGAGGGAAGACCTGGGGAGGGAAGACTCGTTGAGGCCGTGATCACTCGTGGAGTCGCGACTCTAGGCAGCCGGAGCTCCGTCTTCCTGGGCTGCCGGTTGACAAAAGTCCCCGGACTTCTGTAATTGGGTTTGGCGAACAGACGTCACCAGGAGCTTGGAGCCAGTAGCTTTGGAAAAGGTGTGTGTTACCTGGTTACCCGACTGACGGCCGCTGGGAGGCGAGGGTTTCCTTTTTATCTCTTGGGTCGTTGAACGAGTGACAAGATGATGTGCATAAATGTGAGACAAGGGCGAGAGTGACTTGGATAAGAATTGGCCAGTAAATAAATACCGGACTCTTCGTATCTCCATGCGCTGGGGTGTGGGATGCCTGCTAGCAGCATTCAAGAGTGGCATGCTTTTCTAGCGGCCCACCCAATTTCCATCCCAGCAAGCCCAGCTTGCCCAGCAGCCTGTCAGCCCAGCAGAAAAAAGCCTCGGCAGCCCGATTGCGGGAAGGGAGCAGGGGCCACGGCCGGTGGGGCGTGTCACCCAGGCCCGCCCTGCAGATCGTTTCTTAGCGAGTGACGTTGGACTCCTGCCGTGTTTGTCCCCATTTTTATCACCAGACTTCACATGCCAAAACAACACCTCAGCGCAAGCCCAACGAAGCCCCCGACTAGACCAGGAAGGCCGCGGTCACCCCGTCTGGGACACTAGATTATTGATCCACAGCTGCTGGGGGCAGAGTTCTTGCATTGCACCACACTTTCCAGGTCTAGGTCCCATCGGCCCATACCCAGGCCCAGGCCCAGGCCCATACACGATGCCTCAGGACCCAAACCTCTACGGCCAGCGGGCACCCAAGCGCCAGAAGAAGGAAATCGCCCTCCCGAGCTCCCTGGCCTTCTCCTCCGAGCTGTCCTCCCTCATCGCGAACAAGCCCTCCTCCTCCTCCAGCACAGCTCGCCCGCGGCCGTCCAAGTCAAAACCAGACATCTTCGCCGGCGTGAAGGCGAAGCGGAGGGCCGAGAGGCAGGAGCGCGAGCGCGACGACGGGAAGCTCGTGCTGAAGGATGCGGTCGGCACAGAGGACCAGAAGAAGGAGAACGAGGCCGCCAGGCGGAGGATGGAGGAGAAGGCACGCCTCTACGCGGCCATGAAAAGGGGCGACTACGTGCCCAAGGAAGGCGAGGCGCCGCCCCTGGTCGACTTTGACAGGAAATGGGCCCAGGCGCAGGAGGACGGCAAGGTGGGGGAGGACTCATCATCTTCCGACAACGGTGGCGGCGATGACGACGATGACGAAGACAACGTCGACAACGAGACCGTCGAGTACACGGACGAGTACGGCCGCACGCGGCGCGGGACGAGGGCAGAGGTCGCGCGCATGGAGCGGCGGCAGAGGGTGAGGGCGTACGCGGCGCAGGAGGCCGAGACGATGAGCGCGCGGCCAAAGGCCCCGGAGAGGGTCATCTACGGCGACGCGATCCAGAGCGAGGCCTTCCGCGCCGCGGACGAGGACAAGATGGAGGAGCTCGCCAGGAAGCGCGACCGCAGCATGACGCCGCCCGAGATGAAGCACTACGACGCCGACAGCGAGATCCGCACAAAGGGCACGGGCTTCTACCAGTTCAGCAAGGACGAGGAGACCCGGCAGGCCGAGATGGCCAGCCTCGAGGCGGAGAGGCTCAACACCGAGAGGGAGAGGACGAGGCGGGACGAGGAGAAGGAGAGGAGGCGGCGGGAGGTCGAGGAGCGGAGGCGGCTCATCGAGCAGAGGCGGAAGGAGCTCGGCGAGAAGAAGGCCAGGAAGATGGCAGACAGCTTCCTTGACGGGCTGGCGGCCGACATGGGACAGGCTGAAGGGGATAAGGACTGACGCATCAGACACAACGTTTCGCAAGCTGGACCGGACAGTATGTTCCTGGCGTATCCCGAAGCCTGCACCGTTTTGTTTCCCCCTGCCCTGTGATCGAGGCCACAGACCTGTGAGACTTGCCTACACTGAAACCTGTGCGAGCTCGGGACAAGCGATGGAGAGACAGCAGGGAATACGACTAATCGAAGGCAGCAAACACTTGTTGTTCCACGCTGCCCTAGTCCTGTTTCTCCAATAAGGAACCAAGTTCAAATCCAATATCATTAGTGCAAAGTAAGTGTCCTTAAAAGCTAACAGAGGCCTTTTCTTTGGGGGCGTTCCATTTAGCAGTACAGTCTCACACGATGCTCACTGAACCGTGATTCATATCAAATTGAGAGTCCTGTTCGCCATTGAAATTATCTAACAGGAAGTATCATGAGGCAGCGTATCTACTGAGACTTGACGACGAGGACTTATGAGAATTTCATCGCCCTAACTTCATGCCCACTGGTATCTCGAAAAAGAATAGCTGTGACGGCTGTCGAGTATTCTCGTTCTGGTTTTACAATACACACTAGGTGGCTGAAAACCAGAGGCAGACGGAGAGACGGAAGCTCTTCTAGAGAACAGATAAAGTCACGGATCAATGACGGCTAAGAACATCCGCGGGCATTTTTACACGTGAACACACAATAGGAAACAATATACAGGCGAGAACACTTTTTGATTCAATCTGCAGTCCTCACGTAGCAGTTTTCAGACCGAACGTCCTGTTAAAACAATAAATTCGATATACGCGTTCTGATTTTACGTGACACTCTCAGGCATAGTTCAGTCAAGACATTATCAGATTTCTCTTGATTCATCGGCTCAAAGGCGCTCATCCCATGGTCCGTTCCAGCTATATAGTATAGACAGCATAAATTCAGAGATCCTTCAATTCGGACTCCTCCCGCCCAGCAATCCCATCCGCTTCGGCCATGATGATGATGATGAATCATTCATTAGCTTACTGAAATATCCAGTCCCCCCCCCCAGTGATGCCCTACACCCTTGTTCCTACAGCGTCTCTATCGCCAATGTGTCTCCCCGCTGTCCCAGGATATACAGTAGATGGGCAGGAAGATCAACCCCTAAAAGGTCCACGCATACGAAAGGCCGAAGCTTTTTTGAAACCCAAATGTCGCCGCATATGCCATGAACTCCACCCGATCCAATAAAATTCGCACATGGGGATATGTCGCACTGATGAAATGTCATACAGTTGTAACAAAGAAAAAGTAGGAAAACGAGCCAGCCAGAGCGCCGCGCCGGTCGCCGCGCAATTCTCGAGAGACCACTCTCGATCAAAGAAGTTTCCGATCCAAAAGTTGAAAAGAGCCCGTCAACGCCATCCGGACGGCCTATTCTTCCCCGTCTTGGCGCGTTGTAGCGCGAGCTATGCAAGTCCGCGACAACATCACCCTCCCGTCGCCGCCTTTGTATTAACAAATGTTAGGTTTCGGTCATGACGAGAACCACATGCATCCGCACGCGCTCATGTCACCATAGTCCTCGTCGCTGTCACGAGGGTTCAAGAAGTCGTGCAAGGCGTCGCGCTCCCGCTTTTCTCTGTAGCCGCCGTGTCTCCCCTTCTGCACCGCTTCTTCAGGCATCTCCGGGCCCGGTTCGTCTTCGGCAATGTATACAATGACCGGTTCCCCAGCGTCATCTGTAACGGGCTGAGTCGTATTATCCGGCATCACGGTTACCTGAACACAGTATGGCGAAGGTGCCCAATTAAGCCGCCTCTCTTTCACCTTGACAGCTCTCGGGTAGGGAGCGAATGGCATGAAATCAGCCACCTGGCTTGTGACGGTTGCTGGGGCGCCGGTGCCAGTTGCGGTCGGGACTACTGTAGGGGTTGCTCCCGGTGGTGGCGTGATCGTACCGGTCATCGCCTTGGTCTGTGAAGCCCAGCTGCTGTTCTGTTCCGCATATATGAACACCTCGACATAGGTTTCAGGCCAATTGCAGATCCAAGGCTTGCTGCCCATTGGCACTATGTCCTTGCGCTGAAAATCGCCCGGCCTTGGCATAAAATCGCCTCCATTCCGCCGGACGTTTGAACTACTGTCGGCAGATAACAGATCTTCGGGAACAACGACGGTCTTGTTGTATGGCAGCATCCTGAACCATGCTGGGCCGCGGTCCCTGTCGAAGGTGTCGTTGACGAGCTGCATGCTCATGGCAGGCTGAATGGTAGGGGGCTGAGCCCCGTAGGCCAGAAAGTCTTTGCGGTCGCCACCCGGGAAGGTTGTGTTTGTGTCGAGGAATATGTCATAGCTGCCCTCTTGGCCAAGCTGGGGGGCATTCTGGCTAATGGTCATCTGGACATGGACTGCCTGCCCAAAAACGAGGTTGCAAGTCCACGCTGAGCTCTGAGCCGTGTTCTCGAAACAAGTGTTGGGCGACTTGTTGAGGCTTAGAGGGAGGCCAAACACACCCGTCGGAAGTGGAGGCAGGTCGGTAGGCGTGGGGATCGCACTGGCATCGTAGGTTAATGTCACGGTCGGAACGCCACCTTGAAATCTAAGCCAGACATGTTAGCCGGGAACAGAGAGCCCAACCGCTTCGACATCAAGCCTTACTGTGAGGGATTGCCTTTTCGAGGTGGCTTCTTGTGTTTGGACAGCAAAGTCCCAACGACAGCCCCAATGATGACAATGACTATTATGACAGCGGTGACTGTCATACAAATCGCCCAGTAAGGTACCACACCGCAAGCTTTCCTCTTCGCAAATCTCTGGAATTTGTTCAGTTTCGGTTTCTCGGACACCTCCGCTGCCGCTGCCGTGTTGATCTCGTGGTGACTCTCGGTAGTGAAGCTCCTGGCGGACTGCCGTGAATGTGGAGAGCCGACGTCTTCGACTGAGTCAAATTCGGGGTTTCGAGCAGCCAGGCCTAGCCCACCGGCACCGGGTACTGTCCCGACGCTTGAACCCGCCCTCGTGTGGCCAGACGGGACCACGGTTGCGGCTGCGGCTGCGGCTGTCGAAGGGCCCCCGTTCTGCTGTTCTTCGGTGTCTCGTATTTTCCGATTGTAATACTCATCTGGATATCTCGTGTACGGCGGTAGCTCCTCCGTATGTCCATCGGGGCCAATGATATCACCTGCTTCCTCACCCTCTGGCCCGATGCGGCGCTGATAAGGATCCGAGGCACCAGTGAATCCGACAGGAATGGCGGGAACGGCGGGCACGGCGGGCACGGAGACCTGGCTGTTGGTGTCGACGAAGGGGTTCTGGGGATACATAGAGTAGGGGTGGGTGGGCCCGCTGGGGCCATCGTATTCGGATTCCGGGCGTGTGGTGGGCGTAGATGAAGTGGTTGTGACACTCAAAGTCCTTGCCAGCCGGGGGTTTTGCGAATACATTTGGTAAGGATGTGAGGGTGCGGAGGGTCCGTTGTATGGCGTCTCCTCGGGGACGTAGGGCGCTTCAGTGGAAGCGCTGGACAAGCGCGAGTGGGATGGGCCAGCGACATGGCCCATGGCACCGTCATGTCTTAGGGTGAAGGAATCGCGACCCGAGTGGGGTTTTGATATGCTGGAACGGTTCAACCGGGGCTGTGACGTCGATTCTTGGGCAGTTTGTGTGACGGCGGGAGCGGCAGACGGGTCTGGCCGGGCTCGGGAGGAGGATTGTGGATCGTCAAGGCCGGTGGTGTCCACGGGCTGAGGCCGGAACCCATCCGAGATACCCAAAGCCAAGAGGGCATAATCGTCGTCGTCGATGTCCAATATCACTCCACCTCCTCCTCCGGCCTCCTGCTGCATTGATGACCTCGTTGAGTTCCTGATCGAGGATCTCCTCTCGGGATCTGATGCCTTGCGACTTGTGTGATCCATTTCGGGTGGTTAGGCCCAAGGGGGCTTCCGATGCTGCGGGCTGAGGTGGTGAGGCCGAGCCGGGGCTTGCGGGCTGGGGGCGGCGAGCGATGCTCAAAGGCTGTTGTGCCACTGGAGGCCGCAGGCTCAATGCGCCGAAGTCAACGAAGAAGCTGTGAAACCATCGAATTGTCCGACAATATCCGCCCGACCCGAGACAAAGCAAATTACTTTTTTGGGCCTGTCGAGTAACCGACCCGTGGTACGATTGAGCCCAATCAATTGTTGTTCGTCCTCCGATTTACTTAATTCCTAGCTGGCGATTGAATGCAGGTGGACTCGACACCTATCGATCGCGGATGTGGCGGGTGGTGCTGAGAGCTGGGCGTGGTGGGTGGGTGAGTGAGTGGATGGATGTGGATTGATGGGTGGGCGACGGGATGGTGAAGAAGAGGAGGAATTGGTTATTAGTGCCGAGTCAGGACCAAGGAAGTGGGAGCGTGTCAGGCTGCTGACGGAATAAGCCGCCCAGAATAGGGAATAAGGTATAGAGTTGGAAGCGAAAAACGGAGTTAAAGGAAAGCCACCACCAGATACGGGGCCAAAGGAAGTTAGTAGCTGAAGGCAAAGGCAGAGGACTAGTTTTGTTGATGACGGGACAGGAGAGACTAGTCTAGTTGGTGTGCGAGGTGTGAGAGGTGTGAGGCACACCCATAACATAGATATTATCTAGCCCCTAGATACTACCCCGTACTCACCCTCGTGTGCAGCACAGCAACAGCAAGAGAAAGAAGGCACTACTGTGGTAGCGAGGAGAGGGGGCAGAGATGGGGGAAGGACCAGGGCTGCCAGGGCACCGCGGCAGGTGGCTCTCTGGCACTTGGACGATTCAGGAACAAGCATGGGCAGGCTGGGGTTTCGGACCTGGGCTTGGGGGGTGGGCGGACTGCCGTCATTGGTGGCCTGGGCGTCGGGCGCAGTAGTGCGCGCCTGGGCCCTTGCTGCTGGTCCTGGGCCGGGCTCCTTCCCTGAAATTTTGCGTATAGACCCGGGGACCCAGCAGCTGGTGATTAACGGCACAGGCCCCTGCAACTACCTAGGTAGGTAGTTAGGTAACCTAGCAGCTGCACTTGCCCCGTTCACGCCTCTCCTCCGCCCGAGTGGAACCGTTGGAGCAGGCCGGTCCGCCTGCGGGCTCGCCACTACCATCTCATTATGCCTCTTGGGCAGTTTGGGATAATCACTTAGGCGGGCGGGCTGGCAGGCTGGCAGGCTGGACGGGCTGGACTGGCAGCGAGTTACAACATCAGCCGGAGTACTCGGCTGCTGATCAGCCTGTCGAGTTAATATGTCGAGGTAACTATCACGGTGGCGTTGGAGAGGTGGCTCGCTGTCGCTTCTGCTGCTTGATGCAACCCCCTCTGTTCCAACTCGCAGCATTTTTTTAGAAGGGGGACCGATGGAAAAACCACGCCATCCGTGCAGTCTGCAGGTTCGCTCCACACGCGCTGACCCTACAGCAGGGCAGCAGGGGTGGCATGGCTGTGCCGGGTGGGGACGAGAAGCACGAGAAAGGACGTGGGTGGAGGCGATTCAAGGCCGGTTTGGACCTGCTCCCACCATCGTAATAGTAGATACTGTCAGGACTGTCTACATACGCAGCACGAAGCTTTTAGCCGGTGTCAGGGGACAGCCACCACAACAACATCTCGACTGGTTCGTGCCCTGACACTCACTCAGTCACTGCTTTTATTAGTCTTCGGCCGCCTCGTACTATCTCGGTCGGCATGGCCGTGTGGTACACGGTCTGTCCAGTGTCAACGCCAACAGATTTGACGGCGGGTGTCAGGCTTGGTACCACGTCATCTGCGACCACAACTCGACATGGCCGTCAACAGAGCGACAGCCCATTCTTGATGCACTTTGGGTATGTCCTTAGCCGTCCAAGGCCCCAACGGAGGTGGTGTGCGGAGGAATGGAACACTCGCAGAGGAGAAGCCATCTAAGCCCGGAAGAACAAACTCCAGCCACCAGAGAAGCTTCTTCCTGTGGCGGCCAGCTGGAATTACACGTGTAATAGTATTCGTGCTGTTTATTTTAATTTAATATTGATGACATGCATGTCTGGTCCTCGGCAGCAGGGCCCCGGTCCCCACGGCGGCCGGTCCATCGCTCAATGGTCACGGCCAGAAACCTAGAGCCCATGAAGCTTAATTCCCTCCAGCCAGCCCGTCCGGCCTGCCAGCTGGCACTCGGAGTCCTACCCAACCTGCCAACCTGCCAACTCGAGTTAATCTCGCCGGGGCCAGATTGGCAGATTGCTCGATTGCCTACTGTGGCTGGCAGGGACTGCCTGCCTGTCTCCGCCCTTGCCCCGTCCCATCGGAACCGATTTGACGAGATGAAATGAATTGGAAATGAGGGCGGCCCTCTCCTGCCCTTCTTGACTCCCAACAGGCACTATGGAAAGCCGCTTCCGGGCTGCCTGTCCTGTCTGTGTGGGTATTCGGACCCCGGCTCGATCGGCCCTCGAGTCAATGACAGCCGCTGGCCATGGGGCCGCCCAGCCGCCCAGCCGCCCAGCCGGCCCCTTCTGGTTTTGGGGGCTAATGATTGATTGATTGATGATGATGGTGATGAACACTACAAGGCGGTGCCACGGCCATCCATGTTTATTTTTAAGCTCTTGGGGGAGCAGATACTTTCGTAGTGCCCAGTGATGGCTGGGCTGACGGGAGAGCTACACAAGCCGTACGGGTCACTGCTAAGGGGGACCTGGCACCGGTCTCGTGTCTGCATATGGATGGCTCTTGGGCTGGAGGGGGAGGTGTGAGTGCCTGAATAGGTAGGTATGTATACCAAGGTGGCCTCTCTCGGCTATCAGCCGGCTCGGTTCGGCTCGATTCGACAGCCTACCTAGGTTAATTCAAAAGGTCGTTTTCTTGGGTGCATTCTGCTGGAAGTCAGCTGGTCCCCTTCTGAGTCCCTGATGTCCAGGGTCGAAGGGTCGAAGGGCTCAAAAGGCCCGTCTCCATGTGGTAGATCGCGGATCGTGACCTTAGCACCAGAATTTAAAGTTGATCCGCGGAAAGAAACGTTTCAGGGTAGTGTCTTGGCACGGATTAGCCTCACCAAACAGTCTCAAGTGCCGAACAAAGAGCGGAGCACTGTCGCAGTACTTGCAGTAGCCAAACGGGCCAAACCCCAAGTGTGGGGCCGCTGCCGTCACTGCAGCCCAGTCTGCCAGTCTGCCAGTCTGCTGCACAGCCCTGGGTTTGTACCGTGTATTCCACTCTCTAAGTAGTCCACTACTCTCTACTACTTTCATAATGAAATGTACTTGCGTAGTATAGAGCTCAGGGGCACGAGATTCACAATTCACAATTCACACTTCACACTCCTTGATGTGGGCCCATGTCGCCCATCGCCCATCTGGGGGCCATGGGGGCGCGCGCCCAGCCTGCTGTATGTCCTCCGTCTCGCCACCCCAGGTGGGTAGTGCTCCGAAACCCGCGACAATGTGGTGAGAGAAGGGGCCCGTCTGTTTACCGATATTGTCTCAGAGACAACCACAACTTTCTCACCTCAGACACTCGATCTGGAAAAAGAAAAAGCACAGGGCCTTTTCACTCGCACCAGCCCGGGTGATTCTAGAACCCAGGCAGATTGGTCCAAGGCATAGCGGACGATGCGACTCGATGACTTTGGATGAATCTATAGCCAGCACCAGTTAAGGACCAGTGCAACAATGCTTGGGTGTTGCCCATGCAGCCATTGCAGCCATGAGGACGACCAGCAGTTCCCCCGTCAGCAAGCGCAAGGTCGGAAAAGCCGAACCTATTCTTGGCCCCTCCCTGCCTTGTGATGTTTCGCCTGCCCGCAACTACAGATGCCTGTCAATACTCCGTAGGTCTCATCAACTGTGGTCTTGTTGATGGTTATGTGGTGTCTGGGTGTCTGGGTGTACGGTACCTCACTCCCTGCGAGCCCCTCACCACTTCCTCTTCCACATCCAGGGGTTGCGGCAAGCCTGAACCAGCCACATGTCACGATCGGCGCGCTGCAAGGCAACGCCCTCACTTGCCTATCAAGGCGACGATCCGGGCTGCATGAAAGCAACGGAACAACACCAAAGAAGAAGGCTACACGGCCATCACTGTACCTAACTGCATGTGGTTGCTCTCCCCCTCCACAACCACAGCGTCCAATCGATCGTCACCACGCCCACCTTATCGGGCCACCTCTTCAGACGAACTCGTCTCCACAGCACCAGAGGTCTCAAATGCGTCTCAAGCCGCGAGTGGCCTAAGCTCAAATGGAAAGGTGACTATCCTTCGAAACCTAGCAGGCTGACCAGGTGCTACTGCCTGCCTGCCAGGCCTGCCTGCCTTGAACTTGGGGGACACAGGCAGGACAGGATGGCAGCACGGGGGGAGCTGTCAACAACCCCGGCAGAAGCACGGCGTGCCAGGCCTGCTTCTGACAACCTCGACGGCGGGGGTACGCCGTGCGAGGCATGTCGCAGTGCTAGGCCGATTCGATGTTGACAGGCCGGGACGCCACGCCCCACGCCCCGGAGGAACCCTCGATCACCTGGTCATGGCGCCCGTCCATTACAGTCACAGCCCGCGAGTCCTCCTGCTCCTGGTCAAGTTCGCACGCAAGCAGACAGGCCCCGCAAGCCATCCGCCAGACTCTGGTCAGGCGGCCTCCAGTCCAGGGCAATAAGCCCCCCTGGGGCAAGTTCACGATCCCGCCACGGCACGCATCTGGTCAACATGCTGCTCCCCCTTCCCTGTGGCGATCGCCCACCCCCTGCCTCCACCCTCCCTTCCCCAGGTTTCGTGGTCAGCTTCAGCCGCAGTCGTAGTCGACTGACGCGTACGAACCAGCGAGGCAATGCGCACCGCATGAGTCCCTAGCGAGGCCCGGGAGGCCACCAGGAATCCTAGCTGCCACGCGCGAACCACTTGGAAGCTGGGGCACATGCCGTGCGTGGTTCTGGCCTCATGACGAATGCCCCGTCGGTCTGCCTGGGATATGATCTGGGAGACGCCGATGTCATGTCTGGCAAAGCAGCCAGCTGTGGTCAAGGCAAGAAGGATTATCCGCTCGCCAAAAGATTTCTCCTTCGGGCATCGTCATCGGAGGTAACAGGACCATCAGTTGCCAGTGGCTCTTATCTGTCCCGTCTCTTACAGGTTGGAGGATCGCCATATACCTACCTACTGACGACGCCCGCATGGATGCTTGACGCAACGGCCGCCGCACATAGAGGGCTTCATGGGCTACGAGAGTGCCTACCACGCTGCCACAACCGCCCCGGGGCCTTGCTGCCGTATCCACTCACCATTATGGCCACTCACCATTATGGCCACTCACCATTATGGCCACTCACCATTATGGGGAAACAATCTATCTACCTCACATAGTCACGGACAAATGGGCACTGATGGCGAGTTGCCAACTCACCAGCCACCAGTATTTGTCCAAGACACCTTCACAACCTAGCTGGATCCTCGGATATATTGTTGGCGCTGCCCAGCTCAACAGCGATCGAGTGCGGTACCCTGATCACTGCCTACGAGCCACGAGTGCCTAAGTCCATCACGCCTTGGACACGGCGACGGGGGGAACGCTGCCGAGGAGTCTCGAGTAGACACTCCCTGCTTTCGATGGCAAGCTGCGATGTAGGTGGTTAGGTGAACCCTCTTGGGTGTCCAAGTGGACGGCGGAGGTGCCGGGTTCGGAGTGGAGACTTTCAACACGCAGTTGACGAGTCTCTGGTCTGACCCGTTTCTGCGACTGGCTGGCCCTTGGGGGGCTGCGAGGGAAGGCTCCTCGCGGCATGCTCGCTGATTTATCTTCTGGGAGACGCTGATGCCAGGGCAAGCATCCTGATTGAAAGCCCATCGGCACTTGCGACTCCAGGACCTGGCTAAGCCGGCTTGCTCACCTTCCCGGGTCTCCACCGGTAGACAGCATGTCATACAGGAGCGGCTCACGTGCCAAAGTCTATGTGCAGTCAGCGTTGCTCTTGGGGCATGGCTGGTAGTATGCACTGCTACGGGGCTTGACGTGGAGCATATCAATGTCAGTCGGTACTTGACCTCACATGCTCCCAGGGCCTCAGGCCATGTTGTAACACCATCTCTCGCGTTGACATCATCTTGTTGGTTCACGGCCCCATCAAAGCCTCGAAACAATCAAATAGAAGTCTTGATTGACCGTATCTCAAGGTGGAGAGAATTGCTATCCCGTGTACAGGATCTCCGTTTCTTTGTGTTCTCTGCGAGTCACAAATGTTGTCTGATTCGAACCGAGTACTGCGGTGTCGAGGCTCAGAGACAACATGTCCCAGAACATCCCGAGACATAGTATTTCGTGTTCAATCGGATTCACACGTCATGTGCCCGAAAGTGTCGCGGAGGCACGGCAGTCGAGCGTCTTGACTGCTGGCCCCGGTGATGGAGGAGAAGCATGCCTAGGTATCTAGGTATCTAATGTTTGAATCCTCACCGCTACTGGGATTCCAATGTTGATGTAACCGCCTAAAGTCCGGGGTAACAACATCGTTACGGCAAAATCAAGTAAGTTTCGATAGCATGGGTCGTTAATCGCGTGCTGCATTCGAGATACCACATTTAAGGTTTAAGCTCACGCCAGGGTGTTCGATTTGATGACTGGCTTAGTAGGTACGGATTGTAGGTGTTCTGTATGTAGAATGGAACACCCCCCCTTGGCAAAAGGGGGAAGAGTCCACCGCTGCCCACCCCCCCGGCCATCCTAGGGTTTGGTAACCCTGGGCACGGGTCTCTCAACTCATCACACTATTGATGATTTATCCTCCATTGATCATCATCTACAAACGCCACTGACGAGACTTCATTTACTCCACTGTAATGATTAGATTGGGCTTCCTTTTTGGTACGGAACATCTGCGTCATTTGCGAAATCGTCAGACGCAGGCGTCTATCATGCTCGTTTTCGCGCCGAGCTCCGTCAGACCTGCAGGCCTGGCCTCCTCAGTCCAGACCACCTGTGTCGCTTCCGCCATGCAGCCAGCCTTGCAGCCAGCCGGCGCGGCTCTGCGCGTCGAACAGGCTCGTCAGCTCGATGAACGTGCCTGCGGGCCGTCTCCGTCTTGAATCACATCTCTCATGATGCTCTCAGCATGGAGCACCTTTGTCAGCTGTCCAGCTGGTTACTAATTAATGACAAGGCTGGTTCGGCCGCGCCGAAGAGACGCCGCCCTGACAGAGCTGTGGCTGGCCGTGCAGCCCGTGAGCATCTGCATCCCGCATAGAGATTACCAGCACCGATTGCTTTTCTTCAGCGCTCAAACATGGACAATTTGCTTCTCCTCGCCAGCAAACATACTCACCGGAATGGAAAGGATCACCCGAAAATGTCTCACGTCTTCCACACGTGCATGCTTCCCACTTGCGTGGACGACTGGACGAATGGACGAAGCGACCCCCATCCCGGCGGACCCAGGAGCAGAGCTGAGATGACTTCTCACCGCGTTATGCAAGAGCCCGGTCGTGTCTGTCACACCCAGGCCTGCAGGTGGCTCAGAAGGCGCCAGAATATTCAGGGCCAACAGCAGGCCTGCCTCGTGAAGTGAGCGGGCCGTGTGCGTACGGCTGATGCGGAATCATTGGACGCCGTTGTGCGCAGCGTTCGAGGCTTCCGACACCCACACACCACCGCTCCGTACCCCCCTGCCCAGCTGCCCAGCTGCCCCCATCTTTCCAGGTCGGCTGTGTACGGCCCAGACAAACTGGTTCCTGCTGGCGGCAGCTCAGTGCCACTGGCTCCTGTGGGAAGCCTCGCTTTCCGTAGCGACACACAGCAGCTGGAGTCGTGCATACCCACCCAGCTGCAGTTTCAGTGCTGCCGGTGGAGCTGCTGCACCTGCACACCAGATCGGACCATGCCATGCTGCCATGCTGCCGCCAATGGGTCCTGCGCGCTTGGCAACACCTCCGGGGGGATGCTAGGTGGTCAGCCAATTGACGCCGGTGATTTTACACTTGTCTATCTTCTTCACCTTGTGCCACCTGGGCCAACTATCCCTCTCGCTCACCTGAGTCAAAAATCGACCAGGGCACAACTCGAAGAAAACATCCTGCTTGATCAGGACCGGTGCTGTGTAGTTTCCCGACAGATCCGGCAACACAGGGTCTCTTGCGGTTCACAAGCAAGCTGTGGGAGGTGGTACCTTCGCAGAGTCCAACGTCGCTACCCGCCTTCCGCGAAGAGCAGCCTTTCCAATTCGGGTCTCGTCTTGTCGCTCCTCTGCGACATGCTCACACAGCATTGCCCATCTGCTACCCCATCCGGCGTTTAGCTTTGGCAGCGCCATGGGCCTCTGACTCGGGGTCTTGCCCCTCCTTTTCGCGCCGCCGTCAACGACAGAGCGGCGAGCGCATCTCACCTCTCTGCTGATGCTATCAGTCTGCCAGTCAGTCTCCTGGTGTGGGGGGGAATGGACGGCTAAACTGGCATTTTGGGCGCATGTCGCGTTGGCTTTTAAACACTTTCCCCAGCATCACATTTCTCGGTGTGCTTCTTCTGGCCAGAAAGCTCTCCTGAAGCAGGGCGGATGTGGCTTGTGGAGGTGACAACCTGCATGGCGCTTCTGGCCCTGGGGAGGGCGGGACGAGCATATGGTTCGCCCGCTGCAGCTCGGCGTTGATGGCCCTGCCCACGGGGCGGATTGCACTACCTCCTGCAGAGCGCAGTGGCGAGCCTCGTTCCAATTGATCAATGACAGTCGCCTGTCCTGCGTGCCTAGCTTCTCCCCACCAAGATTGTATTGGTGTCTAGGATGCCAGGCACGTACATCGATCGTCCACCTCGTTGGGGAACACGCAGTTCCAAGAGAACCCTGTGCGGCTCCGGCCTGCAGTCCGGAGAGATCTAACGGCACCAGTCGTCACCCCTCCCCCCGATCAATTTCGACGTCAGTACACAGCATACCGCTTGATCCCCTAGAGACTTTTCGTACCTTTTTTCGGGCTCGAGTCTATGGGCTGAGCGACCCCCGTGCCACGCCAGGCATGCACATCAGATGCACCAACCAGGCAGACGGACAGGCTTTGCCCGACTACCGTGTCAGTTGCCTACATGTGCGTCAGCGAGGGCCTGTGACTGTTTGTCTACCCTGTCTACCATGTATGTAGGCGCAGGCATTCCGGATCTGCGAGTGCATCAGAAGGAATGTGCTGTCCAGACGCCTCCATGTTCTTACTGTGCGCCCACGAGTGGGTGTGAGAGGGGATCTACATAGATATAATTCTGTTGCCCCTCGCCCCCGAGGACGCCCTTCCCTTCCGTCCCACGTTGCCCCCGTCTTGTCTCTCGTCCCTTCTATATGCCTCTAACTCTGTGAGCTGGGTGACCTCGGTGCTTGGACCAGACAGCTCTGCGGCCAAGCTTTAATCAATTAGCATTGATCCCCGCAACGCGCAAGGGCTTGTTTCTAACGGCCCCCTGTGTCATCATCACCTTCGCTTACCTCTCTGAGCGGCGTTGATTGTCGATCCTTTGCCCGACTATCTCGTCGCCTAGTCCAGCGGACTTACACTTTCTGGTTGACTTGTCCCTCCTCTGGGACCTCACTGAGAAGGATTGTCAGCTTCTCATCTCACCACGCTTACACTAGCACGCCATACATACCGCAGTCAAGATGTCTGTCTATTCCCGCCGCTCGTCGTCCTCCTCTTCGGGTCGATCAAACTCCTCCACCACCACGGTGAGAACGGCCGAGCTCAATGTCCCCCGGAGCAAGTCACTCTCAGTCGTCACCTATCTTGCCGGCGGCGATCCTCGCAAGCACAAGAATCTCCGCCGCACAAAGATCACGACCGAGTATGACAACGGCACATACGAGACCACCTCACAGTACTTCTGGGTGCGAGATCCCTACGCATCCACGTACTACTGGGGCGGAGACTACGACGACTACGACGACAGCTCGAGCGTCTACAGCGGCAGCTCGCGCGGAAGTTCGCGCCGTAGCAAGCACGGCGGCCCCAAGGGCAGGGGTTTGCCCACGGCGGTACCAGTGCAGCCAATGCCGCCGCCACCGCAGCAGATGGGCATGCCGCCAATGGGCATGGGGATGGGCATGCCGCCTGGCATTCCGCCGCCTCACATGGGGGGGCACCCACAGGCTCACATGGGCGGCCCACCCCCGGGGGTCCAGGTCGTGGACGAGATGGACGACGACGCCAGCTCCATGTACAGCGGGAGCAGCTACTTCAGCGACGAGTCCTCCTACAGCTCGCACGGGATGCCCCCGCCGCACCCCCACGGCATGGGGATGCCGCACATGCACCAGCAGCCGCCGCCGCCGCCGATGATGATGCACCCGGGCGGCCCGCACATGGGCCCGCCCATGATGAGCGGTGCGGGTCCGGCGCCGCCGAGGTCACACCGTGGCGGCGGCAGTGATCACGGCGGCGACATGCCTGATTTTATCCAGATCTCATGAAGTGAATGATGACACACACACACACACACACACACACACACACACACACACACACACACACACACAGCCGGCGATGGGAGTTGGGTTGCGTGGCACAAGAAGCAAGTTTTCGTGCGCGAAGGGTCCCAGTCCCTCAACCTAGACTGACTGAATAAAAAAAAATACTGCTCGGCAGCTTTGGGTGTAGGTTACAAATGTTTAGGGGGGGTGGGTGGTTGGGCTGTTCTGTAATTTTATCATGACATGTCTATACGACTTTCAATGTCTTTGAGCCTGTTGGCTGGGCGTCTGGGTGGGGTACTCTCAAGTGGTTCAGTAATGATACTGGAGTTGGGTTCATTGGTCACACCCGGCAGGACTCGAGACTGGCCTTGGGAGACCAGCTGTGAGTGGTGACACGAGGCTTTGCCCACTGCTGATGAAACAGGTGTGCTGGCCAAAAGATGGGGGGTTTCAATGGTCGGATTAGGAATTCCTAGCAGAATATCAAAACTGCACCTTCACACCCGCTCCTTTCCCCCAACTAACCCTGAATCCTATCGGCTCGGAACACCATATTGAGTTAGCAACTACACTGACATGAGGCATGAAGTTCTTAACCCAGTGACACGCTTCTGAGTGATTCCATGGAGTTGCTTGTCTCAGTAAACCGTCCTTCATGATATGGGTATTGGAAATCATATGTTTGAGTTGATCTAGCTTGGTTCCCTCCGATACATTAAAAGGATTCTCTCCCACTGCCTGTATTGCAAGGTTCATTATTAGCCGCTTATTTGGTTGGAGAGTGGTATGGAGCTTCTACATTTTCGTGCTAGGGGCGAGATAAGTGTGCTGGCTACTACATAGTAAAGCCGGGTTCTTTTCTATTCCGTCCACGGGTACACGTCCGAAGCTATACACCGCGCCTTCATATAGTGCTCAAGTGGTGAACACCCAAACACCCAAACACCCAGCGTTTTTTTCTTTGGATTTTCTTTTTAGAAAAGAATTACAAAGCCGATAACAGTGGTAAGTGCTGTCTATAAGACTAGGTTCTCTAATAATCAGTTCCAGCACTCCTAGCAAGTGCCACAGTGTCACAAGAGTTGAAGGAGTCTGGCTGATAACTAATCTTACACCTTGGACTCGAGAAATTCCATGGGATACGTGCAACATGCGGAAAGTAGTATGTGGAGAGATCATCAATGGCACCACCAGTGTGCGGGTCCAATAATCGATGGACTTGCTTTCAGAGACCTGTTTCTTGCTAGAGCAAGTCTTTCAGGTGAATTTCTTAGGCGGTATATTGCATGGTATTACGTATGTAGAGCTACTCTTGTGTTAGCAGTTCAGAAGGGCCGTCTTGACCTGGCATTATAATAATACAGCGGATCCAGGCTCAGCACATGCGACCATATCCACAAGAAAATATCGGATCCCGTCCGCTCTCCTGTAATCAAGCTTGTGAGAGGGCAATTAGTAGTTGGGTCGGTGACGACCAGCGAATCCTGCCTGTTGCATGTAATTCATTTCGTTTTTTTTTTTTGTTGAGATTCAATCGCTTGTAGTAGTTCAGGGTTGGTTATGTCTCCGAATGAGCATGTACCTGTGCGCGCAGGGTCTGCGAGCTGGATCGGGTGGATGAGCCAAGTCAACTGGCTTTGCAACGACTCAAATCAGTAATAAGGTGGCTGGACTACGACCAGACTATAGAATATCCCATCAAATCTGACAAGAACAACACACAGAATAGGTTTTTTTTTTCTAAAAAGAAAAGAAAAGAGGAATACCTCAATTGACTCCATTTGGTCTTGGCGATGGCTTTCCAGCATGTCAGTCACTAGGTGGGAGCACAGTTAAAGAGACAGCTTCGTGGCCTGGCAGCAGCGAGTGCCGCTATCTTTGGAATTCTTGACAAACAGTTTTCTCAGGAGCTTGAGGGTCCACCGTAACATCTCAAAAGGAGCCCCATACGCTTAGACCACATTGTCAGAAAACCAGGCTGTCTTCTCGGTTGAGCATGCTTTGCTCAGATACATGATTTGCTGCCTCCATAATCATGATAGCTATCTTCATAGCTGATGACAGGTGGTAGAGAACTATCGGAATTGAGCAACATCATCTGAGCCAAAGTACCAGTTGACATGACCAAAAGGAATCAAGCATGATTGTGCTAAGAAATCAAGTCCCGAGCCCTGCTGATATCTACGTACTCGTATGACCAACAACAGCGATTGAAATACCATTTACTTCGGTGAAAAATATTCTGATCATCATTTAAAAAGCAAATCTATTAATAATGATGATTTCTGTGTCAGGCCTCTCCAAGGTGGCAATGGGGCTGATGGTGGTGTTTGCTAAGAATTAGGGGATTCGATCCAAGCCTTCATTGCACATATGTGGCACTGAGTGATGTAGTTTTGGAATGTATACGGAATATAACCGAAAACAGGGAACGATTTGAAGTGCAACATCATCAGCCGATGTAGACAGGTGAGTGTTGACCAGGCAAACCCCATTCGGGACACCCCTCTGGAATGATTTCTCCAGACAGACTCGTGTTCTCCAGACAGACTCATGTTCTCCAGACAGACTCGTGCACAATAGCAAAGCCGAGCATTGGAGGCGCATGTGAGCTTTTTGAAGACATGGTCATACCATTTGAATAGTGGATGCAGTAATAATCTTGGAATGCATGTTCCCTGTTCAGGGAGGGATGCCTGGCAAGCAAGACAAACAAGCAGGTGTCTGAAATGTACAGCCACAAGGCCCTCCTCACCAGCCTCAGAGCGCCACACAGCCCGTGGGCCAGTGAGGGGCCGCGGCAGGCAGGCAGGCAGGTCAAGGATGCTAGTCAGGAAACCCGTTGCAGCTTTGGCCCCTCCAAAAGCGAGCTGCGACCAAAAATCAACCTAGCCACCAAGTGACTCAAAGGAACCGCCTTCACGCCTCGACACTGCGACCGCAACCGTGACTTGCACCCTCGTGGCTACCGACTCCTCGACTCCACTGCAGTGCATACAATTTGTTTTCGTGGCCGATTCAAGCAACTGCATTGCGCATTTACATCCTTGATTTGTCTAGCCCCCAGCCAAAACCAACAAGACCCGTACAAGCATCTCTCAGCACCAGCCGCCAAGATGTCGCTGACGAATTGTCGATTTTACGGTGAGATGGAGACGACTCCAGGCAAAAAATCCAGGTCAAGTCTAACGAGCGATGTCATGCAGAGGAGAAGTATCCCGAGGTGGATAGCTTCGTCATGGTCAACGTGAAGCAGGTCTGTCACCACCAGAGAAACAAACCCTCAGCTACGCCTTGAGGAGGACAACACTGACTTTCGAGGCGACAGATTGCCGATATGGGCGCATACGTCAAGCTTCTGGAATACGATAACATGTTTGTGCCTGCGTCCTCATCGAGTCGGCAGAGACCCGTGACCGCTGTCCGTGACGGCTAACAGGCTGCAGCGATGGCATGATCCTGCTCTCCGAACTGTCCCGAAGACGTATTCGATCGATTCAGAAGCTCATCCGAGTCGGAAGGAACGAGGTTGTCGTCGTGCTCAGGGTGGACAAGGAGAAGGGTTACATCGATCTGTCCAAGCGTCGAGTCTCCCCAGAGGACATCGTCAAGTGCGACGAGCGGTACAACAAGAGCAAGGTCGTCCACTCGATAATGCGCCATGTCGCCGAGAAGGTCCAGACCCCCATCGAGCAGCTCTACGAGACCATTGCATGGCCCCTCAACCGGAAATACGGCCACGCCATCGACGCCTTCAAGCTCAGCATCACGAACCCCGACGTCTGGCAGGACATCGAGTTCTCCAACGAGGCCATCGCCGAGGAGCTCAAGAGCTACATCTCCAAGAGGCTTACCCCCCAGCCCACAAAGCTCCGTGCCGATATCGAGGTGACGTGCTTCGGCTATGAGGGCATTGACGCCATCAAGACTGCCCTGAGGTGAGGCGCCCCGGGATACCATACGCGCACCCAACGCACTACTAACACGAGACTTTTTGTTCACAGGCGCGCCGAGGCCAGCAACACCGAGGACAACCAGGTCAAGGTCAAGCTGGTGTCCCCTCCCCTGTACGTGCTCACCAGCCAGTGCCTGGACAAGACGGTGGGAATCGCAAGGCTGGAGCAGGCCATCGTCGATGTCCGCACGAGCATCGAGGGGGCAGGCGGCAAACTCACGGTCAAGATGGAGCCCAAGGCGGTCACGGAGAGCGACGATGCCGAGCTCCAGGCGCTCATGGAGAAGCGCGAGCGCGAGAACGCCGAGGTCAGCGGCGACGAGAGCATGAGCGAGTCGGACGAGGGCGTGCCGGCGCCACGTGAGGTCTAAGGGTACCTTGCTCTTTGCATTTCCGGCGCTGGGACCTAGAGATGGGGGAACAAAAGTTGTGTGTTTCTCGGCACGAAGAAGATGAAAAGACCAAGTCCCTTGCTGGCTTATCACGACCCTGTTGCGGTGCCACAGCTACACTTAATAAAAATGTGAAAATGGTATTGTGGAGCCCTGGCGACTTATTTCTCTCCCGCCTGGGGATCCCTTTGGAGAGGAGCCGGAGCCTTAGAATCCATGCGGGACGGGAGTTGTTGGATAAGAGGTCGGGTAGTGATGGCCTACCTAGGTACCTAGGTACCTTGATACGTAGATGCCACGACGCACAGCAGACACCCGTGCCCAACCAATTGAATGAACACAGATAAGAAGCCAGCCCAGTTCCAAGGCCGTAGATATATGGGAGGACTGGTCACTACGGCTGTGAAGCGCAAACCCTCGATTAGGCTGCTGTACAGCAGGCCGGGCAGGCAGGCTGGCGGGCTGGACGGAGCATTTTTGGCGGTTGAGCTGGCTCGGATCCATCCCTGCTCCTTGCGCACCCCCCCCCCCCACATGCGCCGTGCCCGTGCCCGTGCCCGCCCAAAGTCAGCCGTCCAACTAATAACTCACCGGCTGCTTCTGTCACCCAAGAAGCACCACAGAACGGCAACACCGCAGAGCGTACTAACAATCTTGGAACCCTGGAAGGCAGCTGGTCTTTCTCACACAAGGCTTGCTTGCGTCTCGCCCGTGTCTTTGGTGCTCGAGGTCGGCCGTGTCCGTGCACGTCCCTCAATCCTACTCTTTCCGATCTCTTGGGAGCCTCCCCACCCCACCTGCCCACCCTGCCTTCCGTGCCCTGCTTGCTTGGACCGTGAAAGACAGACTGTTTGCTGGCCGTCTTCCTCAGCTCTCTCGACCTCAGTCCCGGCCCTGCCTCTCTCCCGGCCGGCTGCGCTACTAGACGGCAACCAAAGGCCAAGATCAACATTGTTGGACCCCGCCGCGGCTCTACCGACCGTCTGAACAATAGGCCCCTCCTCTTGCTTGCCTACCGACTCGTCCGAATTTCGAGCCTCCACTCTCTGCCCTTCAACGCTTTTGGCGACCATTGTGAAGCAGCCAAATTCTGCACAATAAATCATTTCGCTATTGTGCACCACCCATCCTAGCTGCCGGACACCCCCTTTCCTAACCAGAGTGCCCATCTGACAACGCCTTGTCTATCCAACACAAAGGACTGTAGCACAGCAGCTTGCTTTGATTGCCCCAGACGTGGTTTTTGTCCACAATAGCGTATTGCCAGAAAAACGGGGCCTTCAAAACCCTCGTGGGGATAGAGACGACATCATGGCCGACGACCCGCCCTCCTCCAATAACGTCAACCCAGACGACCAGCGATACCACTCCGAGGCCAAGGTGGAAGACGCAGACACCAGGGCTGCGAGGGAGGAACTACGACACAGTCACATTTCCGACACCGGTATCAGCGAACCCCAGGCTCCTGGGCCCAACCACAACGACCAGAGCGACCAGAGCCAAGACGACGAGATGAGGTTGCGATCCGGAAGGGAGTTCAACATCCCACCTTCTGCCACCTCCGCCCGCAGACACGAGACCCCCGATCTTGCGCCGCCCGAGGCCCTGTCCCGAGACGACGCCGGCGAGAGGAAGGTCTCGTCCCCCAAGAAGAAGCGTGCACACGACGAGGTGGAGGCGCACAAGGACTCCGAAGGCCCCGCGAGCAACGGTACGGACTCTGACGGGTGGGTCATGGTCGACGAGGGCGAAACGATCAAGGGCCGGTCTGAGCCTCAGAAGAAGCGAGCACGCGACGAGACGAGCCCCCCTGCAGACATTCACCAGGCCCCAGCAACAGTGAGTCTGCCACCCAGAGTGCAGAGTGGGCTACGCTACACAGCAGGGGATACGTGTTGACCTTTTGACCTGCAGACTACCTCAAGTGGCCCCAAGCCCGACCTCCCGGCCAAGGACGGCCAGCAGCCACAGACCTCGCCCTCCAAATTCGCTGATTCCGGCTTTGCTAAGCTAGCCGCGTCCTCGGCCTCACCCTTCGCCTCGGTTGGGGCTACCAAGAGCGTGTTCGGCGGTGGGGCCGCAGCCTCGCCCTCGCCTTTCGCAAGCTTCGGCGCACCGGCGTCTACGGCACCGACGACGTCGACGCCACTCAGCCCCCCAAAGCTCAGCTTTGGAAGCAAGGATGCCTCGGCGCCGTCGCCATTTGCTGCCATGAACGGCGCCAAACCGACCTTGGGCGGCTTTGGAGGAGGCTTTGGAGGCGGCAGCCCGTTCTCGAGCGCGCTTGGTGGATCAGGGCCTATGGCGGGCAATTTTGCTTCGCCTGGCCAGCCGCCTATCATTAAGAGTGATAAGCCTGCGAAGCCTTTCGGTGCCCCAGAGAGCGATGCCGAAGATGACAGCGAGGATGACGGCGAAGACGGCGACGAGGAGGAGGGTGGCCGCAGTGGTGGAGCCGATCCGGATAAGGAAAAGGAGAAGGACGAGACTGCCAGCAACCACGAATCAACGCCTGCGGCCGGTGAAGACGAGAAGAAGGGCAAATACAAGCGAGGTGAGTCCCCTTGGTCCTTTCTCTGCAGGCAGGTATTCTGACCAGGTATGTAGTTGCTGTCGACGATGGGGAGGCTGGCGAGATCACCATTGCACAGGTACGCGCGCGCATGTACTACCTCGACAAGACTCCCAACGCGGACAACACAGGGCAGGTCGGCTGGCGTGAGCGTGGGGTTGGTAACCTCAAGATCAACGTGCCAGAAGACTCGGTGAGGACAGACCCTGAGACGGGCGCCGTGGATCCGAAGTCTTTCGACCCAGCTGTGCTCAAGGAAAACACGGCCGAGAACCCGAAGCTTGTGCGGCTCGTCATGCGACAGGACTCGACGCTGAGGGTCATCCTAAACACGGTCATGGTAGCAGGCATGGACTTCCAGCTCAAGGAGGGCTTCAAGACGTGGAGCGTGCTGTTCACGGCCATAGAAGGCGACGATGGCCAGTATGTGCCGATAACTATGAAGGTAGGTCTCCTGTCATCCCCTGCTGCGCGGATTTGCGCGAGGCGCCCGTACTGACCAACCCGCCACAGATGAGCGCCCAGAATGCAGGAATCTTTGTCCACAAGGTGGAGCTGATTCAGAAAAAGCTCAAGGAGCAAGCCGCCAAAGATGAGGAAGCCAAGGCATAATAAGTCCTTAGTTCACGTGGATGTGTGGAAGTAGATTGCGCTCCAATTGGCGCATACTTGCATGCGTGCGTCGTCTAGGGTGGTGTCGCATTGACATGGGAGACACATGGTCGGTTCAAAATACACACGGAACAAAAAGACGGTCTGGTTTGAGTACAAAGGTGGTGTTGCTTGATGGCCCAAGCATGGAATACCCGAGATCCCCCTCTACTTTCCTATGTTCTTTACGATCAAGGGGGGTTGGGCTGTGTCATTGAAAGCATCGGGACCTATCTACGTGTGCGTCGTGGTATGCGAGCATCATGTTGGGCTTGCAATGTATATACCATAAAATTTATGTGGCCTGCAGTGATCGGAGGATGGTTGAGTGGGATACCAACACCAAAGGATAGAGAGTCTGGGGGCGGAACTAGACCAGCTAGACGGCCGTCTGGGAGTGTCAATGACCAATGAAATACACCAATATCACCAAAATCGAGTTACTGCGACCAGTCTTTGTCTTGTTATACACACGAGGCTTTGCTGTGAAGCACGTGGGTGCGCGTCAGCCCCGCGCGGGAACTAGCCGCCTCGCCACCCCCCTTGGCAGCAACTTCACGTCTCCTTTATGCGTGTTGAAAGTGTGACACTCAGGACAGCTCGAGCCCCTGTGGACGGCTGCCACTTCTTCTCAATCACAATGTGACACCATGTTGTCCGCCCAAGGACCTCCGCTACACGCCCGAAAGGGCCAGTCGGGCAGAGGCAGCAAGAGGAAGCGACCAGTCGAGATGCCTGAGGCGACTGACCCGTCGTTGAACCCGACTGCCGTGCCTGCTGAGCAGGATATTGCCGCACCACCTGCCACTCCCGTGGTGAAAGTCGAGGATGATGGAGATGAGACTTCACTCTCGACTCCACCAAAACCCCGTCGGGCGCCAAAGGGAGGCAAGAAACCAAAACTACAGAAATCAGCGTCCGCCGTTGAGCCAGTCAAGTGCGTCATCGAATGGCCGCCCTACTTCAAGTCCCTCGAGACCACCCACCGCGCCCTCAACCTTGTCTTCACATTCTGCTGCACGCGCAAGCACCTGGTCACCACCTTTGACACGATCCAATCCGCGGTTGAGAGCCACACCAAGCGGACGCTGGAAATCGCCGACGTCGCCGCCATTGCCGCCCTGCGCCCGGACGGCATCAACTTTGGCTATGTGGACGAGGTGATGCTGCAGATCGACGTCAAGGGCTCCGAGAGGAATGATGCTTTCCTGACGGGCAGGGGCGGCCGGGGCTACAAGAACCAGGGCTTCGCCGCCGACGCCAGCGTGGGTGGCATCACCGGCACGGAAGAATTGGGCGCCAGGGGCCACCCCGACGATGACCAGGGCCTGGTGGGAGGGAGAGAGGTGCTCTACTTCGAGTTCATCGACGGGGACCTCAAGAGGCAGGTCCAGTGCCGCAAGACGGGCGAGCCGACCAAGCCGACCAGGAAGCTGCGCGAGGAGGAGCTCAAGATCCCCGTGTACAGCCAGAAGCAGATGACGGGCTTGATCGAGAAGCGCAATGCCAAGTTCACCGGTGCGGTGAACGAGTTCATCAACAGGTGCGTCGAGCAGAGCCTGGACCCGGAGGTGGCGCTGAAGAGCGAGGCCGCCGTCTTCGTCCCCGTCCCGAGCGAGGCCACCCGGGAGAGCACGCCGCGGCCGGCCCTGAGCAGCACCCTGCCGGAGACGATACCAAAGGAGAGGAAGAGCATACCCGAGATCGTGCAGGAACTCAAGGATAGCCCCTGGTATACCGGCCAGATCGTGCCTGATGGCCACAGAGTGTTTGAGGCCCAGGAGCCCGTGTACGGCGACCTCAACTTCCTGCTAAGCCAGGATCTCGTGAACGCCCTTTACAACGCCAAAGGAATAACGCAATTCTTTGCGCACCAAGCCGAAGCCATCAATAACCTACACCACGGCCACCACGTCGTCATTTCCACATCGACGAGCTCTGGAAAGTCGCTCATATACCAGTTGCCCGTGTTGCACGCCTTGGAGCAGGACCCAAACACCAGAGCGATGTACATATTCCCCACAAAAGCTCTGGCGCAGGACCAGAGGCGGAGCCTCAAAGACATGCTCTCGTACTTGGCCGGCCTGGAAACAACGCTCGTGGACACCTTCGACGGGGATACGCCTTGGAAGGAGCGCAACAGGATCCGCGACGAGGCGCGCATCATCTTCACGAACCCAGACATGCTCCACATCTCCATCCTGCCTCAAGAGGAGCGCTGGAGGACGTTCCTCAAGAACCTCAAGTATGTCGTCGTCGACGAGTTGCACTATTACAACGGCTTGATGGGCAGCCACGTGGCCTTCATCATGCGGCGGCTGCGGCGGATCTGCGCCGCCGTGGGCAATCGGAGGGTCAGGTTTGTGAGCTGTTCCGCCACCGTGGCGAACCCGCGGGAGCACTTCGGCACCATCTTCGGCATCGACGACGTCCACCTCGTTGATTTCGACGGGAGCCCCTCGGGCAGGAAGGAGTTCCTGTGCTGGAACACGCCGTACAAGGACCCCGGCGACCCGACGAGCGGCAGGGGTAACACAAAGTTTGAATGTGCGAGGCTGTTCTGCCAGCTGATCCTCCGGGGGGTGAGGGTCATTGCCTTCACCAGGGTGCGGGAGCAGTGCGAGAAGCTCGTAGGCGCGGTCAAGCACGAGCTGGAGAGATTGGGCCGAGGCGATTGCGTCAACCGCGTCATGGGGTACCGGGGCGGGTACACAGCCCAGGACCGCCGGCGGATCGAGACGGAGATGTTTGAGGGCAAGCTCATCGGGATCATTGCCACCACGGCCCTCGAGCTAGGGGTGGACATCGGCAGCCTGGATGCTGTCATGACTTGGGGGTTCCCGTACACCATTTCGAACCTCCGCCAGCAGAGCGGCCGAGCCGGGAGGAGGAACAAGGACTCATTGTCCATCCTCGTCGGTGATTGCTTCCCCACGGACCAACACTTCATGCAGAACCCGGACGAACTGTTCACCAGGCCCAACGCCGAGCTGCAGGTGGACTTGGAGAACATGATGGTCCGGGAGGGACATATACAATGTGCGGCTTTTGAGATGCCCATACGACCAGCAGACGATGCGAAATACTTTGGCGGGGACATCGAAAAGCTCTGCCGGGAGCGCCTCGTCAAGGATGATTCAGGCTTCTACCACACACACGAGCGGTTCCGGCCGCAGCCCTCCAAGTTCGTGTCGATCCGAGACACAGAGGAGGACCACTTCGCCATCATCGACATCACGCACGGGCGAAACGTGGTGCTCGAGGAGCTCGAGGCGTCCCGGGCCACGTTCACAATCTACGACGGCGCCATCTTCCTGCACCAGGGCATCACCTACCTGGTCCGCGAGGTCAACCCGGAGAGGCAGATGGCCCGCGTCGAAAAGGTCAAGGTGGACTGGACCACGACGCAGCGCGACTACACCGACATCGACCCGGTCGAGACCGAGGCCATCCGCCGGATCAGGGGGTCGCAGTCGCGCGCCTTCTTCGGCACCATCAGGATCAAGCAGGTCGTCTTCGGCTACTTCAAGGTGGACCGGCAGAACCGCGTGCTGGACGCCGTGCACGTCGACAACCCGCCCGTGGTGCGCTTCAGCAAGGGCATGTGGATCGACCTGCCCCGGCGGGCGCTCGAGATCCTCGAGTCGCGCCGCCTGCACGTCGCGGGCGCCATCCACGCCGCCGAGCACGCCACGATGAGCCTCGTGCCCAACTTCGTCATGAGCATGCCCGGCGACGTGCGCACCGAGTGCAAGAACAGCCTCAAGGAGTTCGCCGCCTCCAGCTCGAGCCGCAAGCGGCCCGCCCGCCTCACCTTCTACGACGCAAAGGGCGGCGCCGGCGGCAGCGGCATCAACACCAAGGCCTTTGAGTTTGTCGACGTCCTCCTGCGCCAGGCCCTCGACCGCGTCGAGGCCTGCTGCTGCCCGTCCGGCTGCCCCGAGTGCGTCGCCAGCGAGTTCTGCAAGCACGCCAACGAGGTCATGAGCAAGGCCGGCGCCGGGGTCGTGCTGCGCTGTCTGCTTGACCTTGAGATTGACGTTGACGCGCTGCCCATGGGCCCTGAGGAGGGCTGGAATGGCCCCGTTGAGCTGGTGGAGACCATCGTGCTTGCTACGCCTGTGCGTCCACGGGATCGCGGCGCCTTGAGGCTTGTTGACATCAAGGAGGAGGAGGTCGAGGAGCCTGTTATTTTGCCCGAGTGATGATCTGGTCTGGTCGCCCGTGATTGAAAGGTATATGTTAATAGCACAAGGCGAGTGTTACCTGGTAGGAGAGAGAGTGACGCATTACAGTGTTAGTATATATTCGATTTTCTAGTGCCAATATGGGCGAGTTGGGTTTGACTGCTACGGAAGGGCCACGCAAGGGCCATGCTCTCAAATCAAGATCCCTCCCTCTGGTACCAGACATCTCTGGATCTTTTCAGAGGATAAATTCTGCCATCTCCGTTGTCCAGTTGGGGAACTATGTCCTTGAACCTCCAGAGTCTCAAAGTGGGTGGTCGTTGCCGGTCTCTCTGGGCCCATTGCCTCATACAGGCGTAGCAATCTCAGCAATGTCTGGGACCACTTCACCAGGCTTGCAGTCGCACTCGTATTCTTTCAAGAATTGCTCCTTCGTCATGTTCTTGAGCTTGTCCATGGCCACCCTTGCTGCGGCCTTCTTTGCGTAGCCCCCGCTCTCTCGGACTGCGCCTTCCACAACTTTGCCATGAATAAGGATGCCGGCCGCAACTTTGATTGCCCCAGTCCAGATGCCCTCGTTATCAGTAACCTGCATCTCCTCCGAGAGCAATCCGTAAGCATGGCAGCCAAAGGTTTCATAGATAAACTGCGTGCAGAAAGTCACAGGGTGCTTGCTGGCAAAGGTGTCGTAAATCCTCATGTCTGCGAAGTACGGTTGAAAATGGTCTCTGAAAAATCGCTGAACTGTCGTGTAGTCGTACTCGGAGTCGACGAATATTGCGCCGATATATGCCTCGAGTACATCCGCAATGCATTTCGGGGGCTGCCGAGTCTCGATCCAGTAGTCGCGAGCAAAGCGCGAGCGAGGCTTACCGGCCGCCTCGGCTGCTTCCTCAGCCATGCGGCGGGCATCGTTGATCGCCGTGACATACTCCAGAATCATGGGGCTAAGTACGCCGTTGTGCAGTAAATACTTGTGAAAGCCGAGCTCGACCGCAAGGCAACCGAGAAACTGATTGGAAACCATGGCCATCTTGTGTTCTGTCAACCACTGTGGGCCTTTGTCGGGGGCGACGTGGAAGAGGAAATCAACGCAAACCATGTCGAGCAGGGCGTCTCCGAGGAATTCCAAACGCTGATAGCTCGGTAGTCTGACCGAGCTGTAAGGACGCGAAGGGTGGACAAACGCAGATCGGAGCAGGCGAGGGTAACGGAACTTGTACTTTGTGACGTCCTCGATCTTGCTTACCATATCCAGCTCGGCGGCACTGGCGGCCGTGATTTGCCATGCTGGTTTCTGGTATGCAGCGTAGTAGTCCTCCCATTTCATCATTGGATGATGTTTATGGTTGGCGAGTCGAGTCACTGCTTGAATTGCCATGGTGTAGTCGTTGTCCTTTCGAGTGGTCATGTATGCGGCACCAATGAGGGCTTCGCAAACGTCGGCAATAGATTTGTCGGCAAGCTGATGAGATCCCATGTTGTGCAATTTCTTCTGGTGCTTCTTTCCGAATGCCAGACTCAAGTTGGGATACCATGTGGCGCGAGAAAAGGCCTTGGACCGGACGTACTCTTCCAGCTTCAAAGAGTCCTTGCGTGCAGTACCGAACAGGTTTTGGTTGCAGATCATGAGCATCCGCTCAACATGGTAGTCGAACTCATCTTTGTTGGGTATAAGAGTGAAGACAGATATGCTGGTCGCCATTTTCAAGAACGAGTCGCCTAAGAATTCGAGACGTTCCTGACAAGGGTTAGACATTCGGCGCGCAACTGCAGATGGTATGTTGTAAAAAGCCATGAGACAATGGTGGGAAAAGGAATTTGCTTACATAGTTGTTGCCCATCCCAGGCTGGAAGTTGATGGGCTCAAACGTCTCCATCGATTCCCTGCCATTATCTTCGGATTGGTTATCACTGTCTTTGGTGAGTGCCTCAAGAGCGAGGTCTGGATGGATGTCCAGCTCGAGCATCTTGCATGCGTCTAGCGCAATGAGATTCTGCTCAAGCCGATGAACAATGGACGGGATGAGATATGCCATGGCCACTACATCCACAGGAATCTGCTGGCTGTCAGAAGTCGTACATGACAAGGGAACTGGAGGCTTACCGGAGAAATCCTCAGCGGTTCCAGGACGAAATAGCAGAACGGGTTTTTGGGGTCGTTCTCCATCTCCGATAGGAAATCTCGGCGCAGAGAGGCAAATTTTCCCACAACGACGGGCTGGTCCTCGTTCCACATCATTTCTCGCGCCTCACGAGTGGCCTTCCAGGAAGTGACGGTCCAATTGAGGATATCGTGAGCAACTTGGCCACGCTTCCATTGTGCGTAACCTGGAGCATGATCCACATCGTTGGGAACCATACTCCGGGGTGTCAGGTCTTTTCGAAGACCGCGCAGCCAAAATCTGCGTGAACCATCATGGGGATCGACAATGAACTTGTCCGCATAGAAATCATCTGGTTCATGACCCGTGTAAGGTAAAGCGTCAGTGGCTGATACTTGGTGTAAAACGGACCAGTCGATGGCCTGGCGTAGATCAGCAAGTTCCGAGAATGTGAACATGTGGTCTTTATTTGTCGGCGCGAAAAAGTACGGCATTTCATTTGTGCTTGCCGCATACTGCTTGTTGAAGAGATCCACGAAGATCTTGAGGGTGAAGTTGGTGAGAAGCTGAAGATCTTCCTCAGAAGGCGTGATTGGAGTATTCAAAACTAGGCAAGTAGTTGTGGAAGACATCCCTTTCGACCCAGGTGGCCCAAAATGAAGGGGGAATGACTTAATCTGGGGAAGCTTTGTCCTTGTCAAGAACAGAAGAGGCCGGGATGGTCGCTCTATGGCCTTTGGATTCGAAAGAATCAACGCTGTCGCGTACAATTCCAGAACCGGACCGAGCTCGTTCCACATCTTTGGCTTTAGATGCATGTCGTATCTGGCCTTCTTCTTGGACGAAACCGCCAGTCGTGCATTCGCCATCTTGTTGCGTCTCTCTACAAACGTCGAACGCAAGTTCTCGTCGATGAATTTGCTTTGGAATAGCTTCTTGCAAACCTCGAAAGCTGCGGAGCACTTGGCGACCTGTTTCGTCGAATGCGGTCTTCCCGTTGCACCGGATACTGGCGAGGCGACAGGCATGATCAATTCACAGATGAAACCTCCTTCGGTTGGCATGATATGGTAGTCAGCGACAATGCCCATGTCCTCGGTGAAGTCGTCTTGGTACCGAAGCGAATTGAGATAGTCCCCAAGAATGGATAAGCTGTTCTTGTAGGTGATCTTTGCTCCACTAGCTCGGACTGTGTACACCTGTTGATCTCGTTCTTTTCGGAGATAATAGTCCATGTCGAAGTCGCTTCCTTTGAGCTGCCTGTCCTCCGGGAGCACGCTGCAGAACTGCCGCAAAGTATTCTCGTTTGCAGTGTTCTGCAGGATCCTGCGACGATGATCACCGTTGCCATCTTCGGTCATGTGGTAGTAAGTAGATTGGGGCTGTCTAGCCCGACCTCGCGACTGTATGTACTGTATCATGGTCTTGTAGAGATCGAAGCGAATGATCAAGTTACATTCGGGGATATCCAGGCCCTCCTCAGCTACTGATGTTGCAAAGATGCAGTTGAGCTCGCCATCCTTGAACTTGATAATCGTCATAAGTTGATGGCGGAAGGACGTTGATGAAAGGGTGTCATCTTGGTTAGCACCCATGAGAACGCCAGCCTTGATATCGGGGATTTTCTTCTTGATCACGCCTTCTTGCTGGAGCAAGTCTGCCAGTAGGCTAGCGGTCCACCGCTGTTCGACGAAGACAATGCATCGAACCGTGTCCTTGTCTTTGTTGAAGTGCTCCTTCAAAAGTTCTAGGAGACAGCGGACTTTTGCTGAGAGCAGAAACTCACCCGGTTCCATGAATTGGTGGCTCTGGACCAGCTGTCGAGCAGATTGGATACCCTTTCTCTGCTTGTTCAGGGTGTCGATCGAAGCCATGTTGTTGGAGAACCCTTTCTCCGTCTTGGCCTCAAGCTTGTGGATCTCGCTGTCCTGGAAAAGGACCTGCCACTGTCTATCCACGAACCAGGTTCCCAGCTCTCTCGCGGCGTACTTGGAAAAAGCGAATGCCTTCTCGAGGTATTTGTTGCTGCCCACGGCCACCCTCAATTTTGCAGTGAGTGCTGTTTCGGGCGGCTGGATGAGATGAGCATATTTGGCCTGGAGCTCTCGCTTGGGCTTAGCCACGGTTGACTGTAGGGCGCTCGGGTCGGCGGTGGTCGCGATGACGCTGTGCAAGAGTCCTTCGAGTTCTCTTGCCGCTAGTCGGACGTCGACCTGCGCATCGACAGGTGACGCGGTCATGCCAAAGATACGGGGCAGCCGAGTGCCACTGCCCTCTTGTGTCGCATAATAATCTTTGATTATACGAGCGTATGGGTGATTCTTCTTTGTATGGTGGGCTTCGTCGAAAATGAGTAGGTTGATCTGGTCGATTCGGATGTATGCAGACTGCAGGCACTTGTTCAGTATCTCGGCTGTGCACACTATGACCTCGTGTTTTGCAAATTGTTGCTCCCAGAAGGGTTTGTTCCACAAGGATCGAACTGAATCTCCGGAGAAGGCAACCACAGAATGGCCAAGATTACAATCCAGAACCGCATGCTGCTGGTAGGCGAGAGCCACCTTGTCAACAAGGAAAAAGGAGATGCGCCGTGGCAGGCCTGCCTTCCGATCCTCAAGCTCCTTTTCGATGATGTGCTGGAGGAGGAGTACCGCTATCAGTGTCTTTCCAGATCCTGTGCCAAGGTGGTTTAGCCATGGTTAGTCATTTCACACATCCTGACAAAGTGTGGGTCGTGAAAGCGGTTGGGACTTACCGGTGTCAAGAACAGCGATTGTGTTTTTCTCCTTGGCCCGTTGGAACAGCTCCATCTGGTAGTCACGAGGGTTGTTGATGATCTTCTTCTGACGTTCCCAACTCTTGACCAGGTATCCAATGGACTGATCTGTGTCCTTGACACGATTCTCAGGCTTCTTGGACAGCCTGTTCCCGTTGGCTTCCAACCAAAGGCCAAAACTTGCTCTTTCGATCTTCTTCTTCTCGGTGATCTTGCGGGGCTTGCGAGGCTCATTCTGGACCAGGTGGCTCACATCCTCGTCATCGCTCCGTTCGGCTCGTTGATCGTCACTATCAGCGTCCATGCCAGCGTCCATGCCAGCGGCGACAGCATTCTCTTCGATGCCAGGCATTTCGAAATCGGGGATGAGAGGAGATTGCTCGGCAGGCGAACGTGGCACCGCGCCGTCAAAACCACCTCGGATGGCTACAGAGCCACCATTCTGCGAAGAAGAGAAGTTGGTAAGGGGCAGGGTATCAAGACAAGGCGTTGTTTCTGAGGCCATCTTGGCTGTTTCGCCAATGGCGGACCGCAAATTTATGACCAAGTCTGTCTTTGTCCAACGGAGGGGCAGTGAAGCAGTGGAAATCTGCAAGTGAGGTTGTGGCAGGACCAGTTCAGTAGATGATCAGAGAAGGTCGCCCGTTCTGAGGTCAGCCTGGACTGTTGGGTGTTGAGCAAATTGGCAGAACCCATATGGCAGAGGTAGTGGTAGGAAGGGGAAGGGGGATGGGAAGCGTATTGAAGAGAGTGGACAAGATTGTCAATAACGAGACTTGGAATTGTTTGATTGTGTGTTGTATCAGAATGGCGTTTCCATCATCCATCATCCCAACTTGCTTAGCTTGGGTGGGCCAGACAGAGATGGCTGGCTGGCTGGCTGGAGGGCGGACAATCACCACAAGTCAGCTTTCAGGTGGACGGCAGGGGCAAACAACATGGAATCGATGGCCCGTTCACAGTTTCTACATCTCCCCCCCCCCCTCCCCAAGGCAATTCTTAACTTGAGACGAGACGTACGGTCGCAATGCAGGGAGCCGGTTCGAGACTCTCATGGACCGCTCTTTCCTGCAGTTACTCTTGTGGCCATTGATTGGCTTCCTCAGACCTGAGAGGGAAGGCAACGTTGGTTTTCCCGGTCTGGAAGGCACGATGGGTGGCGCGGTGGGCTGGCGCCATGGCACCCCGTGGCCGTGCCCAGATGCGGATTTGAGACAGGCTCTGACCTACAAAGCCGTTGTAATTATAATTGATACACTACCGTGTAGTGTAGCGTGCTTGGAACCGTCGCGCAAGCTTTCTGACGTGCATGGTTGTCTCGGCTTTCAGGGTCCAGAGCCCCACCTCAGCCCTCGGGAAACCCACCTTGCTATTGCGACCCTATCTTGCAGCTACCCCGCAGGGCCTGGGCTCTCTGGGGCCCTGTTGGTCCCCGCCCCTTGGCCTTGGGCCCAGGCTCCCTCCTTGCCTCCCCCCACAGGTACATAGAGTAGACACGATAAGATAAGAATTTCTGGGCTTGCCAGGGAAGCTTCTTCTAGAGCTGCCTTCGGTTTGGGCCCCGAGGTCCAGTCGTCGTCCAGTCCAGACAGCTTAACGCAGCCACACACGCAGTCTGCATATAAGTACTCCACACCCGTCCCCGGCACGACCTACCTCGAGGTTCATGTCTCGAAGTCTCCTTGCACCTGTCCGACATCCCCATCTGCAAGTCTGACCCGGAGCTTATCCAACCTCTGCCCATCCACCCAGCCTGCTGCAGCAGCGCCGCCAAGATGGAAGACCCGAAATCTCTCAAGTCTGTCTTTGCCCAGGCCGAAGAGCGGCGGCTCGCTCTCGAGGGCGCCTTTGAGGTGACCGACCCAAACTACCGCGACGTCCTCTCCAACGCAATAGACGAATACACAGAGTGCTTGGAGCTCATCAGCAAGCTGCGCATGTTCAGCCCCAACGAGACGCTGGAGGACCTGTCAACGACCGACCTCCCGTACATGCTGGTGCACTACCACCTCGCAGAGCTCATACAAAAGGTCCCCACCACCTCGCCCGAGGGCCGCAAGACCATCCTCGACAAGTCCCGCAACTGCTATGAGCGTTTTCTCTACATAATAGACAGCTACAACCTCCTGGAGCCGCAGTACTCCAAGATGCTGGAGACCTATAGCGAAGATCCATCCTCCTTCTCCACAACACCCTCCACCGACCCGGCAGCCCGCCGCAATTCCAAGATCGCCAACTTCAAGGCTGAGCAGGCCCTGAAGCAGAAGCTCGCATATCTCAGGAGGAACCCATCTTACGGCGACCCGGACGACGAAGACGGCCTGGGGGGAGACGAGGAGATCGTGCGGCAGGTGCACCTCGCGCACCTCGCTCTCTGCATCCACTTGGCATTCCAGGCCTTGGAGTCGCTAAACCGCGAGGCGGAGATCTTGGCCCAAGCACCCAGACCTTTACTACCCCAGACCACTACCGTCGAGGATGACGAGCGGCGGCGGCGGGAGGATCTCAGGCACGAGGGCTATTCCGACAGGCTTGACAGACCGTTCAAGCGGTTGTCGAGCTTCAACGGTCCACTGTTGAGCAAGGACGGCAAGCCGACGCAGCCATTCACCATCGTGGGGACGAGGCAGGATCTGGCCAAGCAAGTGTTTAGGCCAGGCCATAACTTGCCAACCATGAGTATCGACGAGTACCTGGAAGAGGAGAGGCGGCGAGGGGGCATAATCGAGGGAGGTGGTGAGGCCAGTGGGAGGCAACCGGAGCCAGACGAGGACAATTATGAGAAAGGGGATGCGGAAACTATGAAGGCCCGGGCATGGGACGAATATGTGGAGGCAAACCCGAAAGGCAGCGGCAACACTTTGAATAGGGGATAGGTATTCTCTCTTTTTCCAAACAACATATTGGACGGGAACCACACTGGATGCAGCCCACAGCCATTCAACAACGGACATTTGCAACCTGGAGCCCCATTCGAAGTGAGTATTATAGGGGTCTCAACCTATGAGGAGCCCCTTTTCTTGAGTTCGGACGAGTAAGGGTACACTAGCTATGGATTCAGTTGGCCTGGTCCAGTTGTTATGGGACGAAAGCCCTCTATCGATATCGATTGTTATCGACTGGGACGTCTGTCTGCCTGGACTCAATTCACCTGCGATATAAAACCAGATCCAATGACGCCATTTGCATCTCCCAGCAACCATTTGTTTGATGCGAACCAACTCGTGTCCCCTATCAGCTCGCGGCCAGTCTTCCAGTGAAGCACTCAATATTATCACAGCACGACACAGAGCATTTGAGTGAAGCTGTAGCGATCTTGATTGAGAGGTAAGTGCAACAGGAGTCATCGAACAAAGCCATTCACCATCGCTAATGTGTCTCAAGTCAAGAGCCGACCTGGCGTCCCCAGGGACCCTCGATTACCAGCTTGTGTTTGACCAATTTTACAGACCAAGGTAGGTCAAGCACAATGAGACCCCCAATCACATTCACTTATGAGAACCAAGACTGACAACCTCCAGGATCATCATGGCCAGCACCAAAGAGAACAACACCAACCCATTCATGGGTCCTGGTCTCAGCCTCAGAACAAGGCCGGCCAACACCACCAACGCCCTCAGCCTGCGCGATGGCAATGGCACCCTCGCTGAGACCACCAACAACTCGCAGCCCGCCGCCACCCACGACGGCGTTGCCGATCTCGTCACCGGCAGCTGTTCGACCTGTGGTTCTGCCCAGCACGACACGGCCAGGTGCGACAGCAGGGACCCTCCCCCGGAGCTCACCATGAGCGGCGCGCTTCAGCGCGACCCGGAGGGCGCCGCCGCCGGGGACACTCGCGATGCGGACGAGTGGCGTGCCCAGGCCTTCATTTTTGGGCTGGTGAATGCCCAGCACAGCCTTGAGAAGGCGGCGCCTGGCCAGGGTACCAGACGGCGGAACTCGATGTAGTTGCGGAATGGAAATCGATGGGGATGTGGCCCCTTGGGTTTCCACCGAGCTGGTCAGGCACTTGGCCATGGGGGATGAAGAGCAAGACTGGGGAATGAGTAGTGGACCAGCCTCGCGCGGTGTCACAATGGTGAGAATCTGGAAGGGTGGTTTTTTGAGAGCATCAGTCAGGAGGGCAGACAACCCTGCCGTATTCTAGTCTAGAGCGAGCTGCAGTAAATTCAGCTGCATTCTCGAGTCTCAAGTGCATGTGTCTGGTTTCCAACAACTCACATGTGGTCGGGCTGGCCGATTTCCAACGCTTTGGTTGACAAGCTGTCCATCTGCGCCTGCGGTAGATGGAACAATGCACGATCATGGTGGCCACGAGGAAGGCCAGTCCAGGAAGCAGAAGCGTCCGCAGTCACCAATTTTTATCATCAAAAAACATAAACTACATTGCTGCCCTCGGAGTCTCAGAGTGTCAAGGTCAGATACCAGAAACTACCATCCAGCGCCGCATCTACCACAGCAACAGCTCCCCTTCGCTTCATGGCCGCCAGCCGGCCTTTTAGTAACGTTCATCTACAAAATTTGACAACATCAGCAAGCCATCAGAGTGTATGCCAATCTTCCCTAAACCAAGTCGTCATAATTCGTGTTTGGAATCACACATTGCCGGTATTCCACCCAGATTTGCCGAGGTTGGGAAGCCCCTGTCGGTGCCTCGTTGGGAGTGGCGCAAACAAACTCTCGACAATACCCACCCAGTCCATTCTGTACCCATCCATTCTGTCGGCGCCCATACATCCTGTGTGCTCATGATTCTGTCGCCCCGCCTTGTAAACAAGGAGGCAGGGAGCAGGGATCCAAGCCGCCAGCTCAAACCGCCCGCCGTGGTTGAGTAGCCGCCGTGGCAGCCTCATCATGGGTGATGATCTCGAGATCATCCTCCTGCTCGTCAAAGTCCTCAAGGTCATCGTCCCCCTCATCGATCGACAACTCGGACTCATTGAACGCCTCGCTGTCGTCGTCGTCGTAATAAAAGTCCTCCTCACTCCTCAAGCCGTCATCGAGATCCTCCTGCTCGGCCTCGACGTAAGCCGCCAGCGCCTGCCCCCGCGACTGGTGCTCCGCAGGGACCGCGAACTCGGCCTCAGCAACATCAGCGCTCATGGCGTCGTCGGTGAAGCGCTCCGAGGGCATCGACGCGGAGGGCGTCAGGACGCGGTTGCGGCCGTAGACGGTCGAGAAGCTGTCCTGGGCCGTGACCGAGCCCACGATGGTGCTCCTGCCGTCGTCGGACACGATGGCCATCCCGTCCATACCGTTTACGACCGAGTCCGACGCGCTGGGCACGGTGATACCCGTGTGGAAGGCCGGGCCCGGGCCCGTCGGCCCCAGCTCTGCCTCTGGGATGTCGGTCTCGTACACCGTCTCGTCTCCGAATCTTAGATAATCCATCTCCTTCTCACTGAGGCTCAAAACCATGTGCTGCGTGATGCTGTACCCGAATTCGTCTGAGCGCCGAGAGAAGGCTGCGGCGTAGTCTGACAGTTTGCTCTTGGCGTTCTGGAACAGGGATCTGTAGGTGTCCCGCAGGTGAATGGCAAGACCCTTTGGGCGAGGGCCGGGTAGGAGCATCTTGTTCCTCTCGGCGTGGTCGAATGCGTCGGAGAATGCCGCCGCGGCGCCGTAGACGTCCTGTTGGCTGGCGTGGTCGCTGATGAACAGATCGCGCAGTTCGAGCCACACAAAGGGGCACAGGGCACGTTGATACCTGTTTAGGCCGGAGTAGACAGTAGAGGGAGAGAACTCTCCAACCAGATCGTGCTTAGAAACCAGGTAAGAGAGCCCCGTCTCACTCGTGGCCCACCTACTCTTTGCTGCTTGACTGAGAAGTCGGTTATTTCGAGGAGTATCGAGGCATTTTGTGACAAATCTCGAGACGACATCTCGGATCTCTTTCAAAAGTTCGTCGTATGTCCTGCGAACTGACAGCGACAAGTCCTTGGGAATCACGTTGTCCAGGAGGGTGAGCTGCTCCCACTCTGGAACTTCCAGGATAGCCAACGCGTCCGGCCCGGAGATATTGTCGATGGCTTTCTTGTATCTCTCGGCCATGGCAACGCCGGCGTGCTCCACCATTCGCATGACCGCGTCAGCCTGCTCTGTGCCCGAGAGACAGCCTGATTTGCGCCGACCGAATATGGTGGTGTTCTTGCGAGCCTGTTCATGGACATGGCCGCCGGCAATAACAAGCGCGTGTTCGTTGACGAGAATCCGGAAAGCGGCAAAGGCAATGACAGGCGCCCTGATGATGCTGGCGATGCGCAATGCCTCTTCTGGTAGGATCTCGACGAATATGTAGTTGTTCCCTGCATTGAACCATGTGACAACCTCATCGCGCTGCATGCTTGTCAGATTAAAATCGAAGGTCATGAGCATGGGGCTGTTCTGCACTCACGATTAGGTCGTAGTTTGTCATTTCGAACATGTCGAAAAGCCCAACGAGCGTCCACACTGTGCCGTAAAATTATTAGCATGAACTTGAAATACGAAAACAAAGTGGTCCCGGGGATGCCCAGACTCACTTCGAGGCGCAGAGTCGATGTGGAGATCACCATTTGCGAGCGACCGGAAGAGTCTCAAGACGTTGGCGCCATGACGAACGTGGCAGAAATCGCTGATCTCGTGGTGATCGTCGATGGGCCAGGTCTCAGTATCGAGCAGGAAGGCGGCGAAGCTCATGCCCTCAAGGGACTTCTGACCTTGTATCGAGATGGGTGGCGTTGGGATCGGATATGCGGTGTCATATCCCTCCTTGCAACTACACACATCATCATGTCCTGCAACGGCCTCAATCGAGGCGCCAAAAGCCGAGGCCCGGTACCACAGCCTGATGCCTTGACTCACGGAGAGACGCTGCAAGGCAAGGGTGTAGTCATCCTCCCCGTCCGGAGGCGACAGATCCAAAACATGGGTGACGCCGGGAGGTAGAGGTGCAGCACGCCTCTTGGCCCTGCGCTGGTGGGACTCGCTGTTCAGACGCTCATTGAGCTTCTCAGACTTGGTGTTGAGGACCTGGTCACGGGTCAAGATGACTCTGGATGTCTGGAATGTGGATTTCTGACAGCCTTGTTTGTTGTTGCAGCTGGGGGTAGGGTAGGAGACAAATATGAGAACATCTCCTTTTTCCATTCCCTGCCACGCCTGCTGCGTCTTGTACAGGTCACTGTTGTGGGCCTGTTTCGCAACCAGGTTGCGCTCAAACTCCTCCTTCACGAAAGTAAGCTGTGAATTCTGAATGGCCTCATCCAGATGAAGGGGATTCACCGGGTGAGAAAGATATGAAGACTGGTGGTCGTCCTGTCACCCTGTGGTCAGCAACCTGCGCACCAAAAGAGTAAGGGAGGGGAGGATAAAAGGTAGACATACCATCTCGATCAAGTCTGGTGTGTGTGGGTCGTCCTGCCGCTGCTGCTGCTGTTGATGTTGATGTCGATGTTGCTGTTGCTGAAGAGAATCGGGTAGTGGTGTCTACATGAGTTAGTTATCTGCAGTAGGCACAATGCCCGAAAATAAGGAGCTGAGTGAGGTATGGTCCCCAGCTGTAGAGACTGTACAGTGCGTTGTAGGCAGCAAACTGGAGAGGAACAAAGATGCTTGGAGAGCTGTGTTGGTGGCAGTAGGCATCCATTCAATGTTTGTGTGCGGGCTTTGGGCTGTCGCTACGCAACCACCAGAGCTGGGCTTGCGTGTTCAAAGTAACAATGGACGTCACTCAGAATGGGGGTTTGAGGAAACAGTATCAGGCTACAACGGCAGCCTTAGGAAAAGTCATACCTGCTTCCACGTCTCCCAGTCCATGCCTGGCGCCCTGCTAAGAGAGTAGTTCCCAGAGCAGTCTCCCCCGAGGCGTGTCAGCAACTTGGAGATCTAGCTAATAAGTGCAGGACAATGAGATGGAGATTGGTCTGGAAGTTAAGGAGACTGGTAATGGAACACGGTCAAGTTTGTTTCAATGAAGGCCTCCAGGCTCAGAAACAAAGGCATTGATTGAGGTCAATGGGTGAGGTGAGTTGGGCCTGGGGGCTAACTGCCCAGCTAAGACACCCCCTCCACAAGGCAGCAGCTCACACTGCCCCACACTAGAGCCGCATGGCACGGGGACGGGACGTTGGATGGCCCAGCGCGGTGCATATGATGGTTCTTCGTTGATAGGTAGGTGCATCAGAAGCAGCCGGGATGGTAAGCCGTGCAGCAGCGGCGCAGCTTGGTTGGTGCTACCAAGCAGATGATAAGTGGCTGTGAGGGACCAGTCACATGGAGGGTGAGACCTTCCCAATCAGGGGTCACAGTTGTGAGGCATCCTCCCAAAGCTTCTGGCTGCAGTTGTGCAAACATACCAGATGTCCGAGTTGAACGAGAATGACATGTGAAATACATTGAATATCAAAATCCCAAGTCTATGAATGGAATGACACAGGCCGGGAGAAGTGGGTTGGTTGAGTTCGGCCACGTCTTTAACAAATATTTAATGCATACTGCACATTTATAACTCTATTGTCTGCAAATCATCCACCATAATCTGGACCACAGGCTCACAACACCCATGTACAATCACAACTTTGGCTTCAGTCCCCCCATGGTGCCGTCTTTCCTCCTGTTGGCCTCGGGCCCCACGCTCTTGACCAGCGCCACAAAGTCGTCGTCCATCATGGCCTTGGTCCGCTCGTCTGTGCCTTCGGCCCACCGCCTGTACTCGTCGTCCTCCTTCTTCCACCGCTCCCACTCCCCACGGAGGAACTCGGCCGCGCCCTTGGCCACGGCCTGCGGCTTCTCCATGGCCACCAGGTGGCCCGTCCCGCTGACCACGAGCTCCTTGACCCTGCCGGCCCTCGCCCCGCCGCTGCCGCCCACCCCGTAGCCCGTCGTCTCCATCTTCTCCCGCCGCGTCGCGGGCGTGCACACCGTGCTGTCCTCGCCCGCCACCCACAGCACCCCGGGCCGCACCTCGGGCAGCCTCTTGGCCGTGATGGGCGTTGGTGGCTGGTAGAAGGGGAAGTTGGGGTAGTTGTCGATGTCCTCGGTCGCGTCGGGGATGAGGCTCTTGTCCATTGTCTTGGCCCCCGTCGCCGGGTCTCGCGGGCCCTGGTGCGTGGGGCGGTAGTACGTCAGGCACTCCATGTGCTTGGTCGTCGTCAGCGTCACCTCGCCGCCCCTGGCGTCCCGGTGCAGCGCCGTGGGGCAGTCGCGGAGCCCATACTGGATCATGCGGTCCACCGCCCGCGGGTCCCACGTCGAGTAGAACTTGTTCTTGCGGATCCCGCGCTCGGCTTCGGCACGGCTGGGCCACACGTCCCTGCGGCCCGACGAGGCGCGCAGGGTGCCGAAGCCATAGAGCGGCCCCAGCCCGTGCTCGCGGGTCAGCACCGGGTCGATCATGACGAGGGCACTGAAGAGTCGCGGGTGCATGAGGCTGACGTTGGTGATGATGTTGCCGCCGAACGAGTGGCCCACGCCCACCAGAGGCCGGGGCATCTGGGCCCGGAAGACGTTGGTCAGGTGCAGCAGATCGCGTGCGTGGTCCATCCACGACGGATCGTTGCCCAGCCGGCCCTCGTTGAGAACCCCACTCGTGCCCTGCCAGGCAATGTCTGCCATCCAGATGGCACGGATATTTAAGCCCTGCTGGCGGACGGCATTGAGCAGGTCCTCCCACAGGGGCTCATACAGCTCCTGTGTTGGTAGATACGGTGTCAGTCTATCTGGTGACAGGTCTGATACATGAGATGTGGGTACGTGAGTGAGTTATATATATCCTCACCTTTACGAAGCCATTGGCGTGAGATGCGATCAAGGTTATGTCTCCTGGCTTCGGATTTCGGTTGTCCTTCGGGATGTACTGTTTTACCGCCAGCTGGAGCACTTCCTCTTGTGAGTGTGCAGTTGCTCGAGGATATTCCCGGATATGTTGGCCGTCCACGACATGCTCCTTGATGTCGAACACGGTTGACATTGCGACGTCTCTCTGCTGATTTGGTTATGGCTGTAAGTGTAAGAGATCGGCGCAGCCTCACTCAGTGTCGTCTTGATCTCTGAACGACCCGTGGGCTTCTATCTTGTCTTTTATGACGTGTCTAAATCGCAGATCTCTGCATATATAATTAAGCTCACAACAAGTTGAAGGGTGTGCTTAAGATAAAGCAAAGGTATCCGCACAGGCTAAGTTGACAATGGGATGCATTGTTCATGTCCTCGGTACTTTGGTACCATGCCGGCAAGCGGTCGCTACGAGCCGTTTACCTCGGCGCGATCAAACCCCACGGGGAGGGAGAGGAGAGCCCCGGCTATGGGCATGTGCCCCCCCCCTCCACCTGACAGGTTCCCCCCCCTTCTGTTGTTCGGCCGAGGGTTTTCAAAACCCTTTCCAGGAACGTACCCCGGGAGCACCGGGAGATGATTCCAGGGGTCGCAGCTTGGAGCGGCAGCTGCCGTCTCAGACAAAGCCCATGACATCACCCCCTGAGCTGCCCAATCCGCCCCGAGAATTGGAACCACAAAGCCTAATATAGTCCGAGGCACGCGAACGAGATTGGACGCAATGAAACCCTCTGCTGCCACGAGCGGACGGCCGGGCAGCTCACTTCTGGCCGATCCACACCCACAATGGGGACCTGTACTCGAACATTAGACCTCCTTTAAATAATACGAAGTGCAATATCACCACGGCTTGTATCACCGTCACGGCTCTCTGCTGATGCTGATGCTGCTCCTCGGCCTTTTGCGGTGTGATTGACCAGCATCAAGACGCCTCGCTCAATATATATGCTGTGACCATTCCAGGAAGCTCAGTCGCCATGAACAAGATGAACACGGCCACCGTTGGGCTGGCCGTAACGCCCACCGTGCTCTCGACATTCGTATCACATGTATGTTAGGTGGGAGGAAACGGGCAATGGACGAGGGGACATCCGGGCGAGGGGACAAGCATGAAACGATCTTGCCGACTAACGTGGCTGACCTGGACAGTTCCTCAACCGCAAGCCTCTACACCAACGGCCGACGGCCCACCTCTCCTACGACGAGGGCCTGCACCTCATCCGCTCGTTCCTACAATACGTCTCCCACCACACGGTCGAGGAGCTTCAGGCCTTCACGGCCCAATGGGTCCCGCACCCCCAGTGGATCAAGGTCGACCAGGTCACCGTCCCTCCCGAACAGCTCGAGCACGCCGCCCGGCTCCTCGAGGCCCAGCTGGGGCCGGAAGGCGTCCGGAAGATCGGGGGGAGCAAGTGGTGGCAATGGCGGAAACCCGACCCCGGCACGCTGCAGGCTGAATGGATAGAGATGCGGTCCGATTACAACCAGCGCAAGAAGAACAAGGACGCCGGCAGGCGTGTCATGCTGTATGTTCACGGCGGCGCCTACTTCTTCGGAAGTGTCGACATGCACCGCTACCAGATGCAACGCCACGCCAGGAAGCTCAAGGCGAGGATCTTCGCCCCCGACTACAGGCTGTCTCCTCAGTTCCCTTTCCCCTGCGGCTTGCAGGACTGCCTGGCCGCTTACCTGTATCTTCTCACAGTGCAGGAGCCCGACACAATTGTGCTGGCGGGCGATTCTGCGGGCGGCGGCATGGTGCTGTCCATGCTGGTCACCTTGAGGGACCAGGGGCTGCCGCTCCCTGCTGGTGCCGTGCTGATGAGTCCTTGGGTCGATCTCACACATTCCTTCCCGTCCGTGGCCGGCGACGCTCCCTTCGACTATATACCGCAGTCTGGTTTTCACCACAAGCCATCAGCTGCGTGGCCACCTCCTGATGATGACGAATTGAAAGAACTGAAGAGGCTGGCTTTGCTGGAAAAACAGAAGAAGCAATGTATGTGTGCGAATCTCGAGCCGATGGGTGATGGCTGACTGACTTCGAAACAAGCTTCGACAAAAGGAAAGGACCCGGGATCGGAAGAGACTACGCCATCCAGTGCCGATATTGCCGAGGCATCCGGTACACATCTGTCTCTTGTTATGGATGGTAAGACGGTGGAGATTAAGGAACAAATCCAGGTGAGCCTGCCTTGAAGAGCACGGTGATGATGGCGTCTAACATGCTGCAGATGTACACAACTAACGAGCTCCTGTCGCATCCCCTCGTTAGCCCCATTATGCAGGCAAGTCTTGGAGGCCTGCCTCCGCTTCTTGTTATGGTCGGGGGCGGAGAGATTCTCCGAGATGAGCAGATATATCTAGCTCACAAGTGTGCCAATCCGTCCAAATATCCACCGCCCGAGTCGGCATTGGATGATAAAGGTCGTGAGCAGATCAAACATTACAAGCCGACGGATGTGCAGCTTCAAGTCTGGGATGACCTATGTCACGTCGCACCGACCCTCAGTTTCACCAGGCCAGCAAAGTACATGTACCGTTCTGTGTCCCAGTTCAGCGCTTGGGCACTGGCGAGAGCACAAAAGCGTGATATTGAGATCCTGGATGACGACGATATTTCGGTCATATCTACCTCTAGCTCAGCCTCAGATAAGGAAGAGGTCACAAAGGTACTATATTCCACTTTTCTTGGGTTACCGTGGCCATCGTTCACAACTGACATATCATCTATCAGCGAGATGAGGAAGCCGCCATGCAGGAGTCTAAAGGTCAGGTTGGCAAGGCCGGCGATGTTCTGCCACCATTCAAAAACCACATGATACGGCAGCGAGTGACACGGCACGGCGTTATTTTCCCACTGGCCCCAGCATCTGAGCTCCCAGGTTGCACGATGCCCAGGGAGCTTGTTGGTGTAGTGAAAGAAGAGACTGTGAGGAAGTGGATGAAGCAGAAGAGCGAATGGGACCGCCGTTATGCATCGACCAAGAAGAAGGTCCACAAGAAGTTTGTGCAAGACTTGGCCGTTGGGTATGAGGGTTTCGGCGAAGGAGAGCTCCCACCCCCCAGTGCGCTCGCAGGCAGAAGGAAGAAGGGCGACAAGGAGGTCACGGGTGTGGCCAAGCGCGCCAAGAGTATGGGTCTGGCTATGTGGTCTGGCTGGGGATCGAAGCATGACAAGATGACCATGGACCGGGAGAGGGAGGCAGAGAAAGACGGTCCCGACGGAATTGAGTTCACGGCCGCAACTGCTGCGGAAGGCGAGGGAGCTCGGTCGTTTGCGGATATCGAAAGACAGGGCACCGCGGCGCCGAACTCGGCGCCAGGGAGCCCGCGAAGCCGTTCGAGGAGGGTGACAGTGCGGGATGAAAGACAAACAGAAGGAGCGGACGACGTCGACGAGAACACGAGCGTTGCGGAGCTGCTGGCCAACAGGGGAGAGAAGGAGGCTAACAACCCGGTTCCCGTTCTGCTCACACCGGAATACACACCAGAAGTTGGGATTGGCTCGACGGGGAAGCGCCCTTATGTGGACGGCATAGCAGTGCCGTTCAGCATCAAGAAGGAGGCAGACACGGCGAGCATGATGACGCTGACGAGCTACATGACGACGGGCGGAGGCCCCGCGTCGCCCAGGATCTCGTCCTCTCGGCCCATGACGCCCAACACGCTGGCGGACAGGACGAGCAAGGACCTGAGCGTGCTGGAGAAGCGCAACTCGAGTGTCAACGGCGACCATGACGAACACGCCGGGAAGGACGTCGTGCCTACTCACATCGACGGCGCCACACCCGCCACCCAGGCGCCAGCCATGGAGCGGCCGCCGCTGGAGACCTTCACCACTGCCGCGGAGGAGCTTCCGAAGGCGAAGGGGCCGTATAGCCCTAGTGATGTAGATTGACATTGACGCCAGGCTGGTGTGTGTTTTGGGAAATGTTGAAGTGGTGATTGAGATAGCATATATATGAATAAATGCTATATAAACCCAAGTAAGATGGCGAGTCCGTTGCAAGGAAGTGGAAGGTCTTACAAGATATCTGAAACTGGGAAAGCCTGGCGGTTCATGTTACCATGCCCGCTCTCCATCATTGGACAGATGTTTATATTAAAACTCAATGACGATTCTGTGCATAGACATCTTTCAAAGTGGCATTTGATTGATTCAATGTTTATTAGCGAGACTATCTTATTATGACCATAAGATGGATCTTCCCATTGTATAATTATCGCCGCATGAAACGCTTTCAGCAATCGCAACAGCTGTTCTCAGGGTCCACGCGGACATCAGCATTCACCCAAGGGTTGTCTTCACCAGTCCCAGCAGTCAAGATCATGCTGCCGCCTTTCTCAGGGCATTCTTGATAGACCTGAAAAAGATGCCAGGAAGATTAGTTATTGCTTCATCCACAAGGATGAAGGGTACTGGTGGTATGGGGAAGGAAGATATCCATGTGTAGGGGGGTTCTCAAGACACCGCGCAGGCAATTGGAGACATCACCACAAGCTGCGTGGTTGACCAACTGCAACCGCCACCGTTTCTTGCCACACATAAGTCACGCGTAAACAAACCCGACTCACCTTCTTCAGGAGATCACGGCAGGTCCCCTGGGAAAGCAGCCAGGGGTCCAACCCCCCCTCGCTGTCGATGTGCCGAATCGAGACGTAAAAGCTGTGCCCGGCCACATTCTCGCATATCCTGATGGTCTCATGCTTTGGGTACTCGCCCGCGAGCTTTTTCGGGGAGCAGACGCGCCCGATTGCTTCAGTTATCACCGGCTCAGTCCCGACGTCTATCCACTTCTGGCCACTTTCGTAGCAGTACTTCCCCAGGGCGGTACCCGCGAGGAGGGGTAGGACGTGCTTCAACTGCATTTTATGTAGCTTTTAATTGTTGAGTCGAGTAAGGCGTTACCTGTATCCTGTAGGCATATGGTTTCTGATTTCTGTTCGTTCCAAACCTCCGTCTGATTCCTCATCCGGAACTGGACCTAGATAAGTAGAGTTGACACAAAGAGCACCTACTTGGAACATCTAAGTCGTACTGTGGAGACTCTATTGTTCATTTAGAGCCTGAAAAGGCCACGAAGAGACTCCGTGCCGCACCGAAGCCAGACTTTCCTTCTCTTTGTCCGCTAGCCAACACGGACCACAGGACACATATAGAGCCCGCCACATATTACTAACACCCTGCACATGATTTGTATACTTGCTATCCTATAGAAGCCCAGATACGGTTAGACAAAATGGGCTCAAAAATTAAATTACAGCCCTGGAAAATTATAATTGTTACCACAGGAATCTGTCCACGAATTCCACGAAATTAGAGAGAGCATCCAATAAACACTAACGGCAGGTATAGATACAGGCTTCTTGAAAGAGATTCAATTCAAATCTGATGAATCGACTTGATACATGTGTAGTCACCAAAATTTTGACTGACAGCAAATTGTTATCACTATCAAGGTTAAGCTTCACTTAGAATTGTGTGCGCTTTCCCATGGAGGCAGCCAGTATCATGAGGTGAAGGGTCTTCTGAATTCGGAAGTCTTAATCCATGAACTCACCTAGTTTCACTTCTATTCCATATACATCCTAAGCTATATATACCTTTATATGATAGTAAATACTTAAAATCTAGTTCTCTTTTTAAAAAAGAAGTATAAATTTATATAATCTTAACTTTATATTATTTATATATATATTAAAAGTAAAACTATTAATATAAGTATAGTTATATAAATAGCTTCTTTAAAGCTTATAAAGATTATTCTTTTAAAGATAAAAAAAAAGTTTTTAAAAAAGAGGTACTAATAGAAATTAAACTAAAAGCCTTAAAATTATAGTAAATAACAATAACACTTCACCCTCACACACTTACTATACTCACTCACTCTAGTAGTATACTACTATTTAAATTAATATTAGTTAGCTAGCTAATTAAAAGGTTTAATTAGTTATATAAAGAATTAAAAGAAGTAATTTTAACTAATTAAAAGCTTTAAAAAAAGTTTTAACTTAAATTAAAAGTATTTTTATTATATATATATTAAAGAGATAAAATTATTAAAAATCTAAACTTATATCCTTAATTCTTTAATTAATAAAAGGTTAAAAACATATAAATAAAACCATTAAATCCGTTAAAATTCAGGCTATATTTTAATACTATCTTCTTAACAAACTAAATATTTAATATTTTTCAGTATAAATTTCTAAATTTTTATTACTTTTTAATTTTCAAGAAGTTACAGGACCTAGGACTATTCTAAAAGAATAGTATATTAAAACTTAGAATGTAATAAAGGAGGGGCTATAGTGTAAAGGTTATAAAGACAACTACACCTTAGAGTGACCCCCACATCATTGATTTGATCATCGATTCATTAAGTAGTAGTGGTGCTGGCTGGTTGGTTGATTAAGTTATGGGGTGCTAAACTGAGGTTATATAGAGCACTGAGGTCGTTGAGTCGCTGACTAAGCAAAACCAGTCGGTCCCCCGGTCGTCTGCCACAGATGGATAGGTAGTTGAACAAAAAAATAAGATAGCCGAAGCTTCTCTAACTCAGAATGGGGCTGCAATGGCCTCGGATATGTGTGGGTAGACAGCCTTGGCACTACTTGTGCTCGTCGTTGAATCATCCTCGAACGACGCATCATGACATCTGGAATATCGTTACCTAGGTATAGACCAAGGTCGCAAGGCCAACAACCCCTAGTTCGTGGCCGATGCCTATGCCCACCCAGTCCCCGGCGCTGGGCGATCCGCTGCTCGCGTTACATAAAATAGTGCTACTTATTTAGGAAAAGTCAGAACTGCCCCTCTCCTCGGCAAATATCCAGCCGTTGACATGCTCAAGTGGATGGCTAAAACCGAAGTAGTCGTATTTGCCCTGAGTGTAGTGGGAGCCATTCCGTGCGTTCCTTAATTGTTTAATATGTGAGAGTGACCCCGGAAGCTATAGTCTCTGAGCTGGATTCAGGCGATCTGTAGATCCCAGAGGCGGACGCTGTTGACGGCATCGTCTGAAAAGAGTCGAACGCAAGACCCGTGGGACTCAAGGAAACATTCACATGAAAAGATTCTTAACAAGAGAGTCATTCTCACTGCTCCACGACAGATAAGTCTCACGGCCTGTGGAGTGGTAAAGCCCTTGGGAAGCTGGGCTGACATATATTCTCTAACTCGATGAACCAACGGCCCCTGGTCATATGTCTCAAGCGTTCGCCGGGAGATTCATGGATCGACAGTGAGCATCAGACCCTTTTGGGTTCAACGTGCATTTCCGGTTACACCAGCGCCCCCCAAATGCAGTCAGCTACATTCCTCACGAGCACTTACTCGTGTAAGGTTTTCCTCCCGCGGGGGTACAAAGATTTCGTAATTAAGCCGTTGATGAATCGCAAAAAGATACGAATGATTGTGGGGCAGCGACAGTGAGATGATGGGTAGCCACGAATAACAAACATCAGGCTAGATAATCGGTGCAAGTCAACTGGTCGTTGCCTGAATCAGGTTGGTGAAGCAAGTACTACAAACACAGTAGAAGACCTGCCCAAGCATGAATACGCAACTGCTTACGCCCCCGTCACCAAAATGCCATTTACCACAGGCTTAGTGTGTTATAGCTTTTTAATCATGTCAAGGACTCTGAGAACAAAAGGTTGGTGCTGTTGAGCAGATTAGACAGCCTTACAAGATTTCTTACAATGACGCGAGCATGATGTTGAGGTGTGTGATTTTGCAGGAATATTATTGTAAGATATGGAATTTCGAATATTTATTCACGTCTGTGAGGCCAGTGGGAAATGAATCCATCATGATCCAAGGTGGGTGAGATCAAAGGAAGTACGGATATTGACACAGTCCGATCAGTTGAAGCCACAAGAGCCACCCGAAAAGGACGGGAAGGATGCGGCGGCAGGTGAAAGTTACGGCCACGTGAGAATTGAATCAAGTAGACGAAGCAGGCTGGTGGCTTCGAGGACTTCAGGATGTGAACAGGGGCAAAGGCAAATCGCACCAGGGTACGTCTTAATTGCTCTTTGGGGGTGGGGGTGGCATCGGGACTGATAGGTCGTATAGAAGGACTAATATGTACTCAGGTAATATCAACATTGTTCAAGAGACGGCAGGGAGGAACTGGAAAGATTGGACATCTCTGTCATTGTACATGACCAGAAACATTTTGCCAGGCCCTTTCTTCTACTACTATCCTGTGGTCTGTAAAAACAATAAATATACCGTAATTTATTAATCCAATAGATCTCGTGCACTTGTTTCAAGGTGGTCATCGATTGTTCGTTGAGATATATAGGTCTAGGAGTCATGGTGGAGTAATGTCGGATTTGTTCTGCCCGTAATTCGAGTGGCATTACGGCGTGGTTGAGATTAAGAACAAGCGGCCCAGGATTGGTCGGACGGAGGACTTTTCCACACATCTCCGCATGTAATCAAAGACACATATCTGTGAACCTGAACCGGAATTTGAGTCAAATACCCGGCTGATGGCGGCTTCTAGCCAATGTGTCACGACAGGCTGGAGCTGTCTCGCAACATGCTGAACAAACCGCTGCCAAATTAACGGAAAAAGTCGCGTCCAAAACGATGTCAACAATATTACCACGTCCCACCAAGTCTACCAGAACTTGAATGAAAAGGTTTTCATAAACTGGAGATATATGAGATGGGGAGGCTAGGAGGGCCTAGATCAAAAGCTTCCCAACCCGCACTTGAGATCGACGCGTATTGCATCTCGTCTCAAGACCGGACAAAGCAGCAAATTTGCGAGGATGAGATCGAAAATCCTTCATCTGGCGGGCCTCGCGACCCTTCTTGGGCGGACTTGCGCACTAAAACTCGCTTCGTCTCTACAAGTGATCGAATACACACCCCAACCATATGCGATCAAGAATTTCTACAAAGGGCAAGCGTCGATTGCCAGCGGTGGCGTGGCCAGCTTGCCATCGGACAAGACCGTGGATCTCGGCACCAACGCGGAATACCAGGGACTGATCCAGTATGGAACACACAAGAACCTCCGCATGATTTACACGATCGTAGACGTCCCGTACCGGATCGTGGCGAACAAGGCAGCCGGCATCAGCACGCTGGCGGACCTGAGGGGAAAGCGGATCGGAACCACACCAGGCACCTCGGCGAATTACTTTGTCAAGAAGCTGCTGAACTCGGCCGGTCTGAAGGATTCGGAGTACACGGTGGTCTCGGGAAACCTGTGCATGAAGGCGCCGTGCGGCTCGGGGACTTTCCCGGCGCAGATCCAAGCCAAGACGATCGACGCCTTCGGGATATGGGAGCCGTCGCCGGAGCTGGGCGGACAGGCACTGGGCGACAACGCCGTCTTCTTCCAGAACGCGACCGTCTTCCGCGAGATATATTCTCTCTTCACCACGACCGAGAAGCTCAACGACCCTGCGTCGCGCAAGGCCATCGTCGAGTTCATCCGGGCCTTGGACCAGGCTATCGACGTCTTCAAGAACGCGCCCGCGGAGGTGTACCAGTTTGTGGCCCAGTCGATGTCCATGGACACTGCGACGGTGCAGGCCGTTTGGCCGGTACACAAGTGGGCCGGTACGCTGGGCGCGGACATGGACAGCAACCTGATTGATTACATGGTGGAGGAGGACGTTTATGTTGCCTCGCAGAACCGACGGCAGCCCATGACAAGGGATGTCATCGCGCAGTTCGTCGACACCAGCGTTATTACGGATGCCCGGAATACTTCATACCTTACGACATAGTTGAGAAAATTTGTTGTGTGGCAGTGATTTGGGAAACGGAGACGCGGGCTCGAGCAGCAATTCATAGGAAAAAGGCACCCTGCACACACAGAGACGAAAGCCTTGGTCAAAACCCGTGGGACCTAATTTATCAAACTTCTTCTTGACATCAAGTCGGAATACCAGAGGCATGAAATTGGTTTCATGACACGGTGTCTGAGTATTTTTGTTTTCCCAACCCTCACCTCTTCAAGTGTGAGCACCTGATCATGTAACTAAGGTCACTCAATGGGTCTTGACAAATAATTAGTTCAAAGTCTTCGAGATCTCGAGCGTATTGGTGGACAAGAAATACGAGTATAAATGGAAAACAGCACAGGGCATGTTGATGGATACTTCATCAGTAGTCCCAAGACAGAAATCCGTAGGGATAAGCAACAGGGCTGAGAGTTACGAGACGATCTCCAGGCATTCTGTCACGAAAAGTACCAATTCTCCAGCAGTCGCCCATCAGATTTGTTCTCTCAGGAGTCCCAGATTTCAGCCAAATCTCATTATCTCGTGTGTTTCACACTGAAGGCTCTGTGGGTAAACACTTGACCCTATGTCAGTAATTGTTTGAGCGCATTGTACCTTGCAACGATGTGTGCTGGTATCACGTGTGAGCGCCGGTTGGAAGATGATTCAAGAACGAGAAATCCAGCTCCGGTGCGCCCTCTCTTGAGACACATAAGAGGTAGATTTAGAAGTATGGATTATACTTGATGGGATTGGCGAGATGCGCCACGAGCGGCAACTCCGAAGAATCCTAAGACCTTCTAAGTTTGTGGAGGATCCAATAATAGTACCGCAGAGGAAGCCGCTAAAGTACCCATCAGCTTACAGTCCACTTCCAAGGTTGGTAAGGCCATAGCCAATGTTGGCAACCGTATTTGGCTTATGAACTCCATCCTGGCGTAACGTGGTTTTCCGGAAAATTTACGAACACGCACGCACCCATGTCGCGTCGTCAGTGTTAGTGCGGCGGAGGATAGCCGAAGACTGGCCAAATGACACATTCCGATGGTGAAGTTCTCTCGGACTAATCAAGCCCGAGATATGAAGCACGTTCATCGCAACAAAAATATCTAGAGCCGATGGCAGAAACCGCCAAGACGCTCTTTCAAAACAGCTGGCGCTGCCGCAAGAGCACTCTGTTCTTGATCTCAGACTACTTCCACGGCGGTGAAGGCTTGCTCCATGCATGTGCAGTCCTACTCGTGGTAGTCATGAGAAGACTTGGCATCCTGGCAATCCGATTGAGACTTCTGTGTCGAGGACTCCTCTTGAAGGCTTCATGTGGTAGTGTCTGGTATAGGCATGCAAAGTCACGAAGCCTAGTGGCTCCGGATCGGCCGCTGGTCTTCGCATTGCATTGCTACATGAATACATATAGGAAAGAGTTTAATGCGAACCCTTGTTGATTTGTAACGTTCAGCAGCTCGCCTCCCGTATAAGCTTCCACCCATTTCCGTGACGTACCGCCACCTCCCTCCTCATCCGAACTGTGGTTGCCATTGTGGCCTCTCTTTTTCACTTGTTGAAAAGAGACCAAATTTTCGAGGCCGTTAACCAGGCAATCGACCGATGCCCTGTCGTTCTTGGGAGGTCTTGGCGGCCAATTGTTTCTCCCTCCGTGATAACCGTTGTCACATGGGTAGGTTGGGGCAGTGTCGTCGGACTTCCCACTCGTTGGAACACTTGTTGGAACATTAAGCCTTCAATTTGAGGACCACCAGAACCAGATCCCCGTGTCAGTGCCCAAGTGTCTCTGATCAGGCATTCTGAGAGATGGAGAGACCATACCAACCATCCTGGGAGGATGGGTGTTTGATCAGTGACAGCAGAGTTGCCAAGACAGATAGAAGTAGGTGAGATTGCTTGTAGGAGACGGCTGCCAGCGATGACCGGCAGTCATAGAGCTCTTTCCTTCAAGCAGAGCATATGTCTTCCAGGACTGTTTGGGATACTACTGCCCATGCAACATGCAAAACAAGTGATCATATCATTGTACAGCTGCAGTCCTGGAGGGAGCTACAAACTGGATCAGCCCAGCGAGAGTTCAGCCAGCAGCTGACGTGTGAAGTGGCCGTCTGATTATTGATCAAGTAAGTCTCTGAAGACTTGAGTTGTGAATGGCCCAACAACAATTCTTATGCCGTTTGCTGAAAACAAGAGCCTGGCCTAGTAGAAACAGCATCACAAACAAAATGTGCCTTTGAGGGTGGTCTGAATTAGGGAGAGGCCGGAGCATCCCGGGACTTTAATTTCCACCCAGGCCCGGGCCTTCCACGGCCCATCCTCGGCAAGAGTTGCCTTTGTCTGTTGGTCTTTGCTCTTGGGATTGCACTCTTTTCTCATCCTCCTTGTTCTTGAGGATCACAAGCAGTCACAGATGAGTTGATGGGATTATTCCTGTCACTGGATGCAATGACACATGGGAGTGTGCGGGTGTATTTGATGTGGAACAAACATGTCAGTCAGTTAATGCTGGGCGGCGATCAGGGGCGGGGACCTGGGGACCTTTTGGCGGGTCAAAAGTTCCCGGCCCCCATCTGACAGCGGCTGCACAGGCTGACAGGGGCAGCACTGCAGCAGGCATATTGAGCGTGGCAATGTTGTAAGTGGGATCTGCTGAACCTTGGGGGGGCTCTAGACCCTCCCGGGACGTCCCAAGACGTGCCTGTAATGCTCAACCTTCGCACTAAGACTTGTTTGCCGGGCGCCAGCAGAGCATCTGGTCTTTTGAAACTTTTCCTATTCTCCTTTCTCTTGTCGGGCCTGTGGACGCTGGTTCTGGCCGCTTTGATTTCCTTGCAACACAAGCCTGCACCCCTCCCTTTGCAGCTGCCAGACTGTGCCGCACCAATACATCCATCCAACAAGTAAACGAGAGGTCACCAACTCTTGCAATAGCCAAGTGCATCTGAATAGCGTTTGGAAGGCTCCTCGTTTGTTTGGTGCACTGCCCTCTCTCCCCCCCTCCGTGTCCACAGGCAGGTTGAGCTCAGGTTGTTTATCCGGATGTGAGCGACAGCAACGACCAAAACCACGACACTCGGGTCCGGATTCTACAGTACCTCCTTCTACATTTTACTTTGGCTGCCCTGCCGAGGTCTCTTCCCTCTTCCCTCAACCTCAACAACACTTCAGCTTCATCAAAGCGAGGTCAATCCAACACACCTCCTCTCTCACACCCTCCATCAACCCTGTTTTCTTTCCTCCACAATTGTTCCTCTACCCATTTCTCTATCAGCCTTCTCCTTCCACACCCACTTCCTTTGTGACCGCCCATCGTTGCCATCAGGTGAGGTCAGACAACGTCAACATGGGCAGCCTCAAGCCCAAGACGGGCGTTTCCCAGAATTCGCGCCCCCGTCCAGTCAGGCAGACCAAGCAGCCTGTCGCCACCGTGTCTGAGGTGGACGGAGTCGACGACAAGTACGACGTGGATGACCTCGACCTTCAGGAGGATATCGAGCACGGCGTTGCCCACCCCGTCAGCGCAATGGCCGAGCTAGAGGAACGCGTCAACGACCTAGACAACGTCTGGGAGTCCGAGTCCCTGCTTGGCGACATGCTTGAGGGCCTTTCTGATGAGAATGTAACTAACGGTGAGCATTCACTCTCGTCGTTTTATCCCCAGACAAGGATATTTTCCAACCCCTTTTCAGAGACACTGACTTTTCTCTCTTCGTCTGCCAAGACCCCGAGTTCTGCACTCCAGAGGAGGCGGTTAGTTACCGCCAACTCCTTCGCACCTTGGGTCCCGAAGAGCTCATCAACCGCACAATCAACGCCGGCCTCATCACTGCCAAGAAGCTTCTAAGTGCGTTTGATGTGCGCCCGCCTAACCTTGAGGGCGCCTCCGACTCCATCTACTTTGACCTGTTGATACTTGCCTTCAGCCGTGAGCTCTCCAAGAGGGCCAAGCTGCAGCAGTACAACTCTGTCGATGATGCTGTTGCCCTTCTCAAGAAGTCAAAGAACATCATCGTCCTGACCGGCGCTGGCATTTCTACCTCGCTGGGCATTCCAGACTTCCGTTCCAAGGGCACCGGTCTTTACTCCAAGCTGGAGCACCTCGGCCTGAACGACCCCCAGGAAGTATTTGACATCGCCCTCTTCAAGTCAGATCCGAGCGTGTTCTTCTCCGTGGCGCGAGATATCATGGTCGAGACTGAGCGCTACTCGCCCACCCACGCCTTCATCGCCCTGCTTCAGCAGCAGGGCAAACTACTCACCAACTACTCTCAAAATATCGACAATCTTGAGTCAAAGGCAGGCATCGACCCGAGCAAGCTTATCCAATGGTTAGTCACCCTCTTCGCTGACTCACTTGCGTGCATATATAACCCATACACATCCCCCGTGCCGCAGTCCTCATCTCACCTAGTCAGCTGCTGACCGAGAGCACGCAGTCACGGCTCCTTCGCAACTGCAACCTGCTTCACCTGCTACCACCAGGTTCCAGGTGACGACATCCTGCCTGACATCAAGGCCGGCAAGATCCCGCGATGCCCGAAGTGCGGCATACCGCGCCGCGGCACCAAGAACAGCCGCAAGCGTAAGCTCGCTAAGGACGGCACGAGCGGCCGCCCGCGACGCCGCCCGGGAGACTATGACAGCGCGAGTGATTCGGAATATGACATGCCGTCCAAGGGCGGCATCATGAAGCCGGACATCACCTTCTTTGGCGAGGCGCTCCCTGATGAGTTCTCGAGCCGCCTGGTCGACCACGACCGCGACAAGACGGACCTCGTCGTTGTCATCGGCACCAGCCTCAAGGTTGCCCCCGTCAGCGAGCTTGTGCCGTTCCTTCACCCGCACATCCCACAGATCTACATCAGCCGCACGCCAGTCAACCACCATAACTTCGACATCGACCTCCTTGGCGACTGTGATGTCGTCGTCGCCGAGCTGTGCCGCCGCGCCGGCTGGGAGCTGAAGCACGAGATGGTCCCGGAGGACCAGGTCGTCGAGGTTGTCACCGAGTCCGGCTGGAAGAGCAGGCATATCTTCGTCGAGAAGCGACCTGCCGGCAACGGCAACGACAACGGTGACAACGATGTCGCCAGTCCTTCTGGTGGAGAGCCAGCGACGGAGTCAGCGACGGTGGCGGCGAGTGAAAACAATACTGAATCTGCTGTCGCAACACCGCGAAGCGGCGATGACGACAACGCTGAGAAGCCATCGCGGCCGCGGAGGGGTGGCAGGACCGCCCTGCCCAACAGCAAGACACCCAGCGGCCTCGCCACTCCGGAGGGACCCAGTCTCGCCAACAGGGCCCGCAAGGCCCGCAACACAGACGATGACGACGCTGACTACAAGGACAACTGAGTAGGCCTGCAGATCTCTTTTCGAGGCCACTGAGCACTGGAAAGGGATGCACCACTCCCCAAAACAAGGTTCACGTCTAGAAACGATGCTAGCGGGCGCCTTTTGTGTCTGGCCGTCATCAAACCCGTGAGGGTTGGTTGTTCACCGGACCTACGCGGGCTTTGGCCATCACCCACTCTGTCTGTATTACAGCCATGCGGTCCATCGTCGCCTCTTTACGTACAGTACACTCCGACAGGGGTTTCAAAACTCGGTCATACAACCAACCATCTTGTTCCTGCACGCTTGACTGCAATCTGCGGCAACTTCCGACAAGAGAACTAGTTTTCACAGTGCCCTACGGAGGGGCTCATCCCACAACATTGGAATGCAGAGACGAAGCCATGTGCGGGCAACAGACGTGACGGGGATTCCAATTGCTGGATTTCCTCCTCTGATCGGGTAGAAGAGAAGAAAAGGTCACACACTCTCTCTATCACTTGGAATTTTCCCCTTGCGCTTTTTCAATGAACCTACATCATCAGGGCGTTTCAGAAAGAAGGGCCGGTTGTTTTCCATCCCAGTACACACTGAACAAAAAAAAGAGAGACGGTACATTTTTCTTCCCTTCGCGTAATCCATCACAACAAATACAGCCCAAGGCTTGATTTCTTACATGCTTTTATGCTTTTATTTTCCCTCGGTACAAATTCCACCAAAAATTTCAGGAGCACAGGCGTTCCAGGAGGGCACACATGACGGCCGCAGTAGGGAGGGTTTGCGAATGGCGCACGGGGGGGGGGGCAACAACTCGGTGGATGGCTAGGCATTTGCCTCGACCATTCTACCAGATGGTTAGGAATACAGACAGACAGGCCTAATAGAACTTTTTTGCAAGTCAAAGTATGCAAGAGCCGCAGCTCGCGATACCGCGTCCCACCACGCCAGGCTGTATGGATGGAACATGGATGGGGTCCCAAGTTTGAAATTTGACATGTAATCATTCGCTGGATCTCTGTCTCTAGTCGCGCCCCATGCTGTGTCCCAACCCCCACGGTCCAATTTCGTGGCATCGTCGCTCACTCAATCATAAAAGTATAGTATATTGGTATCCCGCCAGTAATATCCCCAAATGCGTCTATGAATCCCCCTCCCCAAGTCGTCAGGTCAAGCATCGACTACAACAAGCTCTGGTATTTATCCAAGGTACCCGTGCTCTGATTTTGTTGTTGCTGCTGCTGCTGCTGCGCCGCCATGCCGAACCCCCCCTGAGACCCCATCATGCTGTTCATGCTCAGCCCGGACGCGCCCATCGCCGGCTTGCCGGCCATGCTGCCCAGGCTGCCCATGCCGTTCATGCCGCCCATCGTGGACCCCATCGACCCCGCCGGCCGGCCAAACGAGGACTGCTGCTGTTGTGGTTGTGAAGGTGGCGGCGGCAGGCTGAACCCTGACGCGGCCGGCGTCGAGTTGCCGCTGCCGGGGGGCGGAGGCAGGGAGAATGACGACGTGGAGCGGGTCATGGACCCGACTCCTGGCCGCTGCTGGTTCATCGAGAGGGAGGCCACCGAGTTGCCCAGGCCGCTGCCATAGGTGGGTGTTTGCGCCGACATGGTGTTGCTCCTTGCCGGCTGCACCGTCGAGGGAGAGGCGGTCGCCCACGGGTTTGCCGCTGCTGCTGACCAATTTGTAGAGGTCGGCTGGGCAGGCTGCGCCGGCGGCGGGAAGGCCGACTGTGGGGCGCTGGGCTGTAAAGGTTGAGAGAACTGGGTGGTGGAAGGGGTCATTGATGGCAGGCTCGCCAGGTCCGGCGTTACCGTCCTGAATGAGCCTTGCTGGGCCTTGAAACCGCCCACCGAGCCCACTGGGTTAGATGCCCTCGTGGGACTTGGCGTGGACCAGGCGAAAGTGGCATTCTGTTTCGGGTGTGGCAGGCCCGGAGAGCTCATCGCCGACGCCGTGTCGCCCCAGCCGGCATCCATAGGATTGTTATTGTTCGAGCTCGACTTCCCCTTGACCAGTTGCTCGAAATCGTCTTCTGTTGCGCCTGTTGCTGCGTCGAATTGTGTGCCAGTTATGCCGCCAAAGGACATGAAATCGTCGGCAGGGCCAGCGGCTGCGGACCCATTCGTAACCCCAGCTAGCTCTTGCAGCTTCTTAGTTTGCTCGTCCTCTACCTTCCGGGAGAGCGTTTTGATGAGATCCATGAATGACTGAAACTGTTTGAGGTTGAGCAACGGTCCAAGACTCATGCTCCAAAGGATCGGCAGTATGTCCATGGCGATGAATTCGCAGTCCGCATAGTCACCCACAACTCTCAACACATTCAGGGCCTCAACCATGACCGCCGGCTCTTTGGTCTTGATAACCTTTATGAGGGGCACTATCTTCTCTTGCATCGTGTACTTGTCAAGGGCCGTCGAAGATGATGTTTTCTTGTGCTCGGGAAGCCCATCCAACCCGCTACTATCTGCAGTGGCCGGTGAGCCTCCACAGAGGACAACGAATGCTTGCAAGCCCCGGACTTTGATAGCCAGACTGGTTGTTTTGCTGAAGACGTGAGCTATGATAGGGAACAGCTCATTCTTGATCGTGCTAAAGTCCAAGACCGGCAACACTACAGGCAAACTTCGCAGACCGGCGTCGACCACCGAGTGAGTCGGTGCTGCTATGGCTGCGGCAACAACGGGTAACATGTCTAACATATACATCAGCTCCTGCTCTAGTACGGAGAAACGGTGCAGGTTGAGGGCGGTACATACCATCTTTGAACTCCTTGCCAGGGGTGTTATTGGCGATGGTAGAGATGTTATCCAGGACAACCATAAGCCCCGCATCTCTTGCCGCGTCCTTCTCCTCGGTGTTCTTATTGTTTGTGACAAATATTTCTTTTAGGACAGGCCGAACCTTATCGGTGAAGGCCCGCCGACCCGAAGGGAGAAGGTCGATGATCTTGAAAACATTCCCGAGTATGAGGGATAGCAGTGCCTTGTCCTTTGTCTCTTCCAGCAGCGCTGGAAGCAGCTTCTTTTCCATCACCGATTTTGGAAACGAGGGCAGGACCTTATTCAAGCCCTTCAGGAAGGACTGCTTCTCCTGGGGTGTTTTCGCCGGGAAAGATTCGATGAATCGGATGGTCGACACGAGTATGTTGTCGAAAAATTCCGTCTCTTGGAACTCTTTGGCAGTGAGACGTTGAGCTGGCCGCCTAGTGATGAGCCGAGGCAGGACATGTGCGACCAGGTCCTTGGGCAACGGCCTAGAGGACATAAAGTTGTTATTCACGGTGGGTATGGTCGAGCTGGACTGGAACAGCCTTTTGTATGTCGATAAGCTGGAGTTGCACTCCAGCGGAGACTTGTGTGGTGAATTGTAGAGGGCAACGCAGAGAAGGCCCAATGAGAACATGTCGGCGGATACATTGAGATTGTTGTCAAGGACGAAGTCTGGGGAGGTGTAGTCCAGGTCGAGCTGGACTGACCGCGGCAGTCGTGGGTCTGGGTTGAGGGTTTCGTAGAGGCTCAGAGGTTGAAACGAGGTTGGCTTGGTCGAATGCTCGGCAGGGCTGCAGAAGGATAGACCGCTAATCTTCCAGTCGGACTGGTGGAGGTCAGTATTGGAAGGACTGGGCAGGGTTGCCGGGCGTGGCCCGCACAAGACCGACCTACCTTGGCATTGATGAGGATCGCATCCGGGGTGATGTTGCCATGGACAAGGCCAGCATTCTCGTGAAGGAACTCGAGGGCCTTGCTGATCTGCAGCAAGCCCTTCTGGATTTCCAACTCGTCGATCTCGAGCTCGCGCCGCCTCCTGGTGCCGTCGGCCTCCTCGGTGACATAGCGGCTGGAGCGGCCCCCGGGACCGGCGCGTTCCTGATCATCCTTGTCCTGCAGCAGGCTGGCGAGTGAGGCAGTGACGGGCTCGGTGACGAACTGCAAGCCGCCGCCTCTTGTCTCCTCGACGGGCTCGACAAGCTCGAGCACGCTGGGATGGCGCAACTTGGCGAGTGAGGAGGCCTCCTTCTTCAACCTCTCGATGACCTCCTCGGAGACCCTCTTGAAGGCGGCGGCGCCGGAGCGACCCAGGGAGTTCCCATGGGAGTCGAGCGACTTCTTGTCAAAGATGAAGACGGAGTAGGTCTTGCCCGTGGACTTCCTCTTCGCATCGTGTATCCTCCAGGGGCCGGCCTGCGACGTTGCGCTTGGGGTTATGGAATAGTTGGCATTGATGTTTGTCTGCTGGATGGACTTCAGCGCCGAGGAGAACATTGACGACATTTTGGCGGCTGTAGGGAGTGGGAGAGGGTGCTTGTCATGTCGGCAGGGCTGGGAGGCTGATCGGCCAAAGGGTGGATCGTTGTCACATGCGTAAGACAAAGTCGAGGTCGGGAGTCGAGGTCGCAATGAGGCAGTCCCACAGTTGAATGCCCAACTTCCAGATATAGACAACGCCACCAAAACGTGGCCGGCTGCGACGAGAATAAATTAAGGGGGCAGCACACAAGAAGAACCGAAGACCCGGGAGAGACAGACAAGACAGAGAGGTCTGATTTGGTGCAAGCAAGGGAGGATGGAGGCCAAGAGACAGCCTCTCTTAACAATAATAAGCAGAGTCTCGGTCGAATAAAGTCGGTTGATTGTTGTCTTGCGCCTGGCACAATGTACAGAGTAGGTACTCCGTATGATGTACATACACTACGGCCACCTACCCACTCTCCAATGCGCCAGCCCGCCAGCCCGCCAAGGGGGGAGCTCCCTAGGGCTTACCTAAGAAGTGCGACCACGACCTGTGTCAAGCTGTGTGCTGGGCAGAACTGGCAGAGCAATGAGACGAACCACACCCCTGAAAACAGCTAGGCCCCAGGGCCCCCAACGTGTCTAGCTGCCGTCTGTAGCCGCCTGCAGCCCAAGCAGCCCTATCCAATCGGCCCTGAGCTGAATTCTCCCCTAGCTCAATTGAAAGCTCCATGCTCCATGCTCCGATGACGGCTCCGGTGAAACTTTGTGGGCACCCGGGCAGTGTGGGATGGGATTATCAGCTCAATGACTGATAACCCGAGTCGACAGACAGTCATAACCTGGACCTCTCGGCCGGCCCGCACTTTTTGCAACCTCGAGCAGACGACTATTGAGACGTATTGTCAGACACGGTGACTCTTCTCTCGTGGTCCATAAGAGCAATTGAGTCTGCCCTTCTTTGTTGTCTGTCTCTTGCCTCTGGTATTGTTTTCTTCTTTTTCCTGGCATAGGCGGAACAGACCTGTACATTTCTCTCGCTCAACACCGTCTGTCAGTCCATCGCGACCACAGCATCACCAACATACACACAAGATGCGTGCCTTCGTGCCTCGGTGTGGTGCCCTCAGGCCCAGCACGTCCCAGATCTCGCGCTCCATGCTCCAAAGGTCATGGCAGCCTGCAACCACAAGATGCTACAGCATAAAGCCCGAGGCTGCCTCCGTGTCCAAGCCCCAAGATATCGACCCATCCAAGCTCACCGTCGAGAAGGCAAAGACCCCTGGCCCGCTGAGGAAGCCAGAGGAGCTCATCTTTGGCGCGACTTTTACTGGTGAGAGACCTGTTCTATGCCCATGCGATCTGTCCATACATGTCTAACGCAGGCCTCCTTCCTCCAGACCACATGCTCACCGTCGAGTGGAACAAAACATCCGGCTGGCTCAACCCCAGCATCAAGCCCTACCAGAACCTCTCCCTCGACCCCGCGACGAGCGTCTTCCACTATGCCTTCGAGTGCTTCGAGGGCATGAAGGCCTACAAGGACTCCAAGGGCCAGGTCCGCCTCTTCCGCCCGGACAAGAACATGGAGCGCTTCAACGGGTCCGCCGCCCGCATCGCCCTGCCCACCTTCTCCTCCACCGCCATGATCGACCTCATCTCCACCTTCGCCAAGCTCGACCAGCGCTTCATCCCCTCCCAGCGCGGCTACTCGCTCTACCTGCGCCCGACCATGATCGGCACGCAAAAGACCCTCGGCGTCGGGCCCCCCGGCAGCGCCCTGCTGTACGTCATCGCCAGCCCCGTCGGCCCTTACTACCCCACCGGCTTCAAGGCCGTCTCGCTCGAGGCCACCGACTACGCCGTGCGCGCCTGGCCCGGCGGCGTCGGCGACAAGAAGCTCGGCGCCAACTACGCCCCCTGCATCGTGCCCCAGCGCGACGCCATGAGCCGCGGCTTCGCCCAGAACCTGTGGCTGTTTGGCGAGGAGGAGTACGTCACCGAGGTCGGCACCATGAACATGTTCGTCGCCCTGCGCAACAGGGAGACGGGCCAGAAGGAGCTCGTCACCGCGCCCCTCGACGGCACCATCCTCGAGGGCGTCACCCGCGACTCCGTCCTCGCCCTCGCCCGCGAGAGGCTCGTGCCCGAGGGCTGGCTCGTCTCCGAGCGCAAGTACACCATGCGCGACCTGGCCGACGCCTCCGCCGAGGGCAGGCTGATCGAGGCCTTCGGCACCGGCACCGCCGCCGTCGTCAGCCCCGTCAGGAGTATCAGCTGGAAGGGCCAGATGGTCAACTGTGGCCTGTCCGAGACCGAGGAGTCGGGCGAGGTTGCCACGAGGATGAAGAACTGGATGGAGGCCATCCAATACGGAGACGAGGAGCACGAGTGGAGCCACGTCTGCTAAGGGGTAGTAGTAGTAGTGTAGATGGGGTTGGTGGTCCGAGGCATAGATCGGTGTGCCAGATTAGATACGGTCCCTCGATGGAACAGACATTCGACTGGGGAGTATCCTGGGCAACAAAGCAGCAAAGTGCGACATGGCACAGTTCATAGATCATGTTTGAGCGACAAAAGAAATCTTGCATGTTCATCAACCTCTCGCTCTCTTCGGACCGGAAGTAGTGACTGCTCTATCAGCCCTCTTGCGTACCCATTTCTATGCCTCGATTATTTGTCTTTCATGTTCAACCGGTCCATAGTGTACAGCCCTATCGACTACTTCCCCTCGGCGGTGACGACTCCTGTCTAGAATAAGCAGCATGGTTGCGTGTTGCTTGTTGCATGTGCTCTGCGTCCCAGCGCGTTTAAATCGTCCCGCGTGTTTATTCCCGACCAGGCTGTCGTCTTAGTTCTTCTTGTCGGGATCCTCCAGGATGCCCTCGGCCTCTAACCGTCTGCGGGCCTCCTCGAGAGCCCAGGTTTGTATCCTACGACAAGCAGCAGATGTCAGCCAGGTATTCTTCTCCACAGCGAAACCGATTGGAGTAGTTTCCCAGATTGTCCCATCCACATAGGCCTGAAGCACACTGGGTGCAAGTGCCTAGACCAGCAAATATCGACCCCTTGTCCATTGACTCATACCCTCTACCTCCTTTCCCCCTTCATCCGAGCTCTTACCCAATCATCCACCCGTAGACATGAAGGTCTCTCACTCCCCAACAAGCCAATACGGCCAGGAAGTACGACGATAGACGACATCAGGAAAAGGAGAGAAAAGACTCACGAGGTATCAGGCTTGAAGGCATAGGCGATCCCGAAGGCGACCAGGCTGCCGCAGAAGCCGTAGTACGCCAGGCCCTCCCAGCCCTCCTTCTCGGCCTTCTCGCCCGGCCGGACGCCAAACAGCCAGCCCGTCGGCGGGTCGAACTCCGGGCCGTGCCCGTGCCCGCCGCCCTGCCGGGCCGGCGTCGTCGCGAAGGTGCGTGCCGCCCTCACGGCGGTGGCGGCGGTGGCCTGCCGGCTGGCGCGGGTCGCCAGGACCGCTTGTCGGACGGCGGCTCCGCGCATGGCTCTCTGATTGGGGGGGGGGGTTACTTGGCTCCGGTTGAGGTTGTCTTTTGAGGGTCGGCTGGTCGAGCAGCAAGCAGCGTGGCCGTTTGCCTCTGCTGCGTTTTTGCTCGGTCGGTGATGGGGTCAATCGGCTGGCGGTATTTTCTACCCTGTTCTCCGTCTGGCCAATCGGTGGTCGGATCGGAGGTCGATTGATCGATTGATCGAGTGGTTGATTGATTGGTCGGGTGGTCGATTGACAGTCTGGAGTGACCTTTCGGTGTCGTGGACGGCGCCGAGAGGTTGGTGTTGAGGTCGTGAGTGGAGATGGTGGTCTGTGTTGCGCTGGCAGACAAAGACCAAGAGACAGACGGATGGGGCGGGTGAAGCTCGGACTTGCCCGCGGCGGTCTTTGGCGAAGGTCGGTCAGGGGAGTCGCTTGACTTCAGAGGGGGGGCAAGGAGCTCTTGTTTCCCCACACAGCAGAGTCAGTCAGTCAGTCAATCAATCAAAGCAGCTGGGCAGCTGGGACGGTGCCAGGCTGAGTCATCCTTGGCCCCCGGGTCGGAGAAACGTTGGGGAGTGGCTGATAGCAGTACGGAGGGAGTAGAGTCAGTCAGTCAACTTGGCTGGGCCCGCCTGACCGAGGCGCAAGCCAAAATGCCACTGTAGTCGCCGAGAACCGCGCCAATCGTCTTACACGGCTGAAACTTGGAACAGCCAAGATCGAGAAATGTCGGAACGGGCGTCTGATCACGACTTCGACCACCTCGGTAATAATCCCGTAGGGCAGGAATTCAGGCTCTGATCTTGTTTCTACCTGAATAGCCATATGTTTCATGGCTCTCCTTGCATCATATAGCCCTACAGGAGAGCCCGCGAGTATTGAGCAAAAAGCAACACCGAGCCTCCCTCGAAATTGGGCCTCGGTGGGCAGGACGAATGCTGTTGTAATCCTAGAGATACAATAGACCAAACCGCCCCTGACCATATCCATGTGTGTACCAGCCCAACCTCGTTGTTGAGCCCCTTAATCCATGTAATCCAACGCCTAGTAAGTATTCCCAGTCATGTCGCTTAGAATATTGGCCAGATTTGGCTTCCCCTTGAGCAATACCTTCTCATCAATCTTCCCTCTCCTCGTCCCCGCTCTCTGCGGTGGTTGATTTTCCTTTCCGCCCTGGCTGTCTCCCATAATCTTCTTCTTCGGCTGCTTGAACGGCGGTAGCAGAGTCTGTTTCGTGCCAGCATCGCTCCAGAGGACGCCCGTGCTGTTCAGCTGCTTCTTGGCCTTCTCGACTGGGCTGCCACCCAGCGCCGTCGCCGCCGTCGCCGTGATTTGGGTACCGGCATCCTCAAAGTAGTGCCCGTCAAGCGCATCCGGCGGCAGGTCGTAGATCCAGCACCGCTGCTCCATCAGTCCGATGAACCGTGCCAGCATCTCCTCGCACCCGCTTCCCTTGAGAGTGCTCCGGCTCCCGACGACGAGCAGCTTGGTCTTGGCGCGGGTGAAGGCGACGTTGATCCTCCGCCAGTCCTTGAGCAGGTCTCCGATGCTGCACACCTCGTTCGACCTGACCAGAGACAGGATGACAACCTCCTTGTCCCGGCCCTGGAAGCGATCCGCCGTGTGCATCTCGATACCCCCATTGTTGGCGCCATGCCCTCGCAGGCCGTGCTTGAGCAGTGACAGCTGAGAGCGGTAGTGCGTCATCACGCCAATCTCGGAGGCCGGGACGCCAACACTGAGCAGAGAATCAACGAGCTGTACGACGATACGAGCCTCGCACGGGTTGACAATGCGATTCCCCTTCGCTTCTTCCCGCGAGGATGGCAGGTCGTCGGTATTGACAAAGCTGACGCGGGTCTCGGGGTCCACCAGGTCGCGCAGCCAGCATCCACCAACACCTGTGCAGAACGAGTTCGTCTGGGAGGACGCAAGAGTCGTAGCGTCGTGGTGGTGCTTGCGCAGACCGTCCATGTTTGGCACATCGAGTTTGCGCAGTCGCAGCTCTTCAGTCCCGCATTTCAGTCGGCCCTCATAGATCAGAGTGTTGCTGAGCGTCATGATATCCTCGGACATCCGATATTGGTGCTCCAGGTTGACAACAGAGTCGGGATGGGTGTCGGAAAGGAGCTTAAATAGACTGATATCCAGGCCACCGATCCTGGCCTCCTCATTCTGGACCAGAGGCGGCAGCTGATTGTGATCACCGACGAGGACGAATGTGCGGGCCATGCGGATAGGGCCTAAGCAAATCGGCAGGGTGATCTGTGACGCTTCATCCACGATGCAGTAGTCAAATGTCCGCTCGTTAAAAATGGCGTGGCTCGTGCCGAGGCAAGTAGTTGCGACGATGGGTGTATCATGCCAGGCACTGCGGATCTCTTCGAAGGTATCCTTGGGCTGTCCTGCCAATATGGCGAAGTCTTGGACCTCGGGGTGGACCTTGGCAGGTGCACCAAGTCTGAGCACAGGAATCTCGTCGTGCTTGAGCTTAAGAAGGATGTTGTCAACTGCGGTGTGTGTGTAAGAGGTAAGCAGGACACTCTTCTTCTGAGCGACCAATGCCCGTATGATGTGGGCTATAGTTGTCGTCTTTCCAGTGCCGGGCATACCAAGAACAAGAGCGTAGTCTTTAGCACTCATAACCTTCTCGATGGCCCTCTTTTGGTCGACGTTCAGGCTGTCCTTATCAGAAATGGTGTACTGTGTTGCCGCTGTCTTGAACGTAGGGGCTTCCAGGTCCACAACCAGCCGGCGAATTTTCTCAGACCCGAAGTGTACATTTGTCATGATTGACACAATGTTGTTTCGGACCAATGCCATCCCGTTGCTGAACTCGTCTTTATCCAGCCTGTATCGAATCGGCGGCTCCTTGATCTTGCCTTTTGATTGCTCAGAGGGCACGCCTTCGGGGACAACCTCCATGATGCTGGCGTAGACCTGGTTGTCTTTCTGGTCGAATCCAGGCTGCCTAATACGGGCATTGTGAAGCCTCCGATCGACGGCCACGCTGATCCGCTGTTTTCTGACAGCTGTGACGTAGCCGAGGGCCAAGGCGAAATGCCCTTGCTCGTCCGATACGACAATAGGCTCTCCCACCGCGATCTGGGAGTCCACGAAAGAGAACCCAGGTGCTGCGTCTTCTTTGATAAACGCGTAGTGAAAGCGGTTGATCTTTTGACTGTGTGTGTCCTCCGAGGCTGAGCCCTCCTCGATGATCACGTCGGCGAAGCACCTGCCAACCTTTTCACGCTCCACGCTGAGCATCGTCCACAGCTCCCGCCGGAGCTTCTGGCTCTCCTTCTCCTCCTTCGTCAGCAAGTCCTCCCACTTCAGGAAGAATTCCTTGTGAACTGGCGTCATATGCTTCACGACCTGATCAAATTTCTCCTGCAGACCACTTGAATCCCCATCTCCATCGTCGGCGAGTTTATGATATGTGAAGCACGAGTTCTGGGCGTAACATTTGCCACAAGCGTGCTTGCTGTTCTTCATCGGCGGAAGCTGCACACTGCGTTCGCGAATGTAGACTGCGAGCTGGTTGCGCTGTTTGATCATGTGGCGAAGTTCGTGGCGTACGGCAGGGATGATCTTTGTCAGCGATGTTTCCATATAGTATAGGATGCCGTAGACGATCTCGATGTCATATCGATCCGACAAAAGCAAGTTGTACAACATTGTCTGGGCCTGGTGGCTCTCGCTGACATTCTTGCCAGTCTTGACTTCAAACGGAACAGTGAGCGTCCGGCTCTCCTGCCTATTCTTGACAGTGACCTGAACGGTCGCGTCAATGTTGCCTTTTAGGCCATATAAAGGTGACCAGACATGTTCCTCAATGTCAAGTAGCTTGCTCACACATATGCTCGACTTGTCGCTGTTCCGGCCATGGGCAACTGCATCTGGCTTGGGGTACGACGAAACAAACTTCTGGGCCCAGCCTCGTAGCTCAGGCATCTTCGAGGATAGATGCTCCCGCGCATCGGTAAAGTTGACCTTGATCGTATACAAGTCTTCGATATGCTTCTTCATCGTCTTCTCGATCACGTTGTTCAGAAAAGCCTGGTCCCATCTGTTCGCCACAAGCGCCTCTTGGAAGATCTCGTGCAGGATCGTGCCGTATACAAGTGGTGCAGAAGCCTCACTGGTAGCTTTCACTCGATCCTGTAAGACTGCCCGCCGCATGCAACTGAACGAGTCGGCAACAACGGTGGCCGAGATCAGCTGGTCCGGGTGGAGGATCAGGATGTTTTGGTTGTTGTCGACAACGCATTGGCCATCAGGCCCAAAGCTGCCGATAATATGTACATGCGATTTGGGATGAACTGGAGTGTCGACCCAGTCCCCTCGGAGGCGGACGGTCTTTGTGGTCTTTGATCTCTCGGCTTGGACAATCAGGATTGCCTCCGGTGCTTCTCGCCCACGCTCGTCCGTGAACGTGTTCTCAAGCACATTGGTCACCAGGTACCGCTGGATTGCGGTTGGCTTATGGCTCACCTACTCGTGTATCTTAGCAAGCTTGTTTATTGCCTATTGGTTGGCTATCAGACAGTACGTACGGGCATTAATGATGAATCGGCTTGACCACCAGCTGTCTGTGTAGCAGCCAGCTCTGCGGCTTCGAAGTCAAAGTCCCCGCCAAAGTCATCACCAAACTGATCGTCGTCCTCGGTGCCGCCATCATATGGGACTGTAGTGGGCGGGGGAGGTGGAGCGGGTTGTTGTGTTAAGGTTGGATCGGCTTTCCTGACGATGTCATCCGCCACAGCCAGTAAATCGTCATCCATATCATCAAACTCATCATCCGAAGTCGCTGCTTGTTTTGAGAATTGCTCGCCGGCCTCCTGCACATCTTTTTCGGCGAGAGTCGCCGCCGCTCCTGAGAAAGTTCTAGTCTCTGTCTGCCCGCTAAGCACAGAAACATCGAGCTCCAAGAGGGTATCGTCGTCGAAATCATCATCTCCATAATCCGAAGGTGGTGTTCTCTGTCGACGCTTCGTGCCGTCGCGGGAAGGAGTCGTCTGCGGTGACGCTGCACACTGAAGCTTAGGTTGTTGGGGTGAGACTGCTGGGCTCGGGTGTGGCATCTGCTTTCTTGGGGATCGTCTCCTCTTGAGTGACGGCGAGTCCATGCCCGCGTGTTCCTCCTCTGTGCGCTCAGTCTTACTTATCTCGCCATTGACCGTCTCAAGCAGAGCTGACACCATCTGGGACTTGGCATCTCTCGCAATGTCTTTGACAGGCCGGGACTCGGATGCACTTTCAACCCTTCGGCGTTTTGGCCAGTGAGAGCCGCAGCTTATCGCTCTTCTCAGACTGCTTTCCGCGTGGTTGGGACTCCCATCCTTTGGCGGCCGAGGGGAAGATGACACCATCAGGTGGGCAAGGGCTGGGTTGGTAGCACCCAATGCGTTTTTGCTGTCTGTTGCCCCTCCGACGGCAAAGCGATCCCACAAGTCAAGAGCCGGGTCTGCAGGCTCCGACTTCAAGGCCTTCTTGAGCTTTTTGACGTTCACAACGGGTGTTCGTGACTTTTCACGGGCTGGAGAGGACAGGGGCGATGAGCTGCGGGCACGCTTTTTACCCCGACGCGGCACTAGGGGCGACATCATATCGACTATATCGTCCGGGTCGTTATGCCAGAGTAGGCGTTCAGTAGGGGAGGTGTCTTCCTCATGCTTGTCGGCATCGTCCACACCCATGAGATCCTGCCAGGCCAGCCTGCTGACGGGCGTCACTGCGGCACGTTTCTGCTGGCCCGAGAAGGATTTCGAGTCGGTTGGATCCTGCCCCTCTGTTTGTAGGTTTTCCTTGTTGGAATCGGCATTTTCCGAAGGGTTGGTAGTCCCGCCGCCGGCCGGTGGCGTGTCTTGATCCTCCGATATGGGAGCAAGATTGGGGGGAATATCAGACTGTTCAGCGGGTGGTTTGTGGAACTGGAACTTGGACAGCTTGTTTTTTGTGGTGGCGGAGACGGGGGCAGGTGGCCGAGTTGGCGGCTTGGAGGGGATGGCGCCAGAGTGAGACTTTGCTCTCTGCCATTGAGCCTGTCGTTGCTGTTGGATCTCGTCTAGTCAGTGACCAGGCCTGCAGTTCAAATAGACGTTGACGCAGATGCACTTGTTGGACGGGTGTGGTTTGTTTACTTGCCTTTGGAAATCTGGACTGCTCAGAGAATGACTTGGAAAGAGGCATGGCGACTAATTGGACTCATGGTACTGCCACGATATTCTCCCAATCGCAATGATTGGACGTCCTGTCGGCTTCGAGCGACGAGGAGGAGGAGTACAGTGGTGGGCCAGGTAGATGTTGGTGGACCCGTCGGCGTGCAAGTCGATTGCCCTGGGAACGAGCGTCCAGACGCGTTGCTCGCGTCTGGTCAGGTACGGCCGCGCTGCCGCGTTGATGTGCTTGCAGGGGTCTGCAGTGGCGGCCCACTGTGGCGCTCCCAAACTGTGGCACGAGCTACCCCAGCTGCCAAGGTACTCCGTACCTGGACCCTCACCTCATCTGGACCCAACCTCAATGACGTTCCCTTTTTGGCTCGGAGCTGCCCCCCAGTTTCACCTCACCCCATCACGTCGCCTGACCCAACCTGACTTCAGCTTGCCCAGACATTCTATCAGCCCTAGCCATGACAGAACTTGATGGAGATCCCAACATCCCCCTGGAGTCTGCCCGCAGAAACGCAGACAGCCTCGGAATCAACTACGATGCCCTCCCGACGATGCCCTTCTGGGGCCCCTTGTTTGGGAAGACATCCGACTACCTGAAGACAAGAGTCGCAGCCAAGGTCATGACTTCCTCGGCCTCTGTTGGGAGAGAACTCACACAGTCTGAAAAGGATGCCATGTCACACCACTTGTACGTGTCTGCCCCGCCTTGGGAGGGTGTGTTTTCGCTTGCTCACATACGACCCATCCATCAGTGCAAAACTGGTTATTACCACCGCATATACGTCGCCACTTGCGGTAGCAGCAACATTTGCAATGGAGCGGACTACGCGTCCCACGTTTGGCTTCCCCTTCTACACCCCAAAGCCGCCAAAGTTCAACTCCCAAAAGTTTCCCGGCCTACCCGAAGGTAGAGCATCGCATTTAGCATGGCAAGCAACGCGGGTATTCGCGTGGTACGCTGCCAGCAAGATTGTGATCAGTCTTTTTGTGACTTCTTATGCAATATCCGTGTACTCGGCCAATTCGGGCACTGATAACAGGCTTGAGGCCTATCGGAGGGAGATAGCCCGTCGTGCAGGCGCCGCAATGAGAGGCGGGCGGCCGCCCAATATCCCGAATCTGCCTCCCATGCAACCGCAGCAGCAATTTCCACAACAGAGCTGGCAAGATCCAGCTCCAGCAACAGAATCAGTCGGCTGGGCGAGCTCAGAACAACCTGAAAAGGCAGCGTCAACGCCTTCGCCAAGGCCATGGACTGCGACACAGAATTCACAGGCCGGGCGGCAGGATTCATACAACCAGGAATCATACGTGTTCGACGATGCCTCGCCTGTAGCACCATCGGAACAGAGCAGCTATCCACCCCAAGGTTCAAGTCAACAAGGCGGTTCCGCTTGGGACAGGATTCGGGGCCAAGCACAAGCCGCACGCGGCCAGCCGGGCTCCTGGGCAAAGAAGCGCCAGGATGAGATGACCTCCCGGGGTGCCCAAGATGGAACATCCTACACCTATCCAACAGAGGCTGAAGAGAAAGTGTACGCAGCGAAACAGGCTCAGAAGGAGTTCGACGAAATGCTTGAGAGAGAGCGGCGAGGCCAAGGCCGTTAAGGCGGCGTACGTAGCGATAGTACCTCATCATCATGTGAGCCACTGTCATGTGAATTCATATCGTATGCCCTGTACTTCGAGCATCGTGATTTCTAATGACATGGTGCTGGCTGCCGTATTCTGGTCCGGTCAGAGATAATTGACTGTTGGTAGTCACTCTTGAATTAATGGCACTTGGGGTCGATAGGCTTAAGATCTCTTTCTTATGATGAACGGTTGAATATTCAAGTAAAACAAAGAGTTGATGATGCCGGTCTCACTTCACAGTCTGCATGGCTACCTAATTTGCTCTGCTGCCCAATGTTGCTTACATCGTGCCTACTTTGATCGGACTATGCATTGAGACAAGTCAGCCTGTAGATGTTGAGCGCCGTAGATGTTTACACTGTGAACTGGACTTGATATTCAAGGTCAGTAAGGGCGAAGAGTATATGTTACCGAACGGCCTCATTTAAATTCTCTGATGCTTGAGCCATTGCCAGCTCATGAAGAGTGTAAATAGCTTTGTGTGAGAAGTTTGCCTGTGCTGTCCAGTCCTCGAGCCCCCAGCTACACTCAGAAGGCGAAGTGAACGGGAATTTCCTGAATATATCGATTGTGGGATACCCATTCTGCGTGAATGGCTTTGTACTTGTACATAAGGCGCTGGAGCTGTTCCTGTTGCCGAGGACTGCATGTAAAGCACAGGTCTCAATGGCCGGGGTGAATAAATCCGTTACCCAGTCCCAGTGAATCAAAACCGAACCTGCCAACGCCATGCACTGGCAAACGCTCACCGTAGACGTCTTGTAAAGACCTGCACGTCTGCCAGAGCTGCCTGCCTGTCTTCCTTCCTCCCAAAACAACCACACTCCAGATTCTGCAGAGCAACAAATCTGGGCCCCTTCAAGGAAGAACACCCCATTTCGACAAGTCCAGTTTGAGTATTGATCTATTTCACTCTCCATTCCCAATCCACCTCTGTCTTCTGCTCATTTGGATTATCATCTGGTACCAACTTGACAGTCAGTGCAAACGTCGCCAGGCAGCACTGCTCCATTTTCCATCCTCGACAGGACAGCAACGGCGCGTTTGGTCCTGGCCGACAACACACCAACCTGCTCTTTCTTACCTTTCCCTCAACCCATTCCCTTCGTCTACATCCAATCGACCTGAAGAATCTTCCGAACTACGCACAACATTCTCTGCCCCACCCGCAGCACCAGTTGAGACAAGCTGGCGATAACAAATAAACACCTACCTATAGTCCGTCCTCGTCACCCAGTCGCAGTAAGTATACTTCTCCTGTCCTGTGGCCTTGTCCATTCTCACCTACTCCGCAAGTTGACTTCGGTTGCTAATTTTAGAATCTACTGCAAAAGACAATGCGTCGCGCTGTATCGTTCGCCCTCGCGGCAATGGCGTTCTGTGCCATTGTTGCTGTCGTGGTTTCGCAATTCGGTTCAACTCAAATCATGTCCGCTCTTGGTTCGTTCCTTACCTCTGCGGCCGACCATTCCGACGAATTCTTTCGCCGAACTCTCACGAGTATCCATCTCGACTATTCCCTCATCGAACGCACTCGTGTCATAGCCATCAAGCACCTCCACGCTGCTCAGAATTCGACCGAGGAGGCTCTTGTTCCATTCATCAATGCCGGCCGTCACTTTTTCAGACAGGCGATGAAGCGATGTCGTTTCTTGCTTTCTGCAGATGCACCCCGTCTTCCTCGGCCGTCGGTTGAGAGCATCACCTACTGTCATCAGCCTGGTCCTTGCCCTCGCTATGGCTCACATTACGATTCGTTTCCGTGGGACATTGCATACTGTCCGCCTCCTCAAGACGCCTCCGGAAACCCCAGCACAGTCTTGCTCATCATGGCAACAAGCACCATCACCACCATGATCCTCATCGCTATCGTTTCTGCTATTTCTGCCAATTCCGCTATTCTGAGCTCGATGCGTCTGCCTTGGCGATACTTGCAGCGATGCGTGCAAGCAGTGGCGGACCGTCTCCCACCAAGACCTAAGAAGAACATGAATTTGAAAGTACTACTTGCACGCCTTTCTCTTAAGCTCTGGGAAACCTGGGCCACAATCTGTGAGGAAATCGCCAACTCTGTTCTAAATCTTGTGGTGAGCGGGTTCGCCTTGCTGGCCATCTTGTCAACAGGCCTGCTCTACTGCATCGGCAACTTCGTCGTGTTCGCTCACAATGTTGATATTGGACTCAAGCTCCGAGTACCTCCTCCTGCTCCCCCTGCTGCCCCTCCTGCCCCGCCTCCTGAGGAAATCATTCGGTACATCGCAGATCCTGAGGTGCCCAAGTTGAAGGAGGAGAATGCAAAGCTCAACAAGGAAGCCAAGGACAAAGATGATGAGAAGCGGAGACTACTTACGAAGATCGACGGCTTGAGCAACCAGGCCAAAGACCAAAAGAAGCGTGGTGATCGCCTCGAGAAAGAGAAGGATTTCGCAGTTGAGGAGAAGAAAGAGTCAGATGCGCAATCCGCAGAGCGTCTCAAGAGTCACGGGCGCACTATCTCAAGTCTTATGGCATCTCTGGGAGCTAAACACGACCAGCTCACCGCAATTCAGGAGGCACATGCGAGCTGTCAAGATCAACTCGACGCCAAGGATGAGGACTGCAAGTGGTTCATAGCCCGAATCCTGAGTCTCGAGAATGACATAAAAACCCTCAGCACGCAGCTCGAGGAACTCCGCGCATCACAGACGGAAGACGGTCGGCCCCCCAAGAAGGAGCTCCAGGAGCGTGATGAGATCATCAAGTCACAGAAGAAGTACATCCAAGATCTGGAGGCTCAACTGAAACAGAAAGCGGAGCGCCACGAGTCACAGAGAAAGGTGTATGACCACACCAAGAGGTCCTTTGACAGGCAGATGACGAAGATGAAGACCGCATGCAAGCAGAAATCTGCTGACCACAAGGCAGCTGAAGCGAAGCTCAAGGCCGAGGAAGAGGCACGCAAGGCAGCCGAAAAGAGCCTTCAGGCTGAGAATGCCACCCGTAAACAAGCTGAAGCAGCGCTCGAGGCTGAGAGGAAGGCCCGCAAGGCAGCTGCCTCAAAGTCCAACACTGAGGTTGCATTGTTGAAGTTGAAGCTAGCCAACAAACGCACTCATTACTACGTCGAGAACGGGACTCAGACCTCGGGCCCTTCTAATTTCCCCCCACCTCATCTACGGGAGAAACTCCCTGCCAAACCACCGACGTCCACTGGTGCGAAGAATGTGCCTCCTGCACCCCAGCAAAGCAACGGTTCTGCGGTACCTGACAAGAACATGTTCAAGATGCCCAGCTCCTTCAACTTCAGCGGCTTTTCCGCCGAGGAAATCTTCGGGGACGGCCTCTCTCACAAGCCTGAGACTCCTCCTACTGATTCCTCGCCCTCGCAGCCCACCCCGTCTGTTGAGCAGCCTGATCAGCCCGAGCCGCCTGGGTCGCCTGGGTCGCCCTGACCATCGAAGGGACGAAACATTGTGTGATACGGCCTATCTTGGTTCACGTCCTTCCCACAAAAATATTCTTGGAACTTGCCACCAATCGTGCACATCCTCTTTCTATACCCGCCAAACCTCATAGGTGGCTAGCTTGAGTCTCTGAGCGCTCATGCTTTCTTGCCACCTTACGCTGCCGTTAATGCCACCAGCAGCCAACAGAACTTTACTCAGTCGTGTGCCAATTGTGCATACGACTTGACATCACTCTCTTTCAGACGACCTTTGTTTGCAAAGATGACATCTGGACTCTTCCTTTCCCTTCAGGAAGAGGAAGCATCGGTTCTTCTACTATACCGCGCCTAAAAGGCCCCCTCCACTATAATGCACCCTCCTGGACGGCGCATAGGCAACACCTTCAACATTCACCCCATCAACCGCGCTTACCCGTGTATCACCACCACACGATTTTATCATGTCTACTCTCTTCGCCGGACCAATTTCCTGGCGAAGATGAGCTGCTTTTGTATAACAAAGGATGCTCGGTCTCATACCTGACGGACTGATTAATCTCCTCGGCTCTCGCCAATGTAGGATAAGCGACAAGTTCTTGTCATCACGTGGGAATTCTAAGGCACATTCGATGGCTGGGTACGAGATAGACTTGGGCCTGGAATACCAATGAACAAACCCGTTATTTCATTAAGAGATCAGAGATCGAGTGCGAATCTCCGATCTCTTTGTTAAATTGCACACAGCCATTGGCATTGCATATTGTGGCCCTTGAAGACAACTAACTAACAGGCCTCCGTAAATTTTATCAATGTGTTCATCCTCCTCTGCTGCCAGTGACTATGGCGCTGGAACCTCCCCCGTTCGGCACGTGCCCAAGGGAGGGGGAATCGCATGCAGACTCCCATCAGGCACTTCTACAACTGCATCACAGCATCGTCGGACAGGTAGTGGGATCCACCTCCACATCGATAACCCCCTGCCTGCTTGATCCAAGCAAATCCGGCCGGGCAGACCCCCCCTGCCTCGAGCTTCTTCCGCGCCTCCTCCTCCTTCCGCCTGCGTTCCTCCTCTTCGAGCAACCGTTTGACAATCTGGTCCCTTGCCTCGTCAGATGCAGACCGCTGTGCCTTGAGCAGGTCTTGATACTCCTGTTCCCGTCGCTCCTCGGCCTTCTTGTCCCTTTGGAGTTGCTCCCATACCTCATCGCTGACCCCAGCATCCCGTGTTGCCTCTCGCTTGGAGCCCTGCTTCGCCTGCTTGATAGCAGTCGGCTTTTTCTTTGGGCCCTCCTTGTCTTCTGGGGGATCCGAGGGGTTGCTCGTCACAGAATGTGTGGTCTGGGTCTTGATGTTCGGCCTCCCTGCCGGTGGGGGCATCTGAAAAGCGGATTGGTCGAGCACAGATGGAAATTGCCTGCTTTGATCCACGCTCCGGCTCGCTCGCTCATGCAACATCTTCGTCAACTCGGCCACGATGACGTCTCCAGGAACTCTCAAGTGGCCCTTTTCAATTCCTTTCCTGTCCTTAATAACGACGTTGAAGATGCTTGTTGCTAAAGTCTTTACGTCGCGAGCACTCGCCCAACTTTCCTGTTTCGCGAGCTCCGAGAACAAATGATTGAGCTTGACCCTCAAGGACTCTTCCAGCGACTGCAACACGGAAACGTCAAGATCGACTTTCTTTTTAGATGAGAGCAGGCTTTTGCGTGACATTAAAGAATGTAAGAGCAACTTGACGCACTCGTCGGCCTGCAGAGGTCGGAAGTCGATGACTTCCGGGAAACGGGAAGTAAGCCCGGGGTTCGTTGTCATGAGGCGGTTGATGTCCTTCTCGTAGCCAGCGAGAATGATGATCAATTTCTTGACGTATTTGTCCTTGGTCGCCGCATCCACCAACTCGTCCATGGCTTCTTTGGCGAAATGACCTTCGGCAAGACGGTATGCCTCGTCGATAAAGAGGACTTTTCCCAGCGCTGTGTCAAGTTTCCCTTGCAGTTTGGGTCCAGTCTGGCCAACATATTGGCCGATCAGATCTGTCGCTGAGCATTCCACGACCTCAGCGGTAGCGAGGAATCCCATGTCGTAAAAGACCTTGCCCATCTTCTTGGCTGTCGTCGTTTTCCCGGTGCCAGGTGGCCCTCGGAAAAGGAAGTTGAATGGTATGTCCTCCTTGGGATCCAGACCCAGGGACTTCATTGTCTTGACTGTCTCTTGGTAGCCCTGCAGCTTCGTGATAACGTCCTCTTGGCCGACGGTCCCTTCGAATAGCATGGAAACATTGGTTTCAGCCCGCTCAGCACGATCAAAATTTTCATCAAAGTCTGGTGCCTCGAGGGTAGACGGGGAAGAGGTCTCCTTGCGTGAGAGTCTCGACTGTTTCTTTGCCTTCGCTGCATCGAGCAAGATGTCGATTTCTCCGGCGTTTCCGAAATTGGGTCGATTCCTCGCTCGACCAAGCATATCCATTGCCACGCGTTTGGCTTGGTCGGTAGCATGGTAGCCCTGATTCTTCAGCTTCAGATTCAGTATCTGGCGTAGGGCCTCGTCGTCGAAGTCCTCGAATTCGAAGGCCGAGGCGATGGGGAAACGACGACTGAGACCGGGGTTCACGTTCTGGAACATGGTCTCCATCTGTTCCTTGTATCCGAGCAGTAGCACACATCGGTCGTCTCCGGGCACGCTTTGAACCTCGGCGACAATGGTGTCAATGACTGCTGACTTATAGGGATCCGCCGTTGAACCTTGGCCGCCGTAGAGCCCATATGCCTCATCGATTACCAGAACCTTTCCCAAAGAAGCGGCCAGTATGCCTTTCGTCTGCTTTTCAGATTCACCAAGTGCCGCACCGACGAAGTCAGAAGGGTTCTTAATGATCACTTGACACATTGTTAGCAACATAGTAGAGAGGCAGTTGGTCATGACAGGGATACTCACCCTCGCCCTTGGAAAGCAGACCAAGATCCACAAGAATCGCCCCGTAGAGCTTAGCCACCGTTGTCTTCCCTGTTCCCGGGTTGCCGAAGAACACACGGTTCAGAGAATATTCTATGGGTGGCTGCTCATCAAGCTCCCTGGTATAATTCTGCTTGACGCTGTCGACAAGGGACTTGACTGCGTCCTTGACAGACTCGAGGCCAAAGAGGCCTTGCAACTGCTTCCAGGCCTTGCACTTTGTCAACGCCTCCGTTGGCTCAGGGCCGATGATGTCTTCTTTGTTGAACAAGAAGTCGTCTGGCTTTTTGCCTTCACGCCGCTCTTTTCTCAGTCTGGTTGCTTGGCGTGAGCTGACTGCGGCCAAGGTGTTTTCAATTGTTCTCGCATTGCCGAAGCCCTCTCGGCCTCGGCCGCGGCCCACCCTTCTAGTCACAATCCGAGAGTACAGACCTCTCGGACCGTCTTCGCACTTCATGCGGCCATCATACTTCTTGTGCATCTTCAGCTCGAAGATGCGCAGCAATTCCTCATCTGTATAGTCTTCAAACTTCATCTCGATGGGAAATCTTGACGGCAACCCGGGCTGCTCAACCGGTCAACTACTATCCTCTCAGCCTCAGAACATTGACTCATAGGTGCACTCACATTGTGTGCGTAGAAGCTCTCCATCTGCTTTCTGTAGCCGGCAAGGATGAAGATCACCTTGCCGTTGAGGTTCTCGACCTCTGGCAAGAGGTAATCCAGCACGGCTCCGCCGCCAGAATTGTTTCCGGAAGTGAGTTGGTAAGCTTCGTCGATGAAGAGTACACCACCGCCGTCGTCCAGGATCTCGTCTATGATAGCCTTACAGCCGGATACCCCAGCATTGGCTAGACTAGCTCCAGTTTCTTCTTTGAAACAGCTGCCGGGAATAACGCCGAGAGAGGTGAGAAATTGAGCATAGATGCGAGCGACGGTTGTTTTGCCTGGGAAGAAACATTCAGCAATGGTGAAAGGCAAGGGATTTGAAGGTGGACATGTTCTGCTCGCTCGGCGGAGTGTTCCCGGCAAAATGCCACTCCCAGAAGATCAAGAGCCTTGTGTTTGAACTTACCGGTGCCGGGATTACCCAGCATGGAACACCCAAAGCGTTCTTTCCCAAGCGAAATCTCTTGTCGGATAGCCGTGTCAACCTTCGACTTGACGGACAGGAACTCCGACTTCACTTCTTCGAGCCCTATCATGCCCATCAACTCATCCAGCGGCTTACTCTTGGCCCCCTCATACTGCTTGAGATATCCCCACTCTTGCGCTGCCCCATCAGGTAGATCTTTCAGACTGTCGGAAGAGTCTCCATCAGTCGGTGGGGTTGGAGGATCAGGGTCAGAACCGGGAAACGAGCCAGGCATGCCCTGCTTCGCTTGTGACTCCGGCATGTTGAGAACGCGCTCTGCAGTTTCCCTGAGAGCGGCAAGGTCCGCTCGCTGTTGGACGAGTGTTTTTTGTTGCTCTTCCTTGTCCTTGCGATACCTGAGGATACGCCGCTCATGATCAATCTCGTCCTGGATCTCGGCGAGGTCTCTCTTATATTCAGCCTCGCGGGCCTGCCTCTCGGCCTCAAGCTTCAGGTCTCTCCTGACCCTCTTCTCTGTTTCCAGATCTTCCTCTGCACAAGTGCGGCACTTGTCATTCCGCATGTGACATAGCATCTTGAGTTTGTGGCCCCTGTCGCAGGACCTCTCCACCTGGTGCGGACATGGCATCTTGGAATGATCATCCACACGATGGCAGCACATCGTGCAATTGTGTAGTCCGCAATTAAGAGGGGCGTTACTTTAATATTCATCAGCAAAATAAGAGTTCACCGGGCGGACTGTACCACTTACCACAGCTCTGTACATCCTCCATCGGGGCAGCGCATGTCGAAGTCATCAGGCTGTTTGAGAAGAAATCTCCTCTCAGGGTGCCTCTCGCACTTAACCGGGAGCCCATCATGGATCCAATTGTTGGCCTTCAACAGCTTAAAGAATGGGTTCCAAGTATCCGCCCCTTTCTTGCTGCTCATGTAGGTCTCCATGTTCCCAAACATGATGAGACAATTGCGCGCCCGTGAGAGAAGAACGTTGAGTCTCTCACGTGCTGCAAGGAATCCAATATCGCCATTGTCGTTGCTTCGCGTCAGGGATACAATGACGATGTCGGCCTCTTCCCCCTGGTAGTTGTCTACACAAGTCAGCTGTGATCAATTCCTTGCGGAGATTTGAGAACTCACCGATGGTGGATATTCTGAGCGGTGACCTGTCGACCTTGGCAGCGGCCCTGGTCATCAAGCCTGCTTGAATGAGTTCGTGCGAGTCCAATTCACTCAGTACTGGGTCGACATCATCCATGAGCATGTCTCTCACGAGACGCAGTTGGCCGAGATACGGCGTCAGAACAACCATATTCTTCGTACCATAACCCTGCTGAGCCAAGAATCTGACGGTCTTCAAGACCATGCTAGCTTCAAAACCGTTCTCTTTGCTGGACTTGGAGCCCTGGTCGCGTCGATCGGAGATTCTCTCGTTGTGCAGCTCAGGGTGACCGTGGCTGACGAAGATGACGCGGTCGTCGACACCGCGAATTGGTTCACGGGTCAACGTCTTGGGGTCATCTTCCAGATCTGGATACGTGAGCTCCCTTACGAGGAGGGATATATCCGGATGCATGCGATGCTGTTTTCGCAAGGTGGTATGCGGGTGTCCCTGCAGAATCAGTCGCTCAAACATGGATCGATTCAGGTCGTATCCGTCTCCTTTCTCAACTGTGAGCTGATAATTGTTGACCTTCGGACGAAGCTGTTTATGATCTCCGATTTGGATCAGCTGACTGACAGATGGTGTCAGTGCCGTAAGAATGTGGCTTTCTTGAATTTCACCGGCTTCTTCCACTATCACAATGTCTGGCTGTGCAGAAGTGATCAGTTTGGTATGTTTGGCAGCAGCGGTGGTTGTGCATCCAATTATACGCTTTTCGCGAAGAATCGACACTTTCTTCTCGTCGAATTGGGCATCCATCCGCTCTTGCGTAGCATCGTACTGCCTGGCGAGCTCTTGAACACATCCCACCTTCTCTTGGAGAATAGCCGAGAACCACTTCTGAATGTATTTTGCCCTCAGGGGAGCGTCGATGTCCCAAACGCATCGGTGGTTTCTGAGAGCATGCTTTCCAAAGATACCTGGCCCCTGGCCACCTACCCAGCGCTTGTATAAATAGTCTTCAGTGACCGCTTTGCCCTTTTTGCCGACTTTCTTGAAACCATCGTTGTCGGCTGGAATTACAAAAGCCTCATGGAAGTGTGAATCGTCCTCAGAGAACTCTAGATGTTCCTGTATGTCGCGGAATGTTGGATGTGCTTGCTGGTAGCTAGTGAAGGCGTTTCGTAACTCCGTACTCTGTACCGCAGCGTCATCTTTCAAGTCATCAATGACAGCCCAGGCACCTTCGGTGCGACGGTATCCGGATTGCTGCTTGGAGAGAAGCAGAGGACCAGTTCTCGGGGTAGACTTAGAGCCTAGTCGAACCATAGACTCTTCTGGAATGCCGAGATCAAGAAGGTCTTCGAGGAATTGATCTAAGGCGTGGTTGGTGTATGTGATGACGAGGATTTTGTAGCTCGTATGCTGGATGAAAAAGTGAGTTGCAAGCGCACCGATGAATGATTTGCCGGTGCCTGTAGCCTTGGTCAGTTACACTTTGCTTCGAAAATGGCTCGGGAAGCGTCAGGCATCTTCAGTGGTAGGAACAGCCAAGAATGGGATGTAAAACAATGGAATTGTGAGTAGACAATTTTCAAGAAGGAGTATTTCACAAACTTCAGGAACATCAAGAGAGGCTGGTCACGAACCTGGAGGACCCTGAATGACGCTGACCTTCCTGGATAGGGCATTGATCAGAGACTGCCGCTGGGAGTGATCCAGCTGGAAAGCCTTTTTGAAAAGATCGTTTCTAATCGTTATTTTTGCGTCGCTCGACTGAAGACGCTCAACAACATGTTGTATGAGTGGCTGCGGCACAAGATCATCCTTAGCTCCCGAGGCATCAAGCAGCTGCTCGTGCAGAGGGAGCTCCTTCATGTCCTTCAGACGCTCCAGCACCGGCTCGTACGCAAACACAGGCGTGTCCACAAGTGTGAACATGATGTCTTGCATCATCTTCAGGGCCAAGAGGGCCTTGCGTAATGCTTTGTCGTCGGTGAATTGTAATATCACCACCGGAGGAGACTCGATCAGACCATCGACATCGCGATCAACAAAAGCGAATCCAAAGATCTCATGTCCTCGGTACAGAGCACCAAAGGACTGGTGGCGAAGGTAGTTCCTGTTGTCCTCGAGCCACTTCTTTCGAGCATTCGGCTGCTTCCTCTCAAGATCCTCCAGGCCTGCAAAGCATCGGAGTGCAAGGGAACACTTTTTCCGAGCCTTTTCGTTGCCTAGCTCCAAGAAAGCCGGCCAGAGCTTGCGAAGAGTGAGAGCGGATCTTCTCCCGCTCTTTCGGCCTTGTGCAATTTGCCAGTCGTTCCTCAGCTCTCCCAAGAGGTCCTCTCTTGTCAGGCGGTACGTGTTGTCCAGGTGGGCTGCAGCTCGCTCCGACATGCCTAACTCGAACACATCTCTGGCCCGACGGTAAAAAGGTCGTTCATTCGAAAGGAACTCATCTGTAGTCGGGTAGACTGCCACTTTTCTGAAATCCGCGAAATCGTTGTCGTGCCTTCCACCCGGGCCATGGCCATCAATGGAGTTGCTGGTCGGAGACGTTCGGAGTTGCAAGAGGTGCTGTATCTTGTATCCTATCTTACGGATCTCTGGTGACGATGCCTCGATGAATGGCCTGCTCTGTGCTATTGAAGAAACATCTGCGAAGACGTCGACATCCGCGGCCTCGGGTAGTGAGAGGAGCTCGAAGCAGAACCACGCAAAGACCCTGGACGCCTCTTCATCTAGAGCGCCGCTCTGGGAGGCAGCAACAACCTTATTCCAGAAGGTGGGCGGCTTGGCAATGGCCGTAAGGGCCCTTTGAAGGATTTGGCCGTCCGCGAGCATTTTCAACTGGTCGTCTTCCAGGTAGGCAAGGAACGGCAGTGTCTGTGTGCACATGAAAGAGGTTGACAGGTCTACGCGGACAGCCTGGTGGAGAGCCTCGATGCCATGTTTGCTTGCGACGATAGCCTCGACGCAGAGACTCGGTGTTGGCTGGGCTTGCGCAGCCTCGAAGAAAAGTTTCACATTGGCATGTTGGACTTTCCTGTTCCCATTGAGGACGCTATGAAAGAGACGGGCGAGTCTTCCGGTTCTGGCAGCGTCTGTTGACTTTGTGTTTTGACCAGTGAGGGACATGTTGGATATCAAGAGATTCAGAAAGTGAAATGAAAAACATGCAAAGGGTAAGGAGCAGAATTTCTGGAAATCAGCAACAGAGGCATGGACCAGAGAAGATGTCGAGTTTTGTGGTGGTGCTGTTGAATTTCCAATCCAGGTACCCAAGATCAAACGAAGAGATATACCCAGACGTCAGAGCCTCGCAAAAAGCCTGACAGAATCCTGTACTACCTAGGCAGACCAATCATGGAATGAGACAAAGGAAAACAGAAAGCTATTCGTCGAATACGTCCGGCTGTTGGTGATTTGGTGGATCTCCTGCATTGCCAGATCATGCGGCTCAGCATGAGGCCTACTTGCCAAGCCCTGTGCCACCAGAAGCTCATTCCGATGGGTTTGCAAAACGGGCCTCGGGCATTTCGAAATGCACAAATTGGCGAATATGGTCTCTCAGATTTATCAAGTCGCGCGTTTCGCAGGGATCGTCCCTCGCTGCCTGCTGCTGGAGCACAGAATGGGCAAGGCATATTCGTGGGTGTGGGGCCACCTGTGTAACCATCACGAGGAGGCCAACACATCAAGGCAGGGCAAACGAGACCCAGCCAACCGAGGGAGGTAGCCAAAGGTCTGAGGAGATACTCATCCTGGTCACATCCGGCAAGTGCATTGGTTCTGAACATAAATATGCTCCAAAACCAGAACCTGACAGATCTCACTCCTAATTCCGCGTCAATCATCCACCAGCCAACACAGGTCTCCCACCAGCATCTTGCGATTTCTCGGTCAATATAGTCTTCCGGTAACAACGACTGGGCATACCAATTATGATGAGCTTCAGAGATTCTTACAGCAGCAGGCCATGGGAAGAAAACAGAAGAGGGCGCGGGCGGGGCGGGTTCCAGCGCACAAGAGGTTCTTACCAGGGGTTCAGTGGAAGATCTGCACGTGGAAACTATGGGCCGGGCACATCAGTGCAGCCTCCAACCGCCGAGCCTCCCCTGGGATCTCTTCTTTCTACACTCCGCCAGGCTGAACTGACCAAGGCAGCGGGAACGTATGAGTCGGAGTCCGTCATCACGGACTGCGTGACTGTGACTTCATACAACTGGTTGGACAGACCCACGCCGACAATTGCCGTTCCGGGTAAGCATAACTGTCTTTACTGCTCGGCCTCCCTAACAAGCTTGTAGGTAAACCCGCGAGATGGACGCCGCTTTCTGAGCCACGACAGCTCAAGCCTGACGACGGGGAGTACTTCCGTGACCCCAATGCCGCGCATTATCCGAAGCATCCCATGGAGCCCACAGTCCTTGCTGTGTTGGCTCAGAATGCTCGACACGCGAGAGAGAATGATGTTGTCGCCTGCGGCAGTACTCTCGGCAACCTTCTGCGGTTCATCCGAGGTGAGGACAAACAGTTTAGGTTCTTGGTGGAACTTGTCGAAGGGGCGGTATTCTTCATTCGACGGGAGAACGCACCGCGTGAGCTCATCCCGAATATCCAAGGATACGGTCACTCGTTCCCAGAGGCTTACACCACGTGGGATACCGACGTCAAGGGATCTGTGTCACACCAGCGGGTCATCTCATACCGGTTTGGAGGACTTCGCTTCCTTGTGAGATTCGAGGGCGATGGATACATGCGGTCAAAGAAAGAAGACGAGAATGGCACTCATACTAGGCACCCTCATGCCGATGAGAGAAACCCGACAAGTGCAGTCGATGGATTGGCAGCACTGCTCGACCAGAGCCGTGTGACTGCTGTTGTTCCACCCAACTCCTCTGAATTGACGGTGTCCTCTGCTGGGAAAGTGGTCGAGCAGGAATGCATCTTCGAACTCAAGACTCGGTCCATCCGGAAGAAAGAGGCGGCAACGGCCGAAGACACATTTGCAGACCAACTCCCCCGGCTGTGGGTGTCGCAGATCCCCACCTTTATCCTGGCATATCACAACCGGGGCACATTTGAGGATATCACCGTGAGAGATGCGCGCAAGGATGTGAAGACATGGGAACGGGAACAGGTCGATGCTCTATCGCGCCTCGCCGCCCTCGTCCATCACATCATCGAGCTCGTCAAATCAAGGCCAGACGGGAAGCTGGAAATCCGTCACGCCCAGGTAGGAAGGCTGGAGGTTCGTGAGCAGCTGACGGATGCTGGTGACGCATTGTCCGACCCTGTGAAGATCTTGTGGGCAAAGGAGAGGGGCATGACTGAAGATCTCGACGATGACCAAGATTATGATGACGACGGAGACGAATTTGGCTGGGATGAAGGGTCGGAGCCGGACTTCACTGCATGCTCTGCTGATGACTGTGGATACTGTGGACGATGCTCGTACTGAGGCAGGACTCAGCTCAGGATTGGCAGGTGTGTTTTTGACATGGACAAGAGGTATTCTCATAGTGTGCCTGCTTTGAGCCGGAAGGTTCCTAACCTACCTGCCTAAGGTAGGTCGGTCGGTACAGTACATATGTACTTGCAATTGCTGTCGACAGGTGGTCCGCAACTGGCGAGAGATGTGTGCCTGAGGTACCTAGGTACCTAGGTATCCAGAAGCGTTGGCGCACCTGCCAGCTCGTGTGCTCGATTGAGAAATTCCCATACTCCTTTTACAAGTCAGCCAGCATTTGGCTCATCATGCGAGCGATCATGTGCGTGTCAGCGTAGCGACGAAGACGCAGTGGCCATACCTGCCAGTGTAACCGTCTCGGGCAGGCTCACATATCTCGGATCCGGGGCACCGACGACCGTGGGATTCCCAATGGTACGACATGACTGCTCCGCATCGTTTGCTTGACCTCGATGCCTTCGATTCACCAGTCGCAAGAGACGGCCTGGCTGCTGTCAGCGAAGCATCAGCCAGTGCAGCAATGCTCTGGCCCATGACAACCACCCAGTCTGCCACCCAGCCACCCAGCCAACCACCTCGCCAGCGAAGGGATGCTCGGAGCTGCCAGACGCAAGAATCCCACGGTCGGACAGACTGTGTTTGATAAGAGGTAGCTTTGCCATTCGTCTATGCCCTGTCCTCCTCGATAATGCCCTGCTAATCCAGAAGGTGCTGGGAAAGAAGCACAACCTTGCCAGGCACACCTGAAGCGGTGAAGACGTGCGCCAGCCTTGGCTCCCACGGAATGCTACATACAGTGCAAGCCCGAGACGAAAGAGGCCTAGCAGGCTAATGATGCCTTGCAGCAAAAGGCATGTTGATGCTGGGTCGTCATGCGATTATGACATTCAGCGACTGCGTCCAGAGATCGATATTGCAACCGTCACGGGAACGGACGTCTTGGGAAATGCTGCCACTCATCAGTCGTTCCCGGCTCGCCCCGTACCCAGACACAGGCACGCACCGTTGGGAAATACGTGTCTGTGTCGACCCCAGACCCCGCGTCCTGACCCCACGCCTGCCGCTTCATGCCCCAGGTACGTGAACCCGAGTACTCCGTACTACACTATGACACTTCCCACAGGCTGACCCTGAGATACGCATTTCTCCTGAGACCAGGACCCATAGCTGTGTTGAGACCCTGTCTGCGTCTTCCCCGCTGCCAGGTGGCCTGGTTGCTGGGTGTAAGGGTGAATATGAGCAACGCCGTTACGTCAAACCTAGATCCAGCACATCGCCTGGCAGGTTTTGTGGCCATTTCGGCCAAATTGATTACCACTACGTACATTGTACCGAGCGTCCAGCGTGGGGGTACGGCCCCGTTCCACCTGTCGTGGGTGCATTACCCAATGTACACAGTAACAGGCACGCGACATCCGAGCCGTGGCTGGGGCTGCTGGGTAAATGCTGTCTCGCCCAGTGACTTCAGAAACCCTGTCTCGACTCCTCTCGAGAGATGCGCAGCATGCTGCATGCCCAGCGACTGTTGCAGAATACCTGTTGATCAGCAACATCGGGATTACCGAATTGGGTGGAATTCGCCATCCCAGACCAGGACAATACCACACGCCGTCCAAGAGAGCCCTCAGCCTTCGAACCCGCTCCAAGCGTATTCTGCGTCACCGGCGACCCCACTGACCATATGGTGTTAATCGGCCGGCCTCCGATTCGGTGGATCGGCCGCTTGCGGAGCATTTCGACGCGATGAGATGCGATGTCCTGCATCTGTCTGCATTTGTTCGTCTTATCGATAACTAGGGAACCATTACACTGGATATTTTACACTATTACAGGGGGGCCTCTTTGTCGTCGGCCTATCGGACTGCGCAGCCTGCCTGCTGCTGCCCCAGGCTGGCTGCGCGGGCTGTGCTGGCTGCATTGCGAGGCAAGTTTGGCTGGGACGTTGATGGGTGCATACAGCCGAATCCGTCCATCTTCCAGGGCCCCCGAGACCGCCCATCGCACGCGCATTCATCCGCCTTTTCCATCAGCCTTGGGCGCCAATCTTGGCCGATTCTGACTCCCATATCTGACGTTGAATTTGGGTTGCAGAAATACAAGGCAAGGCATTGGTCGCCTCCACTGACTCGGCTCCGATCCATTACGTGACGAGAACTCAACTCTCTATGCGGGTGCCGGCACCATCCTTTCCCTGTTACCTAATGACCACTCCCCTTCCGGCATTTCTTCGCACCCCGTCGCCGTCGGTGTCGCTGGTATCCTCGACATGCCATGTGCTGCCTGCAGTATCGCGCCTGCCAGCTTCAGCCGCATGGGGCCCTGCAAACCTCGCTGCCAACACACGCGAAACACCTGCCCCCGGCCTTCTCACCTGCTGTTAGCAACCCCGGCCCGGACTGAGTCCTGTCGACTTGGGCTTCCGAGGCGGCCCCAGCCGGCTTCCGAACATTTGCAATTGTCATTATGAATTTCATCCTTGATAAAGGTCACGCTTTTGACTGCCCGTTATCAGTCCCTCGTCACAGCGCAACGTTCTTAGTCTTGGTAAACGCTGACCGACATGAAACACCACCATCGCCCCGAGTCTGTTGAAGATGAGGTCGATCATCGGGCCCCATGCCACAGGCCACAGACCGCAGTGGCCACGCAGCTAACCACCGCCCTCTGCGCCTCTGCTTTCACGCAGAGATGGGGCTAATTTGGCGGGGCCCCGGCACAGCTTGACATGGATGAAGTCTGTTCTATGTCTCTCTGCCGCGCGCTCGTGCGACTGACTCTGGGCAGCCAGTCTGTCTCATTGCACTGCCAACACCATAGCTTCCCGGCAGGGGAACGACCGGTTTTCTAGCTCACCCGCCCAAATCACTGTATCACAAGCATTTCTGTGCCCTGGACCGTTGAGTCCCCCCCCATATCCATACGTAGTACCCAAGGTCTTGCCCTGTTCCGCCTGGCACACTTGTGAGCCCGAATTTCCCGGGTGTTCGTGGGACGGGTAGAACATCTCACCTCTTTCTTTGACCACCATACCGTCATTCTCACATGCTTTCCTTTCCCACCCTTTCCAGAAACACCCTCCTTACTTCCTGTCATCTCCAGCTGCACGCTATCCTTCTTCATTTACTTTTGTTGCATCCTCTTGCATACCTTATCGCCGGCCAGGGAGGACAATACGCGGACACGAGACCTAGGCTGTCATTCGCCCAGACGACTTATGCCTGACGGAAATAATTCTCAATACAAATGACACAGATAAGCCAAGCTTATCTCATCCTGGTTTCGATCATCATCCAGGAACCCCTAGCCCTGGCCCAGCATATCGCGCACTCGGGCACTTCAGGTCCTCCTTTCTGCTGTGGCACAATTTCCTCGCGGACTCCCTCTCATTTCCAACGAAAAGCTGGTGGCGCGGAGCTGTCCCCGGTGATAAGATCAGACGGGTGGCTTGTTCCTGCAGGCCTGCAACTCACGCCCGCGGCACTTGTGCGTCCCCAATAGCTACAAGATATCGCAGTCAACGGGCAACCATATAGCACGGGCACAGTGTAGTCGCGCCTGCATCTTGTACACCCGTGGTACGGGACGTGCATATCGTCAACGCGATAAGCTCTTGGGTACCTGACCGTCCCTTGAATTATATTTATCCCCCGCGGCTCTTGGACTCAGGTGTCCATCCCGTCCCATCCCCCCGGACGTCCTTATCTACGGGCTCCCCTTATCAGGCATCGTCAACAGGGCTTTTGCCACCGCGGTACCCCGTCGCGCTGCTCTTTTGGCTTGGGGACAAGCCACTACTCTTTGGCTGTCATTTCTCGCTGACAGCATCGTGCTCGCCTGGGTTGCCTTAGCTGGACTGGCCTGGCGAATTACATCACACCATCTGCAACCGAAGCAATCATCCCCCCCAAAGACGCCTATCTGAGAGATATCACCGTCACTGTGCGACGCGGGGACCCCCAATATTTTTGGTCTTGCGGCCAGCAAGCCCCGTAAGACGGTACGCATATACTCTGGCAGTGATAACCGGACCATTTCGAGGCCCGTGTTGCGTGGACCACCCTGGGCAAAGGTGATCGCTCACACCTGCTGCCGGGAATTAGTCGAATGAACGGTGTTGTGGCTGCCGGCCTTGTTCCTCTCTTTCTCTCTCGACCTTCAATATGTCGATGCCAAACGCTGTTTACAGGACGGCTCCTATAGCCATTGCCCCTAAGCCCACACGGTTCTCGACGACCGGCCGTCCTGGAAATATACACACAGATACATATTCCGGAAGCTACAACCACAGCGGCTTCGACACCCCGGACTCTGTTGGTTCCCCCTCGACAGGAATTCCTGCCTGGCCCTGCGAGGCCTGCCAGTTACGCCGGATTAAGTGCGTGATGAGCGACGACGACGACGCCTGTATTTCCTGCCGGACTCGGGCCACAGAGTGCTCGTTGGTTGGTAGCCCACCTCCTCGGAAACGCAAATTGCATGGCGATCATAGTGAGAGCAGGAGCAAAAGAGGGTCAGTGACTTTACCCGCACTCAGATAGCAGTCCGCATACCCCGTCCCCTACCAGTTTTACGCGGACCGCGACGTATTGCTAGTCTTATCTGCGTTTGCGAACGTCTCTGCTGGGATCAGGCCCCTTGTACCATATGTGACCACACATTGACTGACACTTGATTGGCCCAATCTAGCTCACCTGGAAGGTATGATAACAGGAGTGGACGTCAGCAACACTCCAGCTTGTCCAGCACCGCTGCCAGTAATTCCTTCATCGAGGAGATGGCCAACTTCGGGGGGCCGACTCTTCTTAAGCGTAGCCTTGGGCTGCAAGAAGACCGGTACAGCCAGTATGTCGGACCGACGACGGACTTTGAGCCGTCCCTGATCAACCTCTCCACCTTTGATCCCCACGATGAAAGCCTCTTGTCACGAGGGACGCTCCGGAAAGTCAGTGACGATGACACCTTCTTGCTTCTCCCGGATAAGAACACGCCGGGGTATGAGCACATCTTCGATGACATCGACGAGATTGAGAGCATTGTCGCGCCGCATGGGAAGAAGCTTGTGGACCTTTACTTCCGCATCATCCACCCGGCCTACCCGATCATCCAGAAGAATGTGTTCTATGAGAAGTATGAGCGCTCACCTAGGGAATTCTCGCCGCCTCTTCTCGCCGCCATGTACATCCTAGCCATCAATTGGTGGGACCAGGACGACGACCTCTCACCCCTCCCTCGGCCCAACGTCAGGCGCCTAGAGAGGCTGGTCCGCACAACGCTCGCCGATGCAATGTACCGACCGAAGCTGTCAACTGTCCAAGCTGGACTGCTGCTTTCGCAAAGACCAGAGGGTGACCAGTGGGCGCCGACGGCACAATTAATCGCTATCGCACAGGAACTTGGTTTGCATCTCGACTGCTCGCATTGGAAGATACCTCTATGGGAACGGGGGCTGAGGAAACGACTTGCTTGGGGCCTGTATATGCAAGACAAATGGGGTGCACTGGTGCACGGGCGGCCTTCGCACATATTGGCGTCGCAGTGGGCCGTCCAGCTCCTGGGGCCGAACGACTTCCCCGATGCGGAGTGGGAAGAGGACGATGCAGACGGAAAGGATGACATCGACAAGGGTCGTACGCTTTTCTCGCAAATGGTCCAGCTAACACAGATCATGAGCGAAATACTCGAAACATTCTATACTCTGCAGGCCATGCAGAACGTCAACAACGCCGGGTCGCAGGGGACTCATCTCGTGCTCTCGCTGGCCAAACCGATTCAACTGAAGCTGAAGGACTGGTACGCGGCGCTCCCTGCGGCGATCCGAATGGATTCGACGTACCAGACACCCGTGGCCAGCGCGAACTCCAACCGCCTGTCGAGCATTGGATACCTGCACCTGGCCTACTTCGCCACCGAGATCACCCTCCATCGCCGCATCGTCAGGTCCCTGGCGCAGACACATCCGGCCCCGTCTTCGAGCGACTCGGGCGCCCCTTCCACCACAACACCGTCAGCTAGCGACAATTATATTCTTCACATCTGTCGCAACGCTGCCAAGGCGCGGCTCATCTCGGCCATGGACTTTGTCAACCGGCTAACGCCCTCGCACCTACGCGCATTCTGGTACTTCGCTTCCAAAACCAACTTCGCGCTCATCGGAACCTTCGGCTCGCTATTGTGGGCGACCAGCCCTGGCCGCGAAGAGGCCGAGTGGTACCGCCGCCGCCTGGGCGAGTACCGCTGGACGCTTTCGGTTTCATCGAAACCCGGTGAGGGCCGCGGCTTGACCGAGTTTGCGATGGGCATGCTCGACATCTCCACGGGCCTGCTCAAGAAGCTGCCCGAGAAGCCCGCCACCATGAGTCGCTCCGGAAGCCTGACGGGCCTGGCTAGCGCGGCCGGGCCCAGGCGCTCAAGTCTCCTTGCGTTGGGCGGAGGCGGAGGTGCCGGCACCGGCATGGGAGGCCTTGCATCCGGCAGCTACGTCGTCTCTGGAGCCGGGGGCGGCGCGGGCGGCGGAGACGGTGGTCTCATGGACCTAGACACGAGCGGCGGTAGCGGCGTGCCCAGCGGGATGCACTCGCCACGCAGTCAGGGTGACGACGCCGACGGCAGCGACGACAGCGGAAGTTCTGACGAGGCGATGGGTTACGGCGGGGGTTTCGCGCCCACGGCGGGTATGGCGAGCATGGCGGACTGAATGGATCGAACAGGTCGCATTCAGACCTGCGTCGCAATTTCGTTGGGTACATGGTTCTTTTCACGAACAGCACTGGTTCAACAACCGAGACTTCTGAGAGATCAAGCTCGAATTACTGGGAGGGTGGTCGAAAGCGGCCATTTCAACAGTGCGGTCGTTAATCAACCCCCCCCCCCCTGTGGGTGCAGGGGCGGCAGTTGAGCCGCATTTCAACCACGCTCACGACATATGGCGTGCTCAAAGCGCGTGCTTATTACCAACAACTCACCACCCACCCACCGTGTGTGGACGGTATGAATGGGCGGCTACGAACGCCTGCCAAAAGCATAGAGCTGTGACACACATGAGACCTCGGCGGCGCGAAGGAAGATCATTCGCGCAAAAAAGAATGAAGCAATGCCGAGGGCTGATGGCGTCGTCTGTCCGCTCCGCGCCCACATCAAACCACGACAACCACACTCATCCTACCAATGTAGATACTGTAGGTATCACTGTGGTGCGTGGGGGTTTGAAGTGGGTGTTTATGTATTTTTCTTTTCAGGATTATCATTACGCTGTAGATGATTGATGGGTCGGACGAAAAACAAGCGAGGCATCTTCGAGGGAATCAGTTGGGCATTTCTCTTTTCTCACTTCTCCTTCCTCCTACTTTCCATCTTGTCCATTGTCACGTCTCGATCTTGCATAAGTAGCAGCTTCCGTCTAAAATACCCTCCTGTTATATAGACATGTCTGCAATGCCATCAACATCACCCTCCATGGATTGTAGTTCTCAACACCTTGGCATGCTTCAAGCCTGTTCGATCGACACATGTCCATCGCAGCATGTTTGTGGTATGTCTTACTGCATGTTTGATTCTCTACGTACACAACACGGGAAATCGTGGTGGTCTCCCTGCACATGTGCTATGTCCGTGTAGTTGACTGCGGCGAAGCGCCACCATGCATCACATGTGCACTTGATCGTGCCGGGCGGAAGTCCAGCCTGGCTCGAGGCCCAGTGATGGAAAGACCCATGTGCATGTTTTCTTCACAGCCCAAATAGAGACGTTCCATGAATCGATTCGATCACCTCATCTCCGTCAAGGTTCTCTTCCTGGCTGACCAGATCTTGAGTTCATGTGATATGCTAAGGATCACCATTCTCCCCCACCCAACCAGGGATCGCTGCGGCCCGCTTTGGTTGTTCTTTGCGGCTACAGTAGGAGTCCATGTGGGTCTTGAAGTTGCTCCAAGTTCATGTCTGCAGCATGTACCTGGAGATTGTTTGCATATAGCGACACGAGATCTCACTCATGGGGCTTAATTTGACTACTATACACGAAGTGAAGCAGGCTAAAATGGGATCTCTCTATGTAGGTGTATCCCATGATCAAATGTCGTATGCACATATACTTAAGTACCAGTTGACATGTCCTCACCCGCGAGACCTGCCATCTTGTGGGGTCTCGGCAGCTATCCGAGCCTTTATACACTAATACTTTGTACGGCACACGCGAGTTCTGACTCGATCCCGACGGGTTCTCAGCACTAGACAATATGACATCGGAGCATATCCTGGTCAGAGGGTCGTTGGCTCCCCTTTGGCTCCCCTGTGTGCCCTTCCTCCCTACCCATGCATGAAATAAAAATTGGTGCTTGTTTGAGTGGTGAGCATCGATCGACACGTATTGTTGACGAGCTTGCTGAAAAGTCGTATCATTGATGCCATGTTTCAACATCTGCAGTGAGTTTACTGCTAGCACGATAATGTGCACATGCAAGCCTAATAATGCATGTCTAGCTACTGCATACCGCACCGCTCCAGCTGTGGTAGTACTTCGGCTCGCTGGCCCAGCACGTGGGCTGCATTGCAACCGTAGGATGGTGTGGCTCCTATTGATGGGAAAGCTCACCCGCTCGACCATGACCCGCAAGTAGTCCCACGGCAGACATGGATCAAAAGTAGTGCTCGTACTACAATGGGCCGAGTTTCCCCTTGATCTGACTGATTTCGAAAGCGAAAGGGCTGAAGAGCGATCGGAATGGTTGCGGCTACTGCACGCCCAGGAATAACCTTAAACATACTCCTTCTCTTGGCAAACGGGTGCGGCTGTGTATAAGGCTGAGAGGAGCATGGGCTCGCCTTGCTGATAGTTAGCTTTTTGGGCTACCTATGAGCGTGTCCCGCGATACTCAAGCTTCCCCCTTCCATATCTACTCGGTCCCAAATGCGACACCAACCCACAAATGCCCGTACCCCGGCTCTCCACCATCACCCTACCTGGACGTGTACTCTGCCACCTGTGCCTGATATTCGAGTCAGGGCCATGCTGCTCTCGCCGGAAGGGTCACATCGGGACCCGATAGTCTGGTATGGACGTTGAGCGGTCACCAGCATGGGCTCCAGGGCAACCAAAGAAGGCGGACGGGCGGCTCATCGTTATCGGGAGGAGGGAGCTTCCAGCCCGAAGGAGCTCCACAGACGCAGGAGAAGGCAGATTAGACATGGCATTTCGATAATGCCTTCCAACTCCTCTGGTGCAATATAAAAGGTCGGTCGTAGTTTTCCACTCGGGCTGGCTGGTTTGTGACACACACATCCTCAGCCGTTTTCTAGCCCTCTACTTGTTACGCCAACAATCCCCTTCCAATCTTCAAAATGGTCGCCATCGTCCGCCTCGGCCTCGTTCTGCTCGCCAGTGCCATCACGGCACAGGCTTGCACATACTGCCAGTGCATGTTCCAAGACAGCAGCCACTGCTGTGTCTACTCGGTAAGCAACCAACCATACAGAACCCCTACCGAGTTCTAGCACGAAGAGGAAACATCATACTAACAAGTGCCCTTTCTTGTGGCAACAAATATTAGGACGCCAGTTTTGGTAACCTCGACTGCACGGCTATCTGCTCCGGCGCTCACCGCGCAGACGGTACCAGCAACCCCGACGGTTCTGCTGGTACGGCTTGCAACGCCGGTGGCAAGTACGAGTGTATTTCTTTCATCACTGCTCAGGGCCGCACGCCTTGCTACAAGGAGTAGAAGGGGCGTTTGATAGGGAATAACCCAATGGTCATGTGCCAGGCGAGAATTGGTCGGAGGCCTGTCAGGGGCGGGGGACGACAGATGGGTTTGAATTGCTGCTGAAGAAAAGGAAAGCTGGGTGGATTTGGAACACGTTTGATATGTACATAATGAGTGATGAATCCATTGCGCAATACTGTCTTAACCGAGAGCTCCTTTACTTGGTTGAACCCAAGAAACAAGAGGCTAGGTAGGAACTGGTCACCATGGAGAATACAAGGGTCGTTTTGAACGCATACTGGGCGGATGAAGTCCTGTACCATCTCGCTTAGAAGTCATCGCATACAAGCCTTGCCAGGACGCACCTCGACCACTCAAGCTTTCCTGTGATTCTCCGCGGAAATCTAGCCAGGGCCATCGTAGCCCCTGTGATTAACCATTTCCGGCTGATCACCCGTATTAAGCGACCAAAAGGGCTCCTCCTGGACTGACTCGATGGTCCGAGTGTTTTCCCAAAGAGGTCCTCCCCATGCCGCACGGTCGCGGAGCTTGCCGGTGAGGATATCACGCTGGCAAGCTCAGCGGCTGGATTGTGATAGCAGCGGGCAGTGGGTGAGCTCACATGCTTGTATCAAGAAAAGATACCTTGAACTCGGTATACCGCCCACTACAGTTGCCTCTTTCGTCAGCGCGTGCAAGATGAATAGTCTGAATAATTTCCATCGTGGAGTGGACTTCCACCTTTCCGAATGATTCTGTGCGTCGTAGTCTGCTCTTGCAGAACTATACAATGTTGTAGTTCTGACTTGCGGGAAATCGACAATCACGGCCAAGGTCCGAGATAGAGGCGTCGGTAGCCGACACGATAACAGGAGACATATTGTTTACTCCTGGGAACATCTCAACCCGCCTTCCCACAACCACGGACTTTTATGCCGACTGCGGGTATACCGAGCACCAAACGCCTTATGTGCATCCCAAATAATCACAGAAGATTTCCCACCGCATAATTATTATCCACCTATCCGGACCTCACTATCCCCGTGTAAAAAAAAACAAAACCAACGCCGATGGCGTGCGTGTCCTAGATGGCCGATCGCCCCGGCCAGTCCACGAGCCCGGCCTCATAGACGGCCCCGAAATGCCCCAGGCCGAGCTCCCTGCGCGGAAACGCCAGCACCTCCGTGTACTTGAGGCCGAGGTGTGCGGTCAGGACCTGCAGCAGCCTGGTCCCCGCGGCGGGGCCGACGGCCCAGCAGGAGCGCGCGCGGTGCAGGAGCACGGCGTAGTAGGCCAGCACGGCGACGAGGTCGGGCAGGCCCGCCGCGAGGGCGTCGAGGAAGGCGCCGGGGACGGAGAGGGCCCACCAGATGGGGAGATGTTCGGGACTGGAGGAGACGGGAGGAGAGGTGCTGTTAGTATCGGCGGTGGTAGTGCTACCGCTGTTGCTGCTGATGCTGCTGACGCCGTCGGCGGACGACGACGAGGAGCCGGGTGGCGCGTCCGCGTTGCCCAAGTCGATGGCGACCTGGAGCAGGTCCACGGCCGTCAGGCACGCGGCGAGGACCTCGGGCGACAGGCCCTTGAGCGCCGCCACCCTTGCGAGGAGGGCGTCGGTCTCGTGGCCGGCGGGCTGCCTCTCCACCATCGCGCGGCCGTTTGCCAGGAGCGGCCGCAGCTCTGACGAGGAGTGGGCCGCGGCCAGCGCGTGCGTGCTCGCGCTGCGGTGGAGCCGGACGTACTCGAGCCACCTGAGGAGGAAGTCCTGTAGCGAGCCGCGCTGCTGGCACTCGTCCGCCTCGCCCTGCCCCTGCGGTGCGGCTGGCTGCGCTTCGAGGGCGGCCAGGGTGTCGCACAGCGCGTGCGTGCCCAGCATCGACGCAAAGGCTAGGGTCGGCGTGCTCTGCCTTGATCCTGTTGGCAATGGCGAGGGCAAAGGCCCCGGGTTTGAGGCGTCGAACAGGGCGAGGGCGTGGTTCTGGAGCTGTACTGCTAGTTGGAGGTAGGAGGCCTTCTTGTCGCCGTCAGCTGCCCGCCTGCTCTTGTCGCGAGCTGATATCGCCAGCAGCTGGTGCATTAGGTAAGGTACATGTACAGCGTGCTCTAGGGCGCTGTTTTTCATGGCGTCCGCCATTTCCGGGGTTGCGAGGCAGAAGAAATAGTTGCTAGAGGGCGGGTTTGAAAAGTGATGATACAACTCCAGATGTGCCATGTTGACGTTCGGATCGTCCCCACCGGAGCCTCTTGCTGTGAATACCGTCGGTCTTGGTCTTGTGAGACCTTCTCCTAGCCCTCGATTGGCTGATACAGGCGGAGACGGTGGCGAGAGGGCTGAGGCTGATGTTGGACATGGCGCTGCGCTGCTCACAGGGGATCTCTGCCCCGGCTGGGCTGGGGGCGACGCAGCACCGCTTCTTGCTGGGTACTGACATGAACGTTCTGCTATGCCACAGTTTAGACAGTTTGGCCGAGTCTCATCACACTGTTGTAGAGAGTAGAGTTAGTTGTCATTTGGTCCGCGGTCGTTACGGTCCTTGATTAGTTATCAAATGTGTGTTCGAACCGAGGCCCAAAACGCAGTCTCCAGCCCAAGCTTCCGAAATCTCTCTCCACCAGGCCCACCGTGTAGTGCTCTATGACAGAAATGGGCATCACAAACCTTGATGTGTCGTCTTTTGCACTCAAGACATCCTCGCCTTGACTTCTTGTGGCTTCTGCGCAACATCTTTGCGGCGGCTTCTTCGATTGATACCATGCCACGCGGGTTCGTGTCATCCGAAACCCGTGGATCCCAACGCAGGACCAGAGGAGGAATACACGTCTTCATAAAAAGCAGCTGATCCGGATCGGGAGTGAGACTCGTAACTCTTGGCCCAGGCTGCGGGCCACTTTCGTGGCGAGACGCCCCCTATGGGGTGCACAGGGCGACTAGGCCTGGGGTTCTTATAAGGTATCAACGAGCAAGGCATCAATTTACCCAGCTTCTGCTCTGCCGCTATCCTGCGAACTCTAACGATTCGACAGGGGGTTCAAGAAAAGAAATTGGCATTGCGCATTTCAGCTCTAACACAGCATAAAGTCGAGCTCAGCAGGGGGCTATGTTGGTAATTCCTTTGTCAGTGTCGATTCAGAATTGCTGTGAATATCATCGCTGGCGCTGTACGATCTCCGACCTGCACTTTGTCACGACCCTTCTCAAGGATCATGTCGGTGAGACCTGCCGATAGTCGGTCTGAGAAGTGTTATTAATCTGGTACAAAAATGGCTGAGGATGCTGAGCAGGGCCAAAGTAGTCGCACCGGGACCAGTTTAACCCCCACCGGGAAAACCTGCCCTATTCGAGCGAGCTGCACAAGAGCTGCCTCTTGGCAGCAAGCGGACAGGGCCGTCATCCCACTTACCGAGCGTGTGTGCAAACTTTCTCTTTTAAGTTAATTTTGAGCGAAACTTGATCATCACCCACCGCGCTAGGCCCCTCGGACGATCCGACCGTCGCTTTCGCATAGACGGTACGCGTGTGTACGCGTATACATCCGAGTCGTACGTAGTATGGCGTCTGGACACCTCAAACTAACGCATGAGTAGCGGCTCCGTGACCTCGGATCGAGGTCAAACGCCTGGATGCCGCGTCTATTTTCATAGAGTTGCTCAATCGCTGCCCAACAGAGGCCAGTCGATTCACAATCTGCTGGTACTTTTAAGTATCGTAAAAATACGAGTGCTTTGCCGAGAGCCGGTGCGGGGCGGGCATGTCGCTGTCAACTCAGGGTGCGCACTGCGCAGTGGCCTGCACCATTAGTCGCTATTACGTGAGTCATCCACTCGCAATGGCGTAAGGGGGTTATGCTATGGGCTTCGAGACGGAGGAACTCGGAAAGGCCAGCTGGATGCATCAAGACGTTGTACATTACGGCGGGAGGACTTAATTTGCATTGCCACGCGTCTCAACCCCCCCCCTGATTCATGATGGCGTCTCCAGAAGACAGGACCTGGACCTATGGCGACGGTGCAGCCGGGACCTATCTGTGCTCCACCGACCCTGGCCTGCTGCAACTGGACGCCCTGAACTCCGCGCTCGGCTCGGACATGCTCTGGTGGGCTACGGCCCTGCCGGAGGACCGTTTGCAGACGATGGTCGACAATTGCATAATCATCGGTATCTATTCGCTTGAGCCCGAGAATTCGGGGCAGCCTATTAAAGGTATGGTAGCCTGTACCGCGTCTGGTGGGATGGCCGGGACTGACGTTGCCGACCGGTAGACCAGAAACGCACAATGATCGGAGCAGCAAGGCTCATCACGGACCGCGTCACGTTCGGGTACCTGACGGACGTGTATGTCCTCGCGGAGCATCAGCAGAAGGGCTTGGGTACGTTCCTGATGAAGTGCATGAACGAGATCGTGGAGGGTTGGCCGGAGCTGAGAGCTCTGTGGATCCTCGCGAGCAGCCCCGAGAGTGAGAAGCTGTACGCCAAAATTTTTGACGCTCATGATTTCTTCGCAACCAACAAAAACCCCAACTTGAAGCTTTTGGAGAAGAACGGCCCGGCCTCTAGTCACTGAATACCTCGCTGTATGTCCATGACGCCGGTTGTTCGCTGCATGTAGAGGGGGAGCCTACCAGGCCCTCAGATGCTGCTGGGTGCTGGACTTGATAGATTTAGAGGTATTGGTGTCGGGAGCCGGGAATTGTTATTAGATTGTAATCAACACTTCACTGTCTTGCCATATGCCCCGCCGGCTGCCCTCCTCATCTCGATAGCTCGCTTGTAGGGTGGCGCCGTAGGGGGCTGAATCGGATCCAGAGTAACGTGACCCTCGGGCAACTGATACGACGCATCAGAGTCAAAGGCAGAGAGATCCCCGCATGCGATGAAGGGTGCAATCCATCGTACGTCCTGCGTTTCGCCATATGTCTGATCATCAATCTCGACTTCAACCACGCCATCTGGCCGGACATTGGAGCTAGGCTCTGGGGCCACGTCCCAAGCACCCGTAGCCGGGTTCTGCATCGTCGTCTTTGCAATGATGGGCAGGCTGTCGGTCCTCTCCCTGATCATCTGCGGCAGCTTGTGTCCAACACCCAGCGGCTCGTCTAGGCTTGCTATGAATCCCGGTGGAGGCTGGAAGTTGAGGCAGACGATGAAGGCCTCAATGCTGCTGGCTCTCGAGGAGCGGGGCTTGGCCACAACGACTCGCTCGAAAAACAGCTTTAGCTGGGCGTACAGCACGTCGACGTTCCTGCCGCGGAAGATCTTGGCCACGAATTTTCCGCCTGGTTTCAGGACGCACAGGGCCAGGTTGAGGGCTGCGAACAGTAGCTGCGACTGGACGTAGATGTCCAGATCATGCAGGCCGGTCACGTCGGGCGCGCCGTCGCTCAGGACCAGGTCCACAGGGTGAGAGGCCTGCTGGCTCCTCTTTCTGGCGTCGTACTCGGGGTCCAGGGCTTTTAGGAGCAGAGGGACGGTCGCTGGGTGGGTGATGTCGGCGCGGAGGGTGACGATTCCTGGCAGCGGGCTTATGGGCTGCAGGTCTATGGAGACGATTTTGACGTCTTTGCGCGGCTTAAGTTCTTCGGCACCCTGGTTGACGTCGACGGGCACTGCTGCATCCGGGGCAAAGACACGCAACATCTGCTGCCGCAGCTGGGCCTCCTTGTCCTGCCATGCTGAGCGGCCAAACTTCTCGCCCTTGATGAGCACCCGAGACAGGACCTGCGACCAGCTACCTGGTGCTGCGCAGAGATCCACCACCCGGGTCACGTCCTCGAACAGATTGAATTCTGTGGAGGCTGTCAGTGTATGCACGTTTCATGAACTCGACAGCGGCGAGAGGGTCGTGGAGAAAGGCTGCAGCGTGTTGATGAACCGACCTTCATCGAGCTGGAGCAGCTTGAATGCACTTCGAGCTCGCCAGCCTTGCTCCTTGGCGAGCCTGTAGTAAGCATCTCGCTTGTCCTTTGAAGATTTCCCCATGGCAAAAGTGAGAACTGTTTGGGATCTAGAGTGTTCTTGAAGGTGCCGGCGGGTAGTTGGGCTGCTTCAAGGCTACCCGCCAAAAATTTCCCCTCAGGCCAGGCTGCCAGGGTCTGCAGCTCGCAAGGGTCCGCCGAGGCACTGGCTAAGTCCGCGTTAAGCATGGGCTCGGGCCCGTGAGTGTGCAGCTGCTTACAGACGATTGACAGACTGGATCTACCTGGGGGAAATCAACATATAACACTCTAGTATTGACCGCCCAAACAACGAGATTTCCCAGCCAATATCGTTTGCGGAAAACCTAGGCAGGCAAGTTGCTCACTAACAGACGTTGGTGAGGCCTGTGGCCGTAGGGCTGAATTAAGCTCGTGGTTCGTGCGGATCGACCCCCACCTAGAGCTGGCCTTCCAGGTGCATTTTTTTTTCTGCGTGCATGGAGAAGTGTTGCAGGAGCAGACAACCGCCTGCGCAACCACCCTCTTCATCCTCACCTTTGCTGTCAAGAAACCAATTCGCCACTCCACCAGTACCTCCCTACGAGATCAATATGGTGCAAAAGAGGAAAAGACAAGCGGTAGCCAATGCGCCCGTAAAGAAGAGGAAGCAGGCACCCGCCTCCAAAGCCTCCAAAGCCTCCAAACCAAAGCGCGTTGTCGACGCAAACTCGCTGGCATGGAAGCCCGTCGACCTGCCTGAGATGTTCAATGATGCCGAAGGTTTCTTCGGCCTCGAGGAGATTTCAGGCGTCGACATCGTGCGCAATGGAAACGTTGTCAAGTTTGTAAGCCATCCCTCTTACTGCTTCTGCTGCCACGCCTTGAACAGGGCCGCTAACGTCGAACGAGGTCACCGCTGACGACGACGCCCCTGCCCCTGTCGAGGACGATGGCGACGAGTTCGAAGGCTTTGGAGATGATCCGGTAGAAAGCCCTTCACACGAGGAAAGCGAAGAGACCTCTCCCTCAGAACCCGTCGTGACGCCGGCCACCAAGAGCAAAACCAAAAAAGATGTAACCAAGGAGGCACAAGAGACGCAGAAGAAGGAAAAGACGCAGCAACAGCAGAAGAAAAAGAACAAAGGAATAAGCCTGACAGAGGAGGACCAGGAACTGGAAAGCAATGTATTTGCCTCGGCTAAAGATGCTGCTGTAGACGATGCCGGCGAGGACGTGGACATGTCGAAATGGTCGAACCTCGATCTGTCGCCGCAGATGATCGCCTGTCTCGCACGGCTCAAGTTCACAAAACCGACCGACATACAGTCTGCAGCTATACGAAAGATAACCGCTGGACACGACGTCATCGGGAAGGCATCGACTGGTTCCGGAAAAACGCTGGCGTTCGCAATACCCATTGTCGAGGCGTGGCTTTCGAGGCAGGGGGCGGGCAAATCCGGAGACAAGAAATCGCCAATAGGCTTGGTCATGTCGCCGACCAGGGAGCTGGCTCATCAGATTACAAACCACATCAAAGCGCTTTGCGAAGGCCTCACCACACCTCCATACATCTGTTCGGTCACGGGTGGTCTGTCTGTGCACAAGCAACAACGGCAGCTCGAAAAGGCAGACATCGTCATCGGAACCCCAGGCCGTCTGTGGGAAGTCCTCAGCTCCAGCACCGACATATTGGACTCCTTCAAGAGGGTCAGTTTCCTAGTGGTTGACGAGGCCGACCGTCTCCTCACGGATGGTCATTTCAAGGAGGCAGAGGAGATCTTGAAGGCCATCGATAGAATGGAGGTTGACGAGGACGATGAGGGACCCGAACTCTTCCCAAGACAAACGCTGGTCTTTTCTGCCACATTCAACAAGAACCTCCAGCAGAAGCTGGCAGGGAAGGGAAAATCCAACCTGATGGATACACAAGAGTCCATGGAATACCTTTTAAAGAAGTTAAACTTCCGGGAAGAGAAGCCCAAGTTCGTCGATGTTAATCCAGTCGCTCAGATGGCACAGGGCCTCAAGGAGGGCCTGGTGGAATGTGGCGCGATGGAGAAGGTATGTCCAAAACGTTCCATTGATGGCCGTCAAAATCCAGTGGCTAATCTTCTGCAGGATCTGTACCTCTATTCTCTCATCCTGCTCCAGCCGACACAACGCATCCTAGTCTTCAGCAACTCGATCGGCTCAGTGCGCCGACTGTTGCCTATGCTGCAGAACCTCAACCTCCCAGTCCACGCCCTCCACTCACAAATGGCCCAGAAGGCCAGACTACGCTCCGTTGAGCGTTTCACAAGCGCCAAGCCAGGGACCCATTCCATCCTTCTCGCCACTGACGTCGCCGCCCGAGGTCTCGACATCCCGGGCATCGACGTCGTGATCCACTACCACGTGCCGCGCGCCGCAGACGCCTACGTGCACCGATCAGGCCGTACGGCCCGCGCCTCGCAGTCCGGGCTGAGCGTGCTGCTGTGCGCGCCCGAGGAGGTGGTGTCGACGCGGCGGCTGATCGCCAAGGTGCACGCGACGGCGAGGCCCGGGTCCGGGCTGAGCCGCAAGAGCGACTTCTTCATCCGCACCATCGACGTTGACCGGCGGCTGGTGGGGCGGCTCAAGGAGCGGGTGACGCTGGCGAAGCGGATCGCGGACGCGCAGCTGGCCAAGGAGAAGGGCAGCAAGGAGGACGACTGGATGCGCAACGCCGCCGAGGAGCTCGGCGTCGAGTACGACTCGGAGGACCTCGAGCAGGTGGGCAAGTGGGGCGGGCGCGGCAGCGGCCGCAAGGCCAAGCAGGACGAGGCGAGGGCCACGTCCAAGGCCGAGCTGGGCGCGCTGAGGGCCCAGCTGCGCGAGCTGCTCTCGAGGCGGGTCAATGCCGGCGTCAGCGAGAGGTACATCGCGGGGGGGATGGTGGACATGGACGAGCTGCTGAGGGACGGCGTCAAGGGCAACTTCTTGGGGCAGGTCAGCGGGTTGGATTTGGACGACTGAGGGGTTTACGGCGGGTGTGCTTTGAGATACCCTGGGTCTTGATGCCTGACTGAATTGACCCAACCACGTTCGTGGTATTATGGTAACAAGCTGATGTCCAAATCGTGTGCTATTGCTGTTCCCGTTGAATGCCCGTCGTCACCACGTCCTCTTGCACCTACATACAAGCTGTCTTCCTACGTAATCACAGTCCATCACGTATCGCCATCCTCCGTTCTTCCCTACTTGTGGGTTGAGGGTAAAACATGATATTGAAGTAAACAGCAAGACCTTGCACCGATACTGAGTCCTACGGGCGAGACAAGGCCTTGTGAACGGTGCCCACAACGGCGCAAATCCGGACTTGAAATATAAGCCATTTGAAGGCGAAGACTGATGCCAACTCTGTGTATATACATTACCTTGAGTGAAATTCAATGCATGTCTATATATACGAACAGCGGGCCGTGTCAAGCAGGAACAGCACGATATTTCTGGCCAAGTCGACCTAGGCAGTCAGTTGGCCGTCCATGCCCATGCGCCATAGCATCCGCTCTATGAGCCACATGAGCATTGTGAAGACTCCTAGTTACTAGTAGAGAGAGAGGGGCCCCAATTTCACACAGTCTGCCCCTGTCTCTATGATAGCAGCATGGTCCTCTCGGCTCTTTCAGAGCAATATGTCTGTCGCTGGTCAGCCCCATAGCACTCAATTCCCGAGCAGAGCAGATCCGCCTTCTGAGGTCAAGGCCCCTGACTACAAACAAGGCCACATCGATATACCTGCCAAGCTTGCACGGAGGCATCAAAGCATCGATGCTGCTACTGGAATGGGATTTGAGGTCGCAGTCCGGAACTCGTCAACCACCCAATTCGTAAGCACATATGCACCCCTTGGCGGGTGGGATCACGGCCCGCATCCAACGCACTGCCTCTGGGGTAAATTGTCCGGTGAGATGCTTGAAGCCGCCAACTGATCGCAAGCTACCTACTACCTAGGTATTCAGGCCCCTATATATTTAGGGATTGGGGACAGGTTCTTAGCGAGCAAATTTGTAGTGGCATCATGTCAAGCATTTCAAGCCTGGTGAAAGGACGTAGAGAACCTCGTGGGGGATGGTCAAGGCAGACCGTAAGATGTGCCACCGGATCCTTTGTCCTGACCATGTTGCGTTGTAGCCAGCAGGGGCAGAGAAACGAGAGGTCTGCGCAATGTCCGTCGGGATGAAGTGCCTGGAACCAGGCCTCAGGCCTCCCGACTCTGGCGGGTGGACGGAGGCCGTTTGTATGGCGCTATTCGCGCAGAGCTGATAGACTGAAAAAGATGAGGCGGTCATATTGGAATGGACGGGGGATGTGGTTGAGGTGATTTAAATTCTGATCATTACTGAGCATAGCCTGAGGTTTGCTGAGGCTAAGCGATAAGGTAGACTGCTGACTAACCGGGTCGGGATGCTATTTCTTATAAGTAAAACTATCCCCCCCTACCTTAATTTAGCTCCTAAAATACAAAATATTTATAAATATTTATTAGTATTCTTTTTCTATTATATTATTATATTTATTATTATTATTAAATTAATTATTTTTATAAAAATATTTTTTAAATTATAAATAAATTAATATTATTAATATATTAATTTTATATATAAGTTAATATATAAACTATACCCCTCTTACTTTATTACATTAGAATAAAAATAAAATAATTAATATATTAAAATATATTACTTTATATATTTCTTTTTATATATATTTTTAATTATATTTATTAACGTTATTATTAATTATTATAATAATTAATAAATTTAAAGAAATAAAATATATATTAAGTAATATATTAAAGAAAAGTAATTAATTAGTGTAATTAAATTTATAAAAATCTTATAGGAACACCTAATTTAGCGATATATTTAAGGGTGTTGTGTTTTAATATATCAACTATTTTATCCCCATCTTGCACACCAACCAACCCCCAACGTTCTGCAACCTTCCATCCGGGAACATCCCCCAACTGCTTCCCCACCCACACTTTTCAACATCGCCCGCTTCGTCAAGATGGTAGACTATAGCAAATGGGTATGTTCTCTTTGAAAGCATCGGTGTTGGAAAAGTAGCTCGTTCGACTGAATATGACCCTATCAGGACGCTTTGGAGCTCAGCGACGACTCGGATATCGAGGTCCACCCAAATGTCGACAAACGGTCTTTTATTCGAGCAAAACAGAACCAGGTACACATGGAGCGGCAGCAAAGAAAACGACAGATTCAGGCATTCGAGCATCAGCGCACCATCAATGATGCACTGGTACAACGTCTCCGCGTCCTGAAAGCCACCCTACAATCGCGGTACGCCGGCTCTATTGACAGCAAATTGAACCCAGCCGACATTGCATTCCAGGTCATCATGGAGTTGGCGTCGACCAAACCCACGGAAGATAGTCCCCCACCAAGACCAGAAGGCGTGTTCGATAGCGACCTGCCGCCTCTTCCGACCTACTCGAAGATGCTTGCGACCATTCTCGATGAGGTGAATAAGACTCTAGACGAGAGGCAAACAGAAAGGGGCCAACGCTACGAAGCCTTCGTTCAGGAGCTTGGTGTGCATGTTCAGAAGATTCAAGACCTTCAGGCAGAACTCGCCAGCAAACTTGATACACTTGAGCAACAGGACTCGAACAAGATCACTAGCGAAAGCTACCATGTCGGGTTCGATAGCTCGTACGTCAGTAGGACCAAACCGGGAGAGACATCGAAACAGGAGACCAAAGTGGAGCTGCTCAACCCAAACCATGGCATGGACGAGAACAAGCTCAAAAAGACTGCCGGCACAGACAACTCCGGAGATAGCGAGCAGAAGATTCGGCCATCTCTGGCGGCCACGCGTTTTGCACAGATCCCAGTCTCTGACTACCGCGCCAGTCGTGGCTATCTCCAGTCGCACCCAGAAATTCTCCAGAACGAGTCAGATACTGACGGGCTACTCATCGAAGCCTATTACGCAATGATGGATCAAGACGACGAGAAGCAGGCCTGGCAGTATGTCCATCAAGCTCTATTGCTGCAATACTGTCGTACGCTCGGGCCCGACGGTGTTGCACTGTTCTTCAAACGTATCACAACGCCGGGCCACCAGGCACGGGAGATCTTCGAGAAGGACGTCGCCGAGAGGTTCCGGGCAATCCACTCTATGGCAAAGCGGGACTCCAAGAAGAAAGGTGTTGAGCAGATTCAGTTGTATCCAGCAGGCGAGGATAGTTCGATCCGGATCCAGGTTCCACCAGCCGGGAGCGAGGATGAAAAGGAAAGAAAAGCTAGGAAGATCTTTGAGCGATTCTCTCCCGAGATGAGAGCAGCCTTAGAGAGCGCATCATTGGAGGAGGTCAACAAAGTCTTGGCCGAAATGGTGGCTCCGGAAGCCGAGAAAATGGTCAGCCTTCTTGACGAGGTAAGCTCTTCCTGCTTCCAAACTTGTGCGAGGGTGACACGTCCGCTGATGCTAATTTGCTCTGGTGCTATATAAGGCTGGCTGCCTGAGTATTGAAGAGGGGATCATCGATGCCACAACTGAAGAAGGAGAACGGCACTCACAGGAGATGGAAGAGGCTGCTGTAGCAGATCCTCAGCTTACCGGCCCCGCCTGACTGCACGGACTGCGACCACTCCTGAGTCTAAGTAACATGGGGAGAGCTGTTCTGCCTGTCAAGCTCCACAGGTTTATCTCAGTACTGAGATTTTTACTTGGTGCTCGTTCTCAATATCTTCGGACCGCGACACTTTGTTCGGATGGTGTGATGTTGGGGCATCGCGAGGCTCCCGACCAGGTACTGGTCAAGACCTGCCTGTGGGCTGCGTCAATCCCCGGCTTGGTCATCTGGCCCAAAGCCCGGTTGAATCAACTCCAGAATCCGGGCTGCCGGCATATCCCGATACAGGATGTCCTTTATGCACGAGGTAAGTTTAACTGAGCCAAACTCCACTCAGTAAAGCTTATCTTAGGATTATTCTACCTTACCGTAAGCGCAGTAAAACTCTATCCTCACGACTATTCCAGACTTAGGGGCAGCTCAACTCGAGGGATAACTATACAGGAATAAAAGAGGAATTTTTTCTTAGCTAGTCTTTATATTAAAATAAACGCTTAAAGTTTAAGGATTCTATAAACTAATACCTTTTAAAGATCTTATCTCTTTAAGAGACCTCCTTCCTACCTAAAGGTATATTAAGGAAGAAAGGACTATTAGTAGTTATAACCGTCACCAGAGAGTATTAGTAAGAATATCGTTTTTAAAAACCCTAGGGTGCGCGGTACGGTACTTAAGTATGTACATACTCTCTCGCCAGCCCAAGCGGCCTTGGCTTTACGTATTGACCAAGACGTGGGATCAATAGAGCCAACCGGCCATCGCTCAGATGAGATGAGGCCAAGCCGCCCATCAAGTGGCATCCACATATGCAACCTCACAGTCCGTATCGTCACAACGCAGGAAAAAAAGTTAAGAAGGCTGGCTGGCGTGAAAATGCCCGAGTGACAGACACGCAGTGCCGCAACACAACAACCACAACCCACGACGAAATCGCCCCCGCGGCCAAAAACCCAAGGAGAGTCTGGCGTGCCATGTCCCCTGTTGATGTCAGCCTAAAATAAAATCAAGAAATCTATCACCCGCCCCACCACAATACCTCCTTGCTCTGCCCCCGGTACGGAGTATATACACTACACTACACTGTAACTAAGTACTTTACTTTAGGTTTGGGCCCGGCGGCCCGGCTCATCTTAAAACTCATAAGACGGCCCAGGCCAAAAGCAAGCCACTCAGCCCCTCAATGATCCTTCCGGTTCCAGGCACGAGGGCACGGCCGGATGGATGGCCGGGCGGGGCCCCGGCCTCGCCTCATCTTAAACACGCATGCAGTCTGATCCTCTGTCCTTTTAGCCCAGTACGTTCAATCCATGTCTCGAAGAAGAAGAGAAAGAATACAAAAAAAATAAATCAAAATCGATTCCACATCACGTCACCCATGGAGCTGGAAGGATGAGGTGGAGGGGCACAGAAACAACAGGAAAAAAAATTAAGATTGGGACCAATAGAGAGTGAGAACCGGAAGATCACCCCATCGAACAAATGAACAAATAAACAAATGAATGGCCCCATCGGACACGTCGGTACCTTACAGTAGCGCCAGCAGCTGCAGCTGGACAAGGGGGGTCCTGTCCCCTCCCGTTCCCGCGCATATCATATCATACCATCCACCCTATTACATGTACTGTACAACCACGCACGTTGGCGGAGCCGCTCGCCTCGCAGCCAAACCAACCTAGCCCGGAAATGGCAGGCGCCAACACCGAGTCCCCCCTCCAGGCCCTCCCCCCAACGAGGAAAAAGGGTCTTGGGATCATTCTTCTGCCTCTGGGCGCCCTGGGCGCCTAGGAAAATCGAAATGAGGCAGAATGAAGACACAATATGCAAGTGCAACGGTCTCTTGGTCTGATTCGGCGCGCGCGTGTGTGTTGTCAGCACAACCGGCGGTAACACACCCAGCCCCCCATTCGCCCCTAAATGGCGCATGCAGGAGGGCGGGGGAAAAAAAGGGAAGCACAAGTCTTACGCGGCAGAGTATGACAGCAGAAACGTTGTCTCCTATACACCGGCTGACCAGAGACGTGATTCATAACACGTGCAAGACACCTCGCAAAAAAACGACAGAGAACGGAAAATAGGAAGAGACTGTTTCTGATATGTGCCACCATCAAAGGGTGTGCATCTAATTTCTGCCATTCGGTTCTCATCTTTTCTTACTGTCTGTTGTGACTGGATCTATCTATGCCCGCCTCCTCGCACCAAGCGACGTCCCGGTAACCTCTGCAGGCTTGTTGGTAACGCCGCCTCCGGACCATCCTCCGCCGATGGTCCCTTTCCAAGAAGTTTGTAGTCTCTCAAAATAACAATGCTTCCTCAAAAATGAATCAGGCAATCAAAATTTGGTATCATGTTGCAGCGTGGACCGTCTGTCTTTGTCCGTATGCCATCGTTCGCTCGTCCGTCAAAAACGTCAGAACCACCCGTGTTCCTTCGCACCAACCCTCGGGTAAAACAAGTGGTTCGATATCTGCCCGTGCACACAGAGCCGACTGGTTACAAAGTTGTATAGCAGGTGAAAAAGGTCCGAAGGGCCAGGGCAGTCGATGCCCGGCTCTTCATCCCGTTTGTTAAAAAGGAAAGTGGTGTGAAGAAAAAAATATTAGTCGGCTCGTGCCAGTTCGGAATCATCCTTCTTGTCCTACAGGGAGAGCAGAGCGAACATAGCGGTACCCAGGAAGGCGAGGTTGATGCCGGCCTTGCTGCTGGCGCCGGCAGTAACGACGCTCGAGCTGGGGGCGCTCTCGGAGGAGGACGAGCCGGAGCTGGAGCCGGAGCTGGAGCTGGTGGGGGTGGAGGCGTCAGAGGAGTCAGAGTCGGAGCTGTTGTTGCTGGGCTCGCCGGTGGCCAGGGTAATACCCTGGGTCACGGAGGCGGTCAGGCCGGCGGAGCTGGTGACGGTGGCGAGGGTGGAGGCGCCGCTGCTGGTGGCGGATGACTTGACGGAGGAGCTCTGAGCACCGCTGCTCTTGCCATCGCCCTGCTCGATCTTGATGGACTCGTAGGTGCCGGTGCGGTCGCCGTAGACGTACGAGCCAGCGCTCTTGGCACCGTTCATGTAGTCCTTAACAGTGACGCTCTTGTAGTAGCCGTTGAAGGGAGCCTTGGAGAAGTCGGTGTATCCACCGGCCCACTGGACGGTACCCTCGGGGGCGTCCTTGCGGCCAGCGACCCAGGTTCCGAGCTTGATCTGCATAGGGGTCTGAGGGTAGCTAGCACCTCCCTTGGCGTCGGCGTACTTCAGGGTCCTGACGACGGTGCCATCGATGATCCAGTCAAGCTTCTCGGCCGTCCAGTCGATCGTGTAGGTGTGGAACTCGGACTGGGGGTTTCCGACGCCGGAGAAACCACCGCGGTCGTAGGTGGTCGTGTCACCCTTGCTGAAGTAGTTGGTCTGGACCTGGGTGTCATCACCACCGAGCCACTCCCAGTCGATCTCGTCGAGATCGTCCGACTGCAGGACGAAGGAAGTAACAACGCCAGTGCCGACGGAGGCGCGAGCGACAACGTCAACACGGCCGAAGAAGATGTAGCCAGTGGAGGTGAAGGTGGGGGCGTCGGTCTCCTTGTTGATGGCGAAGACAGCACCGAGAGCTGGGTCGTACTTCACAGTGGTGCCAATGGCAGGGGTGAAGAAGTCATTTTCACCCTTAGTGAAGTCGATGGTCACCTCTTTGCCGATAGCAGGGTCGGCCGGGCAGCCTTGAGATTGTCAGTCAGATATACATAATCGGAAATGGTGGTAGCGGATGTAATTCAAAAACTCACCATCCTTCTTGGTAGGGTTGCAAGCGCTGAAGGTCTGGGCGCTGGTGAGGGTGGATGCGGCGAGCATCACAGCCGCGGTGGAAGCCAACCTGGAGAACATTTTGCCGGCTGGTTCTGGCTTGTGGTGAGAAGCTAGGTGGGTAGGCGAGCTTGAGCGAGAGAGAAGCGAGTGTTCAGAGCACAAGTATTATAACTCTGTTATTGTTTATGGCGAGGGTCTGGTCTGAGTGAGACAGAGGCAGATGCGAGGCCAGGAAAGTGGCAGGAAGCCGAATTTGTATATGGGAGCGATAGCGAGCGTGTGAACGGATGGAGAAACCCAAGCAAGGAAAAAATAAAAAATGTTTCAGCACAGAAGAAGTGCGTGCTATAGGAAGTGATGAGCGATGTGGAGGAAAGAGAGGGCCACGATGGATGGGCCTTGGGAAAGGGCGGGCCAGTTTATTAAGGGGAAGCGGCCATCACCAACACCAGGGCCGGACCAGGCCAGGTGCAATCCGTCATACAGTACTGTGTACTCCGTATCCGTCTAAGTAGGTACGTACTCCGTAGACACGACCACTGGAGCACTGGACTATTCCAGGGTCCATAGGTACGCAGGTACGCGGAGACCTGGCTGCGGCATGGGTGAGGTGCCGAGCAGGGTGGCAGGGTGGCAGGTGGGCTGGCACGGCTGGGTCGGTGGTGCCCACAGCATGAGGGACAAACATGGGTCAGCCAAGAGGGCTGCAGGTGCCAGTGGGTCGGATGAGCGAGTGAGGTGGCGAGAGAGTGAGTGAGTGTGCGAGGGAATGCCGGGCGACTGGCGACTGGCGACTGGGCGACTGGGCGACTGGAGAAGAGGGCCGCTGCCTGGGCTGTGTGGCCACTCAGGCGAGGACGTGCCGGGGCCAGGTCTGGTTTGCTTCGGTTTCGGTGGGGAGATATTCAGGGTTGAGTGGTGGAATGGGAAGGCTCTGGTCACTTGGGCTGCCTGGGCGTGTCTGGGCTGCGCGATTGTCTGGTTGCTGTGGCACTGCTGACTGACGCTTGGGGGGCAACCTACGAGGGCGATCCGTGGTGGACCCGGGGTTGATGGCCCATGTTTTGCGCCGAGTAGCCGGTAGGGGCTAACAACCTCCTGCAGGACCGGTGCATGTGTAATCATGTCCTCTCCTGGTCCCTGTCTTGATCCTAGTCTTGGCATCTTATTCTGCAACAGCGGCCTGGTGGACGGGCCAGGGTTCCTGACTTGCCGCACATGACAGTATTGTGCTGGCAGTACGGACGGCGTACAAGCACGCATGCTCCTGCCCTGCACTCTCTCGCACGAGAAAAGAAACCGACGAGAATTTCGACTCATCAGTGAGTGACTTGATGGCAGCAGACATTGCTGGGCCAGCCGACCGAGCCGCCGAGCCGGTGACTGAGCAAAGGAAGCGCCCCGGCTGGCCACTGCGAAGGGCTCTGTTCGCGCTGCAAATTGGTGACGATCCGGCCAGATTCCGTAGCCATTTCCCCTGGAAGCCCCAGCTCCCTCCCCTAGCCCGCTTGGGCAGCTAAGGGACCGGCCGACCCCGAGTTTTGCCGTTTTGGTGACTGGCGCTGTATTATTTTTACGCCTGTAAAGCCAAAAAGAGGGTGCTCGAATACGAAGCGACAACGGACACGCGCCGTTGGTCTCGTTTGCCCAGGCAGTCAGTCAGTCAGATTCGGGAAAGGCGCGAGTCGTATTGGCAGACGCCCAGGTAGTCAGCACAGCCGGCGAGGGCGACGCGAGATGAGCCAGATGCGAGATGTGACGCTGAGCGACCGCAGCGGTTGTGGTGCAACATTGATTCCCAGGCCCACGCCTCGCACGCCTCGCACGCCTCACACGCCTCACAGAGTAGTAACGGTCGGCGTAACGTGTTCGCGGCCCTACCCTTTGAGCCTTCTGGGGCCAGGGGAACACGGACAGGCGGCGTGATGAAGGTACGGATGACTGCTCGTCCCGTGCTCGTCAACTCGTGTCTATGCGTTTCTGGGGGAGCATCGGGGAGACATTGTCATCGCCATCGGCCAGGACGAATACGACGCGATTGACGCTGCTGATCAAGCGACCCAGAAATGATCACCAGCGAGCGGCAGGTCTCGGCAGACTCTTTGGTTGCAGATCACCCATCTGTTAGTAAAGGTCAGTAAGCGCCAGACCGTGTTTTCCCGGGCGTCTGGCTCGTGTCTCTTCAAATGTTTGGTGAGCATCCGTAAGCTTCGTGAGCTTCGTGCCTGCGTTCACGATCGGAGAGGCGGGCAAGAGCCAGAAGGGAGTGCCTGGCAGCCTGCTAGTGACCAGGATGCCAAAATTAGTTGACCAGTGCGTCGGTGACCCCAGCTCGAGGACGGGGGTGGCTGCCTGTCTGCCTGTGCACCTGTCACGGCGAGATTGGAAGGTTGTGGTAGTAGCAGAGATCGGGTAAAATGGTCCTAAACCCTGGCCTCAACCCTGGCCTCTGCCATTCTTGGGTCCCCCCTTCCCCTTCGATCTGCATCCCATGGGCCATAACACACTGTCAGACCCGACCAGAGCTCCGCGAGCTTAACCAAATCTCTAACGGTAACCTTGATTCTACCGCAGGCCTGATGGGCCATCGTCATAGGGCCTTTATTGCACAGTACGAGCCTAATTGAACGTCTCTTCACAACAGCAAGCCAGCATGCCAGATGGACCATGCCATTGTTTTGAAGACGTACCTTGTCTCACCCTGCGGCTCAACCCTCTGCATTCCTCTGCATTCCACCAGCAGTAGCTTGCATTTGTACAACAAACACCCAGCCTGCCAGCTGCCTGCCTGCCTGCCAGCCTCCTGTCGCCGGACTTCGAGAAGCTTGTTGCTGCAGCTCTTGAAACAGGGGTCAGTGTGCCAGTTGCGCCAGCTGCGCCTCCTCCTTGGACACCTGCAGCTCAAAACACCAGCCAGAGTCTAAGACGGCAATCCGGTGCATGATGGATGGAGCAGGCTGTGCCCACATCTGTGCTGTGTAGTCGTGGGGGTGCGTGCACCAGGGACTCACTCACTCGGCATCTCGCAACGTTACCGTTCCATCCGCCCAGGCATGAAGACCGTGAGGTCACGCCCAGGCACAGCTCAGCTCAGCACACCACAGGGGGAAAATACCACAGCCAATGACGCCCAGCCCTGCCCGTCGCATTGTGGCCCTACTCTCAGGGGCTGTGCTCCCAGCAAAACCTTCCAGCCTTCCATGACACACACCCGTCATGCCAGCCCCAGCCTAAAACTGGCCGGCCAATTGTCGTCTTACTCAGCCTCACTTGGCTGCTCCCACGGCCCACACCACTCTCGCGAGCAACCTGGGCGTCCCTCCGCGTCCGGATTGGGTCAACGAACGAGCAAGTCGGTGACCATGCCGATGTCTGCTGCATAGCTTCTCGGCCATCGTGCATGCCTCCGCCTGTCCACACAGAGCTGAGTATCCCAGTCGCCGTGTGATTTCGGGTCCTCGCCGAGAACCAGACGCTGCCTCGGCGCGGTTGATCAATTTGACTCCGTCGCCATCGCCGTATCCGCCGCCCGGCCGGATGCCACCACACCCCATCCCGGTTCATCTCATCTCTGCTTCCTCGCTACAGGCCCCGAGACTTGCCCACGGCAGCCCGCTGTCCATTTCGAGACGGCTCCGCCTTCCCTGCAATTTGAAACGTTCCGTCCTGCCCGTCAGACCTCCTCCAAGTCGCAACAGCAGCGGCAAAACAACGGGCCAGCCCGAGTAGGACAATTGTCCATCCTCGAACACGTGATGCCCCGTACCTGTCTGCTTGGCCTTCGCCTCATTAATCCGATGTCTCGGGGCTGGGAGGGCATTGAGACAGAATGATCATAGTCTGATGCGCTGCGCCTGTTCGTCTCATGTTTGCCGTCGTAGTCCTAACTGCGAGTGCGAGCGAGGCCTCCTCGCAATATCAAGCTCCCAAACCATTATTACTGTGTACTCCGCGCCAACGGCAGACATTTACAGTGTCCAGGCTCAAAGAAACCTCCGGTGCATCATCTTCAAGATGAGTGGACACATACTGCAGGCCCAAGTGGTACACAGTACTTTCGTCCTGAAGTCCACCATATAGCGGATCCCAGTGTTCTATTCTAGTCGCAAGCGTGAATCATAACCTCCCCACACATGCACGTGATGGACGTGGCTTCGGCGTGAAGCCGAACCCGGAGCCCGGATTCTCAGAAGTAGCAGATTCTCCAGCTGAAATGACAGAAAAGGGAATAAAAAAATTGATGGCTTATATAACACGAGGGCTCAGGGGCGGCGTCATAGCGGCCAACGCCCGTCTGCGTTGAAGATGACAACCACACTCACTTCTTCGCTTATTAGCAAATCCAGGTGCAGCTTCAAGTATTTGCGTGTCTTATTACACAATAGTCCAGCTCCCCCCTTTAAACCAGACTAGGACGGGAAAGGGTATCTACCCACCTGCAATGTCCACCTCTTGATTCAAGACCACATGGTCGGATGCGGGAGCCGCTAGCCTCGTATTAATTAACGCTCTCATCATTGGCACCTGCCAACAGCCGGCGGGACTCAATGAAGGGGTGCGGGATGGGTCGAGAGAGAGAGAGGAGGGGCGGTGGGGAGACCGGGGATTTTAATAATTCGGCTCTGGGGAGAAAGAGGTTAGTCCGGATGGATCGTGACGAGCTGATGAGATTGATGTGCCGGGCTTCCACGATGCTGGCTCTCTTGCGTGCCTGGGAAAAGGGCTGAAGGGGGGCGGGCTGATGGGGGAGATGGGCTCTTGGCTGCTGCCATTGTCCCCGCTGTTGAAGTGCCGTTGTCCGGTTGGGATTCCTCCCGCGCATCCACCGTTCGGTTGGGGAAGGGGGCACTGTACATAGCAGCTGCGATCCCATCAACTGCGTTGTGGGAATTTTTGCAGATGATCTGCGGTGGGATGCTGGCCTCGTATCGAGCTAGGAAGGCCAGGCCTGGTGCTGGCTCGTGTGCGTGTCCGTAGTATCCTTCTTCTTCTTGGTCACTCTCTCGCCCCCTACTTGGATCATTCAGCTTGAGCTTTGAAGGTACTCGTGCCCGTTTTGGCTATCTTGGGATTTGTTTTCTTGGTTCTCGGCCATGCCGAGTCCTCGTTGTGTATGCGGTCCGGGCTGTTTGTTGTCTTGCCGCCCTACTGGCTCGGAAGTAGGTCAACTAACTAAGACTGTTTTCTTGGGAAGATATATATATATATCCCGTGGTAAAGTTTGCTCACTTTTGTCACAATGATTGCCTGAGTTAACATTCTTGATGTGACTACCATCGTGGAAGGGAAAGTCTGAATCTCTTACCCGGAGCTCTTGGTGCTGTTTCGTACCTACAAGTGTGCTCTTCGACTTTGTTTGGAATTTAGATGCGATCCATTCTTCTCACTGCTTTTACCCGCGGGGAAAATAACATTTTCTGTCTTTATATGGTTTCCACGGCATGAAGTTGTCATGTTCGAGAGCGAGTGGATGTGTATTCCGTCGCAAGTCCACAGTTCACGTGGTTGGATGCGGTGAGACAGCCTCTAGTACACCAGCTGGTGTGTGTTAAGCCATTGAATTATTTTCTGATTACTTCTTTCCCTTACACCAATTACAAAGGCCATGAAGGCTCCCTTCTCAAGTCGACTGTCAGACCCTGATGTATTTTAATTGCTGCGCCTTGAGCCAGGCAAGAACATTTGCTTCGAAGCTTTTTCAGTATCAGCATTTGAAGCTTTACTCTGCTTCTTTGTTAAAACGTAATCTGTCACCAATTGTACCACTGCGCTGTTAATGCAAAAGAGACACCACCATTTACCAGAGGCACATAGTGTATATGTGCGTCGCAAGGCTGAGGCCACAAGCACCTATCGTATTATAACTATTGTTATCGACATTGTATTCTTTCCAAGCGCTGGGTCTTGAGTGCTTACCACCGTATGAAGGCGCTATGTATGTCCTCGAACGTATACGGAATAGAAGCGAAACCACAACCACATATTGTGACATGATCACCATGCTTCCCGCAGCAAGTTACCCCAATACCGAGAGGAAGCATCGGTTTTCACACCTCAGATCACCGATATTGATAGGCATCTCGGCTGTTGCACTTGACTAATCGATGGGCTGCTGCTGCCGATCACCCGGAACTGTGACGCGGTGTTGCAACAGGTACGAAAGCACACGGACGCAGCCTGGATCGACACGGTCCCCATCAATCAGGACGACATCTGAGAGCGTGGCAAGCAGATCGACTTGATGTAGCATGTATACATGGGCGCCTCTGAGTCGCGGACGTTCACTTATGTGGGTGAGGCCTTCGATGACATTGACACAGTCCTCACACATGCAGGAACCTGGCCGGGGGTATTTGGACACCGCCCTATCTTCAGACGCCCGCGTTTCTTGTGTGATTGGGTTGTGCGGGGAGTCGTACTGTCGAGCCATATCATAATGATGTGTGGTGACACCGCTGTAACTGGTTTCGCTTCTATTCCGTATACGTCCCGGGACACACATGGCACCTTCATACGGTGGTAAACGCTCAAGACCCAGTTGATATTGTATGTTCTTCCAAACACTGTGTCTTTGAGCGTTTACTACTGTATGAAGGCGCCGTGGACGGCTTCGGACGTATGCGGAATAGAAGCGAAACCGGGTAACTACTCGGTAAGAGGGAATCATCTAGATGAATTTCTGTTTGGTCACCAGAAACGTTGGAAAATGAGAAAAGCATCACATGTTTGCATCCATTCTACCGAGTTAGCAAGATACGGTCCGCCGAAGTAGAAGCTTTGTTCGGGGAGACGTTGACCCTCATCAGGGTGGAAACCCCCCCCCCCATGACCAGACGATCAATCCAGATCCTCAGGATCAGCAACCTTCCACTTGATCTGCACCTCATTGCCTGACTCGTCATGAGGATCGCAGACCCCTTCGCCTGTAACGGACTTCATTTTATTGGGGTCCTCGTACATCCCCATCGCCGCATTGATGCTGTCTCTGATGTCCTTGTCACCGACACTGCAAAACACACGAGCTCAGTCAACTGAACGACAAAGCCATCATCATCTGGTAGGTACACATGAGGAGGGACTTACTCGAAGTCATCGGTGGAGTCATCGTTCCTGGCAACCGCGATAGCACACGTGCCGACGTCCAAGATCTGCGCCCACTTCCCTTTCGCGTAGCCACGGATCACGTACCGGCCGGGCTCGTGGTTGAACCTGACGATAACAGTGCAGTCGGCTTTCAGGAACTCGCTGCCCTCGGTTTTCTCAGGGGTTGCGTCTGAGTCACAAGTGGCTTGGGTCTCCTCGTCGGGGAACCACCCGATGTTGTCTCGGCGAACGAGGGATGAGGTGTTGGTGATGTCTCCGCTGTGTCCAGGGGTGAACACGACTCGGTCCATGGCGGCGGCTGAGATGCTCGCTGGGAGCAGGAGGAGAACAAGGCGGGAGAAGATGAAGACAAACATTTTGATTTGTAGGTGGGTCGATGCTATGTTTTCGAGCTGACGGTTCCTTGAGTTTGGAACTGGAACTTGGATGTAGGGACGATTGGCAGTTGAAAACGTTTCCAAAACAAGTCGATGGTGGAAGGAGGTTGTTGTGGGAATAGTTGCAAGTTGGCCTTTTTCGCTACAAGCCAGATTCTTGAAATAAATATGGCAAGGTCAAGCGTGTGGGTTCTGACTGGAGGCTGGGAGTAACAAAATGTATACTATGACAGCTATTTGGCCGTGCTCCAAGTACGGGCAGCCACGAGCCACCTTACCTTGTGGCTCACATTCACAAATGACTAAGACCTTCTTGGTCCCATGCTTTGATAACAAGTGTCCACTAGAGTTGACGAGGACTTCAAATGTGAAAGCACATACTGATTACGTCAGGCTGCCCAGGTGACTAGCACTTGAGTAGGTACAGATTGGCCGGGACCGAGACGTTCGGCAAGGAGATTGTACGGCAGGAATCCCCTGTTGAACTTGTGCGTCTCCGGCACTTATCATTGTGTATCCGATGAAGTGAAAGCCATGATTACAGCCTCATGACTGCTACCGAGGCTTTACATGGAACAGTATCAACTTCGATCGTCATTTGTGTGCTTATTCCTTGGCCGATCTGGTGACAACTCTCATCACAAGGCTTCAATGTTCGGATCCAAATCATCAAAGAGCCTTGGAGCGATCCAAAATGAGCTCCAAATCCTACCATGCCATTCTACGGCCAGTTTAATGTCCTAGTATCAATTGCTGTTTGGCTTACTTGCTACCGAGCCCACATTGGCAGTGAGGTACTCTGGAGCATCATTACCTGCGCAGAACAGAGACTCTTAAGAGCACTTGAGCCCACGCTCACAGGTGTAGCTGTCAATTCTTTTTGTGAGGACCCTATGCAAAGAGCTGGAGAGAAAAGATGCACTTTCCTTTCTCCCTTGATCGCCAAGACTTCGTTCAGTACCTTACCTAGGGCAGGTAACGAAAAAGTCAAGGTCCTTGAAGCCAGCTGCCTACAGCTTGCAAAACCCGTGGGCCAAACTTTATCAAGCCCCAAACCTTCCACCACCGCACCGCAAACGCCCATCCTTTCAAGGGAAGCTAACCTTGGAAGATTGTCTGACGTCAAGCAACTGAGGTCTCCTCCCACCAACAGCCGTTGCGTGAGCCTCTGCGACCACTGCCTGCAACTCACACTACCTCGATCACTCTTCCAACCACTTTTTCCCGTTGTCTCTCCTTGTCGACGACTTCCTTTGGAACACACTCCTATGCGTCAACCTCATGTGGGATTCATACCATCCTACAGAACACCTCGATCACTCGGCCACCACTCGTTTGCGACCACCAGTGTCACCACTACCCTAACCACTACACTAAGCAAGAGGAAGGTCCTATTTGGCCTAGCATCAACCGATGGATAACTACGAAGTTCGTTTGACGAGCTTCGTCGACCATGGCTGGGTGCCCCGAGGCCACGCTCAGCCTGAGTCGCTCGCCACGTACGGCTTCTACATCAACCCTTTTGTTCGGGGCAATTCTGGCGAACCCAGAGGTGGCACACGTGTTGCCATGTGCATTGGTTGCCGGCAAAAATACGGTGAAGTCAATTACGACGATCACTGGATTGTTTACCATGACGAGAACTGCCGTTTCCGCGAGGCTGCACTTCGAGAAGACTTGTTTGCTCAATTTGCAGTGCGACAAGAGCAGAAGCTGCTTGAAAAGAACGAGGTGATTGACGCATTTCACGAGTTGATGAACGCAGTATCCGAGGAGATTCAAGCCCTGAAGCGTCAAGTCGATGCGCTCGAGGCCCAGAATCAAGTTCTTGAGAAGAAGATGGAGGAGACGCAAGAAGCCCTCGAGAAGGCGGTGGAAGAGTATGCCGCCGTCAAAACCGCCCTGCGCGCCGCCCTCGGCCTTTAGCGGCAGCGGTGCAATCGCGAGGCATTGACCCTTAATGGTCAACGACGAAATGGATCGATGAGGTGGCACAAGGCGCACCCTTGCAGTCGTGGACCCCACCGGCCTTAGGCACCAGCCCCCTTCACCCAGGCTTCTGGAACCGAGCGTGTGGACCACAGACCAGGATGTTGGAATCCTTCAGCACTAGTCAAAACTGAACAAACCTTGGAACCCCCAATCTTGCAGCTTCTTGTCTCGTCGCCTTGTGTAGTGTGGTGTTTCTTAACTATGGATCTGCTTGAAAGTTGATTCCACGTAAATCTATGTAATTGTTACTGTAGGCCCAACAACACCTGGACCATGTGAAAGCGGTGGTTTTTGCCGCGATAGACGCCTGAAGATCCTTGGAAGTTGCAGTAGAGGTGGGCCATGTCCAATTGGGTCCAGAATTACCCGCGTCGACTGGTGTTACCGTTACCAGTGTGCCTAAATTTATCTTCCTTTCACCGTCTTTTTTTCTGTGCTTAATGGCTACCATTAATTTAGTGGCTTGCTTAATACGTGTTCCAACAGTCTGTGCGTTGCCCGTTCAATCACATCCACCCATACCTAGCCAGCGATCAAACAGATTCGTGGATGCAATTGGAGTTCTTGGATCCTTCAAGTTTAACCCCCACAACATAGCCGCCCACCGCCACACTACTAGTACCGGTTTCAGGGAGAGTACAATTCAAATATCACTGTCATTCGCCCATGATGGCGAGTAGTGATCAAGATCACCCATTGCATCTGTTTCAGCATGCAAGGCACCGCAACCGCCAGCTCGTAAAACCACCGGATGACCTCAGCCTCCAGACCCAGCAACAATGGTAAGAGCCAATGGAGCCTCAAAACCATCTGCTCGGATCGACGTGAACGAATATGACCCCTATGAAGTCCCGAGAGACCAGCTGGATGTGACTCCAGATCCAGCAGCCGGCGCCCGCAACAGCATCATCCGCTACGACCCATACGAGAGCTCCTGGGTCGCCAGCTCGGGCCAGAGCCCGACTCTGGCACAACAAGGCCCAACACCCGAGATCTCCTTCGATGGCGGTCAGGCTACAGGATATAGTGACCAAGACTTCCAGGATGAACAGAGGACGGCAGCATGGCGGATACACTGGAGGGCCCCGGCGCTCATGATTGGCCTTTTTGTCGTTGGCATCGTGTTGGCAACCGGCCACCACTTTTATTACCAGTCTCTGGATGGGACCATCGTCTCCTCCGACACGCGTCAGGAGTGGGCGTTGCGAGCTGGAACTGCCTTCGCGTTCCTCACCCACTCATCTCTGGTCGCATCGGCTGGGACAGCCTATGTGCAGAGGCTGTGGGTCACTGTGAAGAGGAAGCAATTCCGCATTGGAGCGATCGACAACATCTTCTCGCTGCAGTCCAATCCTTTCTCCTTCCTCAGCTGGGAGGTCCTGTCTAAGGCGAAGGTATTATGCCTACTCGGAGTGTGCATCTGGTACGTATTTGTGGTGATCTTCTTCCTTCCGTCTAAGCACATTCATTGAACTTGCTGTGGTCTAGGTGCCTCCCCATCGCATCTGTGATAACGCCAGCCACGCTGTCAGTGGTCAGTGGCTCAGTCACAGAAATAAGGACGATGAACGTCCCGTACCCAGACTACACGACCGGTATGGCCAGCAACTGGGTCAACTTCGAAGGCGTGGGGAATCTCGCCGGCCCGACCCCCGAGGTCTCGCGCATCACCGCCGCGACGTTGACGTCGATGGCAGTCCTCCCTTTCGCGGCACCACATCCGAACTCGTCTTACTCGATCGAGTACTACGGCCCTTCGTTCAAGTGCCAGAATCTGTCCACCGCCATCTCAAGCAACACGACGGCGGCCACGATCCCGGCGTCAGAGCTGCAGGAAGCCTGGGACTCCGCCATGGAAAACGTGTCCGGCACCCTGGACATCCTCTACCTCGGCGTCTCCGCGGTGACCAGCAGCGCGGTCCAGTACGGACTGTTCGTCAACACCAACGGCTTCGGCGCGGACGGCGCCAACTACACCTGCAACGTGTGGAACACGAGCTACACGGTGGATTTCACCTTCCAGGACGACGCGCAGGCCGCCTCGATCCGCGGGTTCGAGCTGCTCAACATCGCGGACATCGACACCAGGTACACGGCGGTCAAGGACTACAGCCACGGGGAGCTGCAGTCCTGGGCCATGTACCGGGCGCTGTCGGACGCCCTGGCGGCCGAGGTGGGCTGGGGCTCGACGGGCTCGCTGGTGGGCGACGGCAGCGGCGTGGTGCGGTCGGCGCTCGCCGCGTGCCCCGAGATGGCGGCGGGGTCGTCCTGGAGGCAGCAGGACCCCTGGTTCAGCCCGGCCCTGTGCCGCGCCGGGTCCGTCCCGGCCGCCATCGAGGACCTGTCGCGGAACCTGACGCTGAGCATCCTCGGCTCCGCCCCGCTGGCCAACGAGACCGCCGCGCAGGTCACCGTCCACGAGCAGGCGACCTTCTACTCGTACAACTGGCGCGGCCTCGTCCTCGCCTACGCCGTCGCCGCCGCCGTCACCGCCGCGTGCCTCGCCGTCGGCGTGCACTCCCTGCTCGAGAACGGGTACAGCGCCGGGACCGGCTTCTCGAGCATCCTGCTCACCACGCGGAACGCCGACCTGGACGAGCTGGCGAGGGGCCACTGCCTGGGGGAGGCCCCGCTGGCCAGGGAGGTCGGCGGCAGGCGGCTGCGGTACGGTATCTTGGATTCACAGGCTGATAGCATGGACGTCAAGTTGCCGCATGCTGCTTTTGGGTTCGCGGATGGTGTGCGCGACCTCAAGAGGGGAAAGCCATGCTGGTGATATTGACAGTAGCATGTCTCTACAGGGATAGAGATGAATCTATTCTTTTTAAGTCCTATGATTTATGATCCACTGTCTCCAACCCAGCCTTCTTGCCTTCTCGGGTCTCCTTGAGCCTTGGAAATATTGGCGTATTACAAATACACACTTGAGCACATATGCACTTTGAGATGTCGACGGAAGCTGAAGAGAAATGACAACGCATCTCCTCAAACCTTCATTTTCAACATATACCAAGTGTACATATTTGCCACCCATGAGTATTTAATGCGCTTTGAGCCATTAATACCGGCAATTGTTTCTAGGAGTGGTATCTGCCCAAGTTTTATTGCCAAATGTTCCGTTATGCTTAATCCACATCCTTTGACTCGAACTCTTAGGCAATTGCGACAACTGTCCCATATTTCCATTCCAAGGCACATACGCGATGACAGTAGCTGTCAATACGTATCGTCAAAGGATTTCAAGAACCGCACCCATGATGGACGAGGGGCTTCGATAACGCATTCCTGTTCCAGAAGGACACAAAGCCACTCTATCGATTTCAAGACACGGAAGTAATCAGCCGTGATCAATCTCATGAAGATAAGTAGTGTTGCATATACCCAAGCTTGGAAGCTTAGAGAGAAAAACGGCATTACCATCTAGAGTTCACCGCCATTGTCATAACGCTAATGTACCCAAGCAACGAAGCCAGCGGCGTGGCCGAGCCGTCGCTACATGAGTATATACCATTCTCCAGCTGAATGAGCCCGCCTTGTAATCGCTTGCATGACATCCCGTGAGCAAGTCAAGGAAACCCCAGCACACCCCTGCCAAAGGGTCGCACACAAGTGACCGGGCAACGAACCAGGCACAGCGCACTTATCGTCAACACATCAACTGTCAGACTTGTGAAACCTCACCATCCTTGCCTAACTAAGGTTTTGCACCTCAGCTGCCTTGGCTGCTTAGCGAGCGATCTTCAAGCAGGACAATGCCATGCTAAGAACAGCCGAGCGTTCAGGCGTTGTGCCTAGCGTGGGGGCAGAATCTCGAGCTGCCAGGGGCCAATCGCCTGCTCGCCGCGGATCAATCTGTTGTGATGACATTTGATGGTGAGGACAAGCCTGATTACACCCCACATACCTTGTTGACAGCTCAGCTTCTGTCCAGTCATACGAGTCCTGACCAGGTCGAGCTAGTTTGTTCGTGAGCCGGGCGCCGGGCCGGGCACTAGTACCGGGACCTGTTACAATTCGAGCGAGACGACGATGCCGACAAGGACCTGGGCGGACAACAGACACCCAACCTTTTTGGTGTCGTCCAACACAGCTTACGGACTTGAGGAGGTCGGCGTCATGGCCCTACTACTTACTCCGTACACTCGCACAAAGTGGAATCACGCGTGCCATGGAGGCTGGATAGACAGGGCACAAGCGAAAGCCCTGCCCAATACCTGGAATTGAACCCTTGGTCTGATCCGTGTTGAGCCCGGATAGGCTGCCTGAAGTCGCCCCGAAGAAATTCCCGTCCATCAAAAGTACTGAGTGCGGCGCACGGCATATTCCATCACTTCTCGCGTGTGACAGCAGATCCTTCGGATCATGGGGGCACATGTGTCAAGTGTGACGAAGCGGGAATGCTTGGACTTGTGTTAATCCGGACATGGGCACCTGTTGTACACCCGCGCGTGATCCATGTTTGATGGAAGATGCCGATAGCGATGGTATGTTGGCGACACGTCCTTTGCAGCCTGATCCGATCGCTCGAGAATGAAGCCGGCCGGCCGTGCGGGTTTCCCTCATCGGCGAAAAATCCCTTCTTCAGCGAGATTGTTGGTTGTCGTCCACATTTCTGTCTCCGCGATTTCTTGGTATTAGTGGCGAAGCGACTCCGCTCCTTTTGCATGGGCTAATTGATGATGTTGCATGCGCGGGGCGAATGTCTGCGGGATGGTCGCGATCCTCGCAGAAGGCAGGGTGCCGCACAGTAGAAAATGTCAAAAATAATCAAATAGAAACGTAAAATGGCAAGTAGTCTATCAATTCTAGCAACGAGTTGACAAGGACTGTTCAGCCTTCGACAAAATTTCTCCTCGTGTTGCGCAACCGGCCAGCCGGCCAGGTTGAGCACGATCAGCTCAGACGTTTACTGAGAGGATAAGAAGTGAATGCTACGGATCTGTGATATTTCAAGATGATCAGCCGCCAAATTGGCATTTGAGTGAGAGTGCACAAGGTCCAGGTTGCAGGGAAGTCTCTCGGCGGGTGGCGCATCTCACATCCCCACGATGTGACCCCCACGCCGTCAAGCCAGAGCCACTCTGTCGGAATGAGGCACATTTTGAACCCCAGGAACCCTTGCAGGTACACAGGATGAGCACTCGAATGTTGCTTGCTCGCCCCTTGTGGTCAGCACAGGATGATGCTGAGAATAGCACTTTGACAACCGAGTAAGGTTGGACCCTGGTTCTGCTCGGCTCTTCATTCGCACCTGTCTATATAGTGTAGCACTCGCACAAATGGTTGCGACGCGTGGGGTCAAGAGGGTGGAGTCCTTCGGCCGCCGTCCTGGTCTGGCCGCGGCCTTGGACCCCGCGAAAGAGGTGGAAACGCGGGGTGGTCCATCAATGCACAGTGACCGAACTGTGTTGACGTTGCCGTTGTTCAAACCTATGCGGCCTGTCCAGACTTCTTCACATCGTGTCTTGACCAGAAAAGAGGACACGCGCCGGGCGAACTAGCATGCTGCGGTGCTGTGCCGCGTTTCCAACCTGGAGGAGCCAGTCGGGATGCCTAAACAGGGAAGTGGTCACTCGACAGCCGGAGAAATCAGTCACCTGGCTCACGGATTTGACAGGGTTGGTATGCCCGATCCACCGTCCGTCCTATCCGAGCCAAGTCCAGGGCTTGCCCTCGTGCCCGGAGGCCGAGAAAGCAGGTAGCTGCCGGGGTTGAGTTGGTACAGCAATTGACGATGAATTGTGACCGGGCTTCGACTCCAAGTCGTGCTGTTTGTGGAGCAGATGCGATGCTCGGAAACCGAGAAGGTGGCCGAAGCAAGCTGCAAGGCACTGTAGAGCTCAGGCGGAGGATCGCAAAATGCTACCGTGGAGCTGAGGCTTGCAGCTTGTGCACGAAGAGCACAGCATCACCAAGCATATTCCGGATTTGCCACGGACAAAGGAAGTCGTAGCAGGGTATAACACACGATTGGCCAATGCTGCGGGCGATATCGCACTGCCCCATTTCCGTGGGCCGCCACGTCCAGCCGTCGGATGAGGCTCCGTGGTGTTGGGCCACGGGCGGCGACGGAGCTGAGGGAGAAGACAAAGGCAGTCTATGTGCTGTATTGGATTGGTAAGGAAGAGGTGGTGTGACCCAGGCGATGAAGCGTCGCGTCATGACGATGGTCAGTCAAGGTTGCACTTGAGGCGACGGGGCACCGGCTGCGACTGCTGTCTGCTGTCTGCTGTCAAGTAATCTGCAGGACGTCAGCATGGCACCAAGTGACCTGCTGATTTGCCTGCTGATGTGCATCAAGGCCAACATCATCGTGGCTGGCCATTGTTGAGGATTGATGGAAAATTACGGTCAGCAGGACGCGGTAGCGCCACACATTTGGGCTCGTCTTGCCAGGTTCCGAGGCAGCATTTGCGCAGCATTGCGCAGCATAGTATTTTGTATGCGTGGCCTGGCCGAGGACGAAACCAGACCAGGCTGCAGGATGGGCGCTGTGTATTGGCACTTGGTCACGGTGTCGAGGACGACGGCACTTGAGGAGGTGTTGCGATGCCAAGCAGTGGGATTGATGGCATACGAGGACGAGGGAGGAGGAGGCCTGTCGATCGACCGGCAGCGGGAAGAAATGACGCGCCCTGCAGAGAGCAAGTCCAGAACCGCCCAGGCTGCCAGGGCTGTACTGTAGTATCCTCCTGTGTCCCACCTGCCCGCCCACACCCTCCTTCCCCAGATGGAAGGCGACACACTAAACCAGATCCACCCTCGCGCAGCTCTGACAGCGCTGGGAGGAAGGAGGTGTTGCCCGGCCAAGCCTGGTTTCCCTCCCCCTGGCCCCTGCTCCCTGCTCCCTGCTCCCACACACATCGCCATCCTCATCCTGACCTCGGGACCCTCGACTCCTCGACCTCGCCGGCCAAGCCTGGGGCAGGCTCGTTCTTCCACACATGAGCAGCCAGCAGCTTCCAGCCAAGCCGACTGGAGGGTGGCCAGCAACAGCAGCTCCAAATACACTAAAGCAGCCGCATCCATCGCCCTGACCAACAACGCCACGTACCAAATGTCATGATGATGATCCGTCCCTTTGCAACACAACGCAGCCTGGAGTATATCAGACAACCCGACGATCCCCGACCCTCCGCCCGCCTGCCCACCCACCCGCCCATCCATCGGCCAAATCAGTCTCCCACCACCATCATCCACACACAATCGCAGCAATTGCTTGTTGGTACTGTTGTGCTGTTGTCAATGCAATCCTTCAGCTACCACGCCATCGGAATATTGTCGGCTGACTGCAGCTCGCATGTCACAAATCAGGACCGATCTGCATCTTGTTCATGCAAGAGCCACGCTGACCAGAATAGAGTGGCCAAGCCAGAGTCTACACACCGCCTTGTGGGCGTGTGTAATGGAACCCAAACCAGTCTTCTAGAAGGCAGCCAGCCAGCCTCGGCTCTCTCCTGCCTGCGCACTCATCCACACTGGCCGACTGGATTCACGGACATGTCCAGCGTATCAGCATCCCAGCCCAGCACAACATCTACCCAGCACAGCCCACGTGGTGCTCAGACAGTCATCCCTGTGCAGCACCAACATGCCCGCCCACGCCTGACCTGACAGCGCTTGCACGACGGCGTCTTGTTTTCCTTCGGCCACGCTCATGTCTACCTGATGCTTTTGATTTTCACGTGGGGCTCTTCCTGGCCGATCAACGGCCTTGGTGTGCCGTACAAAGAAACAGCAACTATTTGCATCCACCTATGACGCGATGAGAGAGCCTCACGTCAGGTACAATGCGTATCGGTGTTCCGCGCCAATCACCATCACTGTACTGCCCAGTCCAAATGGTGGCATTTGGTGCTGACGTGGTCCCAATCTGACACACATACTGTGCTTTGTCGACTGCCTCAGGTCTATAAGACCTTTGTTTGACTACTGCCCAGGCGTCACATTGCGCGACAGACGAAATGTGTGACTGTACACGAGGCGCCGCCTCGGTGTCTGTTGCTACATCCATTTCGACGGTAAGTGCAACGCCCATGCGCCCGTCGCCTGTCCCAGCCGGCGAGCTCGGCGATAGTCGCCACGGGGCATGCTTGTTTCGCCGCAGTTGTCACGCCAGTGATCTTCAGGTACGCTACACAATCAGTCGAGAATCAACGGTTTGGACTGCCAAGGGCATGTCAAATCGAACCTTGGGGATGTGGCAGGCCTATCAAAGCCCCCAAATGAGCCTCCTACTCCGTACTGTGGTTCCTGGCCAAGTGCTTGGGCCTACAGTCAGCTTTGCTTTTTCAGCGGGCGTCGCCGCCTGGCCCACGCCAGACTGATGCTACCCCCACGCGGTCCGCTTTTTTTATAGCTCAAAGGCTGGGGGCTCCCCATGTGGTGATCTTTCTCGAGACTTGGTCTAGCAAGGACCAGGCTGCCAGATATCGACTTCCTGAAAGCCAAGGATTGCGCACTGTGACCCCAACAGAGAGCATTGCGACCCCCATCACGTCTCCATGCTGAAGAGGCGGGCGGTCGGGCGGTGCGCGTTGGCGTGCAGCAAGCATCACACGCAGCCTCGACTAGCTTCTTGATGTTCAGCTTACTCCAGACGTTCCGGGATTTCCTCATGTATCCGGCGCGACCTCGGATATCGCCCACGGCTGTCGACCTAGGACCGCTTCAGCAGGGTATCCAAATACACAGTGTGACCACGGGACTCCGCGAGGGATCTAGGAGCATCACGTCTGATGCATTTGGTGCGGCCTTTGCTTCTTTTGACCATTATAAGAACGTCCCCAGGCCTTTCCACTCGATAACGCTCTCCCCTAGACTCCATCCTATTTCTTTCCCCTGCGTCCCTGTCTGCCTCACTTCCTCGTCTTTCTTGATACCATCTCAAGCTATTCAGCTGCATCGGGTCTGGGATCCCACACAAGAGCAAAGATGGCCCCTCACAGTGACGCCTCCCCCGCTGGCAGCTTTACAACCGGCTTCAATGGCTTCAACCGGGGCTTCCGTCCCCTACATTCCTCGGCCCTACCAGTGCCCAGTGGCCTGTCTTCTGCAGATTCGGCCTCGCCTCTGAGTAGCTCTTACGATAGCACATCCGTGCAGAATGATTCACATATGGATAGGCCGCTGGTGCCTGGGGTCTACGTGCCCACCATGTGCTTTTTTGACGAGAATGAGGACGTCGACACCGCGACTATCGCCTCCCACGCCGTGCGCCTGGCACGCGCAGGGGTGACTGGCCTGGCCACGCAAGGGTCCAACGGGGAGGCAGTTCACCTTACCCACTCGGAGAGAACGCTGGTCACGTCGACTACGAGAAAGGCCTTGAACGACGCTGGCTTCTCCTCAATGCCCCTGATCGTTGGCTGTGGCAGCCAGAGTGTGCGAGAGACTGTTCAGTACTGCACAGAGGCATGGCAGGCAGGTGGCGACTACGCGCTTGTCTTGCCGCCTGCCTATTACGCATCCCTATTTGCGCCATCCTCGGCCACTATTCTTGAGTTCTTCAATGCGGTCGCGGACTCTTCTCCCATCCCAATCATCATCTACAACTTCCCAGGCGCAGTCGGCGGCTTGGATTTGTCCTCGGATATTGTCGTCAAGCTGTCGGCTCACCCCAACATCGTCGGGGTCAAGTTGACATGTGGAAACACGGGAAAGCTGGCTAGAGTAGCCGCCGCCACCAAGAAGCTCACCAAAAACTACGATCCCAAGAAACCCGAATTCCTTGTGCTTGCGGGATCCGCTGATTTCACCATCCAATCCCTGGTTGCTGGTGGTCATGGCATCCTAGCCGGCCTGGCCAACATCTCCCCCAAAGCTTGCATCAAGACGATCAAGCTTTACAACTCAGGAAATGTGGCCGAAGCCCAAGAGATGCAGGACACGGTCGCCTCTGGAGACTGGACCGCCATACAGGGTGGTGTTGTAGGCGTCAAGGCAGGTCTGCAGGCCTGGAACGGCTACGGCGGGTATGCACGAAGCCCTCTGCCCAGACCTACAGCCGAACAAACCCAAAGTTGGAAGGAGGGCTTCCGGGACCTCGTTCTGTTGGAGAAGAGTCTGTGAGGTATTCGAAACCTTGATCGGCAACGGGACACAAATTGTCGACCTCGGGATGCGGTTTCCAGCCGAGGCGGAGACAAGCAGCATGCTTCCTCCAGACAATTGTCTTGCCCGTCCAGTCGATCTTTGTGATGCCATCCGTACTCAGAGAAAACCATGAATTCACCGCGACTCTTCTGGACCGTCGTCCATATCTGCAACTGATACGGTGATGGGCTCGGTGGTCGTGCAAGGCGTGCATGCGTGTGTGAACGGCGTTATAGCAAGTCAGGTTACTTATTGAAGCGGAGATTTCTTTGAGCTAGGGCCCTTCCATCATCAAGGAAAGACGAAGATGGCATAAAATTCCGGAGAAGAGTTTCTTGACCCTGTCAAAATTTATGGGGCTTCACTTTGTATTCGTCAAGTTCAGTGGCGGGGTGTGAAAAAAGCCTTTTGTATATAGGCAACTTCAGATGCCTGGGTTACAAGTGGTGATGAGGGCATGACTTCCAAGGAGAAGTCAATATCATTAAATGCCTCTGAATTTTATTCTAATGATTACCAATGCTACTCCGCGCAGATAAAATCTGCAGATAGTTCCTGAGATGGTTTGCCTGGGTACATCACGGGCGATTTTATAACAGATCAGCAAGCCTAGGAACACTTTTTTAAGCTTTGGTGCACATGGATTCAGCGGGAAGATTTTTCTCCAGCCTCAAAATACTCGCTTCGTCCCACCGCAATGATTCGCGTTAAACAATGGGAACATTGAAGGACAATATTGCTTCTAAGCAAGCACTCGAACTGGAATCTACTTCGAGGTACGACGCCGGCCAACAGGACGACCAGAGCACAGCGTAGAAATTGAGGCGCACCGATCAAGCTTACCGCACGGAGAAACTCCATCACAATTAAGCGCAGCCAATTCAAGGCCTGAGGAGCACCAAATTGAGACAACGGGCTTGATGCGGTGAGCTCGATCTACGGCCTTGGTCTTTCCGAGGGGAGAGAAGCAAGTGAGACTCCCGGGAGTCAGATTCTTCTCGTGTCTGCCGATTCCCGAAGGCGCCACCCGATCTCGTCAATTTGTCGATCCTTTCTTTTTCCCTGGTATCAGAAAGACTAAATTTCAGTCACACACATCGGAATGGATTGAGGGGCTCCCCGGTATCTAACCGCTGATTCCCTGCTTATCTGTAGCATGGTATACAATGGTCTGGCTGTCTGGGTCCCGTCGAGGGACGAGGTGACGAATACACCACATCTTCCCCCACGCGTTTGTCCCACGCCCCCAAGCAAGAAGGTCATGACCAAGTGGTCCAGGTCCAGCCACCCACATCAATTGATAGTTGCACGACGCTGGCGGCAAGCTAGCAGGTGAGACATGTCAGGGACTGGTGTGCCCCATTCTTGCACGATTGGCGATCTCTCTCTCCACTCTCCAGCCAGAAAAGGAAACCGGCATACCAATAACCTTCCAAATAAGGGAATACGAGCATGCATGTTTCTGTTCATGAAAGCCTTGCTGGGTCTGACCGGCAACCTGCAGTTCAGGGCATGGATGGCGTGCTCACACATCGCCGCGGCAGACAACTGATGGCAGTCAGTAATGCTAGACAAGAAGGCGGTGGGCTATCAATACGAGACCAGCAGAGAAGGCTCACCTTACCCCCCTGATAGAAGCAATGAGTACCGGGGACGCGGTGTGACTATTATTTTCTCCAATGTTGGATTCGGTCCTGCGCCCCGTGCTACGTGACTTTTCGTTCACAGACGGGCAATGTTTCTAGTCACAATGAGCGATTTGGGGAAGAATATGTCGTTTGATATATGTTAGTGTTCGGTGAAGGCCGGGATGACGCCGCCGTCCATGGAAGCCGTAGTCGGCTCACGGCCCATCCGGACCTCGAAGTACTGCTGTTGGACTGTTGTTGGGATGAGCGTGTTGTGCTGCCGCGAGCCGCGCGCACAAGGATGATGAAATCTTTGTGCACAGCTGAGCACAAGTGTGTCAAAACTCTGCGGTGGAATGCCTCCGCGTCACCGGCTGACCGGATACTCGGCAGTCCTGGCCGCGCTGTTCTAGGAAGAGCGAGCGCACGGATCGTGGTTTTGTCACCATGATCTTTGTGCAGTGTTGCCCATCATGTCCAAGCGGCACCGTACGATGAATGCACAACTGCGATTGCTTGAAGCAGAGATATAACTATATGGTGGTATCTACTTGTTTGGTCGGAGGGTCGGTGCGTAGCGGACTTTTCTTTCTGCATACAGAGGATCTTCTTGTAACGTGTTGATTCTTCCCCTCGGACAGAGACCCCACACGCTTGACGTCCTCGCGGCCTCCCTTGCATGGCCATCTGGAGATCTGAGCCACTGTTCGAATCTCAAGATCTTCAACCTGGTCTTATCCTTTTCTCAATCTGTCACCTCATGGTTCTCCTCAGCAACGCCGCAATAAAGGGACCATGAGACTCGTCACGTCACTTGTGTTGGTTGCGCTCGCGCTGAGAGCAGGCGAAGTGGTGGCGCAACCACAGCAGTCAGACAGGATAATTGTCACCGGCCCTCTGACCGGACGTGACGCCAAAACGGGAGCTGCGCCGGCCAGGATCAACATCAACGACATGTGGGCTCGGGGAGGGCCCTCGTGGTGAGTGTGTGGCTGAACCCCGCTGTCCCACGGTTGCGGTGTCTCACCGCGGCCGCGGAACTTGGAAGCACACCGGACGGGGTAAGATGAGGCTGACGTTTTGAGGATTCTCTAGGGATCTGTACGTTCTGGCTCTGCTGGAGCTCCAGAGCGTCGACGAGGATGATGTGCTGTCTTACTTCCAGCTCATGGGTGCGGACGTCTTGTTCTGGACGACACGGTTTGGACGTTCAAGTACTATTTTGTTAACTTTGCACCACAGGTATACACGGCCTCCCTTTTCAGGGATGGAGTGACGTTGGACAGGTTCCTGGTGGTTCAAACCTCGCTGGATTCTGTCCCCATAATGTAAGGAGACGCTGAGCTCGAAGCAACCACCTCATGGCAGGGTGATTCAGCTGCTTAGACATTCGGCAGCATTTATTATTCGGGCTCTGGCACCGCCCGTTTATCGCCCTTTACGAAGCAAGTGAAGCCGCTGTCCACGGTTGATTGGAACGTTCCCCGTTAATATCTCGCCTAGCAAACTCTGGTGTCCCACGCCATCCAGATCTCTCAGAGGTACAAAGGCGACAATGCCTCGGCATACCTGGCTGCGGCAGAATCTTTGCGGGTTGCATATTGGGATTGGGCTACAGACGCTTCAATTCCAGATATCATAACCCATGAGAGAATCAGCGTGAACACCCCAACAGGGCCCAAGACTGTTCAGAACCCTTTCAACAGCTACTGGTTCCAGAACTACCCCTTCACCTTCCGGTACATGACCGCGGGGGTTCTGTCTGAGCAGAGCCGCACGACCCGCTGCCCTACACAGAGCATGAATGATGATTACGCCATGGTGAATATTGGCCTCAAGTCCTCAAACTTCAAAGCCCAGGTGGTAAGGACAAGGCCCTTCAACCCCGCCAAGGTTGTGGGAGACTGACATGGGGGATACAACGATAAGTACAACACATTCACGACAGTCACCTCCTTCGAGAACATGGAGACGGACCGCTACACAGCAACGAGCTTCGAGAGCCCCCACAACAACGTGCACAACTCGGTGGGGTGCAACAACGGCACCATGTACGACCTGAACTGGTCGGCCTTCGACCCGGCCTTCATGCTCCACCACGTCAACGTCGACCGCCTCATCGCGCTGTGGCAGGCCATCTACCCCAACTCGAGCATCTTCACCGTCGTCGACTACTCCGACGCCCTGTACGGCCTGCGCGCGGGCAACGTCAGCGCCGACACCCCGCTCAAGCCCTTCCACATCCCGGACGGCTGGCCGGACGGCGCAGAGGGGTTCCACACCAGCCGCTCCGTGCGCGACGTCGCCGTGCTGGGGTACACGTACCCGGAGCTTCAGACAGGGGGTGAGAGAGACAACGGGACGACGGCCGCCCCGCCGCCGAGCTCGGACGAGCTCGCCGAGCACGTCCGCTTCGAGGTCAACGCGCTCTACAGCAACCAGCCGATGACGGCGAGCAACGCGTCCGAGGCGCGGCGCATGCGCCTCGCGCGCCGTGGTGGTGACGACGACGCCGCCGCCGCCGCCGCCGCCGGAGGGTCATCCCCGCAGGTGCTGCGCCGGCCCGCGGCGAGCCGCAAGACGTGGTCCGTGGCCATCAGCGTCGACAGGGCCGAGGTGCCGCTGCCCGCCGTCATCGGGTGCTACCTGGTGGTGGGCGATGATGGTGGTGGTGTTGACGGGGGCGCGGGGAGGGAGCAGGCCGGGCGCATGTCGCTGCTTGGGATCCCGGCCGTGGGGGTCACGCACTCGACGATCCCGCTGGACAGGGCGCTCGGCGCGTTGGTGGGCGGGGCTGAGGGTGGTGGTGGTGTTGATCTTGATGATGCCGAGGGGGTGGCTTTGCTCCTGAACCGCACCTTGAGGTTTGAGGTGCTCAGGGTGAGTTTCCGTTTTATTTCCTTGTTCATTTTACTACTTCTTCTTCTTCTTGTTTCATCAGAGAAATGTTTCGCGAGAAAAGGCAGGCATGTCACACTGGCAGTGGAGACGGACCTCTAAGCTGACCACATGCATGACACACCCAGGGCGACGGAACGCCCGTCGAGGACCTGGCCTCGATCCCGAGCCTGCAGTTTATCGTGCAGGACCGCGACTACACGCCGCGCGAGAGTGATGTTGATTTCCCCACCTATGGAGCTGCCGAGACCCGGAAGATGGTCAAGGCTCATGGGCGCTGGTCGTTGCCGGCTTGATGGGTACGTGTGTGGTGGGACAAGTTGGTGTGTATGCGTACTGTTCTAAGACATGGGGGATTGGTGGTGGGTCTTGGAAGAGTGCAAGTTGCTGGGTTGGGCCACCGAAACTCGTGTTCAGCGTTTTCAGACGATTGATTCAAAATGCATCTTAAAGTAGAGAGAGGTCAGGTTTCAGCCACTTGCATGACCAAAAAAATTACGAACAAATAAAACGCCAAATCATTTTGGGTTCTGACACTCTGAACCTCCCCCCCCCCCCTACCGGTGAGGCGTATTGTGACCCTGTCTTGATCGTGATAATTCGTCTATGTGTACATATATACAAAACCTGGAAACTCCTTTTATCCAATAGCGGCCGCCTAAGTCCCAGCCGCAACACGCCCTCATTTGATGGACAAAAGAAATATGACCATCTATGATGACCCGCCAGTCTGCTCCATTTCCTGTAACACAAACACACAGGATAGCCCGTCAGCCCTAAACCTGCGCCCGTGTCTTCTGCTGCAGCGGCATATCGACGCTGGTGGAAGTGTCCACCTCATCAAACCCAACATCCTGCTGCTGGGAGCCAACCATGTCGTTGGGGTGGAACATAAAGAAGAAGAGGGCGGTGACGAGGAACATGAGGAGCGAGTCGAAGATGAAGAGGGTCCACTGGTTGTTGAGCGGGTAGCCGTCCTGGCCCAGGATGTACTCGATGACACGGAAGATGGACCGCACCATGATGAGCAGGCTGACCGAGTAGAGCATGTACAGCACCTTGAGCCAGGGGATACCACCGTCGGGGCTGGGGCCGCTGCCGCCGTAGGCGCCCGAGACGGCGAGCATGCGGGCGTAGCGCACGTGGAAGGCGACGGCGACGACGACAAAGAGGCCGAACATGACGATCTGCACGAACAGGCCGACCAGGAGGATGTTCTGCCCGAGGTCCTGCCTCCCCTGCACGGCCATCAGGCCGCCGCCGCTGGCCTGCAGCAGGAAGGAGAAGACGTCGCCGACGACAAAGGTCCTGGTCAGCCAGGCCGGGCGGATGAGGCTGCAGGAGGGGCCCGAGGGCACGCGCGCGACGAGGCGGCCCAGGATCATGTAGACGGTGGCGGCGAAGAGGGCCGGGGCGACGAGGATGAAGACGGACTGGATTATGAAGGGCAGGAGCTGGTCGGTCTTGTCGTGGGATATGGCGAAGCCTACGTAGCCGATTGCCTCGACTGTTTTTGGTTGGTGGGAAGTATCCCATGTGTTAGTAGGTAGGTAGGTAGGTAGGACCAAGGTTGCTTTGCTTGCCTCGTCTTATTAGGGCTGGGCTGGTGGAAGCTGGGGCGGGTTCATCAACTCACAGATACAACCGAGGATGAAGGGTATGTAGAACCATTGTCGGAACCGGAACATGCGATAACTGTGGGCGGCCGCGGCGAGTATGAAGAGGATGATGAAGATGATGGCGCCTGGCATGGATGGTACATAGTGCCACAGGTAGTAGGTGCCGCCCTTGTATGGTAGAACGCCATTTTTAGCTTCGCCCGCCATGGCTTTTGTATTTGTTTATCTGTGTGTATCTGCCGCCGGGGTGGAACAGGAGTGTACGTGGTCTGGCTGGTTATTCGGTGGGATTCTATTCGCCTTGGTCGTTGAAAGGTGATGTCGTGGATATCTTCTAGTTGTGCAAATCGAGTCGGAAAGGAACGGTCAAGTGCCGCAATACTTCGGGACCACAACAAGAGTCTTATCGTGACTGAATACTTAGGCTCTCGGCTGCCTTGAGGAAGGATTAATGCATAACTAGACGGCTCTTCCGCACAATGGAGCGTGCCTCATTCTTTATAACAGGAGGTGAAAATTCCATCAGCTCTGTAGCCGGGACAAGAGACTGCCGTCTTACACATCGGTAGAAGCTCCGGCGTCTGTGGGCCTTTTTCGGGCGGGCCTTGGAATATGGGCCCCGTCCGGGGCGGGATACGCGTATACGACGCTATCCGATTGGTTCGTATTTGCTTCATCTCTTCGATGCTGCGGCTCCTCTCCTGTGCGCTTGGCCAATGAGGTGTTATACAATACGCGGTCCTCTTATACGGACCCACCGTGTCGGGTAGGCTGGGGGACATGGCCCCCCAGGTAGGTGGCTGCGCATTGAAGGGCCCCCGAAAGCAAGGAGATTTCCCATTGCGTTGTTGTTTATAGAGTGGGTAGCCCCCCAGTCTGGACGGTCCGGGGTTAGGGCAGAGCTAGCACGTATATCACCGTACTCGTGCTCGTACAGACGTTCAGACGTATAATGTAATCGGTCCGCCCAGCCACCTGGGCAGTCAGTCCATCCAGTCATGTCATGTCCCATTTCTGTTGGCCCAGCAAGACTGGGGGAGAAATGTATGCGTACGCAACAGCCACACCATTCCAATTCCGACACTTCTGTGTCCGATTTAGCCCATGTTCCCAGCTTGGAGGATTATCTCCCAACTCCCCCTCGCTTCGCCACCCCTCAGTGCCCTTACTTGCGCACTTTCACCAACCACGAGAGCCCCGACCGATAAGCATTGAGACGCCCTAGATGTGTTTTCAATTCTGGCACCCGCATCTCTGACCTCTTGCGACTTGGAAGACCTGTCTCGTGTCCTGTTATTCGCGAATATGCCCGAAACAAGGTTCTGCTGGCACGCCGGGGAGGATTCCATCGATCGCGCACCCACCTGGGCAGGCTGTTGAGGGCAGGCATGTTGGACGACAAGCTCCTGCATGGATGGGATGTCAGTCACCAAGCGGGGAGTTATATTCCCTCATGTTCGAGTGTAATAGGCGACGAGGCCCACATGCCTGGCCACGCATGCAGTGACGGTGCTCTTGATAGGAGAGGGTCAAGTTCGGTGCTCAGAACTGTTGATCGCATCTTCCAGTCCGGACATGCCGCCGTCCAACCGACCAGGTCTCCACATGAGCACAGCGGAAGGACATCGCATGTATTTTTGCCCGTCGGCGCCGTCCGAACCGCCTCGCAGGGCGCGCATGCCTGAGCGGCGCCCGGGCAGCCGACTCAGAGGGTGAGGGCGCTATGACACGATGCCATGAGGGGTTGGTTGTCCAAGGCCGGCGCGCCGTAAGCGGTGCCCCTTGGACTTGGGGTGCAGCCCTCGTCTCGCTCGTGCATAGCCGAGTGCGTGCGCCTCGCTTATCTCGTTGATCTTGTTTGGTCAGGAGGTCGCCACGGGCCCGGATCGAGATGGGGGAGGGGGGAAGGGGCTGAGGACGACTCCCTGGGCGCCGTGGTCCTCAAGTGCTGTCTCTCAGGCTGTGGATGGCGAGATGAAGATGAAAATGAAGAGACGTCGATTTCCCGTGACGGCCCACGAGATGTCAACAGCCGGATGGCGAGCCTAATCTGGGCCGCGAGGGACTACCGCTCCACCGGCACGACTTGCAGGGGACATGCTCGGTCACATACAACAGGGCAACATCGGCCTGGCCTCGCCTCGGCAGCCGGCCGATGAGGCGCCGAGGGCAAGGCTGGATGCGGGATCGGTCAGCCGAGGGGCAGGGCAGCAGGGCAGGAACAACAGCTCCTGGTTCCTCTTCATAGCCATGCGCTACGATGCATACGGCCGAACAAGCGAGCTGCTGACCCCGGGCGGCTGCATCCAGATAGATGTGCCAGTGGGCGGGCGAGACTGTCCCAGATGACGGCTCACACACACGTGTGCTAGCCTCCACGACCCAATCGTCCCGAGACGATCCGGCGGGCTGGTAGCTACGCTGCGCGGGTATTCCCTTGTACTGGCTGCGACATTGGAGGAGGCTCGCGTATGGCACCTTGCAGTAGCGGTCGAGCAAGAAGAGGAGACCAAGACAAGGACAGCTAGCAGAGGTGCAGGAGGAGGAGAGGCCGGGTGGGAGGGCCAGTGGCACGGCGGGGCCAAGATGAGGGCGAGGTCGACACCGATGCCTTAAAGGGGGAAGTGTAGAGAGGATGCGTGCGACCTGTCAGGTATATGCCGGTGGGGATGTGCTGCAACATGCAGAGATACCGATGCATACACAGGCACACAAAGCACACATGCACACATCAATGATGCACACCAGACTAGACTCAACAACATATCACACAGCGACACAGGGACAGATCTAGTGGTGTCAGTGGTGCCAATAGCCAGGCATGGGCTGTGAGGGCTGTGAGGGTGTGCCCACTGGTCCGAGGCTGGCGCATGTGTCTACGCACGTATGTGGATATGCGAGTGTCCACGTCGATGATGATATGCACCAGGGGCAGACGGGGAGAGGGGCTCGGAAGCGCAAGGCGTGATCGACCAAGCAAATACCATCTGCACCCTGCTTCAATCAATTGATGTTGCTACTTTCAGACTGAACCATCTCTACCTGCTTGGATAGATACTTAGTACATATCCAGCCCCAACAGGTACATACCTACCTAGGCACTAAGTAGTATGCCCAGGTGTCTAAGTAGGTACGGAAACCGAGGCCAGACCACATCCAGGACCAAACAGGACCAAACTATTGCCCCTCTCGACAAGCCCCCTCCCCCCAATGGCGCCCCCCAATTCGTCCGCGGGCCAGGCCCCCGGCAGGCTCCGGCCGCCTGTGCGATGGGTGCACCGCAGCCCCGAATCTTCAACGGCGTCAGTGGGGTGCATTGTGGCGGCCATACCGAAGCCGCCGGCCTGCGCAACCCAAATCTGCTTTGCCTGTTGGCTGGACCCTGATGGGGGCTTTTTGATGTCTTGCGGGGGATCGGGGGGTTGTCTGTCCACCTGTCTTGTGTTCGACCCTAGCCATGTCTCTCGATTTGTGTCTCTGTCTTTTTTTTTTTCTTTTTTTTCTCGTGCTGCTTGCGGCCCGGGAATGCGGTACTCTATACTCTATCATGCAGACACACTTACACAGGACGTGTACGCCCACAACGAGCACACGAGCACACGAGCACAGCACAACTGCACATGTGTATGCTGTGCAGTACGTACGGGGCAAACAATCGTCCAAACCCTCTCGCCCTGCGCGCACTCACACACTCACACACACTTCGCCAGCACTCTCACACACACACATGCACTGCGCACAACGCCATACCTACACAAGACCTGGGGCAGGCTGCGACAATATGGAGCCACCACCTATGCCAAATTCGATGGTCGATGGTCGGTGGTCGATGGTCGATGGGATTGCGCGGGCAGGGGGGGTGGGCGGTCGATGGAGGCACCCATGGATCGGATTCCGGTCGTCGTAGTACTTGCTTTACTTGTATTGATCGAATGTTTGTGCTTCTGACTCGCCAACGGGGCTTGTTGGGGCCACGGGTGCTGCTCCTGGTTGCTACCTGCTGCCGGTGTTGGTCCGTTCCAAGCCTGCCACGCCCGCAGCGGAAGCATATATGTAGGTTCGTTCGGGTCTGTTCTCACCGGTCCACCGTCTGTGTCCTCACGACGTCACGCTCGACAACGACAACCACAACGGTATCATTTATCAATACCATTACCAGTATTATTATTCTTATAATTATTATTATTCATATGCTTTCCCCCCTCAAGCCCACTCGCTAAATCGTCAAAAACACCTGACCTCGCACAGCCTGCTCCCCCTTCCATCTCCTTCTCCTCGCCTCTCCCCCAATATAATTATCATCCCCGTCAATAGTCCCCCGTGTTATGCACACTCTTGCCATCCTGACTGCAACATCAGCACAATGAACCCATCATCGTCATTACCATCATCACAACAGCCCTCCAGCTTCCACATCCCGACCATAGACATCAGCCCCTACCTCGAGGATGCCTCCACCGACGCCGCCAGGAAGGTCGTCGACGACGTGCGCAACGCCTGCATGAACACGGGCTTCTTCTCCCTCGTCGGCCACGGGATACCGCGCGAGATGCAGGACGGCGTGCTGGACGCTGCCAGGCGGTTCTTCGACCTGCCCCTGGCCGAGAAGGAGGCGCTGCGGCACCCGCTCATCAAGAACAGGGGCTACGAGATCATCGGCGCCCAGACACTGCAGGAGGATACCCTGCCCGACCTGAAAGAGGTGAGAGCAAAGCACCCAGCCTAGCATATTCATGACCCATACATATCTGGGCATGTTGTCTGTGTGGTGGAGTATCATCAATGTCTCCAGAAGGCGTGAACCTGGGGGGGGGCCGGGGGGGCAAGGGGAAAGAGGGAACAAGAAAGAGACGAAGGGGTGATCGTCCACGTGCTCCGTGCAAGGGGAAGATGAGATTGGGAAACCATGCCAACCGCGACAAAAACACAGGGCTTCTACATCGGCAAGGACCTCCCCCTCGAGTCGGACAAGGTCAAGGCCCACCCGGAGCTGCTGGGCCAGAACATGTTCCCGGACTCGATGCCCGAGTCCGACTTCCGCCTCCCCACCGAGCGGTACTACGCCGCCGTCATGGACCTGTCCATGCGCGTCCTCGAGATCCTGGCCAAGGGGCTCCCCTACGGCGACGACATCTTCCACGAGTTCGTGTCCAACGACCCCGTCTGTATCATGCGCCTGCTGCACTACCCGCCCCAGCCCCAGGCCCATGTTCCTCCTGCGCCCCGCGGCAAGAAGCAGCTTGGTGCTGGTGCGCACACTGACTTTGGTACGTTTCGCCCGCGGCATCTTCCGAGTTATTGTCCTCGGTGACCCATGTGACTGGGGTGGTGACATGGCCCATATCTCTCTCACTCTCCTCCCCGCCTCACTCACTCACTCCTTTCCAATCACCCCCACAGACTTTCGCTCCGGCCTACTACACTCATCCAACCTCATCTCATCTCATCTCATCTAAGCTAACAACCAACGCCCCCTCCCAACCCAACAGGCGCCATAACCCTCCTCCTCCAAGACTCAGCAGGCGGCCTACAGGTCCAGGACCCGCACGCGGGCACGTGGCACGACGTGGCGCCCAACGCGGACGCCTACGTGGTCAACATCGGCGACATGCTGGCGCTGTGGACAAAGGGCATCTACCGCAGCGCCGTGCACCGCGTCATCAACTCGAGCGGGGCCCACCGCTACTCGGTGCCCTTCTTCTTCGACGGCAACGCCGAGGCCCAGCTGGCCCCCTTTGACGGCAGCGAGCCCGTCGGCGGGCGCGTCGTCACCGTCGAGGAGCACATGCTCCAGCGGCTCGGGATGAGCTACCGGAGCGGCGGCGGCGTGGGGAGGGGCGCCGGGGCTGGGGCCGGGGCCGCCGGGGCTGGGGCCGGGGCCGGGGCCGGGCTGGCTGTTTCGGCCTCTGCGTGACGACGCTTCCCTAGTGTCTTGTTCTGGATTTCCTTGTTTGCTCTCTTTTTTTTTTCTCTTCTTCTTCTTCTCCCTCATATCTATTGCCTAATTTGCCTGTTGGGGGATAAAGGGTGGGTGGTGTGGTGTGGTGTGGTGTGGCTGTCGTGCTTTCGTGCCTTACCAGGGCCGGGGGGAAAAAAAGGTTGGACGATCTGCGCATTGGGGAGGCGGCTGGCGGAGGAATTCCCCGAAGCTCGTCACGCGTTTGTCTTGTGTTCCACGTTTGTCTTTTTTCTCCCGACATATTACTCCGGGTTGTTGCAGGGGTTGTCATCAGGCTCTCGCTCTCCTCTCTCACTCTTACACAAATGTCTATTACCAACCATCACGAGGACAACAAATCTCGCTCACATATTGTCGATAGTTTCACGCCGAATCATCATGGACCCAATCGAGGTTCTCTCTTTTACTTTACCATGGGTGCTCAAGTGCTGCTTGGACTGGACTGGCTGGGGCTGGGTGCCTCGGCCGATTGGTGACGCCAATCATAGGGTAGGCAATGTGCCTGCGGACGATAATCAGAGGACGAGAACAACCCGGCATGTCTCGCTTCGTACGACCGTACGCAACATTCGGCCTCGGCGCGTCCTCTGCGTGTGTGTGTGTGTGTATTTCTGTGTCCCGTGCCACGAGATCTTCCCCTCCCCCTCCCACCACCATTCCTATCCGCCCGCCCATCCGCCGGGTAGCTGGGTGTCACTGGGGATGATGGTATGGGGTAGGGTAGGAGAGGGGGGCAGGGGGGAGGGTGAAGGGTGTTGGAATCTGGCGTAACCCAATGATTACGGGTCGTCCGACGCAGGCGCCCGTCGATGCCAGTGGGCAACACCCGCTTCTGGGCAAGTCTTTCTTGGGTTCCTGCTTACCTGCTTACCTGCCAGCCTGCCTGACAGCGCTGCCGAATTGCCCTTGTGCCCCGCCCACGTGATGCTTGTGCGTTCCTCCTCCTCCTCCTCCTCCTCCTCCTCCTTGTGGAGTTCCTCGCGTCTCGCTGTTGGTAGCCGGCGGAAGGGGATCGATGGGGAGAAAGAGGGGGTCGCAGTGGGCCGGGGAAATTCACCCCAGCGGCGGAATCCGGGGTGTTCCCAGGAAGGCTTGAGGCCTGGTGGGACAGGAATTTATGATTCCCTGTCTCCTTTTTTTTTTTTTTTTTTTTTTTTTTTTTGGAGGCTTGATTGGGTTGAGCTCGGTGGCAGTTCAATGTTACTTCTGTATCAAACATTTTTCAAAAGTGTCTGTGTATGCTGGCCGCCGGCGTCTTGCGATCCACACTCTGAAACAAAAAGCCAAGGTGAGCGAGCACCTGTAGACCGGTGTCACTCCACTCAAACCGCGGTGTATATACTTGAGTACACGTACTGGAGCAGTGTCTGAGGTTGCACCAGGCGTGCCGGGGCAACAACAGCCTTCTCCTTCCACTCGCCATCTCACAACGCAAACCTCCACTCGGCCGAGTTCTCCAGCCCGTCCGCCTCGGCCCCAGCGGCCGCCCCCAGGTGCCTGTTGTTGCCACCAGCAGTGACAACATCGGGGACGTGGTCGTAGCCCCCAGCCTTGCCGGACGACACGGGCGCCTCCCGGGCGGCGCGGTCCCACCTGTCGTTGCGCAGCTTGAAGTAGGTCCTCAGGCCGAGGGCCAGCACGGCGTTGAAGGCCATGAAGGCGGCGCAGACGGCCATGCCCCTGGCATAGTACGGCGCCTCGCGCGCCGGGAAGACGCGGGTGCCGAGGAGCGGGCCGCACTGGCCGACGAGGTTCATGACGGCGATGCCGACGCCGCGGCGCGTGTCGCCGCGCTGGTTGTTGAGCACCCACGACAGGATGTTGGCGATGGCCGGGAAGACGCCGGCGGCGGCGAGGAAGACGCCGGCGTAGCGCGCGCCGACGGACCGCGACGCCGCCAGCATGGCGTAGCCGGCGCACCCGGCGAGCGAGAGCGCCGCGATCAGCAGCCCCCGCTGCTGGGTGCGGTCGCCGGCCCAGGTCGAGGCGATGCACACGACGAAGGCGAGCAGGTACGGCGGCGCCGTCAGCCCCTGCGCGTTGACGCTGGTGAAGCCCATGCCCTGCAGGACCGCGGGCAGGAACACGGGCAGCGACGCGAACGCCACGTTGCAGCTGAAGTACATCATGGCCATGACCCACGCCTGCGGCGTCCTGACCGTCTCGAGGATCTCCCGCGGGCTGATCCTGCCCAGGCTGTGGCCCTGCGCGGTGCCGCCCTCCCGGCCCGAGTGGTTGATGGCCCGGGCCCGGGCGATGGCCTTCTCCTCGGCGGTGAGGAACCGGGCGGACGCGGCCGAGTCGGGCAGGTAGAGCAGGACGGCGAAGGCCAGGACCAGGGGCGGGACGGCCTCGACGATGAAGAGCAGCCGCCAGCCGGCGATGCCGCTGTAGCGGCCGCCGGTGATGCCGTACGCCAGCGCGCCGGCAAAGGTGGTGGCGAGCGGCGCGGCCGAGAGGAAGACGCCGCAGCGGAGGCCGAGCTCCCTCCGCGTGTAGAAGAAGGAGAAGAGGTAGGGGATCCCCGGCCCGAAGCCCGCCTCCGCCGTGGCGAGGAAGAAGCGGCACGCCATCAGGCCCTCCCAGCTGGAGGCGGCGGCCTGCAGCATCGAGGCGATGCCCCACGTGAGGACGGTCGCGAAGGCCCACACGTGCGGCGGCAGGATCTTCCACATGAGCGCGAACCACTCGAACAGGATGTATGGGATGTAGAAGATTGTGAGCAGCCACTGGGGGCCATCAATGTCAGCAACGAACGCACCGGAGCCAGGGACGGAGGGGCTGGCAAGTGGCTGGCCTACCTGATACTGAGCATTGTCAAACCCGAGGTCCTTGCTCATGCCGGCCGTCTCGGCGTTGCCAATGTTGGAGCGGTCGAGGAAGGCGGCCATGTAGCACAGAAAGGCGAGCAGGACCAGTCTGCGGTCGAGCTTGCGGACGAGTCGCCTCTCGGTGGCGGCATCGACCTCGACGCCGGGCCCGTGGTCCGCTGGGGCGATATCACCAGCCATTGTGAGGTTGCGAGGAGCAGGATGCTTTTTCTGATGGCCCACAGGCACGTAGTGGTATCAGGGAGCGTTCAGGACGTCCAGGGGGTAAGCACCATGTCTGGATAATTATACTTGTGCGTATATGCCGGGCTGCGGGGATAAGGGCAATAAGGCGAGAGCCCAAGCAAGAACTCAACAAACGAACACATGGCACCGAGGAAGTCGCCTGGCTAGAGCCAAGGAAGCTTAGGGGCGGCAGCTAGGCGGCGGCGCAAAGCTTGTCAAAGCACCAGAGGTGTTAGTCGATGCGGGTCGTGAAATGGGTCATCCAACATCCCCGCAGCGCTCTCGGAGGCATCGCGGGGGAAACAACAGCGAGATGCATACTTGAGTAGGTACAGCCAATATTTGAAGTGGAGAGACCCCTAAATCCTGGTTGGACCACCTAGACTTTTATAAATGAAAGAAGTGCCCCCGGGTATAAGAATCTGAGGCTTCTCAAGCGTCCTGGACAAATTTGACAGGATGGTGTGATTCACTACCATGCCCAGGGGTATGAATAGCTCCGTCTTGATTCCGATACTTGTTACTGTTGATGATATTGCATGTTTTCCAAATACTACTAGTAGTCAGGTGTTTGAGCGTGAAGGCGCCGTGTATGTCTTCGGACGCGTACGGAATAGAAGCGAACACAGCTAATGATATGTACCATCTTGATTGTCGGATTAATTAGTAGTAATAGGAACCTTGTTGACCTCAGTGCTGCTTCACAGCCTACCCAAGCACGGTATGGGCGCCGCACAGACAAGGCTAGGAGGCATCGCTCTCGGCGGCGCCGCTGACTAGAAATGCGCACGCGGCGAAGCAGTCACGATGCAGTCTATCGCAAAGAAGCAACCGTCTGTCCCAAATCGCGACACTTCTCGGTCTCCACGGCGAGCAGCGCTTAGGATCCATACCATACGTTAGTAGGTACTAGAGATAGTCACTATAAACACCTATACCTTTCTAATAACCTCTTAATTACTATATTACTTCTCTCCCTTTAAGACTATTACTATAATATTTATTTTAATCTAATAATTATAATAATATATATTATTAAATCTAAATAATCCTTTCTAAATTTAAAATTATTTTAAAAGTTAAAAATAATTATAAAAAAAGTAATTATAAATATAAAAATAAACTTTCTTAAAAAAGTTTTTCTTTTTAAATAACTTTCTTTTAAATTTTTAAAGGTAAATCTTTTATTTAAATATATTAATTAATTATAAGAGATTCTCTTTTTTTCTTTTTTTATTAAGTTTTTTTAAGTTTTAAATTTTTAATTAATTTAAATTTAAATTATTACTTTTAAATCTTTAAATATAATTATTTAACTAATTAAATTAAAAAAAGAAAGTGAAGGACTTAATATTAAAGTTAAAATTAAAGTTAAAAAAAAAGAAAAAAAAAGTACTCTTCCTCTCTTTATATAAAAGAAAGTATCTTTATAACTTTTTTCTCTTTTATAAATCTTTTTATAAATTTATTTCTTTTTTTATAACTATTTTTCCTCTTTAAATTTCTTATTATTAAAAGTATATTAAAATACTATTTAACTATTTAAAAGTTAATATTCTCTCCTCTTTAAGTATATTTAAAGTTAATCTTATAAAAAAGGGATTTCCTATTTAAAAATTAGTTATAGTAACTATCTCTAGTACCCACTAACGCACGATATGGATCCTCGTTTGGAGAGTAAAGGAGCGTGCACATGTGAGCTGGTAGAATGTCACACTTGCTACCGGTGAAATTGGACCGGACGGTTTCTGCCATGCACTTTGGGCTGCCGAGTCGCGAGGAATGACGGCTGGCATTCTTGTGCTGCTTAATGTTCCCAAACAGCGACCGCTGCATTGATGCAAGTCTGAATGCATAGTCGTACGGTCTGTGCTACGGTCTTCGGCCCTTTTTGTTGGCCGTGTTCGTACAAGATCATAACCAGAGTCGTCATGAGTGGAGGTAGCTCGGAAGAAAAGGAAATTTTCAAACAACCTTGGAAGTCGGATTGGAGTATGATCACTTCGTTCTGTAATGATCCCGCACATATCAAGGACATAAGAGGTCTGAGCCTCTGAGATTTGACTGACAAGATGGATTTGGTGCCAGGGTCTTGGCTGACATGGATAGATGCAGACCACGTGTGGTGGAGATGTGTACGGAGTAGAGGATCAGTAAGTTCACCAGCAACAAGCGCTTGCATGAACGAGGCTTTTCTAAATTTCCACAAGCTGATTACCCTATCATCCACTTTTCAGATAGCCCGGATTGCATAAGGAAAGCCGTTGGGAAGTCGTGCTGCTCTTCCCAGGAGTGACCTGCTAGCCCTGGTGTTACACGCTGGGCACCCCTGGATTGCCAACCTGGACGGTACTTACCAGACTCGGAGCCAATCAGAGGGGACTGTCACATGCAAGTGACGCGTGAAGATTGCGCGGTCGCAACGTTCAACGTCCCTGCATCGCGTCAATATCCTTTGTTGCCAGCAAGTCGGCTTTCACCCAGATAAGAGCCCCAGATAGTTGGTTGCATCTGGTCTTGTATCTGTACGATTCAGGTCAGGTCTGGCTCGCCCAAAGAGGCGAGACAGTCTGCACTGATTGCTTGCTTGGCTGGCACGTGGCGGATTAACTTAAATGCAAGCTCCGATTCTCGCCCCACCCCTGCATCCCGATCGAGTGAAGATGGTCTAAATTTTCTGCGAAACCGCGACGCCGACCTACTTGATCAGGCGTCACACCCCTATTTCTGCTGCCAAGGCTTGGTCATCCTGGTCTCTCTCTTACACTGCCAGTGTCAATCTATCGCTGTTCTCAAAAAGTCACTCCAAAATGGCTGGCGGTGACACTGCGGCCAGGCCGCCCCGTGAGATCTTCGACGTGAGTCACCTCGCAAACACTCAAATGCACCCGGCGCTGATACTAATCTCTGCAGACCATCCTGCTCTTGGACTTTGGAAGTCAGACGTCGCACCTGATTCTCAGGGGTCTCCGGTCGCTCAATGTCTTCTGTGAGGTTCTGCCAGGTCCGACCAGGGCCAGCGAGCTGAACTGGAAGCCAAAGGGGATTATCTTCAGCGGAGGCAAGCGCCATTGAACCTTTCTCCGGGGGCTGTTGCTGATTTCTGTCAAGGACCTGCATCTGTGAAGGATCAGGGGGCTCCTCGTAAGTGATATTTGATCTACTCCCCGGGGATCATGAACTGACTGGGCAAAAGACGTCGACCCTGCCTTCTTCGATTTGGGAGTACCAATCCTCGGAATCTGCTACGGTTGCCAGGAGATCGCCTGGCTATCAGGCGCTGAGAACGTCGCCCCGGGCGAGAACCAGGAGTATGGCCACACGGTATGCTACTAAACTCAGTGAAACTTTTTCTTGGTGCCAAACGGAATCCAGCAAGAAATGTGCTAATCCGCAACCAAAAGGATCTGAACATCTATCAAGATGGCAGCTCTGATCACATTAACCACCTCTTCAAGGGTCTGGGAGAGTCAATGCACGGTAAGCAATTTTCGTATCCACATGGCTTCAGATTCCCCTGTGGAGAGGCAGACATCAATCTAACAAGTCAACAGTCTACATGAGCCACTTTGACAAGCTGGTCAGGTTACCCAAGGATTTCGTCAGGATTGCCAGCTCCAAGAACTCTGAGTATGCAGGAATTGCCCACCAGACCAAGCCAATTTATGGTAGGTAGCTGCTGGCCCAATGACTTAACTTGCTGTAACTTTCCAAGATGATCTGACCAAAAACTCACAGGAATTCAATTCCACCCTGAGGTTTCGCACACTCCCCGCGGAGGAGAAATCCTCAAGAATTTTGCCGTCGATATTTGCAAAGCCCGCCAGCACTGGGTTATGAGCGACTTCATTCAGCACGCGATCGAACGTATTCGCCAGCAGGTTGGTGACAAGGCCCAAGTCATTGGCGCAGTCTCGGGCGGTGTCGACAGCACGGTAGTTGCCCGTCTTATGCGGGAAGCCATTGGTAAATTTTATAACCGCCAGTTCAAGAATTCTGTGAATGTATGCTAACTTAGAAACCAGGCGACAGATTCCACGCCGTTCTCGTGGACAATGGCGTGATGCGTCTCAACGAGAGCCAGCAGGTGAAGCAGACGCTCCAGGAAAACCTCGGCATCAACCTGACCGTCATCGATGGGTCAGCGAGATTCCTTGAGGCCCTCAAGGGCGTCAGCGAGCCCGAGACCAAGCGGAAGATCATTGGCAACCTCTTCATCGAGTTGTTCGAGGAGGAGGCTGTCAGGATCGAGAAGGCGGCCGAGAACACACCCAACGCGGGCAAGGTTGAGTTTTTCGTCCAGGGTACCCTATACCCAGACGTCATCGAGTCTCTGAGCTTCAGACCCGGCTCAAACTCGGCAACCATCAAGACACACCACAACGTCGGCGGTCTGCCCGCCCGCATGATGAACGGCCAAGGCCTCAAGCTGATTGAGCCCCTGAGGGAGCTCTTCAAGGACGAGGTCCGCGGCTTCGGCCGCCAGCTTGGCATCTCAGAGGAGCTGGTCATGCGCCACCCCTTCCCCGGCCCCGGCATCGCCATCAGGATCATCGGGGACGTCACGCCCGAGCGTGTCGCGATCGTCCAGAAGGCCGACAACATCTTCATCTCCATGATCAAGGAGGCGGGCATCTACGACGAGATTGCCCAGGCCTACGCCGGGCTTGACACCAACAGGGCTGTTGGTGTCATGGGTGATGACCGCGTCTACGGCTACATCGTCATCCTCCGTGCTGTTGCGTCGGTCAACTTCATGACCGCCGAGCCGTACGAGTTCAGCTTCGATTTCCTGAAGCAGGCCGCGCGGAGGATCGTGAACGAGGTTGTCGGAGTCTCTCGTGTCACTTACGACATTACGAGCAAGCCTCCAGGTATGTGCACCCAGGTTGAAAAAAATCGTCTATTTTAGGGGGGGTTTACTAATGGCACGACAGGAACCATCGAGTTGGAGTGATTGGCTTTGTAGGCTGTGAAGGGGCCCCTTTGTTCTGTCGTTGACGCCGACATCGCAACAGCAGACTTTTGGGTCCAGTTCTGGGTCTCGCAACCTAAAAATGTCACATGGCCCCCGCACGCGCGACTGCCACCGCATACTTGCGAGATTGCGCCCATCCACGGTTCGCGGTCATCCTCCGCTCTGTGAGACGGGCCATGGTCACAAACAGCTGTTCCTTTGCGCAGTGGAATCGCGAAGGGCAGTGGGGAATCTTATTCGTCCCTCATTCCGTCCGGTAGAGATGAAACGCTTCATTGCTAGATCGTGGAGACAATTTCTGGATTTTAGACAAGTGGAAAGAGGCCGGGGATCACGGTGACGGCGGGTGGCAAAGAGAGAGAGCGGATGATTGAATGAATAGACTAAATGAAGCAGCGGATGATATTGATTGTTGAATGCGGCGTCTTATTCAACTATTGATATATTAGCCGGTGCCTCTTCCTCTGTGCAACAGCTTGAAGACAAAGGTGGTCTTCGTCCTTTCGTCACGTTTCGGTGACCTGTTCGCTGAGGACTTGCAAGTTCATCGCCTGGCTGGGCTGTATGATGTTTTGAAGATCTCTCCAATCGAAAGACCTTTGTTTCAACAGAATAAACTTTGAAGCTTTGTTTTGTAGGCACACAGCCTTGTTGTGGTGCTTTACAAGCGATACATTTCCAGTCTACTATGGAAGTGAGGTTCCAACTACTACCCTAAACAGCTGCCATCACAGATTCGCTGTCGATCCTCCGTAGTAATGTATCTGTATCCATAATTTATTAGCGTTGTTCACAATTGCTTCTACACCCCGCCGCAAATGGGATCCATCCCAGCAACTTACATCAACATCATAGCACCCGCTCGGCGTCTGGTACAGGTACGCCCCAGTATTGACATAGAGCGCGTTCTCGCCCGAGGCAGACTTGCCAGGACAGACATAGAACGCCGCGGTGTTGGGCCGCGCCACGTCCGGGTCCGCCCAGGTGACGGTGTCCCCCGAGAAGGCAAACGTGCCGTACGTGTTCTTGGTGGCCTGGAACGTGGCGGCGAGGGCCCGCTGCGTCTTGTCGGCCGGGTCCTCGACGTTCAGGTAGAGCGGCGCGCCGGACCCGGTGTTGTACACGAGCTGCCCGTCGATTATGTTGAACTGCCCGGCCGTCAGGTAGCTGTCCAGCAGGGCGGTGCCGGCGCGCGCCGTGGGCCGGGCCTGCAGGTAGCTGTGGAAGTAGGGCGACTCGACGCCGCGGATCCAGTACCAGCCGGGCAGGAGGGTCGTCGGGGTCCCGGGGCTGGAACCCGCGCCGGTCGTGCTTGCGGCTGAGGTTGTGAGGGTCGTTGTAGATGACTTTGTGCTCGCGCTCGTCGTGCTGATACGGCTCGACGTTGTGGACGCCGCCGTGCTGGTGCTTGGTGCAGCTGATGATGTGGCGGCTCCGGGATAGCATTGGGCATAATAGGCGCTTTCACCGGGTGTCAGCCCCTTATTATCTTGTCAAAAGGTCTTGCTTCCGTCGTTGAAGTTGTGCTCACTTATAGGTGGTACAAGTATATCCTGAGCCACATGCGCTCGGTCCTGTGTACCCGATACCACCACCTTCGAGAAGTTAGTCAACATATATACACACACATCATACTTTAAGACAGAACTTGCATTGCCCATAGGCACCAGCGGTGCTTTGGGCTGCGGCTCCCAGGGCCAGAGAGGCCAAAGTGACGATTGAGAAGCCCATGTTCAGGTCTCTGGTTTGCCTGCAACTGACACACTCAACCAGGTCTGCAACAACAACATGAGAGCCCGGGTCATAAGTACATATGTAGTCTTTAAACGGTCTTAAAACCCCCTGTCCTGTGCATGGACAGGCATGTGAGAGCGCCCGGGAACTTAAGACGTGCTTCCAGATTGCGCTGCAGCCAGACGGATCTAGGGGTGGCCAAAAAGCTTGATCCAACCGCATCAAGCCCTATGGGAACGGTGTTCCGTACAATTTGGCGACAGAAGCGCTCGCTCCCGTCGTTAGTCGTATGCTTTACTTTCAAACATGTAGCGCTAGACCGCAATTTTCCGCATGGCTTAGGAGAAACGGCATTTTACCCCTGGGGTTCGGGGGGCTAGGTTCCGCATCTCTCAAAATATCAAGCAGGTAGCCCCTGCAGCCCACATGGGATGAAACATAGAAAAAGAGTTTCTAGTAATATACCAAAAGTATTATGGAAAGCCAGTGGCAGAATCGCTGGTTCTTGTCAATCGTTTGTGCGGATATCCCCAGTGGCTTACGTGAGAGCAAGAGCATCTGCGTCAAGAAATGAATATGTACGTATGCCGACAAGTCTGCTTCTATTCAAATTCTGTTGTATGAATTTCCTTCATTGAAGTCAATAAAGTTGGGCCGTTCTTCTTTCTTCTTTTTAAATGCCGGATATTTAAGCATTTACAACTATGTACAGGGACCGTTTACGCCTTCGGATTTACACGGACTCGGAAGGAAACCAGGCAAGAAAGACTTCATAAGAGTAAATCACTGGTCTGGTCAAACTGTTTTTTGGAGGAATTCAGATGCGGCAGAAGAATCCATTCAATAATGACCAATCAAGTCAAAACTCAGGTGCTAGTTATTCATCAAGGTAATCATAATCACATCCGCACAATTATGAATACATCACCGTACCATAAAATGCACAGTAAATATTAGGAGCAAGGGCTCATAGCTATTGACCTTTAAAGTCATGGAAGCGTGGCCTCTGGAGGAAGTTCGTCTTCCAATTTATAAAATAGTGTCCAAGATGCGCCGGATGAGCCGCGTCCACAAGGGCCTGGCTAAGCTCAGACGAGTGACACTGAGGCATTTGTCATACTCGACGGCTTCAGTGGTTTCCGTAACGAGGCGGCCACGCCTAAACCAAGTGAACCGAGAGCAATGTCCTCGCTGCATTTGGTGTTGATACTATTGCAGTTCTTGAAAAGGGGGTCGCATATGGGGAGCCTTGGGTCGTGGATAGTTATACCGGCGGCTGCGCCTCAGGTCCAAGAGCAGACAGACAAAGCAAGAGGTCCAATCGCAGGACTACTTCCGCACCACTGACCAGCCGCAGCCTCAATGATCCACGTGAGATGCAAAATAGGGACAGATCGATGCGCTTGGCTCGGTCTGGAACCAGTGCCTTTTCTTGGCCGCCGGACTCAATCATGGTCTAAGCGTGAGCCAATCAGGGCCGGCATGGTCTTGGAATTTATAGCCGCGCCTCGTGGGTGACCACGATGGCCCTATCCTAGTGTCTTAGACAGCAGCTCCATGGCAACAAGCGGCCACTTGGATGGGCTCGGACACCCAGTCCCGCGTGTGTAAACCTTCTCCCGTTCCTCACTTACCTTCTAGTGCAGTAAACGAACTCGATATGGGCAGGGCTGGCTCATTGGCTTGAAACAACTGCCGGCGCACACACGTGGGCCTAAAAGAGGATCTGGTGCCTTTTTGCGGGAAATGGGGTATTTGAAATTCCCAAGGTTAGATCGATGAGCGCGTAGAAGCTGCCCCCGAAGTATCACCAGCATTCAGCCGCATCGGGGGCCCCATGGGACGACACGGGAACGCCCACCGTGCCGCAACCTTCTGATCACGCAGGGCCAAGATCATAAATTCACTTAACCCACGGCCTCCCAGGTCAAAGACCGCGGGGCCAGAAGCCTGGAGGTCGTATCTTTTCAGCAGTCAAAGGAGTTTGCTGCAATCAAGCTAGCAGCAATCCTTTCAGCACCACATCCTTTCAGTGACTCCCCACAAAGAATCATTTGTAGTCACAAGCGCTGAACAACACTTGATCCTGCTCATCCGATTTCGAAACTGGTGAGAAGCTGTCAAGTTGCTGGGCCCAGCTCCGACCCAAAACTTGAGCTTGACATTCGAACTTTGCCATATCTGCTACCAAGTGGCCCACCATCATCATGGCCACCAACACAAGACTCCACCTCAAACTCTCCCTTCCTCGCCCCGAGTTTCTCCACAGGAAAAGCCAACCTCTCCCGCCAACGCCGGAAGAAAATGAAGAAGAATTCCAGTTCGCGCGTCAGGAGACTGGCGACTCGGAGGATGCGACAGATTGGATCAAGAGCACCATCCGAGACCAAGGCCGCTGGGAAAGGCACATGTCACTGATCCAGATCGACTGCCCACACAACATGGCCGGGCTCCGGAGGCTGGGCAGGCTTTCAAAATCAGAGGGCACCAAGGCGTGCCGCAAGATGGTGCGCATCCCGGTGTTGTATGACGAGATAGGCTGCTTCCTCTGGGAGAAGCTCGCAGAGCTGGAGCGCGGGCCAGACTTTGGGCGAGAGGACGAGGAGAAGGCGGCCGAGTACGCAAGGGGGGTGACATACCGCACGATGATGGCGCTGGACGAGCGCTTCCGATTCGACCAGCCAGCGGTCGACGGTGACATCGCCAGAACAACAAGGATCCACGGCCGTGCCAGGCAGGACAGCGAGCCCGTCTCCCCAAAACACATCCACCAGCCACAAGCCGACTCGTCACCCCAGGAGAAGAGGCCCAGCATCCCCCACGCCTGCAACTTCTGCCGGTCCAGCAGCGCCTGCGAGCGGCCGACCATCCCCGCCGAAATAGCCGCCGACGCCCTGGCCGCGACACGTGGAAGGATAGTGGACGACCAGCAAGCAGCACCATTGCGAGGCAGCCCGCACGCGCGGCTGCGGCTGACCCGGTCGCTGAGCCGGTCGGGCCAGACACCGCCACGGGCGCCCGTGTTCTTCAACCACAGCAGGAGGAGCAGCAACTCGAGCAGCCTGATCTGGCGGCACGACAGCGACCAACAACACCCCGACCCTGGACCCTCGTCCCTCGCGGACGCCAGGAGGAGCGCCAGCAGCAGCGGCCGCCGCGGCCCGGCGAAGGGACCCGGCAGGGCGAGGTCCCGGGACGACACGCTCGGCGGCCGGGTCGGGTCCGTGGTGGGTAGCCTCGGCAGGGGCGTCGTGGTTGCCATCGGCGGGAGCATGGCTCATGGATATGGACAAAGCGGCCGGGTCAACCGGAATGGGTCGCTCTGGTCTGTTTGAGGGTGTGGATTCCAGCCAGGCGTAAAAGTCTTGGGTTAGACCAAGGAGTTCCGATGCTTTTCCAAGGAGCGAAGGTGTTTGGCGTGACGGATTCTGACGACCCCATAGAGGGCATGCAAATAAAATTAATTTAATATAAAGCTTCAAACTAGACCACCCAAGAAATGTCATATAAGCAGTGCATATTCTGCACTTGCCAAATCTTGTCGTCCATGATGTGATCTGGCTTACTGGTGCTGCTTTCAAAGTGTATATGAGAAATGGCCACCAGTCAAACCCACTAAAGCAAGGCCCCTAAATGGAGGCATCCTGTGGGAGAAAACATCCCATAAGAGTCTGTCGATATGGACGTGACGTATTGCGTGTTTGCTGGGTGCAATCTGCTCCCTGTAGCCCTAGATAGTGAGGGACTGGAGGGCGGCCTGAGGACAAAGAAAAGAAGCCTGCTATATTTCAGGAGGTGAAAGTTACAAATCAAGATGTTGTGTGTCTCGAATTCTTGACTCGATGGTTGCATTGTCAGGCGTCTAGCCTCGAACAACATTCATGGATGGTTGACTACTGCGAACAGAAACATGCATGCATGTCATCCAGATGGAAGGCTGGGGGGTGAGGTACCCAGGTACCTGGATACACTGGCAGTGGTCGTCAATCCAAGGCTGGCTGGCCGGCTGGTTAATTAAGTGGGTCCTTAGCTTGGGTTTTTGGGGGTGTGGTTGACCCACCTCCAAACTCCCCTGGCCTGGTCGTGCCTCATGGCAGCTTAGCATTGGACCAGTCGCCGCCCGTGCTTCTTTTCCGGAAACATCAACAACAACACCGCTCCGAAAAACACACCTGCAGCAGCAGCGCAGCCAATCCAGCCTCAGTCTGCAACTGCCAGCATCACCAGAAATCAACCCTGAAACCCATCTTTGGTCCTGCTGCAGCAGCTGCCTTCAACCCTCCATGGTCACGTCCGACAACTGACCAAGCAGCAAGGATGGCAGCTGCCGAAGTAGCTGTCGACTTTGGCTACCTGTCAACCCATCTCGGCGTGGCTGAAAACACCCTCGAGACAGCAGCCTCCCAGCCAACTGCCGACCTTGTCAGGGCCGTCTTGCAGGCAGTGGCCGCAAAGGCACACGAGTTCGACAACCTCTACGCAGAGAAGCTGCAGGTCGACATCGAGCTCGAGAATGCCGTTCGCAGCGCTGAGTCACGCTGCCAGACCTTCAAGGCCACCGCCGACAAGGCTTTGAAGGATGCAGAGGAGATAAGAACCAAACTACAGCAAGAAGGTACGCTAAAACATCACCATGGAGGCACTGAGTCTGAATGCGACAGGCTCTGGGGCTGGCACTAACGCGTTTGTGGCACCATGCAGAGTCCACCCGCCAAGGGCTGGAATCCGAGCTCCAGCAGCTACAGTCCTCGAGTGGCGGGAGTCTTTCCGAGATCGAGAACCTGAACGCGCGCATCAAGTCGCTCGAACAGTCGAACCGGGATACCGTCGCAGCCGTCGACGCAAAGAACGCCGCCAACTCGGAGCTGCTGGCCGACCTGCAGAAGCTCCAGCAGAGGAACCACGAACTCAGCAAGCAGGTCGCCGAGCTCCAACAGTCCGTGCAGGCCGAGAAGGCTGCCGCGAACAGCGCGAAATGGCGCGAGCAGAACTTGGAGCAGGAGATTGCGCTCCTCAAGAGGAACAACGAATCGTTCGAGCAAGAGCTCAAGACCAAGCGGGAGGAGGCCCTCAAGTATCGCAAGGAGAAGGGCGCGCGCATCGCGGAACTGGAGCGACTTACCGACGAGCAGCGATCCACCATCGACTCCTTGACCCGCGGCGAGCAACAACTCCGATCTCGCCTGGACGACGCACAAAGAAAGGCCGATGACGCTCTCACCAAGATCCAGCAGCTGAAAGAGGCTGCCGCGCGAACCGAAGAGAGCTTCAACCAGGAGCTCGAGGCGTCGAGACGCCTTGCCGACCTACAAGTCCAGCAGGCCGAGACCAGCAGGGAGAGGCTGAGGGAGGTTGAGAACAGGCTTGAAAAGGTTCAGGATGATTTCGCGGTCCAGAAGATGCGCGTCGAGAAGCAGCTCGAGGAGGAGAAGGCAGAGCATCAAAAGGCTTTCGAACGTGCGCAAGAGCTGGAGCAAGAAATAAGCCGACTGCAGGCCGCGGCTCCCCCCCAGCTACCATTCGGGCCTGGAGACCGTCCCTCGACTCCTATCGCAAACGGCCACCTCAGGGCTGGCTCGCCATTTGGCACGCCTGGCTCCATCAGGAGCAAGAACATGACGCAGACCATCGATGAGCTGTGGAAGGTCAAATCGGAGCTCATCAACGTGAAGAAGCGGAACCAGCAGCTGGTCCAGGAGCTGGACGAGACAATGTCTGTTCTTGAGGCCAAGGCGCCAGAGTTCAACGGGCTCGAGGCAGAAATCGAGAAGCTGCGCAGCGAAAACATCCAGATGACACAGTTGGCAGACGAGAGTTTCCAGGAACGCGATATCGCGAAGAAGGCGGCTCGGAAGGCCGAGGCCGCCCTGGGCACAGCTCAATCGGAAGCAAACATCCTTCGGGCCCAGTTGCGAGACCTCGGCATCCAGATCCAATTGCTGGTCTTCAACCTACACGCACAAGAGAAGGGCCTTGACCAGCTCACACAAGAAGAGGTCGTCAAATTTGACCAACTGCAAAGAGGCGAGGTTGCTCCAGGTGCACTTGACGACCTGTCAGACACTCATCGCTTCATCACGGAGAAGTTTGTCGCGTTCAAGGACATCCACGAACTGCAAGCCAAGAACGAGGAGCTGCTCAGGATCACGCGAGAGCTCGCAGACAAGATGGAGAACGATGAAGCACAGGCTGCCAAACAGCAAGCTATCAACAACGAGAACGAGCTTATCTCCTTGCGTGAGCTGTGCGCTCGTTTGCAGGATGAGATCAAATCCATGACCGTCCGGATGGAGTCACACAGGGCAGAACGGGACATGTTCCGACGTATGGCACAAGGACAGAGGGCTATGGTCAGTGATGCCAACGACGCCGAAGGCAGCCAGCGTGAAGTGCTCGGCAGCATTGAACAGGACTCCAACGTGGACGAGGTTGAAGCCATGTCAGCCATCCGCGAGATGCAAGCAAGGCTTGACACACAACAGAACGAATTCAGCACCGACCGCAAAGCCATGCGCGAGCAAGTCGACAGGCTTTCGGCTGAGAAGTCCACTCTGCAGAGTGAGGTTGTGCGCATTCGCAGTCAGCTCGAGCTGGCGTCTGAACGTTATGCCATGCTTCAGGGCAACTGTGAAGCGCTGCAAAACGAGAAATCCGAGCTGCAGAGGCGAAGCCAGAGCCTCTCGGAAGCCGCAGCAAAGCACGATCTGCGCAGCCAGCAACTGGCTTCAGATCTCGTCGAAACAAGGGCGTTACTGGACAGTGTTCAGAGCAAAGCCGCGAACCTAGAAGCAGAGAAGGCCCTTTTCACCAGCATCCGTGACCGTCTGCTCAAGGACAACGAAGAGCTTTCGAAGGACAAGGCTACCCTCAGTAACCTCCTGACTCAAAACCAAACGCTACTGAACGAAAAGGACACCTCCGACAAGGAGACACGGCGAAGTCTCAACGAGCAGATCCAATCGTTGAAGACGGAGTTGGCCACGAAACAGCGCAACCTCGACAATGAAATCGAGGAGAGCAGGAGGCTCCAGCAGCGTAAGGATTTCGAGACCCAGCAGCATCAACAGCGGGTCGATGAGCTCCTGAGCAGCCTCAACTCGGCCAAGGAGAGTCTCGTTGCTACTAAGACCAGCAGGGACCACCTGCAAGCTCGTGTTGACGAGCTCACCATTGAGCTCCGTAATGCCCAGGAGAAGGCCGAACGCTTGCAGCCCCGACCAACCCCCCGACCCGGCACAGCCAATGATCCTCGATCGGCGGATGCAGAGACCGAGGCTCAAATCGATGAGCTGGTCAACGAGATCTCCGACCTCAAGAGGGACCTGGACCTGGCCACAACACACCTGGAATCTGCCAGATCACAGACTGAGCAGTACAAGGAGATTGCTCAGGCTGCGGAAGAGGATCTCGCTCAGAACAACGCCGTCCAAGAGCAGTTCCGCGCGCAGATGGAGGCGGAACTTGGGGCCAAGGATGCGCAGATCAAGGAGCTTCAACAACGCGTCGAAAACATCTCCGTGGAGCTCAGCAACTCTAACAACGAGCTGTCGTCCATCCGAGACTCCCAGACAGAGGCCAGCCGCAAGGCCGAGGAAGAGAAGCGCATCTTGGAGGAAGAAATCTCACGGCTTAAGGACGAAGCCGAGCGACTCAAGGAGCGGGCCAAGTACCACCAGCAAGATCTCCGCACTCAGGCGGACATTGCAAAGAAGGCCCAACAAGACTATGAGACGGAATTGGTGAAGCATGCGGAAGCTGCGAAGGCATTGCAAGCCCTCCGATCTCAGCACAACCAGTTGAAGACCAACACTGCATCGCTAAAGGCCGAGGCTGAATCTGCTAAACACACGCTTGACGACAATAAGAGATCTTTCGCCGAGCGGGAGCAGCAACTACGACAAGAGATTTCTGATCTGAAGGAGAGGCGACAGGAGACCGACCAACAGAACAAGCTTCTGCAGGAACAGCTGCACAGCTTCACGTCTCAGATCGCCGCTATCAAGGAGAACCGCACTGCCTTTGTTGAGGCCACAGATGATACTACCAACTCTGCCCCTGGCTCAGACGTCGAGCGCCTGACGGAACTCAACAGATACTTGCACCGTGAGAAGGAGATCCTCGAGGTTCAGTACAACCTCAAGAACCGGGAGGCCGAGCGCCTGCAACAGCAGGTCGACGCCAAGCAAGCACAGCTCGAAGAGTACCAGCTGAAGCTGGAGCAGGAGCGCGTGGCTAGGAACGATACCAGCACGAGCAAGTCGCACGAAGAGTTGATGAACAAGCTGAATGAGCTCAACCTTATAAGAGAGAGCAACAGCACCCTACGAAGCGAGAACAAGCGGATCGAACGCCAACTCGAGCAAAAGAACGCCAAGATCAAAGACCTGGAGGCAACGATAGAACCTCTAAAGGCCAGCATATCTGAGCTCGAGGGCAACAAGGAGTTCATGCAGGAAGAGTTGAAGCAGCTCGCTGACGACCGAGACCACTGGCAGAAGCGTGTGGAGAGCATTGTCACCAAACATGGACGCGTGGACCCTGCCGAGTTGGAGCAGATGAAGGAGAAGGTGGCCGAGCTGGAGACCGAACGCGATGCGCTGAAGCAGGCCGAAGAGCCCCTAAAGACCAGGATCACCGAGCTCGAGACGACTTTGGAGACAGAAAAGAGCAACTGGTCAGCAGCGCGTGGAAAGATCATCGAGCAGGCCAAGAACAAGAACAGGGAGAACAGCACCAAGATTGCCGAGTTGAACGCAGAGAAAGCACAGTTGCAGACACAACTGGACGAGGCCAACCAACGTCTGACCTCGCTCCAGTCGCAACTCGACTCGGCTGTTCAGGAAAAGAATGCCCTCGGTCAAGAGAAATCCGTCTTGGAGCAGAGGCTCAGCGAAGCTCAACAGCAACTCGAGTCTGCCAGCACCACAAGAGAACCTCCTCCCGAGGTCCCGTCCGAGACAGTCTCTTCAGAACAGCTCACCCAGGTGCAGCAGCAACTTGAGAGCGCACAGCAACAACTGGTTGCTGCTAATGGAGCCAAGACCGCTGCCGACCAGGAGGTCGAGAGGCTACGCTCAGAACTGGCCACGACTATGCAAGACCGTGACGCAGCTCGCGCGCAAGTCGGATCTCAAGCGCCTGCCGAAGCAGCGGCGCCGTCAGCCCCAGCCCCAGCCCCAGCCCCAGAGACAGCTCCACAAGCAGAGACCGAGGCCATGCAGACTGGTGGTGATGCTGATGCTCAACCCGCCCCAGCGGCAACATCTGACGCAGAGCGTGCAGAGCTAGAACAGAAGCTGGCAAGAGCTGAGCAAAGGGTTACCGAGTTAGAGGCCGAGGTAGCCGAGCTCAAATCAAAGGTGTCTGAGTACGAAACGAACCAGAAGGCGATCGTGGACGCGAGGTCTCAAAAGATGAGGGAAGCGCTCAACAAGAAGTTGGCTGAAGACAAGGCCAAGAACCAGGCTGAGCTCATCAAGGAAAAGGAGAAGCTGCATGGCGAGTATGAACTGAGACTCCAACAGGAGCGGGCCATATGGGAGGCGGAAAACAAGGTTGCTAGTAATCCGGCCGGACCGCCCGACTCCGTTGCAGCAACACCGACGAAGCAAACGAACCAGCAGCCGCCGCAGACGCCAAGCACGGAGCTCTCGGCATTCCTCGTGGCGGACTTCTCGAAACTTAGTGATGCCGATACTCGTAGGGTCGTTAGCGAGAACTCTACGATCAAGAGCATCATCTCCAGTAATCTCAAGAAGAAGGTCGAGGCGGAGACCAAGAAGGTCAGGGACGAGGCGGAGCAGGCCCTGAAGGCTGAACACGAGGCCAAGATCGCGTCTGCTAGGGAGCAGGCGGGGCTCATGGCATCGAAGAAGTCGACGCTCAGGATCAACATGGCCGAGAACAAGTTCCGGGGAGCGCAAGCCAAACTCAACGTTGTTGAGACCGCTGCCAAGGAGACTCCCCAACGTGGTGTTGGTGAGGTGTGGGAGGAGGCCAAGGTCGCGAAGCCTCTACCGGCACCGGCACCAGCACCAGCCCCAGCACCAGCCCCAGCACCAGAGGCCACCGTCAAGCCTGCTTCTTCGCCCGCGCCGTCAGACAAAGCAGCCGGCACCGGTACGTTGACCCAGTTGTCACAAGGCCGCCAAACCACCACAAAAGCTAACATCGTCTCAGGCGCGCAACCCACAACCGCAGCGTCCGACAAGCAACCTCCCGCGCCTGCCAACGGCGCCATTCCGCAAAAGCCAGTCCCAGTAGCCGTGGCTATCCAGCCGGGCGTGGCGCAGCCAAACCCTTTCGCATCCGGAATCCCAGCGAAGCCGACGCCAGCCGCGGCGAACCCCTTCGCAGCGGCCCAGCAGTCGTCGCTGCCCGCCAACCCGAACCAGGCCGCGGCCCAGCAGGCAGCTCCTCAGGGCCAGCAGAACCAGAACCAGCCCCAACAGCAACAGGGCCAGCAACCAGTCAGGACCGGCATCCCCGTGCCAGCCCGCGGCGGGGCGCCCCGAGGAGGCGGCCGTGGCGGCACATACCAGGCACGCGGCGGCGGGCGCGGGGGCTTCCAGAACCGCGGCGGGCAGGGCGGCGGGGCGGCCAACCTCAACCCCGGGGCGCAGAACTTCCAGCCGGGCAACAAGCGGCCGCACGACGCCGAGGCCGGCGGCGCGGCGGCCGGCGGGCAGCAGAATAAGAGGCCACGGGGCGGTGGAGGCGGCGGCGGCGGCGGCGCGCAGCGCGGCGGCGGCGGTGGTGGTGGTGGTGCTCCCTAGCTGGACAGCCATGGCGATGTGTCCGGGCTCCCGCCTCGTCCTGGGTCCTCGGCTGCTCATCCGAGTCAGACAGGGCGCCGAAGGGGGAGCAGGAGCTTGTGAGCCGCGCTGCATCTTGCGTGCGTGCGTGCGTTCATTGTGCTGGGTGGCTTTGTTGGATGGACTTGACGGGTTGGCTTGGGCTGGACGACGATGGGTGGATGTCCTGGGCCTTTTTTTGGCAGCTATAACCTACCTGCCTTGCCTGGTGGGACTCGATACAGTTTCCTGATGCGGAGCGGGGGTGGGGTGGTCTTTTTTTTCTTTTTCACTTTGTCGAATGTAAATTACTCCTGATTGATTGCTGGGGTTACTACTGCTCCCTTTCTTGCGTGCTCTCTGTTTTTTTTTTTTCCTTCTCTTTTTCCGCGTCAACTTTGCATCGGCAAGGGGCTAAGGGTTCTGGTTTCGGAAAGGGGCAGTTAAAAAGAATACGGAGATACATTAAAACATTCGTGGTCATGTCATTCATTCATATTACATCTGGCTGAGTGTGTTAACTGGCCCGGTGTCTGTCTCCCTGATGTTGTCACTGTATGTGGGTTGAGCTTGATGAGCTTGGTCGTATCAGGTCAGCCCAGCCTAACGCGGTAATGACTCTGGCATAAGGGCGAGCATTTAACCAGGTTATCCACCCTCCCACATGCCTCTCACTACTACATAGTAGATCTACATAGTAGATCAGGACATACGATTCACACACGGAGCTTGCCCGTATGTACGTACTGTGTAGTAAGTACGTACGTGGTGCCCCATCAGTCCCGCGCATATCCACAAACACACGCACGTCTTTTGCGCCCTGCTAAATGCTGCTACTAATAACCGACGGACCGGGCATCGGCTCCGGCAGCGGAAGCAACGGTTAAACCAAGATTAGCTAAAAAACCAGGTGCTTGGGACGAAAAGCCGTGCTTGCTCCGAGATCCGGGCCCTAGGGCCGAGAGCCCCCCACCCCCCTCGGAGTTTGGGTGGGTTTTACCGTGCTCTAGCCTGCGCCAATTTCCCTGTGTTCCCTACCTGCTTATTACTCCTCAGCCAGTGCGTGCAATGGGAGGGAGACAAAGCACACAAGAGACAGCGAGAGGAAAAAAGCCGGTTTGCGCCCGCCCGGCTTGCGTGGGATTCAGAGTATTGTGCGTATAGTAACTCGGAAGCGTCGGGGCCAACACTTGGCAACCGATGAGCTCGGTTCGGCCGGGCGGGTCACGCGCGTGCTGACTGTGCATGCGTGCTTCCCACTCTTCTACACCACATACATACATACAGCGCGCGTATCGTCCTTTCCTCGAGCGAGCGCTGGACAGAAAAGACAAGGAAGGGGGTTGCAGGGGTGTGTGTCTACAGTACTGTTACGTCTTTCGTCCTACTACAGTGTCCCCCCGTCCCCCCCCCCCACGAGACGTCGTTTTAGTAATCACGCATCCTTGCGAGGGAAGGAAACACAGTCCTTGAGACTAGTTCCAGTTCAGATCCCGAAAAGGCGGAAATTGCGTTTCTACTGGGATGGATGGATGGATGGGGGGCTAGGCACTAACTCGGTGCAGGATACGCAGCGCGCCCTCCGGTGGTGCGGTTCCTAGTCGCCAGTAGAAGGACAATAAAGAGGACTCGTGGACAGAGTCCGTACCTAGGGTTAGTTGGCAAGCTGGTCGTATCTTGCTAGCCCTGAAAGCCCTGCTCTGGTAATCTGGACGTCCGTCACGTATTGGGGGCCAGCAGCGGCTGAGCCCCCGTTGGCGTTGGCGTGGGCTCGCCCATTGTGGTCGGGGGGGGGGGGGGTTTCTTTGTGTTCCTCCTGGTTTTGTTTCCCCGGTTGGATCGCAGTTGGACGCAGTTGGACGGGCCAATGTGTTGGCCTGGGTGGCCGGTCGTGTGGACACCTGGTGGCTGGTGATGCGCGCCCTACTGCAGTGCTGACAGCGAGGTGCCCTCGTGTGTGGGTGTTGTTGCGCCGGGTCCCAGGGTGGGCGGAGACAGGGTGCGCCTGGTTGGTTGGTTGGTTGGTCGGCCGGGCCCAGCTCGTTGCGCTTCTGCGCAGTGCCAGCGGCGGAGCAGGAGGCGCTGGACAACTCTGATATGTGTTTCGCTGGGTCCTTTTGCGCCCGTCCGTCCTCAGACGCGTACATAGTACGTACTACATAGTATGAACAGAAAGACAAGAGTCGGCCTGCATTAGTCTCGTCATGGGGCGCCTGCTTCGCCGCGGGAAATGCAACCCCTTCAGGCGTGCAAGAAAGTGTGATGTGAGTTAGGCGAGGCCAAGCCAGGCAGGCCCTGGCCCCGAGGCCAAATTCTGGGTGGAGGAGCCCCGAGGGATTGGTCCGTTGGGTCGAATAGGTCGACTAGGCCGGTCGCACCAGTTTTCGGCGAACGGAAACGGGTTGAAAATGGGATTCTGGGCACTGGGCTGCTCCAATGTCGATCCGGGGAATGAGATGCGCATGGCTGCTTTTTTGTCGTGTTTCGCAGTGTCCGGCCGCGACAGGGAAAGGTGACTCATTTTCCAATTCGTGGTGCTGATTTGCTGCCCCAGACGAGGACGACGGTTGGACGGGTTCAGGGCCTCATCATGGCTCTTCGCCGTGGTAGTCTTTGTGTGTTTCAGGGCACACTACTGAATTGAGTTGTGGGGAAAGGATAGAACAAAACCAGGCACACCGGCGGGTGGGCCTTGGCCCATCTGGACGGGTGTCCCGTCTGCCTTCGAGTGCATGTATCGTGATCTGTTTTCGGTAAGCCTTTGCTGCTGTCTGTCTGGCAGCGCAACGCGCAATTGAGTGCGCAAGCGTCCAGCAAGGCAGAAGGATGCCCACACAGGCAGCAGAACTGCTGCCGTCTCATGTGGCTTGAGCAGCCAAGATTGCAATCTGGCCGTCTGCGAGATGGCACAGCATAATGCCCCATGCCCCGAAGCAACATGTAAGTAAGCCAGGCAGGCTCCCAACTCCTTCGTCGAGTGGGATCGCAACGGGGCGCATTTGCGCACTGGCCAAGCCGGCGACCCGAATGGGAAAGGTTCGGGCTGGGTTCCTGAGAGCTAGAGGACGCGACGTCTGGGACGGGTCATAGCCCTACACCCTTCTCTGGTCTGCACACCCCGCATCTGTCCATGTTGGATGTCCTTCTCAGTCCTTCCTCGTAGGACTCCATCGGGTGGGTGAGGCTCATGAGTCGAGTTGAATTCAACAATCATCGAGAATTAGTGCTGTGGCAGGCCATTGCAGAGATGGTTCAGGTCAGTTGACTGTGGTTTTCCCCTGTGAAACTGTCTGTTTGTCAAGCTCGAGCATCGTGGACAATGGCAGAAGAACTGGACCACCGTTTTTGTCAGCGACAGACAGCGGGAGAGATGCTCATGGGGTGAGCGTAGTAAATTGAAAAAGGGCGCTGAGTGTGAGTCACACTTGCAAACTGGGGACCCCTGCAAGCGTGGAGGGTGGAAGAGAGGGCGAGGAAGGGAGACGGATGGTGGGGCAGGCGCACATTTTGGCTGCCAGCGCGGGTAGGCACACATTCTGCATTCTGCCTGAGGCTTTTAAAACCTCCCGCCACCCACGCCTAAGCATCGCGTTTTTCTCCCTCCCCCTTCCTTCTCCCCAACCCCAAACCATTCCACACATACACCAGAACACCTTGAGAAAAGACCATCAAGATGTTCTAAATCAGCCCTTTTGTGGCCTGCCCCCGTGCAAATCAGTCAAGATTCAGTCTCCAGACTCCACCAGCTTCCCCAACATCCCCACTCCCTCAGCTCTTCCTGCAAAGGTCGATCTGAACTTTAGTCTGAATAGCTTCAGCTCAAGTTCGCGTCTCCCCACCGCCACCATTCCCGGCCAAGACCCCCCAGTCTTCACCACGGATTCCCAGTCAAAATGGCTTCCCTCCAGTTCACCGAGCCTGCCGGCACAACCCGCGCATCATCAGCAACACTACCAGCAACTACTGCCGCCTCAACAGGACTTCGTCTTGTTCGACACGCCGAAGCGTCATCCCCCTAACCGCCCTGCCTCCCAATCTTCCGCCACAGGAAGTGCATCGCTCAACTCAACCAACCAACAACAGAGCCCCTGGCATCTTCCCCAGGATCTGCAACGTCAGCGAGCCGCACAGATACTCCAGGCACAGGGCCACACTGCTTCGTCAACGGCTTTTCCCAATCGGTTTAACAACGCGAAGAACAACCACTTCTACGCATCCTCTGCTCCCTCCTCGACCGCTGCTTTGAACCAGAATCAGTCCCGGCAACGTCCGCCTGTCCCCCTGTTCAACCAACAAATCAACGGTAACCAGGCACCGACCCTCAAAATGGACGTCCAAGGTAAGAGCCAGACACTGAGAATGCTCCCTCGCTGCTCAGGAACTCAACGCTCACAACGGCTTTCAGACTTCGAATTTGAGGATTTCACTGCCTTCGAGGGCGGCGCCCCCGCCTCGGCCCTCTCGTCGCCGGCCAACATGGCCTTCGACCTGAGCAGCTCCATGCACAGCTCCAACATCGGCACCGTCTCACCCCAGGACCTGCTGATGAACGAGCCGTTCATGTCTGCGCCGAACTCCACTGCACTCACTGCTTTGACCTCGCCTTCCATCTACAATGAATCGCCCGACTTCAACGACAGCTGCGATGTCTCCCCCAACTTTGGCTCCAGCGACTTCGACGACAGCGGCAACTGGTTCTCGCTCTTCCCGGACCAGAACCCCGTTGCGGCCGCCCCTGCCGCACCCGCTGTTGACCAGTCCCCAGCCACCAAGTCTGAGGACTTTGAAACCGTTGAGAAGCCAGCGCAGCGCCGCAAGTCGAGCAACTCTAGCTCGCCAACTGGTCGCCACTCTTCTGTCTCGGGTGTCAACTCTCGTCGTCGCGACAAGCCTCTGCCCCCCATCATTGTCGAGGACCCCAACGACACCGTCGCCATGAAGCGGGCGCGGAACACCCTCGCCGCTCGCAAGTCTCGTGAGCGCAAGGCTATCAAGTTCGAGGAGCTCGAGGAGAAGATCAGGAAGCTGGAGGCCGACCGCGACCACTGGAAGCAGGTCGCCATCGCACATGGTGCAACACAATAATCGATTGAAAGAATAAAAAGATGCTCTTTGCTTGGCTCTTGAGAGATGAACTGGAGGGTAGCGCTTGGTCATTTCCTTGGTTCGCACCTTCCAGTCTAGGCCTTTCCCAGAGGACGTCACCATCCCCTCAGCACTTGGCTGCTCGCGATGTTGGCTGTCGGGGTATACTAGGCTATATTGTTTCTGCTGTGTCGTTTGTCTGAATTATCGCTCGGGTTGACGGAAAGGTTTCGACTGGCCGCTCTAGCAGGCCGTCAACTAAAACTTGTTACTCTGTTGTACGGTTACGAATCAATTTTGATCTACCACGCGTCCTGGTACCTACCCACCGCGCCATGATGTGATACAATATCCCACCATTGCCCGTCTTGAATAGTAGTGCCCTACCCATGTAGCTGGCTTTGCCTGTTGACACCCGACGTCCGATACGAGGTGACTCTTGGGTAATGACAGTACTATATGAGCATAGCCTATGAGAGGTTATCCCGTGGGAGCTGTCCTGTAGGAGAGGTCATCCTTTACGAGGTCATCATGTGGGAGGGCATCTAATAGGACCTAGTAAGATATCCTATAGGAGGCAGGCACCTGGGCCGGGGGGGGGGACACTGGCCGCGTGGCTCACCAAGTACGTAGACACCGTGGTCTCCAAGCAGACACCCGAGCAAGGTGTCCTTTCACCGGCTCTATTTGTATCAACCAGCATCCATAGACATGCGTTACTAGCAGTTAGGCTATAAGACGCTGCGGCATCCATCTCTGACGGTTGGTCATCAGGTTTCGGGGTTGTACTGTGCCCCAGGCTGTAAGGCATGCCTTGTATGTAGCTGGGAAAGATTTTTCAAGATCTTGCTTGAGGGTTAATTCATATCTGCGAAGCTCCTGAAAAGTTCCAGACTGCTCTCCTCATGGGCCGGGACGAGTTCTGGCGGTAATTTCTTTTTGTGTGCCTTGGGTGAAATATATTCAATGTTACGACTCAAGTCTGCCCAAGTGTCGTCGTGACATCTTGTTACTCCTTTGATCGCTTTGAAAACCAAACTATGCAACAGAGTCGCTGAGGTCTTTCCACGGCCTTTGCCGGGGACGGCAGCGACTCTGCTTGGTGGAATTACTTGGCTGACTGGAGGCTGGTTGTTGCAAAACCCATGATGCTGCTCTGATGAGTCGAGATAGACATTATGATACTTGGGCTGCCTATGCCATGTACTTTCCCACAGACACAGAGCTTGCTCTATCTACAGAAGTCTGGTATTTGAGTGATACTTAGGTATGAATGACCTCTTTGGAAAACAAGAACTGTGAACTGCTAGCATGTCCTCCCGAGTGGGCCAGGAGAACGTCCAGGCTCCTGAACCCCATTCCATCTTTTATCAAGGACCCTTGATTCATACAAGTTATCTGCCTTTCGCCCTGGGAACTGATGGAACCCCCCTTTTTTAATGAGTATCATGAGACTAACAATATTACTTGCCTCTACGACCTAATGCACTGCTGTGTCGCTCGTATCACCCACTGCATCGTGGTTGATACCCGGTACTGAGCATGAACCCAGCAGCATGTAGTAGCCGCCAAACGCATCATACCGCGGAGGGGATTTATGGGCTGAAGGCTATATAGTTCGAGAATGTGCAGATGTGGTGTAGAACTGTCATTCTGCCATTGTCGGAAGCGCTCACATGGCAGAAATCTGACTCCAGTAAAAGTAACTTGAGAGTAGCCCTACACAGCATACGTTGCATTGTCGCTTATGTATTGTTGGCCGATTGTAATGAATCCTCCATACGATTCTTTCCACAGAGTAGTGCTGCAAACGTCACCTGCTGGGACTATCGTGGTCTCACCGCCCTTCAATCAACCCATCCACAGCAGTACTTGAGCTGGAGGTCCTGTGCCGTTCTACCTTTAGTCTGAATTCTGGACCAGGAGTCATTTGTCTGGGGATTAAGACTGTCACTGGGGGTATTTGATTTGTCACATACAGCACAAGTGAGAACCACCAACGGCCCTGAGAGAGCGGCATTAGGGGCTGTTGGATCATGGGAGGCACAGGGCGTGATATTGAGATGCAGGCTGACTGGCTGGCGAGAGCATTCAGCCCTTGTGTCGGCAGCCAACATATGCATAGCGGAACTGTTATGTTGTTGGGGTGATCCGTTGCAGTGCCAACAGCTGCCTGTCGACGGAAAATCGTTGGAAAATGTCTCCGAATGTCAATATATGTCTCCGAGTGGTCAGCGCACATACAAAGCACCAACCTCAGTCTACACTGCCTAGATATATAGTACACCCTCAGCACTCAGCTCGGGTCAAGAGCTCCCCCCTTCAAGAAGCTTCGCATTCTGCCCTCCTGCCTTGCACACGTCAGTCCCAGTGATTCGCCAACACTGAACCGACCAGCACACTACCTAGGCAGCAGTCATGGCTGAAGAACCAAAGTATCTCCTTCCGGAGCCAGAAAAAGAGGTAGCACGCCTAACGGAGCAGGACGCCGTAATCACCCATCTCATGAACGGGAAACGGATCCTCCCCCCGATCGACCTTACGAGGCCAGGCCTCCGGATCCTAGACTCCGGGACGGCCGACGGCCTCTTCCTGCGCGCCATCCAGCCACTGCTAACGGCCGAGGGCGAGCCCCCCACCCTCCTGGGCTACGACATCATGCCGAGCTTCTTCCCCCCCTCCCCCATGGTCCCGCCCCACACCACCCTCGCCGTCCACGACATCGCCGAGCCGTGGCCCGCCGGGCTGCAGGGCACCTGCGACCTCGTGCACCAGCGCTTTACGATCCCGGGGGGCACCGGCGCCGGGAGGGCGACGCCGCGCGGGGTCGTGCGCGGCCTGTGCCGGCTCGTCAGGCCTGGTGGCTGGATCCAGCTCGTCGAGATGGACGTCACGGGCGGCGCGGGCCACGGGCCTGCCATGCGCGACGCGTGGGCTGTTACCGGCGCCTTCTTGGCTGCTGCTGGGGCTGGTACTGACTATAGTAAGGATATGGCTGGCTGGCTTCGGGAGGAAGGCTTCGAGAACGTTCATGATGAACGTGTTGACCTTGACGTCGGTGCGAGGGTCAAGGATACCAAGTGGGCCACCCGGAGCGCTAAGATATTAGTAGAGGCTTTCACAGGAGTCGTAGGCGCATGTAAGAGTGAGTTTAATCCTGCTCTTATACCTCCTAGTAATGTTCGTGGCTTTACTTTCGTTCTACTGACACCTCATTTCCCCGTTGATTTAGTGATGAAGCTTGACCTTCCCTCGTCGCTCTCAGGGTCCCTAGATGAGATACCTGGACGAGCGGAGGAAGAACTTACAAAGCAAGGTGGAATCTATCCTCTCGTGTTTGCCTTTGCGCAGAAGCCAGCTACTACATGATATTTAATATGGAGGCAAGCGAAAGATTGGTTTCGAGCTTAGGGTCGCCGAACTTATAGGCGATGAGGACAAGAGATAATAAACCATCGAGTCCTGATTCTAGGTTATTATTGCCGTAACAACAACTGTCTCCACCGCAGACTCTCATTACCTCTACACGATAGTACCCTGTTTACCAAAGTATTTGAACTAGATCTAACTAAGTATAATCAATGACCACATGTGCAAGTTTAGTGGTTGGGGCACCGTATGAAGGCGCCATGTATGTCCTCGGACGTATGCGGAATAGAAGCGAAACCACATACGGAATAGAAGCCAAACCAGTTACCTTTACATGTATAGAGATTAGAAACGGAACCACCTGGTACTACTTGCCTGCTCATCCCGACGTCGACGTGCCTTGCCAGCCTCCAGCCCCCGCGTTGGCCCGGGTAATCACTTGGTCCCGCTGCCTTTTGGCCCAGTCCAGCCCGTTCCGGCATGCTGCAACTCCTCGGCGGAACTGGTCCTCCTCGTCGGTCGGTCATGATCCACGAGCCGATCAGGCTGGAGACGCACGTCGGGAACTCGTGTGGCGCCCGCGGCTCGTCCGGAGGGGGTCCCCCTCCAGCCACAAGCGGACATCCTCGTGGGGCTCGGCGGCAGCTGCCCCGTAGGCACGGTCTGGGTTACCAGGTGGGATCTCGCCGTCTGCCAGCGGCGCCAGGTTACTCATTATCGTGCTGCGCCGGATGGTGTGGGGGACAGGGCGGCATTGTTGCCCTGCAGCTCATCTAGCAGCGCCACGGCGCCTTCCTCGCCGAGACACTGCTCATGACCTCTCGAGAATTGCTCCAAGTCCTCGGGCGGGTCTTGGGCACACACCTTGTCCATTTCAGCTTTGATCTCAAGCAGATTATCCGGGGGCTCAGGTCTTGCCCCACTGGACGGGCGGTGGTAGCAAGAAGAGGAGTAGGAAGACGAGAACGACGAAGACGAAGACGAACACGAACACGAAGGGGTTTCGAGGATTTGGACAGCCAGAGGACAGCGACAACTTGGAGCATGTCCCAGAACCTCACAGGGGGGGGGCCTCGTATAGAGGAGAGCGCACACAGACTGGCTGACGCGACACTATTTATTTGGGGGAAAAGCCGTCATCGAAATGCCAATGTACATGTTACAAGTCACTATCCAAGCACACAGTCTATGTATGCCAGTCTCTTACAGAAAGAAGGACATTGAAACGAAGATCAATTATATAATCTTGACCGCCCACGAAATAAAACCTAATGCTTCGCCACAACACCCGACGCGTCAGCCTGGGCCGTGATCTTCTTCTTGTAGTCCTGCACGGTGCCGTCAAAGTGCTCGACGGTGCCGCCGTCGCAGACCCACAGGCTGTTGCAGACGGTCTGCAGCATGGTGACGTCGTGGGAGACCATGAGCACGCCGCCCTGGAAGTTGCGCAGGGCGTCGGACAGGGCGTCCATGGCCTCGATGTCGAGGTGGTTGGACGGCTCGTCGAGCACGAGGATGTGCGGGTTCGTGAGGGCCAGGCACGCAAAGGCGACACGCGACTTCTGACCCCCGGAGAGCACCTCCATCTTCTGCAGGCCCGTCGTGCCCGTGATGCCGAAGGCGCCCAGCTGCCGGCGGTACTCCTCGTCGGTGCGGCCCGGGTACTCGCGGGCCATGAAGGAGACGGCCGAGAGGGTGAGGTCGAGGGCGTCGACGTGGTGCTGCGCGAAGAAGCCGACGCGCAGCCGGGGGTTCTGCTGGATGATGCCCGTCGTCGGCGTGAGCTTGCCGATGAGCAGCTTGAGCACGGTCGTCTTTCCGGCGCCGTTGGGGCCCACGATGCCGATCCGCGAGTCGAGCTGCACGTCCAGGTCGACGTTGCGCAGCAGGATCTTGTCGGGCGAGTAGCCAAAGGTGACCTCGGACATCTGGATGATGGGCGGCGACATCTTCTCCACGTCGGGGAACTTGAAGTGCACGCTGTACTCGGCCTCGGGGGCCTCGAGCACCGGCATCTTCTCGAGCTTCTTGATGCGCGACTGTGCCTCGGACGACTTGGCCGCGTTGTACCTGAACTTGTCGATGAAGGCCTGCAGGTGCGCCCGCTCGGCCATCTGCTTCTCGTACTCGCGCTTGGCCGTCTTCTTGCGCTCCTCCTTGGTCGCGTAGAAGGAGGCGAAGTTGGCGCCCCGGTAGTAGTCGAGTCGTTCCGAGTGCTGGTGGATGATGTCGGTGGCGACCTCGTCGAGGAAGGCCCTGTCGTGAGAGACGACCAGGACGGTGCTTGGGTAGCCCTGCAGGTAGTTGGAGAGGAAGGTGATGGACGGGACGTCCAACATGTTTGACGGTTCGTCGAGCAAGAGGAGATCCGGCTCACAGAACAGGGCTCTCGCCAGGGCGAGACGCATCCGCCAACCTCCGGAGAAGGTCTTGGTGGCAAACTGCTGGCGCTCGGGGGAGAAACCAAGACCGGCCAGGATACTTGCCGCCCTGGACTCGGCCTTGTCCGACTCCATCTCGGCGAGCTTGGCCTGGACGTCGGTGAGCTTCTGGTCCTGGGCCTCACGCTCACGGTCGAGCCTGGCAGCGTCGGCTGAGGTGTCGGCCAACGAGGCTCTCTGGCTCTCGATCTCGGCGAGCTTCTCTGTGATCTGGGCCTCATCCTTGAGGAGAACCTTCCGCCAGACGTCGGCATCAAGCACTGCTTGTAATGCCGGCGTGTCGTCTCCGGTGATCTGTGCATACGGTCAACATCAAGTCCCTCAAAGGGGGCAACCAACCAACCAAGGAAGGGAAAAGCCACAACATACCTCTTGCTCGACGTGCAGGATAGAAATGTGAGTGGGAATAGGGACCTCACGGCGAGACAGAGCGCGCAGCAAGGTGGATTTACCAATACCGTTGTTACCGACCAGACCATAGCGACGGCCATATGCCAGGGTCAGGGTGGTCTCGGTCAGGATCCTCAGGCCGCCAATAGCAACATCGATGTTGTCCAGCTTGATGTCCTTGGACTTGCCACCGGCGCCTGGGGCCTGCAGGGGGTTGACGGCCATGTAGAACTCCTCGTAGGACTGGGTGGACTCTGGCTGGTTGAGCAGGCGCGAGGCCTCATACTCGACGGTCTTGAAGGTCTTCTTCTGCTGCTTGGCGGCGATCTTGCGCTCGGCCTTCTCGAGCTTCTTGCGGTCGACCTTGGACTCGACCTTGCGGACGTTGGCGGCCTCGAGGTCGACGGCGCCGGTGGCGACGGCGAGGGTGGAGGACATGTTGTTCTGGGCGCCGACCTGGATGGACTGGTCCAGCCTGCGGACGGTGGGGCCCTGGCGCTGGGAGGAGCCGTTGGCGTCGTCGTACCTGGTGACCCATTTCTGGACGAGCTCGCGGATCTTGTCCTGCTTGGCGGGGTCCGGGTCGCCGGCGGCGGAGAGCAGCAGCTCGATGACGACGGAGGCGGCCTCGGCCAGCGGGGAGGGGCCGGCCTGGTCGTCGCCGCCGGCCCACGAGGTGGATGCATGGGTCAGGTAGCCGGCTGAGTACTCGGAGACGACTGGGTCGATGTTGGGCAGCACGGTCCTGATCTCGGACTCCATGGTGACGTGACGGAGGGTGGCTTGGGTGGGCAGTCGTTGAGTGAAATGCCGAGGGGCGAGGCGAGGAGAATCGAGGTGGCTAGGCTAGGATTCTACTCGGTACACTCAAGGCGAAACCGCCACGGGAACCAGGGCTGGCCGGTGTCACTGATGCAGACACGCTTGGCACGTTGGCACGGTACTGTGATGGGCGGTGTTGAGCTGCAGGAGGCTGAGGACCGCCACGCTGGTGAGGTGTGAGGCGTGAGGCGTGAGGCGTGGTTGGCAAGGCAAAAGTGGGTTTTGATACTACCGAGGAGGCTAAGGCTTGACCAAAAAAAAGAAAGGAAGGTGGGGCAAAGCTCGGTCGAGCCTCAAGCCCCAATCCCCAGGCCTCAACTCAACCTCAAACCCCTCGGGCTCTAGGCTGACTGCGACGACCACGACTACATACAACTGCCCGTGTCTTCACATATACGATTATCGTATCATCACCACCCCGTCAAAAATTACAACATGCCATAGTGGAGTGTGATCACATCGAGTGGGAGTTGTCCTTACAGACCGATGTTCCATATCCTATGTGAAGTTTATTAGCGGACACCTGAGCTGCCGAGCCATGGAATTTGCTTGAGCACGAGCAACACAGCATGAGCAGAACCACGTTTTATTACCCCTTGTGCACGATCCTAGGATCCCACCTGGCTGTTGAACACCATCCACACACATCCACCAGACCTGTCTCGGACCATCACAGACCACCGACCAAGTGCTTGGAAACCAGATTGCTCCTTGCTCTGGGACGGGCGGCACTTGCGATACGAGCTTTGCTCTGCGTCAGCCATCCTTGAATTGGTCGGGGAATATCAGGACCAGGACAACTAGCGGGAAGAAACCGTTTTTCTGAAGGAGGCTAATAACAGATGTGATCGAGGGGTAAGAAGAAGCACACCAGCCAGCCAGCCAACCAACCATCCAGCAGCTTGCTCGGCTGCCGGTGCCGATTATCCCACCGTGCACACACACACAATGAACCAAGACTGCCATCGAGTCCAGGGGGAAGAACACACAGACACACAAGCGGGCAACACACCACTCACAAGTCACGACACACAGACACACACTGATCGGCCGGAGCAAGATCTCTGATCCCTCGGTCCGGTCTGGTCCTGCTGTGTACGCGTACATGGACTGAAAAAGAAGACAAGAGACAACAACAAGACATAGATATGTATGCATGCTGCACCTGCGCACAGTTACCCTGCAGCGGTGGTGTCAACATAGCACAGGATCTTGTATGTACGGCTGGTACGCCCGTAGGTACGGCACAGACTGCGTTTCTTTTCTTCCTCGCAGGGAGACAAGACACACGCACGAACGACACTCCAGCCGCGACAAGAAGTAGCAAGGGTCTCACAGCCAGAGACAGCCCCTCGTCACATTCTTATATGAACATCTTAATTACCGCACACACCTTCTAGAAACACCACAGAAGCCCTTGCTGCGCCCTCGAACCTGCAACCACACATCCTCCGTCTCCCGTCGCATGGCGCCAGCGCCACAGGCACACAGGGCGCAACGCTGGGAATATCTTCTCCCGAATGCCGCCGCCGCCAGGCCGCCCACCCACACACCCCTTTCGAGTTCCCGTCCCGTCAGCCCAATCCATCCAATCCGCTCCATCCCGTATCGAGAACCATGGGGGAAAAAAGACTGACAGTAGTTAATAACATCGATATGATATGATATGATGGGGGCCCTATCGGCCTAATCTCCACGTGCAGCATGAGCTGAGCGGGCGGCATTAAAAAAGATGACGACTATTCCGCACACTATCGAGCGCCTAATTCTTGTTCCTGGCGGCCGGGTGGGGGCCCCGTATATGCCTACTAAGAGCTAACCAGACCAAAAAGAAAAAAAAAGAATCCTCCGATGGAAATGAAAATAAGGCCTGGAATTGGCCGCACAGCCAGCCCTGCCCTGCGAGAAAAACCCGGCCCAGGAGCGAAGCCGAACCAGACAAAAACGTGCGCGGACCGGCCAGCAAGTGAGCAAGGGCCACCCCCCAAGCTGCCCAGCTGTGTCGCGTGTTCCCCTTTGGGTGAAGGCGCGGGTTTTTTTATTATTAGCAGGATTTCCCACGCAGCCGCGTCGATCAGGGACATCGCGTCTTGCAGCCGGCCAATAGAAACCAGCCAGGCCGCATTTTGATAATTACAATTAAACCCCCAACGAGCAGACTCGGCACCAAAATGAAATAAATAATAATAATAATAATAGCAACAACATCAATCAGCCTCACCAGCTGTGAACCCCCGGTCCACGGGGCTGCACACACAATTGATGCTAAACAAAGGAACCATATCCACTGGTGCTCCGTAGTAAAGTATATGCCGTGATGGGATCAACAGGACCAACACCCCAATATCTCCGCTCGCATATACGGACGGGCCAGTCTGCTTCTTCTGGTTTCCCGCCTGTCTTATTAGCCGACATGACGCAAGGGGGAGGGGAGGAATAAACGAACTCCCATATATGGGGTTCGTTCGGGATCTTGTTTCTCGGAACCTGGGCGAGCCCACAAAAAAAACAAAGAAGAAACAAAAGGTTCGGCTGTCAGCCAGCCAGTCAGTCCACAAAGCTGTTGATCATCTACCGTTGACGTTGGTGCTAGCTACCTAGGACCAACCAACAAAAAACCCCCGTGCTATTTTCATCCACCACTACGGAGCAAGGTTCGCTCGCTTGCCCATGGCGCCGGGATGTCTGTCGGGCGCGTGGGCGCGTCGCCGGGCGGGGGCCCCACCCTCCGTGCCTCTCCTCTGCGTGCGTGGGCTCTCTGGCTCTCTTTCCCCAATTTTCCGGATCCTGTTCGATGCGCAGGATCACAACCCTCATGGGACCAAGGTTCCATGCACCTCTTACCTGCACCGGGGGCTTGCTGGGCTGGGCTGGGCGGGCTTGCTTGCTTACGGAGTACTGCCTGCTGTGCTTCTTTCCTCCTTCCTTCCTCGTGCCGTACCCGGGCGGCAGCTCTGGGCGGGCGTAATGTAATGTAATGCAATGGTACATACCGCCAGGCCAGCCCGCATGACGGGTGTATTTTGCATGTACATGGCATAGCAGCATTGCAGTAGCTGTGTGGGGACCCTGCAGCCAGCTGCTGCTTGCTTGCTGCTGGCGCAACGCAGAGGGCAGTTAGACATCTGTTGATTTTTTTTTTTGTCTGGTTTGTCGAGATTAGAAGTGGTATCCCGATCTGGCCCGGTGTGATGGGGAGCTGCAGGATCTCGCTCCTGCCACACACTTCTCCCCCCCCCCTCTGCGTGTCTTTCTTGCCTCCTCCACAATCTTTTTTTCGCCTGAGACCAGCGGCAGCCAGGCTCGGGAGGCTGATGCCAGGGGCCGGGGAGGTTGGGAGGGGTGGGGGGAGCCCAGACCCGGACCTCACTTCACCTCGCCGGCCCGCGCGCAACCTCTTTGTGAACCTCTTTGTGAATGCTTACCAACCGGCTGACTCTGGCTGCCTGCTATCCACACGCCCGGCCATCGTCGACTGCTGATCGCCCGGGTTCAAAGTAAAAGCACAAACACCACCACTGTCTCGTCTCAGCTCGGCCGGAGCTTGGCTGGCGTGATATCTACCTGCTCGCCGGGTTTAGGGGCGGGGGGTCAGCGAGCACAGCAGCGAGTCTTCTATCCCACCTTCCCCCTCCTGCTCCAACGTCCGCCTACCGGTCAGGTCAGATCAATTGATGAAAAAGGCCCCGATCTGGTAACTCGATCGCGAACCGACCGAGCCAGCCCAGCTCACGTCATCCGCCGACCGGTTGGCCGGCCTGCCTCCTCCCCCGCGTTGCTTTCCTCCCCTTACTTCCTGCCTCCGCACCTTGGTTGAAACGGGCAACAACACAAAACCCCCGGTCTGCCTGTCCGAATCGGTGACTTTCGGCCGCGGGGCCCTTCTGTCACCCCCTCCCCCCAGCCCAGGATATGCGCAGCCAATGGCGTTGCCCAATTCGATGTTGCTTGCCCTCCCCCCGCGGGCCTTGACCAGCACGCCCCCTCCCGTCACCAGCCTCACGCCTGCGTCTGCCCAGCCCCAGAGCCTGCTGACGGCAAGTATCGGCTGTGGTCGCCGGTAACGCGGCCCCATTGGGGGGTGGGGTGATGAATTGCTGCCTTCTGGTTTTGTTTCTTTCCTTCTTCTCCTTCTTCTCTGGTTTGGAGGAGCTGGCCATCGATTCCTACACGCACAGCCCGTTGCCGGGGCCGCAGCTCATTGACATCTCGTGACATTGCCCCCGCGATGTAACAACGGGAGGACCTGAGCCTGGCAGGAAGAGGGAGAGGGATCAAGAAGCTCCGGCCCTTGTTGAGACCGGAGGGGCTGATGGATAGGCACCGGCCTGTGCGACACGGGCAGCAAGGGGGTTGTCAGTTATTTCTTCATGCTGGTCTCTCTCTTCTTTGGACCGCGCATCAACAACAACAAACATGTAACCAACGTCTATCGGTGAGAGGCGTGCTGCAAGGCTTCTCTGAGACTTGCCCCGGCTTGTGCTGTGGCGAGTGTACCGTGTAGGTGGCCGGCCGTACGCCCGAGCGGAATGCGAAAGCCCCATCCCGCGCGCGCCCTTTCTCCTCATTCCGTCGTCTGATGTTGGTCCATGCCTGTCTGCCTGCTACGTCTTGGAATCCTGCTACTATAACGCGCGTCGTCGAGACCGGACCTGGTCGGCAACGATGCTTCGATCTCGGCCAGTGGAGGCTCTGCTGGGGGGTGTATCGAACCCGGCTCTGCCCACCAGCCAGCCTATTTGTTGCCCCAAGCGGCTTAGCAGTACGAGCCTAGGAGATATAGCCTGTGTGCTTGCTTCTGCTATCGGCAGTGGGGCTGCGAGGCTGCGACCCTATGTGATTGTTCCTGCCCACGCCCAAGTGGCATCATCATCAAAAGATGGGGCCTAATTACCGGGAGGATCCTGCGACTAGTGTTGCGAGAGGCGGGGGCCTTCTGCGGGAGGAAGGCGGGTCGTCGATTTTGCCCACCAGATATATTGACCCCGATCCATCTCCACGGAGGGAAAGGCAGGTGGTGCCCATGTTCTAAGTTTGGCACCCCGAATGCCCAGCTGCCTAGAAAGTGGGGGCAAGGAAGGAGGGCTATAGCAGAATAGCGCACCAACAACAGGACCATCACCCCACAGCATCACACCTTGATATGTCAGATCACCATGAGGCTCAAAGGAACCAGTCTGTTTGGTCCCAGCACGCGGTCCCTGCGTCCAAACTTTCGGGACTACCAGCATGGTGCCGACCAATCACCGAGCTGCGGCGGGAGGAGGAGGTTGGGGGAGGGTGGCCGGAACAGGCCGTTTCTTGTTGTTGACGTTCATGGCAATATCCCGCCACATGGGCGAATGGGCCAGTGAAAGAGCCGGGCTCCGTCGAAAAGGGCTGAAACTGAAACTGACCGCCCTTTCGAGCAGGGCACGTAGGAAGGCTGTTTGTCGCATTCTTGAAGCTTCTTTGGTTTCCCTCCCGCTCGCTTACGGGTCGCGACCTGGTTGTTGGGTGGACATTCCGCCAGGCCGTGGCTAGGCCAGCCCGGCCAGCTCCCAAACTCAATTCGCGCACAGACTACCACCGTTCCCAGGCTGCCAGGGCCTGCAACAGCTTCCGTTGGGGGGATTGGCTTGCTGGTTTGGATCTTTCTGTGCGCGTGGCCACCACATCCAGGCAATTGAACGTCTGTTGGTCCACCGCCGCCCCGTTGAAGGACCCGGGACAGAGGTATTGTCCGGGCTTTGGCCACTGGTTCACATGTCTGGCGTGGCGGGGCAGCTGTGCTCGCGGAGGGATCCCAGACTTCCACATTGCCGTTTCGCGACACGGCGGTGATCTCTTCCCTCTTAGATTCCTGACCTTGTCAACAACGGCACAACGGCAAGAACCTCAAGGGGATCAAACAACAAGAGCGAGGCACATGAGCCTTGGCGCTTGGGGTATGGGCCAGCATAAATGTACGTTGTCATGGTGATGTTTTCCCATGGGCTGTGGGGCGTCACAACCGTAGCCGCCGAGCTGCATGCATGCAGGCTGCAGGATGTCGTTCCAACTGAGAAGGGGACCAAGGGACCTGGGAAGCTTCTTCAACAGTGTATACCTCCATACGTGCTGCCCGATTTGCTTCGGGAAGGGTCATGGCGGTGGCTGTTGTCCAAGTGCATGCAGTGGACCATGAGATCCAAGGTGCCTCAACAATTATCAGACAAGTACCAGGCCACGTTGAGGTAGCTAGAAGGAACGTGGCAGCCGTGGGAGGAGACATGCTTGAGCCGACGCCGACCTCACCAGCCACAGTACTTCCCACCCCTGGTGAAGTTCTGGAAATTATCCTGGGAGCGGGAGCTTCAGCTTGTCAGATTCAGGAAGCTATCCCAGACATCCCCGCTTTGAGACCCCGGCCTCATGTCATAGCGTCCGCTGGGGGTAGCCAGATCCACAGCGGCAGCAACCTCATTCAACCTCAGACCAAGACACCGTCGATCGGCAACGAGAAGTACGGAGATAGACCCACGATAAACGAGAACATCGGAGACATGACTATCCTGATAGTCGAACGAGGGGGAGATCCACGTCGCGCAAATAATTCCCTCGCAGACTAGGGTGCTAAGTCAAGCCGGCAGATTGGTAGAGTGCAGCCCATCCACTTCGGAGCTCGGTAAGCCGCTGGCATGTCAGGCGGAGCAGGCATGGGAGCTGGCGCTGGGCAGCTACTGTAGCTGCCTCTCCTTGTTTTGTCTAGCCTTGCCCTTCTCAGTTCCAAGGATCGTTCTGCGATGGCGGGCCCGTGGAGAAAACGAGGGAATTATCTCAGAATTGGGACATCGAGCCACATCCTGCATCCGGGCAATTGTCCCCATGACAGCCCATGTCAGTGTATACTAGACCTGCACGTCACATGCGAACCAAGGCCAACAGCGGGTCCTTTCTGCGGCTGCACAAGCATGGCATGTTGAGTTTACACGTAGGCTCTGCCGATCTGGGTCCGCGAGGGAGTGGCTGGCCGGGCCGGGCTGGGGCTGTAGGCCCTGCTGTTTTCCTCGGCGAGATGGGATCGCAGCGAAGGACCTGAGGGCAAGAGATGAGGCGCAACCTTCCAGAGATTTTGTTTTTTTGTGTTGACACAAAATCGGACAGATCTCATGTGCTGTGCTGTGCTGCGCGCGCTCGGGCTTGCGTAAGGCAAAAAGCACTTGCGACTTGTTGACTTGACTTTCGTGGCCGGCCGGCCCGGAGACGTCACGGTAGCAACGGTGGCAATGGCCGCATGCTAGCAGACACATTAAGCATTGGATGCTCCTAGCTAGGTGCTGGCATCTGCTACAAGCCTCCCGCTTGCTATTTCCTCTTCAAGTCGCCGCTTTCATGGCCGCTCTGGCCTTAGGCTTTGGTACTCCTATGATGACAACCCGTTGAGCACGCAGAAAGGGAATGCGTGTGGCCGCTAGGAGATGGAAACCGGGTGCAAGGGAAGCTCGGTGTGGTGCAACTTCGCCACACGCGCGAAAGCGTCCATAAGCGACGTATTCAGAACCTGGCTTTCTCGTGTTGCCAGTCTGTTGTGCTTGTCGGATTCTTGCCATATGCTGTGTCGTGGCGTCCATTGTTTGTCGGTTTTTGTCGTGCCTCGTTGCAGCGGCGGCGGCAGGGCGCGCACGCACATATCGGGACCGATTCGTGGACCCATGAGTGCCGGGATTGTGATAATCCCATTGCCTCCCTGCCTCCCTGGGCTGGGCCGAGCTGGACTGGGCTAGCGATCAGAGGGGACCCTCGGAGCAGAGGCATGCGACGGTGACAGCCATTGGGGAAAGGGGCTTGTGCAGTATGCGCCCTTGAGAGCACGGGCTGTTGGACGCCGGGAGTTGCATCGTGGCGAGCGTCTTGTTGCTGCTTTCATATGTGTCAGGCTGAAATATTAAGTGGGTTCGTGAGAAAGGGCGCAGTCGGGGGTCCGCGGTACATCTATGCGCGAGGGCACGGAAGCTGTCAACAATGTCATTGAACGGCATGGCACATATGCTCGCCGCTGTTTGAGAGTTGCCATGTGCACGGTGGATAGTTAGGGCCGCAGCTGGCCCGTCCGGCGACCTTGTCTCTTGTTTATCTTGCCCATATTGGGGGGGGGGCCGTTGGTGGGTTACGTGAATTCTATGTTTGTGGCGACGTGGCAGGGTGTGTCTCTGATGAGGGTAGTGAGTGGCTATGCAATTCTGATTCGTCCCGTCTTTTCTCTTGTCATCCCATGTCATCACTGTATCTTGGTGATACTCGCTGCTGTGACGGTGTGTCCATGCCAGATGGATGGGTGACGAGCACAACTTGTTCCTTTTTTGAGAGGCGAGCCTGTGGCCCTGGCTGTTCTGGATGTGTTTGATGGTGCGATGTGACGTTTTGCTGCATTAGGTATGTATCAGGAATTGAGAGGCTTGTCTTGGATGTATACGTATTTTGTTTACCCTGCCAATGCAGTAGCATGCGTGCAGAGAAGCCGGCGTGGAGCCCTCGCTTCGGGATGACTTTACAGTTTGTCGAGCCGATAAACGGGTCCAGCTCCCGGTCGAGTACGACCCTGAGCCCATACGTGCTGTATTATTTGGTAAGCAACGTCTGCACTTGGGGATATGCCCGAGATGACAGGAGGGAAGTGGCTCCCGCTGATAAAAGTCTCGGCTTGCTCGATATCACACACAACAAAGAGAGAGAGGGGGGGAGCAGGCGGGCCGCTCGTGCGAAGATAGGCCCTGGCGGGCTGCGTGAGACCTTGCAACAACTGCGACGACGTTGGACAGGCCGGGGAGGGCAAACGTGTGCGCTAATTAGACACAGAGGCCCGAAGAATTGCGGACCGAGGCATGCTTGCCCAGCAGGGACTTGTCGCCTTCTCACAGACAAGGAAGCAGGGTGAGGAAGGCTGGGTGACGCGAGATCAACTCAGGGGCCCGGTCTTGGAGAGAGAGCACGCAGGTCTGGCCAGCCCTAAGCTGCACCAGGGTCACAAGTGTCAAGGTGGTCGAAACCTTGTGCGGGCCAATCGAGAGCGGGCGTCTGAGGTGCAGCTGGTCTGTCAGAAAACCTTCTCCGCGCCGCGAGGGTGGCTCTGATGGGCAGATGTGTGGCAGATGTATAGGCTTCCTTTTGCCAGCGCATGATGCGTCGGGCGATTAGCAGATTAGGTGGACGAACTGGTCCAGCTGCCGGGACGGACCTTGCTGGAGGCTTTTGTAGCGGCAAGCCTGGGCAGAACAGGCAGGCTGGCGCTTGGGATTCCGAGCATGGAAGCAGGGCGCCCCCGGGCCTGGCTGGAGGCGGCGCAGAGGGGATTGATTAGCTGCAGGCGTGCAGATTGTCGAATGCAGGGCGTTGATCAGTACTCGGTGATTCTGCAAATTGATAGGTCTCAGCCAGCGCGGCGCTATTGTTGTTTCGATGCAGGTCAGATCGGTCAAGTCTCGTCTACGCGATTGCTCGAGTCTTGCGTGCTTTGCCTCTCGACTCTCGGACCTGCGGCTGCTGTCGACTTGGCTGGTGAGCGAGGGCGGCCCACACAATGACGCGATGATGAGAGACGGAGTTCGCAGGTTTGGTTAGTGGCCCTGTGGCTCCTCCCTCCTATGTGGCTTCCAAGGTTTATGGCCATAGTTACGGTGTAGAGACCAGGAGGGGCGGAAGCCGGCTAGGGGGGGAGGAGCCTGGGAGCCTGGGAGCCAGGTCGGCATGTCGGCTACCGGAATGTCTCTTGACAGTGCCATCTTTGTCCGCAGTCGTGGGTGCTGATACCGAGCTGCGAGAGTACAGAGTAGTACTGTGTAGTGGTTGCGCAGTGGCTGTTGGCATCTGGGCTCCTGGCTCTGCGACTCTGTCTCGTCACTCGTGGATGCCCTTGCCGCAGATGCAGCTTGAGATTATCCCATATGAGACGCCAGCTATATATTGCTTAGCCTCGGAAATACCGCCTAACTGGCGCGCATGCATGTGGCCTGGGATCAGTCGCCCAGAACCGCCAGCCATCATGTACGGAGTAGGCTGGCAGGTTGGCAGGCTGGCAGGCTGGCCGGTAAGCCGCCGGTGGTGATGGCTGAGGCGGTTGGATAGATTGTGCGAGGTGTGCGTGTTTCTTGCTTCCACCCACTCTGCTGTGGGTCTTGGTCTCCCTCTTTTTTTCTCGCTGTGTGCGCTGATGATGACGCTGAGTCGAGTGAGGGTCGATGCTGATGCAGGCAGCGAGACACAAGGCGCACCATTCCGAACCGTTCCGCCCCGTTTTCTGGTACCTGTCGTCTTGTGGCCTCAGGCTGCAGCTGAAATCAAGGAATCGAGGCAGGTGCCAAAAGACGGGCAATGGCCAGGATGGCTGGATGGGCGAAACAGAAAGGCAGGCTCCAAAGCGCACCAAGCAAGGTATGGTAAATGCAAATCCGGGGGATCTGGAAAAGCAGGCACCCCCCTGCCCCTCCGGGGATGGTGCTGTTTCCAAGTTTGTTGACTTGTTCCGACAATTGTATACTGCGGGTCTCTGGCAGTCTGGCAGTCCTGGCTGGCTGGCAGTGGGCAGTGGGCAGCTGTTGGCTGTTGCGCTTTCTGGTTGTTTTGCTGGGTCCCGCGGTGTGATATCAAAGTACCACGACGCGGGAGGGTACTTGCGCATTGGCCCCGGGCTCGCGGTGCGGCAAGGTCACTGCTCCTATCCAGTGACATGGTGCTGCCCCGGCCGCTCCTTGCTTTGCTGTCGTGTGTACATATGTAATAGTAATAGTATCCCGTACAGCCGCTCCACTCCCGCCTCCTTCGACACAAGATGCGGACACGCACAGCAAATACACACAGACCAGGCGTGGGATTCGAAAAGAAGGGGGCGAGAGGAGAGGAGAGGAGGTCGTAGGCAGATGGCAGAAACAAAGTCCCCAACCTCCAACATGCGCAGGGAGACTCCAGGGAGACCTTGGAAAAGCATTGGCAAGCATCGCACCCGCATTGAGGCCCCGGTTCCCTGTCGCAATAATAATTACTGCTTCTGCTTTATACCTCTCGATGTGGTGTCGCTTGCTGTGCTCCTGGGCCTTGAATCCATTGGCGCCCACGGCCTGCGTATCTGGGCACTTTCTTAGTCGGGCTAGCCTGGATGATGGGCTGCAGCTGAGAGGATCCATTGCTGGCCGCCCTGCTGCCCACTCGCCTACTCGCTCGCCCACTGTCCGTCCCCATTGATTGACCAAGGAACGCGGGAAAGTCGATCGATTCCAAACAGAAAAAAAATAATACACACGACCGGCGACATCCAGCTGTCCAGTCCTATTAGGCCAACTGCATCCTCTTCTGACTGACTAACCGACCAGCCAGCCAGCCAGCCAGCCAGCCAGCCAAACTTCGCCCCTCGACTAAGAAAGACTCGACTGGCTTGGACTCGGCTCATCAATCTCAACTCCTCGAATTGACTCGACCCGGCCCTTGGACGAGGCCAACTACTTACTCCTCCGGCAGCTGCCCCCCCACCGTCACGACATCGTCCTCGGCCGCTCCCTCTCCGTTTCTCTCTGTCTCTCGACACGCCCAGGGACACTGACACACCACCACCACCACCACCACAACAACAAACAACAACAGGTGGGACCAATACCGTGTACGTCGGTCAATTGCAACTCCAAGAAGACGAAACAGCACAGCTCCACAACAGAGAACAAACAGCAGAGGGCAGAACCTCACGGCGCAGGACCACTTGCCGTCTGCACCATTCCCATCTCGTCAACCCCGATTCATCTTTCATCTCACCCACCCAGATCGGGTTGTTTCCTCGCAGCCAGGAGGAAGCAAGTAGGATCTGGATCTGGCCCACTCTTGCCGATGACCTTTGCATTCCCCTGCCTTACACTGCTACACTGCTGTGCCCTGGACTGGACCGCGCCGTATTTACACCACTCCTCGCCCGGCCCTCGCTGTACATAGACCACCCAGTACATAGCCCAGGTACCGTCTCTGGCCCAGGTGTATGTTCCCTGTCTGTACGTACCTTTGTACCTCTACTCTCTACTCTACCTCGACTTCTACCTCTCCCCGTCCTCGGTACGTATGCGGTACAACGGTCTCTCTATCTCTCTCCATCCCAGGCTGGTGGTTCCTTACCCTCACCATCCCTCCCCGCTGCTGCCCACCACCTACTCCTCCTTCCTTACGTTGGGTCTACTTCAGTCTTGTCTCACGACATCGCCCTCTTCTCACTTCCACCTTCTCTCGCCCACCATCACTCTTTTTTTTTGTTTTCTCTTTCTTCGTGTGTCTCCTTTGTATTTCTTTCCAGATCTGGGCCCCCCATTCGCCGCTGTCAGTAACGTGTCAGACCCGTGGCCCAAGACCCGTTCAACCACCCCCCCCTCTCTTGTCACTCCTGACGCCGCGCATGAACTCACCAGCCTACACGTTACCCACGTCCACCGCCCACCCCAGCCAGTAAGGTGCCTTGCCCACATGGGCTTCTCAATGCCAGCTGCTGTTGTTCCCCATCATCTTACATTACACCGCATTGCTTGCATTTGCTTGCATTGTTTTCTCGTCTCGCCCTCGTCCTCCTGTGGGTCAACCGCGGCCGCTGACACAGCCAATCTCTAGACGCTGCCATTTGGGACAACAGCATTAATTGACCGCAGACCACAGTTCTGCCCCATCTCAGCACTACTGTTCAACAACACACCCCCCTCGCCCTTCGACCTGTAATCCGACCACTTGCCTGGATCACGCACTGGATTTCTTCGAACCCGACCAGATAATGCAATGACGATGCGAATCGCGACCAAATCGAGCCCCCGATCCCCTTCGTCCCCACCCCTTTCCCACGGCTGCGGCTCGTTCAGATAACTCTAAGCGGCCACTATGCAGACAGTCCCAAGCGTAAGTGTCTACTCAAATGCTTCGGCCTGTTTTTTTGTGTGTGCGGTGCTCGGCCCTCTGTCCAGTCCAGATGGACGGCACAGACGTGGGGATTTCACTCGGCCAGCAATTACGGTCCGGCCAAATGCGGATCGCCGCCGGTGCAAAAAGCTTACAAGCCTCTCCGCCCAAAATCTTGTCCAAGTGCCATGTTATGTGATTTAGGCTTTGCCGGGCCAAGGTGCAAATTATGAGTGGCTGCTGACCGTTCGGCTTTTGTTGTAACAGCTTGTTGGGACCGGCACCGTCGCTGCCGCTGCCGCTGCCGGCCTTGTCTTCGGCCAACCTACCGAGTCGCCCACGCCCTTGTCGCCCCGACCATCCTCACCTCTGAAGAGGAAGTTGTTTTCCGATTTCAGCTTCGACAACCCCCGATCATCACCCACCCCCCCGCCCCTCTCGCCACAAGGGACCAGCCCCGCCCCGTTCCCCCAACTCGCCGAGGCCGACCAGTACGACCAGCAGCACCAGCATCCTTCACCACTGACATCCAACCCCGTCAACATCAGCCCGGCCACCGCCTCGCAGACCACCCCTCTCAAGTCTAGCAGCCGCCGGCTTTCCACCATACGTGCGACCGAGGTGGCAGCTATCGACACCGGCCGGGACTCGATCTCGTCGCACGGCTCGTGGATGAGGAGACTCTCTTTGCGGCCTCAATCACAACATGGGAGTGTGCGCTCCATTGCCGAGCAAGACTCGGCTGTCTTCTACTCTCAAGGGTCGGGGCCGTCCACATTGTCTCCCACGGGCTCTGTGGCCCCCCAACTGCCAGCCCCCAACAAGCTGGTAAAACGGCCAGGGGCAGAGAGCATCTTCGCAAGGCGCGGCTCTCGTATACAAGTCCCGAGCCTTCGACGACCCGCAACGAGTCACCAACGATCTGTCACCATCCAGCAGGTCCCCTTCTCCCCATCGCCCGCAACCGCGAGAGATGGTGTCTCGCCTGGTCAGCCATTGCGTCCGAGAGCCTCGACGACCGGTCGACCGAACAATGCGCCATGGAGATTGCAAGAGGTTGCTTCTGGCTGGACATCGTACTTTCACGCGAGGAGGGTGAGGGCATCGAGACGGAAAACCGTGGTTACACCCATTGCGCCTAGCGTTGAGGGCAGCAGCCCAGTGGAGTCACAATTACCAGGCACACGGATCCACTTACAGCGTGGCGGCTCGTTACTTGCGCCCTATCTTGTGAATCCTGAGGTGATTACTGGTGACCCCTTGATGATGGCACCGGTGGAACGTGAGCCGGAGTCGGCTCTGCCCGCAGAAGCTGCAACTTCATTGCGGCAGAGCGCGCTGGACTCGAAAGAGCCTGGCGATTCATCAGAAAAGACACCAACCAAGGGAAGTCGACGCTCGCTTTCTTCGCAGTTTGGTGCATCAGGTGGTTGGATAGCGAGGGCGAGCAGTCTGCGTCGGCCAAAGAGGAACTCTTTAGATCACGCCGGAGGAAGGCGTTATGCATCGGATCCGACTTCCACTTCACCCAAGGCCACTCGTTCCAACGGGGCGAGGGCGGATATGGAGGCACTGTTCACGCCTCCTTTGTCCGCATACAAGGACGAAAGTCAGAACACGGCTAGGTCAGTGTCTCAGGAGCCGAGGCGTGATATTTTGGCGTCCATCCCCCCCTTGTCGCGATTGTCAAGCTTTCATCTCGATTTGTCCAAGATGGGGCCGTCTCCTCCACACTCTGCAGGACTCCAGGCACCGAGCCCCATTCAAATCAGCCCCACGACTGCGCCACAAGGTGCACTGTTCTCATCTCATAGTAGGGCGGTCTCGAAGGAAGGCGCATCCACTCTGGCTGGGTCTGAGATGTCGGTGCCTGGGTTGGCCTCGGGCGACGACGATGACACAGATTATAAGAGTGATGCGGTTTTCGACTCTTTCAGGACTAATGACTCAAACCGCGTGAGAGTGGTCGAGACGCCCCTGGATTCGATGTTTGACGAGTCGCCTCTTGGCACACTGGGAAATGTGAAGGCGAAGAGGCTTTCGATACAGGAAATTCTTGGAAACAACTGGGACGGAGACACCAGGATCATGGAGGAGGATGAAGGGTCCTCAACTCCAATCCGTGGGATACACGGCCCACACATCGCCGACGATAGCGACGGTGCCGACGACCGAGCAACCGAGATTGCCAAGTTCCAGATCTCGATTGGCAACAACGCCCGAAACTTTGGCAGGCTGTCACTGGATACTACCGATGATGACTTTGACTGGGCCAGGGACGATGAGGATGTTTTGAGCAACCCACTGTCGCCGCCTACGAGCTCCGTCAACTCGCGAAGAGGTGTGAGCCCTCAACTGCGGACAGCTTTGGCTAACATCAGTGGCAATGCCACTCCTGATTCCTACACGACTGGGGTCGCAACCGAGCGCCCGCGAAGCAATGTTTTCGATTGGAGCGAACCATCTCATGACAAGGCCGACGACAGCTTCACTCGTCCGAGGACTGCCCACGGCAAGCAAGAGCTGGATTTGCGGGGCGGACGCCCACCAGTCCGGCCCAGCGCCCACGTCCGCAGCCAGAGCGTGCCTGTTGTTGAACCAGTAGATATCGTCAAGGGCACGCCAAAATTTGGCACGTGGGGACTCAGTGCGAAGAATGCCAGCGAAGACTGGGATGACGACTTTGAGTTTGACGAGGGTAGCACCAGTGGCTCGGGCCCGAAGAACCCAGTCCAGGCCTTGTCCATGAGCGTGCCTCCTTCCATCCAAACCGCACAGGCGACCGTCAAGGCACACTCAGGCCACATCCGAGAGCTGTCGTTACTTGTTGACAGCCTCAAGCGCATCTGCAGGCAAGGTCGGGAGTTGAATCTGCTGAATGGTCAGAGTGCCTTGTTGTGGAAGGAAGCAGAGAACATCATCGCACTGGCATCACCGGATGAAGATGATGTGGATGACAACGAAGCGGACGGAGACTCCTCTGACTCCCAGCCCTCCCCTGTCGACGAACGGTTCTTGGATGGAGGCTTTGATGCCGCGTCCTTGGACCGGGCCGACGATAGTTCCGACGGCCATGAGCCCGACATCCCTAAGAACGCCGTGATACGGGAGAGGCAGGTCGTGCGTCGTCGGTCTGTGTTTTCCCCGGATGATGACATCTTCGGTAACACTTGGTCACTGGAGAAGGAGAGCACCAGGCCACACACCCCGAGGACCCCAGACCGCGTCAGGGAATTCCACACCCCGGACGGCGCCGTTGTATCCTCTGTGATCGCCGCCATGGAGCAGCAGCGGAGCCTGCCCGGTCGTCGTCAAGAGTCTCCTCTGAAGCCGTCCAAGGCTAAGCTCTTCTTCGACACGAACAGCCTTCACGAGCTCGTCAGGCGCGCAAGCAGCGTTTTCCACACCCTGTCTGACATCGTCCGCAAGGAAGAACTTCTCTCGATGAGCCCCCAGGCCACACCCACGAGGCTTGATCGCGTCCGGCCCGGCCACGGCGGCAGCCCAGCCTTCACACGGGTCTTCACGGACCCTGATACGAGTCCACCACGACACCTGGTCAGGAGCCAGAAGAGCCACTCGCCACTGCCCCGCAGCTCCCTGGATTCAGGTCTGAATCAGCGCATGCAGATGATGACGGTCAGCTAGAAACGAGCGCATCGCCACCAAACCACGCCGCCACACTTATATAATGTTTGATAACACGCCCACGCGAACAAGAAACCCCTCGTCCGCACCCCATCATCGGTATCGGTAACGGCGGCCGCACCAATTGTACATGTACGAATACTTAAAAGCTAAATCATTTTCGCCTGTGATTTTCTCCTTCGGACGGCGGTTCATTTGCATAGCAGCCACGGAATCGGAAAAAGCCCTGGCCTGGCGGTCTGGTACACGGCAAAAAGAGCCCATTGTTTTTCATCATAGCAACTGCAGCAGATCTGCTTTCTCGGGAAGTGAAGCAAGCGGTAATACCAACAAGTCAGAGATGGACGATTTCATTTTACAACTGTCTACAAGAAATGGTTCCCCCCCCCCCCCATCGGTAGCCTCACTCCTAGGCAGGCCGGCCTAGCATCAGGGATCTGGGCGGCACTGGACGGCACTGACCGTCACTGGGCTGCGGGAGGTTGATGGCGGGGAGGGGGAAGGTACAGAAAGGGCCGACACGGCAAGGTACCACCGAGTGAGAAATGATTCGGGATTTGCTTGTGGGAATACGGAATAAGGGAACAGGGAAAGGGATCGGTCAGGTCGGTTCAGGCAAGGTGTTTTGGTTTTTCCCGCCAGCAATCGGAAGCATCATGGTCGATGTATGCATGGAGCTTCTCTCATGGCTTTTGTATTCCCAAGGCTGACTTGTGTCATTTTGTTTTAAAACTCACTTTTTTTTTTTCGTCTTTCGTGGTCAGTACTCATTCATAGTCATGGGCTCTCCAGTCCGCTCCCATGAGAGCGGGTGGATGCAGCCAGCCCCACGAGGGCGTGTATGGAAATAGACAGGCTACTGATGGCTGCGCGAGACACACTTGTTCCTCCTAAACTACGGTAGATGCTTTTGCTGCTTTTCGGCACCGTGAGATTATGTGGCTTGTGTTGGATTTTACACGACACGGTGATGTGCCGATGGTGGCGGCATTGCATGCCACCACCGTTGGCATGCCCCCCCCTCGATGCAGAGCGAGCTCTTGAGAGCTGAATAGATACTCACTAGATAGTGAATACCGGCGGAAAAGCAGGGGGCAATGTGGTGTGGCGCAAAGGAGGGTGTTTGGGGGCGGCGCCGTGGGTGGGTGTGTGTGTCAGTGAGACGACCGACGCGCTTGTGTGCATGCATGACTGCTCAGGCGCGACTGTCCGTCCGCCACTCACTCACTGGTTTTGTCTTGTCTTGGGCGGCTTGCTGTCGTATGTGGCTGATTCTATAGACACCAGTTCTTGCTGCTTAGGCCCCTTTTCTCTCTCTCTGGGCGGCTGGCTGGCTGTTTTGCTCGGCGGTTGGATGGATGGTTGGGCGGGCGTCTGTCTGTCTCTGCGTCGTTTGGTGTTTACATTGGGCTCTAGCTGCCGCGCGCTTACGGTGCCGTCCCTCCCCTCCCTCCTGTGCTACATACTACTGCAGTTGAAACAGCGAGTTTCTTGCGTATCGGCTGCGTCTGCGGCTGCGTCTAGTAGGTTCGCAAACTATGTCTGAGCTCTGCATTCGCGCCTGTCTCGGGTTGGTTGGATGTGGTCTCCTATTCAGTGGGAGTGGACGGGCGAGGCGACCTTTTGACTCCTTGGCACTCTGTTTGTCGCTTTCCATGGGCGACTTCAACAACTGCTATGCGGCCATGTACCTGTGGACGGACGAGTACTTGGGACTGTGCGCGGCTGTTGAAACGGTACCTTGGGGGAGATGTACAGTGTGGTCGTGCTACGTTTTTTTGCTTAAAAAGACAGGTGTGTGTATATTTGTGACTTTTGCTCGGTTATTCATTCTACTTGGTGGTTGGTTATAGGGAGGAGAGAGAGGCTGACAGGGTTTTGGATGTGATGCATATTCATTATGTGCTGCCCATTATTGGAATGCTGGTTTCAGACGTGAGGGGAGATAGGGACTAGCAGGTGCGGCATATCGTGTTGGCAGTTGGCAGTTGGCAGTTGGACGGTTGTGGTGCTCCAGAAATCTGGTACACTAGCCATGGTAGGGCACGTTGAGATTTGCCAGTGTGACCAAGTCAAGCTCGGGCCTCGCATGATGATTTTACAACCCAAGAAACTGCAGCAGTATGAGTTGCGAGAGAAGGTGTCATTTCGAGGATGGAATTGGGGGAGATCGCCTACCCGCCTGCTCATCTCGTCTCATCTCACGGCTCTGGACCGAGTCGAGCTGTCAGGCTGTCAGAAGGGACAGGTGATGGGAGCTTGACCCACCTTCTGGCCGGTGCGCTGCTGTCCTGTCCTGTCAGTCAGGACTCAGAAGTGCTCAGCGGCTTCCAGTAAACTGCCGACAGATTAGCACTGGCTAGTAACTGCTGGCTATCTGCTGGCTAGCTGGCAACAGGCAGACAGATAACCAGTGCAGCAGCTGCAAGTACTGTGATGGCAGACCAAGACTGGCATACCGTTTACCAATCTGTCCAAGTGCACCTGCCAACTGGTAAACAGTGGGGTATCCAAGGGCAGGAGCGTCCCCAGCTCGCGGAGTCCGCAGCCAATAGGCGTTGGCCAATGGGCGGTGAGCTCTGGCAGATCTGGCCCGTGCACGCAATCAAAAATCAACAAACCGTGCCCACTCCTGTGAGGGGTGCTGTGCTGCTTTGGTGCTTGGCTTGCTGCTGGACCCCTTGTGCCCCCTGGCTCCTTGCACCTGGCACAACAGAGCGAGAGAGCGAAAGCACCAGGGCCTTCACTCCACTCTTTTCCTGCCAAACTGCCAGACAATCCATCCTAATCCCAACACCACCACCCTCGTCGCCGCCGATACCCAATCCTCACCTTCTCAATCTCGCTCCGAGCTACCGGCCCTCTGTCTTGGACCTCGCTGCTCTCGTCTGTCAACCGCCCTTCTTCTCTTGTCTCTCGACCCGTCTCGACAACAAAGTCGTCCATCCTTCAAAATGCGTGAGATTGTGAGTTGTCCTTGCCTCCCCAAAAAAACCACCACGCAGAGACGCGTCGGCCCATGCTGTGCTCTCGCATCCTCCTCTGCCCCTGAGCCTAAGGCTACCCCACCATCGCGACCACACCCACCGTCGGGCCTCAAAACACCACCAGCTGCCTGCGAAAAGCACCCAGGTGCCCTTGGAACACGCGTCAGATTGCTAACGTGACCTTTTTCTCGCCCACAGGTTCACCTCCAGACCGGCCAATGCGTAAGTTGCCTCCTGTCAACAACCGCCCGACCTTATCGCCACCCGTAGCTGACACGTTTCCCAGGGTAACCAAATCGGTGCTGCTTTCTGGTGCGTCGCAGCTCTCCAGCTCCAAGTCCTACCACCGCGACGACTCGACACGCGCGATAGGCGAGCTCGAAGCATCGGTACTGACCTCGGCTGTTTAGGCAAACCATCTCTGGCGAGCACGGTCTCGACAGCAATGGCGTGTATGCACCTCCTAATCCCCTACCCTCGTCCTCTCCTCCGCCTTGGCACTGACGATCGCACAGTTACAACGGCACTTCCGAGCTCCAGCTCGAGCGCATGAACGTCTACTTCAACGAGGTAAGTCAACAGCCACGTCGTCAATCCAAACTTGACCGCCTCGGCGTGGTCAACTGCCGCCGCCAAGCCCTTGCTAACGCGTTTTCACCCAGGCCTCCGGCAACAAGTATGTTCCTCGCGCCGTCCTCGTCGATCTCGAGCCCGGTACCATGGACGCCGTCCGTGCCGGTCCCTTTGGCCAGCTGTTCCGACCCGATAACTTTGTCTTCGGCCAGTCCGGTGCTGGAAACAACTGGGCCAAGGGTCACTACACCGAGGGTGCTGAGCTGGTCGACCAGGTCCTTGATGTCGTCCGTCGTGAGGCTGAGGGCTGCGACTGCCTCCAGGGCTTCCAGATCACCCACTCCCTGGGTGGTGGTACCGGTGCCGGTATGGGTACCCTGCTCATCTCCAAGATCCGCGAGGAGTTCCCCGACCGTATGATGGCCACCTTCTCCGTTGTGCCCTCCCCCAAGGTCTCCGATACCGTTGTCGAGCCCTACAACGCCACCCTGTCCGTCCACCAGCTGGTTGAGAACTCGGACGAGACCTTCTGCATCGACAACGAGGCCCTATACGACATTTGCATGCGCACGCTCAAGCTGTCCAACCCCTCTTACGGCGACCTGAACTACCTCGTCTCCGCCGTTATGTCTGGCGTCACCGTCTCCCTGCGTTTCCCTGGTCAGCTGAACTCTGACCTGCGCAAGCTGGCCGTCAACATGGTGCCCTTCCCCCGTCTGCACTTCTTCATGGTCGGCTTCGCTCCCCTGACCAGCCGTGGCGCCCACTCCTTCCGTGCCGTCACCGTCCCCGAGCTCACCCAGCAGATGTTCGACCCCAAGAACATGATGGCTGCCTCTGACTTCCGCAACGGTCGCTACCTGACGTGCTCTGCCATCTTGTAAGTCTCCCAAGCACTCCCACACTACCAAAAAAATAAGCTGCCTGCTGACACTGTTTTGTAGCCGTGGCAAGGTCTCCATGAAGGAGGTTGAGGACCAGATGCGCAACGTCCAGAGCAAGAACTCATCCTACTTCGTCGAGTGGATCCCCAACAACGTCCAGACCGCCCTCTGCTCCATCCCCCCCAAGGGTCTCAAGATGTCCTCCACCTTCGTTGGTAACTCGACTGCCATCCAGGAGCTGTTCAAGCGTGTCGGCGAGCAGTTCACTGCCATGTTCAGGCGCAAGGCTTTCTTGCATTGGTACACTGGTGAGGGTATGGACGAGATGGAGTTCACTGAGGCTGAGTCCAACATGAACGATCTGGTCTCTGAATACCAGCAGTACCAGGACGCCTCCATCGATGAGGAGGAGGAGGAGTACGAGGAGGAGGCCCCCCTTGAGGGCGAGGAGTGAATAATGGTCTGATGAGATGTGCTGTCTGGAGTGGTCCAATGATCTAGGACTTTTTTACCGTCCTTAATCAGTCATCATTGTACCCACGACACTTCTCTTCATACCCCGTTCTCTTGTGTGCGTGTGTGCACAGCTGTTCCTCTTGTGTGGGACGCTTGAAGCTTGCGTGGATAGCTATTCGATTCATGATTCAGGGGGAGAGCGGGGGTGTTCTGGTAATCTTTGAAAATGACAGACCCGGCCGATCGTCCGAAGAAAAACAGAGCAGAGAACAAAAGGGGAAACATTGATTTTGAAAATATACCTCTTTGTAGTCAAAACCCTTTCCCCACACCTGGTATCCAAGGTTCCCAGCCTCCTCCCGTTCACACGTGTACCTACCCATCCACATACAGGCCTTGAATGTAAGGAGTGATTGCCTGACAGGGTAGGGTGCCTAGCCCTGTCCCTGCCTGGACTGCCCAGGTGAGCTTCTTAAGATATTGGTATGCCCTGCTCACAAGCAAAGCTTCCAAGGTTGGACAGCCAGAGGCAGGCCAGACCACACCAGAGCCAGACCGAGCTGTTGGGACCATGTAGAGTGGGACTTGTGCTGCCGGCTTTTGTATCTGGATGGTAATTACCTTTGAGGAGGTTGTGAAAGACTGCCTGGGTACATGTTAGCTCAGGGCTTACTCAACCACACTGGCTTCCTACTAGTAGTAGGGTGGTTGGCAGTGAAGAATGGCTCGGATGTTCAAGGGTATTTTAGGGCTTCAGGCTCCAGCAGCATTGGCCCTCTAATAAACAACTTTAAGTACTTGGGGCCCGGGATGTTCTAGAATGGGGCTAGAGACTCTCTCTGTGCAGGTGTGTCTTAGACAAGAAGCCGTAGCTGGATCTTGCTAGAAGCCAGGCAGGCTACCTAGTAAGTACGTAGTTGGATGAGCGAGTGTGAGTGATCTCAAGCATCTATCTGCCCCGGCAGTTCACTGTGTGTAGAATGGTTAAGCAATGTTGTGTGTTGGAGGCTGGCTCTGTGGCTGCTCTGTGTGTGTGTGAGTGTGTGTGTGTGTGTACATGGATTGGTAGTTACGACTCGACAGTTTCTGGCGTTCTCTTGCACGAGTGAGGTTTTCGTGGCGGTCTCTGTGCCCTGTGCAAGAGGAGAGAAGAGATTCCCTCAAGATTAAAGGGGATGTCACACGCGATGGTTCCAAGGTTGTTGAGAATCCCTACCTTAGGTACTTAAGGGTGTGCTCAAGGTTTGAATGAGGAATGCTGTTGGCGAAAGTACGGCTAGGCTCTCTAGTTGCTTAAGTTGGGAACGCTACCAGTCAACTCAACACCAGCTTATTATTAGCCCTGCACAGCGTTTCATGCACTTGTAGGCACTAAAAAGGGCAACTAAAAGAAGAATGGGGGGTGGTGGCTTGTATTTATGAAGTTCACTCTAACTAACCAGGAGAGGAAACCATTCCTCCTGGAGGTGGAACTCCTGCTCCTGGAGGGACTCCTTTCCGAATGTCTCGGGTGCCCTTGATATCACCCCCCCCCTTTTTTTTTAGAAGCTTCAGCGTGCTGGTCACAGTCTCTCTAAGGCTAAAGCATTCTTCGACTTCATGTGGTGATGACTGTGAGTAGTTCTTGAGTGTGGCGGTATGGATCTCTAGTCAGGAGTCCCACGACTTAGGGAGGGCCGTGTCTGTGAATTGATAAGATGAATTGGTAACCGGACAGCTAACTCAACGGCTCAATCCAAGTTGGGCTTGTTGTTATTCCGTATACATCCGAAGTCGTGTTTCAACCGGCTCGCTGCTCCAGACTATTGCAATGAAAGTTCAACCTGCATTAGTTGTCATTACACGGCTGACATTCGATCAAACACTCAAGTTGAAGTTGGTGGAATGCTATCTGTATCAATAACAATATATTAAAAAACAATACTGATAGTGACATCTATTATCCGCTCCAAGTCCCACAGATCACAACACATCAAAACCATTGCAACAACTCTAGTCACCATACCAGATAGCCCAAAACAGCCATGCCCACCACAAATCCAGAGGCTATATAAGGCAAAACATCAAACCCCTCGAGCCTCTCCCGATTCCTCGCACCCCACTGCTCAACACTAGTCGCCAGCCGGCCCAGGATCTCCTCAACGTCGCGGCTCACGTCCACGTCGTCGCCGGCGCGCACAATCTCCACGAACTGGGCAACCAGCCCGTCCACCATGAAGTCGTCCACACGACCCCCGAGCTTCACCATGCGCCTGAAGACGCGGGAGGGCAGGTGCAGGTAGCGCACGCGGTGGCCGATGGCCCGCGACAGGGAGGCTGCGAACTCGGACATGTTGAGCCGCTCGGGGCCAGTCAGGACGTAGGCCCTGCCTGCGTGCTTGGTTGGCCCGTCGAGGATCACGCGGTGGGCTACTGCTGCTATGTCTGCGGTGTCTCTGTTGTTGTGGTCACTGTTATCAGCACCTGAATGGGCATGTCTTGGGGACATCGACCAGAATATGCCCTGATATCAGGCATGGATAGCATAACAAAAAAAGAGTCACTCACACCCAAGGCGCACGACCGTCCCCACTCGTCTGCGGCAAGAAGCCCTTCCGTATCGCCGGCGCCGCGGTCATGAGGTTCGACATGAACCCGCTGGGCCGCAGCGACGTCCACCTGACGCCGGCCCTGCCGCACGCCTCCCGCATGTACTCCTCGGCGAGGTAATGGGCCTGCGCCCAGGGCACGGCCGTCCGGGGGCGCTGGTCCGACGCCGCGATCTTGACGACGAAGCCGACCGTGCCCGTGGCGATGGCCGCGTCGACCAGGGCCGTCTCCATGGCCAGCTGGTTCGGCGCGGGGGGTGTCAGCAGGAAGAGGGTCTTGCAGCCGGCCATGTGGGATGCGAGGGCCGCGGCGGGCTGGGTCAGGTCGCCCAGGACGGCTTCCACTTGTGGTTGCTGGTTGAACCTGTCTGCTTGATCCTGCCGGCGGCAGAGGACCCGCGTCGGGATGTTGCTTGACTGGAGGAGGGAGAGGAGCTTGGTGCCTATCTCGCCGGTGGCGCCGGTGACGAAGACGGTGGGCGTTGTTGCGGGCATGGTCGACTGGTCTGTTGGTGCGTTAACAACCAGGTTTTGATGCGATCGCTGTCTGGTTCGTTATTTTTGACATTACGATTATTGCAGTCACAAAGTTCGGTCCCTGAATCTTTATATTATTATTACAATGACTGGCCTGTTGTTACTCGTTGTGTTTTGCGACTCAAGCTCAGTATGCATTCATCATTGATGTCCCGCATAGTCCGGACCCGTGGACGGTGGATGAATTTGGACCGGAGAGACTCGGCCTGCATGGACACACCGAGGCGGTCTCGGGATCCCGCACTAAGTGACAGCTGTTTGATTACAGATGTATATGGGAAACTAACGCTGACTGCTTCTTTGTAATGCAAGAAAAATTATAAATCGATGCAGGGCTGTAGGATCGATGGTGCGGCATTACGACTCGGGTAGCGCGATCGACGAGGCAGCGAGGTCCGTTGGGATTGACCAGGTGTGTGCGTGCCTGTGGTTGTTGGAGAAGCAGTCCAAACCGATCGGAAGCCGCCACAGCGCGACTCGCGAGCCTATTTTCACCGTGTCTACCTAGCTTTCTTTTTCTTTTCGGGAGATGGCTATGACCTCCATTCAACATGTTAGTTATATTATAGAGTAGACTTACTAAGTACTATATACTTTATCTACAGGTTATAGGACCTCTCTGAAAAGTATAAAATTAATATAGTACCTCCTGTAATTCCTATCCTTAAGTACAATATCCTCTGATAGGTTCTGACACAAGGTAAACTTGTAAGAATTCGACTTATAAGAGCTAATTTTACTATGAATTCATCTTATGAGGCTACCACATGAAGGCACCATGTATGTCCTCGGACGTATACGGAATAGAAGCGAAACCACCCAAGATTCGCCTTCTTGCGAACCATGTGCACTCCGAGTCTTCATATCTCAAGAGCGATCATTTGGGTCGAAGAGCTCTGACAATCGAATCCTGAAGTGGCGGGTCAGTCCAATGTCGGTAATCTCTTTCATTTCCTCCTCCGAAAGCTCGAGATCCAAGGCCTGGAAATAGTTGTCCATTCTTTCACGCTTATTCGTCGTCGAAATCGAGATAACGTCCTGGTTGAGATGCCAGCGGATGAGCACCGCACCCTCATTGACGTTGTGCTTTGCAGCAATCCTAGCCAGTGGCTCGTCCAGCGGCCCTCCTTTTGCATGAGTGAGAGGAGCCAGACCGAAGAAGCTCTGGACCGCAATGCCCTTCTCCTGGAGCCAAGGGACGTATCCGCCGGCTCTCTGGAGGTAGGGGTGAAATTCGATCTGGTTCACGACTGGCTTGATCTCCGCGACTTCCAGAATGGCTTCCATGTGGGGTCGCAAAAAGCTCGAGACGCCAATGGCTCCGGCCTTCCCAGATCGCTGCACCTTTTCCATTTCTTTCCAAGCCTCTTGAAGCCCTGTAGCTGTTGTCGTGAAGTAGGGGCTATGGATGAGATATCTGCAACCTCTCTTCAGCTGCTGCCGTATTGCACACGAAGCCTCGCGCAGTAAGGTTGTGAACAGTCAACGGAGCACATTACTTACAGGTCCACGTAATCCAGCTGTAGGTTGTCAAGGCTGGTCTGGATAGCGCGTGGTACGTCTTCGATTGTTTCAACAACCTTGGTTGTGACAAAGAGCTGATCTCGAGGTACGCCGCTGTTCTTGATAGCAACCCCAACCTCCTTCTCAGTTCCGTAACCCTCTGCACAGTCGAGATGACGATACCTGGCTTCGATGGCTGCCTCGACCATTTTTACGGCCGCGGGGTTGAAAGGTCCAAAACGGTCATCCTTGTACCATGCAGTGCCAGATCCGAAGCCGAGCTGTCCCATTGAGTCAGTTTAAGCCAGATCCACTTCATGATCATGCAGGATATGAAGGTCGACTTTACCACAGGGACTCGGCTTCCATCAGCCAGCGTCTTGGATGGAATGTTAGGAGACATATGTGATAGACTTGCAAAGAAGTTCGATCTATCAGGGAACGCGAGAATCATGGGCTTAAGTTTGGTGTCTAGGTGTCAGCTGGCAGCTCAAGCAAAGGCTCGGGGGACGTGGGGGCCGCACTTTGAGGAATGCCGACTTATTTGTCAACGCCGCAACGTCCGAACGCAGAAATCTAAACATCAATGACTGGTCGGGCGCGGAGTAAACTTGCCTGGACCTGAGCGAACTCTGTCTTGCCACGTCTCATTGACTAGGTAGGAGGGTGATGGGACGCAAGAGCTGGCAGCGGGGTCCTTGAGGACCTTGAAAACGTTGGTTGAGCCGCATGTCTTCCTCCGACCCCATGGTGTGCGCCTCGTCAGGAGTTACATATATGTTATGATCTTAGGGCGTCAGCCATATTGAATTTTTCTTTGTTTATTTACCTAATTATAAACTTTTTAACTTTTGAACTACTTATTACTTAAATATAAAGTTTATAACACTTATTGTATTATAACTATTGTTATCGGCATCGTGTTCTTTCCAAGCGCTGGGTCTTGAGTGCTTACCACCGTATAAAGGCGCCATGTATGTCCTCGGACGTATACGGAATAGAAGCGAAACCACACACAAAACCACACATAACTATAGTTGAAATACGATAGGTGCTGCAGGATATTTATCTACATTGGTCTGGTGCCTCTATGGCCATCCTCATTCCATCGCCGAAAAGTGTCCAAAAGGGTCACTAGTGCGATAGCCCAGTGCTGATGTGTAAATATTCCGATAGATCTCACTGGCACCGACCAAACACGAGAGACACTACTTGAGATAGTGTAAGCTGATCAATCCCGTGAATACGAAAGGCATAACAAGAAAAAATGACGGAGACCTAGACTGCCTCTGCAAAGCTAGGATGTTGACTCTTGCAAATATTGTTCGTCAGTCTATGGGTCTTGGGAAACATTGATGCCAGCCCTTGTTCTACTTCGGCAAACGGCGTAGAGTCAGTCAGTCAGTCAGTCAGTCAATCAGTCGGCCTCGGCCGCGCTGTGGAGCAGGACCGGGCCCCGGTGTTAGGCGGACGGAAGGGGCGTGCCGAAGGCGGACTTGAAGGACGGCGATTCCGTATCACGAGCCCGGGTGCACGACGGATATCAGGTAGCGATGGTGGCTGGGTCCCTGGCACGAGGGCTGTGGGCGTGTGCTAATAAGTGAGCCCCACAAATATCCAGGCACTGTTACCGCGGTATCCCTCTTTCGACGATTCACCCAAACACAAGTCGAGTCCTACTTTTGAGTGGTTGCCGACTTGTGGCCCCTGACGTCGCGGTAAAAAGATTTGCTAGAAGCTAGAGGAGGCAGATATGAAGGAGCCAACAATGTCCAGTCTTGCTTGACATGGGAAGTTACACTATGCATGCCCCAGAATAGCCGGCGGTAGTCGTGGTGATCCCAGGTTTTTTAGCGCTTGTTTTAAGCGCTGTGCGGGTGACTGTGAAAGTGTAAAAAGACGTGGGTTTGCCGTGACATTTACGGCGGGCCTTTTGGGGGGATCCATGACTTCTGGATCCACGTCTGCATAAGCGGCTCTGTCGGTATACAGGGGTGGGCTCCGGGGCAGAGCTGGAAGTGCGGAGGAGGGAAAAGAGGAAGAAAGGGGAAGGGAAGAGACGAGAAGGCATCGGTGTGGTAATTTTTATGTTTTGGACTGGGGATATCGCGGGCTCGAGGGCTGTTCAAATGTTGGGTGTTGGTGGTTGGGTGGACTGGGTTGAAGGATCCGCTAGCTGGGCGGCTGATATGCATGTAGAAATATGCCAGTGCAAGGTACGAATGCAACCTGCTGGTGCAGACGACAAGATCTGGTGGTGTTGGCTGTCTTGGAGAATGGAAAAGATGGGTCTGCGCGTGCCGCTGGGAGCAGGATGGGTCCATGGGTGGAGACGATGATGGCGGCGTCGTCGAACGAAGTTGAGGAACTGAGCACATGCTATCCACTATATGCATGTGGACTGGACTTGTCTTGGGGTGTCCACCGTAAAGTTGTGATAGATACTTGGCAGATTTGATATGGTAGAGACAGACAGTATGTGTGTATGCAGCCCGATATCTGTGTTCGTTATTAGTCCGTCAGCTGAGCTGCCAGCAGTCAGAGGAGTCAGTCCAGACGGTCAGCCAGACTCATCAAGTGAGGCAGCCAAGCACGTGCCTGTACTACTCCCCAAACTGCCGGCTGCCTTTCAGTGTTGGAGGAACGCCTCAAGTGCTGCCCTACTAGTACGAGATACAGGGGCTTAGTAGTAGATAAACATGATGGATGATTCAGTGTGGTTCGGGTGGGTTGGTTGACCTGATTGAGCCACATTCTTGCACATTCTTGCATGTCCAGCCGCCATGGGTACTGCGGTACTTCAGCATCCCTGTCGGCGGATTCGCCTAGGGCAGGCCCCAACCCCCCCAGATCTGGGGGCCTGCCTACACTACTCCGTAGTCCCATGTGCCCTGGCAGTCTTACGCCCCACCGTTGCTGGAAACCAAACACCACTCACATTGTACCACGGAACATACATAGCAGCTCACGGCCGCCCCTTCCTGGCCTCACCTGCCTTCACCTGCATTTCAGCTCACCCTCACCTCGACCCATACGTCTCCTTCACCTCTGCATAGTGATACCCCCAGCCGTCTCTTTGTTTCAGGAACCAGAACAGATAATACAGAATAATCACCGGCTGGACCACCATCGAGCTTGATTGACCTCGGAACAAAGCACACGCGGTCTCGCGATCTGACTGTGTGCGATAGCCTCTTGTGTGTTTGGGGCTTACTTTGTTCGACAAGACGTCCAACGACACAAGTGGCACAGCAACGGCCAGTGCAAACGGACAGCCAACAACCAGTTTCGCCTCTGTGCCGCAGTCCCTCCGCCACGGCCCCCAGCTTTTCACGAGACCACCTGGGCAGCCGCAGCACCGACCATTGTGCCGTGCCCATGGGTATCTTCTGTGGTATAAGTCACAATGGGCCCGAAGTTGCAGACAAGATCCAGGCCGAGAGCCTTTACCGCCAAGTTTCTCAACCTGTGAATCCGATCCCTCCTCGACGACGCACTTCCCGCACCCCTGCTGACTCCCACCCAAGCAGCAAGATGGTTAGGAAGGCCGCACACAAGCCACACCCCTTCGAGTGGGACTCCGTCTCACATCTTGATCATATCATCGATCACAAATTGGACACCGCTGGTGTCCCCTCTGCGCGCCCGGATGACGACTACCAGAAGAGGCGTGCTGAGCTCAAGACCCGAGAGGCTGCTCTTGGTTTCGAGTGGAAATGCACCACCCGCGCATCAGCCAAGGAGCGGCGTGTAGATCGCATCCTCCAGAATCTCAAGCGCCATGATGATGAGAACGTCTATGCAAAGGAGCCGCCACGCCAAGGCATGACCGGCCAACTACACCCTCGCGTCGCCGGTGACCATTTCCTCTCAAATAAGGCCCTCATCGACAGGACAAAAGTCTTCCAGCTCGCAAAGAAGGCTCCCAAGGGCGCTCATCTGCACATCCACTTCAACGCGTGTCTGCAGCCCGACGTGCTGCTCAAGATCGCCAGTGAGATGGAGCAGATGTACATCACCAGTGACGTACCGCTGCACACAACAGACGTGGACCATCCCAACAGGGTCGCACGATCCAAGATCCAGTTTTCAATCATGGACATCACGGCCAGCAAGGGGAGCCTGTTCGACCACGACTACAAGGACCGCACGCCCATGAAGTTCAAGGACTTTATAAAAGAGTTTCCGCAGCATCACCAAGGGGCGAGCGCCCTGCAGTGGCTGCAGGAGAAGCTGGTCTTCCGGGAGGAGGAGGCACACGACCTTCCGCAGACGGTCAGCGGCGCATGGGAGGAGTTCAACGCCCGCACGCAGATGATGAAGGGGCTCTTCAACTACGAGAGGGCCTACCGCGAGTACACGCGCCGGTGCCTGGAGGACTTCGTCAGCGACAACATCCAGTACGCCGAGATACGGCCCAACTTCATGGACACGAACCAGGTGTGGACCGACGACGGGACGAGCAAGATCGACAACGCTGGCATCATGGAGATGATCATCGAGGAGGTCGAGCGGTTCCAGAAGGACAAGAAGGCCGGGGACGGCGACGCGTACTTTGCGGGGCTCAAGATCATCTACTGCTGCCCGCGGTCCTACCCCAACGACAAGGTCGCCAACGGGCTGGCCGAGTGCCTGCGGTTCAAGCAGCGGTGGCCGCAGTGGATAGCCGGGTTCGACCTGGTGGGCGAGGAGGGGAAAGGGAAGCCCCTCAGCGCCTTTGTCCCCGAGTTCCTGCAGTTCAAGAAGGACTGCGAGGCCGCGTCGGCCGGCGAGATCCCCTTCCTCTTCCACTGCGGCGAGACGCTCGAGTCCGGGTCCGAGACGGACGACAACCTCCTGGACGCGCTGCTGCTGGGCTCGCGCCGCATCGGGCACGGCTTCTCGCTCGCGCGCCACCCGTACCTCATGGAGCGCATGAAGGCCGCCGGCGTGTGCGTCGAGCTGTGCCCCATCTCCAACGAGGTGCTGGGCCTGACGCCCCGCGTGGGCGGGCACGCCATGTACGGCATGCTGGCCAATAATGTGCACTGTACTGTGAGCAGTGACAACGGGACCTTATTCAAGTGAGTATATACGTTCAACTCCTGTCCTTTGTTCTTTTTTTTATAATCTTACTGACATGTGAATCCCTCTAGCTCAACCCTTTCACACGACTTCTACCAGGCCATGGTCGGCAAGCCGGACATGACCCTCTTCGGGTGGAAGCAGCTCATCGAGTGGAGCCTCGACCACGCCTGCATGTCGCCCGACGAGCTCCGGGACGTGCGGCGGGCGTGGGAGGCGCGGTGGGACAGGTTCCTGGACGAGGCGATCGAGGAGTTTGGCGGGGAGTTTGATAAGGGGGGTGATGGTGCCGGTGGGGAGAAGTAGTAAGGCGGCACGGCAGATAACATTTAATTTGTAGTTTACTGGGGTATGTATGTAGTTAGATCGGGGGAACGGGATCGGTGTTGACATTTGGAAAGGGCTTACTTATACCAGCTGCACCCTGAGGGGCGAATACATATTCATATATACATGTTTTGACATCATTGCATAGCACTTTTAAAGTCCATGAAATGTGTGGATTGTTATACGTCAACGCTACTGGTGAGTGTTCCATGATATCAGGTGTGATAGACGCCTCCTCCGGGCGGCCCCTTCATTTTATTCATGGTCCAGTGAGCCCACGAATACAAATACTAACAAACATGCAACATCACGAATTCCAATGAAGGACACCTCTTAAAAAGAAAATGGAAAATGCATGTAGGCAATCTGTGTGTTCAGTGCAGGCCACCTGGGCAGTGAATCTGATCTGAGGTGGTGATGGCACAGCATTCCAAGGTTTTCACGCCGGCTGCAACCTCGTAGGGCTCTGAGATCTCAACTTTCTATCAATGACCCCAGGCCTTGCATGTAACTTCCATCAAACGGTAAATAGTTACCTAGGTACCCAGCTCTCCGTCATCTTCGCCATACCATACATTGAACTTAACACCCCCCTCGTACCACCTCACCGGCCGTGAGAGCCCTAGCACCTTGGGGGCCAAGTGATCAAACATAATCCCCGCCGAGTAGAGGCCAACTTCTATCCACACATCCCTGGCCGTCGGGACTCTTGACGCGCCTCGGCCCACGAGAAGTATCTGTCCAGGGGAGGGCGCGGCCCATCGTGTCGAGAGCCTGTCACTCGGCGCCACGGGTTCCATGGACGGGTCGGGGATCTTGAGAAGAATCTCGTCTATGCGTACTGAGAGGCGGGCGGGAGGAGTTTGCGCGGTGCGAAGATCGAGATGGGCATGATGTGTCAGATGGTGGCATGGTAGCTGCATCTCGGTCTCATCTGCTGGCTCGCTGGGACATATACTGAGTGACTGTTATATTAGGTGTGTTTACGTTTTCACACCATATGAAGGCGCCATGTATGTTCTCGGAAGTATGCGGAATAGAAGCGAAACCAATTATCTTCATTTCTCTGTTGCTAATAAATCCTGTATACAGGGAGACTTCCTACAAACCCACCATCTCATAGTTCGGGTAAAACACCAGTGCAGTAAATGTTAAGCCGCAACATCTCACGCACGTGCAGGCAGCGGGTTGTCCACGATGTATTTGTCGACTCGTCACTTCCACTTGCCACTTAAGCTGATTTTGGGTGGATGAGCATTTTCAGATTGGAGGGCCAAATTTTCCAAATCTTGAAATGCAACAGCCAAAGTGAGTCTGTGCCTGGTGAGGCTTGTGAGTCAGCAAGGGCAAGTAAAATGATTTGTAACTTTCCGAAAAAGGTTTAACTACGACCAAGATGGAATTTATATCCCTTGTGGTGAATCAAAATCAATAGAGAAAGCTTCCAAACTCTATGCGCCAGCAGTGGATGGTGATGTCTTCATTCTATGAGAGGTCACCAATTGCAGGAAGAGACAGACAGGCTTGTTCAAGTTGGTGTGGCGAAGGTGTTTTTTCAGCCTACATTAGACATTGAAAAGGCGCAGGTGATAAGTCTCTGTAAGGATATAGTGAGTTGCTGAGTGCCTCTCTTTGCGGTCCTGCTCCACTTCAAACACTTGAGACGATGTTGGTACCCTTCCACCCCGGGCCGATTCAATTTACTCGGCCGCCCCCAACCCCTAATGTCCGAATAGCCCGGTCTCCGGCCGAAGTGGTATCGCTCTCAACACTTTCTGAACCACTGGTTAGATGATCTACATTGCGACTGTGGCATGGTGTCTCGAAATAGAGCGGTCTCTGGTCCAAGGCCGGGCTGCTTCTGCTCCAACAAGAGACCCTTCTCGTCAGGAAACAGGCACAGCAAAGGAATCATGTGCCTCAGGCTAAAGCAGTTGGCCCATATACAGAATCGATGAGTGGGTTTCTTGAAAGTTCTCACATTTGTTGGGGCCGGCATTTGGTACGCCGCGGCCAACATTTGAACTTTGCCCCCAACTGTGGAGTGAAAGCACCAACTGCATCCTTCCTTGCCAACACCACAGGCAACATGCCCTCACAGTCTCATTTCATGACCAAACTATCTCAGTTTGGGTCATTTTGATTAGACCGGCTTTATGCACTGCCATAGTGGAGCCACAGGGAGTTTGGCTAAAATTAGTATCTGCCAGCCTCACCGAGAACAATGTTGGACAGTCGAATATTCCACGAAAGTTGTTCAGGCCTCTCAGCCAGACCATGGCCTCTATTCTGCTGAAACATGAGGCCGCATGGTCGTGAGCTTGGACCTGATGTTCGTTGGCAGCTGAAGCCTCTCAAAAGGGCCACTTGAATTCTTATTATAGCTTTCTGAATGATTCGAAGGGTATATAAGTTACGGGTTGCTCTTGAGTAAGGACTGAGATTAATGTTCAAGACATTCGATATCAAGTTCTGCACTGCATTTCCTTTGAAAATTTCTCATTCGTACCTCACTTCCCATTGCTATCAGATACTTCCGCCAAACCCATTGTAAAAAGACCTTTCTGAATTCGCACCCCCCGAAGCATCGATTGCACCCTGACTGGTTCAGAGTTTAAATCGGTATGTTTCCTTTATAGCCCATCTCGATGGATGCTTGATGTCTGACCACATACGCAGCCGTATCTCGACATAAACCTTGGAACTTTGACGAACATTTGGACATCATGTGCCGCTGGACTGTCTTCATTCACCCCAACTGTGGCTGCCACGCCGGGTCAAGGAGCTTCCCAACAAACTGTGATGGCAACTGCACAATGACTCCACAGAATACCACTACTGAGAGGGTGGATTATGCCTGCAATGACCACCCAACTGGTGGATCTGGGAGTCAGAGAGCGGCTCGGGGAGGGAGCTCTGCTGGTCGTCAGGCACCTCCTGGTCGCCGGGACCACAATCGACGTAGGGGTTAGTGATTTGATGGGCGAGGGGAAGTCATCACCATAACGGTTGCAATCCAGGCTGGTTCCAAAATTGTCATACAGTATAGTCAAAGCCGTATCTACGGATCAAATATAAATGCAGGTCATTTCAAACAACCTTGGAATATAACCTTGGAATTGCCCATCAACATCCCGATCATCAGACCGACTCATGTCTAGTGCTCTGTTTCATCTAAGATCTTGTTGACGAAGTCCCTGCCTTCTGCATCCAGCTCCACTGCATGAAAAACAATCGTGCCGTCAACCTCATCGTCTGCCGTCAGCTCCAGGACTCGGGGACTATTGTTCTCCGATGTGACGCGATGTTCAAAAAAGATCCCAACATAGTGATTCTTCTTCGTATTTCCAGTATTCCCAGATTCCTTGACATGTTTCGGCCATATGAAAGACACCTGGTGCCTGGGGACCTCAGCGTTGAACAGCGCCTTGCTCACGTCGCGAGTCATCTGGTCAGTGGCAGCTTTCCCTTTCCGTTTCACGCGGGAGGCGCTGTCGTCTTCCAACAACGGATCCATGGATGGGTCAATGGACTTCATTAAGTCTCGGCTCAAGCGCACCGAAATACGGGTGGGTGTGTCTCCCAGAGGGAGAAGATCGGTGGGCGCGATGGAGAACGGCATGCTGTTCTTCTGTCCGCCTGTCAATGCCGAGAAACATGCCCGAGACTCCACCGGCCGGCTAATTTTGACATACCTTGAGTGATTGGCGATGAAATGATCGTTCTGTGTCTGGTGAATTGACAAAGTTTTCGAAATTGGGCAGGAGAAAAATGAGTTCCAATACACTGAGCTGGGAGGCAGCGGGGTTGGCTATTGCCTCAACCCTGACCAGGGCAAGAGACAGTCCGCGCAGCCAACAGGCAGCCAAGAGCCAGCCACCGGCCCCCACAATGCAAGGCACCAACCAACTGCATAACACCCACCATGCCGGCAACTGCGTATTTAACCACAAGGGGGCTTCAACTACATTATTCTCTTTCTACTATTATTAATACTATATTTCTTTAAATAGTAAGTATTTACTATTAGATAAAGGCACTATATATAACGGAGGGTGTAACTACTAGCTATATATCTATATTATCTAGCTAAAAGACCTTAATAACTAATTTACTTAATTAGTTATTTCTAGTAGTATATAAGATCTATACTATTACTACCCCCTTTAAGGTCTTTTATAGAGCTTTAAGTGTATTAAAGGGTGGTGTGGTTCTAAATAATGTGTCGCTAAGTTAGCTTATAGTCTTATAGGAGGTCTGAAAATCTAATAGTATAGTAAGGTAGGTAATTTATAACTTAGTGTAATAAAAAGATATTAAGTATATTTATTTAAAGCTATTAATTAGATGGAGGCTTGTTTAGTTACTTTAAGTTATATATAACTCTCTTTTTATTTAAAAAGCCTTATTAAAACTTAAAAGATTTTTAAATATAAGGGCTTAAATTTACACCTTTAGTAAGATTAGTTATTAGAATGGAGGGTGTGACTGCTAGCTATATACCTATATTGTCTAGCTAAAAGATCTTAATAATTAATTTACCTAATTGGCTATTTTTAGTAGTATATAAGACCTGTACCGTCACTTATGTATATTTTATATATATAGGGATTAAATACGAAACCACTTAACCATAAGGGGAAACAGCAGACCGGATTTATGGCCTGCTCACATATGGTCGAGTTAATTCATCAGCTGATTTTCTTCTTGCTTTGAAAACGTCACAACCAGCTTGTGAAATCAAACGCGCACTGCTCCAAGCAATTGGTGCGTCTGACCAAAGCGACGGTACACCGTGAAGAAATTCTTATGCTATTTCCTAAGACGGCTTGGCCATCTTGCCGAAGACTCTTCTTGTTTGGATAATCCCCAAAACTGGGACACAGTCACTGCATGCTTCAAAGTTGTCCCATGAAGACCGCAAGCTAGAGTCCTGGCTGAAGTCAAGATAATCACTACAACTTGCGCTTCAAGACAATATAGAAGAACAATTCACGGCGACGATACCGCTGATGGAACACAAACTTGTTACAACTTTTACAACGAATTTCCGACGTCGCTTGAAAGGCTGGCCCTGATTAAGCCGGCCCCATGCTCGGCGAGGCTGTAGATGGTTGCCTGCGGGTTTCCGCGCGGTTTCCAGGGCATGATACTGGTGTCGCACATGCTCAGGTTCCAAGTGCCATATAAATGAAGCTTAACTTTAAGCTTCGCGTATAAGGCGCTCGAAGGGATCGAGGTCTGATCTTTGGAATCTCACGACATGTATGTAAGGATCCCCCCTCCTTTGCCTCTCCAACATTATCAACAGGTTTGGACAAATTGTGATTGATGTATTTCAAGCCTGTAGAGATGCCGAGGATGGAATAGACGTACTCATCTTTATTTTTGTGATTTTGTTTCTGATTCCCAGACAGATACAACGTGTGTGGCGCCTTCGAGCGTTTACCATATCCACATACTTTGTGTGCATGGAGATGAGAGACGAAACCACACACTCGGTGTTATCTTCAAGAATACTTTGGTCAAGATAAACATGTAAATGAAGTTGGTGGAAAGAATAGCCAGGAGCCTTACAAAGATCATTATCTCGTCATTGAGTTTCAAAGTTGTGCATCACGCTCGCCCAGAAGCTGTCGACAGCTGCGACGAATCCAGGAAGTCTAGCCTCGCGATATCCCGACGCGGATCGAAGGGCAGTTTCCTAGGACAACTATTTTGGGTCACGGGTGGATAAGCCTGTGTCTATCAGACTAAAGTCGAACATCCGCCGTCTTGGTTAAGAGGTCGACGATTGGTAAATCGATTTGATCCATGCTGGTATCTCGTCATGTGAATCAGCAAGCCAGGTGTCGACGGCAGATTGTCGCACGGCGTCAGAGGGCAAGCTGGAAGAGACCAGAATTTGAACTATTGTATGGTCGTCAGCACCTTTTCCATCGGGTCTTACGCCCCGGGCCGCGCTGCGCACAGGTTCGGATCGACAGTCCAATGTCTGGATAGCTGCGATGAAACTGGAGATCCCGCCCAGGTGCCTATCCTGTATTCCAATGAGGTCATGGCACAGAGGTTTGCGTAACGGGCTCAAGTCAAAGCTTTTCAATCCAACAGCCCCGGAGGAAATGTATCGGCATCATACATGTCCAGCTCTTTGTGGACCCCAACCCTTGGTGGACGTTTGCTCCGTGCACAAACGGTTCCTTCCGTATGTACTCCGTAACGGCTGGACGTCCATGTGGGGTTGGTTCCCGTTAGTTCCCGCTGCCCACTGCTCTGCGACACTTCCTCTGTCAGTATGCTTGCTCTCTTTCTCATGAACTTGGCAAATTTGCCGCGAATCCTCGAAGCCAAACTCGACGTCGTTGAGCCGAGTCGGCCTTTAAGAGCGCCTAAAAGAGCGGTAGACATGCGCAGCCGCCGCCCGATTCATTCTACTGCAGCTCAGATGGGCCTGGCGCCACCCGGCTTCAGCCCCAGTAGGCGGACCAGACTGCCGGGGTGGGACAAGGATGGGGACGGCAGCTGGCCGGCCCCAACGACAGCCGCTCGACGATGGCCAGCGCAACACTGCATGCAGTCTGGCAGTGCCACAGGGCCAGGATGCGATTCCTAGCGGAGTGTATCCCCACGCCGCCACGCTGCGCCCCCCAGCTGAGGCGCCTCCCATTGGTGCGCCCCGACGCCCGATGGCACTCAGGAAGAATTGCGCAGTCCAACGGGCTCACAAAGCGGTGGCCTGTTGGCCCATTCTGTCCTGTCTCACTTTGATGCCGGGATGCCTGCATGGGCAGATGGGTGGATGGGCAGATGGGCAGCGAGGCCGTGATCTGGGCGGCCTTGCTCCCAAAAATTGCATCCATAAATCCATCCATCCATATAACCGTGGTCCTCACGAGCCAAGACTGCTCACGCCGCAGCTTCCTGCTCCTTGACCTCATTGCAGGATCGGCCATCCTTTGATTGGTCTGTCACACAAGCCACCACGTCGCCAGCAGTTGACCAATTGGCCGACCACATCGACTGAAAGACTTGGTGCCGACGACAGGCCGGCATCAGCATCTTCAAAGCAACCAGCATCATTCGAGAGCGAGACTCCGGCCTCGAGGCAATCTCGCTCTCACTCACGCCATCGCCATCGCCATGGCCGACGGCGAAGGCCCAATTGCAACATGGTTCCCGGTCTCCAAGGACAGCTGGGGCCTAGACGTGGTCACACTTCTCGCCGTCATTGGCGAGTCGTCTATGGAAGACCATGCCCAGCCCATCACAGCTTCCGTGCTCTGCTTGCTGCCACGCATCCTGCCTGCACCTCAGGCCCTTCTCAAGTCCAAGAGGCCCATGAGACTTCCCATCTACAGCGCCCAGATGGTTGGAGTCCACAACGGCGTCGCTCTCGACTCCGTCGGCTTCTTTGCCAACATAATACACCCCCTCGACGACCAGGCACCATACTCGTTCAAAGTCCTCGAAATCAAGCACAGGGACGAGGTATTCCTGGGGAAACCACCCCGGAAGGCGTCCTTGGCTGCCCGGCTTTGGGAACGCTGGCTAGAAATGAAGAAGCCCGCCGCCCCGAAGCCCACTCTCAACCGACCACCCTCAGAGCTTGATGCCTCGGAAAAGGACACACGCGATGGCGCCAAGGGCGTCAGGTTTGATCCCGATGTCGAGAAGGGTGATCATGAACCAGAGCCAACCATGGGCATCAAAAGACGTCGCACAGCCAAGGAAAAGGTGACCGACTTCATCGCGAACCCCACTCTGACCCCTACCAGTCGGCCTGCGGTACCGCCTGCTTGGAGCAGCCCTATCCATGTCGCCTCGGTCGTCTCCTTCGTCCTGACCTTGCTGATCGTTGGCCTGACCGCATACTGGAAGGACGGAAACGCCCTGATCGCCATTTTCATCATCTCGGTACAGGCGTCCCTCGTCGGATATGCCTCGTGGTGGCGCCCGCGCCTGATGGTGCGGCCTCCCCACACCACAAATGTCCCGCCGGGCGATATGATGATCCGCACTCGGGAGGGCGCCTTCCTGCTGATAAAGTGCACCGAGGAGGTGGCTCGTGAGCTCTACACCGGCACAGAAGACTGTGAATACCACGTCGGCCCCAAGACCTACCGCTTCCTGATGGCCATGGCAACAATGCTGCTCATGGTTGGCGTCGTCCTGCTCGGAAACACACGTCTCGAAGCCCAAGTTCTCATCAGTGGGAGCTACATTTTACTAAACGGCGCGTACTGGCTCCTGGGTATGCTGCCCCGCCGCTACTTCTGGGACCTGTCTCGCTACGAATGGGAGGACATCACCCCACCGGACGCCAAGAACTCGGACAAGATCGTAACTGCGAGTATGGACAGCAACGGGGTTGAAGGCTACCCCAGCTTCACGAGGACGCTCTGGTACGCCATCCGTGAGACCAAGAGCACCGGCTGGGTGGAGCGGAGCGGCGCGGCCCCGAGCACGTCCCAGTGGAAGAAGTGGCTGAGGGAGGCCGGCGAGAAAGCCCACACGGATCGCAACTGGCCCGCCGTGAGTCGCAAGGACCAAATAATGAGAGAGAGCACCGACGGTCCCGAGGCGGATCATGCTGCCCAACACGCACCACTCCGTGAGGTACAGCCCCCTGCGGAGCCTGTCAAGACAGGGCAATTGTAATGCGACATGTTGAAAATTTGTTTCCCGCGGGCTGTTTTGTTTGGTCTCATCTGCATGACTCGAATCTCTTGAATGGACATAGCAAGGCGTTGGGTCATTACAGGCGTCAATAACAATATTCTATAAGGGCCCTATATTCCCATGTGCAACCATTCGCGCTGACCTCGGTCCCTCGGCACGCGCTCATCGTCAAACCGCTAGTTTGCCCACCAGCCGGAGAGATGCTCCGAGGTGACCAGACGGCAGTTGGGACGATTCATCTCTTGGACCTCGGGCCCACATGTGGACGGGTTGATTTTTTAGACGGTGCACAAAGAATCGTCGGAAATCCAGAGCGGACGGGAAGGGCAGATCCATCCACTTTTAAAAGCCGCACCACGGCGCCGTTGTTCGTCCCCACTTCCGCAGACGCTGCACTCGGACCTCGCTCTAGACCTCTGTAATACCTAGGTAACCTCACAACGGAAACTGCGCGCGCCGTCGAAGCATCCGGCATGATCAGCGACTGTCAAGACATTGTCTGCGATAGGCTTCTGAGGCGTCCGAGCACGTAGAGGTGGCTAATGATACCGTGGCTTTTGAAGATCTTGGTCGAGTAACACCCGAGACAGAAGGCAGTATTTGGGTTTTCTCTTATTCTCCTTGCGCCGTTGCAACATCGCGCACCCCGACTGGAGAGTTCTTGTCCTCGCGGCGAAGCGATGTCTGATGAAACTTCCGGTCGAGGAATCCTGTTTAGGAATCCTTGCGACACTTGATCTGCTCAAGATGAACGAGCCACTGCCTTGCCATCCATCGGCGATGAGACCCGGGATGCCACCGGGTAGTGACATATCCCACGACAACTCACGTGCTGCAGGAGACTTTGTCTTGTCTGTGAGAAACTCTGGCTTCGTCTAGTGAACGCAAACGATCGCCGGAATGACTCTTCAAAGACTGGTACGGAGAGGCCCCGTTCCATTTCTCCGCCTCCTGTTACCCTCACCTCGAGCTTGGCCCCAGGCAGACTTGGGATGAAGTCGATGGCAATTCGCTGACAGGTGCCAACAAACGCCTCTGCCCTAGCGCCGTCATCAGGACGTTGTCCTACTGGGGTGCGGCTCAGCGCCCTGGGGAAAACAAACGTGCCTGGGGCACCCTGGCGGGGGCCCACAACACAGACCAAACCTTAATACGGAGGCCAAGGCGGCATCCGGGGGCTCGGCTTATCCAAGGCCATATAGCAGCTCTTATTGGCTTTGGCCTAGGGTTTTGGAATCCGCCGCATCGCTGCCCTTCCGGATGCCCAAACCACTCACACGCGCTCTCACCACACCTCGGGCGCACGCGCACTCCCCCTTGTGAATTGTGATGGCCCAAATGTCTCGAAACGCGACGACAACCCTCCGATTGGCCTTGCCGCGCCCTCAAGGTTTGCGCTTGTCCGAAGGTTTCCTGATGTGGAACCACCCAAGCAACGGGGCCCACGGAAAGAAGCACACCAAGCAAAATAAGTTGCAGTCGTAATATGCGTAAGGCAGAGACAACAGAGCCTCAAGCCTACAGTGTTTCTACCATGGTCTCAACGGGCCATGCCATGCCATGCTATGCCATGCCATGCCTTACCATGCTGTTCTATCAAGCGGTTGTACAGCTTTCCGGCCGTCTCTGCTGCTCAAGCGCGCCCTGCTTGGCCATCAATCACTCTCATTTCCCCCCGTTCCTCCCGCAGATCTGCTGCCGCACTTCCCGTTTGGGCCGTTTCCGTGCGCCTTATGCCGTCACGGGAGTTCGTCGTGACGCTCGTCCCACCTCGTGGCCAAGGATCCTTGGCCAGTCCCTTGTCGGGCCTTGATGCTTCAAGTCTCTCTTGCTGCACTGCTTATCTGTGCCCTAGACGAACGTGCCCGTCTAGTATTTCAGCTGCGTCCATGGACCCGCTCCCCCACGGGGCCTTACCTCTTACAAATCTCCACCCAATCCGTTGTCTTTACTCGTGCCTGCATCAGACGGAAACTGGAGTTGGGGGACAAAGTTCTTGTCTGTTACAAGTTGGACCTTTATCTTGGTCGACCATAAACAAGCCTCGAAGCTTCTGCCCTCTGCTTCCTCCCCCGCCGCCCTCGCGGCCTCGAGTTTCGTCCGACCATTTTGTCATGGCCGTTCTTACATAGCTCTATCGCTGCCCGCTTGGCGGATGAGTTTCCTTCTTTGATCCTGCTACGATATTTCTTCATGCACATATCGGCTTGCGATTATTGCCAGTCCCTACTATTCTTGTTTAATCTTCCTCTCTTTCGATCCCTACGGGGACTGCCCGATCAGCATCATCTCCGTCATAATTTACTAGGTTTGATACCTGAACTTACACAACTTCTCTTCTCTTTTATATCAATAATATTGGGTTCTCTCGAGCGTGTTGGCGTGATGGGGAGCGATATCTGGTCGTCGGTCTCCTCGGACGAGGAGAAATGGGTATGATAATTCCCAAACAAACTGCTGTCATCTTCAGAATCTCCCTTGTCGCATTTCAGAAAGATCCATATGTAGCATTATGATTGATACATTCGCAATTACGGTCTTGTTGGCCGCATCCGGCTTGTGTTATTTGGTAGAACAAGAAGCATATAGCAGTGGCTAACATTTGCCTGAACAGCAACCAACCTTCAGCAAGACTGCCTCAGCACCCCTGGGCGGAAATGCTGAGGACATCCAAATTCTCCTGCTGGGCCCACCGGGGTCTGGCAAAACCTCACTCCAAACGCGGTACACTCTTCGACAATTCTCTCAAGTTGCCTCGGGCGGCATGCATCTCATGGGAGGTCACAAGCATGTACCCCTGCCTGACGGACGGGAAGTCCACCTCATCATCCATGAGTTTCCCACCGGCGCCGGGCAACAGACGAAGAGCATGATGGAACCCTTCAGCCCCGACGACATTTCACGGCAAGACACGCTCACCTCGTCGTCGTCGGCCTACCAGGCCGAAGTCCAGCGCAAGAAGCTCCTGGACCAGTCTGACGCCGTGATGCTGCTTTTCAACCCTTGGTCGAAAGAGTCGTTCGAGTGGGTCAACGGGAACGTCGTGGCGGACATCATCAACACTGGCCGCAAGGAGAAGCTCAAGTCCGACATAGTCGGCATCCTCGACGGTCTGGTCGCTGCTATCCCGGGGATCCAGCGCTCCAAGTCAACACGGTCGGCAAGGTCGACAAAACTGTACCAGAAGGAGCTGTCTCGCACGCCGAGCTTCTCAGGGGACGCAAAGAGCGGCGTGTCTCTGTTCAGCGGCTTGGACGAGAAAAGGGGGCGCGGGAACGACTATGACGACTACGACGGGGAGCTCAAACGGATCAGCATCGTCGTGGAAGGTTCGGCGCTGAAAAGAGCCGAGTTCATGATCCACGAGCGAGACTTGCCCCCTCCACCGGAGCCGAGCCCAGCACCACCGAGGCCGCTTGTAATATCAGGCCCGATGTCATTAACCGACAAGAAGCTCCCCACAATCAGAGAGGTGGACAGCAACATGAGTTTGAGACGCCACGCCTCGATGATGGACAAGCACAAGAGCGCGTCGGCCATCAGGCGGCGCGACAGTGCCATTAGCTTCCGGACGACCTCCAGCGCGTACAGCCAGGCTTCGTCGACCGTCGTCGAGGCCTTGCATGGTCCATCGATGCGGGAATCAAACCCGTTCACCCTGGAGGACCTCGTTGACGCCCACATGTATCCGAACCACCCGGAGGAGCTGCCTGAGCAACCGCCTGAGCGGCGGGTCACCCTGCCGCCGCTGCCGCCGGCCGAGGAGCTCGAGATCCCCGTCCTGGTGGTCGCCTCCATGACGGACCGCCTCAAGGGGAACGGGGGCATGCTGCCGCGGATGGTGTCCGCGTCGCAGGGCCAGGAGCTGGCGCGCAAGTTCGGCTCCAACTCGGCGTACATCGAGGTGTCGGCCAAGTCCAACGCCAACGTCGACGAGGCGTTCGGGATCCTCGTGGACCAGGTCATGAGCAAGCGGGCGTCGCGGCAGAAGGACCAGAAGCCGAGCGGCAAGGTCAAGGACGTCGTCATCCTCGACGAGGAGGACGAGATGGACAAGGACGAGAACGACAGGAGCCTGCCGGCCAGGGCGGTGCTCACCAAGGTGCCGCGGCAAAAGTCGCGGTCTTGCATGCCGGCGTGGTGGGATAACTTCTTTGGGTCTGTCTTCTCCTGGGGGCCGCCGGACTCGGAGGTATCTGCGATTACCTTTGAGGACATCGGCGCCCGTCCGGAAAGGGAGGAGACCAGAGAGGATGTTTGGGGCGAGACCGTGGTCGTGAAGAATCATGATAACAAGACCTCGTGGTATGCCATGCGGAAGTCTCGGGAGGTTGACCCACGACAATCTGTCTCGACTGTATCGACAGATGGGGGCTATACAATCAACGGGTTTTCCATCATCACGCCGTCCAGGATTCAGAGGGAGAAGAAACGCGCACTGGTCGAGAACCCCTTCAACGCCGAGGATCTCAGCCTGCCACCCAAGTTGCCTGCACCCCCTCCGGTTTATCTGCCCGAGGATGCCGAGAAGCACCCACGGTCCGACGAGGCTCTCATGGACAGGCTCGACCGGAAGCTGTCAAAGAAGAACAGGCCTGACAGCATGACGCTGGGACAGGCGCCCTCGAAAGCGGCCCACGCAGACCCGTCTGACGAGACGCCACGGCGAAACGAGGCCATCCTGGACAAGGTGACGCGCAAGGCCGGCCTGAACGGCGGGCCCCTCGCCCTCGCCGTCGACGAGAAACCCCAGCCAGCGCTCCCGGTCTCAGAGGACAACCGGCCCCTGAGCGTCGACAGCTCGATCGCGCGCACCCTGGCGCGGAACAAGTCCAGCAAGAAACAAAAGGGAGACCGCAGCCAGCCCGTCTACCTGACAAACTACTACACCGAGGACATCGCCAGGAGCAGGGCGGGCAAGCCCCTCATCCTCCCACTCCCAGGGACCACCAAGACCCCCACCACCACCAAGGCCCTCGACCTGGACGACGGCTCCTCGTCGATAATCACGACGTCGACGGCCGCGGGCGGCGGCAGGCGCCGCCAGCACACGAGCCTGATCAGCGAGCTCCCGCCGACCATCCCGCCGCTGCGCTTCGACGCGGTCCGCTTCCTCGACGGCAGCGGCGCCGGGGGCGGGGGCGGCGACGAGCGCCGCTTCACCGTCATGATCCGCCTCGCGGAGCAGGAGCTCGAGCAGCAGCGCGCCCGCGTGTACAAGCTCGTCAGCGACGACGCGGCGGCCGCCGCGCCCGTGACGCGCAGCCACTCGGTCGGCGCCGGCGCCGGCTCCGGCAGGCGCGCCAGCAGCTCGCAGCGGCCGCGGGGCGTGGGCACCAACGCCGTCGGGCCCGTCAGGGCCACGGCCACGGCGAACCCCCCTGCGGTGCGCGGGGCCAGCTCTGGCAGCGGTGGCGGGCCTTATGATGCTGTCGTTGTGAGGCAGCCGCCGCCGCCGCCGCCGCAGAAGCAGAAGCAGGAGGCGGATGAGGCGGGGACGAGACAGCAGCAACAACAACAACAGCAAGTAACCATTGTACATGTGGGCCACCCTGGCTCGAGGGCCAACGCCGTGAGGAACAGGCCCGCCGGCCCCATGGCGCAGGCCTACGGCCCGGGCCAGGGCCAGGCTCTGGTCAGGATGCCGCTCCCCCCTCCCCGCAGGGCTGCCACGCTGAGGGCCGTGCCGCCGCCCACGCCGCCGTCGCGCCCGAGGACGAGGCCCAACTCTGAGAGGCGGCCTGCTGGGAGGCCGACGCCTGTTTGGATATAGGCTTGGGCTGTCTGGGGCTAGGCTGTCGAGTCGATCATAATTAATGTGTGAACTGAGGCCTTTGGAGATTCAATGGGGGGTTGCTGATTTCCTAATCCAGAGCGGGTGTTTAAATAGCCTGGGTGAGTCTGGCTTGCAAGGGTAAAAAAAAAAAGAGAATGGCGGGGTGGTCCTTTTGTTTTATAAATACCTTGCTGGAGGCTCCCTGTAATTCTCTCATGTTTTGATGTGAGTACTTGTACTTAATAATTCCTATTTACATATATTGAGGACCTGTATTCCACACAATTTGTACCTATAACAGATATTTCACTGTCCTAACAAGGCCTGGTGTTGTTTATGACAGTTTGGCCTCAAGGTTTTCTTTTGTCGGGTGGGAAGAAATAGACGGATTTCTCTGAGAAAGGACACGGCCCAACTGGTCTAGTATAGAAGGTATGATGAGAACGACCTGAATATATCTACTGGCTTATATACTCATCAATCTGTCTCATGTCTACGGTGCAGTCAGTTCCTGGTGAAGCTTGGACCTTCTTACCTTATTTGTGATCTCTTGGCCAGCTTCTACGACAGAAATCCGAGTCAACAGTCTCAGCGATATGGCTCTGACATTAGGACCAGTGGAGCCAGCGCTTTACAGGCGGGCTTGGAGGCGCCCGACTCAAGCCTAATTGAGCATGCCGTTAGTGGTACTCGAGCATATCAGCACGATGGATGGCGGCAGGAAATAAGAACGACATCACTTACGAGTAGACTGTAATAGATGCTGTGGCACTGGCCCACGGGCCTGTTGACGAACATGGTGTGTCCGTCCTCGCTGTGGACGGTGAATGGCTTGAAGCAATTCTAGCAATTTCCAGAAAGCCTGCCGTTAGCATGAGGAAGAAACAGACGTGCATCGTCGGATGCGATCACTTATCCAACAGAGGAGTGATTCGGCAGGCTGCTGTTCAGAACCTCGAGGTGTCACCCAAAAGCGCGTTGAACGTTTTGCCTTGACGAGTTCTGCTCGGATGTCCTTGATGCGGCCACAGCATTTCTCCCCAACCTCTGAGGGACAACCTCTTATGAAACAACCTCCTGGGGATACTTCTACACGACACTCTCCCATGGCACATCTTTCTAACAAGATACACCCCTATGTGAAAGAGAACGGATATTCACACAGGAAAAAACGGCTAGTACACAGGTATAAATGCCCCCCTAGTACGCCAACCTTAATTTGCACCACCCACTCGCCATATAAAACATAAATTCTTACTTATTAACTATATATATCCTTATCAACTGGGCTACTTCTGTCCACGATTAACGCCGTTATTAAGACGGTGCCCCTTGGCCTTATCTGTGTGTTGTAAGGCTGAGGTTATAAGTATCTATTATATTATAACTATTATTATTAGCATTATATTCTTTCTAAGCACTAAGTCTTAAGTACTTACTATTATATAAAGGCACTATATATATACTTAGATATATATAGAATAGAAGTAAAACTATAAATCCTTATTAACTCTTAATTCCTAATCCTCCTATTATTACTTCTAGTCTCATAGTTTACTACTTTCCTCCTTACTACCTAAGGTATTCTAACTTATACTTAAGCACCTAAATCTCCTTCTAAGTCTTCTTTCCTCTACAATAAAATTAACTTATAGTAGTTAGTTAATAGCTTTATAAGCTCTTATATAAGTAGTTAGTAAGGGAGTATTATTTAATAAATAAAGGGGAATTAGTATGTTTAGGTAGGGGGTATAAAAAGTACTTTATTTAAGTGGTGTGTATAGTTAAGGGAGGTTAAATAAAGCCCTCTAATTAGTTATAGCTTAGAAGAAAACACTGTACCTATGTACTATCCGTTTTTCCGTGAATATCCGTTCTTATATGAAAACTTCAGGTATGACATGTTACTTTAGGAATACCACCTATACAATGCCATGCTATAGAAAATCATTCCGTAGAAAGTGATGATATAGAAACCGAGGTACCGAGCTGGGTTGGAAACGGCTCAGCTACAGGGACTGGAGTATAATTTATTGTCATTTTTGATGGTGTGACACTGGTGATAGTAGTATATATGACCACTGCAAAGCCATGACTTGTATTTCCACTGCTGAAGGAGGCTTTGCACTCTGTCACCTCAACAGACCTTTGATTTTCTCAAGTGACCCCTCGTCTCCTTCATCCTTGAATCCCCGGGCTCTCATATCCTCCTCGATCTTCTCCACGTATTCCTTAGCGGTTGCAACATGCCCACCATAGTATGCTGTCCACGCAGCTTGGAGCAACAGCGGGGTCTCACTCGTCAGCATCGGCTCCACCACGTTGATCTTCATCGCCTGTTCGAGTATCCGCAGCGCCTCTCGCGACCCTTCAGCGTCATGGTGATTGAGTCGGTGGTACTCTTGCGCCAGGTCGTCGAATTTGGCTCTGCGCTCGTCTGAGGCTTGTCGTTTCCATGTCCAGGCGGAGCACAGTGAACAAGTACACTCGAAGTTCCAGTTCTCTTTAAGTTCATTCTGGCGGTGGTACCACCTCCAGTATGGCCCCATCGGTATATCTGGAAGGAGTTGATGCATTAGTGGTGTCTCGATTCACAGGCAGCCTGGGCATCTTCAATCCTTACAGCTTATCGACAGCTCTTCCCCGGGCAAGATATCTTTCACCGCCCAGATTGTCTGTGACAAGGTCTTTGGTGACCATTTGGTTCGGCAGCTTGTGGATGAAGTCATCAGTATCAGAAGAACTTTTGATATCGGAGCGCCCTGGCTTTTGCCGACTCACTTTGGAACACATGCGTGATTAATTCTCTAAATTTCGGCGCGAAACACTTGAGTCAATCTTCGTATTTCTTCTCATTCCAGGGGTCTGGTAGCTACTTACCGATACTCGTGGAAATACTGCGCTGTAAGTCTCGTTACCGAAGGGTATCTGGAAACTGTTATAGTTGGCAGCATTCTCCGCCTGCGAGCCCGCGAATCCTTGATGCTGAGCCAGGCCCAGCACCTGGCTCGGATCAGATAATTGTATTGCCGCTTGGTCGAATAGACGGCTTCGCTGGTTATCGGAGAGGACATATTCGTTTATCCCGGGCTCCAACTTGAGCATTATGGGATGGTCCACCATGATCATTGACCCTCGTGGAATCTTTCTTGTCGCAAAAACACCCTTGCCCTTGCCCTTGGAGTCTCTGACCTCGTACATGCGAACTTTTTCACGGCGAATATCTCCATTAGAAGTCACACCTAAGCCTGCTGCTTGCATTGCGCAGTCAGACTCGTCTCCGTCATGGCTCAGGGCTGCCAGGGCTGCGGCAGCTTCTTGCTCTCCTGACCGATGCGTGATGATGCTGATCCCTTGACCACATGGCACCAAGGCGTTCGTATGCACGCACCAGCTTCCTTGGCAGTACGGGCGATGGGTCCAAGGGCTCCAGTACTTGGGCTCACTCCAAAGCTGAGAGTCCAATTTGTTGAGTTGAGGGCACGCACTCCCAGCAAATAAGCCGATACCGGATCCGCAGACATCACCGGTGCCGCCTAGGGCATATTGCGAAAACGAAGCAAAAAGTGACATCGTCTGAGATGTGATGGGTTACGTTGGCACACGGGGAAAGCCAAGCCTTTGGTGGTGGCAACCGTGGGAGGAGAGAAAACTGGACAACCACGTGCGCCCGAGAACGGTGCCAAAATCATACCTCAGTCGACCTCTTAAGCTTTGGAAAAGCAACCTCACGGGCATTTGAAAGAGTTACAGGGTTCGGATGACGTTTCAGGGACCCGTGTGTCTCGGAACATGGGGTTGGAGGACGTGCAGGGGCAATGAAACATCGTCGCTTTGACAGCTACCTAGGTAGTGATCACTAAAAGAGTAGCATGCGCTAGTCGGGCTGGGTACTTGATTCAAAGGGAGTACGAATTGACTGCCTCAATGTCAAAATAAAGACTCTATCCCATAATTCCACATGATTTTTTATAGAACAGTTCCTTCATAGTCATTGGTGCACGGGCAAAGTTACCTAGGTTGAGGGGTACTGATGATTGTATTTCCTGCCTATGTTAATAAATAGGGCTCTGCGTTGAGCAGCGGGAATTGGTCTAGACAGTCCTTAAGTCTTTTACTGCAAGTGACCTGGTGTGCGTGTAAACTTTGAAATCGCCTGAGAAGGCGCGAGATCTGCGTGAGCTTCAATTTATGCTATTGAGAGTGAATTCGTATGAGATTTCAGCTTTCTATCCTTATTGTACATCCTCCCTACTTTCCATAGCTTTCTGCTCAAACCGGATCTACTGCAACGAGATGGGCCGAATGACCTTGTCCGAAAGCCTCAGGTAGTGCCTTGTATCTCTCTGGTTTCGCTTCTATTCCGTATACGTCCAAAGACATACATGGCGCCTTCATACAGTGGTAAACGCCCAAGACCCAGCGTTCAATAAGACCTTACCAGCAATGGCACAAGAAGACTATGCACCTGGCCTCAGCCTCGTGCCGCATAGACAAGGCTACCCTAGCAAGTATCTCTCTCAGTGTATGAATACGTGCCACGCGGCGAAATAGGTCGAGTCACAGCATCCTCCACCGGCATCGTCTTTCCGGACTCATTAGTACATGCTGGTTGTCGTTTTCGGTCCGTTGGACGGGCGTGGCAAACCTGGCTCCGGTCCACTGGTATCATTCACAGCTAAATACAGTATTACCTCCCATACCGTGAGAGTTTCCGGGCAGTACCTCGCAGTCGGATGTAACAGCGACAAAACATGCATCCAACAGGCAGCCATCGAGACTAACCACTTGAGCAAGGCTTTCACAATGCGGAAAAATTGACTGCCTGTGTAAATCCCATTCAGATTTTACCACTCGGTGAAGATCAGCTGTCATTTCTAATTCAGTGCACACAACACAGGGCGAACAGATGAAACATAATCTCACGGTCGAAGTTCTGAGTAGAAGCTACGGCCTCTTCGAAGAGTTTACGATGGATCCGCTATAAAAGGAGCATGTACCGTATTCGAGCCCGGTCGAAAACGAACCGAGAAGGCCTCCAATGCAAGTTGAGAATGTATTTGCATGCTTGCTCCCATTGCGATGGAAAACTTGCGTCTTTGCGCCATGTAACCAACCAGGGCATATGCACAGGCTTGGCAGCTGCCTTGGTCGCAACACCCAACTTCTCATAGCGCCTTACAGTAAGTATAGCGCCGCGGTACTAGACTGTGGATTGCCCTAGTGTAAGTGACATGCTGGGATCTTGATTCCCACATGCATGACCGATCCTTCAATCCACAAGCGCAGACACCTGCCAGAACCATGCACCAACAGGTCGTGCTGTTGGTGATCCTGGCGTGGACATGAACGCTTTTACATAATCAGTCTCACCAGGCGTACCATACAGTGATAACATAAGTATGCAAATGTGAAGAGATAAATTACGTTCATGTCGATCATCCTTTTTGAACCTTCCAAGCTCACTTAGACCCTGCTGTAATAGCTCGACATCACCAGCGACCCCACGAATCACCGCCTAAACAGCCCGTGATGGCCAACCCCGCAAAGCCCATTCGCCTGTGGATCACTCGTGAGTTGACCTTTGTTCTGTCCTTCGTGCTTCCAACACCACAAGTGTTTCCCATGTGCTAGCGCAATGATCCTGACCCAGTCTTATAGCTCCCGGACCCAACCCGTGGAAGGTGAGTTGCGGATGGGTATATGATGCCATCAAACATTGGAGGCTGGATGTGTTGGCATGATTTTATATGCAACAAGCGAACTGCACCTCTGAGGTTCAGACGTCCCCCGCTCGACGCTGATTTACCAATGTGCCGCAGACAGTTTTCCTGTTCGAGGAGCTCGGTTTGAACTATGAGATCAAGTCGTTCCGCTTTGACGATGTCAAGAAAGAGCCATTTATTTCAGTCAACCCGAATGGTCGTGTGCCGGCTATTGAGGACCCGAACCTAGACCTCACATTGTGGGAGTCAGGCGCCATCTCGCAATACGTGGTCGACGAATACGACAAGGAGCACCGGCTGACCTACACCACAACCAAGGAGAAGAACCTTTGCAACCAATATCTCCATTTTCAGATGAGCGGACAAGGTCCATACTTTGGGCAGTGCGGCATCTTCCAGCATCTGTGGCCTGAAAAGATCCCCTCGGTCATCGAGCGATACGCCAACGAGATCAAACGTGTGCTCGGTGTGTTGGAAACTGTACTATCAGCCAAGCCCGCGGGTGCGCAATGGCTGGTAGGTGACAAGATGACATATGCGGACATGGCCTTTGTGCCGTGGAACTTCCGTCTGAGCGAGGTGCTGAACCAGACCTGGGATGAGATCTGGGATGGAGTCCCGCATGTCCGGGCCTGGCATGAGCGGATGATCGAGCTTCCATCCTGGAGGCGCGCAATGGACATCCGTGCCCGTCTGATGGATGAGCAGGGCCTTCAGTGGAACGGCGTGCCGAAGGGAATTGAAACTTTCACGGAGTACGAGAAGAAGATTGCCGCTGGAGAGGACACGACGGACGAGCAGTGAGAGCCCAGTCAAGTGCGAGTGTTTGAGTGGGTAGGGTGATGGAGGGGAATAGTAGATGTTTCAAACTCACATTCAGCCCAAATACTCGTGCACCCAAGTATGTAGATAGGAAATCTAGAGGTGGTTCTATGAATGAAACAACGGAGCATTTGAACCTCCCCTTGTCACCCGTCAGACTTTCATACCAAATGTTTGAAACTTTTTGCTACCTAGTACGTTGGCCACCCGAAGCACTCTCGAGCCATCGTTCTCTGTCTTTTCGACCAACTCTTGATATGCAGGAACGGTTTATAACAGCAAATGTATTGTGAAATTGGTCGGGACGCACGTCATTCGAAAGTATAATTATTGCACTTATCAATCAGTATCCAACTCTAGCTCGACAAACAGCAAGCCTCACAACCTACATTGAGGAGGAAGCAAAGTATCTACACGATCTGGGCTTCTTTCAACGTATTTTACGTTGCCTTGCAGACCGTATGCTGGAATGAACATGAAAAGTTCTCACACGACAGGTTGCTCGGTCTTTTCATCTTTTGACGTTGCCGGAGACTGTTTGCTCTTCATGGATATCCACCTACAACCACGAACAAGCACAAGAATGTTTCTTGCAAGTGACTCGAAGATCTCGGGACCAAGACACCGTTTACCAGGTTAAATGCTGGTGAGTAACTGAACCTGCCAAAATTCTGATACGCTACCCAGTAGAGGCGCTGACGCCACTCGCTACTATATCCAGGAGTCACGGGGCCTAAAGGTCTGGTGCGGCAGCTTAGGACGCCGAGACCGTAACTTCAAAGGCGGCGATGTCCTCCGTGATGGATTGTGTTCGTGGGCGCTGAATAATGTCATCTGGGCCCTCAACAGCTTGAGAGTTATGAAGGGAAGAATGGCCACTTCTGGTTAAATCCTATGGCAAGTAGTGGCTTGTCCCTGCCCGTCAGCCGCGAGACCGCTATGGCCACGACGAGCGTGGACCCCAATGTCCTTCCACAAGACGGCTACGGCGTAGCCGACGTCGTCGAGGTATCGAGCCCCCTGGGGCTGGATCTCCTCAACCCTGACGCGAGGCCCGCTCACGCGTTGAAGTCAATCCGCCGCTTGTGTCGTGGGGGTTGATACCCGCCGACCCTTGGCCTACAAGACCGGACGCATTTCTAGAATGACTGGCTCGAACGCTCACAATGTCAAGTCGCCATACCTAGGGTTGGCTATTACGATGGAATCGTCCTCAGTAGTCTGCAGAAACACATATGCAGCGTTTCCGAACGTGATTTGAAGAGCAAAGAGTCCGACTACTGGTCGGACGAGGCAAGGTTCGAATTCCGAGTTGGCCTGCTGGGATAGATGCCGACGGGTCTTTGTTGGCTCGAATGGTCATGTAGGGCAAGGGCCTAACTGCCTCCAAGCTGGGGACCGCATCGTTGTCGTCCTCGGCGGCGATAGACCGTTTGCGGTACGGCCGTTAAGGGGGGGGGGGAGCGACGGGAATTCGGGGGAGCGATTCCAATTTTTGAGATACGTGTACGTCTACGGCATCATGCATGAAGAGTTTATTGAAGCTGCAAAGGCTCGTAGGATAGAGACTAAGACATTTGACCTCGTGTGATATTGCCTTTGAACCGATATATTTACTGTGTCTTTCCATTCCTCTGTCTGAGGAAAAGGCACGACGATATTTTGCGGCGTGACAGTGCACAGGCCAGGAAGCAGCCGCCTGAACCTCAAACCCTGCGACGAAAGCTTGGCCCTCGTGGCTCAAAGTTTCGCCCTCGGCGAACGGGACACACCTGTCTGCTGGGAGCCCGGGAGTCACCTGCCCCAGCCGCACAGCTTCCCGAACCACGATGCCAGGGTGCTGCCGCCCTTGGAAGCACTGCTGTCCGCACGCTGCTGCCCGTCTCGAACGAGCTTGGCCGCAGCTACCGAGTCGATCGAGCCATCCCGCAGCTTGTCCCTCTTCTCCACGGCCACCGAGTTGAAGACGATGGAGAAGTCTCCCTCTTGGGTGCCGAAGAAACTGGAATGTCGCAAGTTAGCCTTCCCTTCCCCCTGAGACATTGTGTGCGAAGACGCAGGGGACGGAGCCGAATGGTTGCCTGCGCGTGGGACCGCTTACCTCCTCATCATGAAACTGACACGCTTCACGTTCTTCAGGTCCAGGGGCTCAGCATCAGGCTTCGGCTTGCCACGGTACGTGGGCTGGAAGTCCCCAAAGGGGATCACCAGCAGAGTCGAGCCAGCCGTGCTGCCGCTGCCGGTGGCATGGCCCTCTCCAGCCCCAGCCCCAGCCCCAGCCCCGACAACAAAGTCGTACTCCCAGCTGACGGTGCTCTGATCACGGCCATCGGGCCGGCGCGGGAGTATCTCGTCCTTGAGGGTGAGGGTGTACTTGCGGGAGTCGGCACGGGCGACATCCAGCACCAGGACGTCGTAGCCTGAGACGTCCCAGCCCGGGACGTCGTCCGCGGTGCGCTGGGAGGCGAAGCCGGCGCCGCCCAGGGCGGTGATGTCCAGGTTACCCGAGAACTGGGCCTGGGACGCTGCGGCTTCCGGGCCGTTGAGCACGGTCAGGTAGGACTGTGACTTGCCGCCGCGGACACGGTCGTCCGAGGCGGTGAACTGGGATGCATCCCATGGCCTGTTGGTGGTCTGTTAGCATCGTCGTCGTCGTCGTCATCGTCACCATCATCATCATCAGTGTACTCCAGCATTGGTGAGGCATGGCCATGAGGCTCTGCGTCAGGGCTCGCCTAATCAGACAGATATCACCACCCAGGGAGTAGGCGTATCTAAAGTGCCATGCATGGGGGCAGATGGGCGCAGGCAGGGGTGGATGGGTTGGGGTGGATGCACAAGGAGTCCATGCTGGCGCCCCCAGATTCCGGATTAGGGAACATAACGCGACGTACGACGTGCAGATTGGGGGGGGGGGGACCACCAGAGAGGCCTGCCTGGCTGGGTCTCGGGATGCGAGATTGGAATGAGGAATTAACAGAACAGGCCTTACCTGTCTCCTCCGAAGAGATACATTGTGGTCGTGTCGGTCTTGCTGCGGCCTTTCGGATGTGTGTGGGTGCCCAGGTAAGGTGTGCAAATAGATTGAGGTGTTCTTCCTGGTGGAGGGGTGGAGGGGTCAGTTAATTCTGCTGCCTGATTGTCTGGGCCCGGTTTTCCAGCCAAGGCCTTTTTTGACCACTGCGGACCGTTTGGGTGCAGTCCGGCTGGGCGCGGGGCTCATTTGCTCTGGGCTGGCTGGGTTGAGCACCGAGAGAGGTGGAAAATTCAATTCTCCTTGAGTAGTACCGTACAGTGGAAATCGCAACAGGTTGGAGCCATGACGATGCGATGAACCGCCGCCCTGGGTGAGGACCTCGGACGGGAGCCAATTCGCCAATCAGAGCTCGGTCCGCGTCTAAAAAGGCGGGTCGCTGGCTGTCATGTCTGATTGGCCAATTTGGCGTCTGACGCGCTCTGCACCTTCTCACTCTTGACCTGCCGTTGCTGCTTCCTCGAGTTGGCCTGACAGGTGCACTTCAATGTTGGGAAGGACCACGCCCGTGGGAAACGCAATGCAGACTTGGAGAGTTGCAACACCAAAGCTAAAGCTGGCTGTTCTCAACCACTGCTAAGCGAGCCGACACAATCCGTTGATCGTCGCGGGTCCTCAACTCGTCGCCTTGGAAAGCAACCCTGCCAGGGTCCAGAACCTCCGCCCCGCACCGCACCCCGAAGGCATACTGTGGTACTGCAGCGCAAGGCGTCCATACTATGTGCGGACTTCGGTACACTTGATTTCACGACCGTGCAGACGAGGTGGCGAGGGAGGAGCAAAGAGGTGCGCCCCGGCACTTGACATTTCATCAAGGACATCTGGAATCAGACCCAACAGTGCGGTTTGATCGAGACTGTGCTCCGTCCGCCTGCATGCCATCTATCACACGCGCTGTTGTATCGTGTAACCGAAGCCCCCCTCCTGGGATCTCTCACTCTATCTGCTCGACCCAGACGCCTGGTGTTGGCCCAGTGCGGCCCAGATAGGAGCCGAAATTTCTGCTGGGTTCCCACGTCTCCACTTCAACTTGTCCCGGCCTTTCTCTTTGGTCCCACGATGCTTTGTGGCATGCCATCTCAGGCACCAAAAACAAACATTGCGAACCTTGGAAAGCAACCGGGCGGCGGGCAGGCAAGGAGCATACCAGACAAGCACATTAACAATAATACTACACGGCAGCAAACCAATTGCAACACAAGAAAAACAACCGGGACCAATGGCGAGGCTGGGAACTTGCAGAAGGATGCGGCTGAAGACGCAGCAGCAGAGTGGGTGGCCATCCAGCGCTTCAGACGTTCCCTTGCAGGCCAGCATCTCAAGCCGCAAATGCCACACGCACGCATCCGTCGAGCGATCGGGACGGCCATGCATCCCTCCTGCCCTCCCATGTGATCGAATTATACTGTGCTGCGCCGCCATCATCCGTCCACTGCAACCCAGCCAGCCAGCCAGCCAGCCAGCCAGCCAGCCCAGCCAGCCCAGCCCAGCCCGATTGGCGCTGTCAATCCAGTCAATTCGAGGGTGCTGTCGGGATCTGCTGCGAAACTCTTGCCTGCCCTCAAGTGCTTGGTTTGGGTCCTGGGTCCTGGGTCCTGGGTCCTAGGCCCTACACAGTAGGTTCTCTGATTACTACAGCCCTGGTCCTGGAAGCTGTCTGTGGGCCGGCATGCAGGCTGGGAACTTTTGCCCAGCGTCACAGTCCTAGTGGAGGGGGGATCCCAGGCTCCTGGGGCCCCTTGGGAATCCTTCGGTGGAGAATCACGATTTCTCCCTCCTACTCCTCCCCCCTTTGGGCACCTCACTGTCGCTGCTCTGCCCTACCGTTACGCCCATTGCGACAATGCATGGGGATCAAGGTGACGGTATCACCAATCTGGACATCCCCCAAGTTCCCCATGTTCACAGCCATATGTCCAATATCCAGCGCCCCTGTCCCTGCCCCTGGCCCCGTCCCTGTCCCTGTCCCGATGGCCCCCATCTGCGATCCATCACCGGTCATGTGGCTGGCTGGCTCCGCCCGTATTCCCGCGAACGTTACACAAGGACCACAAGGACCACAAGGGCCACATGGACAGGAATGAAGGACCCAATATTGGCCAGTACCCGACTGCAAAATACTGGACTGCGCGCTTCCGGCGGGAGTGCCTGAGTGCTTGGTCATCCATTTTTCCGACGACACGTTCTCTCAATCGACGCCTTCATCCATTCACTCTGCCGAGCCCTCTGCCGAGTTCTGGATGCCCAGGGGGTTTGATGCAAGGTGCTTCTCACACTGGGACAGAGTCTATTAGATGTGCTGGGCCCTTCTGGGCAGGCAAACTCCCTCTCTCCATTATCGCGGGTCATGCCGTACCACACACAGCGCGACACGACCACTTGCAGCCACACAACCGCAATTCCACACAGAAAAGGCCAGGTCTCGAGCAGATCTGCGGTATACCCATGTCCTGATATGGGCATACCATACCCTGCCCCTCCCCTCCTCTCGCCCCGTCTGGTAGTTCCCGGCTCACATATCACAATGACAATGATACCTCGCCATGTTGCCCCATGATATCCCTCCTAGTCTATCAAACTCCGCGGAGCGCCTCACGGAGCGCCTCGCGAACTCTTTCCAAACATCTCCATCACGAGACCCTCCTATGCCACTGGGTCCCAGTCTTTGTCCTGGCTGCGAAGACATGCCCCTGCCCCTCAATGCCATGCCCCCTCCCCTCTGCCTTCCTAGTCTCTCGTAGGGGGGCCTTGTCGCTCTTGGCCAGAACAGGCAAACACACAACAGGATTCACAGAGCCGTCTGAGGAGACCGTTCACCGTTCCAAGTGCGGCTTTCAGAATCCCTCTCGGACTATGGAGAGGTAGGAACGCAACTGGGCCCGAGGGGCGGCGCAGGATCGCAAGGCTCCGCAGATCCCATTGTGCGCAGTCTGCCAATCTGCTCCCAGTCTCCCTGGATCGGGTGCGCGGATATGCGGGCTGGCTGGCTGGTCTAATGACCCCACCCACATCGAAGAGGAAGGGTGCAGGAGACAGCCTGGACCACAGCCCGCCTATCTGATTGCGTCGGCAAAGGATAGGCGAAACAAACACAGGGCCGCCGACAGGTACTAGTGGGACCCGTTCGCGCCCTCGCTGGCCTACGTGCGCAGAGCCTCATTACGATAGAGAAATTTGCCTCCTTCCACACACATGTGTACACGCAAGTGCGTACACAGACGCGCAGACACAGACCTCGGGACTGCACGCACACACATCCCTACCGCTGTTGCCCACCTCAACCCCTCCACTTCCCACACCAAGTCCAATTAGAGGAGAACACAGCTCAAGGCAAGATGCAGTTCTCCAATACATAGCAGTGGCCCTAGTGTGATTGCCTCAGTGACAGATATGTCAGAAAAAGAGAGCTAGTACAGGCATGGCGAGCAGATCGCAACATATTCCAAGGGGGGAAGTCCCAAGAAGACCCTGCCTCGACCGTGCTGCACGGTGACGGATGCCGCCGCGGCACGCCTCACACGTGTGTCCATTCGTAGGTTGATCAAGAGGTACGGCCGGCGCTCGCATTCGCAAGACGAAGACGGCCCCAGAAGCCGAAAGCCCGCCGCCGGCCACGGGCGAGGCCCCCTTTCGGCCCCCCTCCCTTGGTCATTACTGCTAATCGGGGGTGCGATAACAAGTGGGGACAGGGACAGGCACTCAGACGGGGACTTTAAGCCCAGGGGACCAACGGACACGATCGCGTGCCAACTGGGGCGGCGGCGAGGCGAGGGAAAGGGTACGGCAGGCTTGTCCGTCGTCATTTCTCGCGCAAAGATACCCTGTCGGCCACGCACACGCCCACAAACGCACGGGCACAGGCACAGGCACACACGCCCCCTAGTGTACCAAAGTACCTATCCCGGCGCTGGGATTCGACAGGCGGACGAGCCAGCCCAGCCCCAGCCCCAGGGTGACGTCTGAAAATCGTACGTTCAGTCCCCGCCGGGACCCGAAACTTGTGTGCCGGGTTGTGGGAGGGCGAGCGGGTAGTTAAGCAGTTCGCGCGCAGGATTGAGGCTCCGCGTCAGGGGATGGGAGGGGGAGGGCGAAATTCGGTGTGGGCGAGGCGAGGAAAAGGAGGCAGGCAGGCAGGCAGGCAAGTAGGTAGGAAGGACTCCTGCCCGGCTGCACCGGGCTTTGATGGACGGACGGACGGACGGACGGACGGACGGACGGTGCAGCCAGCTAGCCAGCCAGCATGTGAGACAAGACCAACCGGGCCTGTTGTTGTTCCTGTTGCTGTTCGCGCGCGGGAAACCTCAGGGGGGGACTTCAGGAGGAAGGGTCCCAAGGTTGGTTGGTGGTGTAAACGCCGTGGACTTATACTGTGGTGGTACGTGCATATTATGACTCAACCTTCTTTCTCTAGGTCGTTCGTTCACTGTTTCTTTGGCGGAATTTGCCATCGCGCGGGCGAAACTACCTAGGAAATTACATACAAATGGGTGCTGCAGGTAAGACGGCCCTGGGGAGGAGGGGGTTTGACAGCTGCCAAAACGGCTCTCCCGCGCGCGTAGTCAAAACTGACGTGACCTCGGGACGGACCCGGTGGAATGGTAGGTAGGTAGGGACACCGCGTGGTAACCAAGGAAAAAAGACTGACATGGTACGTGTGTGTGTGTGTGTGTGTGTGTGTGGCGGATGATGTGAGACGGGTTCTGAAGGAGTAAAGAAGCGAGGAGAGAGAGAGAGAGAGATTGTTGGGAAACGAGGACGGAAACAAGCAAAGCAACGGGCGGGACTTGGTCTGAAGCGAACGAACCCGCTTGCTTTCGCGGGAGATGGGGGGGGGGGGACACACCAGACACACCAGATAGACGGTCAGACACAAACCCATTGTGTCGGGTCCGGGTTGTCCCAGACTTGGCTGGCCCGTGGCTCTTGTGGGTAGGCATCCCGTGCGATCGTGCTGACGGCGGACCCGGGTGCTCGGTCGATGTAAGCAAGCACCCCATCCCCCATCCCTTCCCTCAGCCCTATGGGGTTGATTGGTGCAAGAGTCGAGTCAGTCTTGTCTGTGTGTCTGTCAGACGGGCAGATTGGCGAGCGAGGGGGGAACATATGGACAAGACAGGACAGGACGGGCGGGCAGGCACACATGCACAGCAGACACACACACACATTCACGCATTCACACGCATACACACATACACGAGAAAGGAGACAGGGGAACAGGGAGAGGAAAAGAGGAAAGATACCTGGTGGGAAAGGTCCCTCATCAAGTCCCCTCCTCTGCCTACCTAGTTATCCGGCGCCAAAATCTCACTAACCCGTTTTCTAACCCACCCATCCCATCCACCCGCACGCACGCACGCACGCAACCCACTCTCCTCTCTTTCTGCCTCGTACCTACCGTCCGTCCGTCAGTGCTAGCCAAACCATGCTAGACGATGGTTCGTCGCCCTATCGTACATACGCGTATCGTGGAAATAAGAAAAGAGGGTCCGTGGTTCAACGCTGGAGATAACGGACGGGGGTTAATATCTCCGGAAGTCGAGCAACAAAAAAAAAAAAAGAGTTTACTTTTGGATGAGTCTAATCTTGATACCCACTGCAAAGCGGGCCGGTGGCTTAAACAACACCAACCTGCCGTCGGCATTCCGTGATGGCTGGCTGGCTGGCCGGCTGGCCGGCTCCACCGAAACTGTGACAAGGGCAAGTCTATTTCGGATGGAATTCAAGTCTCGCGGATTGCTTGATTGCTTGATTGATTGATTGGCATTGAAAAGATCCGTCTGTGCACATACTAGAGAGATCTTTGATGACAAGATTGAGAAGAAGAAAAAGAATAAAATGACCAGGTGTCTCACAACCAGGAACTCCGGCCCCAAGTCCACAGGCCAGCGTGACCATGATGCCCTCCCAAAAATAACCACGCTAGTCCTTTTAAACCAAAAAAAAAAAAAAAAAAAGCTCGCTTGTGTGTTGTTTTGATCCAGCTGCTCGCATCCTCCAAGGCAATCTTGGCCATCCGGCGCGCCAGAGACCAACAGCAAAAAAAAAAAATGAAGAGGTCTGTCTGTCTGCAACCCAAAGAGAGCAACAACCCGTGGACCCACCCTGAACTCCTCGGCCCCGCTGCGCTCCCCACGCCGCCAGTGTATACTCTCAAAGATGGAAGAAGAAAATGGAGATGGCCGTCCAATCATGACACTCAAAAAAGTAAGAAAAAAGGTATAGACAGAAAAAAAAAGAAAAGTGTCGTAAAATCAGGTGTATCCTATCCATTCCTCATGCCCATTGCAATTGCTTGCGGTCTGTCTAGCTCTTTTTCTCATGGTGATCCCATTGACAGGGGCGTCACTGGGTACGCACACCAATCCGCCTCCGAGTTGTTGTCTGAGTGGTCAAAGGTATGCGACAGAGCTGGGGTCTGTAGGTGTGACTGTCGTATTAGCCTTTTGCTCCTTGGCTTGCTGAAAGCGTTGTCTTTTTTTCTTCTTTCCCTATGATGATGATGATGATGATAATGATGATGATTTATGGTGATCTTCTGCTTCTCGCCGTGTGACGTTTACATCGTTCTTCTCTCTCTTCTTCAACTCCGAGACGGGGAAGGAGGATAGCGAGGGCGGTAAGGAACAGGCGCAGCAAGAGGACCGGCAGAGGTACCGGCCATCGCGCTGCCGAAGGGAGGGAGAGTGGCGGAGGGGAGAGGACTGTGCTGATGGTTTTGGATGTGGCGCAAGGAACTCACATGAGGATTTGAATCGTAAGGCGAGGGGTTCAAGTGACCACCAAGCGTGTAGTCGCCGTAGTTGGAAAACGACGACATCGACTCATTCCCCCCGTTGAGGTTGGGCGCCTTGTACGCATCCGCAAAGTGTGTCATTGGCGGCAGCGTGGGCGCGTTTGTGGAGACCATGCCGAACTGGTAGGGGCCGGTGGTTGCGATTGTCTGGTGCTGCGGGCTGCCGTATGGCTGCATGATCATGCCGTTGTCGCTGGGAGGCGAGTATGTCGGCTGGTAGCTGGCGAACGGCGGCGGGCTGCTGGCGGGCGGGCTTGGCGAGGGGAAGAACTGGTCCTCTGGGTTCATGGGCGGCGTGAAGGGGTGCTGTGGCACGCCCGACTGTGATGGTGGCTGCAGTGTCTGGTGTGCCGAGGGCGGTGGTGACGACTGGCGCCTCGAAGACACGGTCTTCTTGCCCTTTGGCGACTTCTTGCTGCCCGTGCTGCCGCCCTTGGCGCCGTCAGACCCCGCGCGCCTCTCCAGGTCGGCCATGCGCTCCTTTATCTTCTTGCCTGCAGCCGGGGTGGGTTAGCGACGCTCGCGCTCGCCTGGGGCAGAGCGGGAAGGCGACCTACGGTAGTTGCGCTGGGCAATCCTGTTCTGTATCCGCCTGCGCTCAGCAAGATCCGAGACCTTGGTCCAGTCCTCGTCGGGGTGCGCTGAGCTGCTGAAGGCGCTGCTTGTGCTGGGGTACTGTCGCACCGAGATGTGCTGGGGGTGCTCTTGTGGCCAGCCAGAGTACTGGTGGACGGAGAGGTGGTGTTCGGGCGCCATGACCGGGAACATGTGGTGGGCTTCTGTAGACATTGTCGTGAATACCTCGTGGGGCGAGGCTACTAGAGCAGGCGAGGCTGAGAGTAGTGTGTGGTGCGTGTTGGCGGTGGCGGCGGCGGTGGTGATGTTGGTGATGGTCGACTGCACAGAGAATGTGAGGCCTGTTGCTTCAGAGAGGTAAAGACGAGTGTGATTGTTGCTTCCCTGTGTGGATTGTCATGAGCACCGGGAGAATGACTCGGGATGGAGAGAGGGTGTTGGCGAGGGATCTCGAGATATAAGTATTGTTCAGCCAGACAAGAGATGCAGGTGGTGGGCTGCTTGGGGCGACCCCAGGGCACGTCAAGGCCCATGTGGGTTGGCGCACCCATGATGGTGGCAGGACCCCTGCGAGAAGGATCAAACTTGTCTGTCCTGTGGCCTCTGCGGTACTGCGGTATTGCAGCTGCGCGTGTATACGCATGTGCGCCTGTGTACGTAGGTACGGGGGTACGGGGGTACGCAGGTACGTGGGTACTTGGCGACAGAAGAAGAATCCGAAGGATCGAAACGAGAGACCAGACGAGACGGGAGACGGGAGACGAGAAACGCGATACGACGGTGCTCGAGAGCAAAGCCCGCCGAAGGAAGAGGTATGACGGAGCCAGGGACCTGGGTACTTCCTCCTCGTCCCTTGGGAGCTACCCACCGGCGGGGGGGCGGAGCTCAGGGTAGGTAGGCACGGAGGGGAGGTACCAAGGCACAGAAAACCCCTGCCCCTCCTCCCTAGCCCCAGCACTACCTAGATGCCTGGGTACATTGTACCCCTACCCCTGTTCCCCATCGCCAGAGGGGAGGGCACATCGCGTGCACCCTGCACGGCCCAGGGCGGTGGGTCTTCCCAGCAGGAAGGTATTCTGGGACAAGGCAGACGCAGACAGGGCCTTTTGCGTGGGTACGTACCCGCGGTACATTTACCTTTCTGCCAGGGTTGTCTCAAGGCGGGCTGGCCTGCTATTTGAGGCCGTTACGAAGCAAGACACAGCGAGCTCGGCAGGGCGCAAGGCTAATGCATGGAACGTAGCTACCTGCTGATTACCGCAGCGGCACTGCGGACGAGGAACGGACAGGCGTGGAACGGACGGACGAGGAACGGACGGACGTGTTGGGGGGAGGAGGGGGGGGGGCAGCAGTAACTACTGTCGAGACGTCCCGTCGGTCAGTCTTTCTGTCGTTTGTGTGTGTCTGTGTGCTGTCTTTGTCTTGTCTTGTCCTGGATGAGCCATCCCCAGTCATATGCTGCGGCGGCGGTAGCAAAGACTTACTCAGTCAGTTGCTCACTCACACCGAAAGCCGTCGCATCAGGCTTTAGGCTTCTGCATATCACACACCCTGTGTCCTGGGGTCGGAGGCTGCCGCTCCCAGCCAAGGCCGATTTCTCCAGCGGCCGGGTGCTGTGTATGCTCTCCACAGCACGGTACTGGGCTATCGAGAGGGGGTGGGAGATCTACAGTGCAGTGCCCAAGGTTTGGTGAGACGGCAGGCAAGAAGGCCCTGGACTATCAATGGAGAAAGAGGGCAGTGACATGCCCACCGGTTGTGGGTTCCCAGCCTGGGAGTCACCGGGCAGAGAGGGCAGCACGCCGAACAGAAGGAAGGAAGTTGCGGGAGTCTGGGCGCCAGACAAGACGGAGGGGTGTGTGTTTGCGTGCAGACCAGACTCGACCATTTTCCTGTCCGGGTTAGGGCGGTACGAAGGGTGGGTCTGTCTGTGCACCAGCCCCGTGGAGCCAAAACGGCCGTCACCCGCGCCTAGTGGTGGTGGTACGAAACGGGGCGGGGCACAAACGGTAGATACCTAGGTACCTAGGTCGGTGGATGGTCCTTTTGCCCTACACGCCGCAGGACTCAGGGCCAGTACTCAGGACCGCGCCCACACATAGGCAACAGTAAAGTGTACCGCGTGCTGCAGTCCTAATTTTGCCAGGCGGATCTTGCCAAGCCGCAGCACCTGGGCCATTGGGCCCGAGGTCGACGTTACACAGAACCACCACATTTGGAAACACGCTCATGGCCTCCCTCTTTTGCGACACCAGCATCGCATCGCATCGCATCGCATCGCACCGTGGTCCTCGACGCGACTTGACTGACCTGACTCGATCGACTCCTGGAACAGACTTTCTGTTTCTTTTTCTGTCACTGTCACTGTCATTGTCTCTGTCTGTCTCTAATCTCGGCCTCTAGATTTGCCTGTGCCTGCATCACGACTGCACGGTATTCTGCGCTGCCACAGTCCATCTGTCCAGCTTCCAGTGTCCCGCCCGCCTGCCCGCCAGCCCGGCCGGCCGTGACGGAAGCAACCAGATAGCGGCCGCCAGCCCTGTCGACCCGCCAGCCCGCTCCATGAGCCTCCTCCATTTCACCGTGGGGCTAGACCACCCGTGGCCCTTTTCTGTGCCGCACGCTGGCATACCCTGGCCTTGTTTCATGGCTCCCAGCGACTGCCACCGCACGCACGCTGCTGCGCATCATCGTCAACCAGGCACCCATATTTCGACGCTCCCTACTCGCTGGCCCGGCTTGATAAGCACACAAGCCGTTGCCCGCTCTATCCACACCGCTACAGCTGCCCTGCCCTGCCCTGCCCTGCCCTGCGCTATACTGCGCTATACTGCGCTGCCATCCAAGCCTCTTCCTAAGCTGGCAGAAAGGCTCATCAATCTCATTGGAAGTAGACAATCTTTCTAGTGCTCCAACACCCAGGGCGCTGTATTCTGCCGCGTTCCAGGATGTGTATGATTCATCGATTCGGTACGCCATGGGCTCGACACGAACGTACGAGCTATGGTGTCTGTCTGGCTCTCACCCGGCCACTGTGCCTTAGCAACTCATGAGCACCATCTCGCAAAGCAGGATGCTTGTTTTGTAGAGCATGGCATGTCGACAAAGCTGCGCCGGGCATGGCCGCGATTCCTATACTCAGCCTCTGGGCAGTTCTTCACGCCGTAAATCACCAGGTCCACGACGAAGCTGGATTGTGCTGTTTGACCCCAGAGCTGTAAACACGGCATGGGTACTCCCAGCGGCCGCTCGTAAAGGGCCGAAGCAAATCCGCCCAGCTTAGCCTCAGCCTTCCCGCCAATCCCTACGGCAAACGGGCACTGGTCTGTTTACTAGTCGGAAATCCGCCGAAGCCGCCCGTCTTGCCGACAGCGGCAGCAACGGCGCAATCTCACTGCGGTTGTCCTGGTTGAGAACGCCGCCAAGCCGGGGCCCCTGGTGTGGGGAGCCAGCCGAAGTCACGGACGAGCCCAACAACGTTCGGAAGCTTCAAAAAACAGCACCTTGCATAACTCGCGCTGGCGTCAATGGTAGCGTTGGCAGATCTGCTTTATATGTGCTATCATGGGTCGACTAGAGGCACAATTATCCGCACACCACCTCAGTCGCTAATCTTGCGTCTTCCTGATAAACCTGTGTGTGGGTGGCGAGTGCGTGCGCGCGTGTGTCTGGCTCATTCGCCGTCATGCAGGTCAGCGGCAGAAGCGGCCGTTTTACCCGTCCAGGGCAACCAGGGGTACTGCATGGGATTCCAGCCCTATCTTCCCGTGCTCGACTGCTCAAGCGGGAGGATTTTGGTGAACATTTTGGGGGCCGCCCGACGCCTGCTATCTGAATTCAGCCGACTAGTATGCAATGACGGTGCGTCGTGGCAGCAGATTATCCATTCCGTCCGGCTGCCTCAGGGCTTGCTCCTGTTCTTTGCTGCGGCAGAAACCCGCCATCCCCTTCGTCTGGTGGCTTTGTCTGGAGCCCGGCCGACAGATCGACACTGTCTACGGTCGTATTAGGACAAGTCACAAGGCATTCAAAACCAAGCGGGGGCCCACCGACAAGGTGTGTGTGCGTGCACGGGGGCATTAGCTCCTGTTCAGACACTGCCATTCCTGTCGAGACGGTCCTTTGGTAGACCATCGAACGCATCTCCCAGGGTTGTGGGGCTAAACAGGCCGTAGTTCATACTGTCTGATATCCAGATCACACATCGGCGTTTGCTGGTCGAGCTCCCTTGTCGCCCACGCCTAACATGGGATGTCAGCCTGCCAGCTTGCATGCTTGCATGCTCTGGGCACAAGGTGGCCGGGAGGGCTGGCAGGCTGCAGCACTTGATCTGCATACGGAAAACCCTCATCACCTTAATTCCACGTGCTGAATCATGCTGCTATTCTCGGATCCCTGCACTTACAAAGCCGCGCGGGGCTCCTCATTGGCCGTCCTGTACGACGGCTGCCAGGCTAAAGCAGCTACCTACCCATCAGAAGACACCTTTGAGTCCTTGACCGCAACATCAGCGTCGGACTCGCTCGACTTGTCAAGGCTTGCCGCAGTCCTGGTGCTCAGGGAGGTTGTGCATGGTGCGTCAACATCATGCCCGCTACTTTGCCAGCGTGAGGTGCAGAGCAGAGTGCCAAACCATCGGTGACAGAATCTTGTGTTGCGGCACACAGGTAACACAGCAAACCCGACGGTGTGGTTCGAGCCCTATGAGCTGGTGTGGTACCGCCTGCTCTGCAGAGGCCCCGTCCACTCGCGGCGCAGTGTCCCCTCGTGGGAGAGCCCTCCAGGGTTACCCAGAAGGGAATTACGCGAGAACTCTCTCCCTGCCCTACGGCGCCTCACCTTTGCAGCTCTCAACTGCTCGGTCAGCACCTTGTCTCTCGCTAGGCCCGGCTCACCCTTGCCCAAACGGGCAGCCAGGGTCTCGCACTTTGCGAGGCGGACTTCGGTGTTATCGCCGCGCCTCGAATGCATCAAGGCCCCCCGGCGGAACAAGTGCCGCACCCTCGACCACAAGTCAAAGCCCGGAATCGAATGATCGGGGCCTTGCAGGATCGGACTCCTGGGCCTTAATTTTGGGTTGGTTATCAGAGAGAGTCAAGGTCCACTGACTACCGGTATCCCGGCCCCAGAGCTCGATTGATTGATGTTGAGACAATGGGGGCGCAAGGTCACATCGGCGAGAGGGTCTTTTGCTGGCGTCTCGGTTCGAGGCTGCTCATACTGTCCAGGCCTGTCGTAATGGAGATCCTCGAGCATGGGCCAGGGTGGGTACATCTGCGTGGTCCTTTTGGCCCCCAAGCTCCGCACCGTCGACCTCCCTGCAGAAGAGTTAACCCTCCCAGAATCCTTCCATACCACGCACCAGCCATCGCACCCACCCACCGTGCCGCGCCCTGTGGATCACAAACGCCAATCACGCAGTTCCACCATTGCTCTCTGCACGCAGACCCCTACCTACCGCAGCATTGCCTGAGTTGAGTCCAGCAAAGGCTGGGCACACGGGAATGTACGGTCCTTTAGTTCCCTGTTGCACCCAGACCACTGGGCCGGTGCATCTGCCATCCGCCAGCCTTCCACTCCTGTGCCCAACCCTCCCTCCAGTTCAAGCTACCCCTACCCCACCATCCAAAGACCCCCCTTCATGAGTTAGGCCGCCGGATTGATCCTCAGCCTTGTCCACGGCTGAGGTTTACCCCAAGAGATCCTATTCCGAAGGCCTCGGACCACTGCCCTGGCCGATCTCCGCCACGCTTGACACCTGCGACCAGTTCATTCACGA